CTGGCGGATGAGTGATCCTGGCGGATGAGTGATCGAACACGTTACAAAGCGTTGCTTACTAAGGACAACATTCACTTCAAAAATCCCCTTCTTGTCGGATCCTGACAGTTCGACCTACAATTGAGATTTACAGCAGGCAGTTGCAGATTCGACCATTGCTTGCCAGGCAGTATATCTACAGTCAACCAAGCGTTTCCTCTATCGTACAGGTCGTACTTTGTGAGGAGACCTTGCATACTTGATCGCATGTAACCGATAGCTACAGCAACGGAAAAAGTGCTTTACTTTTGTACTAATATTCGTTTTCACCGCCCTCCCAGGGCTACAAATCATCAAAAAAGACCTATTTCTCCGCAATTGCCACCCACTGACTCGCAGGCAGCACCACCTTCCCCCCCTCCACCTTGGTAGTAGGCGCCTGCTTCAACACCGCCGCCAGCATATCCACCTCCTCATCCCACTTCTCCTCATCCTCGGGCTTCCAGCCCCCAATTCCCGCCAGGTACGCCCACGACTTCTCCACCCACTCCCTATACTCGCCGCTCGCCTCATCCAGCTCGATCACCACGTCCTGACTCTCGAGCTTCAGCTTCTCCTCGGGGAACCCCGTCTCGATCATGATCTTGCGCAGATGCTGCCCATCCGTCCAGTTGATGGGCGGCGCCGGGAACGGCGCATCCCCGCGGAACTTCTTGTGTACCGTCATGATGGGGAACATCCAGCCGATGCGCTTCCAGCAGTTCACGACGGCGAAACCGCCCGGCTTGAGCGTGCGGTACACCTCGCGCGCGCCGTCGAGCCCTGCGCCCGACGCGAAGATGATGCCGATGTTCATGAAGTCGTAGTCGAAGAAGGCATCGGCGAAATCCGTCTTTTCGCATTTCTGCGACGTCACGTGGACGGGCCAGTTGTGCTGTGCGGCGTCTGCAGAGAGGACGTCGAGGAAGGGCTGGTCGATGTCGGTGGCGTGGATGGTGATGTCGGCAGGAGGGTTGGAGGCTAGAATGAGGCGCGTGACGGTGCCCGAGCCGGAGGCATTGTCGTGGATGATGGAGCCGGGTTTGATGGCGGGGACGAGGCTGAGGTTGTGGGCTGCGAATTGGGATGTTACTTTTTCGCCTGTGGATACGTAGGTTGTGACTTTGGCTTTGCCGGCGAGGAACGCGGCGGCCTGCTTGGGGATGGGTCCTCGGTTGAAGGCCATCATGGTTGTTGTTATGGTGGTGGGGGTGTCTTTTTTTTTTTTTTTTTTTTTTGGTGGGGTAGATACAAGGTCAATTGGATTGGTATATGTGGAGGAGGAACTCAGGAGGAGGTTGAGACTATAGATGGAAATCCGACAACCACAGGGACCTCCGTCAACTTATACACCTTCTTCTCCTCCCTACTAAGCAATTCTCCCTAGCGCTGACGAGAGGCATGGTGCATCCTGTCCCTGGGTATCTGGATCCTTCGTCGATTCTGACGGATCCTCTCTGGTAATGGTGCCTGCTTCAGGCGGACTGAGACCATAGAAATAGTGTTGCGTCGCATCGCTTACTGCTTACGGTGTTAGAGGCTTAGTGCCGTTTTTTCGGTAGTCTATAAACTCCGTCTCCTAGCTATTAGTGAAACTTCGCACTCACGCTCCCGTACCTCACCCCATCAACCTTGAGCTCAAACACCAACCCGGCACTCTCAATCCGCATATCGAGCGTGAAATCCAGGTTGTCAAACTCGACGCCCTTCGTCGTCGTCAACCGAGTGAACAACGTCTTGGGCACGGCGTTCAAATCTGTGGTAAGCGTGCACACATTGATGAGGCCTTTGCGGTATGAATCCGGCGCGACGTCGTCGTCGCAGGCAATCAGGTCGTCTTCGACTATGAGTGATTGCCCAGGCCGGAAATTGCGCGTGTAGTGGAATGAGATGGGAGAATTCTCAGAGACTTGGGCGCCCTGTAAGTGAATGATTAGGGTCGTATGTGCAGTGAAAAGGGCTCGAATCGGAATACCTTTGCTATGTGCCACTGCATCCTGTCACTGACCATCCACCGTTCCCACAGAGGGGACCAGTACCGGTCCGAGATGGGATGCTTCGCCTCGTCAAAGACAGTGGCGTATGACGTCCCGTAGTGCCATCTCGATCGCCTACTCACTACCATGCTGCCCTCCAGTCCTCTCAAGACTGCACCGCGTACCACCGCCGTCCACGCATACATCGGGTGCATGACCTCCACACTATGTTCCGCATTCACAGCTGCCGCATGCGTCGGTCGTTCGGTATAAGGTGGTGGCGGCGCAGTATTGAAGTGCGCCTTCATCCTCCGGTACAGGTAGTTGCTCTGCCCAAAGCCGCCGACGAGCACGATCCCGCACACCAGTCCGCCCTTCGCTCTTATGCTCTGCACCTGCCCTTCCACAAGGTTGATAACCTCCTGTACAACCGGATCGAAGATCTCCTGGACTTGCTCCGCACTCATGATCAGGAAGCCCGAGTCGAGCCCCGCCTCCTCATCATCCGGCAATCCGGGAAATGGTATGTTGACTTCGGCATGCTCTTCCTCGTTGAAGTTGCGCTTGACCGATTCTTCAAAATATTTGAGGCCCATGTTCCAGGTTTTCGGTTTCTTTTCACGCATCATTTGATAGCGCTCGTGACCGATGCGCCGACGGACATGGTCCTCAAAGCGATAGTTGAGGAATGCACTGCCACAGAGTCCTCCCGTGCCAACTGCGGATTCCTCAACGCGAAGGGGGTTGAGCTGCGTTATCTTGTATGCTATAAGATCGACAGTGCCGCCTCCTGTGTCGCCAGCCCGTTAGTAAAACGCATAAAGGTTTGTTCTCACAAACGTACCAGCATCGCACACGATGAAACTATCTCCAACCTTCAGATAATTTGGTTGTATAGCCTTGAGTGTGTAAACTGCTGCGGCTTCCGGCTCCGATATCAACTTCAGATCGCCCTTCCTACCCATGCCCGCTTTCTCAGCCGCCCTAAGGGTGGCATCCTTTGCTGCATCCGACCAGACCGCTGGCACCGTCAACACGAACTCTACCTTTGTCATGCTCATGAAGGTCTCCCCATATCGTTTCGTTAATGTTTCCATCGTGTGCTTGTATATCTGGCCAAGGTAATCAGACACTGCTTCCATGACAGTCTTGCCATGCTTGCCCAATTGTGCTGCAGTCTCGAGCGGCGAGACGAAGTGTGGAAGTTTTTGGCTACGGTCCAAGAAAAGCTTGATACATCGTAGGCGTGGCTCCTCCGGTTTAAACTGGAAACCCCATTTTACATTCACCTGACCTGACGAGGAGTCGCTGGTCGGGCTGCTGTAGGCAATCTCGGTGGGCACTTTATCTGATGTGATGCCTGCATAATCAGTTAGTCTCCTCAGGTGTCATGGTAGCCCATTGAGATCACTGGAATACCATTGCCGCCAGGCCATGTTTTTATTATGTCGATGTCCTCGGGTGTCCCACTATAACAAGCTGCAACCCCTAGGTCATGTCAGTTTTGACTCCTCTGTCTCTGCCCAACGTTCAATGCTCACCGCTATAGGTAGTACCGAAATCCACCCCCACTATCAATCTATCTTGAACGCCGTTCGATCTTGACGCGCTATCGGCGAGCAGAGCGGGGGAATGGTTGGTATTCGGATCGAACGCGTATGGTGTGTTGCCAATCCGTACCGGCAACGTAGTATTCATGCTGGAAAAGTCCAATTCGCAATATCGAGACTAGAAGATGCTACCTTATGGAAGGGAATACGCGCTGAACGCCGCATGCGGGTGCTGTCTCGTGCCAATTTGCGGGGTAGACGACTGGAAAACGCGACCAACGGACCGGAATTGAACATTCGCAGCGTAAATCATATATATATCTGCCTGAGAGACATTGCGAACGATCAGGCACCCGCGGGAGGTGCTGGGAATCTTGACGCCTGGCGGTTTGAGGGGATTGGTGCAGCTGCAGTTTGAAGGTGGCTGATGAATACGGACCCCACTATGATCGCCAAAGTGGTGCCTAGCTAGCAGGGGAATCTATACTCTCAATACCGACTTTCCCGTCTCTTCATTCCCATATCACATCTTGAGCTCCTTTGGTGGCAGTTGCAATGGATTCGATAACCTTAGTAACCTTCCCTTGACTGACAGACACGGTCCCATTGGGATTGCAGCTATGACAACGAGGGAGAGAAAGAGCTCCGGTGCGTAAACAGTGTCGGTAAAATATGCCGACAATCGCGCCAACAGGCGGTGCACGAGTGGAGAAACATCGCTGTTGACAAACGTAGACCTCTCAAGTCGACTGAGACGGCCGTTGAAAGCTAGCTCTCAGCCTTCCAAAGCTCTCAGTTCTTCGACGATCAGTACTCCGCCGAAGGCTGCTATAGCATCGGTTCAGGCGAAAAAGGAGGACATTCATCGCAGGAAGAACCCCTTCCAAAGAATGCTTCGCCAGAATGAGAGCAGGAGTAGATCATGTGACGGCCCGAATGGACCAGATCCGGATATCTTCACCTCAGCCATGAGTAGAAGGCACCTGCAAGACGGAAGGGATGCGAGTACAGATGCACAGGTCAAAGGAAATGATTATCCCAAGACGAAAGAGCGCGCTGCAGATCTAGTAGAGGCTTTGGCTGCTGCCAAGGCAGAAATAGATGCGCTCAAAGCAGAATTGGAAAGAGCAAGGCACTATAACCCCGCATATGGGGATCCTGCGACTGGAGATAAGACTGCGGTTGACGCACCGTGGCTGCCTTCGAAATATCCTCAGCCTGACATAGTGTCTTCGCCTGGCCGCTCGCTCAATGGGGCAGATGCAAGTCTGCTGGAACAGAACTACGAGTTGCGACAGCAAGTAACGCTTCTCGAAAAGCAGCTTACCGAACAGGACGCGATGTACCGGGCAAAGCTAGATCGGCATATGCATAGTCGACGTGCCGAATGGGAGGAGCTCACAGCACGGCTTCACTACGCGGAAAAAGAGTCCCGAGAGCGATTGCAACAATTGCGCGATCTGAAACAGAGCATATCGCGATTGATGAAAGCTGATAGCCAAATCACCGACGGCGAGCTCGTCGAGGGAGTGGACAAACTCTATCACCGAATCCGTGAATGGGTTGTCAGTAACTTCCGAAGATCGAAGCTCACGTACGACCAGGTCCCGGCTGAGGGAGCAAAGGTCTTGGACAGGATATATCCAGCATACCGGCAGCTCAAGCCCAGCGATCGCCTTCCACTCTATCAGTCCATAGTAGCTCATGCTTTAAGAGAGATCTTTGAGGAGAATGTTGTCCTAGGATTGCCTGCAAGCGGACCGCTGGCGCCCATCCGTCAGCTCGCAACTTGCATTCAAGGTGCAGGGAGCGAATTCGGTGACTGGCGTAGAGCAACGATTCGAGCATTGGAGAAGAGTGGCATGAAGCATATTGTTGGCGAAGAGAGGGCAAAGATGCTCCATCAGCTTTCGGCAGATATCGAGCGCCAACTGTTTGCTCTCACTTCGACCCAACTAACACGTAATGCGAAATCGGAATTACTGGCCATTGTGCATTCGACAGCGGACTTGCAACATGCGTTGCTTCTGCAAAAGGCACGCTATCGGTTGCGCTTCTTCAGTCACGATGGGAATACACAAATATTCTTTGATGACAGAAAGATGGAGCCTGTCAATGATGTCGAAGATAGACCCGTTGAACAGGGAGGAATGGCGATTGAGCGCACCTTCGGCTTTTGCGTCTTTCCCTGCATCGAGAAATTCGGCAATGAGTTCGAAGAGACAAACCACATCCGGAATGTTCTGCTACGGGCTAGAGTCTGGTCTGCTCCGACTCCTGATTAGCAAGTATGTCTTTGATGCAGTGGCACAGTAGGGACAGCAGATTTGGTGTGCATCAGATATCAGCATGCCGCCAGCCTTCCCACGTCGACACCAGGGCCGTCCTTTCCCGATCGTGTTGGAATGGTGATAGATCTGCCAGGGTGGTTGATGTGAAAAGAATGATTATTGAGTCACCATTGAAAACAGGGGTGCTGACTAACACACGTCGCGTGGATCTGCCAAGGTCGATCAAAGCTTGGGCCAGCATCGTACACGCGACGCGACTTCGACAACTGCTCCTTCAATCCGCGATGGTGAGTACTTATTGACCTCCAAATCCACTTCTGACACTGAACAGGCCCCCATACGTCAAAACGGGACGGCTCAGCGAGGCAAACCGAAGAAGTCGGCCGGATCATTAACTGGTCAGCGGAGTAATGGAGAGTCTAAGGCGACCGTCACAAAGCCGAAGCGACGGCGAGGCCGACCCTCCAATGCCGCGAACAATGCTTCACGTGCAAATGATAGTCGAGCGTCTCAGAGGTCTAGCGAACGTCGACGGAGGCGTGAAATCAGTGAGGCCGATGAGCTAGAGGTGGCCGAAGCAGCGGCACCATCACCCAAATACCTACGGCTTGCGCCCAAGAGGAAAAGGATACCACAAGAAATCATTGAGAAATGGCCGATGATATCAGCACCCGTCCTGGATCAAATTAGCGTTGTACTTCGGCGTGCTAAGGATGCCATTGTACTCAGCCGTCGGGATCCCCAGAAACAGCAGGAAGCAGACGAGGTCCTCCATGGCGTGATCCGGAAGCTTGAGCGCCACTTCGCGAATACCAAGATCCCACCGCAATCCAAGGCGCATCAGTTTGATCTTAACCACATCGCGGCCCAAAACGAGCGGGTATACCGGGAGCTGACGACCACCCGTCACCGCAACCAGCTCCTAGATGAGCAAATCAAAATTGCGGCAGCCAAGCTGAAGGAAGAGGAAGAGACTCTAAGTAAGGTAAAGGAGAATAAGCTACAGTGGCAGCGGAGGTGGAAGGCCCAAGGAAAGAAACAGGTCAGTGTCCCCGATCTCCTATCACGGGTGAACCCTTCGCTCATCTGTGCGTGTCTAGCTCCACCCTTTGCTGCAGGAGGCCGAAAGCCTCAAGATCGTGGAGGACAAGCCTGAAGATATTGGCTTGAGGAAGGCGCCGCCGATCGATACGGCCCTATTCGATATTTCCTATGCTGACCTAGCCCCGCTTCTCCAAACGCTCCGCCTAAATCTCGAAACAATGCAGAACAATCATGCGCAGATAGGCGGCATCAGCGACGCAGTGACGGAAGCGCAAGTGGCACTGGACGACGTGGTCTTCAAACACGTTCAAGGGGAGCAGTACGATGCATTAATGAATTATTGATATGCAGGGTGGGACTGGCGTCTCTGACGGGTGCTGTCCGTTTCCAAATAATGAGTGCATTGCATGGCTTGGCGTTCAGTTTGAGGTACCACGGAAAGGTACTGGCACAACTCGGTCTGTTCTCGCGGCGATCATCATCCAATGCCCTGGAGTCGGCCTTGTACTCGATATTTGTATGGAGATGCGAAAGCTCGAGGATACTCCACGCGGTCGGAATAGATATTGTGTCAATGATTGCCATGCGGCGACGTGTCCGACCGCTGTTCCAAGGTTTTGAGCGCTCTGTTTCTGACCAAGCTGTCGATTTCCGATCCGAATATAGCTCAATTCCCAGGGTTATGGTCGCCGGAGCCGTGCATCCAGGGCCAAGTCAGCAGCCCCTTCCGTCCTGTCCTACGAGCGAGCCTCCAGCGGACGTGGCGATGGAGCGGTAGTCTAACATGCCCAGGTGGTCGATTATATCAGATGTGCCGTCACTCGTGAGCCGAGGGTGCTGCACCGGCAGAGACGGTAGAGGGCGCCACTTCTGTCGGATCTGAGACTTTATGCCCGTTATGCACGCAACTAGTATGGGCGTTCGGCGGGTGAGAGGATATCGATCTGTCCATTGTAGGAGCCGGTAGATCAGCGGGCCGCTCTTCGCGGGTGGAGTCGCAGCAGCCCCGCCGCCACGAGGATGTTCGCCTCGGCTAACCCTTCGACCTCGCAGGTGAGAGGTGCGCACGCGCGCACCCCGATACATTTCACAGCTTGCGACAACCAACAATCGCGTACCCATCCTCTCCGCCGCCGCAATCCTACCCCATCTCCTCTCCTCACGGCCTCTACGTACCACCCGCGCAACTTGCTCAAGCCGATAATCCCCCAAGAACGTGCTGGAGCTTTCCCTGTGCCCGCGCCGCCTGTCGTAACACCACACTCAGCCTACGCTTCCGAGACGACCACTCCCAGTGCTGAGGCAAGCCAGCGCCACCTTTGATGCCAGAGGCGACGCAGGGAACCAATGGAGCCGCCATGGAGGGTGTGACGAAGCCGGTACCCGCGGTGCAGCGCCAGACAGCCGAAAAATCCAGCGCACCCAGGAGCAGCCCGCTGCAACAGACGGACAAAGTGCAAGCTGCTGCCGCACCCGGTTCCGAGGGTCCGACGAAAACTCCAAAAAAGCGTAGGAAGGTCAATCATGGTAAGGCCGGTCCTCTGTGTATCCCCAGTTATGTCAATGGCCTTGCTGACTGCTCGCACCGCTCGTAGCGTGCATCTACTGCAGACGTTCGGTGAGCCACTGCCCCTTCCCGCCCCGTACTCCCATACGCTCAAGTTCGAAACAGTCTGACTACAGGTGCTAACTGATACGGTCCAGCATATGACTTGCGACCTTGTGAGTGCACTGAGCGTCGCCCTGCGCGCCTACGGCTGACCCCCCTTCGTCTCAACCCAGGACCGGCCGTGTGCGCGCTGCATCAAGCGGAATATCGGGCATTTGTGTCATGACGAGCCTCGAGAAAGCGTCAAGAGGTCGAAGATGGAGCCGGAAGGCGGCGCCGGTGAGAATGATTCCAGCAAGCAGGAGAGCATGACCTCCGACTCGGCTGTCACCTCCATCAACCGGCGAACAAGTGCTCCAGATGCAGGGCTTAACCTTGCGTCTCTTCCACTACCTCCTAATAGGGGTGCCAGCGCAGCACCGATCGCCGAGCCCACGCCCGTATCTGCGCCACAAATACCGTCCATGGCCTCTCGCAACCAGCCCCGTAAGTTACACTGATGTCCAGCTTTGAGTGATGATGCTGAACTATTTCAAGTCTTGAACTACAATGACTGGTCTTCGTCTTCACATAATTACTTCCAGGACATGCACCACTTCCATCCATCTCACATGTTCAACACATCCGAAATCAGTAACGAGTACAACTCTCTGAACGATTTTCTCAGCAACACCATGATGGATGAGCATGCCTTCTATGGAACTGGAGATTTTCAGCAGTTTCTCGGTGACCCGTCCTTGACCCAACCCGTGGGCAATATTTCCGCCGAACCCATATTCCATGCCCCATCATCAAATACCGCAGCTCTTCTGCCGCCTCCCGCCCAAGTCTCTGCCGGTCAGTCGATACAAAGACCTGCAAGTGGCCTGCCTATCGACAAAGCGCGGGAGAGGTATTACATGACGGCGGCAGATCCCGCAGGCACGGACAGCCCTGAGGAGCGTATGAACAGGCTTCTCAAAGCCAAAATGGATGCGGGTTTACTGAGACCGTTCAACTACGTCAAAGGCTACGCCCGGCTTAATCAGTACATGGAACAGAATCTGCAGCAGATATCCCGTGTACGGATCTTGAGGCAGCTGGACAGGTTCCGGCCAAAATTCCGAGAAAGGATGCAGTCCCTGACGGATATGGAGCTGGTGCGCGTGGAGATGTGGTTCGACAAAAGCCTGATGGAGTATGATAGAGTCTTTGCAAGTATGGCCATGCCCGCTTGCTGTTGGCGGAGAACTGGGGAGATATATCGTGGAAACAAAGAGATGGCGGAGTTGATACATGTGCCAATGTCAAGACTACGAGACGTATGTGCCTCGTTTCGGACATATAATCCTGTGCTGACATTTCTTCCAGGGAAACATTGCGCTGCACGAGATCATAGCCGAGAGTTCGCTAGTATCATATTGGGAGAAGTTTGGACAGATCGCCTTCGACCCGACGCAGAAAGCCATTCTGACAAGCTGCCTGCTCAAGAACCCAGACCCGAATTCCCGAGATCCGGAGATAAGATGCTGCTTCTCCTTCACTGTCAAGCGCGACATGTACAACATGTGAGTGCACTGAAGCAAGAATGGTATCCCATTACCCTTACAGAGACTGACTTGGAGCAGACCAGCTCTCATTGTGGGTAACTTCCTGCCCATCATAGAAACTGCTTCCAGCTCATAAATGCTGTGTTATCTTGCGTCGGCGCTCCATCGGCTGCATGTACGTATTTGTAGACCGTGGACTCTGCCTGGACGACATGATACCGACTCCGTGCTCTGTCGAGCGTCACCTCTTCCTATATAATCACTTCATGAGTAGATGCTTGGTATGCATACGGTATTGGGTGTTGGGCGCGAGGGACGCGACCACGCGTTTGGGCAAAAGCGATTGCATTTCCGGCAGCCTGCTATACTGAATCGTAAGCAGCCGCATATTTGTCTCTTGTCTCCGTGCATAGCGTCGAACATCTTTTTGGTTTGTCCTCGGGATGTGCCGTGGACATCACTGTCTTGCTGAGGAAAGAGCGCCGGAAGCTAGAGCCAAATGCAGAAAGCGCAACTCCTCGACCACTGTGAGGTGATGTTGCTCAACGTCTTCAATCTTCACCCGTCCCATGTCTTTCGCCGTCGTCACTTACTTTGCCCAGCTCACTCATATTCGATTATCATGGCACCTAACCTATCCGCAAAGGCAGAACGTGAGAAAAGACTCAAGTCACTGTTAGGTGGGCTTTCATCTGCAACATGTGCTACACAATCCTGAACTCACACCTTGCAGCCTTCGCATCCAGCCTCTCCGCTCGAGTCAACGCGCCGCACAATTCAACGCTCCTGAATGACCTGCAAGATCAAATACGGTCTCTCCCACTCGCAGCCTCAACCCCCGTTGCAACGAAACAAGACGAGCTGGATAAGTTAGGAACGGATTTATGGAACCTGTCTATCTCTCTTCGGCGGAGGGACTCGCAGCCGATCGAGAAGGAGCAGAAAGACGCATCACAAAGGCAAAAGACTTGGTCTCTGCTTCGCGTGTTCGCGTTTCTGCTTCTGGACACAGCAGCTGGACAGGCTACGAAGGCTCGAGAGCGGAAGCACTGCATCAGGCTGCTGAGAGTGGCTCTGAAATCGGCCCGCGGGTGTATCGACAGCGGTGACTTGCCCAACGCGACAAGGGTTCTGGAGAGGGCGGCGGATTACCAGGAAGCCTTGGGCGGAGACGGTGACGAAGGAGGTGAGGAGGGGGGTCATAGTACTGCGTCTCTTCGCGCAGAGTATTTCATTATGCGGATGGCTTTGGTAAGCCTCATTTATCAAACCTTGACCCACTCAAAGATTGCTTGGGGTCTCTCCTCGATATGACTGACCGAGATGTCCATAATAGGCCTGGCGGCAAAAGCGAATGGACACTGCAGAACATATGTTCTTGAAGAGCAAGCAACTGAACTCTTCCATCAACTCATCCGCTTCTGAGAGCCTCGCAGAACTCCTCTATGAGATCGGCAGGAGTTTACTGGAGGGGCGAAGTTATGAGCTTGCCATCAAATGGCTGGAACGAGCATATGATACAATCGGCGAGCAAGATCCCGACAACTTCAGTCCTGATGCTGGCGAGCTGAGACTTGGTATTATGCAGTCTATAAGTACGGAGATTTAGGAACGGGACATAAAGATGACTCAGTACTGACCGGCCGATAGTACAAGCGAATATGAAGCTCAACACTAAGGACGCCTTAGCGAAGGCATGGGACATCGTACAATTGCTAGACACCGTCAGTTCCTCCAAACCACAGACGCCAACTGTGCGTTGACTCAGGCTCTCGTTACAGGAATACGGAGACAAAATGGCTGTTCAACTGCTGAAGCTTGAACTTCTCTCCATTGCTGATCCTATTGACAGTGATCAGGTTTATGGCGGTAAGCTCTTCAATCCCCTCTTTATTGGAACTGTTAATATCTGATCTAATCTAGTCCTACTTCGGATGATTCGGTCTGTAGTTCTGAATGAAACAAATTTCAGAACGTGCGTGACGGCCCAGTCTGACCTGAATCCGATTCAATGGATGTGCTGACCCGAGTCGACAGGATCATGCACCATATCCACAGGTTGAAGGAACATAGGTAAGTCATTTCCCCAGTATGCAAAACAAATGGCTGAAGCACAATAGCAACGTTACAGCATGCAGAGCCCTCGACGATTTGGTCAACATCAGACTTTTCCGCGAGGAGAATGAAGGCTGGCTTGAGAAAGCTATTATTACGTATATCTGGGCGGGCACCACAGGATCTGTTTCCGAGAACGTATTAGAGTCTCTAGAAGAGCTGTTTGAGACTGTGTCCAGAAACACAAAGCATCCACTTTCTGCGCCAGCCACACATGCGTCTCAGACAGTACGTAAGTGACAGAATTGGTATCATGTTCCTTGCTGATGTCGGCTGATGTAGCTTTTGTGGAGGAAAGTTGAAGCTGCTTATAGTCAGTGCCAGTTCGCAGTCGCCGAGTCGTGGTGCCGTCTTTGCCTGCGCCCACTCTTCGAGAAGGCTGGGGAATTAAACAGGTCGAAAATATTCAGGTACGCAGGTCAAGGGCCCCAATCTGCCGTACGGCCACTAACTAGCCCCAGGAAGATCATCTTATGCGCCTTCTCTTGCAAGAATTATGCAGGCGCCTGCGAAGCCTTTTCCCAAATGTCCGATACCGGCAAAGATGAACCAATAACGCGCTATTTGATGTACAAGGTTGCACTGCAGAGGGGAGATGCGGATCTGGGTAACAGCTCTCCTGCAAATCAAGAACATCGTAGTCCTAACCGCCACAGCCGCCAGCTGCCTTGAAACTATATGCAAGAAGTCATCGAAAGACGTCACTCTTCTCTACGCATGCGTTCTCGAAGCTCTAAACTCTGGAGATAAGCGTCAGACTATCAACGCTCTTGAAAGGGTGTTGGACCGATATGATTACAGTGCACCTGCGGGCGTCCATCTCCCAGCAGTTCTAAGGTCTGCAGTTGCATATTTAATTACTTCCATAACACTGACTTCTTCAGGTGTACCGCTCGAGCGCTCACATCGGAGCTCGTCAAAGATGGGAAATTGTGTGATAGCGTAATGGAGGAGGTATGTAAGGTCTTCGAAGGCGGTAAGTATGCTGACTGTACTCAACGATATGCTCTAAATGTGCAAAGGGTGCGCTCAGGCGAAAGCTTCTCTCCGCAGACCGACAACTCCAGCACATGAACTGTTCACGGCATCGGAGTTTGAGTGGTTCTCCAAAAACTCCTACAACCTTGCGCTGAAGTATTGCGCTGAGATGCAGCCAGGCCATCTGGTCAGACTCTTGAGCACCTGCGCAGAGGTAAGGTAAAGGTTATCATATCTTATAGCAAGCTGACAATCGCCCAGTTTATCAAGCTGTTAAAGGATACCGGAAATCCGGATCCTGACCTTCCACTGCGGCTGATGTTCTGCGATTTCTTGAGCTGCTGTGCGTATACTACCCTCGCAAGAGCTGAAGACAATGTCAAGGATAGTGTAGGTCCACCATGCTGTACGTTGATGTCAGTCGGTCTCAACCTGCATTAGTTACTGTACTACGTTCAGGTACGGAAGCACAGCAAGGCGTTCCGCCGAGCTGCTGACGAGGAGCTTGCTGCCAATAGACTATCGAAATCAGCTCAAGCCGATGTGTCCACGAAGCATTTCCAGGTCCTCAAATTGGAGCTTGAAGCTGTGCTCAAACTCGCGGATTGGGAAGCTCTAGATGCGCTCTTCGAGGAATGCTGGAAGCATGAAAATGCTGAGCCACTGGAGACACTGGCCGATCTTGTTCTCGTCATCCATTCGTTTCTAGTCAACGCAAACGTGGATGCGAAATACCAGGAAAGTATGTGACATTTCGGCATTTCCGCAAGGGGTGATCAATCATTAACACTTTTTAGGAGCACTGAAAGCGCTGGCAAAGATCATCACCCTCGTCTGGAGACGGAGTGATAGTGACATCGTGAAAATCTCCCGCTGGATTCGATGCCTCTTCCAGCTCGCCCTCACTTTTGACGATGCCATCAGCCTCAGATGTCTCGAACAAGCAACCTCGATTGCCGCGGTACGCCACGGTGTAAGGTCCCTGACTCCTTATTTTGACGAGCAAATATCACATATGCCTATCCAGCAGTTGCACACGCCCCCGGTGTCCTCGTCTCCGGTCAAAATCGCTGACGAGATCGTCAAGGAGCCGAACCATTACCCAGAGACGGAACTGGAGTGGCTGGCCACGACGAGCTGGAACCACGCAGTGGATTACTACGCCCAGGAGAATGGCGAGAAGTACAGGATGTGGGCGGAACGCGCGATCAATCTTGCGGAATGGGCCGAGGATGGAGGCGGTCTTGCCGCCCTACTCATGAAGAAGAAGTCGGAACTTGCATGGGAGGAGTGAGAGCTGAGTGAAATAGCGACTGGGTGCACAAGTGTGTTGGGCTTTGCCTATGTATCCTATGACGGACCTCTGCGACCACCTGTCGATATGTTGTTGTGCCTCGGAGGCTGGGCCAATCTGCGGATCTCTCTCGCTGCTGGTATAAAATCACATTCTAGAAGAACGCACGATATGCTATATTTCCTGCCTCTAACCTCGGGCCATATCGATCGATGGTGTTGCAATCCATGGATCTATTGCGGGCACTCTTCGCTCGCCCTCATCCGTCCAGCAATTCGGACATCTCGAGATTGTGGTCTTCTCTACGGAGGACCCAGGATAATCATCATACAAATAAAATCATATTGCGCATGGTCGTTGGCTGTATGTGTCGTGTTTGCCGTGTGGCCCTATATCGGTTTTTTCCTTGCGAATAGCGATGTACTATTTCTCTCATGCAACTGTTAGATTTATTTACTTGCCTTATATTGTTTAAAGAGAATTTTATTCCATAACCAAAGCATCCGATATGGTCTAGTGGCTAGGATTTGCCGCTCTCAAGTAGAGTTGTTCGCTCAACCAGCGCCGGCAAGGCCCGGGTTCGATTCCCGGTGTCGGAAAAATGATGCTACCTTCGTTTCTTATTTTTTTGGTTTCTCCCTGGTCTCTTGGAGTGGAGGAGACGTTACTCTGCCGTAAGTGAATGATATTCATATGCAGGTAATTGTTTCGACTTGGGACAACTGTCGTTGTTTTTGATAAGGCATAGCGACCGTGTAGACGCGTACGGCTTGTCGCCGCATTAGATGTAGTTTAAGACCCAATATTCGATCGTGAACGCCACTTTCCACCCGCCTTGAACCGTAGCTTCGAAGCCCAAGAAGCAGCCCGACCAGCATCAGCGTATAGCGTTGCAGAGCAAGGGGAGGAAGAGGACCATGATCTTTGCGATAATTTTATTAGAATTGCAGAGATTAGAATAATACCTGCCGATGGATATTCAAGGCACGTGCATGCAATGCCTTTGCTACTCCGTACATCTGCTTCCATTTTAGAGCTCCCTTATATGATGCCTCTCAAAGCATTTGTTCGTTTTAAAGCAGATTAAATTCCGCGGTGAACAATGTCAGGTAAATAGTTTAGAATTACCGCGTAGCGGAACGGTGGAATAACAGTCACAAGCCATGGCGCTGGATCGCATCCGAGAAAAAGAGACTATGCAGCTCCTTGCCGTAAGTGGTATTCTACAAAGAATCTAGAAACCCCCAAAAGCGATGTACAACATGAGCTAGACCTATAGTATCAAACCGGCAAGCCCTCCTCATCAGGAGCTTCCGGCGCCCCGGTCACAGCCCCGTAAACCCGGACGGGAACTTGAACTTCGAAGCTCTCCGCGTGTAATCTCTCCGCCGCAGCAAGTATTACTCCCCGGTCATCACTCGTGACCTCCTCCAATAAATCGTCGTTGTAGACCTCCAGTCCGTCTTCGTGATGCACGAGTCTAGGTGTGATAAATTCGATACGTAACCTCCACTCCAGGCTCACACCACTGGTAATGAATTCCGGGGTGCTGTTCGGTGGGATGGTGGGGGAGAAGGAGAGCCTTTGCGCAAAGAGGGCGTTTTCGGAGAATGAAGCGTGGACTTTACGCGTGACGCGGTAGATGGATGCGTTCGACCGCAGTGCTATTGCGGGATCGACCTTTTCAGATGTTTCCAGTGAGACGTGCACAAAGTAGGTGGGTATGGCTGTCTCGGTAAAATCAATCATCAAGGAGATTGTTTCTCCGAGACGGTATGCGGGCCGCGCAAGCATGATGACGGCGACTCTTCTGCCGCTGCGCGCAATTTCAAAGCGATTGGCACTCTGGTTAGCAGCGCCGAATAAGTTGCTTCGTAGGATTGCGAGGTCAATGGCTTCTTTCATGGATTGGGGCGCTTCAGCGATCGAAGGGCGCCCTGGGGTGGTTCCTGTGGGGGAGAGGAGGCCCATGCTAGAGTTTTGACGGGGTCGTTCGAGGAGGTTGTCCACGTATTCGAGAAAATCGTTAAAGGTTGATTCTTCCACCTTGCGGCCAATTCGCGATTTTTTGTTCACGCCGTTGATCTCGCTTGGGGACGGTATACTAGATGTCCGAGCCTGGTCACGGAGGATGATGTATGGGGACATTAGATCATGGCCGAGGATCTCCCCTCGAGCTGCTAGAAGTCAGTACTTGATTAAAGAGGGATGAGAACACCACATACTGTTGACACTGCCGAAGACTCGGAAAGGGATTTCTACTTGCCGTACTGACTGATTTCGTGCTGACCCCGGCCGCTGCGTACCAATCGAAAGGTGATAGGAAACCTTAATGGATCGGCCCTTATGAGTAGGAGGCAGCCCCTTGGGAAGTGTGAAGCTGTAGCTATAGCTACGGCTTTCACCTGGGGACAGCTTCAGATCCACGAACAAGATGGATTGCGGTGTTGTGATGAGTGGGACAGTCTTCGAGCTTGCAATCCCTCGCATTTCTCGTATGCTCGATGGCTCTGAAGTGCGAAGCAGTCCTCCTATGGATTCACCAAGGTTTCCCCACCCTAAGGCGCCAAACAGGCCACTGTCCCGGGTTTTCCGTTCCACTCCAACGACACCACCGCCTCCTTGACCGCCGACTACGCCCTTTCTCTTCACCTCTTCAAAGGGAGCCTGATTTATCAACGAGCCATCCAGAGTGAACGAACCAACTATTTGGGCATACCCCATCATTAGTGTTTCAGGCAGATTTGGCTGTGTTGGTACGGCGAGCTGTGAACTTGCTCTCTGATGAAATGGTCTCGGTAGTAGTCTGGCCGAGGCGGGCGGCTGCCCTACATATTCCGAAGCCAATGTTTCGCTGGAGTTGTTGCTCATGGAATAGAACTCCCCACTGCTGCGGGGTGTGCCGTTCATACTTGATCCGGACAAAATACGAGCGACAGGGGAAAGGACCTCTATGTTGGGGTTCGGTGAAGGCCCGTCTGGCGGCCTAGGGGAGTAACCTCTCAGTTCTGAAGTAGGGGTATTCGCACAGCCCATCCCTTGTGGCCTTTCAGGGGAAGGATCTTTGGACGGGGGAGCAGCGGGAAACTTGAAACTATGTGAAAAGGAATTTGATGATTTCCGAGTACTGTTTCCCAACGCCGGCGTACTGGGGCCTGTGGAGGCGCCTGGAGTCCTTCTACCTTGCCTGGGAGGTAGCCCCGATAGATTGGACGGCTCGAAAATTGTTGGGGGAGATGAAGATCCACCGCCAGCTAAGGGAGAGTGGTGTGGTGCAGAGCGATGCCCAGGGGATACCACTGTGGCCGGTCAGCATACGTCTCTCGAATAAATAGAGCAATGCACCTCCAAACTGACTAGGTCTGCCGGGTACGACCTGTAAGCTTGCCGACCTTGCATGACCACGAGGTCGTCGTGGGGGAGCCCGATCATGGCTCGCTTCCGTTGCTGTTTCGGCACCTAGAGATATGATAGACAATGACCTTTGGTGATTGTGTCTATTAGTCGGAGCTCCATCCCCATTCCCGTTATGTAAGGCCCCGTTCGGCAAGCCAGGGGAGCGTCTTTCACTAGCAATCGAAGGGGTTGCCAACGAAAGGGCAGGCCTATGTCCGCGCAGATGCGGTGGGGGTGCGCCAGATCCAAAGGACGAGTTTCGAGATATGGAGGGCCGCGTCGACGACTGCACAGGGGGAATCTTGCGTTGCTGTCTCTCTCCGCCGGGTGCGAGACTATTGTGTTTGGATGCATTCGGGCTGTCCTGGCCATGAGGGACAGCCACGTTCTTGAATGTTATCGTGCATTCAATGTCCTCCCCTGCAAACACAGTAGATTCCTTCCATTGTACGAAGACGCGAATGGTCGATGACATGGTAGGGGTATGCCGTGTCGGTGAAGCGCGGGCTTGGGCCGCAAAACGAGGGGTGAGCGGCAGTTCATGGGCGAGTTCGGACAGCTGCTGCGACGTCCACTAATAACATAGCGATTGCCGACAGCACAAACGAAGCGGGAAGGTCATGACTCCGGAGGTCGGGCATGCAGGCTCGAGAGATGCTCTCGCCAACTGTTGCACCGTCCTGGGATGCGGTCAATCCTATGCACGAGCCTCGGTCATTACATCCGGAAAGAGTTTAGCTCTCCCGGCACGTTTCTCCGCCTCCGGCTCTATCTGGACACAGTCTCTCAGTTTCTCTTACTATGGAAGTCGAGGCTCAGGCCGTGCCCATGTCAACAAAGTGAGAGCCATTGGGCGTTTCCTATCGCGTTTTTGCGTCGAGTAACGCAAACTCACGGTGCAAAATGTCGCCATTTCTGTGCACTGGGTCATCTCTGTTGATACTCCACGAAAGACTAGTGCTCATCACCTCGCAGACAGTAGGTAGTATTGAGGTGTTTGCAATCTCTCTTCTTTGCTCAAGTCAAGGAACCTCTATGTGTCTAGGAATTCACTACCCTTACCCGCGGAAATGATGGTGTGCAATAATGATAAGTGACTATACGCTTCATTCCAACCGTTTGCTTCAGTGATGCAAATGATATATGAAATTAGCTCTGAAGGTCCACCGCAGTTAATTCCAATGACTACCACGTGGAGACAGCTTCATACGCTCCTAGCTCTTTCCGAAATCACCAAACAAGGCGTGCTCCGCGCTTTGGTTTGATTCTCCCTGTAGCGGAGGGCGGGATGTGCAATTTCCACTCGTTGCCCCGCAATTTACTACCTTCACCGCGAGAGCTACCTGGAAACTGCTTGCTTCACCGCTTCCAAAGTGGAGCGATGGTCGTCACGAGGGGACAAGGCCATGGGGAAACGGCTCTCCCGTGGGCGGAAGGGTTGGTTTAGCCCTCAGATGCCTAATCTCCTCTTCAAGTATATAATACCACAATACTTTCCTCCTCCGATCTGTCCTCCACCAAAATCTTTTATTTTCTCAACTTCGGCTATATACATTCACAAAGAAGCCTTCCATACCAGGTTCTGTGCCTAGTCACTCGCTTTACCCACCCACACTCTTTTGCATCTGAACCAGATCACTAAGACGCTTTCTTTCACCTCGTGTCAGTATACTTCCGCAGTGTCCTTTGCGGATGCTGACACTCACCCGCAGATCTACTCCTTCTTGCCTTCGGCATCCTGACCGGAGCAATCCCACTCGGCTCTGAGAATCCACTGCTTCCGGGAAAGATCAACCACAATCCTACACCGGCTCTCAACTTCACGACTGTCGCCGCCGCTGTCATTAACCCTGCCGGGGTAGCCATCAAAGGGTGAGTTAAATTCAAGACTGCCGCAACCCCATATTACTGCCAGGCTAACATCACACCCCAGCTACGTCCAGAACAACTGTAATTTCCCCATCTACGTCCAGTACGCAACCTGCTGTCCCCCAGAAAGGCGCATGAAAGGCGACGGCTGCGTCGACGATCTTCAGACCCTCCATCCCCGAACTGGCTACTGGTCTTCAGGTGTTGCCGTCCCCGATGCTTGTTCGCAAACGATCCGCATGTACAAGTTCAAGGACTCCAGAGAGGTTTACCAGCTCGAATACAACGTGGATGTCAACGGAATCGTGTGGTACAACCTCAGCTCGGACGATGGCTCTCCTTTCACCTCCGAAGCGCGGTTCCTCACCGTCGGTGAGGGGTGTATGTATATGTACTGCCGGCCCGGCGACGAACCGGCTGTTTGCGATTGGCCTCACCATTTGGGCTCTTGCTCTGCCAGAGATGTCAGGTTCTACCTTTGTTAGACCTGGCGGCCGAGGAGGACCTTGCAAAAGTCTGCGTGACTAGGAGGCTCCGAAGAGAGGAGGCTCCGAAGACAGGATGCTCTGTTTGCCTGCATTCCTGTACAGTAGCGGCATTTTCAAATGGCCATGGGTCGGGATTTGTTGCTCCTATAGCTTGGAATGTATACACAATTTGTCTCGGTGATATCAAGCTTCCTCCTCTAAACCTCCGGTTTTGTGAACTCAGTGCCTCGTACTTTGAGAAGGAAGGCTTTCTCGTACTGCAGCAGCTATTACAGCTATAGTGCCTATTACAGCTATAGTGCCTACCTTCGTGCCCCAGGGCAATGACCGAAAGCCAAACCCGTCAATTTCATCTATCGCTCACACCGCCGCGCTGAAAGGCGCAGCCAAAGCCCAGTTCGAAAGCAAACTGGCATCCCATTGTCCTGTTCTTAGCTAACATCACTAAATCTGTACGGCATGTGAAACAGATTTCTGTCAATGCACATAGCACATCCTTTAGTAAGGTACATACTCTAGCATAAGTGGAAAAATGGACACCGATTCTGTAACACATGTACATCGTCGCACCAAAAGTCATTAAACTGGCCAACCTAGTACCGCCTACGTCACTCACCAAAATCCTCGCTAGGTCTTCTAGAAGCATCCCTTCAACCCGTCCTCTCCAAAAACACGCTCATCAAGCTTTCCTAAGCCACCATCACACCCCTCCGTTAACCATGGCCGGTCATGCGCACGTGGAAGCACAAGAATTCAAGGTTCCTACCCCAATCCAAGAGCTCCGCAACCCATATAACTGCTGCGAACTCAAGAAGCGCACAAAAGGCCGATAACGATATATTGCTCCCGCATACGGAAGACGGTAACACTACATCATCTATTTTTGACGCTGCGATTTGATAGGATGGATGTTTCGAAACGCGTTTAAGCGAGTGCGCCAGGGCTTGCTGCTGCGCATGATGATGCAGGACGAATGACAGGGGGGAAAGGTGGGAGGAGCCGTTTAGATGCTACATTGCTGGAAAGGGTAGCGTTGCTGACGTGAAGACTCTGCAAGATGCACTACACATTACATAAGGTATTTTGAGAGATCATAGTATGTCGGGAGTTGGATCCTTGCTGGAAAGTGCTGCTTTTTGGATGCCATGGGGGTGAGGATTGCAGGACGAGTCTACGGGCGCTTCGAGGAGGGAACATGCTCATAAGAGTGCAGCACACTGGAGGATGGAACCGAGCCCACGCGGGAAGCAGCAGATGGAGTCATCATTGAGCATCCTAATTATCCGAATCTGCAGGAACAGTGCGAGAGTCGGCCTCGGTCATCCATGGTGGAGGTACTGATATAAGCGCTGAGGCTGCGCTCGGTCGGTAGTTGTTCAGTATCACACTCCCGCACGAAGTCCGAATAGAGTTCGCCATCAACAGCTGTCTATGGCCGGACCATGTCCCTGAGGGGCCGGGAATTTCTGGTTATCAACAACGACAACGTGGGCTGTAGGGCTGGCGGTTATACTATATGGGAATGCCTCATTGCATGCTGGGGGGTCTGCAGTTGAGTCCCGAGGCGCCTAATGCGGGCAATTATATGGAGGGAGTGTTCCTTTCTGGCGATTAAACGTGTTGGTGTTTGGCCCCAAGCTAGAGATCACTGAGATGCAGTGTGCAGATACGCTGTGAAGGAGAAGCGACTTCGCAGCGAAAGGGGTTTGGAAAGGGGCCGCGGAACAGGTCGTCCACCAGCAATAGGGTTCAAGGTTTGCTGGACCTTGAGCCAACAAGATGTCTTCATCACATTGTGATTCATGCGCAGAATTGATGACTCGATTTCCTTTTCCCCTTGATGCCCCGCATCGGGCTCATCAGAGTGAGCCCTGGAGTGCGAGGAAGCTTTGGGTTGGATTTCGACCGATCCACGGGACCGAAAAGCTTGGCTATTCACTAGGCCAAAAGCGGTCGGTCAGCGCTTACGTCCATCAACCTTACCCACTCAAGCAGTCCTCAACACCACGCAGCTGGCAGGTGGCTTTTACCCCCAGCCTCCCCTCTCCTCCTCCCCATGCACCATCTGCATGGCCCCTTCGGCTCTGTATCACCGTCATACGAATTCTCATTTGCTGGCTCATCACATTCGTGCGAAGACGACTCCGCCTCCACGACCCCGCCGTGCACACGGACGAGCCGTCTCTTTGAACTGATTTGACTGTCCTCCAAGGCATCGCCTCGGCGTCGTCCCGTGTCTTCCAACGATGGAAGGTACGGAGTAATATTTGCTGCGCTCAATATCCAACTTCCTCCAAAAGACTTTGTCGATTCCCAGGTGCTCAACACATATCTGACCTCAGCGACCGACTCTTATCCTGATGAGACCTGAAGGGTTTCCCATCATCCCGTGCCACTGACTCCAGAGATGACTTGCGATCGCCCTGTGAGATTGTCAAGACGGCAAGCTCGGGTAGCGGGACGTCAAATCCATCCGCTGCAATCGCCCAGTGCGCCTCCCGCTTGGAGTGATGGTGCAAGCCAGGATTTGCCAATCCCCTGGCATCCGCGCAATTGCCATTGGTGAAATCCCGTAATCGCGGTCCCTGACCTCGATTTTCTGGCAAGTCACACAACCACGCCGATGACGCCCTTCTGGTGTGGGCTATAGCACCTTGTCAAAGTGGTAGGATCCGTCGTGATTGCAAGGATTCTCGCCTCCTTTTGTTCAGTCCCTCGATGAAGCCCCTGCTCGAACCGCTATCACATCTTGGCCCAATACTTTTATCGTTGGTTGTGCCACCGAGCCTGGTCCCTTCTCCACAACATAAGGCAGTGCTACGGCCCTTGCTGCCGCGTGCTATCCGATCCCTTGTCAGACTTCTGCCCCTCCCGATATCTACTCCTCCCCTTCTTACCATCCCGCTGCTTTCCATTGCGGAACTTGAAGACTGGATTTGATTGCCAGTACGCCTGGAGCACACGGACCAGCGGTTGGCGACTGGCTGCTGTAGACATCGTCACCCAAGGAAGTTCTCACTGCATTTCGCACACCGCATTGTCACCACAACGGATACGATCGCATCCATGGTCCATTTACAAGAGCTAGACTGCCGACCCCAGTAGTCAGCGTCTCTTCGCCTGTACCTCGTCAACCTCGAGTTGATTTTGAAGTCCTGAGCTGCTTCTGCGGGCAGAGGTATTCCAACGCACGCATCGATCGGCTACGCTTGAGAGACAAGAATACAAGATGCCAGCTGTCACAGAGGCATTGGCGCGGCGAGCGGCAGAGGCGTGGCACCTTGATGCTGCTGAGCGCGAAGTTACGACTTTATTGACGACTCTTGTCAAGCGGATAAACATACCTTTCAATTCATCAAGTCCTGCAGGCCTGATAGAAGCCAACACGCGGGATCCATGGAGAAAAAGTGGAAAATACGCGCTGGCCTATGTCTACTTTTGCATACCTTTTCTGGTCGTTGCTGGTCTGCTGCGCTACTATCACCTATTTACGGACAAGATTCGAACGGCACTACACCAAGAAGAGGTACTGAAATCCGCAACGACTTCCTCTCCAGACACAGACTACGAGATGTCGGTCCTTTATACTGACAAGTCCACAACCAAGTTCTTTCCTCGTGAGGGTCCTCTACCGAGCGCACCAAAGGCGCAGTCTTCCGTTTCGTCCGTTGGACCAATCAACAATTGCATCGCACTCTTCCGATTTCTGTTTTATCGACCGATCCGGCAAATCGAGTATCGCAAAGGATGGAGGCCGCTGATATTTCCATCTTTGGGAGTTTGTCTCATTGTTCTAGCCGCCTTTCTCCTGGGCTTGCTTTACACCTTGGTTCCACAGCCATTGTTCTGGGAAAGCATCGCGTATGGATCGCCACCCATTGCTGTTCGATCTGGAATGCTGGCAGTTGCCTTGATGCCGTGGATTGTTGGGCTAAGCATGAAGGCGAACCTCATCACGATGATTACTGGAATTGGACATGAGCGGCTCAACGTCCTTCACCGTTGGGGCGCTTATCTGTGCCTTGCGCTGAGCATCATACACACGATTCCTTTCTACGTCACCCCAGTATGGGAAAAGGGGGCTCGGCATGTTTATGAGTCCTTCTTTACACGAGAGGGATTCTACGCGTATGGTACCGGTGAGTTCGATAAGTATTCAAGCCACTGAGTTTTGCTGATTGAATTCAGGTATTGCCGCTCTTGTGCCTCTTGGCTTCCTATGCGTACACTCTCTGGCGCCTCTCCGTCATCGCATGTACGAACTCTTCGTCAGTCTCCATGTTCCGGTCGCCATTGTCTTTCTAGCCATGATGTTCTGGCACTGCCACAACTACCTCACTTCCTGGCACTATCTGTTTGCAACGCTCGGCATCTGGCTTTCCTCGTACCTTATGCGGCTCTTCTACCTGAACTGGACGAACCCATTCCGCATGTCCTGGCTAATTGGCGACGAGGCAGCGGTCACCATCATGCCTGAGAATGCCATCAAGGTCACAATTCCTACCCAGATGAAGTGGAGGCCAGGGCAGTACGTGTATCTGCGCATGCCGGGAATCTCCGTCTTTGAGAATCATCCTTTCACCATTGCATCACTCTGTAGCGATGACTTCCCTTCTGAGTATGGCGAAGGTTACAGGGACATGGTCCTGGTGTTCCGCCCCTTCGGAGGTTTCACCAACAAAGTTTACCGCAGTGCGATCGAGCACGGGCCCTGGCATACATATCGCGCATTTATCGACGGTCCTTATGGAGGAATGCAACGTCGCATAGAAGCCTTCGATGACGTTGTCCTGATTGCGGGCGGTAGTGGTATCACGGCTATTGTCTCCCAGCTCCTATCGCTCATCAAGAACATGCGAGATGGAAAAGCGGTGACTCGCAATGTCCACGTTATCTGGGCACTGAAGCGTCCCGAGACGATGGAGTGGTTCAAGGAAGAGCTGCGGATATGCCGTGAATATGCGCCTCCCGACAGTGTTACTTGTCAATTCTACATCACAGGCGCGAAGCGCATGGCGACTGGCCAGCTCGTCAGCGCAAAAACGCCCACTCGACCGGTGTCTCTCTACTTCCACGATAAGGTCAATGATGCCTTCCAAAATATTGCAGATCACCGTCATTCCGGCATTGGATCCAAGCGACATTCGGCTTTGATCCGGGACGAAGCACAGGGTGATCCGGAGCGTGAGAAGGAATTGCGCCGTGAGAACGAGGACAGCATAACAGCGCTACCTCAGGCGCATCTCATCAACGTCGGCCGCGGTGGACGTCTCGCTCCTCCAAATTTGAATCCGAATCATTCCAATCACTCCATACATCCGAATCCAGACTTGATTGCACCGGCACCCCGCTCCATTGTTACCCGCCGCACAGAACGCAACCTCTCCCTCGACATCTCCCAAGCCATCGAAGCGGGCACCGGCGCCATCAACCCCGACATCATCCAACACGATCACCCAAACAACAACAACAACAACATCCACGGCTTCGACTTCGGCTTCCCCTCCACACCCACCGAATTCCAGAAGAACCTCATGCGTTTCGCGTTTCTTCCTGCAACCGTGAAGAAGAAGGACGGCTGGAGCACCGAGTACGGACGCCCGGACCTGCCCTTTACACTGAGGCAGCTGAGTAAAGGGTTTGGCAGGAGGACGTGTGTGTTTGTGTGCGGCCCGCCAAGCATGCGTGTTGCGGTGTCCGAGACGGTGGCGGAGTTGCAGAGGGATGTGTGGAGTGATAGCAAGAAGGATGAGATTTTCTTGCACACGGAGAACTATGCTTTGTGAGAAAGCGTGGTTGGAGGAAGATTTCTGTTTGAGATTGCGCTTTTAGTTGGCTCGACTCGGCGCAGGAAGGTGTGATCGAAAGTTGGTTAGTTGGTTGGGGTGGATTGTTACGTGCATAGCGTGGTTAGATGTCTGTCTCATCTCTCAGCTGTTTATACCCCTTACCGTCGTCTACCCGTCGCTTTCTTATAATTCTTACTTCTGTACTTGTACTTTCCTTCTTGTATATCCCTTTTCTCTCCTCTTTTTTTACGCCCGCCGAATATCAGCGATGGATACAGAATATACGTATGAAGGGGCAACAGGCGGGGAATAGGCGATGTGATAGGAATAATCTAGCCAAGTCTCCTTGTCTAGACGAGAGAGGAAGAGTAGATGAAATTCATCGCTTCAAGATTCAGAGTTTCGCACTCGCGTGCCCGCGAGGGGGTTTTACCCAGTGCATAAACGTATGTTTCATGACAATTTAATAAGGAATGAAAAGGCAAGAGACGACAGTCTAATTGGGCCTTCCAGTTCCTATCCTCAACCAGTGAAAGGAGATATACAGAGCTTGAAACAATGACTCTTCCAACTAGATTATACCAAATCTGCTGCTCGTGTTCATTCCTCGAACGGTCGGCAGAGGGCGAAACACCAGCCCGGTCGTCGATTACACTCATAAAAGCTACAGTGTTGTTCGATCAGTGTGTATAAGCATGAACCATAGCTCGGAAGCTCCTGCATATTCACGTTTTAAGTTGATAGATTGAGAATGCGCCATCGAGGCACTGCGTTGTTAGGTCCGAATCGACATTACAATACGACGGTATTGTCTCAGGACCGAGCACCACATAATTCCCCGCCCCCAAAGCCTTCCAACCTTGTGCTACACTCTTGATCACGTTGATAGGAGTACTGGGCGGAACTTAATAAATGACTAATGTTATTCAACGATGCGATTTAAAAGGAGGTTACTAGCGCGCATTGTGTGCTTTTCATATGCGGCTAGCCGGCTCGTGGTAGTGTTTGAGAAACCGAGGGGGGACCAAGGACGTAGTACAGGAGGGGTGTGTGCAGTAAGAGGGGGATTGCGGGGTAGACGAGAATGTGCAAGTAAAGATGTTGAAGGGATAGGATAAGATTTGGTGGATTTGGTGTAGTAGGAGGAGCCTAGATAGACTTTGTGTGTCCGAGCGAGTGGAAGGAAGCAGGTAGGAGATGTAGTTTTGGCGATCTCGGGAGCGAAAATCATGGCAAGAAATAGTAGCGTATCTTAGAGAAGGCAAGAATATTATTGGAAAGAAAAATATAGAAGTACCGCTTGCTAGAAACCAGAGGGTATCCTCGAGAGACGCAAAAAGAAATGTTAAGAGTCCCATATGTCACATCCCAGAAACAGTTCCCAGAAAATAGTTCCCAGAAAATAGTTCCCAGAGAATAGTTCCCAGAAAATAGTTCCCAGAAAATAGTTCCCAGAGAATAGTTCCCAGAAATGGTTCCTAGAAATAGTTCCCAGAAATAGTTCCCAGAAATAGTTCCAGAAATAGTTCCTAGAAATGGTTCCCAGAAATAGTTCCAGAAATAGTTCCTAGAAATGGTTCCCAGAAATGGTTCTCGTAGTCCACCTGCGCCCCTAAATATCAAATGGAATAGACGAAATCCGCCGCGAGGCTTTCCCATCTCTTTTGTGGTATATGGCTTGTAATAAATGATAAGAGTCCGCAAGGACGAATTGTGTCTGGCAGAAGATAAAGGAGGTCGTAAGTCGTCAAGAGGGGGGTCGGGAAGATCTTTTATGGCATCCCACGCCAACCAGCTCGATCCAGCAAGCCTACTCTTCAAGAGCAGAGCTACACCCTGCGCTCCAGTCGCTCAACGCGCGCCTTGAAGCCCTTCACAATCTCTCCAATACGCCGCACCTTGTCGAATTCGACCTGCAGCTCGTCGATCTCGCGGAGGATGGCGCGGAAGCGGGCGATTTCAGCGTCGGCCATTTGGATGGCATTGCCCGCGCGGTCGTACTGGACTTGGGTCGCGAGTTGTGTTTGTTGGGAGAGCTGTGGAGGGGAGAGCGGGTTAGCTATGCATTGATTCTGGTTGGATTGGTAGGGTTCATGAATGACGACGGGACTGAGAGGATAGATAGACGCAAGAAACGAGATGACTAACAGCCTGCCACCTCTGCTGAATCGAATACATCAGGCGATCGAAATGCGCGGCCAGCGCATTCAAGCTTGTAGGGTCCAGGAGCAAGCGGCCCTGCGACGAAGCATGCGACGCGGCGCGTGAGGACGAACTGCTGCCGTGCTGGTGATGCGAGAGGGCGATTTGCTGGTGCTGGCGTAGAAGCGCAACTTCACTCTGCGAGAGGCCTAGCTGCGAGTCCGGGATCGATGGGATCGAGGAGGGCATCTATCTTATAGATGGGTAAGGGCTCAAAAACGCATTGTCGGACACAGCAGCGATGAGGACGCGCATGGCAGCACTGCTGGCATCCAGGTAAAAGCAAGGGGAGCAGAAAAAGGAACGGTAGCACGGTTTGGGCAAGCAGCTTCGCCCAAACGGAGGGCAATGATGCGGCCGGACCCTGATTGGGGCGCTGGCGAGCGTTGCGGGAGCCGTGGTGTTGTACAGGGTGGTGGATGGGCTTGCGGTAGGTGAGAAATGCGGAGCGGAGAGTGACATTGCGGCGTCGAAGCCAAGACCGCAAAAGGAACTTGGTGCGGAGGAGCAAGCAACAAAATTGTTCCACCACGACGGTAAGCAATCATGTTTCAGACGCAGCTCTGTTGCGTGAGCGCGCAGAGTGCAGATTCGTCATGCTTGCTTAAGCTGCGCTGCTGGTGCGCATCTTCTTCAGTCTGGAATTAGTGACCAGACCCTGCATCTTCGAAAGTTAAGTCGCCGTTGCGACGAATTCCGCCAACTGACTCTGGACCTCTCATCTGCCTAACATATGCATAGAGCGCGTTGTATGCCTGTACACATGCCTTGTACCGCTCCGCTTCGGGCGCGGACTTCAGGGCTCCGTCCACACACCCTCTCGCGCTGGCCAGGCACAGGGGCGCATAGATTGCGGCAACTTGAACAGACGCGGACGCACGAGCTCGCAGAGAGGGGTTCGCGCCGGATCTAGAAGGTGTGAATTTGCTGTGGCTGTTTGTTGATCAAGTCCTAAGGGACTTAGTTGTGAGGGGTGCCTCTAGGTATGGACATGAATCCTCTGTCGTCTGAAACAGTCTGGATGTGAGATTCTTGAAACAATCACTGGAAATAGTATTCCTGGTCGACCATGTGAATCGACGGACAGTATTACTGCGAGATCCAGATTGATCGCCAGATTGCTAGCCCGGTCTCTGGTACCTGGGCGAATCAACCGGGGAATTTAACGACGTTTAATTCACTATGATTCTAGCGGCATCAACAAAACCTAATCATTCGGAGCCCTATTCCTCATCCTTATTTCCAGGACGTATATCAATGTCAGCTCTTCCCACACGCTTTAGATCCACGCCGCCATGAGGGTATCTCTTATTTCCAGCATTGTCATGGCCTTTGCTTCTCTTTCGACTTCGACCATTCTGCAGAATGGACAGGTCCGTGAGACGCATTTTCTTGATACGAAAATCAACAGGATAGGAACGAATGCCACGGGTTGGAGAACGTATGGACCGAATGCTACGGAGCTCTCTTACAAAGGACGTTGGGATAGCAAGCACATCTCGTGGTGGGCGTATGTACTTTTTGTTTCACTGCCTCCTGACATTCCGTCGTTTTAAGCACCAACTGAAGTCGAGGCCAAACCCATCCCTCACTGACCGTTACAGAGCTCCTGGCCTCAAATTCGGCTTCACTGGCCAGGATGTCGCCATAACCTTTGGCGAACACACCTCTCCAGGTGTTCTCATAGCCTTCCGAGTTGGAGGTCGTGATTGGCAATTCACCAACGTAACCGCCTCGTCAACTCACCACCTTGTCTCGCCAAACACACCGGGCCTCAATGCCACCCTTCCAAATCAACTACCCCTGACCTTCGAGCTCCGCGTCACAAACTGGGCTTATGGAGTCCAAATCTCTGCCGTGCACCTCTCCTCCACCAGTAAACTGATCAAAATCCCCAACTATTCACGGACCATCGAATTCATCGGCGACTCGCTCACCTCCGGCATGTACGCCACCTACGAAGCATTTAGCGGCTTTGGCTATAACATTGGCGCCGGCTTCGGCAATGTCGAGTTCAGCATCACTGCATACCCTGGCATCTGTCTGCACGACGCCAATTGCTGGGGCAATCCGCGAGGCCAAACGTACCAGTGGTTCCGCACGAGCGATACCTCATGGCGGGCTTCGCAGCTCTACGGCGACAAGCCGGAGAGGTGGGACTTCGCTGCTCATCCAGCAGCTGATATCGTGGTGATCAATCTGGGGACTAACGATAACAACACGGCAAACAATGTCTCCAGCGAACAGTATCTCTCCTCGTACATGGAATTCGTTCCCAAGATCCACGAGGTATGGCCTAAGGCGCAGATTATCCTCATGTCCCTCTGGAACGGATTCTACCAACAAGGGAATACGTACAAGCAGGCTGGAGCGTGGCAGGATGAGATCTATGCGGTGTATAAGAAGTACGAGAGTGAGGGATATGTGCATTATTTCAATAGTACGGGGATCCTGCAGCACAATGATATTGCGCCACAGTGGCATCCAACGGATGTGGGTCATATTAAGGTATGTGGGCGTTGCTGGCATGGAGAAGTGTAAGTGGAGAGGTTGAGGCTGACAATATCGACAGATTGCGAGCCATGTTATGCAGTATATTCGCTTGAAGTTTGGATGGGAGTTCGGTGCCGCCGGACCGGAGGTGCAGCACGAGACGTTGTACTGGAATGACGAGTCTGGGTACTGAGAAAGGGTACAGAAGAGCCTGTAAGAGTGGTGCTGCGTTATGGAATAGTATAGATGGACTTTATGCAGTCCCGAAAGTGAAAAGACGGTTAGACGTAATAGAGTGATGAGATGTTCTAATGCACCCCGGACATTCACCACGTTTTGCGACGGGCCGAGCCTTGGCGCGCTAAATATGGTTCCCCAATCCGTTGGGACGGGCTTGCCCAGCCGCCCGCAGCGTTCATTGCGTCGACGACCTTCGACAACCCACACTCCACATCCCTCCCACACGCGACCGCTCAAACCCTCCCAGCGAAGACCCGTTACCGTCGCTGCTGCCTTTCTCATTTCTCCCACGCTCCGAGTCCATATCGCCGCATCCATGTGCCTCATAAGCTCTGCGTCATCCCCATTTCCCCGCTGAGCTGCCCAAGACCGTCTCTCAACCCTACGACCTCCCCTTCCCTTTTCCCAGGCGTGTGTGCGCCACCCCGTCAAAATGCCTTCCATTCTCTCGGACGAGGATAAGCAGACTGTGAAACGCACAGTGCCAAAGGCCTCGAACAAGATCCACGCCGTCGCTGTCGCCAAGCTATACATTGCCTACCCCGACAGGCACCGATGGACCTATACGGGGCTCCAAGGCGCCGCGGTGCTAGCCAACGACCTGGTTGGGAACACTTTTTGGATCAAGCTCGTTGATATCTCAGTAAGTGCAAATCAGGGGTTATGGCAGCGTTCAGGGCTAATGAGGCACAGCCCACGAACCGAGGGGTTATATGGGACCAAGAGATATATGACACTTTTTCGTACAACCAGGACCGTACCTTTTTCCATACGTTCGAATTGGAGGATTGTCTTGCCGGCCTTTCCTTTAGCGACGAGAAGGAGGCGAAGACATTCATGAAGAAGATGAACGATCGTGAAAAGAATGCGCACAAGGCGACAAGGAACAAACCTTTCAGCGCTCCTGCGGGCAGCACCTTAGGTCCGGTAGCCAATGGCACTAGCCATGGACACCACCACCATCATGGCCATGGCCTCCTTGGAGGGCTCTTCGGTCACAAGCATTCGACCCCTGCGCAGCAGCCCCAGTCGATCATTCCTCCAGCCGTTACCTCACCGTCGCAGGCCAGCCACTCCAATGCTTCAAGCTCCAGAAACTCTGCCATCGATACCACGGACCCGTCATGGCAGCCTTTATTGAAGGAACTCTTGGCCATGGGCATCACAGAAGATCAGATTGAGGAAAATGCTGAATTTATCAAGCTATATATTGAACAACGGAAGATTGAAGACAAGATTGCAGAAGAGCGCAAGATGAGGGCACCTCCACCGCCTCCCCCAAGCGCGCCGCCAGCAAAGGCTGCCACGATTAGTCCCCAGAATACGGGCTCAAGAAGAGGACCGCCCCCGGCCCCTCCGCCAGCTCGAAGGACAGGAGCACGCAACGATCCCGTCACCAATCGAACATCATCTTCCAGTCCTCAGCCGCCCTCGCCGAGGCAAGCTTCTCCTCCACCTCCGCCCGGTCCTCCTGCGCCCAAATTCCGTGCACCACCTCCCATCGCAGACGCAGGAAAGTTTGCCCATGAGCCACCCGCGCCTCCAGGCAGACCCCGAGCTGCATCGAATAGCTTAGCCAATGCGGGACCTCCACCTCCGCCTCGTCCGCCAAAGTCCCCCGTGGACGACGACGATAGACCCACTACGAAGTTTGGTGTGCCTCCCCCCTTCACTGGCAGTAGAGTGCCATCCGGCCCACCGCCGCCACCAGCTCGTGGCCCGGTGCCTCCTCCTCCACCTGCAAGAGAAACTCCCGCAATCCATGTGGCGGCTCCTCCATTGCCCCCAAAGACTGCAGGTGGACCTCCTGCACCGCCGCCCCTGCCACCATCAAGCTCCAGACCTGTACCCGCTGCACCATCAGCCGCAGCACCTCCGCCTCCTCCGCCTCCCCCATCTTCGCATGCACCTCCGCCTCCACCGCTGCCCTCTGCACACGCGCCGCCTCCTCCTCCTCGTGCACCAGCAAGCCCTGTTCCACCCCCACCTCCCATGCCATCGAAAGCCGTGCCGCCTCCACCGCCTATGCCGACGAGCGCCGTGCCTCCTCCACCCCCCATGCCTCCTGGTTCTGGCCCACCACCACCCCCGCCTCTGCCTCCTACATCGTCTGGGCCTCCTCCGCCGCCTCCAATGCCACCGGGAGCTGGACCGCCACCTCCGCCAGGCGCCGCGCCCCTCCCCAAAGCTACTGGAGGAAGAGAAAACCTACTTGCCGATATCCGTGGCGGTGCAAAGCTGAAGAAGGTTTCCGACGCCGAAAAGCGAGATCGAAGCGCAGCCATGGTGCCGGGAGCAGAGCCAGCGGGCGGAGCTCCGGCAGCGAGCAGTGCAGCGCCCGGTCCCGATGCTGGGTTAGCTGGAGCCCTGGCGAGTGCGCTCGCGGCGCGAAAGGCCAAAGTCAGTCACAGTGGTAAGTTGTACTTCAAGGGCACGACATGTTCACTGCTCACACTGCCTTAGATGATGAAGACGACAATGACGATTGGTGATTTACTGACCCTGCGCACCGTATTTTTCCCAAAGCGGAGGATATCTGGTCAATCAAAGTGCTGGGGACATCGATTTGAGTGCAGGACTGAGATTGGTAGGGGTGACCTAGCGCCTTGGAGAACAGCAGATTTAGTGACAAAGTAGTATTGATCGCAAAATACATTTTTAGATCAAAAGTGGCCTGTTTACTGGCCTCTTTTACGCGTGTAGGATTCATCCACCAGTCTCTCTTTGCGCAAGTCTTCCAAAGAGAGATTGGAACAGAGTGTACCCCTAAAACAGAGGAGCCGGTTGCACTTTCTCATTCATCCTTGATTTGCTAGCAATAACCATAATCGGCACTACAAGCACTACTCTGTCCAACACCACCATTTGTAGAGCATATCATATAACCAAGTTTGGTTGTTGGGCCTAATAAACCCCAGGAAACAAGAATAAAAACTAATAGGTCCAGAACGTGTATCAGATTTCTGATCTATAAATCCCCCAGTATTGTCGACCCCTCCCCTCCCGGGCTGGGACTGACTTAGGGAACCTCCCCCTCCATCTCCATCGGCGCGTCCTATTTCCACACCGATTCCCGATCACTAGGAATACCCCGTCGACATATCTCCCGCTCCAATACCCTTCTCATGCGCTGACCTCGGTAGAACCCCCGAGTCAAACATCAACGCCTTCACCCTCCGAGCTCGACGCGTTTCCTAGGGTCCTCTGGGACATACCCTCTTATATATATCGCACCGCCGCCTTCCGCCACGCTTTATTATAACGCACCGACGTCGTTCCCCCCGAAATCCATACTCGACGGCTCCGCATTCCCACTCGTACCGCCCTGGACATTTCTTCCCTAACAAGGCGGGGCAGCCGCAGCACCAGCAGCAGCATTACCCTCATCATCCTCAGCAATGTCCTCCTCGTCGACATCCGCACCATCGGCATCCTTCGCAGCGGCAGCGCGACGCCGCACACCTCCGCCGACGCTAACGGAGGCGCAGCGCGAAGCGCAAGCGAGAGGCAAGGCGTGGGAGAGCGTGCAGGAAGTGAGAGAGGCGGAGAGTTTCCTGGAGAGGAAGAGGCGGGAGGAGGCGGTCGAGGTGTTGGAGAGCGTCGAGGCGTTGATGTGGTTTGCTGCGAGTTGGAATCAGGTATGTCCTGTCGAGTTTTCGACTTTTGAGTCTGAGTTGGGAGGAGGGTGGGAGTGAGGGGGAGAGGGGAGAGGGGAGAGTATCTAGTTCAGGCAACGGTGCGGTAGACTGATGATGTTGCGGCCCACAGTCTCTCGCTGCGACGCGTCAGCACTTTCAAAATGTCGCGCTCGGCCTGGCGCCCCAGGCGCCCGTGGCATGGAGAGAGGAGGGCGAGATGCCGCATGAGCAACGCGTTCATCATACGACGTCTGGAGCTGCGAGTCCTGCGGGTGGAAGAGCGAGAGGGAACGCACGGGGAAAGAAGCGGGAATGAGAGGAGAGAGATAAGAAATGGCGGCGGCGGTATCAAGAGTGGTGAGGGAAGTTCTAGGGGAAGGGAATGAGGCGCGGTCGTTCATGTAAGAGGTGGATCAATGGATCAAGATGGGGCGGCACTTGGACACCGTTGAGCATACACGGCTTGAAAAGGAGACGAGGGAAAGATATTCCGTGAAGTCGCTTGCTATGGGTAGAGACTGGAAGGGTTCCTCTTCCTCTCTGACAGTGTGTTTCAGTGCAAGGGGAGCTCTATAGCCGCCTCGCGGGAAAGGCCGCTACCACCACCATTAGCATCCTCCTCCTCGCCAGGACTCATTGCCCCGTCGAACGAACATCGCTACTGCACGAGACAGCAAAGTGCCCGGTACCAGTACTACGTATGGATCCGTTCTCCCTTGCACGCTGGAACTCATCCCAGTCCCTAAAAGGGAGCAGGCAGGTGGGAAGAATGGAATATGCTGATTAGGCAGTAATCGAATGATCCGTCCCACGTGGATACTACCAAGGACGACGAAGAGAAAACGAAGAGGCAGAACAGAAGCTGCATGACACAATCTAAAGCTGTAGAGGGAAAAGAACGGATCGACCCAGACTTGGAGTGAACCTGGGATAGTGCTGGACATCGGGGGGTGGATATGGGGCTGGAAAGCAAGGCCTGGAGGTAGGAAATGCGAGATTTACCCTGAGAAAGGATCTAGGATTTCATTTCCTAACACTGCTTTCTATAAGGTGCATGATACCATGCGATGTGGCTATTGTCAAAATCATCTTTTGCGCATGTACCTCTCTCACAGTGACAAAGATGCATAACCCTCTTCATCGTCTCCACACGCCAATGATGTGTATGTTCATTTCTTCCATTGCAAATACATGTTGCGCTGCGCGACCCCCAACGGAACGCCACTTAGAATATCAACCAACGGCTCTGCTGCCGTGCTTTCTTCCCTTCCCAAATGTCCAAAAACCCAAATTTCTCGTTTTGCTATAGATACAAAGGCCGTTTTCTCTCGGCCATCCAACACCTGACCCATCATCACAGCAGCAATCATTGACTCTTTTCCCACTTCACAGACCCTACATCCCCTCCTCCATCCCCACATTCTTCCACCAGGGCTTCTCCCCTTCCTTCTCCGCAAGCATCTCCGCCGCATCACCAACTTGCCTCCTCTCACTGACCTCCCTCGTCGAGGCGCCCGACAGTTTCAGGCGCATGACCTTGGACGCCAGGTACGAGGAAGGCGTAGAAGACGTCCCTCGGCAGCGAATCAGCTCCCCGGAGGCCCATTCGTCCCGAGAGACTGGTAATTGCTATTGGAGGGGTTCCGAGGACGAGCTGAGGCGGTTGAGATGCAGATAGACATCTGTGCCGTAGCTTCAGGGTGTTTGTCAGTAAATGTTCACTACATCAGGGTTTGAAAACGGTAGGTGCTCACCCCTCCATGCTAATCAGTTTCAAATCACCTCCGAAATACCGCGCGTAGAGTCTCGAAATCGGTAGTCCGTAGCCGAACCCGGCCATCGGAGCCTTGAAATCGCTCTTATTGAAGTCCGGATCCAAGCTCGGGGTCTGATCAACCGTCGTGTACATGTAGGTCCAGACGAGGGGGATGGCAGAGCGGGGAATGCCGCCTCCCTCGTCGGAAATCTTGATCGTGATATCCTCCTTCCCCTCGGCGACGATTACCTTGGTGACGGGGAATTCGTCTTTATCCTGGCCGTGGCGTTCCACGACGGCGCGCAGCGAGTTCTTCAGGGTTTCGAAGAGCATGTGGGAGAGATGGCCGGGAACGTACATGAAGCTGATGTCGGGGTTGCATACGAGTTGGACCTTGGGGGCGTCGAAGAGGCCGTAGTGGTCTTCGCAGACGAAGCGTGCGTTCTCAATGGCTTCTTGTGCGAGCTCCCGAACGTTGGTCTTTGTGCAGATGATGCCGACGTAGTTTGGGTCCGACCTTTGCCTTTGGTCGGTTAGCGCTATGTGCTGTCCGATGAGCATCCGTATGCCGATACGCGACATGTAGAAGCGGTCGAGGAAGGCCTGAATGTTGTTGTCAATCTGCATCCGTTGCTTCTTCCTCTTCCATTCCAGAATACCCTGAGCCACGGTTGTGACAACGCTGTCGTGCCGCCTCTTGATCCTCTCCAGCGTCTCCGCGAACTTTGTGTTGTAGGCGCTCAATTCCGGCGGCCATTCTCCCCCATCGTCTGCCGCCACGTAGTATCTCCGGTTGGACGTCGCGCCTTTCAACCGTCTCGCGATGTTGCTCCCATTCCCATTCCCATCTCCGTTCTCATGCCCGTCACCATCCTCCTCTGTACTGAATCCGGAAGCCGATCTATATTGTCCCTTTAAAATGCTAGGATTCTTCGTCGCTCTGCTCATAATTTGGCTCTCTTTTCCACTTTTCCTCGCAGGCTTTAGGAGGCGCTCTCTGACTTCGGGTGAGAGATTCGGTCGGGGAAGGGTGACGATATCCTGTCGGGTGTGTGAGTCACACGGCTGGCACTGTGGGCTCCAGCACCACCAACCTCGAATGATTGCGCATACCAATCCCGAACGCGGCATATCGAGGGCATCTCATTGAGACCATCTGGGAGCTCCTGGAGCTCCTGCACGCGATGTGCCAACCGTATGGGGAGCTCTTCGGAGAGGAATTGCGATGCGCGAAAGAGGGTTCCTGTCGACGGCCTCTCGCCAAACTGCACCATCTGCCGTAATGATACACCTTTGCGCTCATGCTTAGAAGGGAAGAAATGGGAATGGAGGTCGGAGTCACGCACCAGTTGCAGGGAATTTGCTGTAGTGCTACTGCGACATTAGCTATGCTGCGGCGGCAAACGAAGGCCATGACGTACCTTGATGGTCTCCATCAGCTTCTCTGACCGTTTCCACGACATTTTGCCAATTGTTCAAGGCCACGCGGCCTTGCTCAGAACAATAGCGCCAAGGTGGTGTCAAGAGCGCAAGAGCGCGAAGGGGAGCTCGCGGATGATAGTTCCACCCCGCGTATGACGCTAGTGCTTCGATGAATGTAGGCCGAGGTCCGCTACACCCAAGGTTCAGGTGGGAAGCGAAAGGGAATGAGAATCGAGCAGTTCGAAGGAAGAAAGGAGAGGACCACGACACATGAGAGGGCTGTGGCAGAAGGTGGGTGCAGGCGACAACAATGGGACGTGGAGATGGTAGATCGCTGGGATGGGGTTGTTCCCGTTACATGCTTCGATGGATCATCGCCGGCCAGCTGCCCCCCACTCTCCCGCGCCACATGTGCCAGGGAGCTTTCACGTGCCATCATGCGAGTGCATATATTCACCAGTCGAAAAGGCCCTCAACTGAGGAGCATCACTTATCATGGTACAGTACAGGGGCGAGTACAAGTGGGTGAGCTATTCGTTGTGCTCGTTGGAGAGTCTATCCCAAAGCACATGCATTTCGGATAACAGCGCTCACGTGAACCGCCGGAACGGTGGAAGCTCCCGCCACCGTTTGAGAACCCTCGGTATATTGCCCGGTCCGGCGCTTGCCGTCATCGGGCGCAAACGGAATATTTCCTACGCTTCAACGTATTGAGTGGTCGTGTCCGAGCGGCTAGTTGACTTCCACGATGGATGAGACGAAATAAAAATGGTCAGTCGGTTGGAGTGGAGGAAAATGGTATTTCAACGTGCGCTAAGTTCTAGACTGCTCCATCAAAACACTGACAAATCGTTACATGGTCTTGAACTAATAGACACAGATATGTATTACAAGGAAAAAGACGCCAAGAGACCGCCGTCGCCTATCGTACGTCTATCATGCTGTCTGGTGGTACAAAATCGGTAAGGAAGGTTTCGATCAGAGGTATTCAGGGTGCGGAAGATTCGTGTCAGGGGAGAACAGGATAAGACGGGCAAGTTGTCGTGAGGCGTCTATGCGGTCTCCTCCTTGAGGAACGTGATGAGGTCGTTGCGGTCCTTGGCCTTCTTGAGACCACCGAAGGCCATCTTGGTGCCGGGAATAAACTTCTTGGGGTTCTCAAGATAGTCGAACTGGCCATTTGTTAGCGTCACAGAACTTCTGATATGATCAACGGGTCAACGATCATGACGTACCAGGGTGTTCTCGTCCCAGGTGATGCCCTTCTGCTTGTTGGCATCCGTGTAGGAGTAGCCCTCAACTTGACCCGTCTTGCGGCCGAACAGGCCGTGGAGCATGGGGCCAATCTTGTTACCCTCACCCGCTTTCAAAGTGTGGCACTGAGCGCAGCGCGTCTACCGAGGGTTAGAAGTGCATCCAGCGCTGACGGTAATGCCATCTCGACTGCGTAACGGATCGCACATACCTTGAAGAGGTTGGCACCCTTCTTAGCATCACCTATGTGATTTGTTAGTCGATGGTCCATGTGCAAATGGTGGAAACCATGTCAGTTGCCAGCTGGCCCCGTTGTTAAATCGCGCAGCTCTCTCCGTCTTGTTGATGAATTCCATTGTCGACAACGGCATCTCCAACTGCTCATTGATCAATTGTTCCAATGGAACAATGACCGCGAAGCCTTGGATACGCGCGAACCGAACAAATGGTCCCATGGAGACGAGGAACGCGCAGCGATGACGGAGCGATGCCGATGGTTCTGGCGGCTTCAGAGTGCTACGTACCGGCTTCGAAACCCATTTTGAAGAATTAAGGTAGTTGTGGAAAAGGGGAGCTAAGAATTGATCTGTTGATGATACAGATTGAAGTCAGAGACGGCTGGCAGATGAATGGGAAGGAGAAAGCAATGGAACCTGTTGAGAACCGGGAAACGGAGAAAAAAAAAGGTCCTGGCACTGGGCGCCCGTCATTCCGAGGATATCACGTGCAGCCAGAGCCAAAAAGCGGTGCCCTTCCAGCCAATCAGCAGCCTTAGGTTACAAAGAGGCCACAAGGGCACCGGGAATAACCGGCATGCTTGGAACTACATCATCAAACATACAGTAAACATACTTTGCCTTGGAAGTCTCCTGGCAGAACGGAGTATTCTTCCTGTTCACGAATGCGTCCATCCTCCCCAATCGCCCAAATTCCTAGGCCTGCCGTGCGACTTATAGCGGGCTGTACGAACCTGGTTGCGCTTGAGATCACCTCAGGGGCGTCGAATTCGTCAAACAAGTGATGCCCGCGGCGAGAAATTCATAGCGACCGCTGGAGAGCAATGGGCCGCTCACGCATCGGCATCGTGGGGTGAGGCAGGCAACGATCACGGAAGATGCCAGATGTCTATATCTGATATACTATCTGAGGAGAGCATTGTTGTACGTTCTCTGACGAGGTACTGACTCCTCAGTTATGCCTCCACTAGAGTCGGGCCTTCCTCGCTGAGATTGCTTCAATCCGAATCTCTGAATCGACCTCGTGGTGCTAAATGCAGGTGTCTAAATTATCCTCCGGTAAGAGAATGAAGTTGTTTCCGTGCGTTCACTGATTCCTGTCAGAGAGCCACCATAATGTCTACTCTTTGCGAGTTGCTTATGATAGATACTAGGTACCTCCAAGACAGCGCTGATATAACTCTGCTCTTTGGAGGAATTTGCCTTCCCTCCCCATGCCAGCAACATCGGCCCTATCATCACCGCACATGAACTCCTGCAGAGTAACAGTCCTATCCGCACCGTATTCGTTATATCCAGCGACTCCGGCTCACATCCCCGATTCCGCGAAATGGAGAACGGGTCGCGGCATATGGGGCCTAGAAATCTGCTTTAAACATGGCTGTGTGGCACACGGCCGCAAAATTGAAGAGCAAAGACGACAATTCAATCATCCCTGTCATGCACTCAGGTAAAGTTGCGACGTAAGTATATCGCCCAGCACGCAGGAGACATATCTTCGCTTCTTACCCGACTGTTCTGCAAATGTCATGTTGTTATCGCACACGAGAAGTCTGTAAGCAGAGTGCTTGACATAATAATTCAAAGCGAAAGTCCCCAACAGAGCTAGATGTTCCGGCGTCGAAAGACCGGGTCAGTTTTCCTTCGCCGATGAAGCTTCTCTGGTAATCTCGTTGTGTTCAGTCATATCCGCGGTGAGAGACCGAAATCTCTTAGTCTGTTCCATGGTACCGCGAGTGGATGTCGCGCTGTTTCGGTATTACTTTGGCTTTCGGCTTTTCTTCTATCTAGTAGTTGTCCGAATTCCAGTCTCCGAGATCTTTACTATCATGAAGTGGGAATACCGCCTCCTCCCACGTCCGACTGAACAACCCCCAAAACTTACAATCCAAGTTAGAATACGTATCTCAAGAAATCCAATTGGCTATGTTCTAGTTACGCCACTAGGGCACGGTGGTTTGAGGTGGTTATACCTGGAGGCAGGCGTAGAAAGGGCCAACTCGAAGGTCAATAACCCCTTCGCGTAAGCGTACGGTCGTGTTCAGTCGGACGTGAAAAGAGGCAGTATAGACGTCGAAGCGACAGGAAGATCACACATATTTGCATCGCGACGATCACTGGCCGCGTTGCGTAATCTACGCTCTTCATGATCCTGTCAACCTACCCCGGTATTGTCATGTCTCGTAGAACTCAATGTCCAGGTTCGCCTCGACCCGCTTTAACGGAGCTGTCACTACCATCTTCAGATCCGTGATAAGCCTTGGGCTGTATTCTTTCTTCGTATTTTGCACCTTCTCTTCGCATTTCTCGTCCCAGGTTCGCCTCGCGACACAGCCACACAATCTCCCGTATTCACCCCGGCGGGCCATTGGCCACTTGCGTACATTCCGGTGACGTCCCCTTTCTTTTAAGCCTTACGTCTCAATAATCGAATCGCATTATACTCGAGATATACGACGTTGACTTACGCAAGCTAATGGCTGAGCTGTGTCTGAGAAGAGCTTGTGATGGTTTATATACAAGGCATAATCTCCGGATCAGAGGGCTGTAGTTGACAACCGTCATTGCATATTCCACAATCGCAAGATGAAGTACCTGGACGCTTTGGTTCCCTACGTCTTTTCAACGGCTCTTCTCACTAGTGCATCTCCACCCCGCTGTAAATGCGTAAGTCGCTTTGAATCACACACACTTCGCGATCGCTGACCAGTCCAAACAGACTCCCAACGATACCTGCTGGCCCTCATCTGCAGAATGGTCGGCCTTCAATGACACCCTCTCCGGCCGTCTATATCGTGGCGTCCCCCCCGCTTCGGTCTGCTACCCGTCCCAACCGAATTATAACGAAGACCGATGTGCATTCGTCCGCTCACAGTGGTTCAACTCAACGTGGCATGCAGAGGATCCGATAAGTATTGACTATCCCATCTGGACAAACAACTCTTGCAACCCCATCTATCCAAATGGCACCAGTCTCACAGGAGACGTCAATGCTGGCAAAAGAGGCTGTTCCATTGGGAACTATCCGGCTTACGTCGTCAATGCTACATCTGCAGAGCACGTAAGTAAGGCATTGAAGTGGGCGGGAAAGAAAAACATTAGGGTCGTGGTGAAGAGTACGGGCCATTCGTTTGCGGGCAGGTGAGATTAGCAGACTAGAATGCATGGAGGAGCACAACTAATCCAGTCATAGGAGCACGGGATACGGAAGCCTATCGTCAGTTTCCGACCATCATACTCTCGGATTTGATCGTAGCTGACTGGTGTTAGGATTTGGACCCATAATATCCGGGGTATCGAGTACATGGACTCTTTCAAACCCACGTCCTGCCCAATTCAGAAGCCCTTGAATGCCGTTCGAGTTGGAGCTGGACATACGGGCGTCGACGTGCAGGCCGCACTATCAAAGTTCAACAGAATCGCCGTCACCGGTGCCAACCCCGACGTGGGCGTCATCGGATGGCTTACAGGTGGCGGCCACGGTGCACTGTCAACAACGTACGGCATGGGTGCCGACAATCTTCTCGAAGCCACCATCGTAACGCCCGATGGTAAAGTCCTCGTCGCCAACCCTTGCCAGCACTCTGACATCTTCTTCGCCATCCGAGGCGGAGGCGGTGGAACCTATGGTGTCGTCCTTCAAGTCGTACTCGCCACATACCCCTCGCCCAGGACGACACAACATTCACTTACCGTGAGCTCGTTGAGTGTGAATACTTCAACCGAGTTCTGGGACTTGGTGGGCTTCATACACGCCGAGATGCCGCGTCTCAAAGCAGGTGGTATGCAAGGATACTATTACATGATGGGACCACCCGTGTTTCCCACTCTCTCGCTGTTCTGGGGCTTTCTGGTCTTTGACAAACCGAACGGAACGGTTGAACGACTGATCGCTCCCATCGAGGAGAGGCTTAGGCGAGACGCACATCTTTTCGCATACGAGTCCGAGATTTTGCACTCGCCCAACTTCTGGGATCTCTGGCGCCACAGCACGAACCAAGAAGTGGCATCGGGGGGCTCGGCAATTGGATCGAGGCTGCTAAGTGCAGAGAGTCTTTCGGATGCGAGTGCAACTGCCAAGGTGTTTGCACAGGTTGGACCCGATCCACTCGGCTCAAACGTACGCTATCTACATGCCCATCCACCTTGGAAAAAAACGTGTCACCATTTGGCTAACTGTATCAGGCCCCGATCGCAAATCCGATATTGGTCGGTCATATGATCGCGCATCCCAACGAACCCAGTTACTATCCCGACGTCATCTCGATGAACCCGGCGTGGCGGAAGACGCTGACGCATTTCATCGTGATAGACGTATGGCCGGATGGCGTTGCGCCAGAAGTCATTCGAACCGTGTACCAAGATTTGACGAACAACAAGACTGAACAGCTACGCAGGTTGTCACCGGACACTGGTGCATACTTGAACGAGGCTGATGCATTTGAGCCGGAATGGCAGAAGTCATTCTTCGGGAAACATTATGGAAGGTTGAGGAAGATCAAGCAGAAGTATGACCCAAACAATGTTCTCTGGTGTAGGCAGTGCGTCGGTAGTGAGGCGCTTATTGAGCGGGAGGACGGAGGGCTTTGCGAAAATCGGGCTTAGGAGAGCGATGGAGGTGGAACAAGGGAGAGGCGATTGTGGACAAATGAGGCAAAGAGGTTTTCGATAAGTGCACAGTTGTCGTTGGTACGACCCTCCATTGCGAAGCAAAGTCTAGGGCTGTACTCTATCTTTCTATATCGCAGCAGCTAATTGGACAACGTGAGCTACGGTATACCTAACCCTGGCTGGGATTACCCGGTTTCCAAATACCGTTTCGACTACATGCCGTTAAGCTCAGAAATCGTGACTCCCCAAGGCTGCGCACATGGCCGGTACCCCGGACTCCGCTAATCTAATATAGATGTGATACCTCTCCGTCTTTGCCTTTCGAGTTATGTCCTACTCTCCAATGTCCCGTCTTAATAGCATGAAACTTTGTGTCAGGCTCAGCGTCATCCCGTCATGAGCAACCGACCTTCACTTCAGTATAATACTCCACCGCAATGCTTCGACCGACTCCATACGCTGGAATGTTTTGCTCCGAAGAGCACTTGATTCACTTATCCACACCCTAGGGAGTGATGATTCTCAAACACCAAGCTTTACTTCCTCTGCCCCACACGACTCCTCTGGAGAAGCAGACCCGACGTGCTGATCCTGAACATGCTAGTTGCAGAGGCAGTCTCAATTTCCTGCCCTCTATGCGCTTATAGTCGAAATAGAGGAGGGAAAAGCGTCTGTCAACAATCGTTTCCTTTCTGTTCGTTAAAAGACCGTGTGATATAACTTCTCCCACCGACTGCAAGAGTTCCAACGCTCCCAACTAGCGGGGAATAGATAGGAAAGCAATGTGTGCGTTTACATTTCACATACTGAAGTGATGTCTATTTTTTATGAATCCTCTCTGATGAATAACCCCAACACGAAGACCTCCCGATGATGACGCTCGCTGATGCAATATCACGAGCTTCCATCCTTCTAAAAATTACAAGCCTTTCCGCCCAAGAAATACCCCGTCATCCACAAGAGCCCCCAAACCGGTTGCGAGATACTCCTCAACACCGACGGCCCCGGACAGGCCCCGGACAAGCCCCACCCGATACCGAACACAGCCGAGCCCAGAATCAACTTCCAATCGATGTCGCTAATCGTGCGCCGGGGAAACTCGAATTTGTCGTTGAAACTAGGGGGCTCTGTGAATCCTCTCGCCTGGATCTCAAGAATGTTGGGGATGATGCCGAAAAGAATGACGAGGCCCATGGAAGGGTCCCAGTTTTCGAAATCAGGGAAGGACAGGAAGGAGAGGACCTTGGAAGGGTACGCCATGCCGGTTACGTAGAGACCGAGGCCGAATTCGAGGCCGGAGAGGAACTGTGTCGTGCGGCGGGCGGGTGACTCGCGGTCGCTTTTGCTGTGGCTGGTCGCTTTGTTGACGAGCTTGGGAAGAGTCCTGCTGGCGATGGCGATCAAGGTGGCGAGGAGGATGAGAGTAGTTGTTGTTTCCCTGGACGGATATGTGGGCGTGTAGCAGGGGAGTGCCGAGTTGCAGACGTCTGTTTTGAGGGAAGGGTGGGCAAGATGATGTGTTATCATGGCTGCGGGAAAGAAAGTAGCTACGGCGGCCGTGGAGTAGGGACTCAGTCGAGACATGCCGCACAGCATATGGCCGCTTGTGCATCCGTTAGCCAACTACAATTGGTCAGCGATGTTGTCCCATGCTGTGAATAGTGATCTTGTGATATTCGCCACCACTGACCTTCGTTCCCCATCCCACCAGAGCGCCAATCCCCACTGTCACCAAAGCTGCCGCCAGAGAGCTCGGTGCCTCAGGAAACGTAGCCATAAGTTCAGGCAAAAACAGCTTCAGCGGCACATAACTCGCAGCCATTCCCGCAAAGAATGTCAACGTTCCACGGGATGGCCCATTGAACAGTTCCCTCAGGAACCCGGAAACTCCTAAAACACTTCCATTCTGAAACAGCAAAATGCTCGTCGCTTCATGGAGCAGAAACGCTCCTATGCTCGTTTCGATCGGAGTGAACATTGTCTCGAATATCCATACACCTGAATGAAGCCGGACTGTAACAGACAAAGCGAGCGAGAGGGGTGATAGATATCAATAACTCGAAAAGCGGCCGGAGATAAGTTTAACGAAGGAAAGCCAGGTCAGGCACGGGGTCTCAGTTGCAGGTGCGCCATTGCCTTCCCCGCTCACCGCGCCTTCTCCTATGGAGAGGCGCTGACCTGCCTTTCACCATCTCCTCCTCCCCGGACCGGACATGACATTGATTCTTGCGGAGTAATGCCAAAAGCAGCTAGCGTGGATTTCGCCGAGCATGGCTGCACGTGGCGGGGCACCGACCGTGCGGCACACCTTGTTCACAACGTCGCCGACCCAAAGGTTGGGATACGGGGCCCTGGATCTTCTTTTTCACTGTTTGGCTTTGACGCCATTGTTGTACGGCTCCTCGTGAGGAACACATTTGTTGGCAAAGAGTTATATCGCGGGATGTTTCAGGATGTTGCTGGGTTGCTCATAATGAACCGGGCCTGCGGGGTTTGGTCGCCGACCTTTCAAACAGGTAAGACGGCGAAGTCAAACGTTGGAAACGAGGTGTTGGACCCTGGCGTGCAGATTGCCAATGTGCATAGACTTTGAGGTCTGATGAAATCGTTCCTTGCGCTTCTGCGTTGAGCGGGAAGCCGGGAACCAGTTATTGTGATTTTTTGAATATTGATGTTGAAGGTGTTGCGATGGGTGCTCGAGGTTACCCAGACCAGGTATCAAACTTCAGCTACTACGCATGAAAGACGAGACTTGGGTAATGTTTGCCGATGGCATCCCCACTATGGGACTCCCTGCACATCGTTTCCGAATTTTGTGAGGCTTGAGTGTTGATAGTACAGATGTGCGTCTTCACCTCGCCGAAGTCATGTACCTCCAAAACCCATCCTCCTGCGCACGAGAAAGTTGTTCTGGAATATTCGCCGACGAATAGGGAGCAGTGCTCGGGGGTACCAAAGACACTGACAAGCGCGGAATGCGAGACGCATATGCAGTGAATTTTCCGGAAGATTTGCCGTCTGCAGTTGTTGCGTTACACCTTGGTGAACATGAAGCGCGTGTAATTCGTGATACAGTTGACTGTCACACCCTTCTGACTCCCTTTGCTAATTCCTGACGAATTCAAAAATATCAATAGCATTGAACAAACACCTGCGTGATGGTACTGCTACAGAATACTATAGTCAATTCTCTCATGTACGCAACCTGGGAAGCATGGAAAATGATGAGCGACTTACAGCATGCATCATGATTGGGTATGTCACATATGTACCGCTTCAAATTCTTGGGTTACTGCTCCGCCAGTATATTCCTCCCGGGGCAAGTCATCCGCGTCTCCCCACCTACAATGGTAGGAACCGGCCCTGCGGGACCACTGCTCATGTAGAGTTACGACAAGGTATGAAAACCTCATCCAGAAGGCAGCACTGCAGCTATTTTTCCTTTGAAAATGCTGTTTTGAGAGCCTTGAGGGATTTAGTAGCCCACAAAGGACCTCTCGGTCCTTCCACGTCAGGATCGCTCACTAGTCAGACAATGATGACTTCGCAACAACAATGTGACAGCTCCATCGAAGTCGCCGAGCTCAACGTCTTCGTGCTGTATAAACACGTTTGTACAAGCTGGGATCATGGCGTAGTCAGAGATGGACGCAATAAAGTACTGCCTCTTGTCACGTCCGACTGAACACGACCGCGCGCGCAACGGTTGTTGTCCTTTTAATTGGGTCTTTTTCTTCTTGACAGCGCCTCCATTTAGGTATAGTCAGCCTCAAAACACCGTGCTCTCGTGGCGTAATCAGGATGTGCCCAATTGACTTGTATGAACCTTAACAGTGAATCTAACTTGGAGCAGAAGTACCCTTCCTACAGAGCATCCGTCCTAACATGTTTGCTACACTACGAGCGTTAGAATACATCACTGTACGCAACATGAATCACACAGATACGGCAACGATGGCATCTGTTGTGTACCAACGCAATGGTCATTTCAGAACTTCGAGTCGCAGTTTTTCATTTGAACATCTGTTAGTAGGTGAACCTCGTTGCCACAGGGTAACCAGATCATATTTACTATCCTACCCCGCGTCTTACGAGTACAGAGTGGTGTACAGTCGGACGTGGGAGGAGGCAGTAGTTATACGACGACGTGCTCACAGAATGCGACATTGTATCCCTGAGAGACTACGACTTCGCAAGGACCGGTCCGTGCAAACTCCCATGCGAATATGGCAAGGAACGTGACGGGTCAGCTAGGATTTCCTGAGTTCCAAGACAGATGTGGTTGACCGGGACTTGTTTCTCCTCACAGTTGACATGATGCGTGGTTTACACTATTCTCAGGAAGAATATCATTTCAGTCTAAGAGATCGACATCGTGATACACATGGTATATGCGACCAGCTCTCTATATTCTAGTTCTGCGGTGGCGTTGTTATGGTCAGTCGATGAGAGGAATTTTTCTTCGCCATTGGCAATCGGGTTTGATCGAAACTAGGTGCCTCCCAACATCGAACAAAATTGCACCATGTAATTAGGTTGAAATGTATATATGCCATGAATTGCTATGAGAATAGAATATAGATCTACCTGTTCCATATTCGTCGACCCGTCGAACGTAAAGAGATGGTTAAACTATATCCCTGCAGACAAACAATGATTGGAAACTGAAAAGCAGGAAACCGATTATTAACCATATTGAAACGACAGTGACAAATAAACGAGAGTGCGTCCATGGGTATCCATACGAGACAAAACAGTAGAAAGAAACACGAAAACGTCGAAGTAGCGTGGAGCCCCACCCCGGCTATTGAGTGAGTTTCAAGCAGGGACGCAGAATATCGTAGTCCAGCTTCTCTGGCATGGTACAGTAGACCCAGTTTGTGACGAGTCATTGCTAGATGTGCACTGCTAGACATTCTCAAGGATATGTGTACCGGTCTGGTATTGCTCGGGGATCAGAACAGTTCAACGATCCTCATTCGCAGTGGATGCACAACGAGACTCGCAGTCGGATGAATATGATGCCGCATAATTAGTTGCGGCTGCGACGTACAGCGTTCGAAGATGGCCAAGTAAAAACAAGGCTTGGTTCACGAGTCCCAACCGATCGAGAATTAGCTTTCCAAGGAATCTGTCATCCGGGCTGCTTTCCTCCTCCGTGATCAACTTGCCGTCGTCGTCCTGGTCGATGAACAACGATACAGTTCTCTTTCTTCTCGGGAGTTTCAACCTCTGGTACTCGGGTCCGGCTATGAGAGCCTGTCAGCTTATCCATTGCAATGCTCCGGTTGACTTCATATAGCAACTTACCGTTCTTTTCCACGTCTCGCTTTTTGCGTATATCGACATCTCCGCTCTTAGTCAGAACAATGGCTCGTCCCCAGCTGTTTCTCTTTGCTATCTTCCTTGACTCGAAGGCCCCTTCTGGCTGTTTTGACGCAGTTCCTTTCGGGGATTCCATCGTCCTAGGTTGGCAGCAGGATAATCTTGTGCTTCAAATGAGAGATTTAGAGGAGATGCAAGAGTGAACTGTGCACAACTCCGATGGATATCACAAGGGTCGCTACAAGTGGGCCTGATAGTGGCGTAGGAGATCTGGTGGAGGAGACCAGTTGGGTAAGATAAACTGCTACATAACTCCAGACCACCCCGGACGAGAACTGCTTTATACTGTATACACGTAGGCTAAGACCACCTTGTAAAACAAAAGCTATTCTTGCAAGCCATCGGCCGAGTGCTGCGACCTGTCACGTCTCACTGAATAGCCCCCTAAATTTCCGATACAGCATAGCTTGCCAATCTGGGGCATACGATTGGTGATGACCTGCATATGACGCACAATACCCCCGTGGGGCGTGTTATACCTGAAAGGATGCATTCCTTAGGCCAATGGCAGCGCTTGTCTGTCTTCCAGCCGGCGACGACGTAGAAGGCTATGGTCACCTTATACAAAAGAACATCAGCACTGCCCCCGCCACACATTGTCACAGCGCAGGATGTCCGGTTTGGTTGGGAGCAGCTCGAATTCCTTCGTCCAACAAGCAATTGCGCCGCAAGGCTGAGGTGGCCACGATAACCCTCCGAGTAGGAAATATTGCCCTGGACGCTTGAAGTGGCTGGCAATCATGCTCAGACACATAGCAGCATAGCCAAATGATGATGTGTGAGCTGCCCGCAGTGATTGGGACACGTTGAACATGAACAACCGCGTGGCTGAAGGCGTGCAGTGTACACCGGCGCAAAGAAGCATGAGGCTGCAGCAGCTGAACTCCCGCCTTCCGAGCTCGGGACCAATACAAGGAAACAAGGCACCTAAATACGAAGTAAACCAATAAGACCCATCATAATTCAACCCTCCATTAGAATGCTTATGCGAACTCATGACGGCGAACGGCACGCGTTATTCCGTCGAGTTTTCCACATGGCGTGAAGGCTTGGTCTCTGTCTCTTGCCTAGCGCTGGCTGTGCCCTATCAGATCCGCTTGTATCGTCCTTCCCCTTAGCGTCTAGCCTTCTTCGTCTTGAAATGTTGGGTGCTACAAATTCTAAATGTCAAAGGAGGTGTGCTCTGCCAGACTCGAAGCGAACGGCGTCAGTTCGGCTCGGTCTCGCGGTGTACTGTATATTCGTTTTGAGCTTTTGGCTTCATTTCGGGTGATAACTGCCCGTTTTGATAATCAGATCCCCCTGTGGAAAACATGATCGTGTATGATTGGCAGTGAGAAAAATGAGCCTTTAGCTCGTCCCTCAGAAAGTGGAGGCGGAGCTGGAAGCTCCAATGGTCCTCGAGAACTGTGGGGGCAGCAAAGGCGGCTCTACAGTTTGCCTAACGCTTTGCTGGGTTTAAAACGCTAGAACCTCTCTCGCTAGCCTTGCGGCCACTGGCACTGTTATTCTGAGACAATACTACTATCTGACAGCAAATACCATGAGCGGAGCATCCTTGCCAGGACCCTCAGAAGCGGTCCCCCAAGGAGTCCATCGATCCCAGACGGGAGAATCTTTCATATTTGCAAATGGAAATAGTGCGCACTGGAGAGAACGCAATCTTCTCAGCCTAGGTAAATACCATCATGCCTTCACCAGTCACAAACATATATTGATGAAACGGCTCGACAGACGGCGGAGGGATACGCGGATACTGGTCTCTCTTGGTCTTGGAGAGATTAATGGCGGCGATAGCTCGCGAGGAGCGAGAACATACAGCTGCAGGGCAACGTTCTGACAGCTTTTGGCCTGCGACTCGTCCACGAAACGTCGTGCATACCTGGAGAAGTTCTAGCGAGACAGAAGATGAAGAAGTAGAGTCGCAAACCCCCATCTTTCTGCCATGTCACTACTTCGACATCATCTGTGGGTCGAGCACTGGGAGGTATGTCCACACTGCGCCAGTCCAGCACGTACTTTGCCAACATGCTGCAGCTTAATAGCCCTCATGTTGAGCAGGTTCCGCATGACAGTCCAAGACTGTCTGTACGAGTACGAACGAATGAGTAACCACATATTCGGGAAACCACGGTGGGTTTCCCAGCGTAATATAGGGATTGTTCGCTGGCCGAAATACAGTTCTAAGGCCATGGAAAGAGCATTTACGGACGTAACACGTCGGCGTGGGGAGACTCCTGTGCGCGGCCAGCTCACGCATACCCCACCATATTTCCCTACTATCCCGGGCACATGTGCCATGTATGTGCTTCTACCTATTCTGTCTCACTTGCAGCTGTTTTACCCCCCTTGCGAAGCCTGAGTTACAGTGCAGAGTACAGATGAGCTGATTGGTATAGGTTTGTCACAACCAATCGTCGCATCAAGTCGGCCAGTGCTGCGCGCCCTGGCGTTCAACGTTTGTATCTGATCCGGTCCTATGATCATAAGACAAAGCCTGGCACACCGAACACGGAGATAAATAATTTCGGGAAAGCCGAGCAAATGGAAATCTGGCAAGTTGCCCGTGCTGCCACGGCCGCACCCATGTACTTCAGAGAAATCAAATTCACACCTCCCCACTCACGAGACAGATATTATTTCTCGGATGGAGGGTTTGGACACACTAATAATCCAACTGAAGTTGGTATCCAAGAAATACAACTTCGTTTCGGGGCAGAATCTGTGGGGGCAGTCGTCAGTATCGGCACCGCAAGGGCAGATGATGACAACTCGGGCGGACGAAGTATCTTCAAAAGGGTGCACAATGCCTTCAGTATTGCAACTAACCCTCGGATTGTTGCCAACCAGGTACGAAGGCGAAATCTTCCCCACTACTGGCGTTTGAATGATGAGGAGGGGCTCAGGATGGAGCTGGATGACTGGCAGCCAAATGGCCTTACCACAAGCAAGGAAAATCGAGGCAGGAAGACACTGCAAGAGATAAGGGCACGCTTCAACGAATGGGCGCTTGTTTACGAGAACGACGAATCGATACGGGCGTGTGCACGGGAATTGGTACGACGCCGAAGGGCTAGGATTCAGGACGGCGCCCGCTGGGAGGTCTACGCGACCGGAGCTTCCAATTTCCGCTGTCGGCACGAACATTGCCCAGAGACCCCGTTCCCTACGCGGGATCATTTTCGAGAACACTGGCATCAATGTCACGAGGACAATCATGAAGACGCCGACCGATGCAGGGAGCCCGAGTTTACTATATGGCGATATCGCAATGACACCTAAAGTATCCATTCTGTTGTGTTTCTTGATTCTTCAGTCGGAATTTTTTTTTTTTTTCATTGGATTCTGCAGAGTCGTTAGCATTTTTGGGAGCTAGAGGTGTGTACCGCAAAGGTTTGGGATGGGGGTGTTAGGGTACCTTGACGAGTGCTTCTTTCGTATTTGATACCTACGGCATCATAGGAATGATTTTACGTGGCGATTCTTCCCATCTGAAAAACAATATCCTCTAAGTTCCGATACGCTGTGATGGAGCCTTGCGTTTCAACGAAGTCCGATCCATGGTGCGAAAGTCAAGAACTTGTGCCTTCAAATCAGTGCAACTTTGTGTTTAGACTGCCTAAGTATCGACATGCCACTGCCGCATCATATGAGATTGTCACTATACCCAGATGATTATGCCTAGGTAACAATGAAACGGCGCACAAGGGAAACTGCCACAGGGTGAGACGCATGGTTTCACGGTGAATAGACGTTAGGCTCATCCGTACAGCCACCTTTGACCTGCGCCACGATATCAAAGACAACAAGGCTGCAGCTGAGTTCGCCTTCACCCCGCTTTGCGCTTTCCGGTGCATTTGATATCGGATTTTTCGTCACTTCTGCTCTATTGGCGCACCTGCGCTTTTATGGAAGATTCTCCCGCCACATCATTGGAACTGACCGTGCTCCATGCTTCGATGGCGACTGATTCCGAAGGGCGGCGTCGGGTTGGATCGCCGTTGTTTCGCTCGCTCATGCAAACTACCAAGGTACGCTTAAAAAAAAGAAGGTTGACCTGTCTCCGGATTGAAGGGCTCAGCGTTCGATGCGTGTTTTAGTCCTATGCCCTCATAGTCATGGACATGCTGATAATCGCACCTTCTGGTCGATTTCCGCCTCATTCCACCTAACGAAAAATGCATTGCTGACTGCATGAAGACAATCGTAAATTTTGTCTGGAATGTACTCGTTCGCATAGCAACGTTGCCGTACTACCGCCTATACCACTTCAACACAATTGGACCCATGGAGAAAATAGCGGTTCTTTCTTCCGAGCCCTGTCCAGACACGTCCAGATTAGTACGAACCATAACAGCGTGGCGGACGAGGAAAATTGCAGAACTACATTTCGTCACAATCTCGGTACGTTTGACGGTACAGTGTTGTTTTCCCCTGAGCTAACATTCTAGTGCGCCGTGCTTGCTGCTGCTGTCATAGGGTCATTTTCGTGGACTTTTGTCGCAGATGCATATTGGCTTACCTACGGTTTTTGGCACAGCAGCCTCATTCTATCAGTCTTGGGGATGTTACTGTCGGCATCGGAAGCAACAGTGTTGCATCTACTTGGCCCGCTATCAGTCTCAGATAAGAATTCAACGAAAGTGGACGCCATCCAGACATACAGCCCGTTGCTGTTGTCGCCCAGGAACAACTCTGGCCGGACTTTCGTCCCACGGAAAAAGATGATCTTCACTTGGCAAGCCCCATTGATGTTCATGTCCTACTCCGTGTGCGCATTTCTGTTAGGCTTGACCATCCTCGTGTGTACTCCACTTATTCGAGATGGGGCAAATTGGACGACAGGCCATAATGTAAGCGTCCCACCAGTAGAGTTTGGATTTACCCTTACGTTGACATCCAAAGATTGCGATAATGTATCTCATAACTTTTGGGCTAGCAGGTACCTTGTTTGTCTTTGCCAGCTTTTGGGTTTTTCACTACGTTGACTTGGACATTGATATGAAGGAGAAAGAATATCCGCATTGGGAGGCTCCTAAGGAATACGATATATCCAGGCTGGAAAACACATTTATCTCTTATGCTGAGGGCGAGCCCTCAATGGATATCGCTCGTCGAAAGCAACATGGGTCGCTTGAAGCCAAAGGAATTTCATGACATATATATAGATTAAAATTGACAAAGTCAGATTTTTGCTTAGTCTACGGCCGGAAACTACAATTAGGTAGTAGTGTGCGAGACTGCATCAGAAGGTTACTTCACCAGTATTACATGCCTCGCAGCCCCGGTGACGCTCTCCTGTCCAGCAAGCTCTCGATTCGGGGAGTATATGAACTGATGGGAGCCGCTACCACGGAACATTCGTGCCATCATACACATTCGGGCCTTTGGAATTTTCCCAGCCCTTGACAAATACCTTGGGCATGGTCCCGTTGGCCTCCTGTCCCTTGTTGAAAAATGATATCCAATGAAGCTTTCGCACCTTCCTCAGGGGTCAAGTCGGCTATGTCGCCGCCTCCCAGGTCCGTCTTGAGCCACTGAAAAGGATTAGTATATGTTGCAGTGAAACATGAGACAGAACACGTACACCTGGACAAAGGGCTATGAACGTGAAGCGCTCTTTCTCGTAATCAAGAGCATATTGCACGGTCAGGGCATCAGGGCTGCTTTCGAGATTTTGTATGCCGGCGCAGGGAAAGAGGCGACGGCTGGAGCCAGGGCGATGGAACCCAGAGTAGTTGACCTTGCATTCGTCAGACCCAAGAAGTTTTCGTAATTTGGAAGAGAAATCTTACATGTTAATGACTTTCTTCAGATTTCCCTTCCTCAGCAGCGGGAGGAATGCTTGAGTGACCCAATGTACGCCCATGACATTGACAGTGAAGCTTTCCTCGAGATTATCCCTGTTCCTTGGTAAATACTTTTGCAGTGTAGATATGAGAAAGAAGAAGCGCACATAGTAGCGACGCCACCAAAAGCATATTGACATATGCCTGCATTATTCACCAAAACATCCAACCCTTTGCCTTCCAGAAGCCGTTCCGTCTCTGCCGCTGCCTGTTGTATAATGGGGGGGTTGGTAACATCGAGCTGTACAACCGATACTCGACCGTCAGATTTTTCGGCAATGTCTTTCAGAGCTGAAGCATCCCCCCGGGCTCCTGCAATGACCTTTCTGACTTTGGAACTCGGCAAAGAAGCAAGTTCGCGAACCAGTGCAAGTCCCAAGCCTCGGGAGGCACCAGTAATGAAGAGTGAAGCCATCGATAATACTTTATTCTGAGAAACACAGATAGAAAATCAACGCGCGCGTGGTACTTTTGCTATAAACACAAACTCTGAAATATAGCGAAAGACTCCTGTGATTTCCCAGGGTTTATAGCAACGGAGCTACCACAGTAACCTTTTCCTATTGTGCTTATAAATGTCCAAAACAATGCCAAGCTTCTGTATTATGATTAACTAAGAGAGATGATGTTGCTTTCAATTGGTAAGCGGAGCATAAAGCCGATGTCCATGGACATGAAGCATAAATGAATGGAGTAGCAGACTTGTTACGGAGAATAGGCTGAATGATTCGCTTTTGTCAAAGCCAAGCTGCTTACTACAGCACCCACTGATGTCTGACTGCTTTCCTTATTTCGGCTTGCTGATTATTACAGTTACCGACCAGCGTAATTAGGCGATGACTGTGTGCTGCCTGGTATATCGGATGTGGTATGGCAATAACGAAATGTGCGTCAAGGTGAATATCTCGGAAAGTGCTTCATGCACTTGAAGCCAACGGCCCCTTCTTTGTCTCCCTCCATTTTTATCTCTATCACTAGTAGAACGTATGACTTAAAACGAAACGATGTCAATATATCGCGATATCTCGATCATGGGGAGAGGGAAGAGCAAAATCGGAGGTGCTCCAAATGACAGAGACTAACACCTGCAATGGATCCATCTACGAAATACCACACCGGACCTCAAAAACTGCGCACTCGTCCGGTGAGCATCACCAGTCGACGAGATTTTCTTCTGCCCACTCTAAGAAGAACGGTGCGGAGGAGCTCGGTCATCAGAAAAGGAGTGTGGAGGGCAGATTCTCGAAGATGGCTCTCGCGTCATAGAAGCCATTCCCATCAGTCCACACTTCCCCACTTCGCTGGTTCAATAGCGGGCCTCTCCTGCCGAAGCCTCGCATGCAGCTGCGCACTCTCATCTAACCGATCCGTCAGCTGCTTCTGCCTATTCATGTTCCTCTCAAAGAGTTGCTCCTTCTCCAGCAGAGCTTTCCGCTCGACTCCTGCCCTATGCTCCAGTTCCGCCTGCCGCTGCTTCGCCAGCTTCGCCTCATGCGCAAAGGTAGCGCTGGCCTTACGATCTTCGATCTGCTGTCTCTGAGCCGCAGACTCGCGCTCCTGCTCCATTTGCAGCTTATGCCAGGTGATCTTCTCATTGCGCTTCATCCTTTCTGCAGACTGGACACGCTCGACTTCGAAATCGTGTTTGGCTTGCTCAAGAGCCAGCCATTGGGCCTGTGCTGCGGCGGCGACCGCCATGTCGGCGTCCTGGTGTTCCTTTTTGCGGCGCAGCATATCACGGTGATTTGCTTCTTCAAGCATTCGGTTATGGTCATTCGCTTCTTTGGCAAGCTTCAGCGAGAGAAGGTGGGCTTTCTGGCGATCGGCTAGCTCTGCAATAGAGGCCGGCATGCCGACTGCTCCTTCGGGTTGCTCGGGATTTTCGGAGTAGAATTTGGGCTCGCACCCTTTGTCGCGGAGTAGTTCGGTGAGGTCTTGCTTATTACGTGCTCGACTCGCTGAAGGGACTAGCTCGACGTATTTGATGGGTGAGTACCAAAATCCCTTCTCGTCTCTGAACATGTGTTTCTCGTCGTTGATTTCTTCCCATACTTCAGTATCAAGGAGTGCCTCTGTGACTTCAAGAGGGCTGCGCGGGTTATCGAGAGCGAGAATGACGGATGATCTCTCATTACGGGCCTTGAATTTGGGATTGGCTCCGTGTTCAAGCAGGAGCCTGATCAGTTGGCGTGCCTTGGTCCGCTGGATCCCGTTTGTTACTTCAGCATTAAGACAAAGTTCTCCTAGAGCGCTCCGTCCGCCATGAAGTCTACAAGGGAAGTTCGGCTTATGACCCTCTTTGATCAAAATCCGAGATATATCCAGTTGTAAGCATCGTGCCGCCTCGTGCAGGCTGCCGTCGTCTCTGAGGGCATGAGGTGCAAGCGTCTGCACGAGCGAAGGCAAAGAGCCACTGCTTGCATAGAAAAGCGCGGATCGATTCCATTTGTCGCGAACCGACGCATCAGCGCCATGATCAAGCAACATCTGCACAACATCCTGACGACCTTCCCGTGCTGCGAGCGCAATGGGGCTTAATTCCGACAGAGGCGCTGTACGGGTTCGCGACGCTCCTGCAGCAACGAGAGCTTGGATAACAGTTGTCGAGACCGTCTTCTGAGGCTGTGACAAGGCCCATATCAAGGCTGAGACCGGCTCTGCGCCTAGAACGGGTTCAACAATCCCGGAAACTATGACGTCCGGATTGCACCCATGGTCCAAGAGTAATTGAACCAAAGCACTCCCTCGGGGGAAATGTTGCATTGCCAGCAGCAGGACAGGTATATGTGGGGTTCTATCACCTGTGGTCTCCAGAGCTTGGAAGGCGAGGCCATGCGTGAAGCACTTTTCTAACAGACGGATCAGGACATCTTCTGGTAGTTGAGAGGCCAAGAGCGTCGGAACAATCACGCTGAAGTCGGGATTGTGGCCTAACAGTTTGTCTAAGAGGTTGCAATCCCTCCTGCGTGCAGCGAACACGAAACAGGTCCCATCGGCGGTATTAACGCTTGCATTGTGACCTAAAAGCAGGTCTACAAGCTTTCCGTAGTCACTGCCCGAAGAGGTCTCGTCAAGGACTATCCGGAGGGCAGAATCGATTGCGGGTTGATCAACTCCGCTATCAAGCAGTGCCTCTATGATGGCTATTCGGTCGTTTAAGCCTTCAGAGTTACTCGAGGTTCCTTCTTTGAATATTCCACGAAATGCCCTCGTTACGGTAGACCGATTCGGCGGTTCCCGTGCTTTTAGTAACATGGTGGTGAGTGCAACAGAACCGGCGGATACTGCAACGTGGAGACCTTCACCGTCTCGATGATTGACTGAGGCATTACAGTCAAGCAGAAGCTTCACAGTGGACGTCACGCCGTGGGTTAGCGCATATTGTAGTTCGTTAAGCAGTGTCTCATTGAGAGTCTCCTGGGAGGGGTTCCTTTGGAGTAGATGAACCAACAATGAGCTGCGAGCTTCTGGGTCGTCTACTGCAGCTATGCAGCTCAGGGCTGACGGTACGAGACGAGCGTCTGCCTCAAGGAATCGATCAATAATGTCGATGTTCGCAGGCCCTCCTCTTACGGCTTGTTGCAAAGCTTTCAGTGCCGATGGATCTTCAATACCATGCGCCAGAAGCATTCCGATCATTCGCAAAGTAGTATCACGTCTGCGCCCGTTCTTATCGAAGGTCAGAGGAAGCGCTGCCGAAGTGATGCGAGCAGACAATTTTCGCTTGCACAGCAACTCCAACACAGCAAGATCAGCATGCTCCGCGGCGACTTGTATGCATTTTCCATTTTCATACTCCACATCAGCACCATAGCGTAGAAGATCCATTATTAGACTGATATCTCTTGACGAAGGTTTCTCTGATACCGCCCGCACGAGAGACTGGTCGACTTCAGGTCCACGTGCGCCATGTTCAAGAAGAAGACGCGCAGTCTCCTGTCGCTCAGAGGGACTATAACCTTCCCATAGTAACGGAAAGCCTCGGGAGAGCGCCTGCGGTGTTGGCTTAGCCTGTAGGAGCAATTCGATGCTCTGGCGGTCCTTTCTTTGCAACGCAACGTGCAATGCCCCGCTGGTTTTCGAATCCACAGATGGCCCAGCATTGACGATTAGATCCATTAAGGGGGTATCCTTCTCCTGTACAGCTATAGTGAGCCACGCTTCAACAGGAGGCCCATTGGCCCCTTTTCGAAGTAAGGCATCAACAAGTGTCAGGCGTTCTGTTTTCGGCGCATTTGTCGGAAGACGAGCTAGTGTCCGGGACGCATCAGCAGGGGATAAGGGGATCTGTAGCATCCTTCTAGCAAGGGTCCAATTGGCATTTGAGATAGCACTCTGAAGACACTCCACTCCATGCGCAGTTATCGAGACACCGTTGTCGAGTAGCAGAGAAGCTAGGCTGGCATCGTTCGTCTTGCACGCCGCAGCCAGTAAAACTGAGAGACCAGCAGAGTTAGGGGGCAAGCCGCAACAGAACAGAAGTTGAAGGTATTGGAAGAGTTCTTGCACTGTCGGCATTCGGAGCACTGGTTCGAGGGCCTTTTGCAATGAAGCCGGCATCGGTCGAACTGGGCCTGCCACCAAAGCGACGGCCAATCGATAATCGCGCTGCAAAATCGCCATATACAGAGCACTGGCCCCATTGAAATTTGGATCCGCTCCATAGCCCAGAAGCAACGACAGAATCTGTTCGGATTTGAGTTGGACTGCTGCGGCCAATGTTGACGAGATTATCTCGGTCCTAAACGCCTTTGGAGCTCTTAGAAGAAGTCGAACAAGATTTTGATCATTAGACCGGACCGCATCTGCCAGAGCGTTGGGATATTTATTGACATCTGCTCCATGTCGCAATAACTCTTGGATGCAGGCCTGGTCATTTGCAGCGAGTGCGGTCTTTAATGCTTCGTCCAAAGTCGTCTGGTCCGCTCCAGCACTCGCTAGAAGTCCTACGGAATCCGCCCTACGGACTGTGGTGGCACGTTGCAACACCTTGGTCCGTCTTCGAACGGACACATTGGATTGTTTGGCGCTTTTGTGCTTCTTGTCATCCGACAAGTCGACAAAGTTGACTTTGGCTCCCAGACTCAGGAAAGCCTGGACCAGCCCGGGACTGCTTGTCGGTTGGTCGACAACAGCCGACAATGCTTCATCAAGTTCCGCTTGAGTGAATTCCCAGCGCGCCGGGTTCTCCAATTTCTCCTTCTCTTTCGAACTGCGGAAGATGCGTTTCAACTGCTTGTTGGGATCTTTGTATTCAGGATTGTTTCTGCGCTGCTGCACTAGCAATTGCCGCGCTACTGCATGGTCGTCCTCGCTAGCAATGATGGCAGGCTGTGAAGGCGCTGGAAGAGGTTGCCGGGTAGGGATAGGTGTGATACCTGCGTCTCGAATGAGGTCTTTCAAGGTAATTCTGGCCGTCATGGCGGTTCAAGGTGATGTTCCCTGATCATTGCTCTGTCGCTCAAAGGAGAGAGAGAGCAAGAGAGTCTTGTGTTGGATATGAATGAGCGTAGAGAGTCCATGAATACGCGTCCCTCTGGCTGAGCACTGTACGTCAATCTGAAGTGGGTTGCAGCTAGACCGAGAGAGGGCAAGCGCTAGCTGACTACGGTGCTGACAAAGCCGCCTGCACGCATCTGGTGCATCCTTCGAAGAGGCCGCGCAACACCTGCATAGGAATGGAACTTGACTTTTGTCGTCCAATCCCAATGTTACATCTCTCGTGTTGACACGTCTTTTCAACAGAGGACATTGAAGTCACCCGATGTTCGTGGGACGATTCACAATTTGAGAGTAACAGAAATCTGGAGTCCCTGTAACAGATCGGGAAAAGGTTACCACAGCCATATCATCGGTTGATGGGAGTCACTCTGCTATGTATCACTCCAAAGTCTAGGTAGGTCGGCCGTGCTTATTGTGTATGAGAATTGTCATCACCGGTAGGATATATTCATGCCCGCCCGGTTGAGCACTGACGGTTGGATTCATCATGGCAAATCACGATTCCGGCTGGGTTTCATCAACCTGGCCAAGAAAGACCAAAGAAACAAGTTTGACCGGTGAACCATCTCGCAGGAGGTCCATGAAACCAACAACAGAGGGTGCGGTATTCGCATGGGGCGCCTGTTTCACGACCGTGGTGTTTGAATCCCCCAGCTCCGCTGACAGCGCGATTCACCATTAGCCAGGAATGTTTCAGCATTCGCAGCAAGTCCTGCAGGTACCGTTTCAACCCACGCCTAGAACTATTCCGCATACGGGAGCTCGCTCTTTCTTCTCAACAAAAGTCCAGCAAACAGAGGATACGTGCGGGGAATCGGCAGATCCATGGATGGCTGGAACAATTGCGCACAGGTCTCAGGTTGCAAACATGCATGGTAGAGATGCAGGGGTGCTCTTTATCTGAACCAAGGATACGGATCCCCCGTAAACGTACGAACCGTACAACTATGCACCTACATTGCGACCCTCGGATCTAGAAGGGTAAAAGTGATGACGACTACTCCGTACTGCTGTCAGCAGGCACGAAGCACGGTAGACGGACCGGCTGGCGAACTCAAACACCAACTTGACACGACTCGACTTGTTTGAAGTCTTCTGCGTCCTGCAGGGTGTTCCTGTAGACGGCACTATTCCCACTGCAATATCGAACCGCTCTTCCGCCACCCATGTTCCTGGGCATGGAGAAATGAGGATATATTGAGGTGGGAGGCGCCTGAATGAACGCTCCATCAAATAGCACATTGGCAAGCTCTGTTGGACGTGTTGGATTTTTTTTTCATCTCCTTTTTCTTCATTCAATTCTTTGGGCTCTGGTAGCTCTCCCCTTCGTTGAATCCGTCACATTATCTCTCTCTCAAGACCACCATACTGCATATTGTCCATCTACCCTACCGTAAAAAGAATTACCCATCGTCTCCAAGGGGAAAACTATACAACCCGGTCCAACAACAACAGACCAGCAACCGCAAGAATGCACGTCACCCTGCTCACCACTCTCCTCCTCACCCTCCAGGTGCTCGCACTGGCCCTTCCGTCCTATACCCACACCTCCAAACGCCTACCCTCCTCCTCTTTGCATCCACGCCAAAATGCAACCAACCCGAGCTCATGCGACCTCTCCAGCATCTCCCAACCACCACACACCATGACGCCTCCCTCATCGGACATGACCCTCGTCCTCATCGCCCTAGGCCGCGGAACCCAGAACTACACCTGCGCACCCAACGCTCCAACCCCGAGTCCCATCGGCGCCGTAGCCACCCTCTACGACGCCTCCTGCGCCGTCGCAACCTCCAACGCCAAACCCGCAGACGGCAAAGGACGAGCAGGAGGCAGAGGGAGAGCAAAGGGACCTTGTGTACTCCCCCAATCCGCTCCCAGTATCGGCAACCACTTCTTCTCTGATAACACGACGCCCGTCTTCTCCATCCCGTCTCTCGGCATCACTGCGCTGAAGAAGGCGGAGAGCGCGCCTGCTCCGGATCCGAGCGTCGATGTGCCGTGGTTGCTGCTGAGTGCGGTGGCGGAGGGGACGACGAGCCCGGTGAAGAGTATCTATCGGTTGCACACCAAGGGGGGTGTGGCGCCGGGAAGTTGCGAGGGCGTGGCCGAGGGCGAGACGGTGACGGTGGGGTATGAGGCTGAGTATTGGATTTATGCTTAGGAGGAGGAAGGAGAGACGGTGTGAAGTCTGGGTGGGTTGGATGGAGAGGAGCGTACTTGGATCGATGTTTTGCTTGTTTTCCTCTTTTCCATGGGGGACAACAATTTGGATAGTCTGGACGAGCTGGGTGGTTTGATGATTCCGACATCTCTTTTCTCTTTGTTTCCTCAGCAGGCCCAGTTACCTCTGTGGGTATTGTCGTTATAGCTATGTACATTCTCAATTCAAAGACATGCGAGTATCTCGAAGCAAAATACCTGCCACAAATCATCCCCATCATACACAAAAGTAAAAACGAGGAGTGAGGAGAGCGACGGAACGACGGAGAATATATATATCCAAGCCTCTTCTGCTTTCTCACAAACCTACTATCGCCCAGGGCCCAGCTCATATGTCATCGGCGGCGGCCCACCAGCATACCCCCACCCATTCCCACTCAACTCCTGCCGTTGCCCTCCCTGTGGGACCACATTCCCATCAACCTCATGCGCCGGCATCTGCTGTTGCTGCTGTTGCTGCTGTTGCGTGGGATAATTGTATGCCCACTGTCCCTGGCCCTGACCCTGAGCTTGCCCAGGATACTGCTGCTGCCCCGGATACTCCTGCTGCTGGAAGGGATACGCCCCCGTATACTGCTGCCCACTCACGACCGCGCCATCGAGTTCCTGGCCCCTAGCACTGACGCTATTCGTAATCTCGCCATCAGTGGGGACCTCGTGTCTGGGTGGGGGCACACTGCCAGGTACTTCAACACCGCGATTCGCGCTTCCATCAGTGGCATCACTCGCGTTGCTCACGGCCGCTGCTGGTACAGCAGACACGGGCGACGGGCTAGATGGCGCGGAAACGCCTGGCGTTTTGCCTACTTCCTTCCTCGTCACGGGCGCGGCGAGTGCGGCTTTCTCCTCAATCGGACTGACGTCGCCTGCCTGATACGCTGCACCTTGCTTCGGTGGATGGATGGGCGTGGGCTGCTGCAGTGGGGGAGGCGCATAGGGTCCCGTACCTGAATAGGGAGTTGCGGAATGGCCGGGGCCCATACCCGGCGGAGGCATGTTCATCGGTGGGTGCCCTGGCGCGCCGTTCGGAGGATAGTACTGGGGTGGCGGTGGTGGTGGTGGTAGCTGTTGAGGGGATTTCCGGCGACGAAAGACGAGGACGCCGATGAGGATGGCGAGAAGGACGCAGAAGGCGAGGCCGATGCCGATGCCGGCTTTTGCTCCGGTGGAGAGGCCGCCGGTGGAGACGGGGACGCCGTCGGCGGAGGAGGGGCCTGTGAAGGAGGTGGTGGTTAGTTGGGGTAGCTTAAGGGGCACACTGTCGGAGCAGGCGGGAAAGGGCATGAGGAAGGGATGGAGGGAGAGGAGTGTGATTTTGGAAATTTTTTATGATCGCTGCCGTCACTAGAGTTGTGCAGCCACCGAATCAGGAAGACATCTAGGAAATGGCAAACATACCCGTAGACTGCGGTCCCGAAGTCAACGTGTTCCTCGTCCTCGCTCCCGTCTCCGACGTCGAGCTCCCTGTCCTGGTCCCCGTCTGAGTCATAGGACCCGTCTGCGAGGAATCCGTCGGCGACGCTTCTGCGGTCGAAGGAAGCGTCATTCCTTCAGGACTATGTCCCTTGTCTATACAATACTGGACCTGCACAGAGGACAAGTAATCCATATCCGTCTGGGTATTCATGTTGGCGAATGTGCATGCCTCGGATGCGCAGCGGCCGACCTGGGACATGCGCAGGTCAAGATTGCCCTTCTTGCACCAGCACGGGGACTTGTCGCAGCCCTGAAGTAGAAAGGGTTAGCACAGTCCGGGAGGGAGCAGCTGTTCGGCAGGTCAAGGGGAGACGAACGTTCCAGGAACCCAAGCCTTGCTCGCAGTCCTTCATGCAGGGCGCCATCTGGTCATAGTTGGGGTAGCCCTTGAAGGGGTAGTAGCTGCCGTCAAGCTGGGTGAAGACCTGGCGCGGTTGTAGGTGTGCCATGGTGCCGGTGGGTGCGGACGTCGAATCCCAGTGGAGCTAGATGTTTGTCTTAGAAAAGATGGTGTAGGTCGAACTGCAGACCGGATGACCGTATCTCCACACCGTCAGGCGAAAAGCGATGGCAGTGGGCTCGTCCTGACGGTCTTGTGCTCAAGATCCGTAGTCTCCCTGGCTCGATTTGGGGGAGACAGATCGCGGTGGATACATACGCACTGCTGGAGCGGCAGCCGTCTCTATATTTACACAGTTCGAACACCCTAGCGCCGGGCCCCCATGCTGTCGGGCTCCCATGTCCCGAGTAAGCGATTGACGGCATTGGGCGTATCGACCCACAGCGTCCGTCGGGATACATATGTACAGTCGATAGATACTCTGGGGGAAAGCAATCGGACCTTACTAACTCCCTCCCCTTCTTGTTTTGTTTCTCTGCGGACAGCGGCCACGCAGCCGTTGATGCTTTCTCAATACCCTCGTCCAAAGAGTGCGGGTGATACTGTGGATTGACTGTGTACGCGTGTTCAGAGTAGCGTGGTTTGAGGTTCAGCTTCGTCCATCCTGCCGATACGAAATTAATGCCCAGGAACCAACAGCGACGGGCCATGTCATTGGCCGCGGCTTCGTATTCTCTTCTCAAAACAGAACTGAGAATACGATTGACCAATAGCAGTAGCTTTCTGCAGACCCTGCGGGTTCGGCTATGACGATCGCCTGGTATCTGGGGTTTGTCGAGATGCACGAGAATGCCATGTGTTGAACGCTGATGAGGGATCCGAAGAAGCAGAAGATGGGACATCGAGGACTTGGATTCACATGTGCTCGAAGATGTAGGATGACTTGTCAAAAATCCGCAGACCTCTACATTGTGCAGCAGACTTGCAGTTCAACTCCAGATCCACTTACTACGTTTGACACCCCTTGGTTTGCCTCCGGTCCCATACAGCGTACTCCGTACTTCCTCTCCAGTCGTCAAGCAGTCACATCTCTCACGTTCTCCCTCAATAATTCTCTCATACACTTATCCATGCCAGCCTGAATTCCACACCAGTCACACCTCCCAGACCCTGTCAGGCCCTTTCCAGCATTCTCCCAATCTGCTTAATTATCCTCCACCCCCACCAACGCACACGCCTTCCTCCACAACTTTCCCTCCTTCTCCTCATCATAAGCCCAGCTCGCATACCCAAGATCAAGAGTCCCACTCCCCTCCGGCACCGGGCCCGCAACCCCACAATCCTCCAGATACAACCCACCCTTCCCCTCCAACACATTCGCCACTGCGGCCCAAATCGTCGTCGCAGCGCCTTGCGCTGGACTCTTCATATACCGTCCCACGGTCTCGTCTGACTTCCACACGGCCATTTGCTCCTCGGGGATGTGGACCTGTAGATTCGTCCAGATACCCCCTGGGTGCAGAGAGAAGGCGTGGAGATGCGACGACCCGTAGCGCCGCTCGATTTCGTTGGCCATCCAGATCAGCGCCGTTTTGCTTTGCCCGTATGCGGCGACCGGATCATAGACTCCCTCGCCTTCCAACTGCAGGTTATCAAGCTGGACGGTTCCCCAGCGATGGGCCATGGACGAGACATTGACGACTCGCGAGGGGAAATCTGGGGTCGCCGAGCGGAGGAGAAGCGGTTTGAGGAGTTGGAAGAGGAGGAAGTGCGAGAGATAGTTGACGCCGAGTTGGGACTCGAAGCCATCTTCTGTGGGCGTCAAGGTGGGAACCATCATGATCCCAGCGTTGTTGATCAGGAGGTTGAGATTACCGCCGCTGCGCTGTTTGAAGTCCTCAGCACAACGACGCACGCTGGCTAACGAGTTGTTATCCAAGTGAATCAATTCCAATTTCCCCTCTGCGATATGCGGTCCCAGTTCCGATGCGCGCGCTTTGTCGAAGTTGCGCACGGCGGCGAAGACACGCATGCCTGTTTCCAGGAGGGCGAGCACAGTCGGGACGCCTATGCCTGCCGAGGCGCCCGTGACGAGGGCGACCTTGCCCTCAAGGGCGCCTTGCAGGTGGTTGTCGGCGATGATTTGAGAGGCTGTGGGGCGTTGGTCCCCGGGACCCTTTAGCTCAGTGTGGAGAGAGGCGTATGGCCGAAGCAACTCAGAATTGGACATGGCGGATGTGTGACAGGATAGGAGAGGTCTGAGTTTGGAAATCGAGGATCAAGATCAGAGCACAGGATTGACGGTGCTGGAAGTAAGGACGGTGATGAACTGGACCGGTGTTGAGAGGGCACCCTGATTCTTTTAAAGACTTTGGGCGCTGTCAGATGTTGCGAGATGAGTGTGCATGGTGGCCGCCACCCTTGTCTGTCTTTTGAAAACAACATCACTAAAGGAGGTCAGAGAGAACTGTTCGATCAAGATTCCGTAGGTTTCATCGATGATACTGAAGCGCGAGTTCGTCCGTTCAGAAGTTGTGCGTGCTGTATGAGAACCCCATCTGTGTCCGTCTAAGTGGAAGTTAGCGCATTATCTCCGCTGGTGTTATCCCCGACAGTTCGGACGATGTTGTTCGGACTGCTTGCGTTATGTCAATAAGGAGGCAGTATTGCGATGTAGCGGGGCTCAAAAAAGCAGTAAAGCTCGAACTATGTTTTGCATTGGTATGTGAATCAATACGTCCCGCACAGTCGCCTCCGTTCCCGTACGAAAGCGGACGAATCCAGATTATGATTAAAGTATGACCTCTTGATCATACGATGGAGTTGGTATAAGCCCCTTGATGAAATAGTGTACTTCGCAAGGTCGCTGTTCGTGATGTCGTAGCAAGCCAGTTGCACGGGACGTCTACGCCCTCTCGTCTTCCTCTTTCTGTGGTGTCCGCGGCCGATCTACCATGACATATTCAGTGCTCTTGTCAGATGTAAGAGACTCTGACAACGCACCTGTGGGACAGTCTGCTTCTTCGGCATTATTGTGCTGTGCTCGGCGCGCGGTCGTGGGGCTGCTGGAGTTGGAGGATTGTTGCATCGGTTCGTGGGAGACGTCGGAGAAGGCGCCTTGGACGGGGCTTCGTCGCTGACTATCCTTGCGCGTCGGAGGTGACTCCTGAGCGAGCTTCAGGCGCTCCTCTGTCTCTCGCAGTCGAGCCTGCAGGGCCTCGAGCTGCTGTGTGTGCATTGAGACCTCTCGCTTCCTGCGGTGGCGTTAACAAGATGCATATCGGCATGGGTGCGAGCCATTGTACTTTTTGTGTACATTTCTGTCGAGCGAATCGAGGTCTCCATCCATCTTGAAGAGGTTGTCCAATTCGGCCATGAAGTTTTGAGCTATGGTGCTGCAGGTCGAATTAGCTCCGTGTGGCCAAAGGCTCCGGAACGGGTCCCTTACGACTGCGGCCGGCCATTCGGCTTCCAATCGCGGTCGGGGTCTTCCATCATGTATATGTGACGAGTGGAGGGAGGTTCAACGTGAGCGCTCGAGGAAAGGGGAGCTGGGAGCTCGAAGGACCTTAAAGCGGGTCCTGGGTGGTGCCGAGTTCAGCCCGAGATGAAGGAGGGCTCCGTAGATTGAGGGATGAGGAGCAGATGCAAGCGGACAACGGGCTAAGATGAATCAAAGACGTTTCGTAGTGGACAGCCGGCTCAGGCGAAGGGTGTCGAGCATGACATGGCCGGCCTGAGACTGAGGGGTCGTGTGAAAGGACGGCCGCGCGGTGGGGATGATAGATAACCTTTGCAGCGAAAAGGAGGCCTTTGCCCATTCCAGATGGGTAAGGCGGAGGCGCCGATCCGCGGGAGGGAGGCATGAAAGGGATCAGAAAAGGGGCCCAGAGGGGAGCGGAGCGACTGTGTTCACCTGCAGCCATCACTACCACACCTGGGCAGCAACTGAGTATTGACTAAATCACAAGACCTTGCTACTCCAAACATCAACATCCCAACGCCGCACGCGCGACCCTCTCACCGGACCCCCTCTCCGTCATTCACCACCTCACAGACCCCAGCCTGTGCAAGTGCTGGGGGTGCCAGGGTGCTTCGATTCCGATCACGTGAAGTTGCCAAGAAAAGAGCGCGCCTGGGCCCCATTTGATTGGCTGTCAGAGACATTCCCCAGACACTCCCAGCGCGACAACCGACCGCCGCAAGAACACCACAGTACCACACCCACCCACGCCCTTCCTCCCATCAAACGCGACGGTTTCCGTCGCCAGAAATCCAGAACTCCATCTCCCGCCGTAACCTATACCCCGTGCGACAACCGGATGCTCGACTCCTGCCCCACCGCTTCGCGTTCTCGGTCGTGCTGGCTCCCCTCCCACTGCTCTCTCATCGCCCGCGTGCCCCAGACCTCGCGCACTGGTACCGGGGGATGAATACTACCCTCACCGCCTACACCCACCTCGAGTCGCTGCTGCTTTTTCAGTCCCTCAGCGTCTATGGCCTAGCCAACAATGCCTTCGGCAAGATTTCCGAGTTGCTGAAGAATAACCCTTCCATTACCAGCGACCGCCGCTTCCAGAGCGGCCGCCTGAGCCCGGATGCCTTGCGAAATTTTTGTCTGCACCTGTTGAAAGAGGAGGAGCGCAGTGAGCAGCGCCAGGGTGACCGTGTTGATGGTGAAGTCCAGAATGGAGAGGTTCGGAATGCGCGAAAGCGCAAGGCGCCCAGTCCGTCATTCCCCACGGTCCAAGAAGCAACCCAGCATGCCCACCTTATTCCCAAGCTCGTCAACAAGCTGTACGCCCGCTACCGAACCGCCCTCACCAACGAGATTCGAGATGAGGAAGAGAGATATGATAGGTTGCAGAGGGAACTGCAGTCCATCGAGCGTGGGGAGCGTGATGCTGAACTGCTAGAAAGAGTCAATGGAAAGTCTCCTGTGCCGCCCAGTCCCAGGCAACCTCTCAACTCGCCTCTGCTTCATCAGAAGCCCGTATTCCCCAGCCCCAGCGTAAAATTTCCTATGCAGGGCCACGTTCCAGTTCCCACTCGTGCGACCAGTGCGACTCCTGTCCCTCCTCTTCAGCCGTCCTCAGCCGAAGGTCAAAAGTCCCCGGCGCCGTTGAATGGATCGATGCACGTGGATTCTGCGAAACAGCCATCGGATACGAATCATAGACAGGACTTCTACCCAGCTGTATCACAGCCACGTCCTCTGCAAAGTCCAAGCCCTCATCCGCATCCTGCTCAACCTCAACCCGCGCAACCACCATCGACGAAACTACCGTACAATGCCGCTCCGTATCTCAAACCGTCGCCATACCATGCTCAACCTCCTCAACAGAATGCTCTCCCCGCTCACGGAACCCCTCCCGGAGGAATCCCACCGCCTACAAGCCCGCTGGAGCTGCAGCGAGGCCTCTCTCCAACACACATCGGCCAGAGTATACAACGGTTGCCGCCTGGGCGTGGTGTGTCTAGAGGTGAAGGACTACCGCAGCAGTGGCCCCAAGGCTATATTGGTGCCGGCTCCCGCACTAGCCCATTGCCTGGTCAATATCCCCTCTTGGTTCAGTCATCCCAGCAGTACCAAGTCTCATATGCAGCCCCATCGCAACCTTCGGCTTCTCAGCTCCCTCAACAGCAACGCAATAACCTTGTCACGGGAGCGCCCACCTACCCACCACCGACGCAGCCTCACCCCACCCAGCCTTCGCCCCAAGGAGGCTACATGCTCCCTCCTTTCCAAATAACTCCGCAAGGTCCTCCGCGTCCGCAGCCACCAGTGCCGTATCCTCAAGTCTCCACACCCATTGCCAGACCCCAGCAGCCTGTTGTTTCAACTCCTTCCTCGACATCTACGATTGGACGGCAGTCACTGCCACAGCTTCAACCCCCCAGCTATCGTCCCGTGGACGCCTTCTCAACGCCTCCAAGCGTACGGACTCCGCACAGCGACGTAAGCACACCACGGCTTTCATTCCCTCGATGGAAGCCGTCTACGCGGCCTATTGCAACCCCTCTAGTGTCGCGGCCTCAATGGGAATCTGTGGATGATTCAGCACCGCAGGCAATAATACCTGCTAAGCCGACCCAGAGCAAGGCTAAGCCTCCAAGAAAGGAAAAAGGGAACGGAAAGGCAAAGGCAAAAGAGTCGGAGAAAGAGCCAGAGAAAGAGGAGGGGCAAGAAGATGCGGCACAAATTGAAGTGGCGACTCATGACCGGGATGTAGACCAAGTGTCGGAGATGGAAACACGTCAAGGACGGAGCCGACGGACAGGTTTTTCCAAATCCACTCGGCCACCCAGCCTTGCGTCTTCAAGAGCCGGCGGGTCTGTTCGCGGGCGCAGCAGAAGTCAGTCCATCATGTCGCACGCCGAGACACCTGCAGCGGAAATCGAGTCGCAGGCCGGCACTCGGATCAAGGATGAGCGACGCCCATCCATCGATGTTCACATGGCAGATGAAACAATGGGCGCCCCTTCTCAGCCAGTGGTCCGTGGCAGAGGCGGCGCTTCGCCATCCAAAGGTCGCAAACGCACAGCTCGCGAAGCTTCCATCGCCGAGTCGGAAGAACATGTTAGCAACGTGGATGAGCCGTCAGGAGCAGCAACAGCAGGAGCAACAGCGAGGGTGGTCATTGCTCCTCGCAACTTCTCACGCATGTGCAACCCCATCATGAACGACATTGCCTCTCACAAACACGCATCGACATTCAACACGGCCGTCAAAGCCAAGAATGCAGAAGGCTACTACGACATCATCAAACGCCCCACGGATCTCAAGTCGATCCGGCAGGCCATCACGGCAGGTGCAAAAGTCGTTGCCGCAGCCGCTTCGAGCATATCCGACACGCCCAACGCCAACGGCGGGAGCACTCCTAGCGGAAGCAGCAGCGGCTTCATCGAGCTGCCCCTCAGCGAGGACTCGGTGCCGCCCAAGGTGATTGTGAATTCCGCACAGCTGGAGCATGAGTTGATGCGCATGTTTGCCAATGCCGTCATGTTCAATCCCGGCGAAGAGGGTGTGGTCGAGGATGCCAGGGAGATGTTTGAGAGCTGCCAGGAGGCGGTGTCCAACTGGAGGAGCAGTGCTGAGAGGTCGATGATGGCTCTCGGAGCAGGGAGTGGGGTTGCGGTCGCTGGAGAGGAGACTCCGGCAACGGGCGCCCAGACGCCTGCGGACGACAAGGAGAGGGAGGATGGTCCGGCGGCAAGTAAGCGGAGAAAGGCCTAGAAGGTAGTCATGCCGTGGTGGCCGTTGAGTCTGAAATTGAGGGTGCATAAAGTGCTTGGGATGGATACTACTGCGTCGAGTAGCCGGTTGCTACAGTGGGTTTGGTATGGCTGGATTCCAAGGTTGCTTCAAGACTGTCTTGATAGGTGTGGTTAATCCAGTAATGCATTCGCAGAGATAATCAAGAAGCGAAGATGAGCCCTACTACCGAACTATCCCTTGATCGATTACTATACTAGTAGCCTACTAGATAACTGCACAAAATACCTAGGTAACCAACGATGGCAGTTCGAGAAGGGAAATCACGTGCGCCGGGCGTCTCCGACCTGTGGAACATATCAGGAAGAAGAGGTATGGCCTGACACAACCACCAGACGCGAACATCTCACGCCATCTCCTTCCGTTCCTTCTGCCACGCGCTCACGCAGAGAAAAGTGAGAACTGGCACGCTCCTAGGTGCATGCTGTGATACTATTCTTTTGCCGGTATCGTCCAATGATGCTCTGAGGGCTCCCCAGGTCCTTTTGGACTTTTCTCCGCTTGCTGCAGGGTCTGCGGGTACCGCTAGGTTGGCGAAAGGTACGAGGTAAAGAATTATTGTTATTATTGGCTTATTTTGTTCCAAGGGTAGGAGTGGATCATGACGTCGCTGCTGCTTTCAGGGCCTGATTGTATCCGAGTGGTAGACCATTGGTTAGCTGCGTGCAACTCACATTGAAATCCTGCGAGACCAGCTTATGGCCTGCAAAAAAAATGGAAACCTCAACCACTCAATCAGGTCTTTTGTCAAGGCCGAGATTCTGCTTCCTACAGGTACGAGGAATACTCCTGAGCTCCCTGCACAATCGACTACCGCGAGTCTAGATCAGGCCATCATAGCTGCACGACGACGATGAAAACGAATTCTTTACCGAGTCCGCATGGGAATCTTCAAAGCCATTATTGGCACACGATGACTGCAGAAAACGAGAGCAGCAAAATAGCTGGGCCTGGAATCCCCACCGAGCCACTACAATGCGAGCATGCACCCATTGACCTACTACCCTAGGGTATGCGAACCAATGGGCTTGCCGCCCCTATAGTATACTCCGATGAACCAGACCGTTCCACCGACCTACCCGTCACTAAACCCAGCGGTCCACTTGATCCCGGGCGGGGACATGGGAGTTCCCCAAATCAATGGCATCACCGTAGAATTGGGGGGCCGTGGCTGCAACGGCCTCGGACGCCATCGCCTGATAGAAGAAGTCGTCCATGGGACCGCCGACAGCTTGCAATTCATATCGACTCCTTCACCACACGTGCCCCTGAAGACAGTGTTCCGCCGACTTTGACTCTGCCTTATATTGGTACCATTGCTGCGCCCAAGAGATATCGTTCATCATCATCCCATCAGCATCATCACCAATTCACCACCATTGCCACCGATACTTTTCGACAATGCAACGACCTTTCCACCCCATGATCCTCGACGACGAGGACCTCTCTATGCCTATTGACCAAGAAGCCTTCCATGAGCCGTACTTCACCTACGATGGCCTTTCGACCGACAAGCCGTTATTTGACCACGCGCAGTTCGCGCTCTTCAGTTTGACCAACTCCTGTGCGTACAGACCACCCACTTATCCGGAAGAGGAGCGACCAACAATAGCACCATCTCAAATCATGTGGAACCCAACCTTCGGCCTCGCAAGCACAGAACCTTGCTATGGGGCTCCTGCCTACAGCACCAGCGAAGGCCGCCCAACAACGACATCCGCACAACAGCACCAACAAACAAAACTACCACCGTTCGGCCCTCCAGGCCCGATCCATTCACTGAGGTTCTCATCACCAGCCTCCGCCGCTGCTGCACTCTCCGCTCTTGACTACCCGCCTAGGACGCGAGCCATTTCCCGGACCCCTTCACTCTGCGGCGATGGGCCCAGTCTGCTGATAAAACCGGAGCCTTCGTCTCCGCAATCCCCTCAACTATCACCCTCACCAGGCTTCTTCCCCTCCAAATCACAACAAATGACAACCCCATCACACTGCCTATCCTCCTCCCTCCCTACAATGCCAACTCCAACAACAAGGATACCTTCCTCGTCGCTCTCGTCCCCATCCCTAAAACCCGTGCACCGCACCCGCGGCCGTCCCCGCACATCCTCCATGCCCCAGCACTCCACCACGAAAACCAAATCCCTGACCTCTCCCACCGGCTCCCCCGGCGCGATCACCAAAACGCCCAGCACCCACAAGGACGTCGAGCGCAAGTACCGCCGGGGCATCAACAACGACCTCGAGCGTCTGCGTCGGGCTATTCCCTCGCTCAGGTCCCTGGAGTCTCCGGAGTCGTCTGATGCTAAGGAGGTGCTGCAGGGGCAACAGGTGCCGACGGTGGCGATGGCGAAGCCGACCAAGAGCCAGGTTTTGGCGGCGGCCGTCGAGTATATTCGACGGTTGGAGGGGGAGAGGAACGGGTTGAGGAGGGAGGTTGCACTGTTGAGCGCGGGTGCAGCTGCTGTGGTTGGGGTGTGAGAGGAGTAGTAATCTAATGTTTATCGTTCGATAGGGCGATCACGAATTCGAAGAGGAGGGATTTGATTCGATTGGCTTGGCTTGGGACTAACAGCTGCTTGGATGACGGCGGCCTGGAAGGCAAAAAGGAACCAATTCCGGACGGAGCCACGGATTTATGGGGTTGTCCTTCATTCCCTTGGAGAGTTTCCTTCCGCACTTCTACGCCGATGTTGGAAGAAAAGGGAAGGTTAATGAATGTTACGGCCGAGAGACGATTTGGATTCGCGAACTTCATCTTTGTTTGGCTCGGCTCTCCATGCACAAAAAGTCCTAATGATGGATTTTTGGGTTTGGCAAAAAGGAAGAAGGGATGCCGTGAATGGATAGGCAGCTCTGTATATGGTAAAGTGGGAGATAGCCGGTTCGGTAATGGGCTTCGGAGGGATTAGGGGATGTGGGGAGGGATTGGTAATGAGTAATGCGCTTTTTGCATAAAGGCGCTTCGCTTCCTCAGAGACGAATGGGTGATATTCTGAGCTTGAAGGATATTTCAATCACAGTCGAGATCGCCATGGTCGTATGATATCATCACACTTTATGTTCAACTGTGAAGACATTGCATCCAAAACCAAACGTATACGTAAAGCATATCCCCAAACCAAAGCACAATCTCTGAAACACAACAAAAACTCGACTCACGCAGCATACCAACCCTTACCCACCGTGAACCAGATCTGTCCACCAACAACAGTTTTTCTTACTGTCCCATTTCCCCTTTCCTGCTCGTGCTTTCCACTACCCACTCCCCACTCTCTACGCCAGAACCTCTCAACGCACAACCAAAACACTACGCTGCTACATACCTATCCGACCGATAATACCTTTCGGGCGTAGCTGTGCATGCTTCCACCTGACTCTTCCTCTGGCCAACCCGACGGGCATACCTCCCGGTCCCGCGCCTCCTTTCCATCCCATCCGTACTACGCTTCAACCTCGCACCTCCTCTCCTCCCCATCCACGTCTTCTCCCTCCCCCCTCCATCCCCGTCCCCGTCCCCAAAACACGCCTCTGCACTCCCAGGGATCGGAGAACTCGGCCACTCCCCCTCCCAATCCACACTCACACCATCCGGAACCACCGGTCCCGGCCCAAAGAACCACGGTAATACCTTAGCAGCGACATCACCATCCCCTTCTCCGCCTCCACCTTCATCATCATACCCAGACTCAACCTCAATCTGCCTTTTCCTCCTCCTGGCCACCTCTTTCCCACGCACAACCCCCCGCCGTCGCTCATAACTCGGCCAAAACTCCTCGTACCCCTCGGGCTCCTCGCCGAACAGCGCGAGCACCGCGGAGTGATCGGCTATACCGTCGTTGGATGTGAGGCCAGTCGTGGGGTCCGTGAGGTAGGGGTTGGGGCTTGGGAGGATGGGGATGCCGGCGTTGGGTTGGAGGGGGGGTGGGTGTGGAGTTGGGGATGGGGAGGAGGGAGCGGAAGAGGGAGATGGGAAGGACGGAGAGGAAGGGCCCGAGTACCAGTCTTGGTTTTCGTTTTCGTCTTCGTCTTCGTCTTCGTCGTCCTCTTCGTTCCCGTTTTCGACTTCATCTCCGTCTGCATTGTCGTCTTGGGCGTTGGATTCCGGAGCTTCCGGGGTCTCAGCATCGGTGGAAGTAAGAGCGTCGTCTGTTTCGGCTTCCGCTTCTTCCGCTTCCTCCCCTTCCTCATTCACATCTACGTGATGCTCACCCTCTTCCTCTTCCTCTTCTTCTTCCACCTCTTCCTCCACCTCTTCTTCCTGCTCCTCCTCTTCCTCCCCCTGCCTCCTCATCACCAGCACCTCCCCGCTCGACCCACCAACAAGAGCAGGCTCACACCTCATCCCCGCAGCTACCTCCCTCACCTCACCCCAACCCCACGCACCCGCAGGCCCAAACGGCCCGCAGGTATAAAACTGCGTCGGCGATCTGCACAGCAGGGTCCCCGGTCGACAGGGCAGGAAGGCCTCGACGTCGTCTCCTACGTACGAGGGTTCGCATGGGACTGTAGAGGATATAGGAGAGGCGGACGTGGAACCGTTCGGAGCGGAAGAGGAAGAGGAGATGTTGTAGGTCTCGATAAGAGGGAGGATGGGTGCTAGGATTTCGGAAACCGGGGGTGTGACGTCGGTGGGGGTAGGACTGGGAGGAGCAGTGGTGTAGGGTAATCGTGTGCAACTCCGCGTACATGGGTTGATTTTCACACAACGATTTGGCGATGAGCAGGCATCGCAGTACCACTGTGGGTCCGAGCAGGAGGAGGTAGTCGATGAAGGAGGAGTAGTGAGACCATCGTAGCGAGTCACTACCGACGTCCGCGTGAGCACCTCCTCATCCTCCGCAGCAGGTTCGACAGTTTCAATTTCCGGATCAACAACTTGTCTCCGGAATTCGAATGCATCAGTCTCAGAATTGAAGAAGACGGGGCTGTCGGTGAAATCCCACGCGTCCTCTGGATTCTCCTCCCACCAGAGACCGGAGGTGTCGTCGACGATGTCGAGTCCATCGTCCCAGATGTCAGACTCGCCTTCTAGGCCATCTTGGGGAAAGAGGGTGTCGAGGATTTGGTCGAGCAGGTCTTCGTCTGAGGGGGAAACGGTGTCCGTGGGACGGGATGGATCGGCGGGGATCTCTTCGGTGAAGGTGGAGGAGAGGCCTGTTATCTCGGGGATGGGCACGTCGTTGACGCCGCTGATGATGGGGATGGGGCTGTCGATGGGGATGGGAGTTGTAGGGAGTGAGAGGATGTCGGTGGGGTCTGGCGTCGGCAGAGCGAAGGATTGTTCAGGTGTAGATGGGACACCAGGCTCCATTGACGAATTGTCCACGTCGTTGTTGGGGCTGGATGTCGGGATACGATCCACCTCTGCACTCGTGATGTCTCCGATGAATGACTCGATGATGGGCCCCTCATCCACCTGTGCGGATGTCGAAAGCGCCGGGCTCACCGATACGTCCACGGTAACTGTAGCCTCATCTTCAACAGTGCGAGTTGGCCAACTAAAACCATGCAGAGACCCCTTCGTAACGGATCCAGCAGCTGGATCGACAGAAACAACGGCTGGCGCCGTAGGCTCCACAGATCCCGAGTTGGGTAAGGGTAATACCTCGGTCGCGGGTACTGCGACGGAAAAGCCATCTGGATCGCTAGTAAACGGCGCATCCACAGGGACAGTGCCCGTACCATCGTAGATCGATGTCAGCGAAGGAACGGCGGCCGAAATCGTCGTCGACGTCTGGTCCAGCGCAAGATAACTCGCCGAATTATCCGAATCTACAGCGGGCACAGGAGGCGGAGGCACAAACCCCTCCGGAACAGGAACAACCCAGTCGTCAGGATAACCGCTTCCGAAGCCAGCATGGAGGAGGAGATGGCCGTTGCTGTCGTAGATAGCAGTCCGTAGAGGTAGCACGGAAGTGATGGTTGTGGAAGGTTGGGTTAGAATCACGTAGCTTGACGTCCCATCCGACACCACTACGAGATTGTCGAGGATATCAGACGATAGAGGGGTTGGGGCCGAGACACTTGGTGTAGGTAGGTTCAGTGGGAGCATGTCAGGCGCTGCGAGGTCAGGAGGGGGTTCTTGTTGGCGGTTCACGTTCCAGTCTGTGAAGTCCGGGTCTTCGTCGAGGTAGGAGTACTCGTTCGCATTGTAGTCGTAGTAGTCGTAGTCCCTGTAGTAGGGTATCCCAGTATCTCGCACGTCCTTTCCGATCCCTCCATTTCCGCCACGGCCTTGACGGAGCATAATCCTTCCCGGCTTTTGGAGAAGCCTCTTCGGTGTCTACAACCTCGGCCTTGACCTCTGCATTGGTTGGAGGAAGATCGATAGTCGAAGAGGTCGACGGCTTGGAATAGCAGTCGGGATGCCATTGGCCGTCGTTGCACTGCGCAGGCTTCGACGGCCCATCGTCCTCCGTGCCGTCATCCCATTTCCCATCACTGCCAGAAGACTCGTGAGCACCCTGCCAGGACGAGGCACTGTCGTCAGAAGAGGTGTCCCCAGCCGATGATGGCGACGATGACGGCACTTTCGAAAAAGATGCAGATCCACCGGATGCTGCCCTACGCCCATCTCCCGTACAGCGATTACTCCTCTTGATCCTACTCCACGTCTTCGGCGCCGCAGCGGCGCTGCCTTCGCCATACTCCACATCATCGCCCGGGTCGTCAAACACGACGTCCGTAGTCTCCTTGGTGGTGCAGCTGTTGATGCCCGCAAGATTGGCCACATACAGCGCCGGCAGCCTCTCGAGCGCCTTCTGGGCAGCCATGTTCGCGTTCTCGGCGGCCAGAGCGGTAACATCGCGCGTATTCTTCTTCTTCTCGTAGTATTGTCCTTCGTTGTCGTTGTCACCCACACCGACGATATCGACAACGGCACAATTCATATACATCTCTCTATTCCCAATCCTATTGAACCTGCGGGCCGTCAATCCTCAGATAAAATCACCAAAAGAGCAGTGTATACATACCACGTCCAACCGAGCAAACACCGCGCACTCCTCGCAAACCCGGGAACCGTAAATGCATACTCCTTCTTAACAGGACACCCGCCAATGATGCTCTTCAGCACCCTGAACCTGACGCCATTATCGCAAGACAGCGCAATCTGGCACGACCCGCCGCCGTGCGTCGCCCCGCCCTTGAGCCGCAGCGTGTACGTCTCTCCGGCGTGGTACGTGGCGACGGGCATGGGGGGCGTGTTCCATTGGTAGCCTTTGCAGGTGAAGTCGCGGCCGTCGGGTTTGAGGGGCGTGAGGATGTTGTAGTCTTTTGGTTCTTGGGGGCGGTTGCTGTGGGGGTCGCGGAGGGGCGAGGGGGATTCCATTTGCATGTGGGAGAGGGCTGGGGGAAGACATAGTGAGAGTGCGGAAAGGGTGAGGAGGAGAGTGGAGGGAGCCATGGTGGGATGGAGGTAGAGGCTTGGGGCGCCTGGAGGGTTTCATGATGGGGACGGCGGAGTAGAAAATAGATGTTGGGAATGCAAGGGAAGGGGGTGATCGTCGGATGATGTGTATCAGGCAGAGAAGCGTGAATTCCTGCACTGTGATGATCTCCCTTGATGGCGAAATGGTCGAAGGCTGTGAAGTGGCTTGAAGGTGGTGGTTTTCAGCGGCGGATTCGAATCATAATGACTAAGAAGACAAGTCGTCTGTCAGTCTTCTTCTTGTCAGTACGTCTACTTTCGAAGATCCGTCGTCGACAAAGATTTTCCCTAATGATGTTGCCAAAACATCCTCATTGCCAAAACAGGAGAACTGGAACGTATCAATCGAACGTCGAACGCATGACAACCATGGGAAAACCACATACCAGAGACACATCCGTACCACTACAACAAAGCTTGCAAAGCTTCGCAGAAGCTTGTTTTCAATCCGAAGTAAAGATCGACTCGAAACCCCCCTCTCTCCATCTATCCCTTACAATAACAATAACAATGCGAGAATGGTGAGAGTAACCCCCTCTTATTACTATTACCAAAGCCAGGTCTAATCCACCAAAAACTGCTCAATCTCCTTATCACTCTCCGCCTCCTGATCTTCGGCCAACCTCCTCTCCTCCCTCTCCAGCGCCTCCCGTATAAACTTCCTCTGCCTGACCCTAGCCTTCTTTCCCCAGTCTCCCGGCCTCGACTCCTCCTCGTCCTCATCACTGCTATCGCCCACACCCGGAATCTCAATCTTCCCTTTCTTGCCTCCCCTGAGGTCATTCGGGCTGATTTCCGCGCCCAACGCTTCCGTCTCCGCGGCGTCGGCCTCGTGCGATTTGGTCTGCATGCGGCCGCCGAGCTTGATCAGGTAGGGGCGGAGGAGACAGTATGTGCCGACGATGATGACGAGGCGGATCCAGTCCTTGGGGGTCATGTCGGCGAGGCCGGCTTTGGTGTTGCGGGTGAAGTTGCTGCCCCATGTTGAGAGGAGCTGGCTGATGCTCTGTCTTTGGTCCGCCATTGTGAGGGAAGGATGTGATGGTTGAGGGGAGTGGAAACGTGTATGGGATTGTGTTCGGCAAGTCAGTGTCGATTCGCGGGATTCGGGACGATGTAATGTTTAATCGAGTGGTTGATGGTTGGTCGGGAGATGCCCGACAAAATCCGATGAACTCTGTCACCCAAAACGTGTGTACTTCCAAGCTGCGCAGCTCTTATATCAAAATCCGTAGCCAGAACTGTCAGTTAAAAGGAGAATGTGCTTGTCCTCTCCAAAAAGTCCCTCAAGACTCTGCGGAACCAAAATCGCGCGCGCCAAAAGGTGGATCGCGGATAGGCAAGTGGGAGTCCAATCGGAGATTTTATTGAAAAGGGCTTGGCAGGCGCGTCATGTCGCGTGTTCCATCACGGACCCCCACATCCGCATCGCATAACAGTGCACAACAGCCCATTCTACGAGAACCCAGATACCTATCACCAGACCCAATCGTACCCATGGCATCCACAACGGCCGCCATCGAGAAAGAAGAAGTACTCCCCCCTTCCCCCTCCTCCCTGCCCACCTCGCAAATCTGAACCTCCCCCAGCGCCTCAAATCCGCCCTCTGGTACGCCCTCGGCCAATACATTGACGAAATCTCCCTGCAAAAGGACCTCCAAGCAACCCCGCAATTCATCGGCGCCCTTACGGAGCTCGTCTGGACGCAGATCGCAAACACGGCGCGGGACCTTGAGACGTTCGCCAAGCATGCTGGGAGGAGTGTGATTCGGGAAGACGATGTGATGCTGTTGGCGAGGAGAAATGAGGAGTTGGAGGAGATGTTGAGGAGGAGGTTGGAGGAGATTAGGGCGGAGGAGGGCAGGGAGGGTGGAGTAAGTGGGGAGAGGAGAGCGAGTAGGGGAGGAGCCGTGGCAGGAAGGGGAAGGGGAAGGGGGAGGGGGAGGGGGAGGGGGAAGTAGGGCGATACGGAAGAGACACAGTCTAAAGTCGCAGTATGGTCAAGAGCGAGGATTCGCGGGAGTTTTGGTGTTAGTAAGGTTATACCCCTTCAGGACGGCAGCGTTACACACAGGTACGAGCACGTATGATTACATTTTGTTTCATTAAGATCTCCACTCCTCGGTATCCGGGGTGGAGCGAAGAGGTAACCGAAAAAAAGGTATTAGGGTCATCAGGACGTATACTACAATCAACCTTCCCGCACCATCAGTCATGTCCTAGATCTGTCCCGAGATCCATTGCCTGGTATAATGCGTATTCCGAGTATAAAGAGTACAAGCGAGGAATTCACACACCTCTCTCGATCAGATCTCAATCCGGTAGAAACTGCCGGCGGATGCAACTCTTTAACACCCCTAGTAGTGCGCAGTCGTCGGAGCGTTGTAGCCGGTCTTGTTGTAGGTGCCGGTTGGGGCAGTGTGATAGCCTCCAACCAAAGGCTTGTGGCCGTCTTCAGCGGTAGTGCCGGTGTATGCCGTATCGTAGGATGGGCGGTAATCGTTCGCACCGGGCGCCAACGTTCCAGTGGTCTGACCGGCGCCAACCGCAGATACGGTGCCAGCCATTTCGGGATCGCGAGGACCAGTGTGGCCCTTGCGGCGCCAGAACTTGGTTCCCCTGCCATAAGTGTAATTGTTGGCGGGAGAGGGGCCGTAGCGCTTCTCCCTCTTATGATGGCGGCCTAGGGCAAGCTGGACGAAAGCCGAGATGAAGAAGAGGACACTGTTCGAGTCAGTCAAAGCAACCTCAGTCCGAGAAAAGGCATAACTTACGCTCCGACAATGGCAACCGCAAAGCAGGCCTTGTTCATGCGGCACGCAGTGCCAAACGAGACAGCGTAGGTAACCTGGTTGCCCTGTCCATTGCTCCCGAAGCCTTGCTTGGTGTTTGCGGGAGCAGTTCCCCAAGGAGTACTGACGATACCGCGGCACTTGTGAGAACCGCCGCGGGTGAGCACTGCAATGGCGATGAAGGCGCCGGTGAAGAGGAGATCAAAGACCATTCCAAGGAAGGCGAAGAACATCTTGCCTCCTAGGAAGCAGGTGAGGAGAACGGCGAAGAGGGTGTAGAGGACGGCGGCTCCAGAGAGGCCCTCGACGGCCTTGACCCAAGTGAAGATTCTGGCATCCCGATCGGCGAGGACAGCGAGGAAGTAACTGTAGAGACCGAGAATGATGGCAGCGCAGCAGAATTCGAGGGCATAGAGGAAGGTTTGCAATCCCTTGAGGGCAGCACCGCCAAGCGCCATGGTGACGAAGTGGTTATGGGTGTCGTGATGAAGCTAGAAGTCTTGCTGTAAATGGCGGCTATAGGTGATTTCGGAAGGGAGCGGAAACGCATGAGATGCTATGGGTGGAAGAGGTTTTATATCGACAGGCCCAACTGCTCTCTCGAGTGCGACATGTGACGTCATCCTGAATCACCGTTCGCGGTTCGATTTGCAGTTGATCTTTGTTGTCATGGGCTTGCGATAGACTTTTTGGCTGAAAACCAAGCCATTTGATGATGCGTCCCTGGGCCGGCGCAGGATTAGTTCAGGGTCCTCTTCGTCATCGGCGAAGCACAGCCACACCAGTGTGATTCCAGAACGTCACATCCTCACCGCCGGGCGGTTGACGGGACAAGTGTGGTTGAGAGCATCCACATCCATCTCAACGTGGGATGAATGGAAACAAACCGGTAACTTCTACGGGAATATGGCGAGCTCTGAGAACTGATGTCTCTTGTAACCGTGCTAGTCCAAACGTCTTTGGACAGCAGGGTGCTCGCATGGCCGTCACCGATTATATCTTCAGTGAATCCTCGACTCCCAACGTCCAGAGTAGATCGATTTTCTTGTCGGTTTTGATCTTGTCGCCTTTCCTTTGAGTCTCCGTTTGAGCATATCTCGTATCTATGAGCTGCTCTTCCTGTAACACAAGGAGGGAATGTGCAAAGCAAGGTTCAATCTCTTTGCCTGCTTCGTCCGCTTCGACGGGCACTTCCGGCATTTACAGTTTTCCCATCTTCGTTGGTTGCGCCGTTTAGGAAATGAAGTCACGTTCGAAGGGCGGACACGGCATTCATCAAGGTACATAATAACTCCTGCGAGCGTTCGATAAGTTGACCACAACATCAGCATCATGCCTTTCAGGAAGAGTCGGACGCCTTTTAAGTATTTCCACGGGATAAATCTCATTGGCCATTCGTCCGAGAAAACTACTTCAATTTTTGATTGGTGGAAAATCCGGGGTTCCGGCATTACCTGGAACGGCAGTCCCCCCTTCCCCCATTGCTATCCTCCCACCCTCCACTCCCCCAGAGTCAGGATGGATAGAAGTGCAGTTTGCTTCCGCGTAACACTAAAGTCACGATCCCTCGAGCTGTTCTGACGCCTCAATGACGACGGCGAGTGTGCACATTCGCGTGCAAAAGACTGGACGGCGGCTCAACGTTAACCATTCGTAAACAGGCAGAATGTCGGAAGCATGCTCTCCACAGGACCGAGCAGCAACCTTGGAACGGAATGACCTCACAGTTAGTGGCGGGGTCGTTCCTGGCATGGTTCGAACTTTTCTCCGCCAGACTGGAAATCGGGGATCGCGGGCGTTCCTTATGGTTTGAAATAAGCCAGTGCCCCTCCCCATCTTTCCTGCCCCTCTCTCCACAGACTGTACTTTCAATTCTTACCCCTCCGCCTGTTTCTCTACTCCAAAAAAGAAAACCCCATCGTTATCAATATGCCGTATCCCGAGACCACCGACGCCTTCACTGTCACCGACATCAAGACATGGAGCAATTTCAAACGTCAAGAAGTACGTCTGTGACAGCATCTGCGTGTGCAACTCAAACCGCTAACACAGCAAAAAGGTACCTCTCAAGAAGTTTGAGGACCATGACATAGATATTGCCGTTGAAGCTTGCGGTGTCTGCGCATCCGACATCCATACCATCACTGGCGGCTGGAGCACCGATATTCCCCTTCCTCTCTGCGTCGGCCACGAGATCATTGGCAAGGCCATCAGAGTCGGGCCCAAAGTGAAGAACATCAAGGTTGGAGACCGTGTCGGTGTGGGTGCCCAAATCTGGGCCGACCTGACCTGCCCGCAATGCAAGTCCGACAACGAGAACTACTGCCCCAACCAAATCGACACCTACGGTGGCAAGTATCCCGATGGCACAGTTACCCACGGTGGCTACTCTAGCCATGTCCGAGCACACGAATACTTTACATTCAAGATCCCGGACAACCTCGAGACGACAATCGCTGCTCCTATGCTCTGCGCTGGCTTGACGACGTACAGCCCCCTCAAGAGGTTAGGCGCTGGTCCTGGCAAGAAGGTCGCCATCGTTGGATTGTGAGTTCTGGATTCTACCTAGAAAATGATACTTCTGTGCTAATGCATGAGCAGGGGCGGTCTCGGTCACTTCGGCGTCCTCTGGTCAGTCGCTCTCGGAGCCGAGACGTACGTTATCTCCCACTCGGAAAGGAAGAGGGAGGATGCTCTGAAATTGGGAGCCAAGGACTTCATCGTGACCAACAAGGAGGGCTGGGCCAATGACTGGAAGTTCACTTTCGACTTCATCATCAACACCGCCGACGCTACACATCACTTCAACCTCAAGGATTACTTCTCCACCCTCAAGGTCAACGGAACCTTCCACATGGTCGGCTTCCCCGATGAGCCACTGAAGGAGCTACCTGTGACGGCCTTTGCTCCCAACGGTTGCTTCATGGGCGCGTCACATATCGGTAGCCGTCCCGAGATGGAGGAGATGTTCGAACTCGCTTCCAAGCAGAACATCAAGAGCTGGGTGCAGACGATTGACATCAGCGAGGAGGGCTGCAAGGAGGCTGTCGAGCGCTTGTACAAGAATGAGAATGTCAGGTATAGGCTTTGCTTGACGGGTTATGACAAGGTGTTTGGCAAGAGGGATTAGGAATCGCATCTCGATTACCCTTTAGCTTGGACACTGCTCCCCTGGGCTCTGATGTTCCCACCGATGTCGTCACTTTAAATAGCGAGATTTGATAGACGTGATTCAAAATCGAAGAATATTTCTAATGAACACTGGACCAATCCCAAACATGACTTTTCCATGAATCACCCCTTTTATCGACTTGTCAGAAAGAACATGAACTTCCCCACATTTACTGTGTAATGTGCACGGACCCAAACGCGTCTTCCGTCACGTCTGGCCTTCGAGATCTCGACATCACGCATCAGCGCGGAATCACACACACCCAACATCCTCCAAAATCTTCCGAAATCTCTCTCAGGTGGCCTCACCCGAAAGCCCAACCACCAAAATGCCCACCATCCCCCTCCGCCTCTCCAGACCTCGCCCCTCCACACCCACCTCAACCCCGACAAACCCGCTCCCCTCGATCCTGCACACCCCCTCCGGCCTCGCCCTCCTGGAACTCCAAGGCACCATCCGCTTCCCTGCTCCCGAGCACGGTCCCTCCACTTCCTCTCCGCCGTCGAACCCTTCATCCTCAACACCGCTCGCGCCCTCGACGTCGTCGACCCTCGTAGGCAAACTCGTCTTCCCGCTGTACAACCCCGACGTCAATGGCGAGAATGATACAAAGTGGATGAAGCGCGTCTATTTCTATGTAGGCGAGAATCAGAGATTGCAGGGGGAGGTGAGGAGGTTGGCGAAGCCGTTTGCGGTGATTCGGAAGGTGGAGGGGCGGGAGGGGGTGGGGGAGGTGGAAGGGAAAGGGGATGTGCTTATGGGGGATGGGGATGCAGATGGGGAGAAGGAAGTTGTGGAGGTGAGGGACGAGTTGGAGATTGTGGAGATTGTGAGGTTCAAGATTGTGTTTTCTTCGCGGCCGGAGCCGGTTTCGGCGGGGGAGGGGTGAGCAGTCTAAGGTTGAAGAGGAGGATACAAGTCGCCAGATGGAGTGCGCAACCTAAGACTCGAAGCGGGTGATCGTAGCGCCATCATCTGCGATGAAGACCTGGCTTTTAAAATCTGAAGCTTATTGGGAAAGAGATGGGTGAAGCACCATACTGCGCAGGAGATGCGCATGGGAGGGCATCATTATGATGGCTTCGCGCATATTCCGTCACCGACCTGGCTCAACATCATCACCTGCGTATGGCGGTGCAATATCGAACACCCAGATACCCGGATCATACGGGAATCTAAACTTGGAACTGACCACACCGGAAGCGAAGCGACAGTAAATCTACTCGAAAACCGGGGAGTCGAACATCTTGGAACGGTCAACCGTCCCCCGCAATAATGTGGCCTCTGCACCCCGATCTAGGGCTTTTCAAGCCTCAATCCTAATATACGATCTGGCTCTTAAACATAACAAGCATGCTATGAGTGGCTCCGACGTTCTTATTCGCGGTCGAGTCATGCTCGCTCCCCTCCCTTGTAATTAATATCGCAATCTTCCAACGGCGACCACGGTCCGGCGGTTTATTTACATTGCACTATTAAAGAAACGTCACATGGTAATTATAAGGAGGCTAGAAGAATTGACGAATGTGGGTTTCTCTCAAGAGTTATATATATATGAAAGGCCCATAACTCAGAAGTCGCAGTTGTCTTTGCGAGATTTCAAACTGAGCTCTTGGGATCTGCCAGTTCGATATGCATCCTTTATCAACGGTTCTGCTGGCCATTCTGGCTGGCTCTGCTTCAGCAGCCGTCAAAGACTGGCAGCAATGTACGCATCGCTCTCGGCCAATCTCTGGTTGCACAAAATAACATGTCCCTAGGCGGCGGCCTGAACTGGAACGGCGAAACGGAATGCGAATCCACAGCCGGATGTGTGAAGCTCAAGTGAGTAGCTTTGTGCACGTCCATCGTTCCAATACTATCTTTTTCGCACACTGCTAACACTCCACAGCGACTACTACTCCCAATGTCAACCTGGCGCTGCTCCTCAACCGGAGCCAGAACCTGAACCTGAACCCGAACCCGAAATTCCCCAGGCATCGTCCATCCTGTCGGAGACACCCAGTGCAACTGGCACTCCCGCAGGAGCAGGTCCTGGCCGCGATCTCCAAACCGGTTACTACTGGATCCGCGCGGTATGTATTGCTTCTGTCCCATCGATCTCCAGCGTCTAACGCCGATCAGGTGGCCGCCCCCAACTACCACAAATACATGCAGACCAAACCGCTCTACTCGACCGGCCCCGCGCTCCTAGGCGACTACACCACGGCGGGGCAATTCCAAGTCGTCGACGGCCAACTCGTGCAACTCGTCTCGGCCGCCGGCGCCAAACCCGAGAAACTCCTCTACGCCATCGTCTCCGAAACCCGCTACATCAACAACAACTCGCTCTCCGTGACCTTCAGCGAGACCAAGAACACGTACGGCAAGTTCGCCTGGAACGGCGACGGGCTGACGTGGAGCCATCCCAGTGTCCAGCGGCCCAATGCCGCGGCTTGGTATGTGTGCCAGGGCCAGCAGATGTATATCAATCTGGGGAATTATTTGTATCAGACGCCGAGTGGGTGTGCGGATCAGACGATTCATTATTATAATGATAAGAGGGCGAATAATTGAGGGACGAGGGGGTGTGTAAGCGTATGTATGTAGAGGTGGTAGTGAATGTGTCCTCTGCTTTTCTGCGTAGGAGTGTTGTGTGCGTCAGTGAACAACTATTATTTATCTTGATCGTTGCCCTTGGGAACGCAGATCTAGACGCTGTTGCACCTTTTACCATTCGACACTATAATCAGCAGGCTCTCTACTCTGCTTAAATGCTTCCCTTGGTCACCCGGCACAGTGCCAGGAAAAGTTAAGGACCACCCCACGAGTTAATAGGGACCACCCTACGAGCACACTCTATAGCTACTGCACACAGTTAAGCACACAATACAATACATATACAGACTCTAAGACTCCAACTATACCTTCTAGCCCTAATCTTAACTTTATTTACTCTGATCCTAATTGCTCTCTTTGCGCAAAGACACCCTTATTTATAGAGAGAGGAGGTAACAGTAGACGCGTTGTTTCCTTGAATTTGCAGGCCTTAAAATAGACACGCGATCTTCATTAGGGTAGTCCCTATTAACTCGTAGGGTGGTCCCTAACTTCTCCCCTTCCCTGTCTCGCCAATCAATTCGTTTTTCCAGGCCATTGCTATAACAGGTTAGCTTCGTGCACGTGCCGCCGCGTTGCCCATTCCTCCCCGACGCGTTTCGGGTTTCTTCAACCCCCATCATTGCACGCATAGAAAAGCATCCTCCAGCTTTTGCAAAGGGCTTGCCGGGCTGGGTATTGGACAAATCGAGAGACGTGGGATGCAGTGGGTGCACGCCTCAGGTCTCGCGAGAAGCCCTGATGCATGGCTTGGTAAAATCGGGTCGACGAGCTCTGCTCATTTTCCATGAAGGTATGAATATACCATTTTCTTCCTAAATCGAATTTTATTCCAATGTTATCTGACTCGCTTCAGCTCAGCACTGTGGGAAGCGACCCAGATATACCCCCGTCAGGAGTAACTTCTGCGTGGTCAAACGGAACAAAAGCGATGCCAACTGCCCTGACAATGTGAAACGCAGGCGCTTCTCTGCTCCAAGAGCGAGAAGGGAGGTTCTCCGGGATGATGTCCGGTAAGTAAACTCTCCCACCAGAGGTTTGGGCAACTGGAATTCACGCTCTGGCACGGACAGATGCAGAAAGTACTCGACTCCGTGTCAAAATCCCTGGCGATGCACCGTCAAAAGCTCTTCCAATATGCGCATGGACCCATACTTCAGAGGATTCATTGCTCTGACAGCTCTTCTACAGCGAGCGTACCGTTGCTGGATCGACTGCGAGCCATGGTCGATACTTATGACTTCACGTCTGATCCTCATGTGTTGCACTTGATAAAGCGGCAACAACATAATCGTGCCGACATCAAATTGCCCAAATCTATCACCAGCAAAGGTACAAATTGCTACAACAGACTTTGCGGTCTCCTCAAATGGTTCCACCTTGACCGCCGAGATGCGGACTCTCCTGCGGTGGAAGCAGACGTACGACAGCGGATAGATGCGTACAGAGATTGCATCCAAAGCCCCCATAAATGGAGAGACTGGTTACTGAAGAGAACCAGCATATGGCAAAGCTACTCGCGGAACTCGAGGCCCAAAGCAATGCACCTACGTCCAAACCAGACCACCTATCAGCACAAGGTGGCGCAGCTACATCCAAACTGGGCAGCTTATCGTTAAAAATTGAGGAACTCGTCAAGATGTTAGTGTCTGAACACGGCCCAAACTTCTCCGGCCTCGTCTTCGTTGAAGATGCGAAATGGGCGGGTGTTTGAGCCAGAATTCTTTCAGTTCACCGTGATACAAAGAATATCTTCACAGTTGATAGCTTTGTCCCAGAGGGAAAGGTAAATGAGGATGATACCTCATTCCGCACGCAGGAGCAGAAAAAGTTGGACGATTTTCGAGTGGGCCGAATCAACGTGCTAGTCACTACCAGTATTTCCCACCAGGCTATCGCCATTTCCAACTGCCATTTAGTTGTATGCTTTGTACCACCTGACGACCTCGAATTGACTCCGGAAATTCTGGAGGAATTGGGTTCGCCGGAAACCTGGAAGGCAGCAGAGGAGAAGACGCCTGAAGCACATTCGAAGGACATGGAGCAAGCGAGGAGTGTGGAAGAGATGGAATCCATCAATCAAGATGATGGGTGGGGTTTGCAAGACGGAGATGCACCGAAAGTTCCGACTCCCAATGGCGAATCGGGGCTGGTTGAATGCTCTGCGCCGTACAATCCCTGGATACAAGTTGCAGAAGAGCAACGGCGAAATCCATACACTTACCATCAGGTACTCCTGAGAATGGAGGGCGCCGAATTGTGTCCCCAGAACATGGTTCTTCTTATGCCATGCGCCATTCCACAGATACCGGAGCTTCTATTGCACTGGAACAAGCCGAAGAGGTTTTACGTCGAAAGCTCCCCCTTGCCACCTGTGACACTAGACGAACAAGCTCTGGAAACCATGCGCTCGATAACTCGAAAGATCCTCGACTGGGCATTCCTGGGTGGTTGGACAAAGGCCGATAATAACGATTTCCCCTGCCTGCTCGTGCCGCACTCCCTTTCCAGCGACGGAACTTGCAGCATCTGGGATTCGAATCGTCTCAGGGAATGGGATGCTCAGTCTAGTGGAGAAACGTCCGCCATTGAGGATCCTCAGCAAGGACGGCGCGTGAGCGACTGGGCCCTGGTTTCCTCACGAATGACCCGGAACCTCTCCCTAACCCAGGGCATGACCGAGGTTGATCTCGACCTACCTTCTAAGGGAGAACAAACTACTTGCATTCAAGCCATTCCGTTACAGAAGTGGCGGCCCCTTCTTCGCCCGTCACCTGAGTATTCTGGAATGAGATTGAAGCTGCTTAGTCCGGACAACTGGACAGGAAGCAATATACCTGCCTCTTGCTCCATATTCCCTTTCGTCATACCAAGCATCATCGACGTATATGAAAATTTCATGGCTATCGACGCTCTTCGGAAAACTATATTGGCACCTTTGTCGTTTGGAATAAGCCATCTGCCATTGCTCACACGAGTTCTTGCACCCATGTTTGATGATCGAAGATTTCGCGGCGCTTCTATTCTTGGAACCAGTATTTTGAAGCTATACCACTCTATCCACCCTCATGGGTTCAAGGTCCGGACCCACAGCGTTTTGGTTCAGGTTATTACACAGGCCGGTCTAGATAAGTTCATTCTCGAAAGATTCACAGAGGGGAATGAAAGGGAATTGGCTCCCCTGTTCGCCAATGCCACCCTTGGGCAGACCCAGCCGAGGCCCACGCGCTTCCTGCCCGCCGGTGATGTGGCAACTTTCATGAGGGCCCTGGTCGGTGCCTCTTATGTCGTGGGAGGCCTCTCTAAAGCCCTCGCATGCATGCAACTTTTCCTACAACTCGAGGCGACTAAAACTTTCCAAAATACCTCTTTGCCTAAATCCCAAACCTGTCGCATCAAAGTCAACCCCACCGATCTCGTCCCTATAGAGAAATTGCTCGATAACACGTTCGAAGACAGCAAGAAGCACATACTCCTTCGAGCGCTAACCCACCCCTCGTATATCGGCGTGAGCCTTCGCACTGTCAAATCCTACCAGCGGTTAGAGCAGGTGGGAGACGCGGTGCTGGATGTGATCATTGCGAGGAGGCTGTATGGATATGACCCGAACGAGCCCTTGGGGGAGTGTCGCCCTGACAATTGGCGTTTGCGTGATGTCTTGGGCTCTATTGGGAGCGCAGATTTCTTGGCTTGGTGTATGCTCGAGACTACAATACCGCATACGATTGAAGAAGGGGCGGAGAACACCGAACGTGATATCCAAAGAGCTCGTGAAGAGCCCAAAGTACTATGGCACTTCCTGCGCCACCGCGACCTTCCCCACCCCGACGAAATCCTGGCCCAGTACAAGGCTTCCCGCGCGTCCATCCGTGACGCTCTGTCCTCCTCCCCGCGCTTTCCCTGGCATCTATTTGCTCTCCTATCACCGCCCGACGAGTTCTCTGATATTGTGGAAAGCGTCATAGGGGCTGTGTATGTGGCTAGCGACGGGAACATGGAGGCTTGTGAGCGCGTGATAAAGAGGTTTGGGATTCTGCAAGTGCTGGAAGGAATACTGAAAAGGGGTGTCGACTGTAATCACCCAAAGACCAGGCTGAGTATATTGGCGGGAACGGAGCGAAAGACGTTAGAATACGTCAGACTCGGTGATGGACAGCGAGATTCAAGAGGAGCAGGAACAAGAAAAGACAACAGGTGTCGTGGTGTGAAGAGTGGGGCGAATGACGAAAGCATTGAGGAGAACGTGTACAAGGTACAGGTTAGGTTCGATGGCGTTGACGTGGGTGATCCAGTGGAGGGGCCGACTCTGATAAAGGCTGAGACAATAGCCGCGTGGAACGCATTCCAGATACTGGAGGGCAATTCCGGGGGAATTTTAAAGACGGCATCAGGACAAGATATGAGCGAGCACACACCTCCGACCGTACCCCGTCCGGTGAACGAGATATTGGGAGGGGACTCTGGGAAAGATGCGGAGCTGGTTGCAAAACAGGATGAGGAGATCGGATCAGAAGATGTCGCGGAGCGCCCACCGAACGGACCAAAACGCAAAGCTGGACGCCAACCTACCAACAGGTGGGTAAACGATGTAATCGAAGCGGATCCTGCACCATTTGCGGAGGAAGAATCACAAGATATGGATCTCGTATTAGAAGAACATATCGGGACTGGCGAACTACTCACCGGCATGGTGGCAAGCAACGTAATACACTCCAGGAAGTGGTTCAACACAGTGATCGAAGCGGACTATGCACTATTTGGGGAGGAAGAGCTACATGATGTGGATCTGGTATTGGAACAAGATATCGGGACTGGCCTACTACTCGCCAGCATGGCGGCAAGCAACGTATTAACAAACGAGTTCCAGGGCAGTGGTGGTCCCCATCTGATCAAGTATACGCAAGTGGCTGGTCATATGCCGCTACGCATCCCCACGGTGGCAAGCAAAGTATTACCAGAAGACTTTTGGAGCGGTTATGATCCCTATAGAACCAAGCGTATGCAAGCAGCTGGCCATATACCGCTACCCATCCGCACGGTGGCAAAAGTACCATCACCAGATAGCAGATTCACTGTTTACAGGAACTTGGCATTAGAGCAGGATGCCAGGTAGCGCCCATGGGCTGTATGCAGGGCAGTATTCAAATTGCAAAAAGTGTTTCGCATGGCATCCGCAGCAGATATGTTTAGTTGTTTAGCAGCGAGCCGGGGAAATGGGATGATCGAGGGGGGAATTGGAAAATAGTCCAGCAGAAGGGGTTTGACTTGAAAAGGTGTATTTGCTCGACTAGATACCCATAGAGACGCTGAAGATTATCTTCCCAAGACATTACAATCGATCTGCGCGTCACCCTCGCGTAGTGTGATCATACCGCGGTACCAAAAGGCTGCCGTTGCTACTGGGAGTTGATAGCTGAATGCTCACTTTGGGAGGAACATCAGCTAGCTCCACGACTGTGTTATCAGCTACGGTTTCAAGCTTAACAACGGCAACTCCAGCAAATACATACGACCACGACAGTTGGTCGAGCGAATCGAAATAGGTTCATGTCTCTTCATTTACAGGTCATAGACTTGCTCGAAGAGGTCGGTCACGTCTCTATATATCTCTCCGGCCGTTCTCCCGCAGCAGTGGAGACCAACGCCCCTTACAAATTCGTCAGATAGTCCTCGACCTCTTGCGGGCTCAGCTTCCTGAACCGAGGACCCTTTGCGCCTTCGACTCCCTCATATCCCAATAACCTGTCCTCGGGGGGCCCAACAATGCCAATCTCCACAGTCTCGCCGTTCATCTCTCCTTCTATGGTTTCCTTCAGGGTCAGAAGCGCAATGTGGATCGCATCCTCCAGCTCCAGGCCTTCCGTATACCGCTTCTCCAAGAACGTCTTGGCGCTCGTCGCACTCTTGCCAATCGCCGTCGCCTTCCACGGGAAGTAACTTCCACTGGGATCGACCTGGTACAGACTGGGGCCGCCCTTCAAGATCCCGCCAGTCTTGCCGCTGACCTTCTTCTTCTCCGAATCCGTCTCTTCGTCATCCTTTGCTTCACTCTCAGGCTCAATGCCATCGTCCCATCCAGCTATCAGAAGACTGACTCCGTATGGCCGTACACCACCCGACTGCGTAGCCTCCTGCATCACCCTTGCAACATCCTGCACCAATATCCTCGTAGGCGGGTACTCGTTGTAGACGCGCTTGTAACCAGTGTGGGACACTTTCCGTGCTTTGTCGACGAGAACGCGGTAGTCCGGACCCATGCCCGAGTACACCATGCCGATGTTGGGTGTGATGAGGCTGATTTTTGACGACGAGTGGGCGTCGATCAAAGGTGATGAGGACTTCTTCTCTGTGGCGAGGACGATACCATTGGTAGCTGTGGAGGATTGAGTGAGCATGCGGTTGTGAGTGGATAAGCGGCGAAAGAGCATGTACCTTTGATTCCAAGGGAGGTCACGCCTTGATTGACGGCGTTTAGGGCATACTCTAAAGGTAATTGTTAGTGCTTGACCCGTAGCGCAAGTTGCAATGCGCGAACCTATCTGTACCAGCTTTCCACTGTCAACTGTTAGCAAATAAAACGGCTACCCACTCTGAAGCACGGGATGTTTACCTGGGGGAAAAGGTTGTGAGGGAGAACGAGTATCGATCCGCCATGACTAGTGTGCCGAGCTGAAAGGTCCTGGAGGAGAGAAGACGGGATCCCGAGAGAAGAGAGAAGTTAAGGCGTTGACCAAGTGAATGAGGCGGAGGAAGACGGAGGAATCGGAGTTGTAGCTGTTGCTGTTAGGCAAGCTCGACGTTGCGTGGTTTGCCAAGAGTATCTGAAAGCCACCTAGTCACGTGAAGGAGGAGCTTGGGCCAGATTTCGCTTTTCCTTCCACCTGTCACTTCAAATGTTGTCCGCTTCCACACAATTCCATCTCCCACAACCTTCGCGGGATTGCAGCTTTGTTGTCCTCTTGACGTTACGGTTATACATTATGGGCCACTGACGGTTCTGGTCGCGTATAATTTGTCCAGTGCCTTTGTTGCAGCGCCTTTGTTGCGGCACCAAATTATTTCGGTTGGCTTTGATCATGCCTCGCCGATACTCCTATTAACCTCCCTTCTCGAGAACACTGTCCAGCTTACCATAGAAATGTCGTCCTCCGGATTTCAAGCTGCGCCAGGTTGGTACTGGCAAAACGATGCTCCGAAAGAAGAACCCTCCAGTCCTAGCACAGAAGCTCCCCTCCCGTCAACACCGCCTAATGCGACTCCTCAGGAGAGACAGAGCAACCGATCCGGACGACGTAGGACCCGTTGGCCGCCCAGGCAATGCCGAATATGTCTAGAAACGGTGCAACCGACTACACATGTTCCTTCCGAGAGCTTGCCTGGGTTTCTCCAACCTACCCCCAATGTCACGTATGAAGACGAGAATGGTCGATTGATACGTCCTTGCCTGTGCAAGGGTAGCGGGAAATACGTCCATGAAGGGTGTCTTCAGGCCTGGAGGCATGCGGACCCCAGCTATGGGCGTCGGAATTATTGGGAGTGTCCGACTTGCGGCTTCAAATACAGGCTTGCTCGTATGGGCTGGGGAAGATGGGTAGCAAGTACCGGTAAGTGTCACCCTTCAATTTCGGACTGACAGTGTACTGACCTATTCGTTTAGCCGCACAGATGACGATGACGCTTGCTATACTGCTGATTAGTGTTTTCCTTCTTGGCTTTGTAGCGGACCCAATCATTGATATGTACATGAACCCCTGGAGTTATCTCATGCCTTGGACATGGTCTCGGTACGATGACCGATACGGACAATTCGATGTCCCGACGACTTGGTCAGAGCACTTTGCCAAGGGATTCGCTGGCATGGGCGTCCTTGGGTTCTTGAAGGTGCTGTTAGCCTCGCCATTTTCTTATTTTAGGATTGGCGGAGGACAACGCCGCAGAGGTAGGGCAACTGGCCGAGACAGGATTGAGCAGGTTAGCTGGTTGATTATTTTGATTGGAGTTGTCACGTTCTTTAGTGTAAGTACGCTATGTCCATTCGCAGTTTTACAGCTAATCAATGCAGGCCGTGTACAAAGGCGTGCGAGCGTGGAGTCGCCGTGTGCTCGAGAAAGCTGGAGAGCGTGTTATGGATGTTCAGCAGGACGAGGACGATGACGACGACGACGGCGAGGAGGATGAATGAATTATCCAAGTGCTGCAAAGCAGGCTTGCCTATGCCCTATCATTTCACTCCACGAACCCTACTCTGACGTGTCTTACAATCACCCTGTAATCCGGTTCGCACATCTTTGAGTTGCCACGGTCGGTTCAGTACCATGTCAATCAGTCTGCGTGCGAAGATCAAACCACCCACGACCGCCTGGGTATCTTTTTGCGTTTTGCACGGATACCCTTGGCACGTGGTGTTACCGCCGTCCGTTGCTGTTCGAATAGCATCCTTTCGGGGATCTTGCGTGGCAAGGAGGAGCAAATAGGACGGTACATTTTGTAGTCTTGGGGACTTTGTTGTCGGAGTTGATGTCAAATCGCCAATATACTTCTTGATAAAATCGTATTCTGTCTATACCCTCTGTATCAATATGAGAAGGTCCTAATGTTATACTTTGGATGCTCTTCCGGCAACGGCGCGACCGGCTTCTCCACAAACTCGGGGTAGATGTACCAAGCCAGGTGCTTCTCTTCCAGTTGATTCACACTCCAGCCATTGCCCAGCCAGGCCAGACGATTCGTCCTCTTCTTCTTCGGCTTCACCTCTCCATTTTGGGTTCCATCCCTCTCCTTTTCCATGTCATCCTCATCCCACGCCTCCCCAAGCGGCCTCCACACAAAATCCTCCCACCTAACGGCCCTCATAGCCTCAATGCAATGCAGCGTACTCCCCGGCCACAACCCGGTAACCTTCCTCTCCTTATTCTTATACCAACTCGCGCACTCCTCCGCGAAAACGGTACCCTCAAAGTACCGATCCACATACTCGAGGAAATCCTCCTCGCGATCCCGCTTCACCATCATGGCCGCATAATTCTCCCTCTGCAGCTTGCGGATACAGCGAACGATGTAATCGCCCACGCACTCGATCATCATGGTCAGCGACCCCGATCCAATGGATGCATTGGGCCCCAGCATGATGAAGAAATTGGGAAACGAGGAGATGCTGTGGGAGAGATAGGTTCGCGCGCGCTGACTCCACTTGTCGCGCATGGAGACGTTGTCGAGGCCCGTGACGGGGAAGGGAGCGGCCATGCCGGCTTGGAAGCCCGTCGCGCAGACCAGGGCGTCGATCTCGTGCGCCTTGCCGTCGGCCGTGTGGATGGCGGATTCGGAGATGCGGGTGATGGGGCTCGAGGTGAAGGTGACGTTGGATTGGGTGAGGGCTTCGAGGTAGCCCGGCCCCGGGGTGAGGCGTCTGCATCCAGGGGAGAAGGAAGGGAGTAGGGCGTCGAGGATGTGCGGCGCGGACGCTAAGCGCTTCTGCATGTGCTCGGTGAACATCTGCTTTGCGCCCTTTTGCATCTCGGTGCCTTGGATGGTGAAGGCGTGGATGGCGTTGCCGTCTTCTTCTACCGCTAGGCGGAAGGCGTGGTAGAATTCGTCGTCGGTGGCGAAGCGCGAGCGTATGTCGGCGGGGACCTCGAACCCTGTGAAGCCGTGCTTGTCCCAGAGGTGTTGGCCGAAGGGAGGGGAAATCCAGGTTTTGCTGCGGGCGAAGACGGTGAGGGTGGTCGAGGGGAGGCGTTGGAGAGAGGGGACGATTTGGATGGACGAGGAGCCCGAGCCGATGACGCCGATGCGTTTGCCGGTGAAGTCGTATCTACATAGGAAAAAAGGAATTAGGACTGGGTTCAAGAAAATCCTGGGAGAAAGAGTGGGAGACGTACTTCTCGTTCCAGCGAGCGGAGTGCATGACTTCTCCCTTGAACGTATCCAGGCCGTCAATGTCGGGCCAGGAAGGGGTATTCAAGTTACCTCGAGCGGAGATAAGGACGTCGCAGGAATCGTCGATCTGGGAGCCCGTCGTCAGATCCTTGACCGTGACGTGCCATTTGGCGGCCTCATCGTCCCAACGACAGTTGGTGACTTCGTGCGAAAGCTTGATGAATCGGTCTGCAGAGTACTTCTTTGCTACGGATTCGAGGTAGGCTTGGATTTCGCGAGAGGGGGCGTAGAGGGAGGACCAGTGGTGGTTTGGTTCAAAGGAATATTGGTACGAGTGTGCTATACGTTGTTAGATACCCGTTGCTCCTGTTGACCCTCCTCTATGGCAGTGAACTCACAAGGTATATCGCATGCGCAACCAGGATATCTGTGAAAAACATCAGACGGAATTCGTAACTGCTGCTACCGATGTTTATTCCAACTTACCTGTTGTCGTACCACGTCCCTCCCACACCCGGATTCTTCTCATAAATCACCAAGTCGACATTGCGCAGCTTCTCGGGTATCCGAATACCCAAGTAGATGCCAGAATATCCAGCTCCTATCACAATGACCTTGAGAGGGCGCAGATTCTCAATAGGGGAGTCGGAGAGCTGGAAGTTGGGAGCAACAATGCCGTTCACGGCGGCGTGGTCTGCTAGCGGTGGAATATCTGTGGGGATGTTGGGAACCGCAGACATGGCGAAGACGGGGAGCTCCAAGGGGTGAGACGGTGAAGGAGGGTTACTGGGTGCTCAAACACTCTCTATCGAATTGTCGTCGGTCCGCTAGGTATTACAAGTTATGTCTAGATTACAGGTCCGGCGAGGCGGGCGAACTGGCATATGTAGAAGTAGAAGAATTCAGGGGAGAGCTTCCTTCCTATGCATCCCGTCCATTGCTTCCGACGCGGGTCCGGCATGCTTGCGCCTCTCATTGAAGCCCTGAAGCCCTCGGTCCGCGCCGAACGACTGTTGGCTGCCGTCAAACTGCCGAGTGTCATATAACCGTATCCACTGCGCCATTCCAGCCAGTCGAGCCAGTCGAGCCAGTCGAGCCAGTCGCGCCGTGTCGATGGGGTGGCGATGTATTCTCCAGGGCGGCATGTCTCTTTTGGCTTTCTGCCTCGGCCCAATCGGGACAAGCGCCCCTCCACATTTCCCATCCCCTGCCCCGCACCCGCGAACCACGCGAGCAAAGGGACGATTGGGACGACTCCATTTCTGCGGGGTCCTTCTCCACGCCCTCCACGACCTCCTCCGCGGCCCTCCACCACATCCATCCTTTGTGCGGTGGGGAGGCGCGCTGCCCGGCCGGCGAAATGGAAATGGAAACAGGCGCTTCGTTTGCCTCCGAGGACCTCCCTGGGTCCCTGGCGAAGTGAACTACATCTCGACATCCATGACGGCAACCTGCAGTATAATGTCAACATGCGTCCAGCCTCTATGGTGATGATACCACGTACCTGGTTTCCGAGCGCAATGGACAGCTTGGAGCTGTTCGGATGCCAACCTAGACTGAACTCCCCGTCCACACTCGGATCCCAGTCTTGTCTGCTAACCTTCTCCGTGCGCCAAGTGGCCACGGGCTCCCCTCCTTTCTCCAAATCCCATACGGTGACTGAATAGGGTCCTGCCGCTGCCAATAGCCTTCCGTTGGGCGAGAAGGCGATACTGCGCGCCATGGTGAAGTCGGCGGTGGATAGCCCGTTCAAAAAGCGGAAGGGCTGCCTGGCGTCCCATATACGGACCACTCCCGACGTGGCGCATGTCGCTAGCAGCACCGGAGACGCTGCCACTCCTTCGTCTGGACTGGAAAAGCCGTTAACGGAGCCAAGCCTCGCTCGAGTCTGGATATCCAAATCTTCAAAGTACTCGTCCGGGTATTCCTGCGTCTGAAGCGCTCCGGATCCGCTGGGAAGCACAATACCCAAGAAACTCTTGCGGTCCTCCACTCCCAATGCGACAATGATGCCGGAATCCGGATCGGCCTTGACAACGTCCCAGTTGATGGATGTTTCAAGATTCCGTCGACACGTTAGCGCATCCGTGACATCGTAAATAGCGAAGATGCCTTCGCCGCAGACAACAAAAGACGAATCGCTAACCCAGACAGCGGCGAAGATATTTTTGTCTGTAAAAGCAGTCCAATCTGGAGGTTGACCTTCCGCAACCTCCTCACGTGCTCTCCATATTTTGATGGATCCTCTCTGACCGTCGCTGGATATGGCCAAAAGTAGTTGCCTTTGTTCATTCCAGCGCAGCGCCGTCACCAATCCCGCAGTTGATGAGAGGAGGTAGCAGTCCTCTGGTTCGTCCCCGACTCTGAATAGCCGATCTGTCTTGAGAATCTCCCCCGTCTCATCTCTACTCTCCTGCCTTGCCGAAACCGTAAGCAACCCCTTGGAATCAAAGCAAGCGGCTGTGATGGAAAATTTTCCCAATGGGAGATTGTAGTCTAGTTTCATCGGAGGCATGTCAAGGCTCCCACGCAAGAGATACGCCCTCAAAATCGAATTGCCAGCGGCCAGCAGGTATGGTGCCGCCGGCGTTCCCCACGTAGTCAGCGTCACTTGTTTGTCACTTTCCTTTACAGAGCAGGCGAAGGTGGTGTTGGGCACCAGGTCCTTAGGCACCTCTGTCTGTATCTCAGTGCTCTGGCCAATGCTCAGTGTTGATATTGGCAGGTCTGCAACGGAAGGCGACTCTGCATCCGAAGGAACCATCTCAGACTCGGCCCGCACGCTATTGGTGACGTTCGTGTGTCCAGGATGGTCCAGGTCCATGGCGTCGCCATTGGTCTGGACGTCGACGGGTGGAACCACGCCATTAACCTTAGCCGCCTTTTTCTTTTTCGCTCCCTTCTTGGGTGGTGCATCCGGGATGCTGTCATTCGCGTCCTCGGCAAGTTGATATGCGGGTATCCCTTCGTCCAAAGTGAGGAGATCGCCATTCCGAACGGAAAAGGGCCGGCCGTGATCAGCTCCAAAATTGTACCGTGGTTGAGTCTGTCCAAGTCAATAAACGTGCATCAGCAGCATAGCGCGGCGCTTTGCATACTTTTTGGACCTCTGCCTGAAGCCTATCGAATTCTAAGCCGTCCTGCAGAATTCTTATGAGTGTGTGGTGGGCGACATTCCTGGCGAAGGGCAGCGCATCCGGCTCGCGGTTCCAACAGCGCGAAAGCTGCAGCGCAGCGTTGCCGTAACCTGTGCTGCATTAGGAAAGTGCCAACAGAATTGAAGGTCAGGACAGGGGAGCCCACCAGCTTCTTGTAGATATCTCCAGACGAGGTAGTTGACCACATTCGAGGAGAGTGGCTCACCGGGCATGGTGCATTGCGACGGCAGAAGCGCGCCGCGGAATCTAGAGGCAGCGGCAGACGTCCAAAGAAGCGGCGCGCAACTTGGATAAAGGTCCGGAAGTAGCCGATACGCCAGGAAAGAATGTAAAAGGTCGTCAAAACGTTGCGTGGGTTACGTTGGGACGAGGTTTCCAGGTGAGGTTCGACGTGAGGTTCAAGGGTAAACGTTCCCATCATCGCCGCTTCGACTTGCTAGGTGCTTGCTTGGAGCCTAGCTCAATTCGGTTAGCTCACGTTGTTCAACAGAAAGCACCTGCACCGCCAACACCTGTGGACCTCCCTTGCCCTGTAGGGCTAGAGACAAACCACCAAAGCTGCAGGTCCATTATTCCACCCTTCAGTTCTGCCCGCTCCCGCGCCTCACTCACCAAACCTGTAGCCATGGCCCGGATAAACCTCCCACCGTTGACCCGCAGTTTGCTAGCCTCCATCATCAGCTTCACCGTCCTCAACGCCATTTTGCGTCCAGAGGAATCCTGGGTCGAGAAGGCAGAGAAGCCCATAACGAGCGTGGGCGATGGCGTGCCCTACCTCACGATCGTTCCCGGCCAGTCCGTTGTATACCCGTGGGTGCTGTTGACAGCGACCGCGGTCGAGGAGAACTTGCTTGGCTTGATCATAACGGGGCTCACCATCTTCTACGGCGGGCGCTATCTGGAGCGGGCATGGGGCTCGAACGAATTCACAAAGTTCATCCTGTTCGTCGCAATGATCCCTAATATCCTCAGCTTCCTGCTCTACGTCCTTGGATACCTCCTCACTCGAAATGTGGCCGCTCTGTAAGTTTCTCTCTCGGAATGGACTTGACTGCACATGCTGACCTTCACGGAAGAAACACGACCATCTCCGGCGGAATCGCCATACAAGCCGGCTTCCTCGTCTCTTTCAAACAACTTGTTCCCGAGCACACCGTTGCCATCGCCAAAGGCATTATTCGGATGCGCGTCAAGCATTTCCCCGCAATCTTCCTACTCACGAACACCATATCTGGCATCCTTCTGGGTACTGAGACAGCAATGTTCCTGGCCTGGTTTGGCTTCTTCACCGCCTGGGTATACCTGCGCTTCTATCGCATCAGCCCTTCCATGACCTCGGCTGCTACGGGCGATGGTTCCGTCATCAAGGGCGATGCCTCCGACACCTTCGCTTTTGCCCACTTCTTTCCTGAGCCCATTCAGACCCCCATCGGGCAAGTGGCGGACCAAGTCTACAATGCACTTGTAGCGTTGGGAGTGTGCACGCCATTTTCAGCCGAAGACATTGACGCCGGTAACGAGCAGGCCAGCGCCCGTGCTGAGGGCGGGCTGCCAAGCATCATGAACCCGAACGGACGAGGTGGAAAGGGAGGCGCGACGCGCGCAGAGGCTGAGAGGAGGAGAGCGCTAGCACTCAAAGCCTTGGATCAGAGATTGCATGCAGCCGCGAGTAGGGCCGCGGCCCCTGCGCCTCCTGCACCGGCGACGACATCCTCGCCTGCGAATATGCTGGGAGAGACAACCTACGAGCCAGATAGGCCGGATGCACCTGAAAAGCCGACTTCATGATTGGATGTGGGTGATTGTGTCGTTGGAAGGAGCCTGTACGATTCCCTTGTCTTTCCACGCATTATCTGGCGCAGCATTATGACTTTGTGGCGCTTCTCTCTCCTAGGTAGACTATTGTTTTGTTTACGAATACGCGGAGATACCATTACCTTGGCTGGAGTTTCAAGGTTGTTTGTTTGATTACCAGCCGGTTGATTTGGATATGTAAGGGAGGCTGTCCTACTCTGAGGAGTCCGACGGGTGTAAGCTAATTGTGCGACGACCCAGCAACCGTGTAACGCTTCTCTATTACCTGGAGTATGGTACAATCGTGCGTCCGTTCACAGGACATCGTCACATGTCCTTGATAGTTACTTTCGACATCGAAGTACGAAGCCTTTTGACCTAGGTCTACCTTGGCCATATGCTCCCTTGCACCTTTATTGCTAGTCACGCAACACGAATGTACCGATTTGTATGGCAAGACTCGCATGATCTAGACGGCAGCTAAGAAGCTCCCGTCACCATCACAACGACCGCTGCCATGTCAACGGCGAGATACACACGGCTCCGAGTGGACTTGACGAAGGGCAAGGTGGCTAGCACTGTTTCAACTGGATCCAGCGCCAAAGTATAAAAAGAGGGCGAGGTGAGATGGGGCCAGGCATCGCATCCTTGAGTTTCGTCCAGCCTTCGACTATCTTCGACACCAGCCTTTAGTGTCCGAACGGCGCAACGACACTGAGCTATCAAGACCTGCTTGCACCGTCAAATCTTCCTTTAATACAACACTATATCTTATCACACCTTTTCAACTCGCTCCATATCGGTTCATCGTCACAATACTTACCAAATCCCTCGTCTATATTTCAATCCACTCAATAGCGCCCTACCCATCCAGCAAAGCAATCATCATGCAGTCCACACATCCCGCTCATATCCTCAGCATCCTCCTCACCACCCTTCTCACTCTCCTCGCAACCATCGTCTCTGGTGTTCCGGCCCCAGCACCCGATCCAGAGTTGCAAGCCACCGAAGCGGCAGTTCCCTCTCCACCCGGCCCAGCAGTCTATCCTCCAACTCCAACCCTAGACGACAAGGACCAAGGAGTGTGCGATCGCGCCGGCGTACGTATTCCCCCATCTCCTCCCTCCACTATTCTCTTTTTTCCCCCTTCCCCTCCCACTTTTTCTCCCCAACCTACTCTATCCCTCACCCACCAACCCACCAACAACTAACACCCCCCTTCCCCTTTCTAGATCTACATCTGCAGGAACCCCAACTTCTCACCCCCCTGCACCCACCAAACCTTCTGCCTCGGCTCCTCTGACTCATCCTGCACCCGCCTCGACGGCAAGGCCCTATCCATCGGCCCCGATCCGGGCATCACCTGTCTGTTTTACAGGAACGGCGTGTGCCGGAATTTCGGCGACGGCGTGTTGAGGCTGAGGTATCCTGGGATAGCCAAGGTGCAGGGAAGGTTTTTCAGTTTTTTGTGTTTTAGGGGGTAGGTAAGGGGAGGTGGAAGCACGCGCGTGGGAGGTGAAGGGGATAGGGAGGGTGAGGGAGGGAAAGGAGGAAGGCGTGGGTATTTAGAGGTAATTAGTTAGGGGGGTAACGAGAATGATGACGGGAAGGAAGTCGTAGAGTGAATGAGAAGGTGGCTCGGACTTTGTAATGTGCGGTGCTCATCAAATAAGTCTTGCAGTACCATGTCTTGAATGTGCATGGCGTAGCAGTCCCTTGCCTGGCGGGGAAACGTCATGGATGCCATAGCGTGGTACAGTGCTGGACAATCGTGTGCCAGAGGATATACATGAGTTAGCCATGGGTTCTCAGTTGGACCATCCTTGACCGAGAGGATCTCGCATGTGTCTCTGTTGGAAAATCTGATCAATGCTTCCGGGGAGTCCGGTATGAATGGAAGTTGTCTCGTTTGCGGTGGTTGGTTCCCAATTGATCCGGCAACAGAACGACAAAGTGCGGAGTGGCATTGGATTTCAGTTCTGGCAGCCGAGATAGAGTTTAGAGTGCGCGGGGCGTCTTGTATAATCTCCTCCTCGTGTAGACCGTTAGAGGGAGGGTTGAACACAAAATGGTCATAGAGCAACTCGGGATGTTGCTGGTGAAAAGCGGTATATTCGTCAGGCGGCACAGAGAGATCCGTCTCAGGTAGAAGGAGATCCAGAAGCCGGGAAGACTGATCGGACGATGAGCTAGAAGCAGCTGTGCGTTCAACAAAACTGGCACCTTCGCTCAATGTCTCACAGCCAGAGACGGAACTGCCGATAGACGTGGAGAGATAGGTATCAACAGGCGCAAAAGGGGATGGCGCAGGAAAATCCGGGCCCGATTGGAGGCTATACGTCTCAATCGCCGGCAGTGAGCGAGGATCAAACGAGGAGGAGGACAAATCAGCCGAGAAGGAAAACGGCGAAAGCGAGGGCGATGGAGTGAAACTCGTGCTATTGACTGGAAGTGACTTGAGGAAAGTGCTATAGGCCAGAGGAGGGCTTCCTAGGGACGGCTGAAAGTCACTGAGCGTGTGTCGGCTACGACTGGCAGACAGGATACGAGTAGATGTACCTAGAACAGACTGTTACAAAGTGTAGCGTTGCGATGTAGTACGCAACAACGAACCCTTCCTCGTCCCGCTTGCGGATTTGCCAGTGAATTTACTCTCCTCAAACGCCCGCCATTTGAAGTCCTTCATATATCCGCCGCACACGACATGGCGCCTCGCACATTGTTGACACCTCGGTTTGGACTCGTCGCATTTGAGTCGCTTTGACTTGCATGTTGTGCAGCCTGTAAGTCTTGAGCAAGGTAGTCCGAGCATATCGAGCAGAGGTGGGATAGACAACGGACCATTGCGGCTCTTTGAGCGTTTCTTCTTCGATATTAGTCTACCGTCAGAGGATGAAGGCGCGTTATTCGGCGGGGTCACAGGTGAGGATTGAGCCGTATTAATACAGGATGTTTGGTTTGCGGATAGGATGTGCGGAGGGGCTGGAGAAGGAGGAAACGGTGGAATGAAGGTATCCCCGGCCATTGTGCAGTGGCAGCGACTTCCTGCGAGCTTAGGGCAAAGTCCTGGAAGTGATCTTTGTAGGCAGGCTTGCAGTGCAAATGACCTTATGAACCTACACGATCAGCTCAACAAATCCCTGCACGCTCCCATCACCCCTCGAGTGGACCTAGGGTTTGAGGAACTCTTTTGTCCTCTCCAACATGCATAATGCAATTAACCCAAGCGCAGAGACGAATCAGCGCCAGACACCGTTGCCTTGGAGCAACAATGGCAATATCAATCCCGCGATTCCAGTTGCTGTACACCACCTGTGTAGCTGCAGCGGTCCTCAACAGCTGCCATCCTCGAGTCCTGGACAAGGTCTACCACCTAAATGCCCAGTAGAAGAGAGAGGTATTGCAGCGGACTGGGGCGGGAGCGCGCAGTTTCTGCAGGTGTAGCGTCCGAGAAGAGGGAGGCTGAGTTCGAAGCTCCTGCTGTGGACGATGTCGTTAGATGGACGAATCGATTAGTCATCCGTCCGCCTATACGGGTAGCCACAGAAGTAACCGATCCGTCATCCCACTCAGTGGCATTGGAAAAATGGGTAATTGGGGATCTAGCCCTGTTGTGTGCTTCGAAGATGAGGATATCTTGGGAGTCTTCTCAGATATCGCTTTGAAGTGCTTGGCTTCACACGTCATTCCCTTAAACCGATAGCTTGGACCGACACATGTATGTGGTTTTCTCTGACCCAAAATGAACAAGTATATCAACCTCACAGTGGGAACCAAATACCTTGCTATACCTAAGACAATGTTCTTCAATGTCCACGGCCTAACGTAGATTTCTAGATCGAATCACGATCACGAATGTTCCCGGTCCATGCCTGAGCATCATCTGGTACTCATCTGGTACCACTGAGCTGTACCCATCCGCTCGGTGCCGGGGGTACCTGAAACCCTGCCATTACGTAGCGGGTACGCAGTCACATCATGGAGTAATACCCATGACTATGGATATATTGATGAAGAAACACCAAGCAGAACTCTCTGACAAACTGCCACCCTGTGCAGGGTTATTGACCACCTTGAGATGCAAACAGCATGTGCCTCTAAGAGTTGGAGCTCCAGCAGATGGTGATGCAGAGAGGGGCACTTCGTAGAAGTGATCAGCAATTTCCGACCCCTGGCAGATCAGTCACGGTATACACAGTACTCCGACAGTGTGATCCTGTGGTCAGCGTGTTCCATTGCCAAAGCGGACTTCCAGCATCCGTCCGATCCAGGCACATGGACTCCGCCGTTAGGAGAGGCATCTATGTATCACAGTTACGGTCACCAGGTTCCTCCCGCTGCTACGGCCTCGGATGCGTGGAACCGCGATCCTACTTCAAAGTTCGAGATCACCAAGTCTGAACCGAAGGAACAGTCTATTCAGCCGGTTGACGGCGTGACTTCTTGACCGCGGAGTGAGGTTATAGAGCGACTAGACGAGTGCGACGGTCGAGGGCGACTTTCCCGATGTTGCGTTTTTTACCTACAGCACTTAACTGTCTGGCTCGCTAACGTCTACATATTCCACGGACACTCGCATGTCAGCGTGCACGACTGGTTGGAAGCGGGCGTGAGATGCACATCCCACTGCAGCAAAAGTGGTGCTGAAGCTCCGTTTGGTATCAGTGAGAACTTCTCCTCTTACTGTATATTCAAGGAAGCTTAGAATGAAAAAAGGCTTTATTGATGCAGCGATCGATTATAAGCACTCCACGCTTAACCTTTGCGACTGATAGCTACTGGCTTGAAGCCAGGAATACCTTTGCTTCTAGTTGCTCGGAGCAAGGGATGCCCTTCCTTGATAGGATACACCACACCACAGTCTGTTCTTCGTAAGCTTTACTGAGAATGACAGTGTTCATCTATGCAAGAAAGTCATGGTGGGGCACAAAGCTTAAAGTCCAGGGGGTCGAGCTTAAATTCAGGTACCCCTCCGGACGTCATAAATAACGACGACATCAACAATCAATATTTCCTACTCAACATCGCAACAGTTCTTCTGTCTATCCGCTGTTTGTCATTTCTCTGCTCTCTTCCCTTCATCATACCCACTACATCTCCTGTCTGCTATATCGGTTCCTCTGACGCCCTGAATCCTCAAACTCCCCCACTCACCCGCTATGCCTGATCCCCGCGTCTTCATCATCCGTCACGGAGAAACCGAATGGTCCCTGAATGGACGCCATACCGGTACCACCGAGCTTCCCCTAACCGCGAACGGCGAGAAGCGCATCATTGCGACCGGCAAAGCGCTCGTCGGCGATGACAGATTGATCGTCCCCGGAAACCTGGCGCATATGTAGGACCTTCTTCCGTCTACAACTTACCACGAAGCTCTACGCAAAAACGCAAGTAGCAATGAGCGCTCACCAGAAGCCAATATATGCACATCTATCAGAACACACACGCTAACCCCCCTCGCAGCTACGTCTCCCCCCGCCACCGCGCCCAACGCACCCTCGAACTCCTCAATCTAGGCTGCGCCGACCAGTACCCCTGGCGCACACCCGCCTCCGAACCCTCCGTGCCCCTCCTAGACAACACCGCCTGCGTCCGCACAACCGCCCACATCCAAGTCACGCCCCTCGTCCGCGAATGGGACTACGGCCACTACGAGGGTCTGCGCTCCGCCGAGATCCGCGAATCCCGCGCCAGACGCGGCATACCGCACGCCCACGACTGGGACATCTGGCGCGACGGGTGCGAAGGCGGCGAGTCCCCCGCGGACGTGACGGAGCGGGTGGATGAGCTGATTCGGGAGATCCGGGAGAAGTGGCATCGAGGCAAGTTTGGCAACGAGGCCGGGTGGAAGAGGAGGGATGGAACGGGACCGAATGATGTGTTGATTGTGGCGCATGGGCATCTTTTGAGGGCGTTTGCGGCGAGGTGGGTGGGCATGGAGTTGGAGAGGAATCCCAGTTTAATACTCGAGGCCGGGGGTGTGGGGACGTTGAGGTACGTGTCGTTTCCTTGCGTTCGTCATGGAAAAGGGTCACGCAAGCTTAAGCCCGTTGATGTGCTAAAGCCCGTTTACAGTTACGAACATCACAACATCGAAGAACCGGCGATTCTATTAGGAGGCGCTTTCGTCGTCGATGTCGTAGAAAAAGAGCAGGGAGAGAAGGAGGAACTACGAAAGGAGAAAGAAGATGCGCAAAAGAAGAACTCATGAGCCATGAATGCATTACGTCCGATATGCTACCTCCATTACGCAAGACCGTAGACTTGAACCTTTGGCACCCGATTAGTCCTCGTCGGCCACGCATTGATAATACCATTCTGCCATCCGTCAGCTCAGGGATCACTAGATATCAATCTCGAGTTCCAACGTACCATTTTGCCAAACACATTTCGCGCCCGAGACACACTTTGTGCACCCGGTCCATGGCTTGCCGTCATAGTACCCTCCGCATTGGTAGTACAGCGGCACGGGGCACCTCGTACTGCTTGGGCCAACCTCCTCGGTTTGCGTTTTTGTAGGTGGTAGTGGCCGGGTGCTTGTCTAAGTTGAAGGGTTCAGTACATAGTCCGGATGAGCAGTTGGAGGTAGCATACCTTGGTCGGCGGCTTCGAGCTTGTTTTGGGGATTGACGTTGGAAGTTTTGTAGATGTTGCAGGGTATTCGGTGCACCGGGGACCGATGCAGGTAATGGTGTATGTTTTGTCACGTTGACGCTCCTCTAGACGGGTTGACTGGTGGTTTACTGTTAGCCAGGAGACTGCATATGTGAATTCATCAGAGCTTACCGCCAGAGAGAGTGCCGCCAAAGCGGATAGTATGGCGACAGATGCGCACAGTTTCATGGTGATAGGTATGGTGCCTCTTGGCTGGTAGGGAAGTGAACTTGAAGTGATGTGGAAACAAAGTAAGAATTACAGTTGGCTATATCCCTTCTCTTATAGCTACACACCTACGGCACACCAATTGATGCTACATGCTGCACAGATCATATCGATTCCTTGGACTCGGTATCAATACGGGCTTGTGTGCATCTCACCTACTGCCCGGAAGCGTGATATAGTGCTCTCGACGTGGACCGGCTCGTATCCAGGCAAGGGTAGCTGGATTCGCACCAGGATTGATTACCACTAAGCAATGTCACTCGATAGCCGAGCAGCAATGTTGACTTGAAATGGCCAAGCTGCCGGACTCGACGGCACTGCTAGACGGGAGTAGGTATCGAAGGCGACCCGGCATGCGGCTCCATGCATCCTTGGTGGCCTCGTGGGAAGTGATCTATCTACAAGCCGCCCGAAGCAGCCGAACTGTCATAATAGATTGCGTGGGTCGCGCAGCAACAGCTGTAATAAAATGGTACGATGTCGCCTCCGCGGCTAACTAGCAAGATGGAAGAGGCATTCAGGAGCTCCGGGCATTTAGCGACTTCGGTCGACCCAATCGTAGCAGTTAGACTGGAGTCGACAAAAGCCAAACGTCTGCTGCATTAGCATCGAGGCGAGCTTCTCTGGATCAAAGGTACCTCTGCGAAGTCAGCCCGGGCTATTTTTGTCTCCATATCGATCTAGACATTCAATGCCATATCAGCATACATATATTAATATTGCTTCTAAGATCCATATCCCGGCCCAAGGCAGTTTTTCATCCGCGTGTTGCCAGCGACCAAAGTCTCGGTATGGTGGAGGAGCCACATCGGTTGTGATACTACTTGCAGTCAACCTTTTGATTGCCGTAGATGAGTCTGCAGCGGCATGACGCGATGTCAGACTGGTGAGCTGGAACAGTGATGCACAGGAAGGTCATATCTTCACAGTAATAGGGAGTAATGCAATGAGCTCAATGTAGGAACAACGATCTATCTAGACAGCCTTGGAAATGTGTGATGAGAGAATGTGACGATTGAGGTTGAATTTGGATCTTCGAGCTTATCCTGAAAGGGCTAGCGGTATGTGGGGAAGCAGGAACCTGGCCTGCTCCTACTTCAACCGAGGCATCCATCACATGCGCGGGACGGCGTCCAGGTTTCGTCAACATCCACGCTTCACCCAAAGCCATGCTCCATGCTACTAACTGCTGGCCTACCACTGTCAGCAGTCCACGAATGAATCCCCTCCGATAATTATGGCCGCGGTGTCGAAGGTCTCTTCGGCAAATCGCCCATCCGGCCATACGATCAAAGCCATCGTCAACGATCTCACGAACCGATACCTCGCGAACCGGACGCGCATATCGCGGGCCGTGTATCTGACCCTCTTCGTCGCCCTCATCAATCGCATTCGAAATGCCGTCGCCGAACAGAAAGCTGCAGCTCAGCGGCAGGCCGAGCTGCGGAGCAAAAGCGGAACGGGTGTGGGGGAAGGAGAGGCAACTGGCCGCAAGAAGGTGGAATTGAATCGGGAGTTCTTCAAAAACCTGATACGTTTGCTCAAGATTGTCATACCAGGGTGGAGGAGCAAGGAGTTGCGGCTGTTGATCAGCCACAGCGTGTTCCTGGTGCTCCGGACTATGATAAGTTTATACGTGGCAGAGCTGGATGGTAGGCTGGTGAGCAGCCTCGTGAGAGGCAAAGGGAAGGATTTTCTCACTGGACTTGTGTGGTGGATGCTCGTCGCTATTCCGGCGACTTTCACAAACTCCATGGTGAGCCAGAGTATTTCGAGGCGATCACGCGAAACTAACGGAACAAGCTCTCGTACCATCAGTGCAAGCTCTCTTTACAATATCGGACACGCCTTACAAACTACATCCACAACAAGTATCTTTCGCAAATGACCTTCTATACGCTCTCGGCTCTCGACGATCGGATCAAGAATGCTGACCAACTCATCACGGTTGATGTGGCCAAGTTTTCGAACAGTTTGGCAGAGCTATACTCCAACATTGCAAAGCCCGTCCTCGACATGGCCATATACAACTATTCATTATCCAGAAGTGTAGGAGGAGAGGGACTCTTCTTCATGGGTCTTATTGTGCAGCTATCGGCCAGCGTCATGCGCGCCCTGACACCTCCTTTCGGGAAATACGTCGCCGACGAAGCCAGATTAGAGGGTGAGTTCAGATTCCAACACTCGAGGCTCATAGACTACAGCGAAGAGGTTGCGCTGTATCATGGACATGAAGCGGAGAAAGATACTCTAGACAAGGGGTATTTCACGCTCATCAAGCATGTGAACAGGATATTGAGAAGACGCTTTTACCATGGTGTCATGGAGGACTTCGTCATCAAGTACTTCTGGGGCGCTCTCGGGTTGCTGCTCTGCAGCGTTCCTGTGTTCTTCAAAGTCCCTGGTGTGGAGGCGAAGAGCATGGGCGATCGAACAGAAAGTGAGCTTACACAGGTTGCGGGTATTTGGACTCAACTGACATCATTGCACAAGGCTTCGTTACCAATCGTCGTATGCTGCTAATGTCCTCGGACGCCTTCGGCCGCGTAATGTTCTCCTACAAGGAGATCACCGAGCTCGCTGGCTACACATCACGGGTCTCGACTCTGCTCGATGTCATTGACGACATACAAGCAGGCCACTTTGAGAAGAAGCTTGTGTCATCCGCCGATACGGAAGAGAACGCTGCTGTGCTACGTGGCAGAGGCACCGTTACCGAGGGTGATGACATCGAATTTGTGGACGTTCCCATCGTATCACCTAATGGCGACGTTCTTGTACGGAAACTGAGTTTCACGGTGAAGCCTGGAGAGCACCTGCTGATTGTTGGGCCCAACGGGTGCGGCAAGTCATCACTCTTCCGAATATTGGGAGGGCTGTGGCCGGTGTATGGTGGCACAGTGCGCAAGCCCCCGTTCGAAGACATCTTCTACATACCGCAGCGACCCTATCTTTCGAGGGGTACATTGAGGCAGCAGATCATATACCCAGACGGTGTAAGGGAAATGAGGGACAAAGGCGTTACCGACGCCGACCTCTACAACATCCTCTCGATTGTTGAGATCGAATCTATCGTCGACCGGCAAGGTGGATGGGACGCCGAACAGGAATGGACCGATGTACTCTCCGGCGGCCTCCAACAACGTGTCGCCATGGCGCGGTTGTTCTACCATGCACCGAAGTACGCCATTTTGGATGAATGCACGTCCAGCGTAACGCTGGAGATTGAGCGCGTAATGTACGATGAAGCAAAACGGCTCGGCATCACCCTTATGACGGTGAGCCACCGCAGGAGTTTGTGGAAGTACCATGAGAAGATTTTGCAGTTCGACGGGCAAGGCAACTTTGTCTTTACGAAGCTGGATGCTGAGAAGCGCTTGGAACTTGAGGAGTAAGTGGAACTGCGCTTGTTGCTAGGATTGAACGAAGGCTAACAGCGTGATTAGCGAGAAGGAAGATCTCGAAATGCGTTTGCGTGCTGTGCCGGATATTGAGGAACGTATTAGGGAATTGGAGTCTGCCCAAGCCTAGCAGCTCACTGGTTCGTAGTGGGTTCTGAAGTTGGTTGTGTAAGAGTCGCCTATTACGGTTATATGTATGACGCTAGAGCGGAATATTAGAGGTCCCGCATTGCATCGAAAGGCGAACCCGGACATCGACAAATGGGAATGTGGATACATTTTCCAACCACTTCTGTGATTGATGTTGGCACAGTGACTGTTCCCCATCTCCTATCTGACATGCGACAAGGAAGCCGGCCCGATGTTCTCGACCAGCATGGCCCACGGTAGGGAAGGACAACATACTTTGTATTTGGCGGCGATATCACACAATTTCTGACTGTGATAGTCTCAAATAGCTTAGCATACTCGGCAGGTCGCTTGAAGGAGATCATAGAGAGACTCCCGTGATCTGCATTCGTTCAGTCGATTTGCATCAAAACTTTTGCCGGAAGGACGTCCGGGTCCTTGTGTAAAGGAGTTTCCTTAAACACGCGGAGCCTACAGTCCTAATGCCCGCATAATCAACAACTTATCAATAACATTCAGAAACCATCTTTATCATAACGTACATATTTAGAATTTCGCCGCGTTAGTGACAAAGACGACTCGAGTTCACCAACTATTGAACTTCCACATCACGTTCAAGCTAGGGGGAACTCTTCTTACCGCAGTACTCGCATGAGGCTACGATTACTTTCGGAAACCCTATCCCGAAGTTCTTGCTCTCTTCCAAATTACATAAGCGAGTAATGCTATTCTTGGTCATCTGGATCGCCTTCGGTGCCTTTCTCAGCGCCATCTCCGTGAGCTACTCCCGACCGCAGCGGACGACCGTCGCCCAATCGCAAATCTCCATCTTCACCTTGGGAGATGATACCCTCTCTGAGGAGGTATTTTTCCAGCTCTGGATCGCTTCTCCACTGTTTCGGATCGAGAGCTGAGGTACTCAGTGTAGCGTGCTGCTCCATGTGCCGGCTCACATGTTCCATGCGCTCTCCCCAGCAATCCGGTCCGGTGAAGCTACGATCACAGAACGGACAAGAGGCCTGAGTTGGGTAAGTACGCAGCTCCTGATAACAGCGTTTTACATGGTCGTTCCAATTCTCCTCAGTCGCTGGGACGACAGCCTTGCCCGGTGAATCCCTGGGAGCACGCGCGTGCATGCGACGAAGATGCTGCAGGAACAAGTCTTTGCGGTTGAAGTCGTTCCAAGAAGACTGGCCGGTGTAGATAGTCTTTGGGCAGAGGTCACAGCGCCAGAAGCCTAGGTTGATATGTTGAGTGGCGACATGCCGTTTCCACTCATTTTTCGAAAAGAAACTTGGCTGGCAGCCATAGAGAGTTAAAGGGCACAGAAAGGGCCCAGACTTCGGCCTCTCGTATTTTTGTGATCGATCGGTCCCACGTCTGTGAATGCTGGGACTGGGACTACGTCTAGCTGCTTTAAGGTGCGAAACTGATGCTGACTGACGTTTTCTGATTCTGCCATAAGGTACTGAATCGCTATCGCTCGCTGCCCACTCATCTGACACTAGTCGTGCAACCTTCTCCCTTGACTCAAAGTTACGCTGGCCGGTTGCTACACGCGTATTGGAAACTCCATGTTGTACATGTGGAAAAGCTTTCTCCAGCGCAGCGCTCTTGGAAGAATCGGCATTGCCTTGTGACGGATCGGAAGACACTGATGGTAGTTCCCTTTCGTATGCGTAGGACGATCCGCGAACCTTGTATTCGGGCAGATATGCTCCGGCTTGTTCAAATTTTTTTGGATCAGGGTCGCCATCCGTAGGTAAAATACAGAGAGCGATCTCTATAAGATGGCTCTCTGCGTGCGCGATGTGGGGTCTGTAACCACCGCTTACAATCTTGTTACATAACTTGCATGTCATATCTGGTGACCACATGTTCGTTCTGTGGGAACGTTGCAGAAGATGGATTTCCCACAGGTTCCGGTTGCGGAAAGGCTGCGTGGATTTACGACAATCAGGGAAGATACATGCGTATGGTAATAAGTCTTCTATGACATGCGTACTGCAACTCGTTAGCGAGATCAGACTCAGGGCCTGGATAGATAATGACCCACGTCCAAGCATTCTCGTTTGGAATTTGCACTTTGCGGAAGCAAACGCTGCAGTCGAAATGCTCACCCAAGGCGCCCGCCTCAGGGAACTTAGGCAAAAATTTCGTGTATGTCACTTCATCTCCTTTCGCAAAACTTGAGCCTTCATGTCGGTCGGACTTTCCGAGTCCGGAGTCGTGGAACATAGTTTGCGTAACTGTCCGTGGTGAAGACTCTATTGCATCCAGTACGCTCCTCGGAGCTTCTTCTTCCGCTTTTCGCCTCAGGCTCTGGAGTGTGATGAACCTGAAGCAGTTCATCCTTGCATGTTGAGTTATGGCAAGGGGGTCAGCTTTGGGGAAGCGATGACGAATCATTTCCTCGTACACCCGATGCGACTCTGCAGCTGTTACTTCGGATGGCGCCCTTGAGGTCTCCTGGACGGCGAACAAATCCACGGCTGGTTCTTCCAAGCAGAAGCTCAAATCCCCAAGCCCTTCTATGGCGATTGATATCTCATCGATTGTGCTGGAAAAGGAGGTCCCGTCTATGCCTAAATAGACATCTTCTTCGATGTATAATTGGGCGATCTCGAGTAGTCGTACTGTACTCAGTTACTCAGTTCCTCCTGCCATGTCAGGTCTTGTTGTGAAATAAGAACGACCTAGTCTCAGTCAGTCATCGTCGTGGGCAGAAAGATTTTTCAGCTTTACTTGCCGTGGTATAGTGCATCGCAGAGATGCAGTAGAACGACAATGAGGTCTTCCTTCAATTCTTCAGCGTACTGAAGCTCTTCATCCAACTTGCCACCAGCTACGTCGAACTCTTCGCCCCAGACATTGAAACGTATAAAGTCTCTTTGCAAGCTCTCTATCTGCGACAGTTCCGCCAAATTAGAAGAGCTTGATAACTCCATGCTGCCTGGATTCTTTACTGTTATTTCCGGGTCGATTCCCTTGCTAGCTCGTGGAGAACGGGAGGCCTTCGCAAGTTTGAGAAGCGCTCTGAAATTCTGAGAACTCGCCTCATATAATGTTTTGATAATGCCTTGCTCTTGTTGAAATTCTTCAAATTCTGGTTGTTGGACGACTCCCTCCTTCCGCTGTACCTCAGTGAGCTCCGGTTCGATTCCCGTCCGCGCGGTTCCTGCATCTGAATTATCCCCATTCGTAGCACCACATAGGATATTGGGGCTCGCGAATTGCCTTTCCATAGAGGCATCATGCGGCTGCTTGTCAGGTTTCGACACATCCGGCGGAGCGGGTCCGGAGACACCCTCTCCTGACGTTGGCGAAGCCGGCTTTTCATCACGGTCCCCGTCCCCCATTGTAAGTGAAGCTTTCTCTGGTGAATTTCGCTATGAATCAACGTTGAGGAGATCTTCTTTCATATGAAGGCGCAACCGGTGTCCACTGGTCTGCCGGCGCCCTTGTCGCCCAGGCTGTATCAGCGGTGCAGCGCAGGCGTGGAGGCGCAGCGCGTCTTCAAGCAGCTGGGAGCTGAGCTGCGCCAACACGCGGCTTGAGCCTAGATCCCCACATCCATCTCTAACCTGTCCAAGAATCTCTTCACATTTCAACAGCTGTATCATCTTTCCATAAACCTGAAATCTGCGAACTTACCTCTTGATGCCCTTGTCTGAAAATGAGCGGTATCGAAGCGGTGGGTCTCGCCGTCGGCGTCGTCCCTATCCTCGTAACGGCAGCAGCTGCCTACCGTAAGCTTAACGACTGTCTACGCACTCTTCGCCACCGTCATCGCATCGCGTCTCGGCTCTGGCTTCAATTCCGTTGCATCCAGGCCAGGCTTCGCGATAGCTTCCGGCATTTTCTCGCGCCGGTCCTTCAGGAAAATGATCCGTGGCAATTGATGCAAGAGGCTACCCTGACCGCAGAGCAGCAAGTGAATATCGCCGCGCATATCCATCAGTCACTGGGAATAGACTCAGCAGCCATTTTCACTGAGGTCTTCGAAGAGATTACCAAGATCCTTGACGAAGTTAAACGTTCACTGGTCATTGTCGAGACTTTGGCAACTGAGGGCACGGCAGTGAGTAGACACCCCTTGTGCCCCTTGAGAAATAGACACGCTCTTACTCAAGCCCAAGGAGGCACAACGCAGCAAGAAGTCTTCGAAAGAGGCTTTGGACATTACCTTGCATGAGTCGGTTTACAAGAAGCGGCTGGATGAACTACGGACTTGGGTCGGCGAGCTGTGCCATTTACTATCCGCGAACGGCAACAGTCGAAAACAAGACCACGACACCAAATCCAAACAAGCTCTGCCCCTCCCTTCATCAGTCACTGCTATCAACGAAGCTTCGAGACAATTAGGAATAGATCTGGAAAAAGCCTGGACGTGTTTGGACACAACACACAGCAGTCATAATGCGGCCCTGTGGTTCAATGCCCAACTGGACTTGAATGATGTTGTTCACATGGATGTCGCAATTTCATGTCGGCTGCGTACCCCGCCTAAGTCTTCCCTGTCTTCCCAGGAGCTCCAGACGTATGTTTCTATTTTCAATTTGTTGCACGTATGCTTACAGGCCCAGGACTTCTGAGAGGCAAGTATGGTTACATGTAGAAGCATATCACCAGCCTTGACGGAAAGTGGAGCACAACCGCAAAAGCGGGTGAAATTGTCGACCGCAATGTCATCTAACACCGCTCGCACTGGTTCCCTCACTACCCATAATGGTGATCAAGTTGGGAGAAGTCGCCTAGCGAACTCACAAAACAGTTCAACCACGACTGTGCGACCTATATCCCAAAGTTTGGCCTTGGGCCCTAAACATAGCCTAGATGGCCTCCCCAGCATGTGCTGCCATCTCTGCGCTGTCAATTTCTCCCGCCTGCTCAATAACTTTAAATGCTGTCGTGGCTACATAGGAACAGCAAGGGGGTATCTGGGCACAGCCGCTGGATATCAGCACGCCATTTTCGATCATAGTGGACCTACATGCGCATCAGACGAGATATCACTGAACGTAGCAAGAGACAGTCACTCAGTAACCTATTATCTGAGTCAAATGACAGTCGTACAACAGTTGAAGACCGGTTACGAGGTTACCATGGGTCTTCTGAAGTACAGTCTTACACCCTGGCTTCCAGAAGAGTGGTCCCTGAACGACGTATCTTGCCTTGGTTCGTCATTCGATCACAGTACTCTTCACGTAACTAAACGGCTACCAAACAATAAGCGGCATGGCCTTCTTACCGCAGAAACTATCATCACTCCATCACAGGAGCTCCAGACGCTCTTAGGTGTCCGGAACAAGCCACTCGCCAATCTTGGCCATGCACTTCTGGAACTCGCACATCGCAAGCCATTGAAAGACTTACGACAGCCGGGTGACCCTCATAATGCTGTCGCCCCACGCAGGCTTGTCAACGGTGTAGACACCATCTTTGGAGTCAGATACCGCCATATGGTCCGAAAATGCCTCGAAGCCGATTTTGTGGTCGATTGCACAGACCTGTCGGACGCTAGACTCCGGCCTGCAGTGTATAACAACGTGGCCCTGGAACTCGACCGGCTTGTAAAGGACTTCGAGCGGATTATGAGCCTTGCCTAGAAATAGATCTTTGAACGGAGCTTCTATAGATGCTACTGAAACTTTGCCTCAGCTTGTGCTCTTCGTGTGTGAAGTGCTCGGCCCAGGAAAGGCTTGATCTCGGGAGACGAACGATCCACATTCTTCTGAGGATCAAATTTATCCGACAACCTTTCCTGGTAAGTGATTTTGAAAGGGTCATGGAGAAGAGAAGCTCAGAATATCTGCTAGGACGGAAGTGGAACATCAAATACGCACGGGCCCCTAGCCTCAAGCTCCAGACCAGACCACTTTCAACCCATGATCCCCCGTGGCTTCCACTACTTCCACTACTTCCTCTACCCATTTCCATTGCGCCCTCAATCTACGTTGGATTCTCTTCCCACCTTGCAATTGCCGAAGTCCTGTTGCTCTGCTTAACAATCTGAGCTCTTTGCAAGAATTTCCCGCCGTGTCCGCTGTGCTGTTTTCGAACGCGTCAACCGCGTTGGCCCCCCAATCTCGAGTCCCCGCTACCACCTTCCTCCTCCATATCCGATAGCTGTTTCCTTGCGGCTTCTCCAACCATGGCCGACTTCAAGGTTGGCCAGACCATCGAGACAAACGATGGTCGACGAGCCATCATCCGTTATATAGGCGACATACACGTTGCATCGGGAACCTTTTGCGGACTGGAGCTCCCCACCGCGACCGGCAAGAATGACGGATCCGTCAAAGGAGTGCGATACTTCACTTGTGACCCCGATCACGGTCTATTTGTCAAACCTTCGGGCATTGCAGCCATCATCTCCGAACCGCCGCCACCTTCGATACCCAGAGCAGCCAGTCCCAGGAAGTCGATTGCTAAACCCCCCAGACCGGCCTCGCGTCCTACAAGCGTTTCCGGACCCACGAGGGCCGCGCCGAGAGCTGCGGCTGCTACAAATCGCCTCTCAACTGTAATTTCGCCTGCTCAACCTTCCGCCCGTTCACCCATAAGGAAGTCCAGCATTTCTACTGCATCATCTGCGCCTCCCACAAACCGCCTTTCCAGGCCCTCTATCTCCGCACACAGGCCCTCACCGTCCTCCGCAAACTCAACCGCCACTGTAAAGTCGTCTCGACAATCCCTTGCCAATTCCAAAGATGCGGCAACGATTGACACTCTTGAGACGAAGCTTCGGCACCTCGAAAAACAATATACGGAAGCTAAAGAACAACTTAAGGAGTTGGATCGGATACAAGGAGACAAGGCCCGATTTGAGGGCCTGGTACAGAAACTGCAGTCAAAATGCCAGGCGTTTCATCAAGAGAATATGGAATTGAAGGCTGCCATGAAGCGCACCGAGTCCGAGGTGGATCGTTTGAGCCGCGCAGAACAAGAGCATGAAAGTATCCTCGAGTTGGCGACGCTGGACAAGGAAATGGCCGAAGAGCGAGCGGAACAGGCCGAGGCAGAGCTTCAGATATTGCGGGATCGACTAGAGGAGAAGACGCTTGAGCTAGACATCTTGCAATCAGAGGCGAGCCTTGTGACTGAGGACATGTCGGACGAGGCTAAAGAAGCTGCCGGCTATTTCAAGCTACAAAGAGAGAATGAGCGTTTCAAGGACGCTCTCATACGACTTAAGGAGATCACAGAGGAGAAGGAAGCGGAATTCAAACAACAAATCCGGGAGCTGGAGGCGGATGTGGCTGAAGTAGAGAAGTTGCGCGAGGAGAAGACAAGGCTCGAGGCCCTAGCAAGTGAGCAGGAGGAGGCTATTGATCAACTTCGTGCACAGGTCGACACTGACAATTCCTGGGGTGAGATGGTCGAGGAGCTTTCCTATAAGACCCAGCAACAGGCGGAACAACTTGCCGAGCGAGATCAGGTCATACGAGACCTTGAAGCCTTGAAGGAGCTGAACGATGAGATTGCGGAGCATCAGATGGAGCAGGCAAACGACCTTCGTGCTGAGTTGGACGAGAAAGAGGCAGAACTGGCGGAACGGATGCGGATTCAAGAAGAACAGGACGCCACCATTGCGGAGCAGGAGACGCTGATCACGAAATTCCGCGATTTCGTCGCCGATATGCAAGCCCGAATGTCCGACGCTGAGTCTTCCAAGATGATGACCGAAGAACAAGCAAAGGATGTTAATGCTCGATTCAACGAAGTTATGGAGTTGAACCGCCGGTTACACAATGCCAATCTTACATCCACGGGTAAAATCATCACATCGGAACTTCAGAAACTGGCGGCTCAGGAGGCGCAAGAGGAGCTTTCCGTCGTGAGGCACTACCTTGCTGATTCACCCGATGTCTACCAGAACAGTTCACTGCGGTCCTATTTCTGCGTCAAGCGGATCGACTTCAAGTCGAACCTGACAAGCAGCCTTCTGATGTCAGCGGGCATGCGACTAGGTAGCCCTGATGATGTTGACCGGTTTACACAGGACATGTTCCGTTACGACATCGTACATCAGCTCACGATCCTGGGGCTGAGGAGTGCGATACTCTCCTCGTCTGTCTCAACCTCATCCATTGACCAATTCAATTTCTTCGCTTTCGCCTTCGAAGAGCTGGCTCCAGTGGAACGCACTGTGGAACGCTGTCTCGACTCCATCAGCACGGACGAGCTCAATTACAAAGACACGTCAGCAACCATCCGCCGTGTCGGCGAAATTCTTGCCACGGTCGTGCGGAAATACCAGGAGGTCGTGCCTGCCCGTCCTGAGGATGAGATCATGTTCAGAATCTCGGCTATGAAGTCCAGCTTTGAACTCATCAAAGCTAGTTTAGACACACTCGCCTTAAGCGTTGAAACGTTTGGCATCCAGCAAGATGAACCGGGAGACCTGCTTCAGACCATTATGGAGACCATTCGAAAGCCATCCAACGAGGCTACACAGAATATCCTTGCTGTCGACAAGTTACTCCGTACCCTGCAGGCATTACGAGCGGATTCTCTATATCCGGACTTCCCGCTCGGCCTAGAAGATATCATGGCGAACCAAGAGAAGATTGCGCGTGCCGCCGAGGCAGCGCACCGTTTCGCTATACAAGTTGGTGAATCCACGAAGCCCAATCCAGAGAAAGATTCGCCTTCTATGTTGGCCTCTGATGTTGCCCCGATCTTCAATAAGCAGAAGGAGATGTTGCTCGCAGACAGCGAACTGGGCAACCTTTCTAGCTTTACGCCGCTGATTAATTCGTGGAACGAGTACGGCTCGATTCTGAGGAACAACATCGAAATTGAGCGCGGGCCGGCCCCATGGGTCCTGAAGTCAAAGGAGCTGCAAGCAACGAAGATGGATCGCGCGGAAGCCGAAGAAAAGATCCAGCAGATTCTGGCAGAACATAGGAACGCATTGGTCCAGATCAGGGAGAAGGACGAGCTGATTGAGATAAAGGATCTCGAAATTGAACATTTGAAAGCGAAGACGCGTGAAGCAGCCGCCAAAGTACTCGAACTTGCCCAAGCCGATGAGGAGCTGGAGAAGCAGAGGAAGCAATATGCCAAATTCGAGGCAGAAGTCAAGAAGGATCTTGAAGAGTTGAGACGCCTGAAAGAGGAGCGGAGAGAATGGGAGTATTACGCTGCAAAGAACAAACAACATGAAGGGATGTCAGAAGAAGAAATGGGAGAGCTGGCCGAGCCTAAGAAGCGAGAGACAGCACCGAAATCCAAGATTAGCGATGCCACGTCCTTTGCCACTCTTGTCTCCGCCCTGGAGAATGAAAACCATTGGCTCCGCCGCCGCGAGAACGCCGAAATGTTCAGTCTCAATCTGAGGGATATGCTGGCCAAGTCGCGCGAGTTCCAGCAGAGCATGAAATCGAGGCTTCGACAGCCCAAGATAGATGAGATCCTCGATCTAGCCTGGAATCTGGAAGGCGCCAAACTGGCTCCCATTCAGACTATGAAGTCCGTGCCAAACGCTCCTCCCACGAAGAACGCCCCGCTTCTGGAAGTGCCTGATATGGTGAACCGGAAATATAGGTCGCCAGTTCTGCTCTCTAGGGAAGAGTCGCCTCTGAAGTGGACACCAAGCAGGTACACGCCGGAGCGGTTCGCAAATGATATTGAAAACTTTGAGTTTCCGAACCTCTCTCCTATCGGCGAGGACATGTGGGGGAATATAGATGAGGGGTTGGAGGGGTTCAGTGAGGTTATGTATGGCGGTTTTGGGGTGGTCGCATAGGCGGAGGAAGACTTTCGGGGCCAGTGTTTGAATATCTGGGTCTCGGACCAGGGTGTTTTGGTTTTGCGGCGTTTACGGGCACCTGCATAGCACGATACCCATTGGTGGCGATTTGTTTCTAGATCTCTAGCATCTCTAGCATCTTCCGCGTCTATGGTTTGTCTTAGGGACAGTGAGAGCGGTAGGGCAGGGTCAATGCGGCCTGCTCATTCATACTGGTTTCTTCTTTTCAGGTGTAGTGAGCAATGTAACCTTGCGTGCTTTTCAGATTCAAGTTGGCTGCATAGTATGATTTGGGTCTCGGATTCTATCTTTGTGGACTAACTGTTTCATACGCTTGACTATTTATAGAGACACAGCGCAAGGAGGGCTTAGAAGGTCTCCGTCGCGTCGTCGATCGTCTCCAAAATACAAGCCTACTTCTACACGGTAACTTGAAATCGAAATGCGTGGTCTAAGCAGCTAAAAAGGCTGGTTTACATGTTCCTTTCGCCTGTCTTCCACTCAGCAGACCTCTATATTATGCGTTATGTAGGGGACCGTTGAGCATAGATAGTAGCGTAGAAAAAGAGTGACAAGCAGGAAGCGAGAGAAGTACATACGTAGCGTACATGTAGTAAATAGCTTCTAAACGAAAAATGTAGCTTCTCAACGGCCTAAAAAAATATAAATATCTACGATGTCTTGGCTACTATATATAATTAGGCTTTCCTCTCTAGAGGATTTAACACGCTTTATGTCTCGCATGCTAGGTAATCGTTAATTGATAGACGGATAACTGCCTCTAGCTTTCTTTCTTAACTTTTTCTGCCGATTGAGAGAACATAACGTTGGATAGATCCTTAAGCCTAGCTATTTCCCTAGCCTTCCCAATCGGCACGGATAGTGCTAAAGGATTTATTTGCACAGATTAATTGTAGATAAGCCTCGGTCCTGTGCACCTCCGTAGTACCCAGGCGCTTAGATCAGAGTTCGAGATATATCTATCCTTGTGCTGCGATAACCACATCGTTAATTCTCGCACTTACCGGGTCTTAGAACTACTACTACCACGGCATCGATAGGGGGAAGCATCACATCTCGATTGAATACGTGCGCGCCATCTACCGCCTCTGTTCACATCCGATCCGACTGAACACTGCCCTGCACTTCCTCCATACTAGTATTTTCTACATCTAATTTAACTAGCTAGCAGGGGTCAGCAATATAGCAGACCTTGCAAATCAGCTTTGTAGCCCTCTTATCGAGGTATTACAAGTTCGAAATCAAACCCCGACGTAGAGCATTATTAGGCAGTGGCTAATATGCTTGCGCTGACTAGGTAATGTTAACTACACAGGAAGCGCGGGGGCGCGTTCGGTTGGATGTAGAAAGCAGCAGTATCTATATATACTTACGGCGGGTTTCTCGATAGTGTGCTAGAGGAGGGTGTGTGTAATGTGTTGGACTCGTGAAGCGTGGATTTCTTTTCTTTTCTTCAACCTCGAGCTTCCACCACCCTAAAACGCTCCCTCCCATTCACCCACGTCATCATTCCAGCTCGTTTTTCCTTCTTACCTACCCATCCACCCATCCACCCATCATCATCCATCTAACCCCAAAAACATAAAAAGTAAAAAAAATTAGAAAAAAATTAGAAAAAAAAGTAGAAAAAGAGTAAAAAGAAACCAAAAAAACGCCCGATGGGAGGCTCGAACTCCCAACCTTGAGATCTCCATTCTCCAGAGGGGTTTGAGCCACTCCTTAAAAGTCTCACGCGCTAACCAATTGTGCCAACCGGGCTTTTTCTCTTATTGATTTTGCGCATATTTACTGCTTATAAGTAAGGATGTGGGACTGGGACGTCGCTTCTACTGTTTGTGCACGGCAAATACACAGTATGCAATCCGCGGCAGGAAGGAAAAGCGGAGGATGATAACAACCAATCAAACGAATGTGCGGAAGCGACGGAGGAAATTATCAAAGGCGAGAAAAAAGATATGCATGATTGGTTGCTGGGCATGTTTTCGCGCCTCCAGATTCACGTAAACTCCGCAGCACATCAGGCATACTCCGTACACACACATTCATTTCCTTCAATCCATAGCCTTCCCCAACTTGCTCCCCCCTCCCAAACCCCTGGATACAAAATATACCGCCCCCTCCTACTCCGTACATCCAACTAACCATCCATGCCCCTTGTACCTCTGCACCAAGTCCCGACTACCCACCCATCAGGAAACAATGCAATTGTCTCACATACTGATGTACGTCCTACTAGATGGAGCATGGTGGTTTTGGTTTTAATGCTGATTGGGTATACCTCCAGTGGAGTAAAGGTGCAAGAAAGGGTCAATTAGAAGATCAAGAACCCTACCCTTGCGCGCACGGCCATGTTCAGTCGGACGTCGAAAAGGGGCAATATTTACTCCGTACTGTGTAGACGTTTCATTTCTTCAATCATAGTGTACGATGTATCCAATCCCCTCTGCCGCAACCCTGATACAAATACAAATATAAACCACATCATCTACCCGCCTACCTACTAACTACTGTGGCTTTCCACGTGCACGTCCGACTGAAACACCCGGTTGCGATTCCTCTGTAGTTGGAATTCCCTGCCGGCCGCAAGGCAATTAGCTACAACCTAATAATGCGACAGGTCGACTTTCGTTTTAGAACTAAACTATACGTAGAGGCGTGCCACGGAGCTAATTGCAGGACCTCCTATATTGCAGCGTCTGCTAGCTGTTTAAATCGGATGTGGAAAACAGCAGTATAGAGGAAGTGCAGGGGAATGTTCAGTCGGATCGGATGTGAAAAGAAAGAAGCAGTATAGCTACACAATGTGAAAAGAACTACGCCTCGGCACCCGCGCCCGCCATGCCCGCCGCCACCAGCGCAATCAACGCAGCGCCCACGCCGCTCCCATCCTTTGCAATCCCGATCCGGATCCGCTTCTCCCCCTTCTCTCCAATGCCGGGAACCTCCCTCAACGCCTCGCGGATATACGCCTCAAAGCCCGGATAAAACTCCACCAGACTCCCATCAACGCCAATGTCAATCACCTCCTCGCTCTCATCCTCCAGCATCCCCGAGTTCAGCACGATGCCGGCGATGGCGACGGCGGAGAGTCGGGCGGCGCGGCGTCCCACGGCGGCGGCGATGTCGCGGAAGGCCTTCGCGTCGTCGATGCTGACATCCTGGATGCTGTATTCGGTGTCCAGGGTCTGGCGTATGACGCGGAGGTTGGTGCTGTTGTCGCCCGCGCAGATGCTCAGGAAGCTGGTGTCGAGGCCCCACTGCTTGAATATCGGGCTGTCCTTGCTGACCCGGGACTTGGTGGAAACGCTGCCGTATTCCTCTCTGCTTTCCGAGACGTAGAAGGGGTTGCGCGGGTCGTGGAGGTTCAGCAAGTTCAGGAGGGCCAGGCGGTAGAGCTCGCCGAGGAACATGCCGGAGATGCGCTTCTCAAACATCTGGATGCCCGGGTTGTTGGAGTTTCTGTCCAACTCGACGTCATAGGGGTTGTTGGGTAACGTGCGCAGCGAATTATCAAAGGAGCCCCATTCCGTATTGACGACCATTTCGCCGGTGCTCTTGTCGTAGTCGCCCGCATCCTTCTTGTTGGCGAGCTTGGTGATCCGGTCGAGCTTCTCGACGTACGCGCCGTTGGTACCAGTGCCGAAAATGGCGCCTAGCAGTGTGCGCGTCTTCCCAGGCGAAGTGTACGAGCGAGCCATGAGTGTTCCGACGGTGTCGTTGACCAGTGCGGCGACTCTGACGGGCAAGTGCAGCTTGTCAAGCTCGGCCTGTAGCAGGGCACAGACGTCCTTGCCTACGGTGTCCTGGATATCGAAGCCTTTTGTCCATCGCATCAGCAGCCCCTTGTTGATGCCTATCTGGTGCACGGGGAAGGAGAAGGTGAAGCCCAGGCTGAAAATCTCCTCGTCGGTAGCGCTACCGATGCTCTTGCGGTGCTTATATGTGGTGTAGTGTTCGTCATGGTGCTCCTTGAGGAATGCCTCTATTTGTTTGGCAAGGAAGGCGAAGAGTTCTTCCGACGTTTTCGCTTCCATGAGCTCAAGGGGCACGGCCGTCTTGCTTCGGGTGATGGAGAAGGTGCTGTTGCCGTGCAATTGGACCGAGCAGACGCGGAAGTTGGTGCCGCCCAAGTCGACGGCCATGTAGAGGCCCTATACTCGTGGTCAGACGGACGGGTAAGCCTGCTGCCGTTACAAAGGTTCCACTACCTTCTCGGTGCCATTGGGCACGCCTGTGACGTATGTGGGGATCTGGCTCAACTCGGTGCCGTCCTTGTGCAAGCCCTCGTCTGGCCTTTGTCAGTGACCAATTGTAGAGGCCGAGCTGGAGTGTGTTGATAGCCATACCCATCTCTCGACGGAACTCATCAACGGCCTTCTGCAGCGCCTCGGTGTGGAAGTCGAACTCGGCGACGACGCGCTTTGCATTCTCCGCTAGAACCATGTTGGGCTCAGCGTGCGGTTTGGAGAGGAACGTTTCCTTCAATTGGAGGTGGTGGTTCGGGGTGGGACAGGTGAGCGAGGTAGGGTCGTCGAAGAGATGGATGGCACGAGGGGAGACGGGAGGGGAGGGCGCAGGAGGGCGGCGTTGATCTCTTGGAGGGGTGACGAAGCTTAGGAGCGGGAAGCGCGGGGCTAGGAACTGCAGGACGAGCAAGACCAGCACGAGGACAAAGCTGACGAGATGGTGGAGGGGAGGACGCAGCGAGTTGGCACGACGTTTGGAGACGGGCAAGGCTTGACTTTGAGCACAGCGGGCTGGAGGAGGAGGAGTGGGAAGCTGGTGAAGCTGGTGAAGCTGGTGAAGCTGGTGAAGCTGGTCCACTTGGTCCCGCCGGCGGCCGCCCAGCGGTCCGAATCTCAGCGTGTCGGTCGTGGTGGGGAATCGAAGCCCAACCCCGCCCCCGGTCAGTCGAGGGGCAGACGCCTGGGCAAGGCGGAGCTGCGGTGAAAAGCAGGGATGGGATGGGATGGGAAACAATTGCAGAGGGAGAGTCTACAAAGAGGACATGCCGACGGATGCGTCGCGGAGGCGTCGGAGGTGCGTCTTGCAGCAAAGGACGAGGGGTCGATGGGAGGCTTAATAAGTAACGGCGCCGCGGATAGTTCGTCGTCTCTCCTGGCGTTTCTGGGGTTTCTGGGGTTTTCTGAGCTTTCTGGCCTCTTTGCTTGTTCAGGGCAAAGTTCAGTGCCAGCTCCGCCAATGGTGGGTTACGTCGGTGGCTTGGCCATCCCTCCACAGCTTGGAGCTGTCGATATTTGTTATATTTGTTCCAAGCCAAACCAGATCTCGTGACCGCCGCACATACGCATTTGGGGAGCCTCTAATATATTAATTTTGCAATAGAAGCCGTCACCAGAAGGCTACGTCGAGACACCGTTCACTGCAAATGCAAACCCTTCTTCGCATTTATTTCCTCTCAACACTCGAGCGTACATGGTATATCGTGTATCCACCCACCAACCCTCCTCGTCGTCGCTTTCGCACCATTACACTATCCTCGTTGCTGCTGCATGCCTCTCGCCGCCCACCTTTGCTTTTTTCCTTTCCGACAATGGAAAACAACGAGAGTATTATACGCTCCCCCTGCATCGCCCTCGCCGCATCCACCCTCAACTCCACCCCTCAAAAGCCACCATACCGCGATATCTCTGCCGCTGCAAATGCTCAGAAAAGAAGAGATGCCAAAACGTCATGTGCATGTATCGAAAGAGGGAAGCCCAAGAAGACAGCTAAGAAAACTCAACGGCCCGCTGTGCAGCCCATGCAGACGACAACCATTAGTGGGGGCCTCAAGCCCGCGACGACACGTCGTACCAAGCGAACCCTTCTACACATATGTACCATAAGAGAGCAAACAAGCAAACTCCAACAAGAGACGCCTCGCGCTGAGGCTGCCGTGTGTGCGTTGCAACTATTCCCGAATCCCCCTTTCTATTGTTTCCTTCATTAAGTGGCCGCCCACAACCTTTTTTGACGCCTATTCAACCTCCCAAGTCGCTGTTCGTAGGTGCAGGACATCTTGCCCGTATTAGGTAGTTCCGGAGAAGGAGAGTGCAAAGTGTCCGACATGCAAAACGGCTGTAAACAGCAGTCACGAAGCCCATGGAGGAAGGCGTCGTCCCAACACCAAAGTCATGGCTGTTCGCGTCTTGTACATGAGTATCGTCAGAGGGTTCCCATAACCTGACAAGGAATGGCAAGGCAAGCTCGCAACATATTCCAAGCTCCAAGCCGCAGGGACCACGAGACACATCTTGCCCCTTTACCGGACGCCGAGCGGAGGGCGCTGTGCTACCGGAAGACTGGCCTGGCTGCTGTGTGCAGAGGGCTCTGAATCGAGCTGAGCACTTGCTCCGCTACTGCCACTCTCCGCGCTAGCACTCGCACTTCCAGTCAGACTGCGTACTTGCGGACGAGACTTGGGCGGGTAGAGATTGCTCACCCCAGCGTGTTGCTCAACTTGTTGTGGCGCCACCGCGTTGCCGTGGCCGGGCGGATGCCGTGGCACCGGCTGCTGCATCCCCGGCGGCGACGGCCTGGCACTGTTCGGCGGCATGCCATTGGGAAAATAGCCATTGGGCGGTGACGGCCGACCCGAGGGTCTCGGGCCTGGACTGAGGGGGTTTCCGGGTGACTGGCTCGTCCTACGGCTCATGGGAGGATACGCCCCGTAGCTGGCGCCGCCAGAGAAGTCATCCATGCGCGCTGCAGTTAGCGAATTGGCTCTGGACTGCTGTCCCAATTCGCCTCGATCGACACTGCCATATCGATTTGACGAGTAGCCTAATAGAGCGTTATCCATGATCGAATCGTGAAGTCCGGGTACATCTGCCATCAACCTTGCGCTGGCGCGGTTCTTATTCATTCCAACCCGTGAAAAAAGGTTCCTCGAGCGCCCAGAGCCGCCGTAACCCGCGGTCTCGGGATTCTTGCGGATCTGGGTGGCGCTCGGAACCCTACGGTTGCGCTTGGATGTGACGCTCATCATGTCGAAGTTGTCCGGGTCGATCAGAGGAGGGGGAGGCCTCGCAGACATTGGGTCGAAATAATCGTCCTCGTCCTCGTCCTCATCGAAACCAGCCATGTGGGACGCTGGTGGCGGAGGGCGTCGTGGTCCTCGGCGCATGTTGAGCTCTTGTTCCCTAAGAGCAAGCTCCTTCTGCCGAAGCATCAACTCCCGCTCACGAAGGGATAGACTCTGAGCCGACTCGTTTGCGTCATAGCCTCCGTTAGCAACTCCGTCATCTGCCATGCTGTCGTAGAGCATTAGGTGACTGAACTCCTCCAGATTATTCTCGTCATCTGATCCTCTCCGCTGGCCATTGGGTCCCGGCGGGGGGTAGCCATTGCCATTCATCTGCCGGGGTGGGTAGCCGTTCGGTGGAGGAGGACCGCGACGAGCCATGGGAGGAGGAACTCCGTTGATCGAAGGGGCTCGGCTACCAGGACGAGGAGGGCCCTTCATAGGACCATTACCATTCAGCATAGGTGGACCTCCGGAACGCGGTGTAGGTGCAGAAGACATTCGAGGCGGTGGTCCGGGATTGGCGCCATTGGGTGGGTTGGGCGTTGCTGTAGGGGGTGGCCGGGAACGATTGACAATGTTCTTGTGGTGGAGCAATGCGTATAGCATCTCTATGCGAGGAACATGGACATTCGTCTCCTTTGCGAGTCTCAATGGTGCCCCAAGGAACGTCTCGACCTCCATTGGCGCCCTCCTCTGAAAGTCCTGGTACATTATGCTGGCATCCGACTGCGGCTGGATCATTTGTTGTATGGTTGCCTCGCGGAAATCTGCGGGGAACTTGCAGCCCAAGGCCGTGGCCACTGATAACAGCTCATCAATGGTACCTGTTATCATCTCCCGTACACCCACCTTCTCGATCAATTCGGCGTGATTTGGGATCTCGAAGAGTACGCTGGCAGGATGAAAGGCAACGGGTCTAGCAAGCATTAGCGAGTGAAACGAGTCTAAAGCAAGTCTCCACTCACCCAATCATGCGCTCAAATTGCTGTTGTCGTATGTTGGGGGACACTTTGCACTCGACTTGCCCAGTGCTGAGCGTCATGGCAAGCGCTTCCGCCATATCTGTCATGATCTGTGCAGGTATGGACGGATTTGAGTTGACCGTACCGACCCAGATGTCGGCAGCGGCCTTGTGCTCAAATTCGCTCGCTGCGAGCTGCGCAATGTCGGCACCGGACACCAACGACAAGACCACATTTGTCGGAAACCGTTGTTCAAGGTATGATTCGACGCCGAGGCTGTGTGTAGTGTTGACAAGCACACATGTGTGCTGAGGGGTTACGACGGATTCGATGATGTTGGCGATATCGTACACATCGGGCAGGGCCTTGACGCAGAGCAGGACATAGTCGAATGGTTGTTTGGAACTGGCGGCGGCGTCTTCTGGAGTTCGGACGACTAGAAGTTTTTTGTTAGCTGGCAGCCGACGCAGCAGGGCCAGTTGAGGTCAGCATACCTGAATAGGGCTTGAAGCGCTCGTTTCCGTAAAGGGCGGATCTGGGTAATGGATCAGCGCATGTCCGAAAGATGAAGGGGCCCATTTCCGCCTACTTGAAGGAAATGCCGTATTGAGCTACACTCTCGAAGCCGTTCTTCCACACGAGGGTGACGTCGCAGGCATTGGTGGCCTGAAGGCGCCAGGATAGGAAGGCGGAGGTGCCATTACCACCAACTATGTGCACATGTCAGCGGAGTCGAAGATGAACAACGTGGATACAGCAGCCAGGACAGAGGAGAGGTGGATGGTCAGGCGCTGCGGGCCATGGTGCACAGCACTCGTCACCCTGGTGGGACAGCAGAGCAAGGCGTTGTGGCATTGCTTTTGCGAGGGGGAGCGGAGAGGAGAGGAGAGGAGACGCACCTGAGAGGATGCGCAAGCGGGGGACCGCTGGAGCCATAACAGAGGGTGGACAGAAGAGCGTCGCGGAGGGAAGAGGCGGGGAGTTGTTTGACTAGAGAGCCAAAAGTTGGCGCGGAGCCGGACGACCAGGCTTGAGCGAAGCAAGCAAGCAAGCAAGGGTTCGGCGGCAGAGGGATTAGGATTAAGGTAAGATGTAGGATAGCGAGCGTGCGATGAGGATCGAGGCAGCGAAAAGGCTACAAGGCGGGCGACATGGAAACGGCGACAAAAAAAAGAGAGGCGTGAGTTGGGTGTGTGCGTCGGATCGATTGGGGGAAGGAGTGGTCAATCAAAGGTGGTGGGAAGTGACGGGAGTGACGGGCGGAGGACGGGGCAGGAAAGCGTGAGACAGCCGGGTGGTTTGGCGACTGCCACGTTCGGCGGGCGCGGGTCAGCCAAGGAAGGCGCGAGCAAGCCACGAGCAGGCCAGAGCCGGGAGACTCAGGAACAAGCGCAGCGCCGACCAAGGGAGAGTAAAAAGCGAGTGTAGAGTGGGCGGCACGAGGCGCGAGGAGTATAGGGGGGAGAGAGAGAGGGAGGGAGGGAGGGAGAGGCAGAGTAGGATTGGAGGAGTGAGTAAAGAAGCGAAGAGGGAGGAGAGAGGAGGGTGAATGGTGCGATAACAACGGGACAAGCTTTGGTTTTGGTTTTGTTACAGAGGGTTTTCTTGCTAACTTGGACAATCCTCCCAGGTATTGCTCGGCAAGCCAGAGGATTCCCGCTATCGCCGACAGGAGACTGTGTAATGATACATGCTGAAGGGTGTCGGTATTTTGGGCCCCCATGCCTATGGACTGGCGACGATGACCTCACCCAGGCATTTCCAAGGTGGTTGTGAGATGAGATGCGTGCAGAACAACGAGCACAATTTGTGCTATTATCAATTCATCCTCTTTGCCTCTGTTCCGTCTTGAAAGCCTCAGTAGCATCGCAGCACCAGCAGCGGCAACTCGTTGCTTTCTCATCACAGCAGCCCATCACCACTCTCTCACCTACCTCTCTCCTTTGATACAACACAGACGCAGATCCTTGTAGCTAGCGTGCCGCGCGGCGGCGGCGCCGCCTTCGAAAAGCCAACGGTGCCCAGCAAGTCCACTAGCCAGCGGGTCCAGCAGGTTTCCTTGTCGCGAACCCTGCTCGTCCGAATCTGCGCGATATGGGAGATATGGACATGGAGATCAATCCACCACTGCCGCCTGCGACTCGGCAGCCTGCAGCTGGACTTGCTTTTGTTGGCTTGCTGGTTAACGTCTGCTCATGCTGTGCCTCTCTCTCTCTCTCTGTCTCTCTCTCTCCTCGAACGTGCTCCTTCTCAACACGTTTGACTTTTTGTCTTGCATCAAAGATACACAAAATACACAAGAGGCCGCAAAACCCGGCGCTGCAGAAACGGCTGTGCAGCGGATCCCGCTGACGTCGTCGCTCCGCCGGGACCGGGGGGCCTTGAAGCCACCGCCAAGCCAACCGCCTGCGCCTCAAAAATCCCACAGGGCTTGCTCCTTGCAATGTCCGCCTGCAAACAACCTTGGAACTCATCTCACCAACCACGTTTTCTTCTTCCTGCTGACAAACCAGCTGCCGTTCGCTGTTTTCCCCTTTCATCCAACCTCATCTGGGCATCCGAAGTCTGAGCCCACCATCTGCAGAGTCTCTGCCACAGCAGCCAGAATTCCTCCGATATGCGTACCATGGTTTCACTGATCATGTTGGTCCTCGGCGGGGTTACGAGAAGCCCTCACATCGCACACACTGCACGTTGATCGGAGGCGGCTCTTCATTAACACGGTACATATGCCTCTTATCTATCCTCCCCTCGACGCCAAGCCTTGTACCTCTTCCTTCCCCGCGCCCACACCTCGTTGTTGAGGAACACGACTTCCAGACTAACAGTACTGTGTACTGTGTACCTTCTGCAAACCGTCCACCTCAATGACTGCCCAGGTGGTACTGCTTCGAATCACTCCCAACCCGCATCGACTCGCACGCAGCCCGCCTGCACGACAATGCTCCTCCACCTTCGTGCTGTCCATTCCCCCCCTCCAGTAACGCTTAACGCTTGTCTATCAATGCATCCCTACTATTAGGCTTGGTGATATTGGGTTTCCAGGTACCGTGACGGAGAGTTCCACGCGACGCGTGTCTTGGGAGGCTGTGCAGGCTGCAGACGCTATCAACAACCTCTTGGTGCCCCTTTTTTCTCATCAGAACGGACGCATCATCAACAGAACCGACATTTTCAATAATGTTGAACATTAATTACCGTCCAAACTCTAGCAGGGTCTCCATCCAGTAGAAGCGACGAACACGACCTCGTTCCGAAAACGTCCAGAACTTCAATTTTGCCCCACAGAGCATGGAAATTCGCAAATGCCATGGCTCCCGAGCCCCCTTCGCGCCCATTCCGAAAACATCCATGTCGCGGTCCTTTGATCGTCGATCCGGCATTTGAAATTGGGAAACCACCAAAATAGAAGTCCATGGCGCCTTTTCATGAAAGCTATCGCAAAGAGCTCTTCTCAGAGCAATCTTCTTCTGACACCTTTTGCGAGGCCAGTACGAGCAAATACTGTGTGTTGCCACGTCGTACATCAACCCCCAGGTTCGTCGCCGACTTTCAAAGATCTGCATCCTGTCGCAGCGGCATGGCAGCCCTCTTTCGACGCATACTCGGCAAAGGCCCTCCCTCATTGGCTCACAGCTTTTAATTGAGTTTCTGTGATCGCGCCTCCTGCGATGCGTTGTCCCGAATTTTGACCCCTCCAGTAATGATTTCTTCAGCTTCGCCTTGTTCAAAGCGCCATTGCCGGAGAGAACTACCCAAAGGGAAAGGGTCATTCCCACGTCGACACAGGTACTGAGTAGCTCTACTCCGTACTCAGTGCTAGGATTTGCGGCTTGCGCTACATGTCAAGACTTTGTTGTTAGCCTTGATTGCCGCGACGGGGAAAGTTCTCCGTCTGCCGAGGTGTGCGGCGCGTCCACGGGTAGACCAGAACGGTTCTCCCGGACGCGTCGCGCATTTCGTCAGCGGCGCCCACGAATTCTCCCCGGCAGCCTCGCCAAGAGCGACCGTTGCTTCCATTGAGTTTCTGCAACCTCGAAAAGAGGACAACGCCGCAACGCGTCTTTTGATATCACTTCGACCATGTCTTGTCGCATTCATTTGCCCGTTGCCCGTGGCGAGGTACATGCAATAAGCGCAATGCAGGACCATCACATTGCCAGTCATCTCCGTCTCACCGGCTATTAATGATCCAGTCGTGCTCCAGCCAGAGCAGGAGGAAGTGGAATAGCATGGTGATGCTCCAAGTCCTATCTATAGCAGATCTTTTAATCTTCTAGGAACCCCTTACTTACTGTGCATTACTGTACAGTATCATTGGATTGCGAACCCCGTCCAACACTCATCTCATCAAAGACCACGGAATACCGGTGCGAACAATCATCGCTTCTGATCCTCCGTACATGCAACGAATTCCTCTAGAACTCGTATTCCCCAGCATCCAGCCTATCCCTCCCATTCCCCCATATCATATCATCTCATCTCATCTCCATTGGCATCTTCTCTGCCTTTTTCTCACATGCGTCAACCTCTGTCGCGGATGTTGCAGGTCCAGGTCCATGTCCAGATCCCAGGAACAAGACATGGATCCGGGTAGTATCAGAAGCGAGATGAGAGAACGCTCGTTCATGAACAGACAGGCCTACGAATCTTGATTCTTGCTTGCTGACTGCGATAAGTGGGGGGCATAGGCAACAGGGGATGCTGCCAACTTTTCCTATTCTTTCAGATTTCTCTCTGTCGGGTAATAAAATGTTATTATTCTTTTTTATATTTGTATTGTGGGGTTTGGGCTCCTGCTTATTCTAACTGAACTACGTCATGCCATGAATGTGGGAATTCTCGAATAACCCATTGTAGGTAGAACCGGGCCACGCTAGCCTACTGTAGGCTGCAATCGGTTCCTGCAGCTGCAGGAACAAACATCCGGAAGAAGGGAACTTTTTCGGGTCGAGCGTTGTGGTGCGGTGCGCGCGTGTGCTGGACGGGATAATGGAACTCCTCATCTCATCTAACCAGACAAGCTCCGAGGAGTAGGTATACGTACCATAGTACTTGGTACGGAGCCCACGTATCGAGCAATGAGCACATCGGAAGATGCGTCCAGTACGAGCGCATTCGTCTACGCAGGCAGACGAAAACAGCACCTCACACTCATAATACACACACAGCTCCCAAAGACTGGAACCCGACAATTTGTCTATTTCAGCTACTCCTGAATTCCGCATCCATGATGATATCTGAACGGTGGCGACAACTGGGGAATCCGAGATCCACGACAACCACGCCCATCAATCAAACGTCGTGCGAAAGTGCAGATTCCCACTGTCGGCATTCCCCCGGTCGCTAACACTTAAACGCAGAGGAAAAAAGAAGAAGCCTTTCCATATCGAGCCACCCCCCTGGTACTAACTCCAAAGCTCACATTTTTTGTGACTGCCAGTTTTTGAAGGAGCCTCTGTCGCACAGAGATCCCTATCCGTCTAGTTGTCCATATAAGTGGAAGAGTCGATACCACCCTCGGGGAATTCACTACAGACCTGTTAGCATCAAGTCCCTCACTCAAGGAGCAGACATAAACTTACGGAAGCGCAACGTCAAAGCGCTCTTCAATCGACTTGAGCACGGCCTCATCCTCAGGGCTACTCACAAACGAGATACTGAGGCCCTTGGTACCGAAGCGCCCAGCACGACCGACACGGTGCAGGTACGAGTCCGCCTTGTCGGGCATGTCGTAGTTGATGGCAACGTTGATGCGCTCCACGTCGATACCACGGCCGAAGATGTCCGTCGAGACACAGATACGCGTCTGGAACTCCTTGAACTCGCGGTAACGCTTGATACGCTCCTCCTGACCGATGCCAGAGTGCACAGCAGTGCTGGGGAAGTTGCACTCCCTCAGCAGCTTGTCAAGCTCAGTGCAGCGGAGAGTCGAGCGGACGAAGATGATGACCTGGTTGAACTCGAGCTGGTCAAGAAGGTCGTTGAGCTTCCGGTTCTTCTCGCGCTCATCGAGCTTGATGTAGTACTGCTGCAGACCGTGTAGCGTTAACTTCTTCTCATCATCCACGTAGATCTCCAGCGGATTCTGCATGAATTTCTTACAGATGACACGGGTCTCCTTTGAGAGGGTAGCAGAAAACATCATGACTTGCTTGTGCGCCGGAGTGGCCCTGAAGATCGCCTGCACATCATTGCGCATATCTAATCTTACGCGTTAGCATTGGGTGAGGAGGGAGGACCACAGAGCGCTTACCAGGTTGGTCGAGCATCTTGTCGCACTCATCGAGAACGAAGTGCTTCAGATTCGCAAGGCGAAGATACTTGTCGCGGACAAGGGCGTTGATACGACCGGGGGTTCCGACAATGATGTGTGGGTGGGTCTCCTTGTTCGCAAGAAGATCAATGTCCTTTTGCACTGGAGTGCCACCGTAGAAGACGCCCACCTTGACATCGGGCAGGAACTTGGCGAAACGGTTGTACTCGTTCTTGATCTGATATGCCAACTCGCGCGTGTGGCACATGACCAATATCGTTGCAACTCCAGGTTCAGGCTTCTCGTCCATTTGCTGGAGCGTGGCCAGGACGAAGACGGCAGTTTTTCCGAGACCGGATTTCGCTTGGCAGAGAACGTCGTTGCCCAGGATGGCTTGAGGAATGGTAACTTGTTGGACTGCAAAACAGACGATGTCAGAATGATATCTTTAAAGCGGTCTGAAACGACGTGGGAAGTGAAAGCGTCCGTCCATCTGTGGTGGATCCTCCTGAGCTGCCAACCAAGCGCAACATATAAGTCCATCTCTCGCGGATCGAATGACATCCTCTTTTTCAAATGCAAAAAGCATTTGCAGGCCAAATACGTGCAGCGGGCGCCCAGTGCTACCTCAAATGCAGTAGGTTCGAGCCTTGCGATCGATGCCAGGGGCATCCGATGTATTCCGTCCTTCGATCTCCTCTCAAGAAGTGGAGACTACGTTCTTATGTACTCGGTGGACGCACAGTCCGAACAGTTCCGGCAAGAGGTCGGATGTCGTAGGGATGGACGGACGCTTTCAGGAGGGGTAACGCTGAGGGGGGATTAGACTAACCCTCGGAGGGATGTTCGAAACCACAGTCCGTAATCGCTCGAACAAGCTCGTCCTTTAGCAGAAAGTCGCGGAAACCCGTTGAGTGGATACCGACGTAGCTACCCTTCTTGTCGCCTTCACTGGTGGCAGGGGCAAGGTCACCCTTCGCGGCCGCGGCGGCGCCATTCGCGGGAGCCTCGACATTCTGGATCTCCTCGTCGGAGTAGTCGATGAGATCTTCCTCGTGCGACATGGTTCCTGGAGAAAGCGTCGATGAGGGGAAGGAGACAAGTGGCAGGTGGCGCGGGTTAGGAAGTCGTTGTCAGACTCCCAAATAAAGCGAGTCGCGTTGACGGCCGTAGGCTGGTTGCTCGAAGGCGCGGGAAACTGAAGGATAAAGGGTACCGGTCCAAACTGGATCTAACTCGCGAACAAGCGCAAGTCGTTGAGAGATGGGAAAGGGTGGATGGTTTGCTCTGGATTAGGTTGAAGGGGGGATGAGAGTGCTGGAGTTGGAGCTCAGCCGCCTGAATGAGGTCGTAAAAATGGGCGCCAAGACGCTTGCATGCGGCAAACAAGTCCGAGCGCGCCGCCCAAGCTCGGCACCGCCCCTTGCGCCACAGGTTCTCTCTTTGGTGTGGTCTGAGACACACTCGGCCGCAACAACACAAACATTGATGTGCGCTGGACGACACTGGCTGTCGTTTACCACATCTTCTTCGCCATGGCAAAGGACAAACAGAAGCCGGGGAAAGGCTTTCCAAACAGACATCTGCACGCTCGCGCCAGTTTCCTCTACCAAGCGGCGACCTACCTCACACTTCAAGCAACATCGGCACCGCTGTCACCGGAGTCAGACGAGATCGGTGCACACGAGCGGCACGAAAGTCTCAATCCTGGTACTGGAAACCCCAAACAGGTCTGTCACCTCGGAGCACACCTTCGTGCTGTCTCACAGAAAGGCCAACTTCGCCTGTCACTGGACATGAAGCATAGTCTCTGCAAGACATGCCATGCTCTCCTTATCCCTGGCCGCACATCAACTCAAAACTTGGAGAACAGGAGCAAGGGTGGTAGCAAACCGTGGGCGGACGTTTTCGAGATAGAGTGTAATATCTGCGGTACCAAGAAGCGCTTTCCTGTCGGAGCGAAGCGCCAGCAACGGAAAGACAAACGCGATCAGACAAAAAAGAAGACCGCCGCCGCTTCGGACCCCATGCTCATCGATTCATCATCCGTGAGACAGGAGGTGACATGAGCCCGGTCTGATCTAATGGGGACGCTCTGCGCCCTGTCAGTCGAGCAACGGGTTCGAACGAGAGAAGTCCCTAAAGATGATAAGTGTTTTGTCAAGCCGAGCATTAGGGCAAAGGCATTAGCAGAATAGCCTTAGATCTCCCGCTGCATGAGGCCGGATGGCACGGTCGTCCATGTCTGTCCTTGCCCTCTTACGCCTCAAGTCCGGGAGAGTGGCTTGGGCGGCTTTTATCTACCGCCTCCTCCCACGTCCGACTGAACAACCCCCAGTACTTCCAATTCAAGGTAGAATACGTATTTCAAGAAATCCAATTGGCTATATTCTAGTTACGCTACGAGGGCACGGTGTTTAAGGCTGGTTATACCTGGAGGGAGGCGCAGAAAGGGCCAATCAGAAGGTCAGTAACCCCTACGCGCACGGTCTTGTTCAGTCGGACGTGAAAAGAGGCAGTAGGGTCAAGAGGCTATCACAAAGTGCTGGAACGCAAGGGCACATTTCCGCTCGGATAAGAATACGTAACAACAGCGAAGAGACATACTTACCTCGAGCGTGTTGCGGTTAGCGCTTGTTGTATGGCATTGGGAATCGATCAATTGCTGTACGAGCGGAAGTAGATGAGCTTCATGCTGAGCGGCATCTGCTTCAAAGATGAAAGAGGATGGATCTCAGTGGCTCACCCTTCGCGATAATGTCGTCTCAGAGCAGAGCTTTTGAGTGTTGGGTTCTCCAGAGGTAGTCAGGTAAAAGGGAGTCTCGCAACAGACGTGACAGAGCATCGTCCCTGGGCTACTCCGATCCCGTGGATTGGTCATTTTAGATGTTATTACCTTCCTTTCTCTCCATGTCTCTATAATGTCGCATTCATGATTCCCCTGACTTCACTTTCTCATCAGTCTGCCGTGCGAATTTTTGGAGGCCCCGAGTTTGAGCGCTGTGCTATGCATTTTCCTCTTAATTTCTCTAAAGCTCTTCATTCGAAAACCCGTAATCATCTCTGCCCAAAGCTGGATACCGCGCTCACTCCAATGTCTTCCAAGGTTTCCCCACGACAACTCACGTGAGAGCACGCTGTTGTTGGCCCGTGCCACCTACTTCAGTGGACTGTATACAGATGGCAAGTACCCTCATCAAGATTTTCACCTCCGGTCCATTTCGGTTGCTCACCCTCCTCTGCGCGGTCCATTTCTCTCCCTTTCTTCTCTACCCCACGCCTCCATCGCTCACTTCACCAAGCAGACAATATCCACGGGTACCCTTAGTGTCAAACTGTCGCAGCGATAGCAGCAGAGGCGCTCTCTGCCGTGCATATTCTGGCTCAATCGCTGCAACAAACTCATACCTACGACATCGCTGTGCGGTTTTCTGAACCACCAGGTGGCACTGCGATACCTACTCCGCCATGGGAGGGCCGGGGTTTCAGTGTGGCATGTGCGAAAAGACGTTTCCAACGAAAGTCGCACTGCACCAGCACATGCTGCATCACAGGAAGCTCGAAGCCACATGGGATTGCGAAGTTTGTCACCAAACGTACGAAGACCGTTTGTCTCTAGAGCAGCACAAGATCGCTAGCGGCCACAAGCCCGCCAAAGTATTTGGTTGTGGGGTCTGTTCGATGCAGTTCCCAACTCAAGCGGCGCTGGAAGAGCACAAGAGATTTCCTTCCACATGCAGCGACGCGTTCCGCGCTCCGCAAACGAAGAAATCACGGTCGAAGGAGGTTTCAGCTGATTCCCCTGCTCCGTTTGCCTTCGCTTCGCCCACGTACGACTACGAAGCCCCTCCTGTGGGCAGTCGGTTCGAACGACCTCCAAGCATCTCTACCGTCAGACCAGCTACGGAGAATTGTACCCAGACCAGCATGGGAGATGTACTTTGCAACGTTTGCGGAAGGTCGTTCCAGAGCCAAGGCCGGTACGCTCGCCACTTCCTAGGATGCAAACCGCAGAACCCCGCAACGACGACCGTTCGAGAGGAAGATATGCAGGGCGGCGCTGTTCAACCAGTCTCCGGTACCCAGGAATCTTCGCGGCCTGAAACGCTGAAAGATGGGCCAAATACCGATGGTAGAGAGATTGCACCGGTTGCGACCAATGCAGATGGTCAAGGAAACGCCCCAACGCACATCTCCCTCCCTAGGCATACTGAAAGAGGGGGACAGGCACGGCCAAAGCCAGCGCAGAGTTTGCCGATTCCAGCTGTTATGCCGCAACAGTCACGCACGAGTCAAGCGTCCGCCACGCCGTTCATTGCCGCTGTTACCGCCAGACAATCTGTCGACCCATCGCAAGGACGTATAGAACCAAAGCAGAAAGCGACCACAAAGCCGCAGGTGAAGCCAACGAATACCTTTGCCGAGTTGCCATACCGATGTACCTTTGCTGCTTGCCGTAAGGGTTTTCGAAGTGAGGCTGCCTTGAAGCAACATCAATTCGACTCCCACAGGGTTGAGACGGCGACTTTAAATCATGCTGTCCGAGAACAGCTGAAAAACAGTGGCTTACTTCGTGCGAGCCCCTTGCCCACTGCGGGCCGGCAGGTCAACATGAACCCGACTTCACTTCGGCCATCCCCGCACGTCGTACACGCCTCAAATAGACCAAACCCTCCGCCAGCGGTAGTTCCAGCCACCATCAAACAAGCCCCGGAGCAAGCTGTCGTTGTGGGTCCAGAAGACTTTCATCAAACAAGCAAGGTCAGTGAACTCATTGTCCGCCTTGTCTTGCAAGATGACGTTCTGCTTCACCATGGAGGGAAAATCATATACGGAGGTGTCGATTGGAAGCGGGTTCCTGTGGCTAAGCAAGGCGCTCTTCTGGACATGTTCGAAGAGCAACAGCTATGTCATCTGCCCAAGTCTCTTCAACACGAGGAATACATCCCAGCACCAGCAGTGTTCAAGGACGAATACCAGTACTTCTACCCTGTGGCTGATTTCCAAACTTCTCCAGATCCGTCCCTTACAAGACCATGTCCTAGCATTATCTCTCTTACCTGCATTAAGGTTGGCCTTACTAATGGAGGGCATGGAGCAGTCAAGGTTGCGGCTGTCGACGTAGCTACTTGTAGGATTCTGTTGAACCATCTTATCTGGATTGAGTCACAGGGCGTTCGTGACTGGCGCACCACCGTCACCGGCCTGAAAGGAATGGAGGACCTCGAAGAAGCTCGAAAAGATGGTTACAAGGTGTTCAAAGGATGGGAGGCCGCTCGTTCTGCTATCTGGAAGTTCATCGACAGCGACACCATCATCATCGGACACAACCTACGTGCTGACATTGACGCCCTTCGAATGATACATGGACGAGCAGTCGACGTTGCAATCTTGGCGGAAAAGGCGGCGAATGGTCCTGTCTCTAAACAGCAATTGAGTTTGGACGCTCTTTCCAGGGATCTTCTGAAGATCAACCTGTCTACACATCCCCGTTTCGGCCGCGATGCCCTCCAAAATGCTTTTGCCATCAGGGAACTGGCACTCTGGAAGCTGAAGAACGATGATAAGTGGACGAAGTGGGCGAAAGAGAAATCCCTGGACTATCAGCGTATTGGCAAGTTCGCTTCGCGTGCAGTCTAATACTCATAACTACGAGGCATCGACAGAATGGACACCATCTACGGGACTGGCACTGGCACAAATACTTCACGGATGATACGATAAGAGGTGATTAGGAATCTGCGTAAATACCGCGAGACGATACCGTGTATTCAGTATGACAAGCAGAAACCAAAATGTTGGCTTCATGTGTGGATTACGTTGCCAGCAACTGCTAATTCTTCAGAAAGAAGGAGAATATGCTCGGCCCTTTAGAGGCAAAGAAAGAGCATCTAGGATATGTGCGATTTCCGATCCATGCGGGTTGTGAGGACTTCGTTCTCTCAAAGCACATGTATGCATAGGCCTGGAAAAATGGAGAGATTTTATACAATCAACTACTGACATGGCGATGCTCCGCGAAGACGTGACTGGCATCTCCTCGCTGGTATGGGGTCATTTTCCTCTTTGACTTCGATATGGAAGTTCCGATGAGCATATATGAGAACCTACCAGCATGCAAGTACCAATGCCGCTGCGTTGGGCAAGTGATTGAAATGACTTCTTATCGCGTGTGACATATCTTTTGCTCCCCCAATTCTATCCCAAATCAGGAGGCGAACCCACGTCTCTAGATACAATACCATTTCTACGTACTGATGCGTTGGCTGAACGGAATATAATGGCAGATAGTCATCATCAGACACTGATGCAGCCATCCGTGCTGTCCTCAACGAACACGCCAGAATATATCTGACCCTCTTTATGCTTCATCACTTCATGGTAGCCGTCCCAAACCACGGTTTCGGTCTCCGTCGGCTTCTTCGCTATGCCAAGCTGCAACTGGCCACCACCCGTGTTGTCGTTCTCCAATGCTCGCGTCACGGCGTTGAGTGGCCTGTCTCCCTCCGAATAGAAGACCTGGAGCGTCCTAAATGGCATAATTAATTAGTTCACAAGCGTTTTATTTTTATTCCCACCCACTGATGACATGAATGAACTCACCCCTTCGCATGATCCAACTTCACCGCCCAATTCTGCCACTCGCTCCACTGAATCCCCGTCTCGAACACAATCTTGTTGTTCCGATCCTGCACCCGGAACTGCTCCCTCTTCTTCCTCGTGTTCACTCCATCCCCCCCATCCTGCTTCAGCAACAATCCCGTGCTAAACGTGAACTGATTCCCCGCATAGTCGGCGCGCTCATGCCACACGTTCATGTACTCGTGCGTCAGATTCAGCGGATGCACCTTGGGATTCTGAAGGACGCTCCAATGGAAGGTGACGACTCCTTTATCCGCGGCATCGGAACCTTCAGGGTTGGAGTCATTCTTTAGCAGGAGTCCCGCGCGCCGGAATCCAGTTTGCAGACCTGAGCCAGTGCGGAAGAGCGAGTTGTTGTCGATGGTTACTTCGAACGGCTTGTGAGTTCTAGGTTCATCGAAGCGGGAGGGATTAATGTGCTGGTGTTGGCCTGGGGCGTTTGAGGCAGGGAATTGGATGATGGAGGACCAGGTGAGGTTTTCGCCTTTGACGTATTGGGTGTTGTAGGGGCTGCGCTCAGGGGAGTCGAAGTCGAGAAGGGTGGCTTCGATGGGGATGCGCCCGTCGAAAATTATGGGGCATTTGATCCGTGAGGGTTGTTGTTTTCCCGGCTTCGGATGCTTAGGGTTTTGGTTGGGGAGGGCCGTGGTGGTGGCGGCGAGGGCTAGGATGGCGAGGTTGGCGTGTATGTACATTGTGAAGGAGTTACCAAAATAATTGGGAAACTGAAGGAAGGTTGCGCAAACATTTTGCTGGGCGCGTCTCTATAAGAGTGTAGCTGTGGGAAATGACGTGCGGCTCGTGGTGTACTTTGAACCGGATACGAACGGTGGCTAATTACATGGCAATTTAAATGAATTTATTCATGTGCGTTAGACCTGCGTTAGCTTGGCTCGAACACCATCTAGATTTCAATTACGGGCCGTCCGACCTGGTTAGTGGTAAGACGATGTTGAACTTAGGTCTAAAGTGTGGACGTCCGCGTTCTCTTTACATGCAGTGATGATCGCCACCATAGCACGTGGTTGAGACTCCGAACTGATTTATTCCATTTTCACTGCCCCGGGCTGATACTGGCTATATTTTAAAGGGTCCGGAACCATAGAAAGGTAAGATGCAGTGTCATGGGGAAATGGGGAGGCAGTATGAATCCAAGATAGCTCGAGAAAGAAATAGGAGAGCTGCCCTAGGATAATCCCAAGTTCACAAAACCCCCCAATCACTGGTGAGATCCATGCCAGGGATTTTTCGTGCACCAACCACTTCTTACAGTTATTTTTCCATCCCTGATAGTCGTGAAGTGGACTAGCTTCATGCGGAACCCTCGGATAGAGTGTGTCCGCAGGTAGGACAGGTCGCAGGAACGTCTTCGCTAGGCTTTGGAGAGGGAATTCGCCCAGATTCCTCTCCAACATCATCAGTAGTCTTGGGTCGCTTCTGGCCTTTTCGTGCTTCAGACTCGGGTTTCCGTTTTCGAGCGTCTGAAACTTCAAGCTGCCATGTGGATGTTTTGTAGTCGAAAAAGTAAGGTTCGACTCTGCGGATACTTCGCACGATGCCGAGTTCGGGGTACTTATGCAATGTTTCTCCATCAAAAGGCATGACCCGTGTGATCCTTGACTTTGGAATGGCGCCGGCCGCCAACCATTCAAAATCATGTCCTTTGCTGCAGGCTAGTCTGAAGTCACTGCCGCAGCGCCGCAATTCGGTGATGGAAAGCCACATCTCATATTTCGAGCCTTTGAGCTGAGCGACCGGGATATCCGACCGATCCGACGGTATGATGCTTTCGTTCACCCAGACTGGGATCTTTTCGTGCCGTGTGGTCACTTCCTTGCCTAGAAAATCCAAACCTTGCCATCTGCCTACGGTCTCTTCCACGGTCCTCCTTACAGTGGCCGCTACAAGCCCTTCTGTAGAGATCTCAGCTATGGAGACCCGGTGCCCAATACGCTGGCTATCGTAGTAGTGAAATCTGGCCCGCTTCTCTGCCGACTCTAGTGAATGTTAGCGAGGAAATACAAAGAAGTCGCCATGGAGACTTACTGATGTTGTTAAAAGCGGAGATGTAAGATGACGGATGCTTTTTTTGCTGCCATTTTGTATGCCTCCTAATTCTTTCGGTGTTGAGATCTTTGCTGAGAGAAAAATCTGCAATCGCCTGAAACGCATTCCCTTCCCGCAGCCTGAGTTTCGGCTTCTCGCGATGTTGGACATGCAGCTCTGTGCCTACGTAGCAACTCAGCGTTACTGATGTCTCATAGAACACTCGATACAATTGTCTTGGGAGCATCTTGCTGGCATCGCGGATAAGTTCATCCGGTTCGGAAAAAGTGCTGGAACTTGTCAGTGTGCCGTCCAGCCAAGTAATGGAGAGTCAAACATTGTCTCGGTGCCGATGACTTTCGAAGTGACGACATAATCTTTAGGCATCTTTGGTGGCTTTGGCGCTGGCGTCCTGACACGAGCGGTCACTTCTGTAATCATCTCCGCTGAGGGAAGTTGAGGCAACCGCTTCACCCATAGCCGTGTCTCGGACTCGCTGATAGCTTTAACTATTTCGGCGAATAACTCAGCATTTGTTTCGTCGATGTTCGTTTCAAATTTTAAGGCAAGGGACTTGATGTCAATGCCTTCGGCTGGGATCGCATTGTAAATTTCCACCGGGGATGGTAGCTCATTCACTAGCGGTTGTATCAGTCAGGAAGTAAAAGCACACAGGAAGAGACCAACGAACCAGCTAGATGTGGAGGCTTTTTCGGTTTCTTTGCCCCATCCGGTACTGGGTTTCCCGCAGGAGCAGCAGAAGGAGAAGCTGAGAGGGCTGGCAATTGTGGTGCGGCTTGATCTGTCTGTGAAGCCATCGTGTCCGTGGAGGTTGAGTGATGTTGTGTGAACCAGATGGCGTAGAGAGTACTGGTTATATAGTAGCTAGGCAGGAGAAAGCCAAGCGGTAAGCGTTGCTGTCGAGTACGGATACCTTCGAAGCTTTGGTGGAGGATACCAGGCCGCAGAATCTCACCGCTGGAGATATTGAGCGGAATCTCACAAGTAAAAGTGGCGCATTGTACTACCAGCACAAAAGCGACTACGCGGAGGAGGCGAAAGGTGGACATGGGAGGGAGAAAGTAAGAGAGCTGATCCCGTAATTTTAGACGACGATTCTCGATATTGCTCCTCTGTGGGTGTCTTGACGATGATCGTCTGTGGAGTGGGAGACAAGGGAAAAGAGAGTTAGCTGAGAGTACCTTGGGCGTTCGTATCCATAGGACAATGCGGAGATTGACGAGAGACTCTTGCGTGTGATTATGCAGGAGTACACGAGCCAGATATGGGCGCAGATCCGCAGTTGACATCCGTTTCATGCCTTGTTGTGGTAATTGTCATGATGTTGCTCGTATGCCGGACAACTGCCCTTAGCCTGAGCCCGCTGAGGAATTTCCGTAAGGCTTGGTCGTAACAGATTTATTAGTATAGACTCTATGAGCAACTAATCTGCCGGGGGTTGTTAGGATACAAGAGTTTCCCATCTTCCCGGTAGGAGTTAACAAGAATGTGACAGCATGATGAAAGATGATTTGCTAAGAGATACTGAGCATCAATACGTGAGAATGGGCACGTTATTCCGGCGGTATAATCTAAGTCCAGGACCGTCCGCCACTCCAGGGAAGTAATGGAAGCAGTAGCGACGGTCGAAGAAATTTAGGTCCGTCAACATGATACATGGCATGATGCCGTAAATCGCCGCTGTTTAACCATAAATTGCATTATTATTACCGTTGGTATCCACTAAAGAATGCTAAAATCAGGAAATGCTTCCTTACGCCCTCAAAATGCCACCCACGACAAGGAAACATTCCAAGGTCCCCTTCACTACATCGCACCTGGACGCGCAGACCGCTCAACCGGATCCCCAAGATGTTTAGGCCATGCTTCAACCGCGGTACAATGCAACAAAGGTCTAGAAGACACAGCATATAATTCAATTCAAGATGTCCTTGCGCTGAAATACCCAGAGTTGGCCGCCGGTGACGATTGCAGTGCAGAGCAACTATTGATTTTACGGCGAAGAAAATGTTGAAAAGAGCAGCAACGATATATCCGACGTTCTTAGCACTAATAGTCCTTCATATCATGTCAACGCGCATAGCAAAAAACAAGGAGGTATAGCTACGTTGTGACAGCAGAGAATCTGATCATGATACCCGTCACATGTATCGCATGGCGCATTACGCGGCGGCCATCTATGCGTCCCGACAGCGAAGACCAGTTTACGCGCTATTGTCACGCTTAATCGTCATACCACCTATTGAGGTTTGGGTCAATGTGTACTCTATCCCAGTGACTCTGCTTGCCAGTATTATCACCAGGTATTTGTGCAGATGCTCACACTCACATTTCAAGCTGTTCCTTCCTTAGGATCGGTTTATATCTTCATGTTCTCCCGCCTCTATTTGCTCTGGACAAGATCGAACTGGTTCACGGGTTCTATCATCTGCTTTCGTCCGGTGTCTTGTTGAACAAACATCTTCTGAATAAATGAGCTCAACGCTGCTCGCTCCGTTAACAGGTAAGTGAGAGACAGTTACAACCTGAATCGTGCCTTCCTAAGACGGACGGGCGGTTTGAACTGACAACATCGCTTACCTTAACTACAACGACTGCAGAGTTCCTTTACTTCCTACCAGCCGAAGGTCCCACCTTCCTTTCTTCTCGACGCTCCGAACGCAAAGCCACATCCGCAGCTCTTTACCCAAGTATTAACCGTACTCCTACACGGCCATTCTGACACTTTTCGCAACTATCTTACTTCTTACCTTCGCCTCCGACCAATTCCTACGGGAGACTCGGTGCCACCATTACCGACGGTCTATCCGAGCAATTTCAGATATCCTGTCTTTGCAGCTCTTACACTCTCGTTATTCCATCCCATCCATACCATGGGCGGCCGCGCCTGGCGCAATCTCCACACCCCTCGCATCCCTCTGAAACTCTACCTCCACACCCGATCTCTCGTCACCGAAGCCCTCCAGAAAGTCTTCTTGCACGTCTGCGTGCCCCTCGAAATGCCCTCAAAACCCGACTTCGGCGACGTAGACTTCCTCGTCGCCGGGCCTCTTCTACGGAACACCGACACCGCTGTTATCAATCCCACGAATCCCACCAGATCCGCCTTCCCATATGATGAGTGCGTCGCTGAAATCAAGAAACTCCTCAACACAACGCACGGACGAAAGGGCCATCTCACCGACAAAGTCATGTTCTTCGCGATTCGTGACCCTTCGGGCGAGGGGGATTTTTGGATTCAGATTGATGTCAAAGTATGCTACGATCCCAAGCTCTTTGATTGGCAGCGCTTTTATCTGAATTATGCAACTCTCTCACAGCCCGTGGGGAATATGATGAAACGGCTCGGCCTGACGATGGATGAGGAGGGACTGTACGTGAGGGTCAAGGGGCTGGAGGATGTGAATTGGGAGGGGAGCAAAGTGCTAGTCACGAGGGACCCGCTGCAGTGCGCGAAGCTGTTGGGATTATCATGGAAGATGGTGACGTGGGGATTTGAATGCGATGAGGAGGGTAAGTTTTCTTTTTCCCAGGCATGACTTTGCTTGCAAGTCACCAGGGTGACAGAAGGAGTAGCCCTTCGTCCTGCCAGGTGTCACAAGCTTTCCTCCCTTTTCACAACGTTCGGACATAAGCTACGATTTGTGTCGGCGCGCTACATTCTCCGTCATCCGACGGCCAGTCATGGAATGGTTTAACATAGTACTGACATGTTGCAGTCTACGAGGACTTCGCCAGATCCTGGCTCTTCAACCCAGTACACTTCGGCTCACGGCGTGACGACGAAAGCTACATGAGTAACTTCTCCAAATCCAACCTCTTCTTCATCAAGACCTGGATACCAGAGCATTATCCCGACTACAAGCCCAAAGATTCTCAAATGAAAGGTACGTTCCAATACACGCCCGCGGCCCCGTGAGCAGAATTTGCGCTGACGCGTTGTCTAGATCTGGAGCTGTGGTATGCTACTACAGCATTGAAAGCCCGTGAGAGGGTATTTTCCCTCGACCCTCAAGCTGCGGAGACGTACTACAACAAACGAGGCGCTTTTCTGAAACAAATGGAAGAGAACCGTTTACGAGAGCTCATCACCGCTGCCTTGCCAGTCGGGGCCGAAGAGTGGGAAGATGAGCCACCCTTTCCTCGAGTGGTTTTCCGCAGTCAGTTACCGCCCACGCCGCCAGAGACGCCGGGACTCGAGCCGAAACCCGACTCAATGTTGGATCCAAGACCGGCCATTGTTTCAACCGAGGCAATGCTGGAAAAGGGAGGACTGACTTCTTCCATCGAGCTTTCCAGGTCTACGGTGACGGGGTCCGCCATAGTGACAACACTCATACCAGCTCTTCCTGCCCCTCCTTATGGGTACGCTCCTCTGGCCCTCCCATGCTTGCCGTTCCCCTTTCCCAAGAGACCTCAACGGCCCAGTGCGAAGATGTCCGCACAGGCCAAACTCCTCTGTCTGGCTCGCTGGACATTATTCCACCCCATTACAGGCGACCCCTACCTCGCCGAAGAGCCTCGGCCTAAAGGTTTTGAGATGGATTGGGCGAGCGCTGGTGTGGAGGATGATGTTTTGATTCGGTGGGCTCGGGACATGTGGCGCGAGATTTGGATGAGGCAGTGGTTGTGGAATGTGGTTATGCTGAAGAAGAAAAGGGAGGAGGCACAAGCGAAGGAGGATGCAGGGAGGGAAGAGAGGGTAAGAGAGGGGGAGCGGACGAAAGAGGGGGGAAGCAAGGAAGGGGAAAATGAGGAGGGAGTAAAAGAAGAGGGAGTGTAAGAAAGAGAAGGGGAGGAAGAAGGAAATCAGGGAGGAAGCAGAGAAGAAGGAGGGATACGAGGCAAGAATATCGGAGTCGTGGAGATAGGAGTCATGGGAGAGAGACAAGGAGATGGGAGGTAGGGAGATAGAAGGCTTGAAAAGGAACAGAATGGAGGCGGTAAGGGAGGATGAGGCAGAAAGAGACGAGGAAGACATGGCCCGTTCGGGGAGCAGGAAGGGAACGACTAAACAGAACAGGAGAAGCGACTGCCTCTGGACTCCGAACCGGAAATGAGGTTCTGACTAGGTGCACAGAAAAAGGCGAAATGACTTCAATTTGAGTCTCGAGAACTATCCATAGCTCAGTGTGAAAGGTTATGGTACGCAAGCTCTCACTAGTGAGTTTAGTAAGAAGTCACTTGCCTGTAAATGATGGGAGCATCCCAGGCTATGTACTTTCCTTTTCGAATACCCAACTTTTTTGACCATACTGCATCTTTTCACGTCCGACTGAACACCAGGGTCGCAAGGGTATAGCTGACACTGTGATAGGCCTGACAGCGCCTCCGTCCAGGTATAATGAGCCGTAAAGCACCGTGCTCTCGTGGCGTAAACCAGACTGTGGCCAATTGAAATGCTTGAATGAGGTGATCCAACTCAGAGCAGCAATACAAGGGGGTGTTCAGTCGAATGTGAGAGGGTGCTAGACCTAGGTACTTCGGATTCGTATAAGAGAACATGGAAGACAATGACGTATGTGGTGAACCGGTGGTCCGAGCTCCAACAACAAACCTCCAGCTACTCATTCACACTTCGTTTCACCAACTCTCGTCCCAAATCCATGTCTACCACCCTCTCCCTCACCCATACGCCTCTCATACACAACCTCTCCCGCATCCATCTCCGACCAGTCCTACGCGCCAGCAGGAACCCACTCACTCGCAACCCACCCCGCAACTTCCACACCTCCTCCCGCCAACACCACCACCCACCCGCCTTCAACATGCCCCAACCCCCCAAAGTCACCTCCGTGACCCCGCTCCCCACCTCAGAAGCCAAATGGATCGAGTTCCAAAAAATCACCTGGTCGGACCAAACGGGCAAATCGCGCGTCTGGGAAGCCGCGAGCCGCAAGACGCGCGGCGCCGCGGGCGTCGACGCCGTCGCCATCAGCACCATCCTCCGGCACCCCGCGCGACCGCCCAGCACGCTCATCATCCTGCAGTACAGACCGGCGGTGGACGCCGTGTGTGTTGAGTTCCCCGCGGGGCTGGTCGATGCGGAGGAGACGCCCGAGGAGGCGAGCGTGAGGGAGTTGCATGAGGAGACGGGGTATAAGGGGAAACTGAGGTATATTAGTCCGACGGTGGTGAGTGATCCCGGGATGAGCACGGCGAATATGCAACTTGCGGTTGTGGAGGTGGAGTTGAAGGAGGGGGATGCGCCGCCGGATCAGGCGTTGGATGCGGGCGAGTTTATCGAGCTCGTGGTTGTGCCGTTGGCGGAGCTGTTTCAGAGGCTGGAGCAGTATAGTAAGGAGGGGAAGAGGGTGGATGCGAGGTTGTGGCATTGGGCGGCCGGGTTAGAGTTTGCGAGGACGATGCTCTAGAGCTGCAGCAGTGCGTTTCAGCGATGTTCCTTTTCAGCGAGGAGTTGGGGCGAAATGATTAAGTGGCTGCGAGAAGCTATTCAAGACCGCTGGAGTAATGAAATCAAGAGTGGACAGCAGGGAAAGTGATTGTTGGGCACTTCACAGGGCAACTTGGTACTAAACATTGCGAAGTATCAGATATATCATTCCTCATTACTGGTAAGTCTATATACGATCCGCCATGCCCATTCAAAAAGCAAGAATACACCAAGGTATCTAACAGACTCCAGAGCCCACAAAGGAAACCACAGTCCAAACAATTCCAAGAATGATCGCACTCCCAGTCCCGTCCTTCATTCTTCATTCTCGTTCGCCCGCTCCACGATATCAACACTTCGCAGTCCCTGCCGCATAATACATCCCATACGCCGCGTTGACACTCTCATGATGCTCCCTAGCCGCCTTCTTCACCTTGCCCCACACACCACCATCTCTCCGCTTCTCCTCCTTCGTCACAGGAGTAGCAGCAGCAATAGCAGTCGGCACCGCCTCAGTCGACTGCCTGGGCGTCGTCGTCGTCGAAGAAGTCCTCGATGAGGCCGCAGAAGATCCAGCAGAGTAGTAGACACCGTAGGCCGCGTTGACGCTGTCGTGGTGCTCACGCGCGGCTTTTTTGACGGCCATCCAGGCGCGGCTGGCCCCTTGTTTCATGGATGAGGTGGTTGAGGAGGTTGATGAGGAGGAGGAGCGGCGGGTCTCTGTCGATTGTCTGGGAGAGGTGGTGGTCGACTGGGCTGGGGAGGTGCTGGTGGATGAAGTGCCGGCGCCGTAGTAGGCGCTATAGGCGGCGTTGAGGGATTCGTGGTGGGCGCGGGCCTTTTGGACGAGGGCGTTGAGTGTGGAGGGCATTTTTGTGGAGAGGTTGGATGGTATGGTGGTTGTGGTTGTGGTTGTGGGAGTTATGGTAATGGTTGTTGAGATTGATTGAGTGGTGGTGTCGAGTAGGTGTTGAGTTGTTGTGATGTTGTTGATGTTGTTCGACTTGATAGTGGTCCTCAGAAGATGTCCCAAGCTCTTGTGGTAATTGTGGAAGTAAGTCGTTGTCGTCCTCGCTTGTTGTTATCCTGAGTGAATTGGAACTGATGATGATTCCCTCGCCCCTTCCTCGCCCTCCCCTTTATACCCCATCTCTTCCCTACCCTCCTCCTATGACACCATCCATACCGTCCCTCCTTTCCGCTGACAAAAATCTCAACTTTGTCAGCGATGAGACGCCCTGCACCTTCAGACGACTCATTCTCGTATTGAAGCGAATGCGGTGGATGTCAAAGTGGCCAATCACAGGGCAAGGATGGGATGACAAACGGGTCTGCTTTGTCAGTGTCGCGCCCTTCAGCCTCGCGCCCTGAGCGTTTGACGAGAAGAACGACATGGCGCAATACGACTTGCCGTTGATATAAAGTAGCCAATCAGAGATAGGGCGCGAAACTTGATCTCAATATAGCCAATAATATGTCATTACGCTGCTGACAAAGTGCAATGGGTTTGTCAGAATTGGGCTGGGCGGGTGTCATAGACAGATGGGCCATGGTCAGTGCGGGAATCTGAACAAGAGAGACTTTTCCGTCGGGGATGTCGGGCAGCGCTGAGTTGTTGGGGATTCTGAGAGAGATGGGGAGAGTTTTCCGTCGCGGGGAGGTTCCCGATGGAGAGGTGGGGTTCTGACTATTGCGGTGGTTATGGAAAATATGCAAAGGTCGATATGGATGCTCGGACTTGGTTCGGAGGTAGTTTTCCGTCGACGACGAGATCTCATTAAAAGGGTATATAGCTGTTAGAGTACATGTCTATATGCTCAGAGATGTTGTTGAGAAATATCATCCAAAGGAACAGCACGCGCTGTTAGAGATTCTCGAACTCATGCCCAGCTTAATAAGGGTAAACATACTTCCCCAGGTCCTCCCTCCTCTCAATGCATGTCGTATTCCCCATGAACAGTATCGTCGCGGACATCAGCTACTCCACCGCATAAACCCAAACGCCGCGTTCAAGACCACCCCCATCACAACCGCTACCTGCCTCCTCCTGCTCCAAACCCCCTCTTCCCTAAATCCCCACACCAAACCGCCCAACGGCCAGAAAAACCCCACCAGGTAACCCCAAAGCATATCATCCAACCCGCCGTCCTCGACTCCAAACCCGGCACCCCAGCCTGCCGTCCCCCCGCCTCCAGCTACATCCGCATTCGCGTCCGATGGCGACGGCTCCATAGCAGTTGAGTCGAGCCAGCGATCTTCGAGGCGTCGGAGTTCGGCGGCCGAGGGCATGGTGTCAGGCGTATGGGTAAAGGAGAGGTTCGTCTGGAACTGGGTGCGGAGGGCGGCGACTTCGGCGGGCGTGAAGCCGGAAGACAGGAGGCGGTCGAACCCTTGCGGTGCTGGCGCCGCTGCGACAGAGGATCTCCTCCGTGCCCTTCCATCTGCATCTGTAGCGCCTGAAACATCGCTAGTGCTATGTTGCTGCCGCGTACTGCTTTCGGTATGTTGTTGCTCGTGCTCTACGTGTAGTGTGGCCTCCGAAGCGCGTGCTTGTGCGGCCTCGGATTCGAGTTCTTTGACCGACAGCGCATCTCCTAGAGAGCAGTGTATGTAGAACCGCCGGCCGCCTCCATACTGTCCTTGACCCGGATCTTCGTCTACCAGTCCGTTGCGAACGGGCTGCTTCCCCTTGCTCTTGCTCCCTGGCCCATGCTCGTTGTACGTCCCATCGCGCGGTGGTGGAGGCGGCGGAAGCTTCAGCGAGAGCGAGAGAGGCGCCGTGTCTGGCAGGACCTTTCCAGCGTATATGAGACGCAGACGCGCGTACGTATGCGGTTGTGGGAGATGCGACCGGATGAGCTGTTTGAGGGAGACTGTTGTGACCGTTCGCGGTGACGGTATAGGAAGCTCGAGATCGGGTATGGAGGCCGTGAAGCGGATGATTAGATAGATGAGCTGGTCGGGGAGCGCGTTGGTGGTTGTCATCGTGGCGGTGACAGGAGAGGGTTCTGGACTGGGAGGTCTGCTTGCTCCCGCATCGAAAGGGGCGTAGGGGAAATAATCAGGTCATTTGAGCTGTTGGATGGGAGGCATGCGATCATGCCTATGCTAATAACAACGCCTTCGCAGCATGAGGCATCGAAATGCTGTTGGTGATGGTTGGTGATTTTCTCAACGTTCACCGCTTTCCATAGTAACCACGACCCTCGGAGTCTTGGCAGAACATATCAAATGGTGGAGCACTGCTGAGCAGGACCGAAGCAGCACAAAAGTAAATGAACTATATTCCTGCTTCCGCATTCAAATTACAACAATAAATGCAGAATCCTTCGTTTGAACGTCTAAATATCAAAGGCTAAGGAAAAACAGACCCAATGCTACCACATGTTGGATTTAACGCCGATAATGCTATGCCTGGTATTAACGAGGGGTATATTAAACCTCTATCCGACGCTGAACGACTCGCCGCAGCCGCACTGCTCAGCTGCATAACCGTTAGAACTAAGCGGTTCATAGGTGTCGGACAGGACTCACTGATATTCGGGTTCCTGAAGACAAAGCGCTGATTGAGCTTGTCCTCCAACCAATCCATCTCGCTGCCAATAATGTTCAGCAACGCCTTGTTGTCTATCAAGACCTTCACGCCATCCTGCTCCACTTGCTCATCCAGCGGCGATGGCTTGTCCACATACTCGAGTTGGTACGCCAAGCCCGAGCAGCCTTTCGCCTTGGTACCTATCCGTATGAACTTCGGTTCTGGCTGATCCAGAAGCGCCTTCAGGTGCGACACGGCGGAGGGTGTGAGTTTGATGGTCGCCTTGCGGGGTCCGAAGTTGTACCGGCGGGGTCTGAGAGGTTTGGATGGATTGGAGGACGGCATGGGCTGGCTCTGTTGGGCCTGCTCCTCGGTGACGCTGAAGGACGGGCTGGTCTGCTGCGCGATTTTGTCCTGCGCTTCGCGGGCTGGCTGTGGAGGTATTGAGCGGTCGACGCCAGGGGCATTGTGGGTTATTGATGTGTCGGCGACTCGGAAATTCCTGGGTGGTATTTCTGGATTCAGTGTAGAGGGGTGGTACGCGCTCGCGGTCTGCATCTGTCTCTTAGACGACTGCCGGTACGGTGTCGAAGAGGAGAAGTTCCGCAAACACTGTGGACAAGTGCGCGACCTTGAGGCAAATCTCGAGAGCGTTGTTGATGTAGCGCAGGCGATGGCGCGAGTCGAACGAGGGAGAGACATGGTGGCAGAAGGGTCAACCGCCTTCTGGAGAAGCGGTAAGAAGACTTGTAGGCGTGTGGAGGGGAAAATGGAGAGCCTTGGAAGCTCGTGAATGAGTAGTGGTGATGGCGATCGGTTTGGAATTGCATTGCAGAGGTGCGGTTATGTCATCATAGGAAACCCGTGCCGCGGATTTCAAATCAACACCGCTGATTGGCTCCCACCAAAGACACTCCCGATTGGCCAGATTCGTTCCTACTGTAATTTGATACTCTCTGCATACAAGTACTCCGTTCATCCGCACTTCCTTCTGTCACGACAGTAATTGCTTCGCACTGTCGCTCTGTTGAACAGAAGGCTCAACCTATATATATATATATTACTACCTCGTACCATCGTCCCTCGCTACGCCTGCAGCTCCAGCACGATAGCAGATTCAGATCTGGGGGGTTGCGGGCGCACTGGGGAGTGTTTAGCAAGAACACCTCATACATGTAGCGTCGGCCTGGAAGTGAGAGAAGTGACCGTGTGTGTATCAACGCAGCCGGTATTAACCAGCCTACTTGTCGATAAACTGAGGCAGCATAGACGCGAAGGGCCGAAATCACTCCATATTTTTGATACTGAAGAGCAGATAGCAGTTATGGTCACGTGATCGATGGTCTTCACTCGACACATGGACACTGTTGCTATGAGTCGCATTAATCTCCGAAGGTTGAATGACCCTTGGACAAGAAAGCAGTATGACGTATATTACAGGAGGTGCCCATTTTCCTTACCAAGATGCACCCAGTTGATCTGCCCTAAACACCTCTGATATAAAAACAGCTTAAAAACAGCTAGACGCATCTACTTGTTCAGCTCTTCCGCCCTCCTCCTGAGCTCCTCTTTGCTCTCCGGCTTAGGCATGTTCTCAGCCATGACTGGTCCCTGCCGATTCATATTAGCCTCTCTCTAGCAGCATATCCCTTTAGGGTTCGGCATGCATACCGGATTGGCTTTGTGAGCGTTTGCACCCAGTGAGCCGCCAGATGTCGCGCCAGTATTCTCTTGGTGTAGGGGATGCGAGGATGCGGTGGAGTCGGAGGACTCTTTGGCTACCTGGTCGGTGATGCCTGTCCACAATGTTGGCAAAATGCGTTAGATTTGTATCAGCTATGGATAGACTTACTGCCAGTGGCACGCTCCTCAGCAGGGTGGACAGGCATATTGGGATGGGGGTTTGGTGGGAAGATCGAGCGGCTTTGGAATAGAAATTGTGGTGGGTGTGGAAACTTTCGAGGTGGTCTCGACGTTATGGTGGGACAGTGCGTGGTGAGTGTAGGTTATCGAAACGGCCTATTGTTGGAGGAGAAAGGCTATTATATGCCTTCTACAGCTGGAGGAACATAAACGGTGACGTAGTTGTTGGTTGCCCAGATGGTAAGTGGGGCATGTATGCCAAGCTGACGAGGGGCTTTGGGTGGACCACGTGCGGCAACATTCACATTGACACAACACGCTTCGATGCTCATTATGGATGCAACTGTCGGTAGAGAGCCCTCCTCTGATGAACTTGCTCGAACTAGACTGCGAGCTCAGCAATATATTCTGCACGTCAACTTGTGGGAAATGTTGAACAGCCTTTCCTAGGGGATCTCAGTAAAGTAAAAACCAAGGCGATAAGCTTGGGAGGTTTGCGGTACTAACATCTCCCTCAAGGCTCAGTTGGCCCTCGCTGGCGATGATGTGAGAGGGTTATGAATACGTTGATTTCAAGTTAAATGACATCGTCTATCCACTGCACTCTTCCATGTCATATACTTTTGCATATCTGGTGCAAATCCTTCTCGCTGCATGTGACTCTGTTAGTACTTGTAGAATCGCCCATTACTTCCTATCCCCATTGGGCCTGCAGAAACTAGTGACTTTGTTCCAAGCAGAAGATAGCGTAGAACGCAGCTGACTCCCAATCAAGAACTGCAATTACCCTAGGTCTCCATTGCCATTGACTGAGATATTTCCCGTGCCAAGATCAGCGTCAGAGAAGACAAAGACCGTTGTACCATCAGTAGCGTGCGACTCTAACAGATAAGCCTGAAGTCCCTCGATAGAATATGGACGCAGAAGCTGTGGTCTCCAGGAAGGCTCGGAGTCTGGAAGCCGTGGTGTCAGAAAAAGTTCGACAACGCTTTTACCGTCAACCGTCTCTAGCCTTTCTGAGGTTGACACGGCTAGAGTCTTGCAAACTTGTGCAATTGTATTTGCAATTTGAGCACCGCGGTCTCAAGACATTCTCGTCCAAGCCTGGTTTAGAGTCCTTCTCTTGATTGACTTGGGAATGAGAAACGAGTGGCTCCATTGAGTATCTACCCACGAGTAGCCAACACCAAGAGTAATGATCCGCATCCCCGACATTGATGTGCTGGGCTTACGGATGGCACGTCATGTCCTAAAGCAGATCACGTTAGCTTAATTACACAGGACCGTCTAGGGAGACTCTGTACGAGAGTTACAAGGAGTGGAGAGCACAGAGAATCAAATCTCTGCAATGTAGAAATGCATCTAGATATAGGCTACTGAATAGACCTAGTACAAACGGAAGAGAGGATTGCTAGTTCACAGGACAGTACAAGCAAAGGAAACGGCTAGCAATGTGATTGTAAACGAGTTAGAAGCCGCAAGAGAAACCAACAGTTTCTCCGTTTCAATGACGACATCCCAAAAGGCGACTATTGCGCGGGTGCAGGTGGGAACCGATGTGGGAATGCCTCCCGTATTTCTTTTTCAGCACCCAGTACTACTTCTTCAAAATGCGGCAATCCCTCCCATATCACTAGATTGATTGGGGCTCCGTAAAGTTCCGCCAGAGTTTCGATACTCAGATTGGGTCCCTCTCCGATACCATTCCGCACCAGGATGACGTGGCCGCACCGCCTGCATGCCTCGTTCAAGTTTTGAAAAATCATCAGATACCTTTGAAGTGCGTCACTTATCAATTTCGCCAATGTGGTATACGCTGCCTGGTCGTTGGCCGATGCCGATGGTTCCTGGCGCAGGTGACTCTTAAGATTCAGGAGCCGCTTGTGCTTCCGAGCCAGTCTTGCAAAAGCCGACCTCGATTTCTGCTCACACAGACGCAGGACCCCTTCTCGGACGTAGTCGAGAGACTGTCTTTGTACACAGGACATGAACGGACTTCCGTTGCCGCAGTCTTCGCTGGCGTGGACGGTTCGGTGTGCGGTGGCAAACATGTGTGAAACTTCGGGACAGAGACTCCTTGACGTGTCCAGAGGGCGACGGTTGGCAGCATCCACGCTGCGCGACTCCAGTAGTTGAGTACTCTGATTGCATAAACGCCCCTGGACCTCCGTGGCTGTGTGGGTGCAGCTGAATATTATCTTGAGGGCTTGACACATTTTGGGAGCGGCTGGGTTAAGGCTGTTGAAGATGATAGCGATGGAGAGTTGGTGTAGAAGTGACGGAGCAGACGACGGAGATAGCCTGATTGTATGGGGTAACAGTCCGACTGCTGCTGCTTCCTGCCAGGAAACAATAAACAGGTATGTGGGGAGCTGCGGATGGTTCCGGAAGGCCCCTTCCCGTAGAAAATTCTACTTGGAGCACAATCCGGCAGGTATGACCGAAGTACTCAAAATGCATTATGGGTGCACCTTCTGGGAGTCTTCGGAGCATTGAAACACAACGATTAGCTCATATAGTGGTAGCTCCACGAGGGCGCAGCTGAGAAAAACATCCATGCCAATTATATGCTAAGTAGAACAGTGAAGAAGTGAACGTACAGGAATATTTCTGTATTAATCTGTCTACACGGTTCAGAGTGCGAACGGCCAGGAGAAGATTGCGAAAGAATTAGGGATACAATATCCGGAGCCTAGAATGAAGCATGTAATGGGGAATCTTGGATCGACGAAAACAGATCACCAGACGCAACATCACGGTCCCCTTTGAGGTGTCTGGAGAGTCGTTTGTTAGTTTCAACCTGTCCGGTACCGCCAGGTTAATGGCTTTGAAAACCACCCCTTCGGTAGTAGCCACGGGTCTGCCTTGTGGAAAGCTCCTCTTCAAGGATGACAACCATCGGCGTATCCTCCTGCGGAGGCGGTTGCCAACCCATACTTTGCAGGGATACCCAGCGAGCGTCGCTTTCAACAAAATCGACTATGGTGGTCATGTCGAACTTCCAAACCCAGCATGAATTCCCGAAGCGCTCTACAAGGTTGTCGGCTTCACGCGAAATCGATTTGGCCCGTGACTCGCGTGCGGCAGCATTGGAAGCATCAGTGTTGACCGGCTTGTCGATCACTTGAAGCAGCGTGACGTACTCGCCATAGAGCTCCGACATTTCATCTGTGATCTTTTTGGTCAGAATCTTCCAGTCGTTCCAGCTCGTGAGGAGAAACTTCTTGCGGAATTCCTCGAACATTACTTCATTTCCTGGGCATGCGATGCTATGATGGCATCGACATTCGGACTTGGATGGCAGTGGCTTCTCGAAGTGGTCCAAGATATCCTTGATGTTTGTCATTCGGAGTTGATAGTCTTCCATCGTCCTTTGTACATCAGCAATTTTCATCTTGATTGCATTTCGAGCTTGGTGGGTCAAGCAGGTCAGCCCTTCCACGGTGCGTCCGCACTGCTCATACTGCTCGGAGATATCAACAGTTTGAAGACCCTGCAGACAATGACTCGGGGGAAGCCGAATTGGCGTTGAAGAAAGACGCTGTGCACTTGCACACGCCTGGTGGAGAACCTTGCGGGAGTGTCCGCAAGCGAAGCGGATTTCCTTCAGTTGACACATGGTGGGTTGTATCCTATGTGGATGGCGATGGGGAAGGAAGAGGAAGAGCTAGAAAAGTGACTTTGTAGTTTGCGCCTGCGTACATTGTTAATGTATATAGAAGTCGGCTGAAGTGAACGCTGAGTGACAATGTGCATTGTACATCTACAAGCTGAACCGCCGACGAGGGTTCAAGCGCATGTGATAACAACGGAAAAGTTTCCAAATTTACAGAAGTGGGTTTTAGAAGACTTCAGCCATGTTCCTCTCAATATTATGGTTGATGTGCAGCACTATGATGGCTGCCCCCAGTTCTTACAAGTCCTGCAGCTTCTTCACCGAGCGGGCCAACGATATCAGACGAGCAAGCATAATATGAGCATAAGGTAAGTTCATTTCGTAAACACATGAAGCTATTGCCAATGGATAACCTCGACTGCTGTCTCCCCATGCCGCGGATACATCGTACGCATACACCTCAAGCTCCTATTCCCTATTAAGCAGGCAGTGTGAAACGCCTACTCACTAGTAAACTGACTACTCAACCTTCAACAGTCACTTCTGGTTACATAACCAGTAGACGTAACCGTCATTAATAGTCGACTTCCTGTTGGCAGCGCTGGCCCCATTTTCCAGTCACCCTCAGAGTTCTGCTAGAAGTTGGTGGTCAATACAGATCCATGGATAACACGCAGCTTAAATACTGTATACAATCGGTGCGTCTTTGTGATCCCTAAGCGTACGACCCTGAGCCACTGCGTGCGCCGTGCCTTCGGCCTGATCCTGCTCGGAGGCACGACTGCTCTCAGCCAAACCCCCCACTTTCCTCATCATATCCTCAATATCTTTTAGCAGTTCTTGAACATTTCAAATGTTTGGAATGACGGTAGCTGCCACGTAATATTCAGACTCCGCATACTAGTTGCCCCAAGGGTGAGCAAGTGTGTTACATGTAATAGTACGTACCCTAGGGTAACCAAAGCACGCAATAGGAGTCAATTGTCGTCTGTTTAATGACGCTGAAGCGAAACGAGGAGAAGTGTGAGTCGATATACACTCACTATATGACCACTGTTCCTTGTCACACTTGCTTAAGATGACACTACCGTGCAAATGACTGGCCGACCGACGGGCTATATAAAGCTTTCTGTAGACCGTGGAAAAACCCTCTTGCATAACACACTTCGCAACTTGCCCAAGTCCTACATTTCATGACGGAATTTTTGCAGAAAATCATTATCTTTAAGGCCCAGATCACCACCAAGCAAGATTTATCAAGATGCCTGAATTCTTGAACGATCCATGGGAATCGATATCACACGAAATATACCCGCGCTCCCCGAACTTCCGCGCTCTACAAGATGTGCCCTTGGGCAAGCCGACTGCTGGGCCGCAAGTCGTGGAGCAAGGTATAGGCGTGACAACTCGGTCATATGTCAGACTTGTCTAAATCGCTACCATCCCTATTATCTAGATTGCAAAGTTCAACGCCTCGGCCTTGCCACTACTCCTCGAAAAGCCTTGCAAAGGCTCATAGACGCTAGCGTTGAAGAAAAGAATGAGGCTCTTCAGTCGGAGTTCTCATACGTGTGCATTACATACTACCGGATATTCTGGGAGACCGAGTGGTTCGCGAACCGGGCTTGTGCGATGCCGCCAGGGTTGACCAAAAGTACAAGCTATGCTGGAAGTGCGACGAAGAGATTCTGTGGCATTGTCCCGAAGTTTATACACCGAACTTCGTTACGAATGAGGATATCTCCCTCCCCTATGCGAGGGGCACGAAAAATTCAAATGCGTCAATTATGACAGCCATTATCAAGCCAGTGGCTTCAGGCAAATGGACGGAGGCCTGGACTTGAATACTCTTTGTGTAAAGCAGGTATTCACTCCATGGACGATATGCTACAAATGCAGACCGATTGTAGCCAGTTACGGGAAGTTTCGGTACAAAGACTGGTTCGACAAGGATCACCAACTTTTGGAGCGTTATCGGAAGAAGTTCCCATACATTGGAATTGTGCGCGACCATACGCGTGTTCTCCACAACTAAGCTTGCTGAAGCCGGCGTACGTCTTGAAGGGTCCCGTTTCACAATTATTCTAGCTTCAACCTAATCTCCTATTCTATATTCATACGGGTTTTCTTTTACTGTATTAGTAGCAAAGAGATTTTCTGTATTAGTGTAGGCTGCAGGCTTTTAATTGAGACATACATGGATTCTTGTAAACTAAATCATGTGTATGTAGAGGAATAAACGAAACCCCCGGTCCTTGAAGCAAAACTACGCTACACTGAGTCGCAAAGTCAACCCACGAGGTTACCGATGCTTCGGCGGATTACGTCTGAACTGCCCGCAGACCTAGCGTGAAGGATAGAGCGTGACAGCAAAAGATATCTTGGACAGAGGAGGGGTAGGTCAAGAATTGTCCGCCTACGGGCACAGAGAAGAATAAAGTATCAGTCTGCAGATAATGACTCAACGAAGTGAACAATAAATACCAAGTACATAGTGAAATCTGTTTCCATTTGCCAACTTTCGACAATCTATCAGCGCACACTGGCACGCTACACAATAGGCAAGCTCATCGACTCTCATTTCGTGCCTATATATCGACTACTGGTAATGTCATGACTTCAACAACAGTTGGAGCAGACTGCATTCATCGTAATGTTGCGCATATCGCCCGTCTCCAAGCTTAAACTGTCTCTATGACTTGCAATCCCCACGCTAACATGCGCAACCACTCAAATACCCATCTATCCCATTCTCAAAACCCTTCACTGTCAAGCCCCCCATCCCACGCCCCCTCTACGCCCCCAACACCTCCCTCCAAACCTTCCACCTCTCCCACGCCATCTCCACCAAACCCCGCATCTCCCTCCTCCCAACAACCCCACCACCACTCTTCTCAATCTTCCTCACAACCATCCCCCTCCCTCCCGTCCGCCGATCCAGATCCACAACCACACACACCGCCTCCCTACACACCTGCTCCTCAAACGCATCCGGATCACTCAGAATCCACATCTTATCCGCTCCCTCCTCATCGTCATCCTCATCCCCGGTCTCCCCCGCCTCGAACACCGCGAACGAACTCGGCACCGGCAACCCCCTAAGTCGTAACCGCCTCGCCTGTGCCGGATCGTCATCACACAAAATATCCTCAAACTCCTCATCGAAATACGCACGCGGCAGGCGCGTATCCCTCAGCGCAGCTAGAATAGCAAGCCACGCAGCGTCGAACGCGCAGCCGTCGAGCGAGACGAACAGCGTATCGATGTACAGCGTCCAGTACCCCTTCACAACCTTCCGCCCTGCATTGACACCTGCACCACTCCCTTCCACAGCAGCGGCAGCAGTATCTGCAACGCCCCCTTCAGCCGTCGAAAGACTACTCGTACCTCCCACACCCTCCTCATCAATCGACGGCGTATACAAGATACGCAAATCCCTCATGCGCACCACCTTGGTCGCCAGCAGCAGATTCCGCACCCTCGCCGTCAACGTCTGCGCAAACGCGCTCGGCGCATTGCCCGGTAGGAGGAGCGGCGTGCTACCCGTGCTGATTTCGAAGTTGGGCACCAGGAGGCCCAGCGCGCGAAGCTCTTCTTCCGCATCATCATCATCACCACCATCTTCATCTTCGTCTACCTCTTCGCTCTTGCCTTCTCGCTCGTCATTCACCGGTATGGAACTCTCGGTAACCTCCACGTCGGCCTCCGCTTTCAGAATCTCCGCCCGGACACCGCACACCGCGACCGTGTTTCCCAAACGCACCACGGTGCTGCCGTTGCAGTGCGTCAGGGACCCCGTATGCACCTGCGGCGTGCGGGATTCGCTCGGCGTGCGCCCATTGGCGCGGATGCCTTGTCGCTTCGAGGCTCCCTTGGCGCCGGATTTCCTGTCTGCTACGGGTGCGGTGGATGTGAGGTGTGCGCGGAGGAAAGGGTGGGGGGACAGCGCTGCGAAGATTGGGCGGGGGAATGACAGAGGTGCTGGAGTTGCGGTGGTTTGGGACTGGGGGTCGGAATTTGAGGGGGCGGGTCGTTTTGCTGCGGTCGTTGCGGCTGCCATTGTTGTGTCTGAGTGGTTGTTGATGTGGGAATAATGAATGGGGGGTGTTTGCGGGTGAGGTAGAGGGAAATTTGGAGCGGGTTGAGGTTAAGCTTTTTAGCGCTGGAGATCACTGCAGGGGAGTGAAATGTAGAACGACTTCGAATTCAACCCTTCCACCTTGGACAAATTATTATTAAGCCACGCTTACAGAGAGTTACATGATGTTTCTTCTTTGTATAAATATTCAAACGTATAGTAGGGGGTGACGGAAAGCGTCGCCGTCTCGGTAGGATCTCGACAGTGCTTCCACTGTACCGCATACTTGAGACTGACTGTTAAGAGGCTTGCCCAAACTTGCAACCTTCGGCTTTATATCAAACAGCAACGTAGACAGAACACATTATAGATTGGATGAACAGTGAACATAACGTTAGAAACCATGCCGGTTTGACTCACGTAGGGAACAAAGACCTATTCGCCGAATCTACAAACCCATCCCAACGATACATTTCAGTATCCGTAACCGATGGTGCTTCAGCCTAGATACCTACCCTCCCCGGTCTAATGCCGTGCCCATCAGCAATAGATGCTTTCTTGACACAAACACTTGCATCCCTTCCCCTTTACACACCACGACACAACGCACTCGACACCTCCATCTTCCCACCCACACCCGTGGTCTTGGACTCCATTGGAGAACACAGTCTGGAGAAGGGCACACACTGTGCAATGAAACTTGGCCGAGGCGGCGCAGCGTCTCCAGATCGAGATACGGGCACTGTCCATCATCATGAAACAACACTCGTCTGCAACTGGCCTTCAGTCCCGCGGATAGCTTTTTGGTTGATGTGAGTCAAACAGTTATACCTGTCCTTGGTTGCCCGTGCTGTGAACCTGCACTCATGGGCTCTTTGTTCAGATCTGAAGTTAGCTATAGGGAGCATCCGGTCCGGTGCACCGACAGGCTTTAACGGATCGCCAAAGTCCCAGTCAGGGTAAGTCACGGTAGGATAGTCGTTAGTCGGTCAGGCGCAGCAGCACTGGGAGTCATCCGAGCCTAGATAATCTACACGCCGACGGAGCGCATGCAAGCATGAGCGAAACTTGCAGGACCATTTTTCTATTTCCCTAATCTTCACATGTGAGAATACTAAACGCCAGCCTGGTTGGTGTCCGCAAATTGCCTCTTTAAAATTCGAGCCAAATTTCCGCCGCGCTTGCCAAAAGAAAAAAGATGAGAGATAGCATCTGCAGTAAGATGTTCAGAGGGATACATGAAGGCCTCGTTATCTTGTACACTGTTTTTTTATTTCGCATATCTCGTCACTCCTTCTTCGCGATGTGTTCCCGCCTCGCGTATGGTTTCGAGGGTCGCTTACTCGACCTCGCCCTTGGATTCGAAGTTCTCGCCGGCGACGAGATCGGGGATATCGTCCTCGTCGTCCTCCTCCTTCTTGTCCTCACCCTCTCCCTTCTCCTTCTGCATGCTCTGGTAGCTCTCGGCGAGCTTGCGCAGCGACGCGAGCGAGTCTGGGCCGAGCTGGTTGAGGATGCCGGGCACGAGCTCGGTGAGCTCCTTGTCCTCGCCAGCGCCGTAGATGGCGAACGTGTTGGAAGGGACGGATGCGTGGACTGAATAAGTATTAGCGGATATGGCTCCAAGTGGCGCATGACCTGAGCGCCCGGCGTAGAGATATCCAGGACTGTTCCACTCACCCTTCGGTGCCGAGAAGTGGATGACGTTGCCATCGCTCTTGAACATGTTCACCTCCTCGATAGCCTGGATGGGCTGGACGTTGAGCTTCTTCAGAGTGGTCTGAAGCTTCTTGTCGTCGGTCCCGGCGCTCTTATGCACCTTCTTGACCTTCCTGCGGGGCGTACCCTTGCCGCTATACACGTCATTAGCCCCCTTCGATCAACCGCTGCCCCAAAACTTCCATGTCTCTATCTATGCTGCTATTTTTTCCTTCCATTGTGCAAGAACTACAAAGGGGCGACGTGGGCTGTGGAAAAGCGCGGGGTTCGACAATTTCGCAGAGAAGAGGGGACCTTGCTTACCCTGCCGGAAGTTAGCCAACTGTGAACTGAAAAGCGAAATAAAAGCTTTGAATGAAGGTGGCTATGAACAAAACATGTCAAGACATACCAATGCGGACGGACGCCTGCATGCGCGCCAACTTTGCTTGATCCATGATTGCGGATGTGATGAGGGGAAGGTGGAGTGACGCTGGCGGAGGAGGAAGGACTGTGGCGGGCAAGTGTTAGTCGCGGCTCTCAGATGGTAGTCGGCGGAAGCTTTGGAATGCGAAGCGGTGTATGCGGGGCAGCAGACGTACCTGTTGCTGGCGCTGCGGAATGAGGTGGTGAAGTTGGTGATGGAGTTCGCAGGCTTCTCTTCGGAGAAAGTGCGCCGAGAGACCCGATTTGTGTGCCTCGCTTGTTGGAGTCGAAATTCGTTGGAGGGAGAACAACGCAGGGTCAGCACCAATTTGATTTTCAACTACGCATGACTACATAACCCATCTTATTACAAGCTGTTAGCTGCAATACAGAGTATCCGATTCTCGCATTGATGTGAAGCTGAAGCTGAAGCTCAATGTGTGGCCAGAAGATGTAGCCAATCAGAGCGAGCCTTGATCTGGGGAACCGCCAAGCATATCTGAAGTACCAAAACACACCAGACGTTGGGGATGTCACTAGAAAAGGCGTGGCTAAAATCATGACACTATGTGTTTATCTACAACTCCCAAACCCATTGGTCTACTGTTTCTTTCGAATCATCCCTGTACACAACCCTTCCTCTGATTAGGACGGCCGACCATGCATCAGGTGCGGTGTTTTGGGTGTTGTTGACTCTTCACTCCGTGAACACCCGTTGAGTTGTTGATATCTGTTTTTATAATGGGTATCCCTAAATTCACATCCCATTACACAAAGTTGCGCCGTCCAAGCGTTCTTGGACCATCTCCATCCTCCATTCCCCTACAACATGGCAAACCCCACCACACCCACCACTCCCAGCAACCACGACACGGCCGTCAAATGCTGTGCCGCCATTCCTGGCGCCGGGGCCGAGGTCGTCGCAGCAGGCGCTCCCTCCGAAGGCGAAGATCCCGACGGAGCCGGCTCAGAGGAACTCGTCTCATTCGGATTCCCCTTGATGTTCTCCTCCGTGATCTTGATCGTGCCGTTGTTGCAATGCTGCGCGAGGTCTTCGGAGACGGTGTTGACGAGCTTGACGTCTGCGCACTGCGTCGTCTTATCAGCAACTGCACACTCACAATACCTGTCTGAGATGTATGCGCATTCACGGGTATAATAAACACACCTGATAAAGCCCGCCCTCGGGATCCCCATTCGTCACAACCTGAATCGTCGCACTCATCCCATCGCTCACATTCACCCCCTCCGGTACGCTCAACCCGCCGACGCAGAAATTGCCCAACCCTTCCTGCGCAAATTGCTCCCTGAGCACCACATTGAAACTCGTGCCGGGATCGTCTCCAAGCGCCATGAACACCTTGACGCGTGTCTGGGGGTGGTGCATGCGCAGTTGGACGGGCCCGCCCTTGATGGGCCATTCTGTGCGGGGCGGTTTTACGGAGTCGAAGCCGCCGCAGGGGAAGTTGGTAGCGGAGGAGTCTTCGAAGCCGCGGCTGGGCGGCCAGTTGAGGACGAAGTGGGCGGTGGTGGAGAGAGGGAGGAGGGTGGAGATTATGAGGGAGAACGTGGAGGGCATGGCTGCGTGTTGGAATTGGAGTTGGTATAGAGAGGTGGGAGAGAGTCTGGTCTGGGTTTGGTGGGAGGACGTGAGGAAAATGGGAGGGAGTAGGAAGGTTGAGTGTGTAGTTCGCAGGTTGAGTATGGAGAGAAAGGGAAGCGGGAAGGTACACCACATGAGCTCCAACCGAGCTCACCTCAACGAATCAGGAAATCTACCTTTTCTTATTTTCGAAAGCCAGAAGTCCGGTGCCAGCAGCGCCTCATCAATATCAGGACCGTCCCCGCATTCCCGGTTAACGTGTCTATCCAGGATTCCAACTCTCGTCGGCGACAAAGCCGCTACTGATCCGCGACTACTTATTACATAGCCGCACCAGCCAGAGACAAGCGGGGGCACATGATACCTCGAGACGTGGGGACTGGGTTTGAATAATGGGAATTCGCAAAAAAGAGAATGATCAAAGGTTGGTGAGAACAAATGAGCAAGTTTTCCAGCGCCATGGTTAGGCTGAGGTCCAGGGTCCGTTCACGCTAGTCGTCTCCCTATTCCCCGCCTCACAGAACCCTGCATTCACTGCCGTGGCTGGGATGCGCTTTGGTGGACTTTCCACGATGGCAGTGAGAGGTGAACTCAAGGCAATAACAGCAATCAAAGTGTATTCCTCTTCATGCAGCGGTGTCATTAATCTTGTACTCAGCTCCACTAATTGCAGCGCTAATAATATGGCCATGCTGACTGCTGCGTCGGCCTCTGTATAAACCAGAACCCTTCTGTGGCTGGACCCTGCCAGCACTCTATGCAAACCATATCCTTCATACGCCAAGCTCCGGTGCCATAAACGAAGAATCAACAAGCCTTTTGCCCGATAGAGGATGAGATGGGACGAGAACATGCCGGGTCGTTTAATCGTTACATGGTCATGACGCCGTCGTGGTAGAAACGGCCAAAGGCAAGCTCGCCCAGGAAGGTACCGGCGAGGACGGAGAGGAAGTATCCCACGTTGTAGGTCATGACTGCCAACATGCTACTCTAAGTCAGCAACGTTTCCTATCCATATGTGCTACTAAAAAACTTACAGAAGGTAGCCGACACCTGCAGCACACGTCATGACGGCAGCACGGGGTAGGTCGACGCTGAATCTCCACGGTTGTGCGTTGTGCACCGGTGCCTCGACGATGCGGACATTCTCTGCGACTCCATTCGTAGTGAGGATTCCCGTCATCGAGTTAGCATCGGATGCAATCTTCTCCTCGGCAGCTGCCCCTTCAACCACGACATATCTTCTCTTCAGTGCCGACTTTACGGCTTGCGCATCGAGGTAGGCTTTCGCTGTGAAGGTGGCTCGGAAGATGATGGCGAGGATGATTAGGAATATGCAGGTGCCAGCATATGCGCCTGCGCTGTTCGGTGTCCACGAGTTGGAGTAGAGGGGTGTGTTTGTTGCTGTGAAGAAGGCCATGTTCATGCCGTGAGAAGCCGATGCTCCATGCCCTCCAAGGTCTTGACTTGCGGGTACAGTGGAGCTGTGGTCGTGGCCTTCGTGCGCAACCATGTTGGATTAGGTGAATATAACGTCGACGGGTACAGTGATACGGGTGAGTTCCAGACTGCGGCTTAGAAGATAGGCGGGCACGGTGGTTTATACGTGCCCACGCTCCCAAGAGGTCTCGGGGTGGTTGCACTGGGATGAGCTTGGCTGTCTGTTAGAATCGTGCTCAGCATGAAGGCATAGTATGGGAACTCCCGAGATTTGCGAGAGATTGAGGGGATATGCGACAGTCAAGAAAGAACAAGCAATTGAAGGAGCCATGATGAAGCGCAGCCTGTCAGGGCTTCGAAGGGCACGGATATGGGCAATATGCACTTACCGGCAATTCCCTGTCGCAGATCAGGGCCCAGGTAACAGTAAGCACCGGATAGAAAACTGCCGAAAGGAATAATGGAGATGCGAATGTCGAACTGTGAGAAGAAAGAAGAGCGAAGAGGTACTCGCAGGCACAGGAATGAACTCTCTGTCCGTCGCACCCATCTTGGATGTTTTCTTTCTTGGTGTTTGTTGGGAAGCGACAACCTTCGATGGCCCTCTTTTGTGGCTGCGACCATTTGAGCAAGTTTCCATTGGCTCGAGCGCTTGATATTTGCCGGATGAGGCTAGCGTCGAGTGTTCCTCTCACGCCCGCCTTTCCACCTTCCCACCCCTCCCGCACATTCATCCTTGAAGGATTCCAGATGATGGAAATAATAATCGCCACCGCCAAAATCAGGTCCCCCGTAGCGCCATGCAGTGACACCCAGAGCTACCGTGGTACTACAGTATCATGTCCTGGCACCCTGTCCAGGCCCAGAGTGCGACTTCTTCCAGACTTCCATCCTGCTGACTTCGCTCCTTCACTGTTGTCACTAGACTATCCGTACATCTCTACCGCACCTCGCACGCGATAGAGTAAAGGGGATCCGAAATGGCCAGCGGACTGACCATCTCCCTCGTCCAGAACTCGACCTGAAGTGCCGTTGGATACCTTTCCGCCCATCTCCGCTTCGTAGTTCATACTCCATCTACCCAGCATGAGCCACAATCATGCCTCCATGGGCTCCATGTCCATGGGCGGCGGCGGTCTGCCTCCGCGCTTCGAGTTCCCCAAGATGTACTGGGCCGTTGTAGGAACTGCCATCGGGATTGCGACTTTGGTCAACATCTTCAATCATGTCCTCTACAGGCAGAGGTATCCTATGATTACCGACTTTGAGCGTGCTCCTCAACTAATCATACTGCAGGATGGCAGCGGCAAGGTCAGGAGCATCAAAGCCAGCAAAACCAAAATCACTCTTCTTCCTGGGCATGGCAACGACCTACGCCATAGTCCGCGAGGCTTCCAACTTCTCCATCCGCATCCCCATCGGTAGCCGCATCTTCCGTCTCCCCACCCTCGGCCGGTCCAGCTTGGTATTAGCCAACGTCGTCGTATTGGTCGTGCTCTGTCTTTACGGGTTTGACACCGGTGACCGCTGGTCAAGAGAAGACATTGGCTTCCGCTGCGGTGTCGTCACCATCGGTCAGCTTCCCTTGATTTTCTTGCTCGCGGGAAAGAACAATATCCTCGGGTATCTCACGGGTGTCAGCCATGAGCGCCTCAACTGGATCCACAGGTGGTGCGCACGCTGTATGCTTCTTACTGCGACCCTGCACATGGGCTACTTCTTCTCCGATTGGGCTCCCTATGACTACATTGGTCCCCAGATAAAGGAGGACCCCATCGTCTGGAAGGGACTAGCAGCCTGGGTGGTCCTGGTATGGATCGTTTTCAGTTCGATGTCCCCAATCCGTGGATGGTGCTATGAACTGTTCATCGTCCAGCATCTGGTCTCGTTTGCCCTCCTCATTGGGTTCATCTACATCCACACTCCGGCCGAGGTCCATGCATATATCTGGATCCCTGTTGGATTGTTCTGGTTCGATCGCTTTGTGCGCGCTCTAAGGGCACTGTATGCCAATCTCTCCATCTTCCATCCTAAGCAGAAGAGCGCCGGCCAGATGTCGGGAATTTGGGCATGCAAAGCCGAGTTTACTCCTTTGCCTCACAACACGACAAAAGTGGTGATACAGAACCCTCCAATCAAGTGGAAGCCGGGACAGCATGTCTTCCTCTCGTGCCATTCCATTGTCCCCCTTCAGAGCCACCCTTTTACGATTTCCTCGATCCCGAAAGACGGACGTATGGAGTTTTTGATCAAGGCCGAAGGAGGAGGAACAAGACATTTCTTTAGACACGCGGAAAGGGCCGAGAGCCTTCCTCAGACCACAGGAAGTGCGTGCATCAGGACTGTAGCGATAGAAGGCCCATATGGATGTCTACGGCCGCTCCGACAGTTCGACAGCGTCATCCTCCTGGCAGGCAGTACAGGTGGTACTTTTACAGTCCCGCTACTTCGCGATGTCGTCCAAGGATGGAGCGAAAATATGCACCCTACTGACAAGACAACTTCTCTATTCTCACCCATGACAGGAGCGGTAACTCGCCATATCCGCTTCGTCTGGGTCGTCAAGAGTAGAGGCCAGCTAATTTGGCTCTCCGATCAACTCTCAGCAGTCTATTCAGACTACGAGTCTCTGCAAGAGAAACTTCGACACATTAAGCTAGAGATGACCGTCTACGTCACGTGTGACGAGTCTTTCACCGAAGAACACAAGTCACTGTTAGCAAATGTCACGGCACCCAATCACAATGCATCGACAAAGAATCCACAAGAACAGAGTCGATATACGATCGAGTACCGCAGTCGCCCTCCCTCTCTGGACGACGAGGCCAGCAGCAAGAAATACGCCGAGCCCAAAGAAGAAATCCGACAACTCGCCACTGCCTCCCTTTCATCATCGAGAGAGGCAGTAAGCAACTACGCCAACACCTGCGGCCCCAACGGAACCTGCTGCTGCAAAACGACCATCGACGACGAGCCCGCAGACGCAATAACATCATGTTGCTGCAATCTTTCATCTTCCAATCGAGGCGCCGACGTCTCGCAACCCCCATCTGCTCCGACCGGCCGTCTGAGCACTCAAACATCCTCCTCCTCCACCTGCTCCTCTTCGAATGCAAACAACCCCACCCCCAGAACCCTCAAACCTCTCATCCACCCTTCCATAACCGTCCTCTCCGGCCGTCCTTCGCCCCGGAACATCATCCGCCGCTCCCTCGAGCAAGCCCACGGCGAATCCGCAGTCGTGGTCTGCGGCCCCCAAGGCCTGGTCGCCGATGTCAAGAGGGATGTCGTCGCTCTGAGCGATGAGCGGGCGGTGCACAAGGGGACGGGGGCGCAGGGCGTGTATTTGCACACTGAGAGTTTTGGGTATTAGATTTGACGAGACAGACATGTGCTTTGTGCTTTGTGCGGTGTTGGGGCTGGACATTGGAATTGCAGTGTTAGCGGTTTCTGGGAGAAGGAGGAGGAACATGCGCTGTTTTGAAGTAGATTGTTATTTTTATAAATATACCCAACCGTCATCATCGAAGAATGATGTTCTTATTCATCGAACAGCGAAAAATGCCCAGGGTCTTCAATACTTTTCTGTGATCTAATCGTCTGTCACCACAGGCTTGGCCTGCCATTCCTCTCGACACAATGTATGTCTCGACACATAGATCGGCCGAGCGTGAGCCGTTGAACACATGTGTACACATGGTATCCCTGTGAAAATTGAAGAATATCTCTGTAAAATTGAAGATAGATTCGCATTCCACATCCTGCGGCTAGAATACACATCCCATGCACCTCTCGTCTTCTCCGCCTTTCAGAAAAGGGAAATCCCTCTTGATGCCGCGCCCAAACGCCCAACAAGATGCATGCATGCAGCCATGATCCAATGCTCACTCATCCCAACGCCTCCAAGAAAAAGTGACCGCTAAGAAAGAGAAGGCGACTGACATGCCGATGAGAGGGATATGCAAGAAAAAAGAAAATTGCCCGTTGCAGAGCAGAAGAAGCGACAAGAGACAAAAGGAAGTGTGCTGAAGAGCATCTTGGAAGAGTGGAAAACCCAAGGACTCCTTCCAGTCCAACGCCTCCAACACCATGCACCTATCCAGTACCGCCCTTCTCAAGCCAAAGACCTCGTCTCGTCCTTCTTGCCCGTTCCAACACCTCCCTACTGTGGCATATTATTATATAACTCCCTGCTTCGCCAACTGCCTACTCCTCACAATAAACGGACTCGGCATCTCGTCCTCCACCTCGGGATCCCACACCGCCGGCGACGCCGCCAACTTGGACGGACTTTTCGGCCCCTTGATCCCATTCAGCGCCGCCTTCGCAGCAACGACCTCGTCGTCGCTCATCGATGCATTATTGATGGGGATACCGCGCGCCTGCTGCAACTCGACCAGCGTTCGACCTTGGATGTTGTTGCGCTTGGGTTGCAGCTTCGAGTCTTGCTGTCGTGATACGGCAGGCTTTTGATTGAGGGCTCCTTTCTTGGACTTCATTCCGCTTCCGGCGGAGGCGGAGGGAAGGTCCGTCGACTTGGTCGAGGAATTCGACTTCGCGGAAAGGGGTTTCCGGCTCGGACTGGATGGGTCGAAGGGCTTGACGCGCTGGCGAGCAGGCGAGGCGGCGATGATGGGGACGGTGCTTGCAGGACGTGTCTGCTCTTTCGGCCGTGACTTCGGCCCATTAGGAGCAAGACTAGGCGCGCTGGCGAGACGTTGAGTAGGTTTGGGAACAGGCAGGACGCCTGCATGAGGTTTAGGCGGATCGCCCTTCGCATTCCCGTTAGAAGTGCTACGTGGCCGCGTAGGAGAGGGTACCACAGGGACGTCGTCGTCGTCAAAGTCGTCGGCCTGCCACTCTTCCTTGGTAGGCGTGGGAGGGACATCGGCTCCCCATCTCCGTGATTCTTTATCCTTGGCGGCTGCGAAGATGTTCTGGCGAGGCGCGTGGCGGCGTGGGGACAAGGAGAGTCCAGCGAGGCTGGGCGGTGCTGGAGCCGGTGATGGATCCGCCATTTGAACGTCCATGGGGGAGCCAGGAACTTGGGCAACAAACATGGTTTGGGCGCGCCCGAGTGGGCCCCTCCTCGTGGAACGCTTCACGGCTCGCTTCTGCTCCTCCTCGGGACTATCGTCAAGCGAGAGCGAGGATATATCGGTGCCGCTGGCGAACGTGGTATCCGTTCCCACTGTGCTCGTTGAGCTGGTATTCACAATCGGTTGCATTGCATCGTCCGCGGGGAACAAATCTGTCTGAGTGGCGGGCATGGTGGGAGTGCTTGAACGAGGTGCTAGTCGCGGCGACGTGCTGAGCCGATTTGGATACTTGGCAAGGGCTCGGTCGACGCGTGCGTTGACTTCGGTTTCGAACTGGGCCCGTAGCTTCTCCGTCTCTGCGTGCCAGAGCTGCTTTACTTGACGATCAATCTCCAACCTGGCCTTCACCTCCCATTCGCGGCGTACTATCCTGTCAACTTCTAACCGCATCTTCTCTCGCTCTGCCGCCAGTCTTTGTTCTCCTTGGATCAACTGCTGCTCTCGCCTATTGAGCTCATTCTCCCGGACTGTGAGTTTTGCGTCCTTCTCTTTGATGTTGTTGCCGAGCTGCACAACCTCTTGCTCCTTTCGCATCAACTTGACCGCGGGATGGTTGAGGAGCTGTGCCGTGGTAGGCCGATGTTCAGGCACAACTTGGAGACAGTGAGCGATGACCTTGTTCAGGTCCTGGGAGTACTCCTTGGGAATGGGTGGATAACGGCCAGACTTGATCTTCTGAATGAGCTCGAAGTGCGTTTTCGCGTTGAATGGCGGCTCGCGCGCGCACATTTCGTATATGATGCAGCCCAGCGCCCAGATATCCGAGTACAGTGTGTAGGTTTCCGCTTTGCAGATTTCAGGGGACATGTAGAACGGGGTGCCGACGTATGTGGATGCGAAATCGTGGGACTGAATGATCTTCGACAGGCCAAAGTCGCCGAGCTTGACGCAGTTGCCCTCGCCGAGGAAGACTCGGGAAGAGTTAGATGACAGTGCTTTTCATTCATGACTGAGGTAGACTCACTATTTTCCGGCTTGAGATCCCGATGCAGGATCATCGGCTTCCCGGTATGCGGCTGCGCGTCTGGTCCGAGACCAAGCACGTTCGCTCCAGACGGCGGCGGGTCCTCACCATAATGACAGCGGTACAAGGCGCTGACAATCTGAGAAAATGTGCTCCACACGAAGTCCTCCGGTGCTAACACGTTCCTCTTCTTGAAGTCTCGAATCACTCGACCCAGGTCCCCGTTCCCGCAAAACTCCATGTATAGGTATAGATCCTGTGACGCTTTGATGTGGTCGCGCTCGTAGTATTTGACAATGTTAGGATGGCGGAGATCCTTCAGAATGGCGAGTTCGGATTGCAATTGCTCGCGTTCCTTTTGTGACATCCGTGAATAGCTGATCTCTTTCCGGCAGAGAATCTACAAATCATCAATGGAGGGCAGCCAGGACGGGGATATTACTGCGACGTACATAGCCATCGGACTTGCGCTTGACCTTTCGAATGATCCCAAACGAGCCATGCCCTAGACCAACATTAGCATTCATCTTTTCTTTGGAGTCTCCGTTCGGGATGCAGTGTGCAGAAGACGCCATACCGATCTTCTCCAGCGCATCATACTTGTCGTCCTCAGGCATTGCTTGCGGATAATATCATGCAACGAAAGTATTACTCGGTGAGGCTGTTGGGGTTGTGATATTGAGGAAGATGCTGCTATGTTAGTGGTGCGTGGTCGAAGGACGAGAGTGCGTAGTCAGCCATTGATGGGTTGTTTGAAAATACTCGTTGTTCCTGGCAACCGGCGCAGCACGGACCGGGGGTTTCACCCATCCACCAGTCGACCCTGGCTTCGGCGTTATCATCACGTGTTCCTTATCGCCGTCTGGCGTCAGTCCAGATGAAACCGCATTCGCCGCTGGCGAACTGTGAATTGTTCCCGCCCGCAACTACTGTATATCATTGCTTTCACCGCCATGGACGTAAAGAAAAAGTATGAGCTCGAGGCGGCGCTCGCAAAGGAGGCGCAGCAGATCTCGTCTGGCGCTCTCAAGGAAGAGAATCCACTTGACCTGAGTGAGAACTTCAGCATACTGTGCGAAGCGTGTCGGCGTGGCGATCTGAAAGTTTGCCAGGAGATGATATCGAGCGGGGTGAATATCAATGCGAGAGATAAGTTTGATTACACCCCGCTGATTTTGGTAAGTCCAATCGAGTATTCACGGCTTCGCCACATGTCTGGTCAGTACAGTTCCCTAACCATTATCTTGCAAGGCTAGTCTCTGCGGACATTACGAAGTTATACGATTGCTCCTTGAGAACGGCGCCCTTTGCGAACGGGATACCTTCCAGGGCGAGCGTTGTCTATACAATGCGCTCAACGATCGAATCCGGAATCTCTTGCTGTCTTACGACTACGCAAAGTCGACGAATCCACTGCAACCGCTTGCCGCGCACATCACTTCATTACTCTCACGAGACACGCCGAAGACGACGGATATCACCATCGAAGCATACGGCCAGGAGTTCCACTTGCACAAATTCATTCTGGCGGCACGGTCACCCTATTTCGCAAAAAAGCTTGCTGCGGCGCCGTCAACCACATCATGGAAGCTGCCAAATGCTATACCCACAGAGTCCCTGAACATCGCGCTGCAATACCTTTACTTTGCTGAAGCGGCACTACGACCCCGGATGAGCGAGGAAGAAGAGATGGTTGTGCTCAATGGCCTGGCCAAGATCAGCCGGCAATTGGAGATCGAGAGGTTATTCGAGAGTGTCACTGAGCTCAAGTCAGATCGAAGACTCGTACGGCAACAGCGAACCGAAGAGTTAGAACGCGGACGAGACCAGATGGAGGAGTGGTTCGAAGATCATATCGTGAAGAACAAGATTGTTGTAGATACAGATAAAGTCGACAAAATAGAATGGGACCGGGACAACTCGATATTCGCCGATATACTGCTAAGGGCGGACGATGACGATGAAGAGTATTATGATTCTACGGACGACACCGCATCCGCAGGGGCGTCTGAGTCGTTCACACCCCTTGTAAGGACAGCGGAAGGGCCCCTTCATGGCATTCCAGTTGGCCCTGTGCGATCACGATCACCATCACGGCAACGGAGAAGTCCGAAATCAACGATTTATCCAGCTCACCGTGCGATGCTGTTAAGGTCGGAATACTTCTTGACTATGTTTACCTCGTCCTTTAGGGAGGCTCAGGAAACATCACACCTGCAGATTATCAAATTGGACTGCTCACCGGAAGTCTTGGAGGTGATACTGCGATTTATGTACACCGAGCGTGCCGATTTCGACCTACAGACGGCTATCGAGGTTCTGTTTGCTGCCGATCAGCTCTTCATCGAGAAGCTCAAGCAGCGCGCCGCACTCATTATCTCTTCTCTCGGGAACGGATCGACGTCCACAGTGGAAGCTGAGAATCCACGGGGTGAGACGGATGCCGAGGAGATTGTCGACATTTACGAAGTCATACGCGCTGGTTGGGACACGCGTGTGCAAAGACTGGAAGAGTTTGGTGCGCGGTACATTGCATATAGATTGGAGCGCTACATTGACGAACCGGAGTTTGCACAAATTGTTCAAGAATCCGCGAAGCGGGTGAAGGCCCGTCAGGAGACGGATACAGTCGAGTTGGTCGACGACATTCGTTATTATCTTTCCGAAAGATTTAGGCTCCGCTTCGAGGACAGCGGTCTCGATGAGATGTTGGCCGAAGAGCCACGATATCAGGAAGGCGAGGAGCTTGCGGACTCTGTGGCGAGGATAGACCTGGAAGGCAAGGAACCCGAAGATGCCCTTGTGCCCGACATCGAGGCACAGATAGCAGCGGGTGCAGTAAGAACGCTTGACGGCGAGCTAGCTGGTGACGAGTTTGCCCAGGATGCCATCAATTACCAGATTTTGCTGGGCAAGATCGACCGTCTACTGGAGAAGCTCAACCTGGAGGCTTAGAGCACGCTCTGCGCATACGTTATAGTTGGAATCACAGTTTCGGGCATTTGGATATGCGGCCAGCGCCTGCACTGTCCACCAAGACAGATTTCTTCTAGAGGATGGACGTAGAGTCCATACCATCAATACGCATGGTCCTGGAAACCAGTGGAGTTTATTTTCCATGGCCATGTCCGATAGAGCCAACTCAATGTAAAACGGTGGCAACCGTCCATAGTGCGGAGGTATATCTCGTGTCCATGGACCTCCATACAAAGACTGTTCTGGACAGTTAATAACGTGTTTCCTATGCGAGCGGGACACCCTAACCGAACGGGGCACCCCACCAAACATCTCCACCCATCAACATCTAATCATAATGTCTCAGCAACGCGATTTGAAGAAGACCTATAATTAAGGCACCCTACAGCTTGCACTCTTAGCTATTGAACAAGACGAAATTAAGAGTGGAAGACGCGCTGCAGCAGTCTACAATGTTCCCCAAAGCACCCTCTATGCTAGACGCGCCGGCCAGTGTTTCCGACGCGATTGCGAGCCCAATTCGAAGAGGATGACCAAGCTAGAAGAGGAGTCGATTGTCACGTACATACTTGATCTGGATTTATGAGGAATTGGGGCCACGAGGACTATGGTTCAAGATATGGCCAACGACCTGCTTGCAGAGCGTGGCCAGCCACCTGTAGGCCATCTCTGGGTTAACAACTTCAACAAGCGTACACCTGACATCAAGCTTCGACGAAGCCATCCCTACGATCACTAGCGAGCTCTAAACGAAGATCCACGCATTATAAGCCCTTGGTTCTCACTTGTCCAGTCTGTTAAGGAGAAGTACAGCATCCAGGATGAAGATATGTATAACTTTGATGAGACTGGCTTTTTAATGGGCCAGATTAAGGCCCAAATGGTCTTTACAGGCTCTGAGAAATGTAGCGCTCCAAAGAGGATACAGCCAGGCAATCGCGAGTGGGTAACAGTCATTCAGGGAGTCAACGCAGCTGGGTGGGCAATTCTACCTTTTGTCATCTTCGCCAGCAAGGTGCTTATCTCTTCCTGGTACTACGATGTACCTCACAACTGGGTCCTTGAGATTTCCCCTAATGGCTAGATATCAAATGAGCTTGCTATCGCATAGCTAAAGCACTTCAACACATATACAAAGGCATATAGTGTAGGCTTATACCGGCTGTTAATTGTTGATGGCCATGAGAGCCACTAATCGTTTGAGTTCCACAAACTCTACAAGGAGGAGAAGATTATTGTTCTCTGTATACCTTCCCACTCATCACACCTGCTATAGCCACTTGATGTGGTGTGTTTCTCACTATTAAAGCAGGTATATAGAGATGAGATCTCAGCCTTGGCATGGTACAGCACGAAGCATATCAAGAAAGAGAGCTTCTTGCCAGCTTTTAGGAAGGCGTTTGAGAAGGTATTCTCAAAAGATAATATTCAGGCAAGCTTCCGAGCTGCTGGACTAGTCCCGCACAACCCTGAGATTATGTTATCAAAGCTTGATGTGATCCTCTGTATGCCTATACCTCCAGCATCCTAGGATGCCATATGGGAATCCAAAACACCACGCAATGCCCATGAGATAGAGGCTCAATCTACACTTATTCATGATTGGATTCAAAGGCACAAAAGCTCTTCACCTGCTTCTATCCTTGATACTGTTAATCAGTTTAGAAAAGGTGCTGAAAAGATGGTGCACGAAATGGTATTGATGTGTAAGGAAATGGCAGAGCTTCGAAAGGTGGCTGAAGCCGCAACAGAGCGAAAAGGTCACAAAAGAAAGTATATCCGAACAGAGAATACACTTACTGTTGGCAAGGTACTTGATTTAATTGCTCCTGACATAGTTGGTGAGGAGAGAGAGGGTAAGAAGCCTGCAAAGAAGATTTGTGGAGAGAGACGCTGTAGGCATTGCGGCGAGACTGGCCACAATGTGCGCACCTGCAAGGCAGAGATTGAGGATGTGAATGATAGCGATATGTTTGAATAATATTTTAGTATCCTGCAATTTGCTCTATCTTGTTGTAGTGCTGAGTTATGTACTTGCAAAGGCATGCATGATGGTAGGGTGCCCCGTTCGGTTAGGGTGTCCCGCTCGCATAGGAAACGTTACCAGCAATTTTATCACTTAAGTTACTAGCCAGGAGCTACCCCACCAACCCCGCAGCCCGAACTGGGGAGAATGATGTAATCATCAAATTGACCCCACCTTGCTGACCTCAAATAGGCTATCCGCGGATTTATCAGAGGATGGGGCCTGTCATGCAGAATGCGCCCTCTCTCCACTCGAATTCCTACTTTTCTCTTCCGACGCACGTCAGTTAGTTCAAAACGTGTTGTCCCTGCTATCATTGCCTCAGCGAGTGTCACCACAGCTACCAGGCCAGGCATATCACCATCAATTCGGTTTCCACCCATTCCACATCGCCGAATCGCAAAGATGTCCATGGAATCAACCCAGTCCAAAGCTTGTATGTGCTGGGTGCTGTGTGCGAGACGGAACCGTGTTTGCTAATACGGACAGGCTGCAATCTGCCAGCTATTGTCGGCAAGGGGTACCAAGAAAAGGGTGAATATATCACTGCGGATGGCTTGAAGACTTGTAAGAAGCGCAAGTACAATCCCGATGGAACTGTTCTGACATACGTTTCTCTCCCAGACTTCACCGGCTCCAAAGACGCCAAACGAGGCATCCTCGTCATCTACGACATCTTCGGCTTCTTCCCCCAGACGCTCCAGGGCGCCGACATCCTCGCCCATTCCGACAAGGAGCGGCCCTACCAAGTCTTCATGCCCGACTTCTTCGAGGGCGAGCCCGCAGACATCTCCTGGTACCCGCCCGACAACAAGGACAAGGAGCACAAGCTGGGTGCTTTCTTCAAGACCAAGGCTGCGCCGCCGAGGACGCTGGAGAAGATCCCCAAGATTGTGAAGGAATTGAGCGAGAAGCATGGGGTGGAGACGTGGGCCATTTTGGGGTACTGCTGGGGTGGAAAGGTGCGTTGACTTCCTTTTTCGGCATATGAGATTTTTGGGCCACAGCCGGTAGGAGACTTGCACAGAGGCTAACCACGCTCAGATCGTCAACCTCTCCTCCATGCAAGGAACCCCATTCAAAGCGGCCGCAGCCTGCCACCCCGCCATGGTCGCCGCTGCTGATGCCCCCGGAGTCACCATCCCCTACATCATGCTTCCCTCCAAGGACGAGTCCAAAGACGAAGTCGCCGCCTGGGAGAAGGGCCTCAAAGTTCCCCACCAGGTAGAATGGTTCCCAGACCAGATCCACGGTTGGATGGCTGCCAGGGGTGACCTGGAGGATGACAAGGTCAGGAAGGGGTACGAGCGTGGATACAAGCTGGTGCTGGATTTCTTCCACAAGCACATGTGAGTGTCTCTGCTCCAAGAATAGGTAGTAGAGATGCCGTAAGAGGCGCCGCAATGGAAGGTCGGAGGTGCTGAGTGTGTTTATCCAGGGACTCTGCCTCTAAACTCTAACACACAAGTACACCTTAGTGTTAATTGTACTAGTGGAGCTATGTAGCAATGGACTGCCAACGCCAATGCAGAATAGCCGAGAAACCCCAACAATACTAACTGACCATCCCCTGCACTTCAATGCCGTGTACTTGAGTAGAGGAGGAATCACGAGTCAGAATCTGTGTATGGTAAAACGGGTGAGTAATACACTACCATTGAGACAAGTACGAGGCTATATACAGGAAAGGGTATCTCATGCGGCAAAGTGCGCAGAAAACATAACTCGTCATACTGACTGGCGGACAAATATGATGATACAATCAAAAGTAACATGCTGTGCTGTAGAAATACAAAAGGCAGAAGAAATTCTGTTTAAATGATACCCCACTGATATCACGACTTTGGCAAACTCGTTGCAGACTTACTCGCCTTGCGAGCCGCCACCGGATTCGAGGTCCCGGATTTCGACTTGGACCGCACATGCGGCGACGGTGAGCACGGCAATCCCGTCCCCTTGGGTCCCGTACAAGGTAGCTCTTGCGGTTCCGGGCAGGGTGGTAGTTCCTGAGGCGGTTGCATCAAGGACGCATGCTTCGTATCTGAGAAATCCCCTTGACCACCCTGTTGCGGCGAGGGACCGTAGTACTCCGGTACAGGGGAACCCCATTGCGAAGACCATTCCGAAGGAGGCGATCCTGATGATTGGATCTGGGATTGGGAATGAGAGTGCTGAATTGGCTGAGCTGGTACGTTGGTGTACAAGCGGAGACGGTCGCGCGGATGCGAGGGGATTTCGGAGACAGGTTGGTCGTCTCGCGATTGAAGCTGTTGCACGCCATACACCCTGTTTCTCAATCTTCGACGGAAGAGGAAGAAGCCCATTCCGCCGACGACGAGTAAAGCGCCGAGGGACCCTCCAACTGCTCCGCCGATGACCGCGCGCCGGCTAGGACCCTCGGGTTCGGGCGCTGGCTCTCCTGTCTCGAGAGGTAGATGTCGCGTCGGCGTTCGCGATGAGGGGTTGTATTCCCTTGCGAATTGGACCTGCAGGTCTCGTTCACGGAAGCCGGCTACGGGTGTCGTCACCGTTGCACCGCCGGTTGGGCCTCCGCCAATGGTTCTGGCGATTTCGGTGGGGACCTGGTAGGTCGTGAGGTTTGGGTTGTAGGAGGCCCATTTTGCGCCCAGGGGGTTGTTTTTGCCTAGATCGAGACCGTGTTGGCCGTAGACCATGGGCATGTCGCCTGTTTATCGTTTAATCAGTTGGTTGGGCTTGAAGCAATGATGTGGGCATATTTACAGTCGTTGGTCATGTTCGGGAAATGCCCGCCCATGATGATCATCTGCGAGTTGCCAACAACATCGCAGCTGAGGGAGTGATGGGGAAAGGTCGCACCCACGCCATCCTCTGGTCTTGGCCAGAACTGTAGGATGTTAGTATCATTCTCTGAATTCTGGTCGACGTGAAGATTACTTTTATCCAGGTGAATGATGGCAAGCTAAGCACGTAAACATCGCCGAAGCCGACTCCGTCGCCAATTGAGGCACCGCCGTATAAGTAGCTAGACAGGTTAGCTTAGACTGGTAACAAAAGAGTTAGAGCCGCGCTGCCTACATATTGAAAGAAGATCGATCTTGGGCATGCGCCAGGCCCGCACAAAATCTTCGACGTTGTTCAGGAATGTCACCGGTTGCTGTCTGTCTGTACCAAAGATCGTCACCGATGCTGTAGACCAGGATTTCCTGAGGCTCGTTAAGTATGACTGCATACCGATTTGAAGGTCGCGGTTCTTACGCTCATGTTCATCTGCCCTATGTCAGTAAATAGTGAGCGATTCCGTTTCATGTGCTAGACGTACTCCTCTGCTAGATCCTCCATTCGGAAATTCCAGTCCACCGAAGTAAACTAGGAGGCCCGCATCACCTACAGGGACATACTGCATCACCCCTTCAGCGCGCGGGGTATTGTCAGGACCAGACTGGTTCCGGAATGAATTTTCAATCATGTCGTATACAACCATGTTGGAGAGCGGGGTTTGAGCCCCATATCCAGGAACTGAAGCATTTGTGAGATACCCGCCGTAGTAGTATCCTATAGCCTTGGCCTGATCCGTCGCTCCAGCGCCTGCACCTGTTAGAACCCTTCTATGAATCGTTCATAATCGAACTCCATACCCCATGCTGCTCGTTGAACATTCGAACCGCTGGGGCTAGTTGTATTCCACGAATCGTACTCAAGGTCATAGAACCACAATTGAAAGTCCTGTGGCTGGCCGTCTCCGAACTCTCCGCCGTACATGTATACTTGCTTATTGGTCGCATCGGCCCATAGCACACCTCCATGCACAGAGGGCACGGATTCGTTCTTCGTGACCGTGACATATTTTGGAAATCCTTCGTTGGTGTTGTTGAGGTCGCCGCTTCTCATCCATGTGCCTGTCAAGTGCCTATTAGTACTGTGAATTCGGCCCCGGCTGAGGCGATATGGGCGCAACTCACTCGAGTAGTTGAGGGAGCTAGCTGATAACGGTGCAAAATTCACCAACCCTCCATCGACGATCATCCGACGGTCCACCACGGTAGTTTGATGTCCAAATATGCGACAGAAGTCTTTTAAAGGATCCTTTCGTTGTTCTGAACGTGATATACATGAGGAAACGGCCAGAAAGAGGCGCAGCGCCCTAATTCTGGACCTCATAACGTGGACGCGCAAACCTCACAAGACCTCCAGCGACATGAGAAGAAAGTTGATGTGGGCAAGCGGCGGGTCGACTGGGCTAGCTATCCGCAGCTTACATCAAGATTGCAGGAACGCATGGTCCTGGGTGTACCGCTTGCAGGTCATGAGGACTGCATATGAATCCTTCGAGTCGACGTTGCCGAACCCCGGTGGCGTAGTAACACTTTCCGCATTCTGAATGGGCACATCCTAACACAGTATGATAGGGAGCTGTGCCTTACATCTGAGGCTTGCTTGGGAAACCTATAACGATCCGGACGGGGGCACGCTTGGCGAAGGACGTCCTGAAACCTATTCTGATGCGTTAGCCGCAGACTCCCAAATGTCGCTCGGAGTCCTTGAGGGAAAGCGAAGCAGATGTGATGACACCAATCAGATGGTTCGATATGCCGAATCTCTATTAGTTATGACATCTGAGCGGTTGGTACCTCAGGACTGATACCAACAGAGGGGTTATCGCAACGACAATGCGGGAGCTGCCCAATATCGCCTTTCCATTCATGGTACCCATAGCCTCCGAGTCAATCAGTCAACAAGCCAAACAAATTGCTTTGGTAGAGCAACTTGGATCGAGCAACAGAGAGACGACAGTCCCAAGTAAACCCCCAGACGAGATGGAGGTGGAGATCTAGCAGTTGAGGTCGTGGGGGCGGAAAAGCCAAGGATCAGACGCGGAGAGCTATCACGGCACATATCAGCAGCTATAGATGTAAAAAGGGGAGCTCATCGGTCGCATTGCATCCTGGGCTTGGGAGCATCATCGGAATGTTGTTGGTGTTTGAGATGCAAGATGTGAGACTCCAGGATGTCGGACGCTCGGGCCGACCATCGACACTAGACCCAATCGGGAAGACGACGAGTCTGCTCCACAACTGCATTGACATAAACTCAACTCCTCAAGGACTTCATCATGTGCTCGAGCGCCATTTCATTTGCAACGGCTCTGTTGGACTATACCGTATATTGGACGATGAACTTGACCACACCAATTTCTAAGCAATGGCCGGCCCACTCCACACGAAGAGGTGTTCAGTAGGGCATTCACCAGAGACGTACACTACTCCACAGAGCTAGCGAAGTCTTCATTACGGTCCCAGAAGTATCGGGGCTTATCAGGGCGTGATAAGCAAATATCTCTCGCCGGGGAGAAGCGGGACGCTTTGTCGGCTGCTTTCATCCAACGCTCCAGACACTCTTCTAGTCGTCCTCGACAAGTCGGTCCAGTATCGCAATTGACAAGTGCATCACGAGACTTGCAATGGCCGCCACGAGCCATAGCCCAAATATCAGCCATGCTAATGCCACTCCGCTCGCACCCACACCTGCTCTCGCCATGCCCGCAGTGGATGTCTCCAGGAGCGTAGCGGCCGTTGCCGATGCAGTGTGCTGCCACAGGGCAGCTGTAAAGCTGAACAGACTTCCGAGTCCTGTAAACGCAACACAAGCTACCATGACAGTACGGCTCGGGAAAGGTTTCACTAGAACTTCCGATCCCGTCGCTGTATCCTTCTCTTCGTGCCATCCGGGAAAGGTAGCAAAGAGCCAAAAGACCAGGACACCTAGTCCTGCGCTGCCAATCCTTCGAGGCCAGTTAGCCACGGTCACATTCCCGTACAAGTCTGATCCATCACCTACAGAAAACCTGGGAAAATGACATCGTCTTTCACTTTCTCTGCCATGTGAAAGAGGCCTAACGGATCAACGAAACGGCCAGAGTACACAAGGCGAGCGGCACTCCCCGCGCAGATCCAAGGTCCTTCTTTTTGAGACGCACAGAGACCGAAATACCCGAGTCGCGTTACGAGTTGGCTGTCTTTAACAACATTGAACACAGGTTGGGTGATATTCTCCCATGCTTCTGTTGGCCCTTTCGGGCCATCCGGCTGCGCTTTTGGGTCGACATAGCTGACCTCTATGAGATAGATTCGTTGGGCAATGCTAGTGGCCCCGGCTCCTGCAAGAAGTACTGCTGTCATAGCGACAGCAGAAGCAATGACAGCCATTATCAGGTGGTGGAATCCTATGGAGCCTAATCCCTTCCGTCAGTCACATAATAGCGAGGCTGTACAGATCCAGGGAGGTCGTACGGATACCTCTCGATTGTGCAAGTTTTCTGAGCCAATAGGTCATCGTCACGTCCCATGTGTTCCTCGTCGGATATATTGCGCAACTCTTTGGTCAGGATAGGAGGATAAACAGATGATGGTCGTTGAAGCCTGGCTTTCTTTTCCGTGGGAACCGCGTTTCGAACTTGTGAGGGCTGCGCGCGAAGTTCTGGCCGATTACACAACATTCATCGCCTTCCGTGCGCACAGCCTTTGAATGGTGGGGGCCGAAGCCAGGGTTGCAGTACAACCACCAGTGATTGGCGCTATTTTGATGACTAGGCGCCGTAGGCGTCGTCCGAACTCTGCTCTACACCAGCCTTTCTCGATATCTACCTCTCGTGGTCGTCACGATGATACTCTCCATCTGAACCTATTACCCTGTTTGGAAGACCATGGCTCAGAGGGAGTCCCGCCCGCCCATGCAGATGTATGTGGAAGTCGAAGTTGATGCTTTGTCCAGCGCTTCAAGACGTTCCATTTCATCTTACCACCGACCTGAATCTCCAACATCCGCCGAGCCCAATTTAAATGGCCAGCCAGATCTCCAGCATACTCCAAACTCATCAAAAAGTACAGACAATGCAAGATCCACACATGGCTTGCTGCCGGTTCCAGGAGAAAGAAACCAACAACGTGCACACAATCGTTCGCCAGAAGACAGTTCGCGGCGTGGAGTGAGATTCGAGCCCATTCCTCAACCAGAACCGGAGAAGAGAGAGAGTGGTGATAGGGGCTTTAATTCCACCTGGGATATCAACAAGGAGAAGAACCCAGCTGCAGAATCTGGACCCCTGGCCGACCCTGAGCCAGAACCAACCGTCGAACCTGTCCGATCCGCTCAGTCTTCAGAAGCCAGCCCTCTCTGGTACAGAACCCAATTCATTCCCCACCGATACGGATTGTCCTCGCGGCGTGATCCTCTGCTTCGCGGACCTGTTCGATCCAAAACTCTTCCCCCTGAGCTACCCTCTCGTAACGTGAAGGTCCCCGATGAGAACTTTCCAAAACCGGTCCGCCGGACCACGGTTGTCGTTCCGGATCATCCGCAAACAGTATCAGCATCTCCCGTGGAAAATAGTCTCCTCACGCGTTCCCCCCGTGGATCCGCTCGTGGTTCTGGGGAAGTTGCCGTCACTGAACAATCGAAGGAACGCTCTAGACAGTTAAACGTTGTTGATGATGTTGCAGTCTCTGGGGGTGGTAAACCGGATGAACAGGGTGCTCGCAGTACAGAGCCTCACGTTACCTCCGCTCCAGGGATTGATCACTACGTAGAGGTACGTTCGAGGTCTTCGCCTCCGCCATCCAATGCGGTTGCGATACCTCGAAATTCCCACGATGGAAGGAATGCTTGGGTCAGAAGACGTCGGACCGGGGAAACAGATGACACCGCCATACCTCAGAGCCGCTCGAGTCCCGGTATATTTGGCACTGGCTATAGAAGTGCGACAGTAGCAAGGAAAGCCAAATGGAGGGACAACCCACCGCCCCCGCCGCCACCGCCTCATCTGGACACTCCCATTTATAGCTACGGATGGCTTGTGAAGCGTCTGCATCGCCACATGCCGCATTTAGTGAATGTGCAAGGCTTGGATTGCAGGGAGCATAGCAGAGGGGATATTGTTTGCTATGACAGTCTATCCCTTTTCAGTGGAGGACCACCGAGCCTTCAAGACCACATATCGCTCCAGACTGATCGAGATGATACGTCGCTGTTTGAACGTATACATGAACTCAAACCGTACCGCGCTCGAAACGTCCGTTACCGGTACATATTGGTTGAGGATCTGTCACCACGCCTTATCGATCATCTTGGCCGTACCTTTTGGCTTAATCCTGAATTTTTTGAAGAGCATCTCAACCGCAGTGGGTATCGGTCAGACTCTTACGATGATCCAATGCCGTCAACTTGGAACACAAATGCCACCCCGAAAGACTACATGTCAGTCCGCTGGTTTCGACCCGTCCACAGGACTCGCATCAAACCACTCTCAGATGTTGAGCGTGATATACTTTTGAGAAGGGACAAAGAAAACTCCAGCAGCGCCTTGAACTGGATAAGCTCCACGGGCGATGGCAATGACCACAATTCTGTGAGGCTTAAGACGAATATCTTCCGAAAAGAGTGGCCCATTGTCTCGGACCCCAATCAGGCCAAGTGGGAAACCTTGAACGATGCCAGCACCTTCCCGGCGGCGTGGGAGGAGAGGATTACGGTGCAGGTGTCAGAGACTGTGGGTCAACCTCCTGTGTGTAAGTGTTCGCATTAATCAATATGCTTAGACTGTGGTAATTCTAACTTGTGTGGAGTTATCATCCTCTTGGATCCCTTACCCACGCTCGAACTCACAATTGAATCTCTCCCCAGGACCAAAAAGAGCGAGGTGGCCAGATCAAATCTTGTCCCTTTCTTTCAAGCATACAGTAGAGCCCCCATCGGCCCCAATCTTGGCCTCGTGGACGTTTTTAATGGCCTTCCGCTGAGCGAGGGCGCTATTGCTATGCTAGGCGATAATCTTGCGAGTACCAATTGCACACGGGAAGACCTTACAGCCTGGATAAAATCTGTGCACGACGTCCGGCCAGGGGACGTACAGATGGAGCTGACAACCGGTTTGCTGTGGATCATCCACCGAGATTGCATCGGCTTTCTGAGCTATGTGCACAAGGTACTAGAAGAGATAGGCCTGCATTCTACTGATGATTACCTCCTCCAGGAACGCCTTGCTCACTGGCGGAATCTGATCACAAGACTGCAAACCGAATTACCGGCTATGCGACTCTCCATTAGGAACTTTTTCGAGTTCCTCGAGCAGTTCCAGCCGCTGGACCAAGCACGCGGCTTTATACAACGCACTCTGGAGGAAATCGACGGACTAATCGACCAGAACGAGAGATCCTACGCAGCCTTGCGCGCAGATATGGCTCTCCTAGAAAGCAAGCGCGGCATCAATCAAGCCGAGAGCGTGGGAAAGCTGACTGAACTGGGATTTATATTCATTCCCATCTCTTGCATCGCATCTCTTTTCAGCATGCAAGTACAACCGCTGTCCGAACCAGCCCCCTTGTATAGCTTTTTTGTTGCCGCCATCCTTACAGTCGGCATCATATTCGGCATACGTCTCGCACTTAGAAGCACGGCTTTAATTGAGTACAAGCGAGAAACCTCTAGAAAGATACGCCTTCGTACAAATCTTAGTCCAGGAGCTCCCATACCAACTCGGACATTCATACTGTACGTGGTCAGAGATAGAAGGCTTTATCTTACCATATTCCGCCCTCTATGGGGCATAGGGATGGAAGTCTTTCTCGTCTTTTCGCTTTTTATCGTTCTCATGCTGCCTATCATCTTCCTGTGGGTACGGAATACGGGTATGGACATCAGCTTCAAAAGCACCTTGACTATCCTTTTCTTCCTGTTCTGCGGCTTGGCGCTTTATCCATTGGCAAAAGCCAGGTTTGACACTTCACCGAAATCACTCTTCAATCTATCAGCCAAACAACAGTCCAACAAAGCGCGTGGAAGATCTCCTAGCCCTGTCCGCATCGATAGTCCGTCCTTGAGTACGCCTTCCCACGAGCCGGATCGTCAGAGGACAGGCATCTTCAGGAACGTTAGGAGCAAATTGAGCAAACTGAGAAGGAAAGTGACGGGCACCAGTCCTGATATCGAAGCTTCTTATTATACGGACCGTTCCTCGTCGCACGCCAATCCCACTAGCAGAGTTGAGGATTGGCGGAATGAGGTGGATGACGCTAGACGGCCCAGTTTCAGACGTACCTCTTCCGCGCAGCAAAATGAGGAAGAAGTACGCCCGCAGACGCGTGAGATTAACCCAGAGCCAGAAGGAGCGGAATTCGCCAATTCAGATGATGAAGGACTCTTTCAGCGTGGTGCTCCCACCATTCCGCCACTGTCACCGCCTCCACCTCCGATGGGTGCCGATAGACCAATCCAGTTACGGTACATTGACACTGAACATCCGACGCCCTTCGGATCAGAGTTTCATCGAAATCTCGGCGAGAGAGATATACTACCAGAGAGCTACTACCGTCGTCCCAGCAGGGCGTCGTCAGGATCCATAGGCGATACGAGCCTTGACCCAGCTGCCATACCTCTGCCACCGTCCTCGGTGAGCATAGGAAAAGGCTCCTCCCAGGCTGAGGGCTCAACCGCTTCTGCTAGGAGTAGCGGTAGGAGTCCTAGTTAGAGCTTTTCCTAAGCTGTCATGTCAAATAATAAATCGAGAAGCAAGCTCAGGTTTGCATTGTATCCGTCTGTTGCAGACAATAAACTCAAGTTTCAAATACATGTACAGCAGAAACACGGGAGGCTTTCAGCTCGATTTCGGTGAGGTATCTGGATCTACGCGCTTGACAATCAAGTTACGTTACCGTTATTGCAATCATCTAAGGTGCAACAGCTGGCAGTGAATTGCAGCAAGGAAAGATGTGCATGACCAGGAAAACCTATTCACGTAGGCCAAAGGGGAGAATGGCGCTTAGCCTAATCTACGCTAGCGCTCGATCAATGCCATCATCAACCATCTATCGCGTCCATTCTCTCTCTCCCTTGAAATACTTTTAGGAGAGAAAATCGCGAGTAGTATAATTTTCTTTTGATTTATCAATTCCTCTCATGATGACCCCATGGTCACTGGTTTGCCCGGCATCAAGGGGCATTGGCTTTGCCTTAGCTCGGAGAATATTGCAGACAACGAATGCTCCGGTTGTCGCAACCGCACGGAAGGATATTGAAAAGACAAAGAGGTGGCTGTTGGCTGGCTTAGAAGTCGATGAAGGCAGATTGACAATGATAAATGTAGATGTTCTAGGTAAATATCGCCATTGCACTCACTTTTGATCTCTCACCGCCACGCTCAAGATGAAAGCACAATTGCCAATGCTGCAGCCGCATGCAAAGAGAAGTTCCCGATTTCATCGAATGCAAATCACCTACACCTGGCCTTTATTATCCCAGGGATCCTGTTTCCTGAGAAGTCGCCTGCGCAAATTGACGCCGACAACGCTTTACTTACGTTCCGCACCAACACACTTGGCCCGATGCTGATGCTCAAACACTTTGCACCATTTTTACCCAAGAAGACAGTGGTAATCTTAACCGACGAGTATGCGTACCAAAACCTCCCCTCCCAGTCCACCACAGCCGTCATGTCCGCACGTGTAGGAAGCATATCCGATAATCGTCTCGGAGGGTGGTACAGCTACCGGGCCTCTAAAGCGGCTGTCAACCAAGTTGTCAAGACTTTTGACAATCACCTCCGGACGGTATCGGGCGACAATGCTTTGGCTATCGCGATTCATCCCGGAACCGTTAGGACGGAATTGAGCCGGGAGTTTTGGGAAAGTGTTCAGAAGGACAAGTTATTTGAGAAGGAGTGGGTAGCAGAGAAATTGCTGGATGTGGTCAAGAGTATTGGAGTCGAGGGCAGGGGACGATGCTGGGACTGGAGTGGGAAGGAAGTGCCGCCTTAGGCTTGATTGTTGAAAAGGGAGGGAGAGTGTTCCACCAAGTCAGCTGCCGATTCGTTTCTTAGTCACATGTCTGCATCTGTTTATGTTCGCATGATTCCTCAGGGCTATCTTGGTTTTCACGGGCATGCAAGGGATGAACATAGGCCAAGACATCAAGGGATAATTGACTCACCTTTTCCGCATCTGGAAAGCCCTCCAAGGACTCCAAGTGAGTGCTACGGTGCCATTTGGGGAGACCGTTGGGTAATCCACGATTCGGGGATATAACTGCTGCAATGTCACCCCACTGTGCCGCGCAGGTATCGCGTTTCTACCTATAGCAAGAACGTATTCAAGACGTTCGGTCATTCCTCGACATCCTCCCATTCCGTCTCAACTCTGGCCTTCCTACTTGACAAATCAAATCCGTCTTAGATTGCGCTACCTCATTTCTGAGGGGTCACCAGGGCACAAATTCTCGTAGTTCCACGCCACACTGTGGACTTCACTACATTTCATACTTCGATCGAGATAATGCTAATAAATGAGCTAAAGCTAAAAAGTGCGCAGCAGTTGGTACCGAGACGACTGGCCCGGTCGAACCGTTGTTAAGGTGAAGATATAAAAGACGTCTCCTTTCCCTCCTTCTGCTATTCCAGTAGACAAGAACTGCGTAAGAGCTCAACTCCAGTTACTATATTTCACAACCGGTTTTTTCTTCAATTGCTCAAACACTGATCAGGCAACATGCGCTTTTCAGTCCCAGTTGTTGCTGTCCTCACCACCACCGCTTTCGGTGCGCCCAGCCTAATTGCGCCCATAGACACTATCACCACCGGTATCGAACAGGCCCTTACACTTGCCCTCCAAGCTGCCAGCTGCAGTGTACTTAGTTGTGTCTCTGTCGTTACATCTGCCGGATGCATTGGTACAGGCATCACTGCTGGAAGCGTGCCTCTTGTCCTTCAATGTGTTGGCGGTGAAACCTCGAAGGTGAGTATATGCCGTCTTGTGTGAAGGCCATATAGCTGACCCGTTGAAAGCTGTGCGGCTGCGCCGGTTGCGTTCCTGCCCTTGGCGACTTCTTGGGCGGGAATGGTGTCTGCTAGGGTGCCGACGAACTGGACGATTCGGTTTAATTCAGATGTCAGGAAGATGGGATATTGTTCAGGGACATAAGACAGAGTAAATTAAGGGAAATTTCTGCTATGGCTTTGCGGCTTAGGACTTTCTTGTACGGTGCTCGGAACTACAGTCCCTCGTTCAATGATCTTCTGGCTATAATCCGTCCTACGTTAAATATATCAGTGATGTATGATTGCAGGTGATGAAGACGGGTAATCCGCGGGCTATACCTTCAACAACACTATAACAGCCCGCAGTATCGTTTCATGCGCCTTCCCCTACAGTTTCGTGGAAGCAGCTTCCGAAGCTAGCTGCTTAGTAACACTCGGCCCTTTGTGAGTGAATGACGACATGCGTTCCATGATCACCAACTCACACTCCGGATATCGTTCTGCTCTGCTTGCGACGGCTATAATACTTCTAACAGTAATTAACCTGCATTACACGGCTTCGTCGCAATGTCTGGAACAAGATTCCAGCTGAATTTCGTTGGGGACGTGATGCTGGGCCGTTTGATTGATCAACTGCTCCCAGTACACGTGCATTGTCAGGAAGACGCGATACATGCAAAGCACTTTGTGGCAGGCATCCCAAGCCTTCTTGACTACAAGTACGTCCCTCCACACATACCTATGGCGCCCAACAAGGCGATGGAGGCGCTTCTTACATTCCCGACTAGCTTCAAAAGCCCGTGGGGGAACACTGTCCCTGTTTTCCATTCCGCAAACCTCAATTTCATCAACCTTGAAACGTCTGCGACTACACATGCCGTGAAATGGCCTCACAAGGTCTTCAATTACCGCATGCACCCGACAAATATTCAGTGCTTGAAGGAGGCACGAATCAATTACGCATCCTTAGCCAACAATCACACACTTGACTTCTCGGAAGAGGGTCTCCTTGAGACAGTTCGTACTGTCAGAAATGCGGGCATCAGTTTCGCTGGGGCAGGTGAAGACCGTGAAGAAGCCGTGCGACCGGCGATTCTCAGTCTTCAAGACAACGACAAGGAATATTCCGTCCATGTCTATTCAGCATCAGACCACCCTGGCGAGTGGGCGCGTGTGCCCAATTTTCACTTCATTGACTACCTTCCCGCCACTCGGCATCGCCTCAAGACGCTACTGATGTCACCGCAGGCCAAGCCCCCAGATCTGAAAATCTTTAGTGTCCACTGGGGACCAAATTACTCCTGGTCCCCTTCCGAGGAGATTCGTAGCCTAGCCCACTACCTTATTGATGAATGCGGGGTCGATATCATCCATGGACATTCGTCGCACCATATCCAAGGCGTGGAGGTGTACAAGCAAAAATTGATCATCTACGGCTGTGGAGATTTTGTTGACGACTACGCGATAGACAAAACCTATCGAAACGATCTCTCTGCGGTCTGGAGGGTAGCAGTCGAGGAAAAGGAAGGAGGTCACGGCTTAAAAGTGAGGGAGCTCGAAGTGTTGCCTAGCCGGATAAGTCACTTCCAGACGAACCTTCTGCAAGATCACGACGTCGATTATGACTGGGTCAGAAAAACTCTCAGGAAGTTATCGGAGCAGCTTGGTACCGATATTGAGGAGAAAATTGGAAAAGAAAGCCGTATGTCGGTGAAGCTGTGATAGAAGTTTTGCGTGTTCCTGCTACTTACGCGAATGTTCCAGAGATCGGTCGATTACGAAGCCAAGTGGATAGTTGGTTGTGCCTGAGAATGTGATCTACTCGTTGCTGTGCTGACTTTGGCTTTTGGGAAAGGCCTGGACACTAAAATAAACTCTTGATACTGTGGCTGGTTTCAGGACTCATTCCATCTTTGTAGCGCCGTATTGGCGCCGCAGCACACTTACTGCACAAGTGAAACGACGTTATTCTTTTTTTTAGCGGCGATGCACAGCTTGGAACGACGACCGTTGGAGGATCTACAAAGTTACCATGTACCGCTTGTCTCGCCTCACTTCGACCGCGTGCTCACATTTTATTGAATAACCACAACCTCAATCGCATGCACACTTATCATGAAGCAATTACCATTTCATACAACTTCCAACCCTCCATAAGGTAAACCCATGTACCAGGGTATACAGACATCGCTCTTGGCTCAATGCGGGGTCGTTGAATTTCCGGCCCCTTCTGATTCAACTCTGGGGTAGACTACCCGATGGCTGCATCAGCCCCTGAGCACTCGCCGTTCTTGGGGAGCAATGATCGAATTTCAAATCATTCATTCGTGGATCTGTAATCTAAACTAGCCTCGGCTTCGCTGAAAGCTCGGCTGTTCCTTACGCACTAACGCCAGAAGCCCACCACAGAAGACCATCCATCAGTCCGGTCCACCATTGTGGCTGCTTGGAGAAATGCGCTGATGTCGAGCTCAGACGTGTTGTCTGATTCTGGTGATTTCCAACGTGCCCCGCGGATCGCCTGCTTAACAGAATTTTGAGCTTCCAAGGTTGTTACTAGATTATTGTGCATCTTTCAATGCTTTCAGCTATGTTCCACCGAGCTCTCGCTCATCTCTTTTCATCCTAAATGAATACCTCTGTAATGGTAGATGGAGAGATCTAGGTTAATACCCAAATGTCAGCAGGGGCTAGGGCAGTAAGCGATGAAGCTAGGGAAGTGATCTGCTACAAGCCACCCGCCGCCAGATGTTGCATCTTTCTACGATTTCAACCACTCAGAGCCATTACAGAGTTCAACCATCCTCGGTATAACCGTTTCGTCGTAGGCGTGACCTCCAAGAGTCCCCCAACGTCGGCGAAGTTGTGCATAGTTCTAGGAGGACCTTCCATATTCAGCAGTTCGATTTGTGTAAACACCGAAACCCATGCACGGGCATGGAAAACTTCATCTACGGGTGCATTGCTGGTCATGTTTTGTGTGACCGATATAGAAGTCCGTTTCTCAGCCAAGGTTCCATCTGCCTCGGCCACTTTGAGAGTTGAACAGCATAAAGGAAGAGCTGTTTCCCTCCAGAAAGAAGCAGCAGGTTGCTAAGGTCAATCGCCAATTCCTCCACCAGCTCAAGCGTCAAAGCAGTTTCTCAGTTCTGCTGAAATTCACCGGTCCAGTCCTATCCAACGAATCTCTTGACTCCGTCCTCTACCGTCAAAATGGTCAAGTCTCTCTTCGTGACCTCTGCTTTGCTCAGCCTGGTGGCAGCCAACCCCATTGAGATTCGTCAGACCGGTGTGAATTCAAATGAGTTCTCGCAAGGAGGATGCAGGCCCATCCTCTTCGCCTGGGCTCGTGGTTCTACGGAGGCTGGCAACATGGTAACTTGAGCCCCTTCATCCACTCTCAAGGAACATCAGATCCTGACTGCAACAGGGCACGGTTGTCGGGCCCCCAACGTCTAATGGGTTGAAGCGAATCTTTGGCAACTCCAATGTCGCGACGGAAGGTGTTGCATATGCAGCTCTGCTTTCTACCAACGCTCTTCCAGGTGGGACCGATTCTGCTAGCAAGAACCTCTTCAAGAACACCCTCAACTCCATGGCATCCAAGTGCCCAGACAGCGTCATCGTCACTGGTGGTTACAGCCAGGGTGCTGCCGTCAACCACCGCGCCATCGAAGAGCTCTCGCAATCTGTGAAGGACCGCATCGTCGGCACTGTCCTCTATGGTGACACGCAAAAGCAGCAGGTATGTCTCCACTCTTTTCCCTCCGCAGCTCAGCATTCTGATAACGGACAACCGTAGGACAATAACCAGATCCCGAACTTCCCCAAGGATAAGGTGCTCATTATTTGCAATCCTGGAGACCTTGTTTGCACCGGCAGCCTTGTCGTTCTTGCTCCTCACCTGGCCTATGGCGCCCGCGCCGATGAGGGTGTCAACTTCCTGGCCCAGAAGATCCGAGCTGCGCAGGCCAATGTCAAGGCGAGGAATATCCAGCGTGCCGTCGAGGAGAGTGTTGCTGATCTTGTCGAGGGTGTTGAGGTCGCCGCCTAGACTGAGGAGGTGCGAGAGTTAGCACTTCTGAGTCTCACTGATGACTGGTTTCATCCAAGGGATTGATGGAGATGCTGCACTATAGCTATGTGGAGGTTTTTGTTCTATACTTATTTTTCTCCTGCTTTGGTCTTGCGAAATGGGTTGAACTGAATTTCCTAAAAACCAATGAATGAATGAAATGGCCACCAAAATTTTCGTAGAGCCGACTGGACATGATGAGCTGACCATTCTGTCTTTGCGGGGGCCGAGGAGTGCACACAATCCTCATCGATTTGTTGACATCTCTCACAATAATCGAAACAGCCAAAAGCGTCGTGCTGGATGGAAGTATGGCAAAACTAGTCCTGGGTAATAGGGTGAAGGCAAGCCCAAATAACTATAACGAAAGCAGTTTCTTGGTAATTTTCTGCTGAAGACGAATCACGCCTTCAGAGCCGCTTGTTCAATGTTGTTGCCCGTGCGGGGGCAAAGCAACGCCGACCTCTCAGATACAGACATTTGTCCGGATATCGAAGCGTTCGAAGGAGAGTTTGCGCTGTTTGGTGAGTACGTGGCCGGATTAAGGCAGACGTTCTATAGATGAATAGTCCGAGTTTCTACTTACAAGACTTTGAGACTTTAACGTTGGATAATTGTTCTGGATTGAAGTATAAATTGGGTTACGGTTAAACATCATTGACGAAAATTCACGCCACTCTAGAGAAGGCACTGAACTCAAGCAAACGCTTAGTCTCAATTTCTCTAACTCATTCTAGCCGGTTGTTTGTTTTACTTTTGATTGGCCTAGGTTGTGCTTCAATACGGACCTGGGGGTTTGCAGAATGCAGGTGCACTGCGAGGCGAGTGGTGAGCGTTCATGATTTCAAACCGTAATGTGCTTTTGAACAGCTTCTAGACAATTTGTGCTTTCAGGAGTGGGAAAATTGTGAATGAAGAAGAACACTGAAGCTGAATGATGATCTATCGGATGAGCGCGATTTCTTCCAACGGGGTGATGGGAAACACATACACCGTACAGCTCTTTTGGTTGCCCATAGTGTTGGCAAAGATTACCCTAGGGTAGTTCGCACGTATGCCTCAAGACATCGGCATACATGAGGGAATTGCACGCGAAATTGATGAAACACAAGTTAATCCGTCTTGAAGAACAGGCTATTGTTTTCGAAATATTTCTTTCAACCTCTCTACACACCAGAATCATTCCTTCGCCTGTAGCTCACAATACTTGCCATCGCCCTTCGCCCCAGGATGGCATGGCTGCCTGGACGGTGGTACGAATCGACCAGGATGAATACAAGCAGAATTCTTATCCGAAGCCCGCTCAGGCGTATGCCGCAGAATAATATGGAAACTGCAGCGCGCACCCTACTAGTGGCCGAATCTGCTACGCAAAAACCGTATCCACCAATGCAGAGCGTAGTGCAAATTCACCTGTCCAACATTGGTGCAATAATCTTTCTATCTCAATTGCAAAGTTGAGCACAATTTATCAGTCGCCAAACCAGTATTACTTTGTCTTGATTCCACTGGTTAAAATAGCCCCAGCTCCTCTTCAGCCTACAGTAGATTAAGAATTACGGCCTGCTCTCCCCCAACTCTCTGCATGTCCTCGCGTATCGCTGACAACCGGGGAATTCCAACCCTTGGGCAATCTATCAGAGTTGGAAGCGAGTAGATGCAGTTATTGTCTGCGGCCAGGAAAGCAATAGACAAGATCTGGATGTCTGACCCGGTTGTCAGCAACTTTTCGTGAGATGAAATATGAAGACTGTACAATCTGAATAACCTCCCATGGCAACTAACACACCACGGCGCTGACCAGCGTTGTTGCTTGCTTTGAGAAACCTGCAATTGAGTTAACACTATGGGTTCCTTGAACCTTTGTTTCTCGGGTACATATATACAGTTAACGCGGTTAGGACCTACATGTTTTTCGGGTTCAACACCTGCCCGTCACATTCCCGATATCTTTACCGAGAGATCGCCCGCAATAATCAAAGTATTGCGGGGAACGCTATAAACTTTCTGTTTTAAGCGACGCCCTTCCAGGTTCAGTTCCTCGGCAGCGCGGGACGATGAAGCGGGATGATGAAACACCACCGGGGATTCGGTTCAAACGGTTCAACTTCATACCAAGGCCAATCACAGCGCTCTAAGATCTTCGTTAACTGTATGCAAGCTTGGTAAACATCCCTGCTCATTCAAAGGAGGCTGATTTCATTCCTCGGTTCACCTGGTAAACGCTTGCACTCAGGTATTTGTCCACCAACACTCTCATGGCTTGCTCATTTGGGCCTCCCGAAGCGGCGCTCGGAGCCGTCATGATTATATATATATATATATATATACCTATAGGTACATTGGCCGTCTCGATGCCACCAGCGAGCGCAATTGGCAATGATGGCTCGATTTTCAGCCGTCAGTTTCCTCGCAGCGGCAACTCTGCCACTCGCAGTTAGTGGTGCTGTAGGACCAGACTGCGTCAATGGGCCGTTGAAGAACAACAAAATATGCGATATCACCGCTAAACCAGCGGAACGCGCCGCGGCCCTTGTTGCTGCAATGACCCAAGAGGAAAAGCTTGCAAACCTGGTCAGGTACGTCGAGAAATGTGTAGAGAATGTCGTCAGCTAAGGTATCGACAGCAAAGCCCCAGGGGTACAACGTCTTGGACTTCCAGCCTACAACTGGTGGGGCGAGGCTCTTCATGGAGTAGCAGGTGCACCTGGTATCTCCTTTTCGGGAGACTTCAAAACTGCGACCTCGTTTCCGATGCCGCTTCTGATGTCGGCTGCATTCGATGACGACCTCATATTCAAGGTCGGAACGGCCATCGGCACCGAGGCAAGAGCATTCAGCAATGGAGGAAAGGCCCCCTTCGATTACTGGACGCCCAACATCAACCCTTTCAAGGACCCACGCTGGGGTCGCGGTTCGGAAACGCCTGGTGAAGATACGGCCCGCCTTAACGGCTATGTGAAGAGCATCCTTGCTGGACTTGAAGGTGACAATCCCAAGGAACGCCGCATCATTGCCACATGCAAACACTACGTCGCCAATGACCTCGAGAATTGGAAGGGAACAACAAGGCACGATTTCGACGCGAAGATTTCACAACAAGATCTAGCAGAATATTACATGCAACCATTCCAAACCTGCGCCAGGGACATGAAAGTAGGATCTTTCATGTGCTCATACAACGCCGTAAATGGCGTGCCAGCCTGTGCAAACCCTTGGTTGCTCGAAACGGTCCTTCGCGGCCATTGGAAATGGACAGATGATAACAACTATATCACGAGCGATTGCGAGGCGGTACTGGATATCTCGGCAAACCATAAATACGCTCCCACCAATGCAGCAGGAACGGCCCTTGCTTTCAACTCCGGCATGGATACGAGTTGTGAATACTCAGGCTCGTCTGATATCCCAGGCGCGTGGAAGAGCGGGGCGCTGAATAAGACAACGGTCGATAGGGCTCTTAACCGCCTTTACCATGGATTGGTCCGTTCCGGCTATTTTGATGGCTCGTCAGCCGTTTATGCCAAACTTGGCGCTGGAGACGTTAACACGCAAAACGCGCAGCAACTCGCAAGACAAGCGGCAACAAACGGCATTGTTATGCTGAAAAATGACCGGACACTGCCTCTGTCTCTCGCAAAGGGAAGCAAAGTAGCAATGATCGGGTTCTGGGCCAATGACACATCCAAGCTTCGGGGTGGTTACAGTGGGCCGCCGCCGTTTCTGCACACTCCTGTCTGGGCTGCCCAGCAGCAAGGGCTTTCGGTCAAGACCGCAACAGGACCTATCCTACAAAACAACAATGCCGCCGACAATTGGACCACAAATGCTTTGGCTGCCGCTAAAGCATCGGATTACATATTATACTTCGGTGGCCAAGATACTTCAGCAGCTGCTGAAGGATCGGATAGATTAAGTCTGGCATGGCCAGAGGCCCAGATAACGCTCATCAATAAGCTGAGTGGTTTGGGCAAGCCACTGGTGATCATCCAGATGGGCGATATGCTGGACGACACGCCTCTTATCAATAACAAAGGCGTGAATTCGATGCTGTGGGCTAGCTGGTCGGGCCAGGATGGAGGACCTGCCGTCATGGACATTATCTCGGGCGCAAAGGCGGTCGCCGGCCGTCTTCCAGTAACCCAGTATCCAGCGAATTATACCCAGCTTCCAATGACCGATATGAACCTCCGGCCTTCTGGTTCGAATCCAGGACGAACATACAGGTGGTACTCGACCCCAGTACGGCCTTTCGGCTTTGGTCTCCACTACACTACCTTCAAAGCTTCCTTCGGCGCTTTTGGGCCTAGCTTCTCTATCCAGGAATTACTCAAGGGTTGCCGCAACGAATTCCCGGATACGTGCGCATTCCCAGCTCTGCCTATTGAAGTCAGCAATACGGGAAATCGCACGTCTGATTTTGTGGCTCTCGCCTTCGTCAGAAGCCAGACTGGGCCCAAACCTTATCCCATCAAGACGCTTGCGACATATAGCCGCCTTCGTGGCATTGCTCCTGGTCAGACTGCAAAGGTGCAACTTAAGTGGACACTTGCAAACCTGGCACGCCACGATGAAAATGGAAATACGGTGCTATATCCAGGAACATATGATCTATTGCTCGATGAACCAACGCAGGCAACGCTGAGCTTTTCTTTGACGGGCGAGCAGGCAGTTTTAGATAAATGGCCGGCGCCCAAGCGTTAGCTGAACTCGGAGACCCCCCTTCGGACAAGCTAGCATGGAAATTCCGTGGTTGCAGGTGCGGTAGCTAAGGGAGATTGTCCGGAGGGAAACTCTACGCTGGTAAACTGCGGGCTAAGCGGGCGGAATGTATGTCAGTCATTTCTCCAAACCTCGTTGCCTCTAACGTCCGTGAGGGCGGTCCAATTGCCTAAAACTCTAATAAATGCTGTCCACTGCGATCAAAACCATGGATACAAATGCCGATCACTCTGTGGTAATATCTTCACACCAGGGTAACGGCTAATCCACCTGACTGGGTCGAGCCGGAGTCCCCCCTATTTTATGTTTAGCTGCATAACCTAATCGGCTTAGTGGGAGTGTGCGCGAAAGAAGAAACGAGTCTGGGGTACACGTCTGTGAGGATCAACCTTAAGGCATCCATTCCATGATATATCATGAGTTATATACATATGGCGGCGCGCAGTTCTAAACTGGCAAGTCACTCCAGTTCCGTATGTACATGTTTTCCACTTCCCGTCCCTTACTGCAGAGCCGTGAAGAACTTCCAAACCTCCTCTGGGGTGAAGCTGTTGGGTCCAGCATCATTTCCGTTGTTCCTCCCGGGAAGAGCGACGTGATCACCGTCAAAAGCAGTCCATTGGACGGGGTATTCGGGCTTGCAGCCCTGTACGACTGTGGTAACGCGCTGGTTGCTGTTCCTGGCCGGCTCTCTGAGCTGGGTGTTCTGGCATCCGTTGTTTTTAATGAAACGGTTCACGAGATCGCGGCCCATTGAAATCGGCAGAACGCTATCCCTAACACCATGTTGACCGTAGTAAGCGATTGGGTCATTGCCACCGTTGCATCCAGAGAGCGTTGCGCCCGAAAGCACCGCGACGGCTCGGAAGTCCTTGGCCTTGCTGCACGCCAGACTGAAGCTCATGGCACCGCCATATGAGAAGCCCAGAGCAAAGCGCTGCTTCTCGTTGACACAGAGGTCGTTGTCGATTTGCTGGCGGATAGTGTCGATGAAGGTGATGTCCTCACCACCTTGGTTGGCCCAGCCCTTGTTCAGTCCATCCGGAGCGACGAAGATGGCGCTGTTCTGAGCAAGTGCCTTGAGTCCGTAGTATGGTGCGGATCCACCGTCTACGGAGGTCATGTCTCCATCGCGCCAGTGAAGACCAAAGATCAGACGATATTCCTTGTTCTTGTCGTAGTTGTCCGGCAGACGGATAATGTAACGGCGCTGCTTGCCATTGATCGTCACAGTCTTGGTGCCGGAAGTAAGCGTGGGAGTTTTGCCACAGCCAGCGGTAGCGGCATGGACGCCATTGAAGAAGGCAAGAAGGAAGATCGCACTGAGTGCGAAGAAAGAAACTGAGCGAGACATGACGGCGAAGGGTACTTTGAGAGAATTTCGAATGGGCCTTACCTTTTTCAACGCGTGAGACCATCGACCTTTATATGCTTCAAAAGTTTGTGATCAGGTCACGATGCCTGATGAACGGATCCATATTTTCCCTGGATTTTGATTGAGCTGGCTGCCGTTTAGCCACTTGCCCCTATATAACTACTACTTGTGGCAGGTTGTCCATGGTGTTTTCGTGAAGACCTACGCTCGCGTAAAGATTCATATATGATGCCAAGAATTATTCCCCGGTGTGACGCTGTTCGTTGGACTCAACATGGGTAACTGAGATGCCGACTTTTTCTGCCGACGAGCAGTTCGTGTACCTGAAGTCACATCTTCGTTCGGGAAGATGACCGCGACTACTTGGCAATCCGGGGAAGCCTGTTGACCACCGGTTATTCCTATGCTCCACCATTCATGATGTAACACAGTGATTGCAAAAGGGCTTTGAGCTGTTTTGTTGAAACAAAGGAGGTGGGATTGGTTCCTTGATTAAGTGATACTTGGCTGATTTGTAGTTAGCGTGCCTCAAAGTACACAGCCGGCACAGCTATATCAAACCCCAGCGAGCAACGACGATGCTTCGTCAGCAAAGAGAATTGGTTGCTGAAATCCCATGGAGCCTTGCTATCGAAACCAATCTTCCTTCAATCAAAGAAGCCTACAGCAATGGTCTAACAAAGTATGGCTCAAAGCAGTGGACACTGCATCTGTACCGTAGGGTACCCTCACCCCTTTCTCTCATGTTCCCGTCAGTATAGTACCTCACAAGGTAACAGCGTGGGTGCCGACAAAGTTAATCCACAAGAGAGCCTAAAGAGTGAAATCTTTTGAATCAAATTTCTCGTCAGCCTGGAAAGCCACTGACCGGCACTTGCGGCGAGCCGAACAGTGATGCACTGTGCCCTATGAATAGTCATGGCAGCAGGTGCCGTGCCTTGTTTCCTATATGCATCACGAGTTTTTTTAACCGTGCGATTTATTAGCAAGTTGTGTGCCAGGAAGAGGACACGCTGGAACCCCATTACGCACGGCTTGGCTCCTGAAGAAGTTTGATCGGGTTCTACCTTCGTATTAGCTGTCCTGCCGTGTGTATTACCTAAATTAGAGTATTAATCCAGAATAGGCCCAGTACGTGTGTTGTTTACCCATTAAATCCGGACGCCCATCCCTTCAGAATCAATTCACGGTCAGAGAACTCCATCCCCTCATCGAAGAAATGTTCCGATGAACAAAATCAAGCAATACACGACCGTCAATACCCATAAGACCTCCCTTAACCCATCGAGAATACCCCAAACCTGCTTGATCTCTTTGTGCTTTGGCTGCCCAGCACCTGTCTTCGGGTCGAAGTTCATCATATCATCTCTTTCTGGGACAGTGGGAGGAAAGAAGACGTATACGATGGGGACGAGATAAGCAACGACCAAGAAGAGCCACCACATTGGTGGGAGCATCGAGTTGACGAGGAGATGGCGCAGAGCTTGTTCGACATCGTGGGAATCTCGTCCGATCTTCCATGCTCGCCACCAGTCGAGACCGGCAGCACCGCAGCAGTACATGACGAAGAGCACGAAGAACCAAATTCTACAGTGGATGCCCATGAGGTTGAGGCGGGTCTTTAAGCCCGCGCGTTGGTTCGCATACCGCTCCTTTAATCGATCGCGGATGGCGCCCGAAGCCAGGAAGGCGATTTCCTTCCCACCTAGCCACTTGGGAAGGATGTAGCATCTGAGTACGCTGACCGCGAGGTACGGTATCATGAACTGCCAGGCCATGGCGCTGCGTTGGCCTTGAATGTATCCGGACGGAAGAGTGAGCACGAGCTCGTTGATCCGGAGAGACCAAACCCAAATCGCGCATAGGCGAATTTGCCATCGGAGCTGGTCCGGCGTGACATAAACCATGAGGTCGCGGCCCCAGTATAGAAGTGCTGGTATGATAAAGTACGCTATGAACACCGGGATTGTCATGATGGTATTCAACGCAAATGTGAAAATGCACCAGCGTTGAGGGAACGTCATGTGCTTTGTCTGTGTGTCGATGTCAGCACCTACAGTACTCTATGATGAAACAACATCGGGTCACGTACAAATTTGCCAGGAAAGCCCCAGTTCAGCTCTGCAGCTGTTTCCAGTGTGCCTACGGCCCAACGTGTGCGTTGTTTCAAATCTACCACGGTGTTAATATATTCGGCACTGGTATGGCCTCACGTACTTACGGCTGATGATACTCTCTGGCACCATGCCAACTTGCATAAACTCATGAAGATAGGCAGTTTTATATCCTTCACCATTCATCATGAACGAGAGCAGCTGGTCTTCAGCCATTGATGGAGTGGGCCATCCACCCATATTATCAACGACGAACCTTTTGAAGACGACACCACTTCCAGTGCACCAGGCAGCCCCCATATGATCTTTTCTGAGCTCGAGATAGTGGATAAACTCGCATATCGACTGGCACAACGGATCATCAGCGGGCACGTTCCAGAAAGTTTGAGGCGGGGAAATAAGAGCCAGCTGCGGGTCCCTGAGGAGATGCGGAAGCAGTGCTCTTAACCATTCTGGATCGGGTATCATGTCTGCGTCCAATGTTGCCAGATACTCTGCCGGCCCTCCTGGAAGATGGACGGCATAATCGATACCAGACTGTAGGTTACCAGCCTTGTAGTGATGAGGAACACCCTCAATCTTGACGCGGGCCTGGTAGAACAGCTGCGGAAACTCCTCGATTAGTGGTCTCACGGCTTCCTCAAGAGCTGGGTCCGCCGCGTCGTCGCAAATGATTATCCGGTATCGGTCTCGGGGATAGTCGATGTTACACGCGCCTCTTATGGTGTTGAGGATCATAGGAACAACCTCTCCACAGGTGGTAAAGAGCACGTCCACAGTCGGTACTGCATCACCCCTGAGGCGCAACTTGGGTCTTTGCCTATCACCAATTGAGAGCAATAAGACCGTCATCCACGCCATGTACGGCACTGTTGTAGGGTACGTCAGCCAAACGAGCCGTCTCTGCAAATGTCTAAACTTACCAAGAATAACACCCTCAACGCATATAAAGATCCATGAGGCTTCCTCCATCCCTCCATAGCGAAGGCGGTACTGGTAGTTACACCATATTCTGTATCCGTAATAGGCTGCATAGGTGACGAACACCCAGGCAATGACAACCGGGTGAATAAGTATGAGCTTGCGATGCCAAGGTTTGACGAGGTCGATATCATCATACTTCGCCAGCTCTTCGATTGTGTATTCGCTAAGGTCATATCTCTCATTGAATTTCTTTTGACGTCCGTGACCTTTGAATGAGACCTTCCCTTTGCCCGCAGGAGTGATCTCGTCGCTGGATGAGCCGGTGTTGGAGTCACTGCTGGAGGGTACTGTCACGTTCCGTGCATGTTCCTGGTTATCCCTCGAACTTCCGGCTACAGTTAACCCCGGATGATCAGGTGCGGTCTTCTCTGCGTCTGGGGGCGACGAAATGTGAGCCAACGTTGGATCGGTAGAGGGGCCTTGCGAGGGTAAAGAGGAAACATTTTCATGTGATGTCGAAGTTGATTTGCCCTTGTTTGCAAGGTCTCTTCGTTGGTCACTCTCCATATCTTAAATATGAATGAGAGGAACGTAATCCAAGTAAATGTTCGAGTGGTCTCCAACCAGCTTATCGGACGGTCCGGGCGCTAGGAGATATAATAAGAGCTTCTTATGGCCCACGAGTCCGCCTTGAACTCCCTCGGAAACAAGTGTTGACACCACATGGCGCCAGTAACGAGTGCAATTGAGGAATTCTTGTCCAGAGAGACCATCGATGCTAACTGCCACCGCCTAGGCTGTTGACTGGATTAAATTAGTATCCAATCCGCTGGGAAGCTGTGGTATTGCGATAAGAGAATAATTGGTTGATTGGTATGGCCAAACCTAATTGTAGTTCAAGCCCTCAAGTACGATAAGAAAGGCAGAAGGTTACAAGGCGGCGACGTTGAGTGACGAACGGGAATTTTTTACCTTGGGGTACGATGTGACCGAACCTCAGCAATACACTTGCAGATCAGAACTTTCCGATTCGATTCGGGTTTTGACGAAGTAGCTGCATATGTCGTGATGTCGATTGAGCTTTCCTTGGGAAGTTGTGTAATAAGACGTGCAGTATGCCAAGATACTGTCGACCGAGAGATTTTGACTATCGGTATGGGATGTCCTTGAGAGTAATCTCCAGAGGGCGAACGGATATCAGAAGTCAGCAGTCGAGGGCCTTGATACTTGCTTGGGGTTGAAAAATCTGGATCTGTGTTGGAAAGACCTATAAGGGATCCGTTTTTCGATGCTGTAGATGGGGATGTTGCAATGAACTTGGTATCAGAGTGGGACCAATCGAAACTTTGAACGTGTATGGTGTGCACCACATGTGCGTTATCGATTGGGACATACTGTGTCCACCTACGTGCACATCTGTTTTGTCCGAAACCCGGAACCCTTCAGGGTCCACACCAAGAGGTGACCAATGCAGATCGGCGCCTCAGTATCTATGTTGCGTAGGGGTTGGCGACCGTCTGTGGTTTGCGGAAACAATATGCTTCCTTGAGCGTGCCGTTGACAATGTGATGATGCCGTGCATGCTGCAGGGTGGAGATCTCAACGGCAACGGTTCTGGTGTTCCAGGTCATTAAGCTTGAAGAGGTTCGCGACACATAATATGCACGCTCACTCAACATTTCGCCTGTGAATCAGGATTCCCACCATTGCTGTTGCTGTGGTGGGTGAAACTAGAGGTGCTGTTGAACGTTGGTAATTGCATGGGGATCAGTCTATCTTGACGAAGATGAGGAAAAGCTGAACAAACGAATCAGTCATCTTTGAAATTGCTCTGGGTACGCCAGTTATCATGTCACAGAATTGATTGTGGACTTTGATATTTACCGTCTTCCACTCTCACCGACAATGCGCCTGTTCGTAGCCTGACGCATCGACTATTTGTGATCTGCCACAGCTGCATGCTGCATTCAGATCTATCCAACCTGTATGTAAGAGCTTGTACCCCGCCTCTGAACGAGAACATGTTCAACGGTTCCAGCGCAACTGGCCATTGATATGTACTACCGAGAGCATGTTGTAGAGCGGTAGTAGCATTCAATTCCGCCTGCATGCACGCATAGATAGCCATTTTCTAGGGTGTGCAACCGAGAGTGACGCACCGATGAGCATTTTTGCGCAGCCAGATACCCAGGGCATCGAGCGTGCAGTGAGGCGCACAAATGGTATGCGCCGTCCGTGGCCTACTGATGACGAAAGTGAATTGAAGGAATACAGTGAGAGCATAGGTTGTGGGAATCACTGACCCTGTGAGGGTCTCGTGGGAAGACCGCGAGGCACATGGCGTGGCGGGCATATCCGTTCTTGCTAGACCTAGTTGGGGAATTGTGTTCACATCTCTGTGAAAAACAATGACTACGAGACCGGAGTTGTCGTGGAATGTGCGAACGTTTGACAGTGTAGGTCCATGTAAGACGCAACTGTACCTCCTTATCTGTCGAGAGGGGTAGAGAGGTTGGTACGCCAGGCCCAGCGCATTGACTGGGTGCAGATTCCTAGGGTCCTTCCAAAAGCCATGTGGTGTTACAGTCATGCTAGCCCGTTCAACCTTTTGGCATTCCCCCCGGTAGTACATGGTGCGTCAGTTCTCGTGGGAAGCTGAAGTGCATACCCTAGATGCAGCGTGAGACAACGGTAACCGGGACGCATCACTGGCACTGCAGAGGAAACATATCATCCAATCGTGATTCCGAATTCGGGTCTGTGTGCAGCATCATACGCCTCTAGATCAGCAGGCGCCATATTTCTTCGTCGATGCCCTCAACATTTCATCTCGTAGAGGATCAGGTCCAGGTATTGCAAACTCTCACTCTCAGAGGGTGTTGAGGTTCTAGAACCTTTCAGGACGCCGAAACTCAGCAAATGTAAGTAGAGCACTTAAAAGATCTAAAATAGGAGTCTCTAAAGGTTCTTATTTCAAAATCTAGCTAATTTCGTGTATATAAGAAGCCTCCTTCCCTTGGTATATACGCAAGAGGGCGATTGTTCTACTGCGAGCTCTCGTCAATCGCTTGACAGAAGGTGAAGCCATCCTTGCTTCCTGTTCGCATGTCCCCAGCGGCGGGAAAATGCGTGAACGGGAAACCGAAACCACACCTCGTCATGAAGCTCATAGAGAAACAATGGGCCTCTTGAACCCATTTTGAGTTAGCATATTCTAATCTAGCACTATATTCGTTTATCAGTTGGTTTCCTGGATTAATAGTCAGGGGCGAACTAAGTCTTTCGCTGAGGTCGAAGTTATTGTAACATATCCTTAATCGTCTCCTCCAAGGGTTTGGGTCTTCGCCCGGCCTCTCTCAACATGTTCTCTAGTGTTGTGTCTACAATATTGCATTCTCCTTGAAGGACGGCATTATAGGTGGTGCTCCACCATTCCACCTCAGCCCGCTCCCTTCCCTTCTCTTCCGCGTAGTATCTTTCATACTCATCTTGAGTGACGATTTCCAACTGCACCTCGTCTCCACGGACTCGAGACACGATTTGTGCTATATCGTGCAACGTCCACGTCTTGTTTTGAGACAGGTAAAATGTCTTGCCGGCCCATTCGCTTGGGGGAGAAGAGAGTACCTTGGCAGTTCCAAATGCCATATCCGCGATCGCGGTCCAAGAGATTGGCCCATCTCCTGCTACGATAACCTCCTTCCTCGTCTCTTCCTTCAACCCATAGTAGTATCCAAAGTACAGAGGCCAGCTCTCGTTATACAGCCCCTCTCTGATTATTGTCCAGTTCAAGTCTTTGAGCTCACGCAAGTATGCTTCAGTGCGTATATGCGCCCGCATAACGGCCGCCTTGGACGGGTTTGCAAAGCCAAGTGACGTGTAGTAGATGTGCTTTACGCCCACTTTGCGGGCAGCATCAATGGCAGCACGATGATGTGCCTCGCGACCCTTCCACAGCGGCGCATCATTGAAATCCATAGAAATGCGGGGAGATGATACGAGGAACAGTCGGTCGCATCCTGTAAACGCTTGCTCGAGGGAGGCCGGGTCATCGAAATTGTTGTATCGTACGGTTATGGACTTTTCGCGTAGAGCATCGAAGCGGGGATGTTTGGGGTCCGATGAAGTCTAAATAGTTCAGCGTTTGAACATTGGAATGGACATGATATCAACTTACACAAACAACTAGCTCGGAAGAGTCGATAAGATTGTTTTCCAGGATCGCACGAAGAACGGCAGATCCTAGTTTCCCTCTTGCGCTTGTGAGGGCTAGCATCTTCGATGGTGAACTAGTTAGTGGGAAGTTTGAGATTTTGTACGAAAACTTTATCACCTCTATATTGACAATAACCACCCCTACTGCAAGCTGGACATCATGAAGTGACATCATCCACCTGGGCATGTCCGTTTCGCTGCCAAGATCCTGCACGTGCTTTTTCTTGGCTCTCCGAATGTTATACTGATCCTCACCTTCACGTCTTCTCCTCTCCTCTTCCTCAACAACTTCTCTCCCTCTTTCCCCCCGCGCACTCCTCCCCCTATCTCTCCCCTCACACCTCTCTCCCCTCTTTGCTACCCTCCTCTGCTCTGCGTCCTTAGACGCCTCTCACGCGTGCCTTTGGGGCTAGTGAGTAGCATTTCCTGCTTTTTGGCTGCTTCGTGCTGCCTCCTCCTCTTTTTCGGCGTATCTGCTTTCGAGCAGGTAGCTGCCCCGGCCTATCTGCTTTCGAGTAGGTAGCTGCCCCTGCCTAGCTGCTTTCGAGCAGCGTGGCATTTACCCCCTCGACTCTCTGCGAAAGTAGGGTGACGAGGTTTTACCAGGACCCGTCTCGGTGAGCGGTCCTGTTTTTTCTTCTGTTACAATGGCTCCGCCAGGAAATTAGCCTCCCACAGGCAATGCCTTTAGGACGCTCGAACGTGAAGCAGCTGTCCCTGACAGCCACAATGCTGCGCAAGTGTCTTTACTGGCCTTGCCAGCTGCACAGGCAGCACCGGCAGCACGGCCGCAAAATCCGATGGCCGCTCTTACTCTTACTCTTCCTCTTTTTTTTATCTTCTGCTTCTGTTTCTTCTTCTTCCTCTCTCTGGCTGCCAAAGCCGCCAGGGTGAGACTGAAGAATACGAGACTGGCAGAGCGCCGGCGCCGACGCGGAATCCAGCGCTCCTGCTCAGGAAGCCAGCAGCTCAGCTGCCGCAAGCGCTTCCGTGTACTGCGACACGATGGACGAGATGCCCGCCGACTTCATGTGCACGGAAGCTGGCTACTGCCGCTTTCCACGACCGACTGAACAGCCAGCTGCACTTCGTCTGTAGGTGGAATTACCTACGAATTCCGCACTCCAGGGATGTGCCTCTGATGATCGACAAGATCAGACCTGGGGTCCGCAGCCTGCACAGGTCATTCTCTCCGGCGGATGATGTAACGTACATCATATATCGTCCTCGGCTTCACCTTCTTCTTTTCTTCTTCTCCCTCTGGAGTAAGAGTTTTATAGGAGAGAGTCTGTTTTGGGGGGTGCAATCAAGCGATGGGCCGATGGTGTCGGCGAGTTTGGAGCTGGTGCTCAACAGGAGGAAGAGCAATTGTGAGTTTGTGATCCATACGCACAGGAGCCCTACTAACGTGCTCAGGTAGTGGTCACGGAAACTACAAGCTCGCCAATCTGGCCCTATCCTCTGATCGAATCTGGTAGAAGGGCGGACCGTCCAGAGATGCTCAACCACTCGCGGGGAGCAACAGCGTCAGGAAACCGTTCCCAAAATGGAGGAAAAGCATGCGGAGTATGCCCGTCGGGAAGAGCGGCCTGTGGCATCGATATCATTCTGTTATCCAACTGCCGGCAACAACATAACAGCCACAAGTGAGTAAGACAAACTTACTCCAGGATGCAGCTGGTGTTGAAAGGCTTCCTCAGCGAGTTCCAGGCTATGAAAAGAGTGGAGGCTTGTGGGGCGTGCACGTGCAGCAGCAAGTGGCGCCTTGCGGTCTGCGGGGTATCGGAATGCCCAGGCTCTCTCTTCCTCGAGAGCTTGTTGGGAGACTGACACGGGCACAGCTCCACCACAAACCTTCGTGTTTCTGTCGTCCAGGTGACTGAATCCTGACATTCCCACCGTCACGGATAGCGAAACTATCTCATCTCTACACTGACGGAAGGGCAATCCCTCATCGCACTTTCGCACAACAGCTACATTACGCCATATGGATGAAATATGTTCCGAACTGGCTGTATTCAGACCCTGCAGAGAGTATGCATACTTCTTCTCAGGAGGTGCACGACTCAATGGGCGATCGCCAGGGGCAGCCCATGACAATTACCCCAGATGCTCAAATTGCCAACCAATTGGATCGAGTACAATTCTTGTGGGGCCCCTGGGCATTCCTTCAATTTTGTGGGGAAGTGCAATGCCACGCGAAGGGCTAAACTGTTTCCTCACTACGCGTCAATCTTATTCACTCTTGAGGCGCAGGATTCGCGCTTCCAGAGAGGCGGGTCCACACCGCATCCACCGACAGTCTTCTTCTAGTTTAAGTAGAAGCACGTCTGCTCCGTTGACGTCTGGTCAAAGTGGTCTCAAAACTCGTCAACTTGAGGACCAACCTCTCCCTTAGTAACCACCATCATGGGTTTCCTGGGAGTGCTGGAGGACAAGCATCTCCAACATGTCCCTGCTACCGTCATCCTCAAGGAGCAAGAGTCTCAAAACACTTTGGAAGGCACAGCAGGTCTGAAGCATGGCACTGGAAAGGATGCGGATATCGTATTGATCCCACAACCGTACGCGTTTCCCTGAAGGTGTAGAATGTTTTACTCAAGAACTATCAGCTCTGAAGATCCCAACGATCCCCTGAACTGGTCCACCACGAAGAAATGGATCATCATGGCTATTGTGGCCTATGGCGCCACGCTCTACGCCTCCGTTCTCGCGCCGCTTCTCTCCCCCGCCCTCGTCGTCATTGCTCTCGATTTCAATGTCGGCGTCGCAGATATCACCGTCATTTCCGGATACATGCTTCTGGTTACAGCAGCTAGTGGGCCGCTCATCTGTGCCTTTTCTAGGAAATACGGCAAAAGACCCTTTCTCATTCTGTCTTCGATTTTCGGGCTGGTGGGCACAATTGTAGGGAGTGCGGTCAACAGCTATGATGGCTTGCTTGCAGCTCGTATCATCCAAGGCGGCTCCATGTGAGTTGTTGAACTGCCAGTAGTCCCTGTAATCCTGCTGACGTTCGTAGTTCCGCTTTCGAGTCCTTAGTTGTCTCAATGATCGGAGATATGTTCTTCGTCCACCAGCGCGGTGTCTTCATGACGCTGATCCAGTTCATACTGGGTGCAGCTTCCAATTTCAGTGCCATCATCGTCGGTCCGATTGCCACCAACCTGGGCTGGCGCTACCTCTTCCACATACTGATCGCCTTCACTGCGTTGGAGACTGTTCTTCTCATTCTTTTCGTTCCCGAAACGCAATACAACCGCGACCACAGGTACGATATTGATGAGCTAGCGGATGTTAATCTGGAAGCTCTTGCCGCGGCCGAAAAGCGTCACGCAGGAACAGACAGTTCAGCGGAAAGCCCATCAAAAGGGAGTGGCTCAGACGTGGTTAAGGTTGAGACAAGGACAAGTACTCCGCCAGCGCTTCGACCGAAGAAGACATTCGTTCAAGAGCTAGCCGTTTTTACTGGCACCTACAGCGAGGATAACTTGTTCCAGCTCTTCATCGCCCCTTTTGCTGTCTGCACGAATATGGCGGTGTTGTGGATGGTCATAGTGACGGGCGGTCTCACTGCCTTCTTCGTTGCCCAGTCGTACGATATGGCCCAGATCTTCATGTACCCTCCTTACAACCTAAGCGCAGCCGGCGTTGGCTACCTCTCCCTGGGGCCGTTCATCGGTGGGCTCTTGGGGTCATTTTTGATGGGCTCAACCCTTGACCCCGTCACAGTCAAGTGGTGTGCGAAACGGAACAACGGAGTCTACGAACCGGAATACCGCCTACTGGGTATGGTTCCATCCATCCTTGCCGGAGTCGGCCTTTTCGCCTTCGGATACATGACGCAGAACCATTTCTCCTACTATGCCACGGCAGTGGTGCACGGCATGGATCTGTTCGGCATCGTCTGCGCAGCCGTCTCCGCATCCTCCTATGTCATTGATGCGTATCGCGACATGTCGTCCGAGATCTTCATCGCGAACATGGTGTTCAAGAACTTCCTCTTCTACGGCTTCAGCTATTTCGTCAATGACTGGACGTTTAGGGATGGCCCCGCAATTGTTTTCTTCGCCTTTGGGGCGGTGGCTCTTGCAATGACGCTGTCGGCGCCGTTGTTCTTCTTCTGGGGGAAGCGATACAGGAGTTTCTGGCATAGGCATAATTTGTTGGAGAAGTGGGGTATTAGGACGCACGCCGAGATGTGAAAGGCCGGGAATGTCTGTTATTATGACTTACGAATCGACGTTAGTCGGAGTTTTGTTCTTGAAGCCAGTATTGCATCAGATGTGACTCTCAGCCGAGGCATCGTATGAAGATTGTTGTTACGTCAGCTTGTGCACCCCATACTCAGTAGCGCTGGAACAATCTGACCATCGCTCCAGTCTATCGAAAATTCAAGCGAAGCTGGCTCGGCCTGAGCAGCCGCTAAGCGTTTGTCCGGCGTACGCCAACCGCAATATTCGTGCCCAAATCAACACCTCGCTGTCGCTACTTTTCCTGTATATGAAACCCGCCAAACATAGATGCTTTCGCATCAGATATGGTGCATGTTGCGATGTGGCATGCAAACTGGCATGGTTATGTTGACTTTTTGCCGAGGCGATCGTGTGAGCGACGTCACATGCAAGTATGAGTGTCCATCACCGATTGCAATTTGCATCGCTTCCCAGGGCTCGCAGGCTTCCAAGGTTTGTAACCCGAGCGCGGCGAGGGACTGACAGTGGAAGTTCCGAATATTAAAAATGGCACCTGTCGTATGTCGCGACTTAGTTCACCCTCGATCCGCACCATGGAGCTCTCACTCCTGCACCTCTTCTTCATTTCTCTGATCGAGTCCGCTGTTGTTTTTCTTTTCCTTCCCGACCTGTTTCCACATGACACTCTGACCAAGATCTTTCTGACCCTTTCAGCTATAAACTTGGGCATCCTTGCGTTTTACAAGCTCATTCTATATCCTTTTTACCTCAGCCCCCTGAGACATCTGCCCAAGCCTTCCAAAGGGTTTATTCCCATCGTCGGCCATGGCCTCCTTATGTTCAAGAGACCCGCAGGGGCCGCGCATCTCGAGATGGTCAAGAATACCCCCAACGACGGCCTCATATTGGTTCGAAGCTTCTTCCACGACAGCCGGCTACTCGTGACCTCACCTGCGGGGTTCGCAGACGTCCTGGTTCACAGAAGCTATGATTTCGAGAAGCCACCTGGGGCACGCGCTTTCCTGCGAAAGTTTCTCGGCGATGGGCTGCTGATGACCGAAGGCGATGAACACCGGCACCAACGCAAGCAAATCATGCCAGCTTTCAGCTTCCGCCATATAAAAGAGCTTTATCCTGTCTTCTGGAGCAAGTCCCTCGAGTTCTGCGAAGCTCTGAAATTGCAGTTGAGGGAAGGGTCCGACGGGATTGTTGAGCTTGGCCATTTTTCTACTCAGGTGACGCTGGACATTATCGGTCTTGCGGGATTGGGCCGAGACATAGGATCCCTTCGCAATTCGGATGACGAGCTCATCAAGAACTACGAGGAGATTTTGGAGCCGTCTGCGGAGAAGGTGATATACTTCGTCCTGCATCTGCTTTTTCCTCCTTGGTTCATCCAAGCACTCCCCTGGGGATTGAACGAGCGTGTCAGGATCACCACATCGACTTTAAAGCGTATCTGCCGCGATTTCGTCCAAGAAAAGAAATCACGTATGAAGCTGGAGAGTGATGAGTCAGTCGACATTCTGTCAATCATGATTAGATCCCAGAACTTCTCGGATGACGGGCTCGTTGATCAGCTCCTTACTTTCCTGGCGGCAGGGTAAGTCGGCTGTCCTCTATTCTGTTTTTGGCCTAACATAAGACCCAAGGCACGAAACGACTTCTTCTGCGCTCACCTGGGCGGCATATCTGCTCGCCATCAATCCATCCATGCAAACTCGGCTCCGAAAGGAGCTGCACGATCAGATTCCCGATCCGAGAGCGCTCTCTGCTCGAGGTGCTGATGTTTCTGCGCTCTTGGAGTCTCTCCCTTACTTGAATGCGATATGCAATGAGACGCTGCGCCTGTATCCCACTATCCCAAGTACTGCCCGAGTCGCTATCCGAGATACTACAATCAACGGCCAATTTGTGCCAAAAGGTACACTGTGCTTCATCGTCCCATGGGCGACAAACCGCGATCCTAAACTCTGGGGCCCCGACTCTGAACAGTTCCATCCTGACCGATGGATTGACCCCGAAACTGGTAGAGCGAACTACATGGGTGGTGCAGGCAGTAATTACTCGTTCCTAACTTTCCTACATGGCCCGCGGAGCTGCATTGGCGAGAAGTTTGCAAGGGCGGAGTTGAGAGCTCTCGTAGCGGCTCTCGTGGGAAGCTTTGAGTTCCAGATGGCGGATCCGAACGAGAAGGTTCAGGTTGGGGGCACCATCACATGCAAGCCTGTGAATGGCATGAGGCTGCGGCTGAAGGCTGTGCCTTGGTAAGACTTATCTGGGGTTACTACTTCAGTATGTGTACTGCTCGTATATGAAGGAACTGCCGTTGGTCGCAGCCGGTTACATACGGGCTCAAGAAATTCGATCAAAACAGCGGGCAGAGATGGTGCAGTATTTCCGGGCCGGTTGGACTATCTATTGATGTGCATTAGATTTTTCCGACAATATACACTTCCTGGCAGTCCGACTGACCCAACCGCATCATTTGCTCTGTTCACTTAAGGGTCGATTTTCTCCGTAATGCGGGGACTGCCAATATCCCGGTTAACACCCTGGTTGGATCTATGATGATCCCGGATGAACCCAATATCGAAGACGCAACTGCTTCCTAGCGGCGACGAGGTCGCAGCTTCTCCTTCAGAAGTATTTTGCCTCCCTCTTCACCTTATGCAATCGCCATATAAGATGTGTTCAAATCCACAATTGCCAATATAGCGCTAGCCATGGCATTCAAACTTATACTTACTGCTTGCGTCTTCGCTCTGGCGAGAGCCCAGAGTGTCCCTTCCCTTGTCGTACCGGAGACTGGAGTCTCTGCATTCCCTTTCGACCTAAGCCAAGTCTCCCTTAGCAATAGTCGATGGGAAGACAACCAAAACCGGACGCTCAACTACCTGAAATTCGTCGACGTGGAACGCCTGCTTTACAACTTCCGCGCCACTCACAAGCTTTCCACGAAAGGAGCCAAAGCCAATGGGGGCTGGGATGCTCCAAACTTCCCATTCCGCTCACATGCTCAAGGGCATTATCTTACCGGATGGGCGCATTGCTATGCCGTCCTGCGCGATCCTACCTGTCGAGATCGGGCAACCTATTTCGTAGCGGAACTTGCCAAATGCCAGGCGAACAATGCCGCTGCTGGTTTTGGCGCAGGCTACCTGTCTGGATTCCCTGAGTCCGAATTTGCTGCGCTCGAGGCCGGGAAGCTTTCGAATGGAAATGTGCCATACTATGCACTACACAAAACCATGGCGGGTCTGCTGGATGTGTGGCGAATAATGGGAGACAACAAGGCCAAAGAGGTTTTACTGGCGTTGGCCGGATGGGTTGATGGGCGCACTGCGAAGCTGAGCTCCAGCGACATGCAGAGAATGCTCGGTACCGAGTTCGGGGGTATGAACGATGTGCTAGCTAATGTCTACCAACTCACAGGCGATAAGAGGTGGCTTGTCCTGGCACAACGTTTCGACCACACCGCTGTCTTTGATCCGCTCGCGTCCAACCAAGACCGTCTCAATGGCCTGCATGCAAACACGCAAGTGCCAAAATGGATAGGGGCCGCTCGCGAGTACAAGGCCACGGGCAACAAACGCTATCTGGACATTGCACGCAACGCCTGGTCCATGACAGTCAACGCGCATACATATGCCATCGGCGGAAACAGCCAGGCCGAACACTTCCGCCCGCCAAACGCAATCTCCCAATATCTCAAGACAGATACCGCAGAGCAGTGCAACACGTACAACATGCTCAAGCTGACGCGCGACTTGTGGGCGGTGGATCCGGACAGAACAGAGTATTTCGACTTCTACGAGCGCGCTCTGCTCAACCATCTCCTCGGTGCGCAAAACCCAGCAGACAACCATGGACACATTACCTATTTCACGCCGCTCAACCCTGGGGGACGCCGCGGCGTTGGGCCTGCATGGGGTGGTGGAACGTGGAGCACCGACTACGACTCGTTCTGGTGCTGTCAAGGCACCGCTCTCGAAACCAACACGAAATTGATGGATTCCATCTACTGGCACAAAGATTCTACACTCTATGTAAACTTGTTCATCTCCTCGGTCCTGAATTGGACGCAGCGCAACGTCACAATCGCTCAGTCCACAACCTACCCCGTCAGCGGCACGACGTCCCTGCGTGTCACTGGAAACGGCGAGTTTACCATGCGCATACGCATCCCCGCCTGGACGACTGGAGCGAGTATAAGTGTCAACGGTCAGAAAGTGAGCATCGAAGTCAAGCCCGGTAGCTACGCAACTCTCCAACGCGCGTGGAAGTCAGGCGACACTGTCACGATACAGCTTCCCATGACGCTCAAGACCGTGGCAGCCAATGATGACCCAAGTGTCGCTGCCGTGGCTTACGGTCCGGTTATCTTGAGTGGGAATTATGGGAGCACATCGCTTTCGTCGACGCCCACGTTGGCCTTGGATTCCATCCGCCGGTCAGGGAATGGTGGGTTGGCATTCACGGCGACGGCGGCCGGGAAGTCGGTGAACTTGGGCCCGTTTTATGAAGCTCACGGGTTCAATTACAACGTGTATTGGAAGGTGAGTGGACGGCTTCCAGCTGTTATCTGAGCCTGGGACCTGGGTTCCGAGATGGGAGGGAGACCTACGGCATCTGTGCAGGTGATATCTCATTTAGTGCGGAAATTATTTAGGTAAAAGCCTACAAAAAACGTAAGAAATAGTCCCTGTCAATATGATGGTTTGCATTCGAAGTCAAAGACTGTTGTGCTTGGCCGCGTGATAGCGATCCTTAATTTGTGACGGAAAAACTCTTACCCAATGGAAAGATCCGTAGCTTCACACGCACCGACACCGCATATCATTGTAGGAAAGTATCGTCAAGATATCTGCACGTTTTTTGCATTGTAGATAGTCCACAAGACTGCTTTTCTTCATCGATACCCTCCCACTGTCATCACCTGAACACTGCCATTGCATCAGCGACACACGAGTATACGCTGCTATCCGCCGCAATGATATTACGCACATGACTCTCGCCTCGCTTTTGCCAGTGGCCCTTGCCTCGCCCCTCCTTCCGAGCGAAGATAAACCAGTGTATTGGCTGCTGGCCGGCGACTTGAAAACAGCACCCAAAGGAGGGTGGGGCGACGGGTTTCTAGCCACAACGGTTGCGACCCGTTCATCAGGGCACAATTACGGACACAGCGGCGCTATTACTGCTTCATTTCGAGCCGGCAGCAATTGGGGCAAAGCCACAAAACATATGCAGACCTACAAAGATCGGTACAGGGTCTATGTCACCATCCAGTTCGTACACAACGACCAGAAAGATACGTCAGGCGTCTCGCTTGACCAATACAAAGCCAAGCTCAAGAGCTTCGCCGACGAAGCTAAGACTGCAGTTGCAGAACCGGTATGTAACAAGCTAATCATTTAGCGCTGATGGTGCCTTTCTCAAAAAGGAAAACAGTACTCACTCCTGTGACGCGGCGAGAGCTTTTCCGGGAACAAAGTCGTTATGTCAACGCTATCGGAAAGGCTGCAGCAAGCAAATATAACCTGGTAGAGAACGATTGGATGCATCTGGATGAGTGGGGCGGCGTGTTCTTTGCGAGGATAGTCACTGACCTCCTAGTCGAGAAATATCGGGAGTTGCAGCAATTCACGACGGATAATTCGACACTGTCCGCTCTAATTAAGCAGGGTAAGCCTGCGTAGCAGAACCACTGCCGTCGGGTTCTCGCTTGCAACGTGCCTTCTTTGATTAGACATGGAAAGGCTCACGCTTATCTTGGGAGTGCTGAGTGGAGAGAAACCAACTATTATATGATCGGCTACTGTATACTACATCTTATCGTACAATTCGTGCTGTGCCGCACTCTTTCCACCGGTTCCCCATATCCTTCATCGGTCGAACCTAGTTGGGTGCAGAATTGAACTCCTCGAGTTAGTGTTCGCTAAACCCAGAAACCACCTTTGCTTTCGTTCTATCCACAGTCGAGAACCGCCAAGAACGCTCGTGAGATGAATTCAGTCATGACTCATTTACCACCCGACTCTTCGCCATTCGCCTCGTCATTCCTTAATGCACCCAGCCGCACTTGATTCCGTTTCCCGAGTACTCTGAGGGTATTGTTTCGCTCAATCTCGGTCATATGTTCCCAGTTGGCAATCCGACTCAACGTTCCATCGCGATTGACGACCATGGGACCGAGTTTGTCGAGCTTCACGCTCTGTCCGGTGCTGACATCGAGTGTAGTTGCATCTGTATCCTTTGGCGGTTCTGGGAGAGGAAGAGGCTGACTTGAGGCTTGTTGATCGCTGAGGTTCGGGTCCATAGAAGTGGTTTCAGGTTGCTCCTTTGGTGTCTTCTCGGTTGACATGGCTCGTGAATGAATGGTTGATGGGGCGGGTCGGACGGTTCTGATATGCCAGCTAGTTATGGTCCGTTGGGCGTATACAAAACGTTTCATCGAGGTTGTACTATGTTCCAGATGCTGTTCTTCTTTAGTTGGGTTCGTGGACAAGAATTATAATCATTTACATCAGATGCGGGAGAGGGAAGTTTCGATGCCAGAGGTTTCTAGAAACAACAGAAGGTGTGGCGCTGCTGTGGCTGGGGTGGCTGGTGACACATTCTACTACTGTGTATGTGCTCCAGGCGTAGACCTGAGCACGCTTTCGATATTTGCAGCACGATCTTTTCCTCACAACTGGAGCGAGAACGCCTCGCACATCAGCCGTCGCATTCATTCTGCCTGCGCTACCATACTAGTACATAGTATTGTGTACTTGTAAACATCATGGGAGAACGGAAGTCCTTTCTCTCGTGCAGCGGAAATTATCCATGGGTTACTGGGAGTCCTTTGACCTTGACTTCGGTGGAAAGGTACTCGCCTTAACCCGCCCGAGGGTCTCACCCCTAGGTACGCGTATCGCCTTTCTCGGTTCTCAGGACTGTTGCTCTGGATACTCGGGAGAGATCTTTTTGTAGTGGTAACCATGGCTACACCGAAGTGTTCATTGTGGATACTAAAGTCGGCAAATTTCCCAAAACGCAAACGCTTACTGAGTGAGCACTAGAGGCGACCACTCACGTTTCATTCCGGACGCCTCTAATGCCGAGACGGTGTACGAGCATTACAAGTGGCAGTGTGAGGGAACGGACTGAAACCTTTGCGAAGGTCTGAGTTGGGGGCTAAAACATAGATAGAATATTCCTCTTAAACCCCTGCACTTGATTGATTTCATCTCTATCCGCCACTTTCTATCTGACCTCAAGAAAAACAACAAACTTCCGTAAGGTATCGTGGAAGTATCTGATCCGGCACAAAGCATGGTTTCCCGGAGCGCCGTCCGGCCCTGGGCCACGGCCTTCATTCTCGCAAGTTTCCTTGCCTCTCTCGCACACGCAGCGGGTGAGACTGGCAGCAAGCGCATCGAATCCGGACAATGCCCTCCAGACGTCGAGGCCATAATGCCATATTCGCCTTTCAAACCTTACTTCAAATTCCCCATGTTCAAAGGAAACTCGCAGAACTGCTGGGTCGCAGCAGACTGTCTCATGGAAGCGTCCGGCGAGAGTCGCAAGCAACAATTTGGAGCCGTCGCGCTTGTCATGGGCCTTATCCCACTGACGCTGAAGGACATTGCGTGGCCTGAACGTCGGATAATACACGTAACGAAGCGGTTGCACTGGGCAGTTCAAGTCTTCGTCCTTGCCCTGGGACTTGTGCCTTTGGAGACCGGTTCAAGGCAGATAACCCTCCAGAAGAGCATAGAAGGAAGCTGGGTCGCCAGAGCCTGCTGGGAAATGAGAAGGGCTTCCGTCGTACTGGCCATTACCATTTGCTCCATTCTCACCGTTGCGTCGTATGCTGGAATGGTCTTCATGGAGATATACAGCAAGAGAAGTGCGCTTGGCTGTCCCTTTCCCTTCTTCGTCGCCGTTTGGTATGTGGTCGCTCTTGTGCCCGCTTCTATCCACTCGACCTTCGCGGCCCTCCGCAGGTCGCGTTACGGAAAGAAACTCCACGGCGAGAACAACAGAAGCGAGTCCGAGGGGGCCGAAACGAGAAAATATGGAGCAGCAAATGGGGGTGTGGTGCTTCCCCAAGATTCAGAAGAAGACAATGAGCGCAAAAAGAAGATTGTGTCGGCCGTGCAAGGCGCAGACGAGGATTGGCCAGTCCAACTGTCGTGGGGAGTATATTACATTGCTGGGACCCTGATATTCACAAGCATAATGGCTGTAACAGTTGCGGAACTTGTGTGCTGGGTGGGCCTGGGGTTTGCAATCACTGCAAGCTCCAAATTGTTGGGTTTCTTTCTATGCTTGGTTTTCGAACAGACGGGCGTGAAAGGGGAGGGTTACGCAGAATAGGATGCTGGCTGGGGGTTTTTGCTCAATACCTCCGCTGCATGCAGGCGTACAAACCACGAGCTAGGAGCGTGCTGTACTAGTTTGCGCCCTCAAACAATCCTTTCCGGAATTTTCCCCGAGGCCGAAGTCGCAACATTGGACCACTATGACGCGAATCAAATTGATCTTCCATTTTGAAGATCAAGTCCTTCTCTTGCCCAGCTCCACTCACATCTGTGTCGCTGGCATGAAAGTCGTAGTACCATGTTGTCTTCACGATAACAAGACCCGCCTCTAGATAGACTAAGCTCTCGCCGGCGCAGGCTCGAGTTCCAATAGAAAATGGTGACAATGCATAACGGATCAGTTCCTTCTGTTCGGGAGTATATTCTTTTTCCTTTGTCAGCCACCTCTCAGGTTTGAAAACGAAAGGCTGGGGGAAGATGGCCTCGTTGTGATGTAAAGCATAGCCGTTGACTCCTACTTGGGTTCCATCGGGAATGAGGTGGCCGTCAATGATTATTGGATTGGATTTTGCATCGCTAGGTATGTCACTCCACGAGGTCGTGCCGGCAGGAGGGCTGATTCGCAATGTCTCATCCAAAACAGCGCGCAGCTAGGTACATTTTGACAGCATTGGACCATCTTTAATGCTGGCGCCGTGAGCGAACTTCGAACGTATCTCACGAGACAACCTCTGATAGACGTCTGGTGCCTCGAGAGATAGAAGAATGTTGCTGCCATTAACGTCGAAGCCGTGTCTCCGCCTGTCTGCTGTCTTGCGAGAGTTCATTTTACAAGCAATCTGGACTTACCTGCGGGGTTAAGAAACGTAGACTCTGACCATAGCCTCTTTTCTGCTGAGTGACTGGCCCGATTCAAGGTCTTTGTAGTCCGAGATCGACGAGAACAAATCGGGCTTCTCATGCTCTTCCCCTGACAAACGGGACCTGATCATATCCCCAACCATTAAGTATTAGCATCCTATTAGGCTATAGACCAATGCCTAAACATTAATTTAGCTATATCTTGTTAAAACTCCCGTTGTTAGCAAGCAGGATGGGCGGGGCACATATACTATCTTCCCCCGAGCGTCCCCCTACTATACGACGTATTAGACACCGGTTCCAACAGAAACAAGTATTTGAGCCCACGCGCCAGCCGCAACAATGAGACTCACGTTTGTCGACAAACCGGTCGAGCGGGACATATCTCATACCCAGAAGCACTTACTCGCATTCTCAAAGGCCGTGAAGTTCTCCCAGGCAAAATCGCACTGTGATTCGCCAACTCCATCTGCGCTCTTATGCCGCGATACACGCCACATTTAACTGACGACTGTTCAAGGTTCAACAACTGGGTACTATACGAAGGGGAAATCTTAATGGCCCCATGATATTATAGAAACAGCATAATGTCACCGTCATCTGCGGAGACGACCTTGCGCGTCTTTCCCCATCCGAACGAGTCCATGTAAAAGGAGGCATATTTTACCGCGGTGTTGAGAAAGGGTCCGCCGAAGACGTACATGAACAGTCCAATCCAGAAATGTACACGCGGAACCCACGTTTTGCAGGACCAGAGGGGAATGATGAGGTAGTACACGATGCGTATGAGCATGACGGTGACGAATGTAGATGATGATGCATGCCGGAATCGCTGGGGAAGAGTTGGCACGAGACTGGAATGTGGAGACAAGGAACGGAGAGGGGGGTCGGCTTAGGGAGGAGAGTAAGGATGAAGCTGGGGAGGGAGGCGGTGATGAAGAGATTCACCATCCATGTAACGACATTGAGCAGAGCCAGGATCCGCTCAAGCAAGTAGGCAGTCGTGTTCTCGGAAAAGCAAGGGGTATAGAGGCATCTTGCTCGTGGGCTTTAACTGCCTTGCAAGGGTCGTTGCGATTGCTCTCCGATGCAAGGCCTTTCTAGTTCCTTCTCGATGGACGCAGCATGTGCCCTGAATTCCTGCAAAGTATGTTCCCGCTCATCCAACTCTTTCGAATTCGATTTGCACAGGGGCACAACCAGTGTGTTGCAAGCTTTTCATCTTTCTTGCTTTATCTTGCTTGAGGCGCAGATGAATTCTACTTGGAGCTCCCACCCTCAGGGAGTCTACAATTAAAGAGGGCACTTGGGCATCGGAAATCCGACTTTGGGGGCCCGACTCTACCACCTCGTCCTTGGGTTGGGATTTTCCGTCCAGTGGCGGGATTGCGTTTACCACAAAGTGTTGAGAAACATGGCGCATATTGGGGGACTCGGGGACGATGGGTGGCGACTATAGCATGTCGGTCGACGAAGATAGCGTGAATACTGGCAGACAGTGAAGTTGCCTGAGAGTGTACTTTGGTAGCCAATTTCTCAACAATAGCAGCTAGCAAAGCCCCGTGGTCCACGCCGTGCTCAGTACCCTAGGATATGGTTCAACGCGGACATTGTGAACAATTGTCTCCAGAAGCTTCAGGCGTGAAGCAGCCAGATTTGCCGAGGGAGGGAGTAATAAGGAGAGGTTGCGGAAAGATTGTAGCAAAGGATGACTATTATGAAGCTTCCATGCTTGAAGGCCAAAATAGTGACAACGACTGTGAACAAAACGAATATCAAATAGTGAAATAATGATTCCTAGCTTAGTAGAGGATCGTCCAACGTTCTTTGAACTGTCTCGATATATTAGTAGCCCTGAAACGTAGGACTCGGATCTGCTAAAGTATTGTTAGCTATACGTTCGACGTAGCAGTAGTAGGAAATTCCGTAAGTGTCTAGAGCCCGGTGCAAATTGTTAATAGAACTAGAACAAACAAGGAGACAGGCCGCCCATCTTACCTTTAAGGGGTTTACAATAAGCCCTATATCGCTAGCAAGGATAGTATATATCGCCGCCTACTCTACGTATCTCTTTGCCGAAGAGCCCCCGAGCACCTCAAGGCTTTGGGGTCCACGGCCCATTGGACACCAGGTTCTGAATACATGGCAGCAGCACCACCGGCTCTCTATCATTCTTTGTCTACGACGTTCCAAGTCTCGAGCATCCAGTGGGCGCGGTGGGCGCAAGCTGAGGGCTCCTCGCCAAACGTGAGGGCCTGGACCTCACAGAGACGGCGCCTGGACAGTCGGGCTGCCCGACTGCCTACCTATGTACGCAGTACTCACAGTAGCGAGGCACGGCGTACTCCGTAGACTATTGATAAATACGCAGAAGCTACGGCAGCCACGAGCCCTCAGCCCAGACATCTCGGAGTACCGAGCAGGTGGAGAAGAATGGCGTGATGTGATGGCAGATGGCCACGGACGCGTGGCTGTGGTGGCTGGCGCCCACCGTCTGCTTGTCGTTACTACAGTGTTCCTGGTCAATCACAGGTGCGGATGGCCACGTGTCGGCAAGAGTGGGAAGCTGGGCAGCGCTCCGAGGAGTGTGGCGAGTGGGGCATGAAGATTTTCAATTGGGGAAAACCAAAACACCAGGCTCTTAGGGCGGAAAACATCATTGAGTGTTCTGCTATTACGGCGTCGGCATGTCACCCGTTGTCTAGCCAGTCAGCCATCCAGCAACCATGGTGATGTCGGGTGTCCTCTTGTTGTGAGCGGGATGTGCCGGTACGGAGTACATATACCTTTACGTATGGCCGGGAGCGAAACATCTTCAAATAAAGACGGGACGCCGAGACGCGCACACCGGTATTTTTCGTCCGACACGCCAACAATAGATGGTTCTACTAGCTCGTCGGTGGTGGAGTCGTCGACGAAGCGCCTTTTCTTTCAAAAGAGCCGCTTGATTCACGCCCCGTCACGACTCACAAAGATGTCGTGCGCTCAAGCTTTCGGCTAGTCAGGGGCTAGTCAGGGGCTTTCCGCGCCGCTGGTAACACCCTGTCGCACCCCCTGCATACCTACGCGCCGTCCGAAAGCGGCAGATCGAGGCTGCATGTGTGGTGTGATATCTCAGGCAATTTGCCCAACGCTTCAGGGACCGGCGGCATCATCTCCATGGCGCCAGAACAGCAGATTGAGCAGAGTTGTCTCAGAAAAAGCGTCAGGCTATTCGCTTGTGGCATCGGAGAGCGAGGCGCGAGAGACATTATGAGTCCTCCAACCGAAATCCTCGCAAATCGACATAATCGCTAAAGTATCGCATCATGTTAGGGTTTGTTCACTGTCCTCAAATATGATGTCTTAGAAAAGCTGGTGATCATGACTAACTTTCTTTAATTACTCTGAGACATGGCAATTCTCGTCATGGAACTTGCTGAGTAGAGGAATCCTCACCCCAACGAAACCTCCAATACAGTGCCTCAAGCGTTGTCCCCCTCCAATCTGAGCCCAACAGTATCAATAGTATTAGCTGAATTAAATTAAGAAGATGTCTATAACCCCATGAAGCCGCCTAGTCACATATCGGAAGGAGAAGAAGAGAATGTCGTCCCGCTACGGCGGTTTTCCGTCACGGATGAATCCATATATACGTTAAATAGAAGAAAGATTCGATCAAGGTCTGTTGAAAGGCGAGGAGTTGGGTCGGGTATCGGGAACCATTGTCACACCGCTTATAGACATAGCCGGCGTGCCGTGCATCGTGCCGTCTGAACTTCTCTTCGCTGAAATGAAGGACGAATGCGCTGAAAGCTTGTGCGCCGGGATTGGCTTCAAGGGAAGCTCTGACTCGTCGACGAAGAAATCGTTGGCTTTCTCGGACTCGGATTGCTTCTTTGGAAACAACTTCTGCTTCAGTCCTGCGAAGGCTTCGAGTGGATCCCAGTAGAGCAGGACGGAAGGTATGAGCGCAATGGCACCAATGAGCCAGAACCAAGGGTTTCCGAATATCCTTTGAATGAAAAAGCCGAGACCGACGAAAACGGCCGTGTACCAGATGACCAGATGCCCGACATGGAATGAGCGCTGCATAAATGATTGTCCGCGTTTACGTTCGGTCGAAGAGCGCGCCGAGGTGCCCCAGCCGGTCTGGTTCATGGTAATCAGAGCCCATACCTTGGATGGCAGTAGACCAAAAAAGTAGATGAAGCCGTAAACGCTGAAGAGAAGCAGCCACAAATCCCAGCTGATGAGCACAGCCAGAATGGACTTGAATAATGCGACGCCGAACATGGTGACGAGCCAGATGACAGGACGCCAATCGCTGCCGCCCGAGGGGTCGAAGAGGAAATGGAAGATGGTGACGATCAGGATGAAGGGGTACAGCGTCTGTATAGTAGTTTCGACAAGCAACCAGGGGGAGTGGTAGACAAAGCTGACCGGGAACCAGAAGGCCTCGCGGAAGAAAGACTTGCTCCATCTCGTCTGCTGCGTGACCCAACGCCCGAATACAGTTGGGGACTCACTGTCGCACCATGTGCGATGGGTGTAGCGCGTCTTGAGACCGTGACCCAGTAGTTGGTTGGTCAAGTGGCGGTCGTCGCCAAAGGTGGTTGGCTTACCACCGAATGTCTGCAAATTCCATGGGCCCAGGATGGTTTCAAGATCGGAGGTGCGATACATGCTCATAGGCCCGGACAGGCAGCCGACACAGCGCCAGAGCGACTGACAAGCGCGCTCAATATTGAAGGCGAACCAGTATCGCGCTGCACACATGCGGGCGAGCAGAGACTCGCGGCGGTTCCATATCTTGACGTCCGCTGTGACGCCTCCGATGCTGGGGGAGGAGCGAAGCAATGCCAGCATTTCATCGAGGCCATCGGGTCGGACGAGAGTGTCGGAGTCTGTTGTGAAGACGGCGTCGCGAGTGCGGACAGCGTACATGCTCATAGCGAAGGCGGTGAACATGGCGGTGCGCTTGTGGCCATGGGGCTGACTGAAGCAGACGGCCTCGAGGCTGCTGATATTCCATTTGTCGTTCCATTCAAGCACCTGATCAATCACCACCTGCCTGGCTCGAGCTAATGCTTCTGCATGGCCAGCCCGATGGCCACCGACGAGATAGTGCCAGAATTTGACCAGGAAATTCCGATTGTCCGGGGGTACGGTATTAAAGTACGTGTCGCGGTGCAGATCCGAAAGCAGTAGAGGCAGATGGATGAGAGGAGCTTTGTTGTACGATTCGAACTCGCTAACGAAGGCGTTTGCCATGCTCAGATCTGGTTCGTCGTTGCCGTCGACAACACCGATGACACACTTTGGCCGGAGCGTTTGCGTCTGTAGACTGCGGAGACATTGTCTCCACGCTTGCTCGTCCTCGCGATAGCCAACAACGGCTATAGAAACTTCGCCGCCAGGGTTGAGAACGGGATTTGGTGAAGAGTTGTTGGTTCCCTTTTCGCAGTCGGCCACCTCCTTCGCCCGTTTTTTAGCGATACGATTAACATCGAAACGATTGATGATTGCACAACCGAGTTGGAGGAGGTATTCAGACATAAGAATCGCTCCGTACAAGCCAATTGAGGTGACTCCGAGATCGAAGATCCGAAGTCCAATGCAGTAACCGGCAATAAGGGCAGCTATAAGTCCAAACGATATAACGATATTGAGAGCGGCAAGGAGGGGGTTCACTTTCAAGGGCTTCCTCTGTGGTACATCGAAGGCGACAGTGGAGTCGAAGTTGCGTGTTGCTTTGGTACTGACCGACGACGCATCGAAATGGCTTGAGTTCGCCATTGTCCAGAATCTCGAGGATAGCTCGCTCGTCAACACCTTGTACACCGGTCTTTGAGGTGCCCGTCTGGCGTCAGGAAAGAAAAGTAGCTCCCCGTGAACGAGTGAACGGAGGAACTTGGAAACAAATGTACAACGAAGAAAGGAGATATTACGAGGCGGTGGGTGAGCAGTGAGGTGTCGAGGGTGAGAAGATCTTTTCTGAAGATCTTTTCTGAAGAGCGTCTCGGACTCCAAGCCACTTCCACGCTGTGCATTCGCTCAGCGGCGCCACTTGTTCGGCATCTCGCGTAGATCGACGGCCGAGACCTTGCTGGGCATCTCAGGCTTGAGTTGTTTAGCTGGAATGGGTGGGCGTGGGGTGGTTGCGTGGCGCCAGGATTTTAGCAATCGTCCGAAATGGGCAGATGAGCGGACGGGGCGTCCGTTATTGGCTTTGAGGGAAGCCACATGGTGCCAATAACGGGACACATCATCAAAAATCGATTTACATGCTGCTGGGCTGCTGGATGAGCAGCCGAGAAAATATTGAGCCTCAGGCGGTAAGTCCAAAGATGGGGCGAGGAACCTGAACTGGTTTGTGAGTCCTGGCTTAAGGTCCCCAGCTCGACTTGTGTCAGAGGGTTGATCAGATCCTCCTCCCAAAGGTTTTGGAGTCCCTCGTCTCTCTGGGCGTCCTGGACCACAAGATCGGAGTACTTGGACCAACAAACCCGGCGGCTGGCTGTTGTTGCGGTCCATACCGTGTACCTTTGTGCCGTGGCAGGTGGATGTGTCCGCTAACCACGTTTGTAAAGGGGCCAAGGGGACAGCGCACGTCGATTATTGATTGATCGGCTGGAGTGTGCAGAAAGCTTGTACGTGGGTCTGGTGGAGAGGAGAGGAAGAAGAAAGCAAAAGGAAAATCAAGCCAGGTTTGGCGTGTGGCAGGGATCCAAGCTCATGCATGATGCAGGTACCGGTCTTGGCTATCACGTGTGCTTGGCTTGGAAGCTATGCATAGGATTGTGAGCTGTCGAGGCTGGCTGTGACCCGACCATACCTGTATGCAGTATCCTGTTAGGAGTACTCCGTACCAAGTAGGCAGTCCACAGCCCAGCCAATGATGATTTGGTGCCGCCATCAGATTCCTTTCCGCACCCCAAAACCCAAGGGGGAAACATTTTGAAAGAATATTAGCGATGCTTTTTCGGCCCTACTGTGGCCATACCTAGTAGGTACTCCAACCCGCTCCGGTGGGGCTGCGGTGGCTCGAAGCCACAAGTTGCTTTTTCCATACCCACCGAGACTCCCGATCAAAGGCGCATGGTGGAGATGAATCAATTTCATCCACCATGGATGCTCTCCCCGAATAATGATGCAAGATGCAACCAACAAGGGGCCCTAGAAATGGGCGGTACGAACCGGCATATCCCGGTCAAGCCCCTTGTGAAGCCGCCCAGGTACCCGGTATTGATCTGCGGCGTACGATGATCACATAGTCGATCCAGATACGAGAGTGGCAATGCTGACCGCACGACGACTCCAAAACAGATAGTCTACGCTAGTCTTGTCTCTCACCGACTCCAATACCTGAAGCCCCGCCCAGAACATAGTCTATCAGGGGTTCCAAGTCAAGACAAGCAGCAAAACATGGCTGGCTGTAAAAAAATGGCTCCTATACCGGAGTTACGCTGAGAGCGCGCCACGACTCGCATAGCCATCTGGTAGACGAGCATCCAGAGCCGCCCAGGATAGCGCCAGCTCTGGTACTTGCCGCAAATCTTTCTAGAATCTGATCCGTTGCATGTCCTGTCCGACTTTTTTGTCTCCAGCGTCTGGATCCAGCGGTACACTTTCAGCCTCAAGCGACATCAAATTGTTTACATATATATCTGCGGATTGATTTCCCCCCACGTTTCTGGCCATTTTCCTCACCGTCACTTCGCTCAGCTCTTTTATATACCTTAGCTCCAGGCCCAGAATCCGAAATTTCCTCTGAATTGGTTTAACACATCCTCACTCCACAATATTGCCTTCTGCTCCCTCCTCACGCACAGGTGCCCTCACCGAGCTACCTAGTAGTGGCGACCTGTTTCCTCCGATTAGGAGACCGAGTAATCCACTTCCCTTCCTGGCGCTAAGATTCACACAACATGTCGACCAGCTCCACGACCGCCAGCAACCAGTCGACTGACAGCTTAACGCTCTCGGTTTCGGCGTGCCAGAGCCCCTACGACACACCTCTCACATCACATCCTCACAGTCCAAAGAGCACCACAAAGGACTATTTCCCTGCCGACCCCACAGGTCAGACCCCGGTGTCCGACACTGAGCCAAGCTATCCCAAGGTGAACAATGTCTGCTTCGTTGGAGCCGGCTTCGTAGGTATGCAACTTCCGGCTCCGTAACAGCACTGCGGGTGTTGCTTTAAGTGTTTCAGATACTAACTCCTCCTTGTAGGTGGTCCAACGGCTGCTCTCGTTGCATATCACAACCCGCAGATCATCGTCAACGTCGTTGATCTGAGTGAAGAGAAGGTCGCAGCATGGAACTCTCGCCATCTTCCCATCCATGAGAACGGCCTTCCGAAGATTGTGAGAATCGCCCGAGATGGCACCAACCCCTCCATCATTGATTTGGCCGCTCTGGGGACGGTCAGCATACCTAAGAGGGCTCCCAACCTGATATTCTCGACGAGGGTAACCGAATCGATCGCTGAGGCCGATATTGTTTTCATCTGTGTCAATACGCCTACGAAGCTTTATGGCGTGGGAGCAGGAGCGACCGCAGATCTGAGCATCCTTGAAAGTGCCACAAGCATGATTGCCAAATATGCGAAGGATGGGGCAATCATCGTCGAGAAGAGCACCGTTCCTTGCGGGACCGCAAACATGATCCGAGACATTGTAAGCTTCCCCGACTTCCCATCCGAAGATGAAGGGGAATTGTCGGGACATTCTGACTGACATGGATAGCTCGAATTCCACCGTCCCGGAGCTCACTTCGAAATCCTGAACAATCCAGAGTTCCTTGCCGAAGGCTGTGCTGTCGAGAACCTCATGCACCCGGATCGCATCCTCATCGGTAGCTCCACCACACCCAGCGGTACGAAGGCAGCCGAAACACTGAAAGGCGTATACGCCGCGTGGGTCCCCGCATCCCGCATCCTGACCGTCAACACCTGGTCATCGGAACTTACAAAGCTGGTGGCGAACGCCATGCTTGCCCAACGCATCTCGAGCATCAATGCCGTCTCGGCCCTGTGCGAGGAGCTCGGTGCCGACGTGGAAGAACTCAGCCTGGGTCTTGGATCCGACTCCCGGCTCGGACGCCGCTTTTTGCATGCAGGCGTGGGTTTCGGCGGCTCGTGCTTCGAAAAGGACATACTCAACTTGTCGTACATGGCACGATCCTTGCACTTGGACGAGGTTGCCGACTACTGGATGGGAGTGCTGGATATCAACAAGTACCAGAGGCAACGGTTCGGCAGGAAAGTTGTCCGCGCCCTCAACGGATCGCTTCGGGGCAAGAAGATCGCCATCCTCGGTTTCGCTTTCAAGGAGAACACAAACGACACCCGCAATAGTGTGGCAGTCCATCTGATCGCCGAGCTCGCAGCCGAGATGCCTGCAGAGATCTCAGTCTTCGATCCGGGCTGCTCGGTCGCTGGCATCGAGGAGGAGATCCGTAAAATGGGCCTCAGCGACATCCAATTGCAGCGCATCAAGGTGCGGGAGCACTGGAGGGAAACGGTCGACAAGGCAAGCGCCGTGTGCATCCTGACCCAGTGGAACCAGTTCCGCTACCCGTCAGCGACCGCTGGCGTCAAGACCAAGGCCAAGGCGGTGCCGCAGACACAGCGTGTGGGAGCTTCCGATAACGTCGGGTGGTTCTTCAAGAACAAGCTGTCTGAGATGGACATCATTGAGCTTGAGGAATTCGTCACGCGTGATCGCAACGACGCAGGCGAGGACCCGCTCAATCGGTTCATGCCGGAGTCCGAGTGCCCCCTTGAGTGTGCGGACTGCCGGGCGAAGCAGGTTGGCATGAAGGAAGGCGAGACTGTCGACTGGGCGGAGGTCGCAACACTCATGCGCGAGCCCAGGTGGGTGTTTGACGGGCGGAGTATGGTGGATGGCTCTCAATTGGAGAAGCTGGGTTTCCGGGTGCGAGGAGTAGGCAAAGGCCTCACGTCATGATCATTTTTTCATTTCATTTTCGGTTTGTTGGCGGGCTACTATTTCCTATATCTAGACCAGGCACATCTAAAAGTAATGCCTTCGAGGGCGCATTTCACCTACTTTAGTTATACATAATTCATCTCGAAGAAGGGGGACTTGGCTATCTTACATACGACTTCGAATTAAACTTCAGCTCATTTAGGATGCTCACGAATTGCATCTTCGAATCCCCGTGCAACGGATGTAGAGACCACTTGGTCGCATTAGATATCTGATACTGGAGTCTCATTTCAACACAGCAAAAGTCAGCAAGCTGTCACAAAGCAGGCACCCAACTGCTCCTACCGCCAACCATTTTGGGGAGGATGCTAGAGCTTTGTCTAATTCCGTCATCCAGTAACCCGCGATATAGTAAGTTGCAGGTTCATGAACGGCAACTTCGGTGCTCGGCGATTATTCGGCAAGAGCAATTCAAACTAGACGCAGTCTGAAGTGCGGACTTCGAGTGTTGCTTTATTAATAAGCCGCATGGCACCTTGGCATGGCCATCTCAGGTGTTATCAATGGGAACAAGGTGAGAGGGCTCCACCAGATGTTCAACTGGTCCTTCGGTGCACAATGAATTCACTGTGCAGCGTGGGCATGCATTGGGGGCCGCGGAGCGCTGCTAGCCCCTCTGGAATGATGGTCCCGAGCCCCTTTCCACGTCCACGAGAAGATACCTTGGAACCAAGGAATGGTCCTCGAGGGGCGTGCTCTTCCAAGATTCCCTTCCCCTGCCAAGTCTATACCGCCAAGAAAAACTATCCGGAGATGCGTAGTAGAGCACCTGTAGCGAGCCTGTAGTCTGGCCGCTAGTTAGTAATCGGTACGATCCCGTTGCGCTTTGGGTTATGGCTCCCCATGCAAGCCAATCACCAAGTCCGAACGCCATTTCTACCGTTAGATATATCAACCATTCTACGTATTATTGTTGGAGAGTGGCTGTCTTCACCCGCTTTCAGGCAAGGGACGGGGAACAAAGGGTCTTGTCTCTTCCAGCGCACGAGGAAAGAGGGGATACCGAGGGTGGAAAAATGTGGGGGGTACATGGTAGTCTAGCTATTGAGGTGGGAAACGTGGGGCGCCACTTCCTCGTTCTCACGCATCTGATCACAGTTCTTTTTCCACCATCCCGTCACACCCTGGAATCCGAGCGTGAGCGAATCGTCTGTTCCAATGGCATCATCCGTCGAGGACTGTGACTGTGGCTTCACCGACTCTCACGACCCTACGCAAAGCACCTTCACGAGTTTCCTTGCAGTCAACTTCAGCTCGATCCCGGAGGAACAATTCAACAACATCTTCATCCGAGCCACGTATGAGTTGACGCCAGACCACTCCTCTTATACAAGAAACTTCTCCGCTGGCCAGGTACAGCTTTCCGATGCTGGAGTCCACCTCACCGTGTCACCTGCCGTGGAACACCAGGTTCCCTGTGCGCAAATCTTCACACGCGCAAGGACCTTTTTCTACGGATCCTATCATGCATTGTTCCGCATCAGCGACGTCCCGGGGACGGTGTCAGCCTTCTTCAACTACCACAACGATACCTCGGAGGTAGACATTGAGCACCTCAACGCGTGGGACGAGCCGACACTGCTATACACCGTCAAGCCTCAGCTCTACGGCCCCAGCGGCAACCCGGACAACAGCACCTACCAGCGCGAGATATGGAACAGCACATCCGGAGACGCGTTCCACGACGGCTTCCACGAGTGGTCCTTCGTATGGCAGCCCGACATTGTGCACTATGGCCTCGATTCCAACTACTCTCGCGTCATCACGACGAACGTACCCCAAGCGCCCGGCCGCCTTGCGCTGAGCCAATGGTCCGACGGCAACCCAAAGTACTCACTTGGGCCCCCCACAAGGGACAGCGCCCTCACCATCGCGTTCCTCTGGGCCGTGTATAACGATGCCAACGCCAGCGCGCTTGCGTGCAAAAAAACCACTTCGCCGTGCAAGATCACGAACGGCGTTTTCCAGCCCGGCAACCCCAACGCGAGCGGAGGCGACCAAAGCAATCGCCCGCCGTCAGGGACCATCAGTGTCAACTCATCAGCTGCGCAGTCGGCGGGCGCGTCTCTGACCGCCACCTCTGCGGTATCGAGCTGGCTGCTTGCGGCTGTGCTGTTTCTTTGGTTTCGGTCCTGGCGCGCTTAACAGTTCTATACCTCGGATGGTTTACATTTTCTAGAGCTCTGTGCGACATCGCATGATACCTTTGCATCGTTCCTTCTACGGATTCATTCTCTCTTTATCTTACCTCTTTTCTAATGTATATAATTGCGTAAGCGCATACTAGTCGATCTTTCACCCTCCTATATATAGAGAATAGCTGCACGACGTTTGCTAACGCCTAGTAACAGTATACAATCAAAAGATCAAAGATATGCTTACACGTATTTCAAAGATTGCTTGAGGATATTCAACGAGTCTGGATAACAGTAACGGTTAAAGTTAGGGTTGATTTTTTTCTCCCCGTTTAAAACCCTTTAAGTAGTCTTAATAGTAGAGATAACTATCGTTTTTGGCAATGTTTATTGCTTTTCTCTCCTTTCTTTTTCCAAGTTCTGAGCGTTCTTCCGTGGCTACGGGCGGAGTGTGAGGCTCTCTCTCTACCCCAACGTAACAGCCTGGACTCGCACGCAGGGAGCCGGAGAGTCTGGAGAGGCGGGCTTTCGGACTCCTCTGTGCACTACTATCGACAAGGAGTACCAGATCGGAGTGCCCATGGGAGGCACAGGGGTTGGTCCAGCGCCGAGCGCCTGGCTTCTGTTAGCGGGGATAATAAAGGAAAAGTGGACCCGTCAACCACGCTGCACGCGACCAGGCTAACCACCTGCCCAGGTGGGCACGCGGCCGGGCTAATAACCACGTGTCGGCAAGGGAATCCAGCCGACCCGTCCGTCCATCATGAATCAGGAGGGAGATCGGAACGGACAAACACATGGCCAGGGCTGCGGTTAGCGATGTTGCAATTGGAGGAGCGTCTTCTCTTCATAAGCCAGATACGTTGTAGGTACCCCAGGGTTCTGAATGCACAAGAAGCCAAACATCTTCTTCACTGGAAACATTCCGCCTGTTGAAGAGGTGCAGTAACCTGGAGACCGGAAATTTGGCTCGCCGATCTATCCGCCAACAATACTAGTATTAATGGATTTGTTGATCTCGACAAGAGATGGGAGCCCTTTGTCCGAGCTAGCTGCCTTGCTTTGCTTCAACAAGCCCATTCTCACGATGCAGCTACCTATGCGGTGTGCTTACAGTGCAGTACCAGAGCTTCCAACTTCCAGGAACAAATTTTCTTGAACTGTCTGTGTGCGCTTGCTAGTCAGCGGGTGGAGCCGGCCATGGATCGGATAATCGCCTGCGAGTAATGGACATCGATGGCGCCATTTGCCTCCCCGTCCCTTCCGACATACCCCAGCCTACCAACAAGTTATGTACTTGTATGTGCCTGTCATGACAAATGCCGAAAACCTTGGGATTCATGCATATGGGTCGATGGCACTGGGAACATCAGAACTTGTGCCTTTTTCTCTCTCTCCGTTCGTTCCTACGCAAACTCGCCTGTATCGGTCAGGACAATCAGGAGACAGTGTGTACTTGTAGTTGGTACTCCGAACAGACCCAATGGGGGCGCTCGAACCGATATCGCATGCAAATAATAGTCAACAGTGTTATTAGACTAACCGTCCAGAATCAGCTGAGGCAACGCAATATTGAAATACTACTCTTCTCCGCCATGAATTCCTTATTAACAGTGGTACGTAAGCCATGCCGCGACCCAGTCTGGAAGGAACATCGAGAAGCTACTGTATCAACCGAGGTTTCTCCATCCTCCGGTTCCTCTTCAAAGTGTCAGTATTAAGCGGGAGTGAAGAAGCAGGAAATGGGCCTGGCAGGGACAAGATACACACTTTGATAGAGATTCTAGAAGGCCTTTGAACAACGACACTCAATGCGCCTAATGCGATGAATTCTAATAGCCTTTGAAATATACACAATGGGCCTAAGATGATGACGTCCCCTCACATTCACAACGCCTATCTATAGTAGGAGCGCATGCATCGCAGTCTAATCCCCCTCACCGCGTCGAACCAATTCTCTTCCTATCCACCCCCTCAATTGAACCATACGTAGCGGCACCTTCCACCGCCGCTCTGAGCCCCACAACCGCCGCATCCTCTACGGAAGTAATACCCAACTTCTTCGCCTCCTCGGCCGTAAACGTCCCATAAACATCGACGTCGTCGTACTGGTCCAGTTGCAGGGCCGCGGTGAACAAGACATTGAGCGCATAGAAAGCAAAAGCACTGGTGAAGAAGCCTGAATGAACTGTCAGCCTCGTAGCCCACTGGCGATAGAAATATAGAACAAGACTTACCCACGACGAACGCAGTGTAGTACAGTTGAACCAGTAACCGCGGTGGATCTGCATCCTGCCGAACCGTCACAATCAACCCGCCGATAGTAGGCGCCCAGCCCAACGACCACGCAACAGGCGTCCGCCAATTGATACCGTGCCAGAACCAATAGTACGAGCCCTGCGGGTTGTACAGGTGACTCAACCGCAGCCGCCGCTTCCTTAAGACGTAGTAGTCGCAGGCCATGATGCCCATGATGGGAGCCAGGAAGACGCTGAAGGAAGACAGGACCGAGATGAAGGTCTGCGCGCGGTTGATGAGCTGCCACGGCTGGACGACCCACGCCGCGACGAAGGTGATGATGGCGCCGCGCCGGATGTCGATGTAGCGGGGGAAGACGCCGGCGAGGTCGATGCCGCCCGCTACGGCGTTGCCGCAGATGTTCTCGAACATGGCGGTGAAGGCGAAACCGGCGGAGAGCAAGAATACGGCTGCTCGCGAGGTCCAGGGGCCGTTGCCCGAGTCCATCATCACCATGAGGAGATCGGGCGGGTTCCAGTACACTTTGTGGTAGAGCTTCTGCGATGCAGATACCGTGACAAGGCCGGAGAGGGAGACGAGGACGCCCGTGATGATGCAACTGGACACTGTCCCGACGACGTAGTCCTTTGGAGCTCGCGCATATCGCGAGAAGTCGGACCCATTGGTAATGCCTGCGGCGATAGCTCCGACCATCTGGTTGATGCCGGCCACCATCAGCCAGGACGCGCTCCACTGAGAGTCCTCGGGGATCCTCTGGCCTTGGTGCCACAACGGGCCAACACCGCCAGCTGCGACGACGGACCATGTCATCCAGCTGAGCATTCCGATGCCACACCAGGTGCATACCATAAGAAACGGCATCTTGAACTTCTCCGGACGTAGCCAAAGAAACGGCGTCGAGAAGAACCAAAAGACGACAAATCCGACAAACTCGTGTGTAGTGGTGGGCATATTGGGTCCAAAAGTATTTGGGATCCGGGCAAACGAGGGCCAGATGGCCGTGATGCAAACAGCAATCAGCCTGCCCCCGGTCCAGCCTAGGGATCGTGTTAGGAACCACTCATTACATGTTGGGTTCGAGGTGACGGACATTGTATAGCATTCCAGACAAAATTAAGCAAGATGCGTTGGAGCAACGGCACATAACTGGCTCTCATGCCCCAGCTATAGCGGTTCTGGACCGTGAAGCCAATGTGCCATTCAAGGCCGCACCAAGCTATCAGTGCAGAGAAGGCAGAGATCAGTAGTCGACCGACGATGAGGATGAACATGGCCTGTCTGACGGAGAGCCCCTGCGCTGTTACAGGTTCCGAGTCAATCAATGCTGTAAAGCTCCAAGTGAACCACTTACTCAGATAAATGCTCGGGCCCTGCCAATTCGCCAGGTTCAGACTCCCAATCGACCAAAAACCGAAGAAGTTAAACCTGCAAATACTAGGTCAGTTACACGCCTAAAGATGGGTTGACTGTGCAAAGGCACCCACCAGCCCCATGTTCTCCGCGAGGGTGGGAGAGGGATTATATCGCGATTACTCCATGCATCCGTCTGCTCGTGCCGGGCCTCGTCGCCCTTCAGCCGTATCGTCTGTTCCAACGATCTGAGCCGACTCCTCAGCGTCATTGCAGGGAGCAGTGTCCAACTATACTCGGAAAGGGGATTCGAGATGAAGCTGTGCCAACACAAGCTGGAAGAATTTTACCCTGTCGGGCAGAAACGTCGCCTGTGGACACAGATACGCCCAATCTACCACTCTAACATTGTATGATGTACCCCATAGTGGTCATTCAGTCTGCTGTGGTGAAGGAGATCTAATCAGATTGGTCTAAGATAAGATGAGATTGTTGGAAATGGTGTTGTGATCGAATTGGGAGGAGAGGGGCAGCCTCGGCGCCCGACCGCCCGAAAATCGGACAATTTCCCGTTTTGACAGCTTCATCCTATTCCTCGCGAGTTTAAGGATCTGATAAGATACAGCCCGCTGGCATTTAACTGCATTCTCCCAGGTTGACTGTCTCCGACATCACCATGGCTCTCGTCGACTCCAGGCCCGATGATGCTCGCGTTAATAATGGCGCGAAAAGGCTGCGGATCGGTGTCGATGTCGGCGGGTGAGTTGCAACGATATGAGCTCAATCTGTATGGTGCTTAACTGATGAACTGAACAGGACAAATACAGATGGTGTCGTCATTGATCCAACGGCATCTGATGCAGCAGGAGAACCAGGAAGGGGAATCATAGCATGGTGAGTGCGTATCCACGTGACTCGCACGTGCATTCGGTTTGGTGAATCAACATCTGCAATCTCGCTGGATACGACGATAGGACCAAGTCTTTACTGTACTTATTTGTCAAAGGCACAAAGCGCCAACAACCCCGGATCCTAGCCATGGAATCGCCGAGGCCATCACCGCCATGTTCAAATCGGCCAACATCGACCCTGCCCATGTAGCAAGCGTCACTATAGGAACCACACACTTTGTGAACGCCGTCGTGACGCGGGACTCCACCCGTCTGTCGCGCGTAGCCGTGCTGCGTCTTTGTGGTCCTTTCAGCAAACATGCCCCTCCGTGCGTCGACTGGCCTGCATCCATCAGGAGCATCGTCCTGGGACATTATGCACTTGTAAAGGGCGGTTTGGAAGTTGATGGCAGCCTCATCTCGGATATCAGGGAGGACGAGATTGTACAGTTTTGCAAAGAAACCCGGGAAAGGGGCATCCGGACGGTGGCAGTTAATGGCGTATTCTCCCCCATTGACACCGCCGAAAGGCAAGAGGAGCGTGCCGCCGATATTATCCGGCGAGAGATACCTGGCGTCGACGTTGTACTGTCCAAGGAGGTTGCCAATCTCGGCTTCCTGGAGAGGGAGAATGCCGCCATCCTCAACGCCTCCATTTTGGCCTTTGCTCGAAAGACCATCGCCAGCTTCCAGCGGCCCATCCAGAATCTCGGCTTACAATGTCCAGTCTTCGTGACACAGAATGACGGAACAGTCCTGTCCGGCGAAGCGGCTTCACGATTACCTATCCGGACATTTAGTTCTGGCCCCACCAACTCGATGAGAGGCGCTGCCTACCTCGTCGGAGCCCAAGAGCAGGGCAAGGCCGAGGCCATGATGGTGGTGGACATTGGAGGCACAACGACAGATGTGGGCCTCCTGCTCGCGAATGGTTTCCCACGACAGCAGGCTGCGTATAGCGAGTTGAGCGGCGTCCGAATGAACTTCAGTTACCCGGACGTCAAGAGCATCGGTCTAGGGGGTGGTTCGCTCGTCCGCAGAGTCAATGGCAGAATCCAAGTCGGTCCAGAGAGTGTAGGTTACAGGCTCGCACAGAAGGCCCTCGTCTTTGGTGGAGATGTCCCGACCGCCACAGATTATGCCGTGGCCGGAACAGGTGTGCAAATCGGCGAACCTGAGAAGGTCCGTGGAAATCTTCCCTCACAGGACATTGAGGATTTCAAAGCCGAGACGAAGAGGATGCTGGAGAGCATCATCGACACCATGAAGACCTCTCCAGATGACATTCCCGTGTTCCTCGTTGGCGGTGGTGCTATATTGGCGCCCGACGAGTTGAAGGGCGCAAGCCGCGTCATCACGTCCCAATGGTCCGGAGTGGCGAACGCAATAGGTGCCGCAATGGCGCGTGTCAGTGCCGTCGTTGACACTGTGAAGTCAACGGAGAAGAAGAGCACGAAGGACTTGCTACTCGAGATTTCAGACGAAGCCAAGCGACGCACCATCAGTGCCGGAGCACTGCCCGATTCGGTTGCAGTGGTGGAAGTTGAGACTCTTCCGCTGCCTTATATCGCGAACAAGACACGCTTCATTGTGCGGGCTGCTGGCGACTTCGACTTCTCGCGAGCGGACGATTTTGCTGGTTTTCGGGTTGCCGAAGACGAAGATCTAGCCAGCACGGATGAACATGAGGTCTCTGACAAGGCGCCCGCGGCTGCTGATGTATCTGAGACAATCATGGACGCGAGTGCAGAAGTCAATCTATCCAGCTACGAGCCTCGGGTGGAAAATCGTGTATGGTACATTTCAGAAACAGACCTGGACTGGATCACTCTGGGCTGCTACATTCTTGGCACCGGGGGCGGAGGGTCTCCATACTCGAGCATGCTACGCGTGCGTGGAATTTTGCGAGCAGGAGGCGTCATCAGAGTCATCAGCCCCGATGATTTAAAGGACGATGATCTTGTAGGATCAGGGGGAGGTGCCGGCTCTCCGACTGTGGGCATTGAGAAGCTCGCAGCTGATGAGTGCGTATCCGTTTTCTTTTACATTGGTTCAACAATCTAACCGCTGATTCCGTAGAATGATGGACGCTCAAAATGAGCTGTACAAGTATTACCAGGGAGGTCGAGCCACGGCAGTCATTGCCTTGGAGATTGGGGGAGCCAACGGGCTGCAAGGGCTCATACTTGGGGCAAGCACAAACATGAATCTTCCCACTGTGGACGGAGACTGGATGGGCCGCGCATACCCGACCAAGTGGCAGACTACATCCGTGGTTTTCAATGAGCGCAAAATTATCTTCGCTCCCGTGAGTGTTGCAGATGGCAACGGGAACGTGCTGTATATGCCAACGGCCACGAGCGACCTGAAGGTTGAGCAGGTCATTCGGGCCGCGCTCTCGCAGATGGGCTCGCACGTTGGGTGCGCCGACGGCCCCGTCACCGGAGCAGAGACAAGAAGGTGGGCAGTCGAACACACGCTTTCTCTATCCTGGCGCATCGGGAGGGCGGTAGCGCGTGCCAGGAAGGAGAACAGGCTCGAGCACCTGGCAGAGTCCATCATCGATGCCGTGGGCGGGCCCAGCACGGGCCGAGTGCTGTTCAAAGGCAAGATCATTGGCGTTGAGCGGACACTGAGGATGGGACACGTCTATGGCGAAGTGATCATTGAAGGCGGTAACGTTGACGAAGACACGGGCACATCGCCGTGCGAACTTCGGGGACGGATAAAGATCCCATTCAAGAACGAAAACATTGCGGCGATACGGTTACGCGAGGGAGCGGAGAACAATGCAGGGGAAGAGAAGAATGATGATGTTCTCGCCATAGTCCCTGATTTGATATCCGTCATCGACGCCCAGAACGGCGAGGCCCTCGGAACTCCCGAATATCGATATGGTCTGCTCGTCCTGGTAATTGGCATCACAGCAAGCGAGCGTTGGACTAGCCCGAGAGGCATCGAGATTGGAGGCCCCAAAGCCTTCGGACTGGATCATCTCCGATATAAGCCGATCGGCAAGTTTGTGAAACCTTTGAGCGTGATTGACGAGTATAGTCGGAATAAATGACTGCAATGCTCAGGAGGAAACAGAGAAGAAGTAGGAAAGCCAGTACCGAGGTGCAATGCATAACTACGATACGATCTATGATGCTTCGGCGCGAACCGTATGCGTGAGTCCAGAGTACAACGGATGAATGACCTTGACGGCCGCTTCGTAGGACGTGAAGAGGATGCCGCCGCTGAACACTGTCCGGCCCAGTCTCATCGTCGTACCCTTCCAGAAGCCTCTAATGCCGTAATCCAGCAAGACGGACTTGATGGCTTCCACCGTGCTTGCGCCGTGTGCGCTTTGAGACCGCGTCTTGATGACGTCGAAAGGTTGCGTGCACAGCGTGGTGACGACGCCGGCGACCGAGCCGTTGGCAAAGTTGGTCAGGGTGTTTTGCTCAATGTTCCTCTTCGTCTCGAAGTCCTTGAGGATATTGTAGGTCCCCATGCGGAATGCTGTCGCAGAGGCCTGCTTCAGTGTCGTGCCAGCGAATCCGCGGTACAGACCCATGATGCCGTGCTCTTTCCATATGACCGAAGTGGCATGCAAACCAGAGCGGAAGCGCCTCTCGGTGCGTGCATCGTCGATCAATGCCGTCTTGATGCGCTCCGAGGGGGTCACGGCGGCGATGGAGGCGACGACGCCGGCCGTCATGCCCGCGGCCAGGTTTCTGAGGGGGGAGAGTGTGCCCGTCTCGGGGTCCGCAAAGGCTTGCTTGATCTGATCGAAGAAGAGGAAACGGACGCCATCCTTCCCTATGGAACCCTGTAGCCAGAGTCTTCAGAAATGCTGCTTTGAAAGATCGAACGTCACGGATGTAAAGGGATGTAACATGCAAGCTGCGTCGGGAAACCCGGCAAAGAAAATACAGGGGGCCAGAACAATGACAGGAGATGTGATACAGACCAAGTAAGGAAAAAAAAAAAAAAAGAAATGGGAGACTAAAAATGGAAAAATCCCTACGTACAACAACAAGCGCACCGCACCCCTTATACAGTGCGCGTACACCTTCAGTCTTATACACCTGCGTCACCACCAGAAAAGGGTTCCGCGGCGTCGGGATCCCCTTCTGGCTCCTCAACTGCACCCGTGTCTTTGCAAACTCCAAAGGATACTGCGATGACAACAATCAGCTAACCAGCGAAAAATGGTAATTGGCAGGAGCAGAGACTCACCGAAGTGAAGGCCTCGATGCCGCCTGCTACACCCCCTGCGGCCAAGGAGACGATGGCAGGTGTTTGTGAATCCTGGGGATTGTCGATTAGCTCTATCTGATAGACAGCGGGAATAGCGGTGAGGAGGGAGGGCACTTACATTGGCGCCTGACACCATTGGAACATGTACGACTGGAAAGGAGAGTACAAGCGAGTGTGCGATACAGTGCAAGGGTAGATAGACGGTGAAGCAAGTAACCGATCTATCTATTACACGGAGTATACAACCAAAAAGTTCTGGAAAGTAGTTGCATGCGAAAGTTCAGCCGAGAGCCGAGGAGAAAGACTAGTGCCACTAGTTGACGTCATTCGGATATCTTGGAGGAACAAGACAACAAAGACATCTGATTTACGATGTCCAGAATGGCAATGGTAAGTCTATTCGAACATCAAGTGCGTCCGGTTTCGCGGCGCACTCGTCACGCCCAACGTCACCTCCCACATGTGACCTTGCATCGGTACCACGTTAAGGGGGTAAAGGACTTGGTATATGCGGCACCATGAGGTATCTTATATCCTGCTCCTCTCAGCCTCCTTCGCCTTCATCTCCCGGACCATTGCGAGCGCCATGTCCAGACTCCGCTTTGTATTCTCAAAGTAAACGTGCGAGAACTCGCTGCTAGCCTGCCCACTGATCGTCCGCGCCTGGATGCCGTGACTGATGACTCCACCCTGGAGAGGAGAATAAGTATGAACTCCGCAAAGAGAAAGGGTAAGAAAAGCTCACCCTCATCAGGTGGAAAATCTTCGCCACCTCCCAGTGGTCGTTCCTCGGGTCCCAGCCTGTAATTCTGGTGTACTCATCCAGGAGCTCGTCCATTCTCGGCAGGCCCGCCGCCCTTTGATTCTCAGGGGCGTAAATGGCACCGCCCATGTCATCTCGAGTTGGCCCCTTACCATCCGGACTGGCACAGTCCCAGTACGGCCCCACGACGTAGACGGCATCCATGAGCGGATGCCCAATGGTGCTCAGCTCCCAATCGAGAATCGCAATGACCCGCGGCTCGGTAGGATGAAGGATGACATTGTCAAACTTGTAGTCGCCGTGGACGATGCTGGCCCTGTCGCCGGGCACGTGCTTTTTTACAAAGTCCACAATCTCGTCGAAATGGGGGTGAGCGCGTCCGAGCTGCTTGCCCGTGTTGATGTCCTTGACTTTGGCTTGCTGGGCTTCGATGCGGGAGAAGGTGTTGCAGTGACGGGTATAGAAGCCAGTCTTTTTGCCGAATCCCTCTAGACCAATGGAGTCGGGATCAATGGAATGCAGCCATGCCAGAGTCGACACGAGGGAGAACCAGGCGGCACGGCGTTCAGTGGGAGGCAGATCTTTTAGATTGGGATCCGTCATGATGCGTCCCTTGACAAACTCCATGACCTGCTCTGTAATTAGTTTCGTTCACTGGCCAATTTCCGCGGGAGTATTGAATAAGTGTGAAAAAGCTGGCGTGTGTGGATGCACTACGAGACATAGGCTGGGATAGGAACTCACATAAAACGCAGTCCCTATTATCGAGGCATCATTGCACAAACAGTAAACCCTCGGAACAGGAAACCCCTCGACCGATCCCAGCGCCTTGAGCACCCTATACTCGCGGTCCACCTGATGCGCCACCGGGGAGATGATGACACCAGCAGGCTTCTTCCGGAGTATGAACCGCGCGTTGCTCGCATCGTCGATGAAATATGTGGGATTGCTTTGCCCATATCCAATCTTGGTTGAGACGACGGGCAGCTTCAGGTTGGGGAGATGATCGACGAGGTATTTGCCCAGGGCTTCATCGTCCAGGTCGTGTCGCGCCTTTGGTTTTGTGGCATTCGACATTGTGTGCTTGATCTTGCCTTATTCAAGAGCGAGTGGATCGACACTGCGTATGTCCGCATCTTGGAGGTTGAGATGGAGTTGCTGAGGTAGTACGTGCAGGTTCGAGTAAGCTTCGTCGAGCGGAGGGTAGCCTCGGCGAGATTGGGAGGTCGATAGATGCATGCGGGGTGGGACTCTCCAAGCGAGAATAAACAACGAGCTTTCTAGGTAGTAATACGATAGTTAATGATGTCGACTACACTTCCTTACCGCTCCCACAGTCAAGAGGGTGGACTATCTGCTGACGTTCTTCCCAGTCAATTCTTCAGCCGGAAAAAACGGACTAAGTTACAACGATATCTCGAATCATCCAAAACATCCCCTCATACACAGTAAATCCGGCTCACCTCACGTCAGCCTTGCTGACAGTGTAGATAGGATTACTTTGTGCAAATGCAGGGAAAAACGCTCACCCGCCCCCTACAATACGACAGCATCCGTGTCTCAAAGCCCAGACGCACGACGTAGCTGCCATTCATGATGCACAACTCTTCAATATAAGAAATATATGTACCTAAGTAGTAGGTAGACGAAGACTTGTGAGGACTTAATCTACTAGTGAACGATTGACAGAAGTAGCTTATCTAATCCCCCTCTCTGACGTCACATAATTCCCCCCAAGCTTCCACCCCCTCCAACCCATTATACAAGTAACTGTACCTATCATGCTTGTTGAAGCTGGCCAACAAAAAAGAAACCCCAAACTCGGCCTCGACATTGAATTGACCTCTTTCCTTCAAGAAGCTCCATAATATTCAGTCTTCTCTCCCACATAACTTTTACTACTCTCTCACACAGACCAAGACACACCTTACGCCTCAGCAGCATAACAACAACCACCAACCGCGCAAGCACCTGCAGGCAGAGCAACAACGAACCCAAACCCTCTCCCTCCTCCACCAAACAATCCCACCCCCTAAATCTACCGCCCGACCACACACACCCAAAAATGACCGACCCCTCCCGCGCCACAACCCTCCGCACCACCACCCACTCCTTCTGCCACTCCCTCCTCTCCCCGCCACCACCCCAAGACTTCCTCACCCGCTTCTTCACCGACACCCCCCAAATCACCGAACACGGTCCCCCCTGGGCACGCTCCCGCCTCCCCTTCCTGGGTAAAACCTTCACCGGCCGCGACGCCTGCCTCGCCTACTTCCGCGCCCTAAACGACACACTGCTCATGAACCTGCCGTCGGACGCGTTCCCGGACCAGAACGGCTTCATCGTCGACGTGGGCGCGGATATGGTGAGCGTGGTGGGCAAGGGGCGGTTCGAGAGCAGGAAGACAGGGAAGGCGTGGGAGGAGCAGTTCATCTATCGGTTCAGTGGGTTCGACGCCGAGGGCAAGATTGGGCATTGGGAGATATGGGCGGACCCGTTGAGCGCGTGGGTGGCGGTCGGGGGGGTGGGGGAGGACGGCGATATCGAAGGGGTGGAAGGCACGGGTGGGGTCGGGGTGAAGGGGGAGGGCATTTTGGAGGGGGCTGGGTATGCAAGCTGAGACGCTGTCAAGCACACTGAGATACAAAGGTTTTGAAGGTGCTCGCTTCTTCAGATTGCTCTACCTGAAAAGGACTTTGATAGCCAAAAAGGGGAAATGCTTGACAGAACGGTCTAGCACTCGAGAGAAACGATCCGTACGCCGACCCGTCTGCTCTACCCTACCTTGCGTTGTTCTTGCAAGAGGGGAGTGATGCCCAGAGAGAAAAAGGGAACAAGGAAACGCCTGGTATCCATGCCCGAACCCATTGCCATGCCAAATTCCATAGTCAATTCCAACAATGATCATCATAAATCGAGTCCCATAAATGACAGTTGCGAAAGTAGAAACGGCTGTCCCTCTATTCCATGGCGGTGAAGAGGCAGACCTGCCTCACCATCTGGCTCGCAAGGAGAATCTCGCGAAACACCTGATCGATACCGCCGGCGAAGTGGATGGTGTAGCTGTCGACCTTGCCCTTCTTCTTCTTTTCTCCCCACACGAGGGGCCGCGGTGTCGCGTCATCCAGCCTTTTGCCCGTCCTGCTCCCCGGCTTGGCCCAGTCCCGCTGGAATTCGTACAGGGTTTCGGGCATGACGTCGTCGTTGGGGTCACCGGGCTTCCAGACGAAGCGGCGGCCGCCGTAGGTGAAGCGGCGCGGAGACCAGGGGATCTTCTGCTGGCGGTCCGGATACTCCTTGATGGGGGTGGAGAAGGGCCCGCGGAGGTGGATGCAGCGAGACTTGTATGCAGCCGTGTTGTCGTGCTTTTCGATGCCGGACAGGAGGATGGAGATGCATGGCTGAGGGTACTCGGCGACGCGGAAGAATTCGGCGGAGGTGACTTGGTTATCGGAGCGGTGCGAGGCTTCGAGGGTGTAGAGCGAGTACCTGTCGGAGTACTCGCGTGCGCTGTAGATGTACTTGCGGCAGCCGGAGGTGGTCCATTCACGTATCCGGTGCAGGTGGTAGGTTACGGGCGGCAGAGAAGGGTCGAGCATCGAGTAGTATGGGATGTCAGGCGACGGCAGCTCGTCGTACAGTGGTGTGTAGGGGAGAGGGGAGTAGCTGGCCTGCCATGTGAGGAGGTTGTGGACCTAGAAGCGGGTCAATGGGTCGTCGCAAAAGGGAGTTTCTCCGTCTGGAGTTTGGCATGACTGACCGACGACAGGCTGCCGCTCTCTTCGTCGAGGTCGCCGTTGGCACCCCAGTGGTTGGGGGCAGGGACGAAGACGCACTCGCGGCCCTCTTCGTCCTGCACGCCGCTGCCGCTCTCAAGGTGGGGACGCAGGGCGCGCTGGCGCTCTCGGTGGATCTGGATCTGGGTGCGGCGGATGCGGCGGTGTTCGTCGGAGTTGTCGTCGGGCGAGATGGAGGTGAGCGAGTTGGCAATCTCCTGCTCCAAGGCGAGGGCGGCAGCCTCGTGCTGCATGTAGGACGAGTCGTAGAGCTGGGCATGCTCGGCCTCGAAGGCGGAACTGCGCAGCAGCTCGAGGTGGTCACGGTTCATAAGGTCCAGATTGCCCATGAGGATGGTGGGCCGATTGTGGTGCCAGGTGTGGGCTGGATGAAGGGTCGTGATCGTGATCGTGATGGTGGTCGTGGGATGCGGGAGAGAGGCAGCCGCACAAGGCCGCTTACATGTCAGTAACAGCAGAGCAGCGGCGCAGTAGTGCCCCGGGTGGCAGAAGGGTTGGCGAGGCGAACAGCTCAACAAGGGGTGACGGGTGAGAGAGGGAGGGAGAGGGGGGAGAATGCAACGTGTGAAGGTGAGGGTGTGGTAGGGTGAGGTGTGGTGTGGTGTCGGCCCTGCGCCCAGGAACCCAGGCAGCCATGGCCATCTATCATGGCTCGTGCCCGTGGGCATAGATTAAATGCACACAGTACGGAGTCCTCTACGGAGTCGTCTAGATTGAGTCCTGCGGCTTCGCCCTGGACGCTGCTGCCAGTGTTGCTATCCTTGGTATCTTTTTCATCTCTGATATCTGCAGCCCACGAGGGCATTCCTCTTGCGTGCAGCGATTCCAGCGACCGAGGGAACCATGAGGAAATGGTGAAGAGTGCAAGAGTACAGAGTACAAGTCCAGAGATCCTGTACCACTATAACACAGGACTTGTGCGGATCACGGATGACGAATCTCACCCTCCCTCGCAGGGGCGTGGATGCATGGGCAATCCATGAAATGCCAGTCAGTCAGCGGCTATTCCGTACATGTCCAAGAACGACTGGTGGCCTATTTGATGCGACGGTTCCAGCACTTATTCGAGCCTACATAGTACAACAGGATGAAGATGGTGTTGTAGTAGTCCAGTGCTTTTGCTTGGAGAGTGGAGAACATTGTCGGGACGAATCAGGTACCCCTGGCCTGGATCGCCGGCCATCGCAATCGCTGCTCGAAGCGGAATGGCCCCTTCTGGAAGCCAAGCACCTCTGCTGACATAAGAATATTAAAGTAGATCCCAGATGGTGCCAGTCTGGTGCCGTTTCACTTTTCATGATGCCTCTCTCACCTACGGTACTTCAGCATCATACAGTAGTACAAGTTCCTATGATCGACCTCTGCACTCTCCAAGGGAGGATAGATACCCCAGAACGGGGCTCCCACCTCCCAACCGCCTGATGACGGTGCTTCAATCAGGGACACGCGCCCAGACCGCTGCGGGACCACGATTCTCGTCGCAACGACCAGTCCTCCGGAGAGCGTTTGAGAAAGCAAGACTTGGGCGTGCACCACAGGAGCCATCAGATTCAGACGAGGCTCAACGTCGTGCCGCCGATACGAGAGCTTGTTACGCTGCGAGCCTGGGAAAGCGACACTCACTCCAAGAGCGCACACACACCAAACCTGTTCCTGAAGAGGGCTGAATGCCAACGCGCCACCCAGAGGCTAGAGCGCTTCCGCCCCTCCGCTCCGCTCAGGGTGGCTAGGCGTCTGGGCGCGTCAGCAGCGGAGGTAGGGCTGAAGGAGGGTCCACGGGGGATGACAAGATGGCAGCTTTGTTGGCCATCATCATGATGCTCCCTCGGACGACTGCGACACTGCGGCACACTACTGTCGATGTAGTAGTACGGCTCTATGTTCAGGACTTGGTGAACAGCGTAACAGAGCGCGAGGATTTCCGGATTGGGATACACTGAGCGCTAAGCCTCCTTTGGCATCTGGCTGCCCTGCCCTTCACCGCCTCGAGTTCCAGCAATCGGAGCTGCTGTTCCGCGGGCGCGGACGTGCCAACCAAGGTACCAGTGTCATACAGAGGTACAAGTTACCAAGTGCCGTTTGTCAGGAGAACCAGAGGGGTGGGATAACAAGGCAGATGAGGGGCTGGTCACTGTCTGTCGTCAGCTTCTCCTCACGGGACATTATTAGAGGCACCAATTCCTCGCCGAATCCCTCACAGAGCAAAGAGTGGCTCTTCGTCCTTACCAACTGACAGTACTATCGACTACTCCGTCCTGTGTAGTGAACAATTCTGCAAAGGGAAAAGCTGTTCGTTCGTTGGGCATCAGTGAAGCGTTCCCTGGGCATCAAAGCGCTTCGAGCTGGGCGGGCGGGGCGCTTAGCCAATCCCCCTGCACGTGATCTTCGTTTCGGACCGCAAAATTCCTCCTCCGCCTAATGCCTTGCTTCCACCGGCCTCATCCCACTTCCCTCCTCTCCCGCTCCTGCTGCTCGCTCGCTCCCTTCCTCCCTCTCCCTCTCTCTCTTCTTATCCCTTCCAATCCTATTCAATTTCTCCCGAAACATCATGGCTTGCGACCGCGCGAGGGGTTAGACGCGAGTCTCCTCCAGCATGCGATGACGGCGCTCCACGATCCGCTCCTTTGCGGATTTGTCCAGCTTCCCTTCACCGCATGACGGCGACTCCGCCCTGCCGAGCTTCCACCCGCGATAGCTTGGCTCCCTTCGCTCACCCTCCTCCTCCCTCAGATATATGGACTACTACTTCTGCTCCGCAGAGGACCTCCGCAACGAGATTTCGCGGCGAGGCTACTTCCCCGTCGGCGGCCAAGACGAACTAAGCGAAGAGCTCAAGAAGGACGACGAGTCTCGCGGCACCGACGCGACCACCCTCAAGACCGTCGATTGCGCCCAGTTCGGCCCCAAGGCCAAGCTGCGCATTGCCTGCTCCCCGAGCCTGGTCCATCCCCACCTGCTCGTGGGCGAACGTGAGTAGTGCCTCACTGCTGCGCCCCAGGGAACCCGTCTCGCTGAGTCCTCTCAATCTAGGAATCACGGCATGGACCTTGGACACCTTCTTCCCCACCCTCCAGCTCTTTTTCGAATCGGGCCTGTCGTGCACCTTCGAAGGTGGCTATCGCCAGTGCGCCAAAATCGGCCTCGACCAGAACCTGCGCTTCCGGCTCACCGACCTCACCCATGAAGAGGGCGGCTTCGTCGCCAAAAGCACGCTGCCGCAGAAGATGAACGGCCCTCCCAAATCCATCAAAATCATGGAGGCCGTCATTGCCGAACGCACCAGCATCGCCGTCCAATCCGTCGTGTCCACGCCCAGCAGTGGGCGACCTTCGAGCCGACCATCGAGCCGACCGTCGGCTGAGCTGCAAACCGAACATCACATCGTCATCGGCCTGCGCCTCGAGGGCATGCAAAAGATGGGCTATGTGTGGGCCAAGGTGGACAATCCCACGCCGAGCACCAACAACAGGATGTGGCATGATGTCAGCATCGTCGGGCTACGCGACGACGTTCCTGTCCCCTTCATAGCCTTTCCCCAGAGGGCCTCCAAGATGGGGAGCAGGGTGAACATTGTACGCAAAGACAGCATGATTAACGGCACGCACCGAAATGGAGTCAATCATTGGACCAATGGTTATTGAACATTCACGCCCAGGCCTTTACGACTGTTACGAACCAGGCAGTTTGCTTGCTCTAACGAATTTCTTTGGATTTGCGCCGAGATACCCACAGATAGAGTTGCAAGTAGAGGTTGGCTGCCATGCAAATGTTGGATCCCGCAAGACGGATTTCTCTTGGGCACTTGGCTTTTGTGGACTTGGTCTGCACCGGGTTTTGCGGGTGGCAGCCGGCCGGCAATGTAAGCGTGGAATGATGATCTCTAAAGGACTTGCAAGCGCATTTTAGAGAAGAGAAGAAAAATGGCAGCACGAGGCCAAGGAGGAGCAGGGACGGCTGCAGACGATGGCTACTGCTAGATATCTGAAGTCCCATGTAACCGACCAAATATACTTGTCCAAGAGCAACACGTGATGGTTTAATCGCGACCTTGGGATCCATGGAGCGGTCAATTTGTCGACCATGAGTAAGCGCTCGAAATTCGTCGGTATTAGGAAATTTATGGTGGAGGGGAAATATTGCCTTATACTTCCGAGTTGCCCATACTGGAGTCGTTTATATAATGCAACTCACTGAGGAAAATGTAAGACGGAGTAATCTGTATACAGAAGGAGTTGATACTACTTGTAAGCATCCGGGCATTCTACTGTACAGTACTACCTAAGCGTATATTTGCTCCTCTCTCCCGGGTCTCCTCCACTAAAACCAGCATCACCAGTGCTACATATGCCTAGTTATGGACTTCAGGAAAAGGGGAATATAAATGTAGGGGCTAATACATCTTCCCTAGCCCCTAAATTTCCCTATTCCGTATACAAATTTGTATGCTATCCGCGAAATCTTGCTTATGTTCCCCTAATTCCGATTACTTCCTAATTCCGGGGCTTCTGCTGTAATCAGCACTTGTGCGAGAAGGGCGGATTGGGCGGTTCCACATGGAGGAAACGTACAGGTACTTCGGGCGAGCGAGCCGTCTTGTTGGACGAGCTGATGCGACTTGGTGGATCTATAAGAAGGGGACGACGGTGCTGAGGTGAAACTCTGTCAACCGGATAACCATACCGTCTCTTCTCTGTCTCTCTCTCGCTCTCTCGCTCTTCCCTCTGGCATCATAAGTGAGTACGTGTAGTTACCCGCCCACCAGCGAACCACCCTCCCATTCTAACAAGCCTCCAAGAACCCTCACTCACAGACCCGGGACCTATCATCTCAACCTCCCTATCCTCCATCCTCTCCCCGCTCCCCCCTCGGAAACCCCACGCATTAAAAACATCCAACACCACCACCCCATGGCCACCACCACCGCCACCCAAAAAACCATCGTCACAGTCCTCTACCCTTGCAAGCACGACGCCCGCTTCGACCTCGACTACTACCTCACGACGCACATGCCGCTGGTCAAGCAGCACTGGCAGAAGCACGGCTTGCAGTCGTACCGCGTCGTGCAGATGCAGGCGGACGCGCCCTACAGCATCATGGCGCAGATGGAGTTTGCGAGCGGCGAGGCGTTTGGAATGGCGGTGCGGGATGAGGAGGCGATGGGGGAGATACGGGCGGATGTGGTGAGGTTTAGCAGTGAGGAGCCGGTGATTGTTAGGGGGGAGGTTGTGGGGGGTTGGGTGGATGGGGGAGATGGCAGATAGGGTGTTGAGGGGGTGGATGTTGGGTTTTGTAGGTTTCGATGGCTGGATCTGAGGGGAAGTTGGGATCAGTGTTACTGGTATAAGATGGGGGAATTCTCGATGTGGAAAGCGGCCATTGAGTAGGAGTACCAGATAATCTACTGTGGTTCAATCCGAAACTGGCAGGACTGCCCCATCTGAAGCTCGCAAATGAAGTCGGGTCTGGAGATGTCTAGGTGGAAGTACTGTGGTATGTGTGAATGAGGATGTCACGTGTTTCACACGTGTGCTCAGCTTACGTACCCTTTGCATGATGGCCGTTCTATTCCAGCCCTGTAGCATAATGTTCCTGGCTCATCTCATGTCATCCCGGGCGTGTACTAAAAAGAGGCCTCTAAGCCGTCATCAACAACTTCGACCATGCTTCAGATTATTGCGCCTCAGTCGAAAGGTACTCCGCGGCGCACACCTATCCCAACTAACGGGGTGCGTTTGTCGTCTAACTGCTCTCTATACCTGAAGAAGATGAATTGGGGTCCTGGATACACCGTACCTGGAGGAATAGCAACCTGCACTCGAGGTATGGCTACCTATGTAGGACAAAGGGGAAGCCTTCAACCAAATTTTGTCTCATAGTGCTTTTGGCTGGTCGTTCGCCTGTGCATGTGTGAGTTCTCATGTAATTCTCGATCTACGACCAACACGACTTCGGGGAATTCCATCATTCCATCGTTAGGGCTGACGGGCCTCATATACGCGAGACACACTGCCACGGAGCATGGCGCGTAGTAACCAGAGAGATAACTAAGGGTAGTATCTCGCAGGTCCCCGGTATTATTCTGCCGTCAACATCGCTCTGACCTGAGTACTTACATAGTATTAGAGAGTACCCAGCGACTCCCAAAAGGTTGCAGAGAGCCTTGCGCGGGGCGATTTCTTACTCATATGGTGCCCTGCAGGTCGTTTTCATACAAACTGTTTTTTCCTTGTCGGCCGCCGGCTAAGTGGCTTGGAACGAACGTTTCGAGTGTACTGTACAAGTAAGATGAGAAGCTTCGCATATTTTCCAAGATGGTCGAATACTCCCGCTTTTGGACTGGCATGGTCGTCTACTGAGCGATTGGAGCCAATGCGTACTCCGCCATGTTATTACATAGTAGTTGAGTTAGACACCCACTCGACAACAATTTCTACTCCGGGGACGATTTTGCGAAATACCTAAAGTAACACATCGCAAAACCCCCGTTCGTCACCTAGGACTGAAGCGCAGAAATGGCCCCATTTTGACGTCGGATGCTTGAGCGACGCTCATCTCAGCAGCGCATTGCTATTGGCGCATTACTATTCCTACGAATCCTACCAACACCGCGGCCCACCAGATCCATGACCGCAGGGCTCTCCATCCTTACCCTACCCTTGGCAAGGTTATTTTTCTCGCACGTAAAACCGCACCTCTTCTAAGCAAAGATGGCCTTCAAGCGGATCCAAGCCGTAGGGGTTAACGGGGCTTGTTGCCAAAAAGCCCATCGCCCTGAAATCCTTGGACATTAGCCCCTACTTCAACAAGGTCTCTCCGGGACGAGAGCATCTTACCAATCGTCCGGCTTCCCTCTCTTCATTCCTTCACATTCCTTCCAACTGCCATTTCATTTCATCATTCTCTCTTTTTCCTTTCTGGCAAATATGGTCACATCCGCCACGGTATCTGGATTCCGATCCGCGGTCCTGGTCGCTCTCTTGGTCCTTGTAGGCCTTCACACATATCCTCATGTTCGAGGCCATATAGACTTGCTCGCCGATTCTTCGAGCCACGATACTCACGTTAGAGGGCCGGAGTCTGGCCTGGTACCCGATGAGGCATTCTCGACACAGCAGCTGGCGTTTGGGGCAGACCTCATCTCGGCATTGGTGTCCGCGAGGCCTTCATGCCATCCCATCTCCTCTTCTCGCGACGATGGCCAGGAGGACGCCACCGAGCCCTTGACAGACGATGAAGTCCAGAAGTTAGCACAATCCCATTCGGCCATGAAGCGCCTGGTCCCACAACTCGCCTCGCTGCTGCCCTTTGAAGAGAACACAACCGGTATCGTCATGGCCGCGTCCAGGTACTCCCTACCCTCACTCCTCGTCTCTCTCCGCCTCCTCCGACGAACCGGCTCCCGTCTCCCCGTCGAAGTCTTCCTCCCCTCCCGAGCCGACTACGACGTCACCGTTTGCAGGGAAGTACTCCCCAAGCTCCACGCCCGCTGCCTCGTCCTGTCCGACGCGCAACGTCCCAGTCGTTTCTCCGTGAAGAACTCCAAGGACCTCCCCTTGCAAACATTCAGCATCCTCTTCTCCACCTTCCAGCGCGTCCTCTTCCTCAACGCGCATTCCTTCCCCGCACACGACCCGGAGCCTCTGTTCGACAGTCCGCCATTCAACACACACGGCCTCGTCACGTGGCCCGCCGCCTGGCCGTACAGTGCATCGGCGCGCTTCTACAACGACCTCGCAGGCGTCTCGTTCACGCCCTCCTCTGCAATCCAGTACGCCACGCAGGATGGGATGGTCATGCTGGACAAGGCACTCCATCGCGAAACGCTCATGATGATGGCGTATTACAACTATTTCGGGCCGGAATACTACTACCACCTTCTGAAGCAGGGGAGCCAGGACGTGGTCACTGGCGAGAAAGACACGATCCTGCCCGCAGCTGTGGCGCTCAGAGCGCCCTTCTACCAAGTGAAAAGTGGATTACGTCTCCTGGGAAGACTTGGTGCCGGGCATGGCGAGACCGACGAGAAGGAGAGTATCATGGCGATCGTACAGGCCGATCCGTCCGCCGACTTCGACACCAAGGCGCCGCACGTGGCGCAGGATCTGGGCGTCGGCGGCCACGACAACGCGGGCGCGAGGAAGCAGCAAAACGTTCTTGCCTCTTCAACGACACGGTTGGGGATGACGACGAGCCTGCGTCCCTTTTTCGTGAATACCGCCATGGCACCTTTGGATCCGGCGAAATTGCTCGAAGCGGGTGGTCCTGCGATGACGTCCGAGGGCAAGTTTGTCAGGATGTATGCTGTGGAGAAGGATGATGAGGATCGGTTGATTGAAGACTTTGGCTTTGATCTGGAGCAGAGAATATGGGAGAGCATGGCCGAGGAGGCGTGTAGGACGGATGAGGAGCTGTGCACGAGGATTGGGAGGTATTTCGAGACCGTTTTTGACGGCTTTGGGGTGCGGTGATGGTCTCGTGTCTTCCCTGCGATCTCCTGGAGCGTCGGGTTTCGGGCGCTGATAGATTGGGCTGGGACGTTGTGCATTTATGTATAGAGTAAGGCTACACGGCGTTGGGTATATCCAGGGTAGTGATTATTTTTTTTACTCGGAATGCGCAAGGACGCTTGGTTTTTCATCGCTTCACATTGGTGCCGATTTGGAAATCTCCATAAGCAGGTACAAAGATATCGAGCTTGTTCTCGCACTCAAGTGTGTGTACGTCTCACCGCTTTGCATTGATGCCCCTCCTAAATCTCCATTGGTGATGGAGTGATAAAATGTTCAAGACTGCCGTTAATCCAGCTCTTATCGTGCACCGGCTTACGACATGTGCGAGTCGCGTTCCAGTATGGTCAACAGCGGGTGCACTGTGGTTGATGGTACCTTGTAGATAGTATTGTATTCGTGGCCGTCTTGATAAAAATCGAATTCCTGAATCCTCATTCCTCATCTTGCTCGATATCATCTTCATCCGAATCCCACGTCTGCACTTCGTCAGGCAGCTCCTCATGCACCAGGCAGCCCAACTCTCCGCTTTCCTCGATGATGCCTCGCGCCGTTTGCTCCGAACACTCGTAGTCTTCCATGACCAACAGAATCGCCAATTCCGGCACCAATACTCTGAGGACAAAATTCGCGACACCGCCAGCAGATCCAATCACGGGATCCTTGATCGCCTGGTCGCGGATGACGTCGGCAAGTTGAGAGCCGATGCTCTCCATCATCGTGCGCCTGCCCCGGATGCCGTAGTAACCAGTATGTGTCAGCGTAGCATTTGACTCCATCATCTTGCTGCCGGTCTGACGGCCCATGCCGGCGTGGAGCTCTCGATAATGACTTGGGCGCTCGTTTTGCAGGATGGCTGTAAGAAACGCGGAATGCTGAGCCACCCGCGCCGATAGTATGCTCCAGTCAATATCCGGGTATCCCCTTTTCTTGTACTCTTCCAATGCGGATCTTTTTGTGTGTTCCCGGCAGAATAGCTGCTGCTGGCGTATAGTGGGCTTCTTGCCGCATTGCCAGAAGTCGAGGTAGTGCTGCTGGTCAACGGGTTCCTCGCACAGTGGGCACGTGGCGTTCGAGGTCTCAGCAACAATGTCGTTTGCATATCGCTCTAGCGACCCCAACGTTTCCCCCGCTGCGAACGAGGATGGCGGCGTGCTGTTGCTCACTGATTGAGAACTCGCGGGTGTGTTGTCTTTGCGGTATGCGCCCAGTGATATCAGAAGATTCGGTCGGTTAGTCGCCACAGAAGCTCCAGGCGTCGGCAGTTCAGGGTCTTTGTTTCTGCGGGCAGGACGCGAAGTCTTCGGCCTTTCCTGGATATCGCTCTTTACCGAAACCATAGACACATCGGATAGATCAGAATCATCGTCCTCTACCTCATAGGCTGGTTTCCTCTGGGCGTAGCTTTTACTCCCAAATGTCGCTGGTTTGCGCTGCGTAGGCGCATGTATGTTCCGAAAAGTTTTCTGCTTCTTTATGGGCGGCTTGCGGTGTTCGAATCTGAATCCAAAGTCAAGACCGCAATCTTCTGCCCGGCCACCCGCTTTTCTCTTCTCCGCCGAGGACTGCGGCTGGCTTGACCCAAGGGTGTTCTCCTTCTCTGCGTCTGCCGTCGCTGCTACCATCTGCTTTTCCTTCTTACCATGCTCGTAAGCGCCCTTGGGCGGTACGCGTATTGGAGGTTTGCGCCTCCTCAGTCCCCTCTTTGACGCATCTTTTGTGGCCGTGTCGGAAGCTGTGTCTTCCACACTCGGCAAACTGGCAACAGGAGCAGCGATTTCATCGTCCGAAGAGACAGGATCGCCATATATCAGCTCTTCGTCCTCTTCGTGGTGTGCGCTGGTAGCATGCGGCATTCCCCCCACCATCGTCAGCAGCGGTGGCGCGTTGCGGGTCAATTGCGGCATCCCTCTCAATTGAAGTCGCCTCCTCCAAGATGGCGCCGTCACCCCAGACCACAAACAAGAGTCAACAGGTGGCCGAAAAGTAAAATGCTGTCGAGCTGTCATGGAAGACTTGGTGAGACGCGACGCGGCTTTTGGAAGCGTGCACAGACGCGGCACTTATCCGCCGATTGGCTCGCTGTTACGTGATCACGTGGAATGACATTCACTCCCACATTTTCGTTGCCTGTTGCGGAATAAGCGCGATGAACTCCTCTCCCTAACCAGTACGCCTAGGTATCGTGCTGACATTACCGCTGGCAATGCGCGTATGCGGAACAGCGAGCTTGATCCTCTAATACATACATCCTCATTCCTCCCCTGGACATCTACCCGTTACACCGTAGGGTCCGGTAGGTATTGCGTTTGAAGCCCCTTTTAGCATTACTAATCGGAGTAACGCATTCATTGCAATTGAATTGCATTAACAATGCATTACCACTGCATTGCTTCTCCGTGCAGCATTTCGACCAACACATCCCAAGATGTGAAAGCGAGATCTACTGTTCTGCGCTCTAAGGCGGAATCATAACTACAAAAAGGTATCTGCTGTACCTTACAACTCCTGCCTTGGATGTCCACAGCTTGGTCGGGTCATTTAGAGCGGACGGGCTGTCAGAGGTGAATCGAGGACTCAGATGAACGGAGTAGTGAGGTGAGGTATACGGGTCAGCAACGGTAAACCATACATCAATACCTATTTGGACAAACAAGAGATAATAGACAAACCATAGGAAACAACATGTCCGTTATGCGAACCTTTCGATGTCAAGAGTCCCATTGTCGTCATGCAGGGTTCAAGAGCAGGATGGTCTTGACCATGGGAAGGGTGATTCGAAACCATAGCCCCAGAAATAACAATTGACATGAAACGTGCATGTTGGGTATCAAGTGCTATGCAAACCTCCACTGATTCAGTAAAATCACCCACTCGTGCAACCGACCAGACTTTACAACTCCTCTCCACCAGCTTACGCCACCTTCCTGCCCACGTTGCCCACGCCTCTGCCCACTACACTGACAATCAAGTCGTCCCTGCCTTCCCCGGCATCTCGCAACCCCCATCCGCTTCCCCCAAACTCGCTCAGATCCCGACCCAGCTGAATCACGTCTTCACTCCCAACCACGTCCCTTCCCATGGCCAACCGGCCCACATCCTCTGAGCCCATGGCCATGAGGCACACCATCGTCTCCACGGCGGACTTTTCGACGCATCCACCTTGAGATATGACTTCCAAAAGCTGGTAGGCGGCCTGCTTGCCAATGTCCTCCGGCGGAGTCCCGCCGGTGGGCGGGCTCGACATGTCCGCCGAATAGAGGCAGTGCGTCGACGACTCCGCCACCAGGCTGATGCCAAACCCTACGGCACCCTTCTTCTTTCCACCAGGGTTGTTCTTGTCATTTGACGGCACGAGCGGCGCGCTCGACACGTCCGAGAAGATATATGTATCCGGAACGAACTTGTTGAGCACCCCCCTCGCCGCTTCAATCACTCTTGCATTGTTGCTCCCGCTGACGCCGACCGCATACGCCACGCCTCGGATCCGTTTCACGCGTCCGGGATTCATCAGATGCAGCGTCTTGGGTAACCGCACCTGGTGGTTGAAGACCAGCTGCACCTCTCCACCCGCACTTTTTCCAGGCCCAGGCGCACAACTCCTCTTTAGTATCCGCAACTCGATGTTGCGCTCAATTCCGAAATTCCTGTACAAGGGGAGGATGGCAGTTCGCACCGTGTCGGCGGAAATGTCGCCCGCGGGTGTCGCCCCCGTCACGCACCCCTCGCCGTGGAATACGACATTCATGTTGCCCTTGCTAAAGGGTGAGAGAATGCACAGAGGAACGATCCACCAGCTCACGCCGCGCGATGCGCATTCCTTATGTAGTTCGTGCCGGATGACGCCTCCAATGGCGCCTAGACCTTCTGAGGATCCGGTGATGAGACCCGGTCGGTATACCAGCGTCGTACCTGTCATGGAGAACTCAATGGAGGAGCCATTCGTAACGGCGTCGAGCAGGCGTAGAAAGGAGACCTCGGTGGGTGTGAGGCCTGGATGGGTGTGCGATGTGGACCGGATTTGCGATATCCGGATTGCGCGACCGGTGAGGGTGGCGAGCAGGAGACGGGTCCTTAGATGGCGGTGCCCTGTGAAGCGGAGAAGCGGCTGAGCTTCGGGTTCTGTCATGGCTGTGTGGGATGTGTGGATGTTGAGTTCTGAAGATACTCAGAAGGTTGGATGGGGAACTTTTTTGAGATTCTGCCCGGGCGGTGTGCTTAGCGTCTGAGGAACTGTGGCGCTTGCGCCGCACACAGCCACACAATTGATCAGCAACAGATTGGATGGCTCTGGTACCTTTGCACAGAGAAGGAAGATCTATTGACAGGATTCCAAACGATAGGAATGAAAGGTGATAGCGCCAAAGCACCACCTATGCTACCGCTCACTGCCTCTTCGGCCCCGAACTTGCGCTTCCGCTGCTTTCGCCTGCATCGCTGTCGTCCTCCATCGCCTGCTTCTCGTCATACTCCCTGTCCTCCTGATCCCTATACGGACCCTCCTCACCATCGCTCTCACTCAGTAGGTCGTCGTCGCTCTCGCCAGCAAAGGCATCGTAAAGCTCGCCGCCCCTCTTTGCCCTTCCCTTTCGCCTGCCCCCCGCTGTCCCGCTCAACATGCCCGCCCTCGCGCCACCCTCGTCGTCATCCGCGTCGTCTAGCATCTCGAACTCGTAGTTATCCCGGCTCGACCGCAGCCGCTTGCGCCGAGCAAGGAACAGATAAGTTGCCAGACTAGCGCAGAAGACAAGAATTAGCCCTATGCTGCCATAGATCCAGATTTGGGTGCGCTTAGACACACCAAACGTGGGGAAGGGGGATGGAAGGAAGTTTTCAGGTGCGCTTGAAGGTGATGACGATGCGGACTCCGTGGAGGCGGGGTTTGGCGATGGGCTAGGCTTCTGGTTGATGGGCCGGTTAGGGACGTCGCTGGGGTTGACAGGCGGCTTGGGGGTGCTCGAGGGCACGCTGACGGTCGTGGTGTGAGCTGGATGGCCGTCAATGACGTCGTGGTCATCGTCGTCGTGCTGAGTTGGCAAAGGTAACGGCTTCTGCTTGGAGGCATCGATGCATTCGCCCCAGAGGCGAAGCTTCCAATCCGTGAAGACGCCAGTCTTGCCATTGTCTTTGATGGTGTCCTTGACAATCACAGTCCACTTGCCAATGCCCTTCTCGCCAAAGTGCGCGACGCTCATGAAGGTCCAGTCAACGTAGCCAACAGCCGCATCATCGTCGCGGCGTGCCGTTGAAAGGTGACTAGTGACGCCGGCGGGACTGATAAGCTCGACGCTCAAATCGCCGCGACGCTCATGTTCGACGTTCATGGTCAGGGTGATGTGTTCGACCGTTTCGAGGTTGGCTTCCTTGAGCATGTCCGCGGTGACCTCGAACTCGCTGGCGAGGCCTTCGTCGCCCTCAGGGATCGGGGTCTTGACGTGCATCCAGGGCGAGAAGAACCATGCCTGAGGCTTCACATTCTTCCACGTCTTGGCCGTTTCGACGACAGCGTAGGCATCTAGCTTTCCATATCCGAACTGATGGCTAAAGGTGCGGCCGATTGCAGTCTTGGTCCAGTCGCTCGGCTGGTCGAACGGCACAGCAGACATGACGGTGATCCACTGCATGTCGCGCCAGGTGAGATCGGGCCGCGCTTGGAGCGCGAGAGCGTATATGCCCACTGCAATTGGGCCTGCAGCAGAGGTGCCACCATGCGAGCTCGTGCACTTGTTTGCGCCGACATCCGTGGTGTGGATCGAATCGCCGCTGCCGCTGCTGTACGTCACAGCAAGCTGCGCCGAGCATGCTTCCGAATAGTAGGGGTGCAAGTTCTGCTTGTCAATGGCGCCGACGGTGATGCTGTAGATGCTGTTGGTGTAGCCGTCAAAGTTGCAGTTGTCGTCGGCCGCCGCGCCATTGCCCGCGGCGAAGACGTAGATGGCCCCCTTGCCATCCCGCCCCTTTTGCACCGCATCGACCAGCGCCTGCTTGATGAGAATGCCTGGCGCCTGCATGGTCTTGCCGTCGTCCGGGGGGCCCCAGGAGCACGAGTAGAGGTCGTTCACCTCGAGACCATAGTTTAGGGCGAGGGCTTCGTCGACGTCGGTGATTTCGCCAGAGAGGATGCGGACGCCAGAAATCTTCGCGTCATAGGCGATGCCAACACCGCAAGCATTGTTTCTCCCAGCAGCGACCTCCCCAGCGCATCGGGTGCCGTGCCGGTCGTCGGACAGACGGGGCTTGGGGAGCTCGACGTGGTCATTAAAGTCGTAGGATCCAGCGGCGAAGAAGTTGTCCTTGAGGTCCTCGCTGTCCATGTCGAGGCCGTCGTCCACGATGCATGCCGTGACGTCCTTGCCCGTTATGCCCTGAAGCCATACATCCGTGACATTGACGTCGTTTCCGCGGTCCTGGACGTTGAAGATGTGCCACTGCTCTTCAAAGATGGGGTCGTTGATCTTGAGTGTGCTCGCGATTTCGCGCTGGGTCTTGACCGCCTCGCTCTCCTCCACGCCAGCTCGGCCGCTTAGGGTAGGGATCACGCTCCGCTTCCAGTGTCGCGGCTTCAGCTTTTGCTTCTGGGTGAATTTGATGCTGTCGAGGGGATGGTATTCAAGGCCAATCTCTCGCTTCCGCCGCCGCCTCCTGAGCTCTTGTCTTGCATCTTCAACAATGTCGTTTGCATGTTTGGGGGCCTTGAACAGGTGGAAATCGCATAGGGTTCCGAGCGGGCCGTCGTGATCGAGGCCGAGGTGTGCAGCCAGCTCGGCCGGAGACGTGGAAGAAGCGACGTGGATAGCATAGTAATCGTGGGTTGTATAGTTACGCGGCGGCAGATGGTGTCGCCCTGCTGATGCGAGGGACGTGGCGGCCAACAGGCCCCAGAAACTGATAAGGCGCATGGTGGGCGTCCTCAGAAGAAAGACGGGACCTATGGATCGGAAAGTAACATGAAACCAGGGCAAGACACTCTCTCGTAGCGATTCAGCGGAGAAACGGGAGGTGGAGAAGGCAGGCGTCGCCAAAAGATGGCAGCGTCCGCATGTACCAATGTGCCAGCAACAGGGCGCTGAACGCAAGAATGAAGGAGAAGACGGCTAAGAGAGAGTCTCGCAGCACCCGACTTGCAGAGTGCTGAGAGTGGTGAAAGCGGTCGTGGGGCGGAAGGGGGTAAGAAGGTGCGAAGGGAGCGGACAAGGCGCAGGGTCTTCGGAGGATGAAGGACAGATTCGCTATTGAGCCACACTTCTCACGTGGAGCGCCACAGCCTGATCCCTGACTGATCTAGGCCTATTTGGCAAGTGCGGGGTGGCTGGGGAGGATCCTTGTTCCCCGCCTTCCGCGTTTCCTAGCTCTCGGTCCCGCCCAGCCAGCGCATCGTTTCCCGACTCCCATCTTATTTCTTATAACCTCCACCTTCACTTTCACTCCCATCTTCACATATTCCTCTCCTCACTCGCTCTCATGCTTGTCTCTTGATTTTTGCGTTCGATTTCCATCAGCGTTCTGTGCCATCTTGTCTATATATACATATATATCTAGCATCATCCACGCCGGCTCCACAGCATTTGATAGCACCTCTTGACTGCCTCATTATCCCGTAAAACTTTATTTGCAACCTCCCTATATACATGCTTCGAATGCATTGACATCGACGCCAAACGTCCCAACGCCACCGCACCACCATCAGATGGAAGGACCTCACCCCGCCCCGCCGTCCAATGGCAACTACACTGGCACCAACAGGTCCCCGAATGCACCCCAACGACCTCTAGGAGAAGGCTACCCGCAAAAGCGCACGTCTTACCGCCGGCCCATTGATGCTCAATCGGCGTCGGCGCCGGCGCCAGTCCAGTATCCCGCTGTGCCCAATGCTGTGTCCAGCAACTCTGCGCGCCCCATCTCCGCCGTTGGACCCACTGGCTCGAGCGGAATAGCTAAGACATCTTCTCACCGGCGACGGCAAAGTCAATTTGCGCAGCCCCAAGCTACACAAATACCTCCGGCCCCAGATGTGCCACGCGGGCCCCCTCCCAGCTCGTACCGGGACCCCTATGCGCATCGAGGGAGTTCCAGGTCGCACACATCGTCCCGCTCCTACCCCAGATCCCGTGACCACGTCGTCCAGGCCAATGTCAACAGGTTGCAGCCAAACATCCAGATCGCCCCAGACAGATTGCGCTCGCCCGCAGAGCCGCCAGCTGGCGCTACCCCGACTCAGCAGCGCCGCCCCTCGGTTCCCGATCGATCACCACTCCAAAAGCTCGAGGGAAAACTAGACGACATTAGCAAAGAGGAGCGGAGGACGCGGATGCAGGAGCTCGAGTTGGAGGCCCAGGAGCGAGCAGAGGCGGAGGCGAGAGCCCGTCGCGCTCTTCAAGCAGCAGTGAATTCGAAGCAGCAGCGCAACGTGTCGGGGCCCCTGACCAGTGCCGGTATATCAAGCACGGTTCCCGGTCGGAGCTTGAATGCCAGACGCCACGTCTCGATGCCTGCACCGCCGAGGTCAAGGGCAAAAGAAGATGATGACTTGGATGGCTCAGAAGACGGAATAGTTTACGACCTGAGCGAGCCGTGGGATCCATCGGGCGGTGGCCCCGGAGTTTCACAAGCGCAAGCGTCGCGCCAGAGCAACCAGGCGGCTCATGTGAACCGAACCAGTGCGCCCGCGCAACCCATCAAGAGTGGAGAGCCGGCCGGGCTCAGTCGTGGATTGGGCAGCTTCCGCGACCGGAGTGGCGGCGCTCAGTGGACGGACAGGGCCGTAGATACGGATCAACGCATCCAGAGGAACGCAATTGCTGATACCAAAGGACTTGGGCTCTACGGTGTAGACGACGCGCCGCATGCAGCGCGACCACTAGGCGCCAATATTGGTCGCTACGACAGCAGGAGGTTGTCCAAGGATCTCCCTCCCGTTCCTGCAGGCACTGTGCAAAGCAGCGACCGGCGAAGAGATAGTAGAGGCATCATAGCGGCGCAAATGGAGATGAAGCAGGAACAGATCGACCAGAAGAATGGGACAAGGGGACCAAGCAGCGCCCCGCAGCCTCACGATCCCCCGACTTCAACCGCAGCGGAAGCAGGGCCTTCGGCAACGCAGAGCGGACCCGAAGCCTCGCGATCGTCGCATCATCACCATCATCTCTCCGATATGGTGGGCCACCACGAACCGGAGAGGAGATATGTACCGCCTCCGATGCTTCAGGAGTGGAAGGACGCCCCCGTTGCTGCCCTCCTTGCCGAAGACCTCGATTTGGATGTCCCCGAACGTTCTGAAAGCATCAAGAAGGCCTGGTGGGAAGAGAGTAGCGCATCGCGACGGCGACGATCAGGCAGCCACGGGGTAACCGCCTTGGACGAAGGGCACGTCGACGCTGCTACGGGCCAGACCAGCTTTAGCCCGCCGCTCTATCTTAAATGTGGCCCCCTGTTGCGGTACACGGGCATTCGTAGGGACAAGACCAAGTCGGGAGTGGAACGATTTATATGGCGCGGAAGCGTCATGATAGTCACCATCGACCAGCACTCGTCCTACAACAAAGTGCCCACTCTGCGCATATTCAAACAGCCCATGGACCTGCTGCCGCCCCCACCGACCGAGATTGATGCCGAAGGACAACCACTGCATCCGGCCTACGTGGATCCCTTGGAAGGACAAACCAAGATGTCCAGGACTGGGAAGACTCTCTATGTGAAGCCCATCGACGAGATACCTGAGAATAGTGATCCCTCGAGAGTTGAGGACGATCGGGGCCTATTTCAGGAGAAGCCCATCACATCGGCCCTCGACCGTGATCAATCCCGGCAATCTCGTCTGCAAAAGAAGTCTGGTGAGAAGGTGGGCAAGGTGCGGGAGATTGCAGGTGTACGGCTCCACGCGGAGCGAGGCGTGACGTTTTGGCGCTTCAATATCGAGGTTGAACTTGGATCTAGCCAGACACGCATCGCCTACCGCATCAACCGTGGCCCCGCCGTGGGATTCTGGGTGCCAGGCAAGGGCGAGAACATGAACATCATGTTTTACAGCTGCAACGGCTTTTCCTATGGCGTGGACTCGAAGGACTTTTGCGGCCCTGACCCGATGTTTAGGGATGTACTCAACAATCACCAGACACGGCCGTTCCATGTCATGATTGGGGGCGGTGATCAAATTTACAACGACGCCGCAATGAGGGAGACGACGCTCTTCAAGGATTGGATCGAGAGCCGGAACCCATTGCAGAAGCACAAGGCCAGCTTCTCGGAGGAAATGCAAAACGAGTTGGAGCAATTTTATCTGGACCGGTATTCCATGTGGTTCTCGCAGGGTTTGTTCGGCATGGCGAACGCGCAGATTCCTATGGTCAATATCTGGGACGACCACGATATCATCGACGTAAGTCTAAATCTGTTTTCAATCCGATTGATGAATGCGACGACTGACTGGTGCAGGGATTCGGTTCATATCCGCACCACTTCATGTCGACGCCCGTCTTCACGGGGCTGGGTGCTGTGGCCTTCAAGTACTATATGCTCTTCCAGCACCAGTCGGTGGTTTCCGAGACGGAGAAGACGGAACCGTCGTGGGTTCTGGGCGCGCATCCAGGACCTTACATCAAGGAGCAATCTCGCAGCGTCTTCATGTCACTGGGCAAGACGGTCGCGCTCCTCGGTCTCGACTGTCGCACCGAGCGTCGCCGCGACGAAATTTTGACAGAAGACTCGTACGACATCATCTTTGATCGATTGGAGGACGAGCTGGTCAAGGGCGAGACGAAGCACCTGATAGTGCTGCTGGGCGTGCCCATTGCCTATCCGAGGCTGAATTTCTTAGAGAACGTGCTGACCAGTCGACTGATGGATCCCATCAAGGCGTTGGGCAGGATGCGGCTCTTGGGAAACTTTGTCAACAAGTTTGACGGCGGCGTGGAGATTCTCGACGACCTCGACGACCACTGGACGGCGAAGCATCACAAGGAGGAGCGCAACTGGTTCATTCAGGAATTGCAGCACATCGCCCGGACCAAATCCGTCCGGGTCACCATCCTGGGCGGCGACGTGCACCTCGCGGCCGTCGGTCAGTTCTACTCGAACAAGAAACTGGGGATCCCTAAGGATAAAGACCATCGATACATGCCGAATGTCATCAGCTCGGCCGTTGTCAACACGCCGCCCCCGGACATCATGGCCGACATACTCAACAAGCGGAACAAGGTCCACCATTTGGATGCATCCACGGACGAGGACATGATTCCGCTCTTCACTCACGATGTGGATGATAAGAAACGGAACAATGTCCACCTCATGCCGCGCAGGAACTGGTGCAATATCCGCGAGTACAGCCCTGGATCGACCCCCCCAGCGACACCTGTACGCCCAAAGACGACCGGGAATAGCCCGCGTCTGACTAGGACTCTTTCAGATTATGCGCCCGGCAATTTGGCACGCAGGCTTAGCGGGCACGGGCAGCGTGGGCGCGACCGAGGGCCTCCAGTGTCCTACTACAACAATCCAGCCTTCGCCAATGCAGCGGAGGAGCAGGCGGGGGTGCAGTCCTCCTTCTCACCCGACAGTGGAGAGCAACGCCGGTCTCGCCGGAATTCACTGAGTAGCTTGTTCCGGAGCCGTGCATCGGTCGATTCGATTCATCATCCACCAGCTTCTGCGCACAGGCTGCCGGCGCCGAATGACAGGGACGACGTATCCATCGGCCGACCGAGTCCCTTTCACCGACGCCCGTCGGTCCTGGGTCGCAGAGGCTTGAAGCGTGAGGGCGAGTATATTGACCTCCAGGGCGGTCTGGACATCTTCATCAACGTTGAGGTGTCACGGAAAGACCCAGCGGGCATCACCGCGCCGTACAGATTATCGGTGCCGGTGCTACGGTATGAGGAACCAGAATCCGAGGCAGGCGGCGCGGTGGCAGAGAGCGAGCGGCGCAAGTCGCGCATCGGGAGCTTCTTCGGGGTGCTTGGGACCCGGAGGCGCCGAACGGTGGGTGACAACGGCTACTCGCATTCTGGCAGCTCCATCGCCTCGCAGTCCGGCGGCGAGGAGGAAGAGGCGGACGAAGAGGAGCGCGCGAGGCAGAGGTACAAGGTGGGCCCGCGCATCCTCATTCCGGGCTTCTCGAAGAAGCGCGACTCGGCTGCCTTTGCCGATGGGCCTACGCGTTCGCCGGCAGAGCGACGTATGAGCAGCGGCGTCGCGCAGCAATCCTCCACCACCACCCACGCAACCAGACGCGTCTCAGCACCCGTAGCTTCTTCGTACAACACGACTCCGGCGCTTGCTCCTCCTCCTCCTCCTCCACAGTCGCAGACGACGCCCACGCGTTCCGCAAGCACGCGCCAACCTACGCACAACTCGAGCCACAAGTCGCAGCTGCCCGCACCGGCACCGGAGCCCAAGACGTATAGGCGGAGCATGGGCGGCATCCTCAACCAGCAGCAGCGCGATCCGGCATGGGAACGCCAACAAGTGCATCATGGGCACGGGTCGCATGCGGCGGCGGCGGCGGCGCCTCAGCGAAAGCGGGATTCATGGCCGCCTCATCCGGCCATTGTGGGGCAGGGGCCTGGCAGTCCGTATTCGCGCGGACAGCTGGAGCCGCGCGACGGGCACACGGGGGGTTACTTTGCGTCTGGTGGTGGTGCGAGGAACGGGAATGCGGGCGTCGGTGCGAGGTATTTGGGTGGCGGGCGGTATGCGGACGGGAGTTCGGATGAGGAGGATGAGGATGAGGATGAGGAGGATGAGGGCAGGTATAGCGACGAGGTCGGGGAGCAGAGGGAGAGTCCGGATAGCTTTCTGCCGCCCAAGACGAGGTCCAAGTGGAAGATTTGGAAGGCTTGATGGGGAGATTATCCACTTTTGTTTTGTTTTCGTTTTTGTTTGATTTGGCCTTGAGTAGTTAGTGGTCTGCTTTGGTTGACTTTGGTATGACGGTGCGACGACGGTATGGGTAATGAGTTGGATGCGCGACTTGTGGTTTGGAAGCGATGTCGTTTTGCCTTGATTTGCGCAGCGTATACCATTTGGAGTTTGTTTTGTACCTTTCCCGGCAGTCATTTGTACATGTGCCTGCTTGATCTTGTCAATGTTTGCTAGTGTTGGACGGTATATATGAATGGTGGGTGGATAGGAGTGATAATGATAATGAGGGATGACTCTTTCTTTTGAAATAGGTCTTTGTATTCAAATATCCCGGGGAGGTATCTAGTGGACCAACATGAGGACCTCGCAGCCCTGTGCAAACAAAAACGCCCTGCTGGAAAATCATCATTATTCGTAACTTCGTAACACATCAAAATTTTTTCGTGTGGGTATCGTGAAACATGGCTCAAGGACTCCTGAATGTCCCAGGCAAATAGCCCCTGCCTACTTTGCATGGTTGACAATCTCGTCGTACAAGTCGTCGGGGATACTCGCGGCCAGCCGGACGGCCTGAGAAATGGTGGCCTTGGCATTGAGGCTGGGGAGGTTGCGCAGGATCTGATTGGGACTGGGAGACAACGTCAGCATTGAAGGGCGACAGAATCTGCCGTGATGAGAGTCGACACCCACCTGGAGCTCTGCAGCAACTCGTCACGTATCAGAATGAGCTGCGCGACGATGCACAAGATATTCAAATGGGGCCCGTATGCGAAGAGGAAATCCCACAGCTGGAGGACGTCAGGGAGTCGCGGGGTGCAGGCGCAGAGGGTGAGGACAGAGGGGAAGGCGTAGATGCGCGCCTCGAGACGGTGGGACATGAGGTGTTGGTAGAGACGGGGGTCGCACTCTTGCAGGACGCGGTCGACGAGGGCCAGGCCCTTGTGGACGCCCTCCATGGAGCCCCGGACGTAACCCGGCAGTTCGCGCGTGATGAGCTTCTCAAAAGCGGCAAAAGCCTCGACCTCGCTGCGGGCGGCGTAGAGGAAGGGCCCGCAGAGGACATTCATGCCCTGGACGTAGCCAATCTGCTCGGCGTCGGTCGTGGTCGAGGCTTCGGTCAGGCCGCCGCCCGTCGTCGTCGTGAGCGAGGTGCGCGAGAGCAGCGAGGTATCTGGGCTGCCGCCGAATTCAGACAGGGTGGGAGGCGACATCCAGCCGTTGACGCGGGCCTCGTGGGCGTCGTTGAGGCGCCAGGCGACGGCGTTGAGGACGCGGGTGATGCTGTTCTGGGTGACGCGGCGGCGGAAGAGCGGGTCGCCCTGGAAGGTGCGGAAGGCGTCGTTCTGGATCTTTGCGTGGGCGGGGGATGCGCCCTGGCGGACGAGGTCGAGGTAGACGTCGGTGCTGAGGGGGGGAACGTTGAGGAGGATGAGCCAGGCGTAGATGCGGACCTCGGACTGGGTGATTTGTTAGTTATTCTTCCAACGGACAGGTGCTCACTCACCCTGCCCTCGCTGTTGGCTGGGATGCCGTCGAGGAGGATGTGCTTTCGAAGGTCCTTCAGCTTGTCTTCCACGTTGTGGCCGGGCCCCTGGAGCATCAGAGCCTCGAGGCTGGCCATTGGAGCAAAGAGGGCGTGACAATTGAATTGGGTAACAAGGGAGGGTGCGTAGATGTCGACGGGTCGTTGTCGTGAAAGTGTCTGGGTGGGAGAAGTGTACCAGTGCTGTGTAGTCAGGAAGTCGCGATGGGACGCGCTCGTGCCTGCCTGTCCAGGTTTCCCTTTTCGGATTAGCGCGTTCTTCGGAACGACTTTTCGAAGCTTAATTGCACCTCACTCGATGAAGTTCCTCCCCGCCTTCCTCTTCACACTTCACCTTTCAACCTTCACCTCCCACGACAGTATTTCGTCCCATTCCGCCTCAGCTGCTCGTTTTTGGTCTCGTTTCTTTACAAGTACTATGCTGGCTGGTCAACAACTGAGCAGCACTGCGGCTGGTACTCCGGATAATCGCATCCCGATTCCCCGGCAGGCCCTGACCTGAAGCCGTCACTCGCGATTACCAGTAGAGAACTGTCAGCTTCTTCTTTATCGACAAGGACTTGATGCGCTCCAGTCCGCAAGCAAAGATGCCGACATCAGAGCCACACGGGGTCCACCGAGCCATGCGCCGCCGTCTTTGTAGCGCCGGACAGCTTGTTCTGCTACACCAGTGACCACAGCATGGTCTCCTCTTTCTTTCTGCTGAATCATTCTTGTCTTGGATGTCCAGCCTGGCATGACGTGCCAGTAATGTGGGTGGGTGGGGACAGGGTGCCCACCGAGGAAAGAGAGGAAAAGACGACATCTGCTCCCCCGAGCACGCAATCCGCCCCCTGTGCGCTCCCATTGGCTGCGGCGCCACCCCGGCTTCTCGCCTCTGCCCTGGCCCCGTCTCTCCGCCTGTCCATGTCCTTACCAAAGCAAATGGCATTTACCGTACCGAGTCCATGCTACCAAAAAAGAAAGTCTCTACTACTCCTACTGTGGTAGGTCTACGGAGTACTCCACCATGAGACCGTGTCATCATCCATCCAGTCCCCCTGCCTGTTCGGACAAATGACAATCTCCGCCATGCAAGCGTGCCAGATTTGGACCCGTGGCTTGCCTGCAACCACTCCCTCAAATTCCAACCACCATCCTTTGTGACCTTCCCTCTCACTGATCCATCCTTGCGGTGGCCTGCTTCGTTTCTTCCCCTTTGGACGCCCCCTTGATCGCGTCATCCAGCTGCGAGAAACGCAAGCCTACCCTCTCCCACGCCCGTGACGTCCTCGATTGCTCGTCCTGTTGTCTGGGAGAAGCCTACTATATTTCCCCTCCACCGGGTCTGGGTCTTATGAAAGCTTGGGAAGCTTGACCCTGCGCAGCTCACTCTCCCTTGGACGTCCATTGTCATCATTCATTCCCACTACTCGCCTGTTCCCCTCTGCAGGCCCTCTTGATGGCCTCAACCACGACCAAAGTCGGGCATGCGCTGGCCAAAGTTCTCGGAATCGATCTCCATTACCGCAGCGAAACGGGTTCCGACCGTGTCACTCGCGGCGAGTCCGCCTTCTCCATCGAGTCGGCAGATACCTATGTCGAGCGTGAACCTACCGCTGCCGAGTGGTTCCGCGAGATAACTCCCTCGCGACACGACGTCGTCCAGTACTTTGTCCGACTCTTCCCCTTCCTTCAGTGGATCACTCGCTACAATGTCCAGTGGCTCATTGGTGACCTGGTCGCAGGTGTGCAGCCTTCCTCTCCAAACAGCATACAACCCGTCCACTAAACGAGCCTAGGCATCACGGTGGGAGCAGTGGTTGTGCCCCAGAGCATGGCCTATGCGAAGCTTGCCCAGCTGCCCGTCGAGTATGGTCTCTACTCGTCCTTTATGGGCGTCTTGATTTACTGGTTCTTCGCCACGTCCAAAGACATTACCATTGGCGTATGTATTCTCAGTCCCTCCCCCGGGGGCCTGGTTGCTAATGGAGCAAGCCCGTCGCCGTCCTGTCCACCGTCACGGGCAACGTCATCCTCAAGGTGCACGACAAGCTGCCCGACGTCCCTGCCGACATGGTGGCATCCTCACTGGCCATCATTGGCGGCTCCATTGTGCTCTTCATGGGCCTCGCCCGCCTCGGTTGGATCGTCGAGTTCATCACCCTCGCCGCCATCAGCGCCTTCATGACCGGCTCTGCCATCAACATCGCTGCTGGCCAAGTACCCGCCCTCATGGGCATCACGGGCGTCAAAACCCGCGAGGCGACCTACAAGGTCATCATCAACACCCTAAAGCATCTGGGCAGCTCCGACCTCAATGCCGCCATTGGACTGACTGCCCTTACCATGCTGTACCTGATTCGGTTCGTGTGCGGATACCTTGCCAAACGCTATCCCAGCAAGCAGAAGATGTTCTTCTTCATCAGCACTCTTCGCACGGCATTCGTCATTCTGCTCTATGTCCTCATCAGCTACCTGTGCAATCGGTCGCATCGCGCCAACGGCACCAAGCCCATATTTTCGACGCTGGGGAAGGTCCCACGAGGTGCGTAATCCATTCGGTAGCCCAATCATGTGTTTGTAGACTAATCAATGTATAGGGTTCAAACACGCCAGAGTCCCCGTCGTCACGACGGAGATCATTTCTGCATTTGCTTCCGACCTTCCATCCACCGTCATTGTCCTCTTGATTGAGCACATTTCGATTTCAAAATCCTTTGGAAGGGTCAACAACTACACCATTGACCCCTCGCAAGAGCTGGTAGCCATTGGCGTCACCAACGTCCTCGGACCCTTCCTGGGTGCATACCCCGCCACGGGCTCCTTCTCCCGAACGGCCATCAAGTCGAAAGCCGGCGTCCGCACGCCCTTTGCCGGAGTCATCACGGCCATTGTGGTTCTGCTCGCCATCTACGCCCTCCCGGCCATGTTCTGGTACATTCCCAATGCGGCCCTCTCCGGCGTCATCATCCACGCCGTCGGAGACCTCATCACGCCTCCCAACACAGTCTACCAGTTCTGGCGCATCTCCCCCTTGGAAGTGCCCATCTTCTTCGCCGGTGTCATTGTCACCATCTTCAGCAGCATCGAGGACGGCATCTACACCACGGTGGCCATATCGGCGGCTCTCCTGCTCTTCCGCATCTGCAAGGCGCGAGGGCGCTTCTTGGGCCGAGCAAAGATCCATTCCGTCATTGGAGATCATCTCCTTGACCCTGACGTGGAGAACAAGGACAAATCCGAGTATCCCGAAGACAAGCCCGTCCGCAAGAGCCCCGCAGAAGGCGAGGATTCTGTTCGCGATGTCTTTCTGCCCATCGATCACCAGGATGGGTCGAACCCGCTCATCGAACTCGAGGACCCTTACCCCGGCATCTTCATCTTCAGGTTCTCCGAGGGATTCAACTACCCCAACACCAACCACTATCTCGACCAGCTCGTGGATACCGTGTTCAAGAAGACTCGCAGGACGAACCCGGCCACCTATGGCAGACCTGGCGTAAGTTTGGCCGTCTTTGCGTTGTAACTCCCGCTAACAGCTTCCAGGACCGGCCGTGGAACGATCCCGGCCCGCGGCGCGGGAAAGAAGTCGACCCCACGGATTCGCGGCCCACGTTGAAGGCCATCATTCTCGATTTTTCGTCGGTCAACAATGTCGATCTCACGAGCGTACAGAACCTCATTGATGTCCGCAACCAGCTCGATCGCTACGCCGCTCCGGATACGGTCGACTGGCACTTCTGCCACATCAACAACCGCTGGACCAAGCGGGCCCTGGCTGCTGCCGGCTTTGGGTATTACACACCGGAGTCGGAAGACGGCGCCGTTCACCGATGGAAGCCCATCTTCAGTGTAGCCGAGATTGGCGGAGAGGCAAGCGCGGCGGCCGAGGCCGAGGCCAGAGAGAATAGGATGGCGCGCAAGGCGTCCCGTGCAACTGTACAGGACATCGAAGGGCTGGCTCCGTCATCCGACGACACCTCCGAGTCTGATCCCTTTGAACGAGAACTGACCCAGAGCAAGGCCTATGGGACAATGCACAAGGCGACAAGGATCGCGGTGGTGCAGGGGCTCAACCGGCCTCTGTTCCACGTCGACATCACGGCTGCCTTGAACAGCGCGCTCGCCAACGTGCACAGGAAAGCGCATTGAGCTGGTTCGAGAGGAGATGTTGCACACGGCGTTGTTCGTTTTCTTCTGCACATTTCATGATGATACCAACACGTACACGCATTTTTCACCATGTAGGCAGTCATGTAGATGCCTATAGACGATTTGATATTCTGTGACTCTTCCTGTTGAAGATGATATCTCGTCGAGTTATAGCCCTTGCAGCTGAAGCTCCTTCTGCAGAGGTGTTGATGATTTAGAATGCCCCTCTGCACTCTGTTGGCGAGACCCCAGCCATAACGCGCTAGTCTGCTTACGTCTTAGCGTAGCTCTGCGGGCAAGAGTACCTGGAGCTAAAGGCATCGCATAGCTGTCCTTTACCCTAATCAGCCCGCGAAATCCTCCCACGTCTCTCTCTCCGGCACTTTGAGCCTCGTTTTTCTTTTGCTGTACAATGATACAGTCCCCTTAGCACTCTGCGTGCACCTCACTCTTTTCCCCGTCCCATTTCCGGCGTCCGAGCAATTGTACCTTCCGAAAGACGACTACCCGAATTCCCGCCTTGCAAAGACATCTGTGCAACGGCCTTCAGAAAAACCTGCCTGCGGCACAACAGAACTCGCGCCGTTCTCTGGCATAGCTGCACAGCTCAGATCCTCCGCGTGGTCTGCAGCACCACGATGCCGGCCAAGTCGCGGTTCACTCGGCTCGATGCCTTCACCAAGACAGTCGAGGATGCACGCATACGGACAACGTCGGGCGGTATCGTAACCATAGCAAGCTTAATCATCATATTATGGCTGGCCTGGGGCGAGTGGGCAGATTACCGGAAAGTTATCGTGCGGCCAGAGCTGATTGTGGACAAGGGAAGAGGAGAAAAGATGGAGATTGCAATGAACATCACGTTCCCGCGCATGCCGTGCGAGTTGCTAACCTTGGACGTCATGGATGTATCCGGGGAGCTTCAGATGGGTGTTAACCATGGCATTAACAAGGTGCGCTTGTCGCCGGAGAGCGAGGGCAGCAAAGTCATTGAGACCAAGGCATTGGAACTGTGAGTGGTTGCCATCCCCAGAACCTTGCGGTGCCGAGTCCCTTGGATATAGCGGACTAATAGAATGCGCAAGGCACAAGGAGGAAGCCCAGCATCTTGCACCCGACTACTGCGGCGAGTGCTACGGCGCCCCGCCCCCCGCGACTGCATCCAAGCCCGGCTGCTGCAACACGTGCGACGAAGTGCGAGATGCGTATGCCTCGGTATCCTGGTCCTTTGGCCGCGGCGAAGGCGTCGAGCAGTGCGAGCGCGAGCACTACGCCGAGCACCTGGACGAGCAGCGCAGGGAAGGGTGCAGAATCGAAGGCAGCATCCGCGTCAACAAAGTCATTGGGAACTTCCACATCGCGCCCGGCAAGTCCTTCTCGAACGGGAACCTGCACGTCCATGACCTGGAGAACTACTTCAAGGATGCAACGCACACCTTTACGCACAGGATCCACCACCTGCGCTTCGGTCCGCAGCTGAGCGACGCCGTCATCCAAGACATGCAGAAGAAGCACCAGAACACGGGCCCGGGTGGCTGGACCAACCATCACATCAACCCCCTCGATAACACGGAGCAGCACACGGAGGACAAGACCTTCAACTTCATGTACTTTATCAAGGTGGTATCGACGGCCTATCTTCCGCTGGGATGGGAGAAGGAAGCGACACGGCCGAGCAAGCACGACGACCTGCTGGGCGCAACCATTGACGGCAGTTACAAGGGCAGCATCGAGACGCATCAATACAGCGTCACGAGCCACAAGCGCAGCTTGACGGGTGGCCCCGACGAGGAGGGAGGCCACAAGGAGCGCATCCATGCACGAGGCGGCATCCCCGGCGTGTTCTTCTCCTATGTTCGTGCACGTAACCCTCCTGCTCGTTCAACGCACTGATATTGTACTAGGATATCTCACCCATGAAGGTCATCAACCGTGAAGTCCGCCCAAAGACCTTCTCGGGCTTCCTTGTCGGCCTCTGTGCCGTCGTGGGCGGCACGCTGACTGTGGCGGCGGCCGTCGATCGCGCACTGTACGAGGGCGTGAACCGCGTGAGGAAGTTGCACTCGAATTGAGGGGAGTGCGGGGTTGTATAGGTTTTTGGGATTTCGAAACCTGCCATTATCTGTCTGGTTTCCGGCGTTTGGGGCGCGATCAACCATTGTTTCTATCAGGTTCAGCGCAAGAGGGGCAAGAATGGGAGACGCGGGGAAGAAGCGAAGAGGGATGAGGATATATCAGGATTGTTTGTGGGTTCTAGCGACGGGGTGCATCTATTTCTATACTTGTGACATAGATGGAGAGAAGGGCGAATGTGAATGTGATACCATGTGTTTCGTCATCATGTTCAGTTGGCCTTGGTCTGTCCTGCCCAGAAGGCTCAATGTCGTGCCAGTTATTTCCAGTCTGATGATGATGATAACGATGATGATGATGGCGTATTGCGCATGTAGGTATATCGACAGCTAAATCTCATATCGGCAGTATATGCCTCTACATACAAGTACAGAGGAGGAGGCCGGCCCATGTATATACACCACCGTACCCTTCCCGTGTATACCATCTTGCCTCCCGGATCCCGAAACATCGTCTCGAGAAAATGCTATGTAAACCGGATATATAGTTCCCGGCAAAAGTAGAAGAAGAAGAAAGAAAGAATATCCACGAAGAAGAGAAAAAATATCCACGAAGAAGAAAAAAATAACCCTCTCTTCGCCGCCGACGGCCCTGGCGCCAGTATCGCACGGCCATTTGCATTCGGTCAAAACCAAACAGCCAATCTACAACATATCTAAACTACCTCAAACATCCCGCTGCCGCTGCCGCCGCACATTCCTGCCCCTTCGTCTCGCTCCTCCCGGTGTTGTAGACGTCTGTTGAGCAGGAGCAGGAGAAGAAAGAGGCGAAGTCACGGTAACGAAGACAGTCTTTAGATCCTTCCTCCCCGTGCTCGTCCCCGTCCCCGTGGCACCCCCCCGATCCCGACCCGTAGGGATAGGAATAGCCAGGTCCTCGTCTCCTGTTTCTGTGACAGTGTGCGCGGTGCACGTCTTAGATAGTGGTGGAGAAGAAGGGGGAGAAAGAGGAGAAGCGGGTGCTTCTTGCGCGGGAAACGACGCGGACGGCGCGGAAGAAGGGGGTATGAGGGGAAGAGTGGATGTGGGCGTGGGCGTGGTGGATGCTGTGAGGGTGGGTGGAGTAGGGAGTGCAGGAGTGGTGGTGTTGATGCTGGCGCTCTGCTTGGCTGTCGAAGTTGGGGCGGTTTGGATCAGAGAGGGAGGATTGCCGGAGTTGTCATCTTGCTGTGGTCCAAGGGGCCATTGGAAACCTTGTAGTGGACCATTGCCTGCGCCTGCGCCTGCGCCTGCTCCTGCGCCTGGGGCGTTTGTTGGGAGGGGTTTGGGTGCTGCTGAGGGTTGGTTCTGACTTGTAGTGGTTGAGGTAAGGGTAGACTGTGGTGGTGCGGCCGAAGGAACGCTGGGAGCGATGGAGGTAGGAGGGACCGGTGTTCCAGTCGCCGAGGGAGCTGTCGGGGTCCTAGAGGCGGATCGGACGGATGAGGTACTAGTCGCGTTGGTAGGCAGTGAGAAGGGCGTGTCGACAACGGACTTGGTCGTCGTCTGTATGGGCTTCCCTGAAGACAACGGAGACGTTTGCCCTGGCGCACTCGAGGTTTGCCCTGGCGACTCAACTGGTACTCCCCCAGAGGGAATCAGACTCGGTGCAGTAGACGATGGAACCGGTTCCGACGGCTCCGGCTCAACACCTTCACCATCATCCCGGTACACCCTCAGGGCATTAATACTCCAATACGCCTCGCCAAACGCCTCGGGATGATCCCGCACATAATCCTCGCACGTCGCCGCCTTGGCCTTGCACGTCTCGCTCTGTCCCCACACAGCGCCCGCCCAGACACCACAAAACGTCGTATCAATGACAATCTGCTGGTCCCTGAAGACGGATCCGACGTCGCAACCCGCCCCCGCGAATCTCGCCATCGGAGTCCCCCACGACGAAGGGTCGGGCGCGTCGCCCAGGACGTCGGCGGGGATCGCGGTCCGAGGGAAGAAGTAGACGCTGATGGCCTCGTCGGTCCACAGCGTCGCGTAGACGCCGCCTTGGATCTCGTTCAAGCCAGCCCCGTAGCTCTGCGTGCTGGGCGATTCGATGGAGCAGCCCGCATTCGGGAGTTGGTCCGGGGCGTGGATGTCGCAGTTATCTGTCCTGGCCTCGCCCGTGAAGGCGCCGGGGGATGTCGAGATGGAGCACCCGGGCCCCGTGTGCAGCGTCATGGCGTTGCCTTGCTGGTCGTTGACGCCCTCGAGGATGTCAATCTCGCCGTTGAAGGGCCAGTTGGGGCCCACCATCCAGAAGGCCGGCCAGGTCCCGCAGCCCGTGGGCATGTGCGAGACGTCCAGGACCACGAGGAGGCCGCTGTTGTACGTCTTCTTGCTCGAGAGGCGCACGGAAGGTCGGCCTTGGGGCGTCACCTTGGTGCTGTCGACGGCCAGGGTTATGGGGCCCGTGGAGCTCGAGTTGATCAGGCCCATTTGCTGGGCGAGGGATTGGTCGACGTATTGTACGAATCCTAAGGGAAGTTTAGTAATGGTTTTTGTCCAGTGTTGGGGATACGTACCCTGGGTGGGATCAGGCGCCGTGAAGAAGTCAAAGCTGCCGAAGAAATCCTTCATGTAGTCGTCCTCGAGAACATAGCCTGCTATGGAGAGACGCAAGAGGGCGGCGCCCGAAAGGAATGTGGAGAAGTGCATCGTAACGCTGAAAGAATGACTTGCGGACTAGCCGCTAAGAATAAAGAAAGGAGAATAAAAATAAGAGAAATGAAGAAAACAAAAGGTATTGCTGCAACAGTAGTAGACAGCTCCTTGACCGATGTACCTGAACAAGACGCGAAGAATGGGGGACTGCCATGTATATAGCAGGTCGAGTCCCAGAGACCCACAGCTTTGTACTTGGAACGCTTGATCAACAAGCATCGTCGGCATTCGGCTTGCCTACCAGTTCGTTTTGTGTTAACGGCATCTACCCTCTATCGAGCTACTGTCTCAGCATGGCACGAGAGCCAGGACGCGATCAGGGCGAGATACACCATGAGTGGAAGAACGTTTTAATGAGAAGGCTCGACCAAACCAGCGCGAGATGCAGGAGCCAGTCAACCGCATGCAGAGCGGCTACCGATAAACAATCGCGCACGACGGATGCTGGTGATTCGCCCCTGAAGGGATGTCGATTGTTTCAAGGTCATGGTCGCTGTGGGGTGGGACGAGCCGCGAAGGGTGGCGCTTGAAACAAACAAATCTCTTGGATGCAAACACTTGAGCGGGGGAGGCTCGTCCCTTGTTTTATCGACCGTTTCGTGGGCAAGGGGAAACGACGAGTTGAGGGTCGTTGGCCGTTTGGATGAAACACTCAGGGGTTTGGTGGGATGGACGCGGCAAAGATGGTGTTTCAGGTGAGTGATTCGCCTGGGGTACTCCAGACGACGTTGCCATGATTTTTCAGTAGTCAGATATCAGGACAAGCAATGCGTTTTCAAAATTCTCAGAAAATGATTTAAGAAGCCGAAGAATCGACTTGGACAAATGATACTTTGCCGTCAAGAAATGTTGTTGTTGTGACGCTTCCGTTCCGGTTCGTTGACAGAGCTGGAGGCGGGGCAAGAATATTGCGTATAGGGCATACACAGTGTTCAGTCGCAATGTGATCGAAGCACTTATTTTGGTAGCTATAGTCGACCACCCAAGTCTGCAAATTTGTAGTGCTAGGCGGAGCGATGCTTACAGTATTCTTACAGTTCGTCTTGTAAGGGTATCCCCATAATGGTCCCCATTTCGTGAATTCACTAGTTAGGGAGCGCTTTGGACATCTCCGTTCCCCACGGGAAGTCTCCAAGAGAAGGAAACCGTCAAAGTCAGCGAGCCGCTGCTTATTATTAACCTTGGGAGACACTCACTTACATTTAGGCTTGTAAACAGCCGCGGAAGTGACGTCGATGCGATCCTTCAATCGCCTCTAAAGATAAAAGGCCCTCGGCATCTCACTTGGGAGGGTAACGGTACCTACTAGGTACACCAGGTTTAGATCCCACGATTTCGAGGCAACCAATAATCAGATTGGAAACACAACCCCACATCCGAAAACAATGCCCGAACCAAGTCAAGATACCCCCTTCCACGTCCTCGTCTTCAGCAAAACCACGGGCTACCGCCACACCTCCATCCCCGCGGCCCTAACCGCACTCCAAGCCCTCGCATCCCGCACCGGAAAATTCACCATCGAGGCCAGCGAAGACGCAAACGCGACAATCACTGCCCCCTCACTCAACCGCTTCGCAGTCGTCATCCTACTGCAGAACACTGGTGACTTCCTCGACGAAACCCAACTCGATGCCCTGAGGCAATTCCTCCGAGCCGGCGGCGGCGTCGTGGCGATCCACGGCGCCGCAGCCGGCTTGCTCGATTGCGACTGGTATGGCGAGCTCATCGGCGCGCATTTTGCGAATCACCCCGATCCGGAAAGGGGAGATGTTTTGGTCGAGGCGCCCGAGCATTGGATTTTGAGGGGTTGTTGTGAGGGTGAGGCTGGGCGGAGAAGGGAGGGATGGATGGATGAGTGGTATAATTTTACGACGCATCCGCGGTCGAATCCGAGGTTGAAGGTGTTGCTGAGGGGGGATCCGAAGTCTTTTAGTGGTGGGCAGATGGGGGATGATCATCCGCTGTCGTGGTGTCAGGAGTTTGAGGGTGGGAGGGTGTATTTCACGGCGCTGGGGCATTTTGACGAAGCGTACAGCAATGGGTGGTTCATGGATCAGATTTATCGGGGGATTCTATGGGCTGCGGGGCGGGGCGAGGTGGAAGGGTGAAAGGTTTAATGGTAGTTATGCACCGTGACCCATTTCTAGTGACTTTGTAGAGGGATGGTAGTAGCTGGAGGATGGGATGCCCAATACCAGCAACACCCTCATCTGCACGGTAGGAGTACAGCATTCGGGAAATGAACTAGCTTGGCCCTACCAGAGCTTACTTTATAGACCATTGCTGTAATACTGTGGAATCTGACGAGTCGGAGCAAGCTCAGGGTCCCACTTAGACATGATAGGACATCACTGCTACTAAACTCTGAGGGCCAATGTAACGAGGGCTACTATACCACAAACGCTCTGAATTGTAGAACCTCCGAGCAACCAGCCGGACGTACACGGAACGACCGTGAAGCGCTTGCAAGTCGTTTGATTTTTCGTAGATTTAGGACTTGTTGAAAGCCAGCCCAAATGTAAGACGGGGGCGTTGAAGCCTATAAAACCAGAAAAGGGATGAACGGAAAAGAAGAAATCAACCTCTCTGCATCATCTGTCTGAAACGTCTCTCTCAGTAGTCGTCGCCTCGAGAGATGACTTCTTTGCAGGTCGGGCGGAGTAGGACCGTCTTTCGGCTGGTGTCAGCAGCTACCCAAATTGTATGCGCGTGTTATACTCACATGCTCGAATTGCGCAACGTACGACCCCGGGACGTCCACCAGAGGCGCATACGACTGAACAATGCCACGGGCGACGAGCGTCCTCATGCCCAGGTGGTAATTCTTCGCCCCAACGCGCTCAAGGTAGCTCCGAGAGAAAGGTATTGTGCCGAAATTGGCATCAATCATCTTCAACAGCGACTTCGCAGAGGCGTGATGGAGTCCGGCGATGCTAGCGTGCTCGTTGCGTGAATAGCCATAGACTCCGACGTCGTCGTCCAGGTACCCCTTACCGGTCGTGCCAAACGTTTCGATTGCAAACACTTCGCCCTCCTCCATGCGCTGTGTGCTTGTGGTCTTGACGAATGGCACCTGCTTCTCGCCATGGATGCGGTAGCGCAGGATGTTGTGGCCGGTGATGTTCCGAACGGCCTTGACAGGAATCGTCTTCCCCTGGAGCTCGACCTCGTAGCTTTCCATGACTTCCTGGATCGCCGCGCTCACTTGGGAAATCCTGGCATCGATTCCAGCTTCCTGCACATCCAGTTAGTGCAAGGAGTTACCGTACAACCCATTCCACGAACCTTGAGCCCGGTATTGGTCGCTGCCTTGACGGCAGCGAGGAGGTTATCGTAGACGGGGTTGAAAGCGACGGTAAAAGCACTGTCGACGATCCGGCCGCTGACATGGACTCCGAAATCCACGGACAAGACATCGTCATACTGAAGAATGACCTCCTTCGCTCCCGGGTTGGGCGTCCAATGAGCGGCTACGTTGTTGATACAGAGACCCGTTGGAAATCCCATTCCGGCTTTAAGTGCATCGCCCGTCTCAATGCCTTGATGGCCAGTCAGTGCCCGTACGCCATCTTCAATCTCCTGAGCAAGCCTGCTCATGGAAATCCCGGGCTTGATCAGCGTCTGGGCGTACTGGCGGACTTGACGATGCACCTCGGCCGCCTGCCGATAATCACTTAGGAATTCGTCGTCCACGTCGTTGACGAGAGCCACGTGACGAAGTTCCTCGCCCGTCGTACGCTGCAGATTCTCATCGCGTCCAGCATAGGCTTTGATTTCGCCTTGGGGATACTCTTTACCCTGGAAAATGCGGGAAAGCTCAACCCTTGGAGGAGTGGTCTGCGCTGTGAATGCTGTCTTTTTGCTCTTCTTTCTTCTGTTATTTCTACGTCTCTTCTTCTTGGCTGCTGGGTGTGAGCTCTGATTCCAAGAGAGGGAGATGGGTCTTCTTACTATTGCTTAGGTCGGACCTGGGGTTGCCGCCGTCATCGTCGTCGTCGTCATCGCCATCTTCATCCTGCCCTTCGAGAGCGCCTGGGATAAGGCCCATCGCAGCGGCCTGTTTGGGAGGATTGACGGCATCAATGGTCGCGTGTGCGGGCGACTCTGTCCAAGGTTGTGAGTACTATAACTTCCATCAAGGCTGGTCATGACTCCTCCATACCATTGGGGCCGTGCCGACGACCGTCTGGCGTTTTGGAACCCATTTCATCTGCAACGTTGGTGGGGAGTTTTACAAGCTGGCTCTATGAAAAAGCGGGGTCTTCACTCAAGTCTTACCGTGGTTATTAATAATCATCAGGTGCACGGTCTTATCTGATGATGCATGCTATACCACCTCCTCTGTTGTCCGACTGAACAAATGCCTGTACCTCTACCTCTGCTCCAAGTTAGATTACTTATTTCAAACAATTTCAGTTGGTCACATCCTAATTACGCTGCTGAGACACGGCGTTTTAGAGCTGATGTACCTAGACGGAGGCGCTGTTAAGAAGGAAAAAAAGCTAATCAGAAGGTTAATAACCCCGAATTAAGCTATATTTTAAACTACAATAGGATTGCATCCCTATTAGGAGGTAAACGAGTTGTTTCCTATAATACTCATCCATAAAGAATAGCCATGGCGGCGGATTGGGAGATGGGTGACACTACCAATTCTCCGCTCTTTCACTGCTTCGCATTCTCTGAATAGATGAAGTTCGCACCTGGCCAGGGTTATCAGACGACTTGGTGCATGCGTGGCTTTCGAATGGGATACCCACCCACTGGGATCAAGCCATTCTCCTCGGCCCACTCCCGGACGCCGCCTCCTTTCTTCCCAGTTCCCCAATGCTTGCGCTCGCTTGGCTTGCTCAGGTTGAGGGGCGACGTCGTCCCATTCCGAGGAGCGAACGCTAGGAAAACATAACGATGCTTTCCCGTCTTGGGCGGAGGGCCTGGCGGCTTCCATTCCACTACTTCATCATCGAGAGTGCCCTTTGCTTCACGCCCCAGCATGCCCCCAGCATCCACAATCGAAGGCAGAACAGAGTGAGTCTTCCGAGAGAGAGACACATTAGCAACAATCCAGTGGCACATTTCTGCCCATTTTGGATCCTCCCGAGAGGGGGCGTCTGGGTCAGTAAGTGTCAGTACGTAGGTCATGTTGCTGGTTGACCAGCCGCCTGAACTTGTGTCGTCGTGGAGACGAACGGTAGGCCGATCTTGCACATGCTTAGGTTTGATTGTGTTTCCCAGATTGGCCGTTTTCTTGGCCCAAGCTACGGAGAGAGCCAGACTGGGGAGGAAGTCATCGATGACTACGGTATGCTCTTTAGTCTGGAGAAGACCCTTGGGCGGAATGGGGGCAGTGGCCTGTACCTGTTGGGATGATCTCTGCCTTGAGAAGCCTGGCCACTGCTTAGTCGAGCCGTTTGTGTTGACCTCCATTACCCTGGAAACCTACTCGCGTCGCACCTGATGAGGGTTCGCTGGTAGAAGATGCTGCAGAGGTGTTTGATCGGCCGGGCGAGCTATTGAGGGCCCAAGGAAGCTCAGATGGAGTGCACTAATGAAAAACGTATGAGTGAAGAGCATCATTGGATGATCAGACTAGTTGTGGATTTGGTTATTAGCCAGCACTCTGTGTACAGGCACACTACGGTGTACTGTGTACATAGTAGGAACGTGAGGTCAGTAGATGGATATTGCATATCATAATGAGCTCGCCCAGCACGATGCACATGTCGTCATCGCCTCTCCCTTCTCTTGCTGTTCACGAATCTGGGTGAACCTCGGGAAGAAGCGCTCACGTGACCGGAAGCACTAGCCACAACTTGCAGTGCCACCAATGCAACCTTTCGGCCATGACGGCGATCCCTCGAACGGTGAACTGCCCTCTGCCTTTTGCGTCTTTCCTTTCCCCCCCACGGTATACCACAGTTCTGTTCAAATCTCCCATCCGTGCAGGGCCACGCATTGCCTCTACGCACCCGGTCGACTGATCGCGGCCTTCCCTGTTTACTCCCGAGTCAACTTTGCTCGTGTTGCGATCCTCGACCTTGTTTACCGGCCACGAGAGCCCAGTCCATCAGCAGAAACCGTCTCGCGCGCATCGCCTTGCGCTCCTCGCCGCAGAAATGGCCTCCCTCGGAGAGGAGCTCCTCAGCATCGTAAATAGGCTGCAGGATTTGGTCTTCAACACCATCGGAAACGATTCCCTGGATCTGCCGCAGATTGTGCGTTAGCCCTGCGAAAAGCCTTGGAAGGACGGGTGGATGCTCACATGTCTAGGTTGTGGTCGGCTCCCAATCCTCTGGAAAGTCGTCGGTACTCGAAAACATCGTTGGCCGGGATTTCCTTCCTCGAGGGAGCGGCATCGTTACCCGCCGCCCTTTGATCCTCCAGCTCATCAACATCCCCAGCGACCGCGACGACCAGCCCGACGACCACGAAGTACACATCCCGCATACTCCGGCAAGTGTAGCCGGCCAGCAAGAATGGGCCGAATTCCACCACATCCCAGGGCGTCGATTTTATGACTTTTCCGAGGTCAAGCGCGAGATCGAAGCAGAGACTGCGAGGATAGCAGGGAACAACAAAGGTATCAACAGGCAGCCCATCAACCTGAAAATCTACTCCCCCCATGTTCTCAGCTTGACGCTGGTGGATCTGCCTGGTTTGACCAAGGTTTGTGGCGAATCTCTCTTTCGCTCTTCTCATTCTAAAACGCCCAGGTTCCTATCGGCGACCAACCCACCGATATCGAAAAGCAGACGCGGAACCTCATATCCGAGTATATTGCCAAACCAAACAGTATCATCCTGGCTGTTTCGCCCGCAAATGTCGACCTTGTCAACTCGGAAGCACTCAAACTGGCGAGACAAGTGGATCCCATGGGCAAAAGAACCATAGGAGTTCTCACAAAGCTGGACCTCATGGACCACGGCACGAACGCTCTTGATATTCTTTCCGGTCGCGTGTATCCGCTAAAATTGGGATTCATTGGCATTGTCAATCGATCGCAACAGGATATCCAAGGTAACAAGTCGCTGGCGGAGGCATTAGCTGCCGAACGGGACTTCTTCCGGCATCACCCAGCCTACAGGAATATGGCGAACCGATGCGGAACCCAGTTTTTGGCGAAAAGCTTGAATCAAACGTTAATGGCTCACATCCGGGACCGCTTGCCAGACATCAAGGCCCGATTGAACACGCTCATGGGTCAAACCCAGCAAGAGTTGGCAAGCTACGGCGACGTTGCGTTCACCGGAAAAGAACACAGGGGCTCGCTCATCCTACAGTTGATGACGCGCTTCGCCTCATCCTTCATATCTTCGATTGATGGTACCTCGGCTGAGATCTCCACCAAGGAGTTGTGCGGTGGTGCCAGGATCTACTACATATTCAACTCAGTGTTCGGAAACTCCTTGGAGCAGGTCGACCCCACTTCGAATCTCTCCGTGCTTGACATCAGAACTGCCATCCGGAACTCTACAGGTCCGCGTCCCAGCCTTTTCGTCCCCGAACTTGCCTTCGATCTCCTTGTAAAGCCTCAGATCAAGTTGCTTGAGATTCCGAGCCAGCGTTGCGTGGAATTGGTGTACGAGGAGCTCATCAAGATATGCCACACTTGCGGTTCGACTGAGCTGAGCAGGTACCCCCGTCTCCAGGCGAAGCTTATCGAGGTTGTTTCCGACCTTTTGCGCGAGCAACTCGGCCCGTGCTCTCACTACGTAGCCTCCTTGATCGATATCCAGCGGGCTTACATCAACACTAACCACCCAAATTTCTTGGGTGCTGCGGCCGCCATGTCTTCAGTGATTAATGACAAACAGGAACGAGAAAAGAAGCTAGCTCAGGAGGCCGAACGTAAAAAACGCGAGAGGCGCAGATTGAAGGAGCTCAACGGCGTCAACGGCACCCAGACTCCTGAAGGTGATGAGGAGGCTGAAGTGCCTGCCGAAAAGCCACTACCAGTGCGTAAGCATCAGAGCCAGGCTAGCCGCAGTATGTCACCAGCAGTGGGACGTCTCATGAACGGCTCTCACAATCTCTCAGGGGCTTTTAGCACCAGCCGGGCTCGTTCCCCGCCACCTCTTGGAGGAAACGGCTCGGCACGTGACAGCTTCCTCAACTACTTTTTCGGCAAAGATGGGAGCACACAGATGAGCGCGGCCCCGACCGCATCGGCTCTGGATAACAGGCCAGGCAGCCGGCATGTCAGCCAGAACATTGAGCCTAGTTTCGCCCAGAGCATCAGAAGGGGGGACACGAGGCAGCCTGCGCATGTTCTGGAAATGGTACCGGACGATTATGAACCTGTTAGCCCGGCTAAAGAATACGAAGGAGGCTTTGTAAGTCTGGATAAGACCGTGCAACTGGCTACTGTCGCTAACGCACTTCAGCCCTCTGATGCAGAGTCAGCGCCTGCGCTCACCGAACGCGAGGCCCTCGAGACGGAGCTCATCCGTCGCCTCATCTCGTCCTATTTCAACATTGTGCGCGAAACCATTGCCGACCAGGTGCCGAAGGCAGTCATGCACCTACTCGTTAATCACTCGAAGGACGTTGTCCAGAACCGGCTGGTGAGCGAGCTGTACAAGGAAGACTTGTTTGAGGAGTTGTTGTATGAAGATGATACGATCAAGGCCGAACGGGAGAAGTGCGAGAAGTTGCTCAAGACGTACAAAGAGGCGGCTAAGATTGTGGGCGAAGTGCTCTAGGCGTTCCTTCACATACCCCTGTAAGGCATTTTCCATTCTCCCAATGTAGGTTCTAACTGTATTGCTATCGAAATGGTGAAGGCTTGGAGGCAATGGGGAGAGTTCTCGAGCCACTGCGGTATCCTTGACGGCTATGGTGTGTCCCGCTCACGGCGTTGCGGGGGTTTGGCGGCTCGTTACGGCCGGATGCATACTAGGTGTGTATCCTTTCCTTCAAGTGGGAAGGGTGCTTTTCCAAGGTGGTTTAGAGCATGTTGTCTGTTGGTTTGGCAACGCGGATTGCGTAGAGGGAGCTATCTCAGCTTTGTATAGTGATCATGTATGTATTCGAACGTAACCCATCAAGCAGAAATCTATATTGTACAATACGTACACACAATACAAGAGTATTAGATGTCCCGTGACGCGGCGGATTGGACGGCGCTCCTTCGTGGCTCACGCATGCGGCCCATTTCCGTTCCCTCCACGACTATGCTTGGCAGTGATTTATCACAGAAGCCATGCCTCCATCGCCTACTCTGCCCTCGCGACTACCCATGCGTTTATTTTTCATCCGTGATACCGAGGAGGGCGTTCAAATCGGCATTGGGGTCTTTGGGGTCAGCCTTCGCTCCTATCGCATCCGAAGTCAGTCAAGTTTCTTTGCAATATCCCTCGAGACATAGCGATGAGAGAAAATGCCCAATCTCATAGAAACTGTGCAGAACAGACAAAAAGGATACCAGACGTACCGGGCGATGATTTCGGTGTCTCGGAGGGGTGCTGCTTCGCCCACTCGGCCTTGGCCTGTGAGATCAGCGACTCCTTATGTGCCCATTCGGCCGCCGCCTGAGCCTGCTGGTGTTGGGATTTTATCGCGCTCTGGTGGAAGAAGCCGTAGAAGATGCCGGCGCCGAGTGCGGACCAGCGGAGGACCTGGGAAGAGGAGATATTTGGTTAATTTGCTCTGTTCTGTCTGTATTGCGTCTGGGGGCAATTGGAGAGGGAGGTGCTGGAAATTAATATGGAGGCGGGCGGCGCAAAGGTGCGATCATTGGGAGATAGGACATGGGAGACGCACATTTACTCCGGTTGACGCCATTGCTTGATAGCGAGTGGTGATGGGAGGGAGATGAGGAGACGGCGAGACGGGGTGGGACTGCAGCAACGGAACCGGGTGTCTCTTATCGCGGAGGATGTTGTGGCGGGAGGAGGGCGATGAGGTATTGCGGCCGTGGGCGCGGTGGGGGGTGACGAGAGCCGTTTGCTTTGCTTAGCTACGAAAGTCGCAAAAGCAGACAGACTCCCAAGTTGAAGTTCTGACGGCTGGAGCCGAAATCTCGCGCCTTTGCCGAAGATGAACCGAATCGTCGCGCTAAGTGGTTCCTGGCTTGGCGCGATTTTGGGGAGAGCCCTGGGGATGGAATAAACTACTCGACATGCAATCCGTACACTTCAGCATAGAGCATGCCATGACACTCTACCTGACGCGCCGCTGCAGCCGCTTGTCGATAGTCTGAGCCCAGATCTGAGCTACGCGATCGAGAAATCCCCCGGAAACACAGGAAGACAAGGGAACTCGCATGCACTGGTCCCGTACAGCGACCCTTGTGCCCTCCGCATCCCCAACTCCGCCATGGACGCCGCAATGGAGAGGCGCCGAGAGGAGATTGTGGCCAAAAAGGCGAAGCTGGCGGAGCTGAAGCGCCAGCGCGAGCTCCGCAAGGAAGCAGCGTCCAACCGCACCTCTTTGACCGCAAGTCCCGACCCCGTACGTTTCTGCCTCTCTGCTCCCGTATGCGCGCCCGCACTTATTGGTCGCATAGATACACCAGCCGTCGCCTCGGAAGCCCAACGCCGAAGATATAGATCTCATCCTCAAGAAGATCAATGAGGAACGTCCCAGGTCCACCGGGCCAGGCTCGCCGGCCCAGCGAGCGGCTCGCCCTATTTCCGTCATCAGCAGCGACAATGAGGGATCCACTTCGTACAAGACTACCACGACCATGGTCGATCGAGAAAGCCAGACCATGTCCATGGCGCCATTGACGACAGTCTTTGAGTTTGAAGCAGAGACAAAGAAGGATACCGAGGTCATCATGTACAGCAAAGCCGTGCAGACCAGCGACGACTGGTCCCCTCCAAAGTCTCGGGGCGTAGGGCAGAGCGATTCGGAACCTGAGGGAAGCCCCACCAGAACACCTAGGGCTAGCAAAAGATTGAGCCGACGGCAGAAGGAGAGGGACGAGGAGATTCGAGCGATGCTGAGGAGGGAGATTGAAGAAGAGCTCAAGGCGGCCCAACAAACCAATCCGGACGCAGACCCTACTCGAACATCCGGCAAGGAGAACTTCCCGTTCAAGACGCTGACGGACGAGGAGTTGGCTGCAGTGGAAAGGTCGGATGATTTCATCGGCTTCGTCGAAAGGAGCACAAAGGTGTTAGAGAGGGCTCTGGATCAGCAATTGGAGTACGACATTCTAGCCGACTATGCCCAAGGAAGGTTGAATCTAGATGACGAGGATGAGGGGCAAGGATCTCTTGCTGCCAAAAAGGGGAGGAGGGTGAAGGAAATTGCCCAGTTTTGGGACGACCGCTGGAGCAAAAAGAGGATGATCTCAGATCTGGGCTTCTCTGCTAAGGCATGTCCGGTCTCGTAATGTGTGCCAAACTTCTACTGACAATCTCCAGTTTCCCGAACTCGTATTAGCCTCATACACGAAGAATCCGTCGGCTCCTCACGACCCAGACGGACTGATTCAAGTTTGGAATCTGCATATGCACGACCGCCCCGAATACATATTCCACGCCCAATCAGACATACTGACAGCGAAATTCTCCCCATTCCATCCTAATCTCATCATCGGCGGCGCCTACTCGGGCCAGGTACTCCTGTGGGACACTCGAGCAAAGTCAGCGCCGGTACAAAGGACGCCGCTTACTGGCTCTGGCCACACACATCCCATCTATTCCCTTGATATCGTTGGTACGCAGAACGCGAACAACATCATCTCTTGCTCCACGGACGGTGTCGTCTGCGGTTGGACAGTAGACATGCTCTCTCAGCCACAGGAGTTCCTCGAACTGACCTCGCCTCCCCCGTCAAAGACAGACGATATGGCGCCGACCTGCATCGCCTTTCCACAATCCGACCCGACATATTTCCTCGCCGGTACGGAAGAAGGATCTATCTACCCCTGCCATCGGTATGACAGAGCCGGCGCGAAGGCAGGGGTTGACAGTCGGGTGAAGTATTCGGGCCACGCCGCCCCGGTCATGTCGTTAGACTTCCATCCCGCCAAAGGGCAGATTGACCTCGGGGACCTGGTGCTCTCTTCAAGTGTAGACTGGAGTGTGAAGCTTTGGAAAGTCCGGCCCCCCGCTGCGACGGGAACATCCAACGCCTTGACATCGGGTAACCCCCAACTCGTCACACCCATCCTGGACATTGCCCGGGAGGATCTAGTCTACGATGCTCGCTGGTCTCCGGTAAAGCCGTCGGTCTTTGCGCTGGTCGATGGGGCGGGCAGCCTCGAAGTCTGGGATATCAACGTCGATGTCGAGGTGCCGGTGCAGAAGGTGACTCCCAGCGATAACAAACGAGGTGCGTTCGCTAGCATGCCGAGTGGGCTCGGCTATATGAATAGAAGTTTGAATAAGCTGGCTTGGGAACGCAACGAAGGGCGCCGTGTCGCTGTCGGGGGTATGGACGGTGTCGTCACCGTGTTCGAGGTAGGTCACGACTTGGGAGGCCTGGAGACGCGAAGTGAGGAGTGGAGCGGGGTCAAGCGCCTCGTCTCAAGGTTGGAAGCCGTCGGTGAAGCCGGTGGGAAATAGTAGTCGGTTCACTAATACCAAGGACGGCGATGTGTCGAATACCCAGGAAGAAGATGTTTGGTGCTCGATTTGTTACCCCTTATTGGAAGGGCTTTGGAGTTTTGGAAACATACCCAACACTGCTTATATATGTCCCTTTTGCCCCCGCGAAGTGGATTTTCTCTATGTATCATGCTCCCGTTAGAGATCGTTGAAAGATGCAGTGTGGAGTCGAGTGAGTGGTTCGGAGGGCGGATACTTACGTCAAATACTCCAGTAGACCTCGCACAGCAGCACCTCCATCTATGAGGCAAGGGAAGAACCATAATTTCCATTGAGATTTGAAGCGCTATACTCTCTTACAGGACGCCTGTATTTCCTCCTACAAGGTCGTTCGCAAAAAGATTCCAGTCTTTACCACAAAGCCAATCTCCCAACTCCAAGACGCCACGCATTCTAGTACGGACGCTGAAAAGTTCTACGTGATCGCCAACGATATGTCTAATATACACAAACGCAAACACCACTATTCCTTCCCATCCTCCTCCTGCTCCTCATCCTCATCCTCGTCCTCGTCCATGCCCTCGGCGGCCTGCACCTCAAACGTCGGCGCCTGATCGATCCCCAGATAACTATCGCTCACCAAGAAGAGCGTCAACTCGTGCTTGCCCGGTTCGGGCACCGTAAACTCCAACTTGGTATTCAACTGTCGACCAACCGTGACCTTCTTGATAGCCAACAGCATTCTCGCATTCTGGTCGCCAACCACAAGCCAGAAGTTTTCCGTCTTACTCGCTGGATAGAAGGGTGCATGGACCTCTGTCTTGGGCTCGTCATCTTCGTCCAGCTCTCGCGTCACCGTGACGGACAGGTAAGACGGCGAGTTTGCCATGACCTCGTCGGGCTCCAGGACCTCGAAGTTGACCTCGACATTGGGGTAATACTCGTTGGTGAAGGTCGCGGCGTCGCTCAGCTGCTTATTGTCTAGGTTGAGTGCTTCAATCAGCTTCTTGTAGTCCTTGTTCTCCTCTGGGTCCATGGCGTCCATGAACTCGAAAATATCCGTAATCCCAAACCTCTTGGCTGCCTTTACCGTGTCGTCGTCAAAGTGCGGGATCTGCTTCAGCGGCGAATCCTTCTGCCACATCGCCTGCACGACCATTTGAGAGATTTCCATGGCATTCATTGCGTTCAGGTGACCTTCAGAGGAGAGAACGTCCACGCTAGCGCTGAGGATATTGAGCACTCGCTGAAGGACGAACTCCTGGTCTTTGGCAAGATCGACCGGTAGCTGCATGCGTGAGAAATGGGCTTGGAGAAGCACAAAGGCCTTGAAATGCGGCGTCTCAAAGTTGGGCTCTTGCATCTTGTACGGGATCCGTTCGTAGATCCTGCTCAAGATATGATCCTCATGGCGACGGATTTGTATGTCTTCAAACTCGGTTGCAGCAGTCACAATCTCCAGCATCCCCTTGATACCCGTCTTCTCATTCAACGACATCATGAGCGTTTGCATCGTTATAAAGGAGATGTTGTAATATGCCGCAATCATGCATGGGTTGAGCGGCGTTATCGTGTCCTCCTCTTCATCATGCTCGATGAGATTGGCGTCGGTAAGATCCTTCAACGTGTGCTCAACCAATTCGGACAGATGAGCGCTGAGGCCCTCGTGGGAGGGGTCGTGAAGGTTGTAGTAGCTGGGATTTGCAAGGAGACGGCGATAGAAGTAAGTGTAGGTCGACCAATCTACCGCCTCCTGCGTGGTTTCGATCGTCTTCGCGCTGATTTCGGCCACGAAGGCATCATGTAAGAAGTCATGAAGATAGCTCTCGATTGGTAGAGCTTCGTTCAAGAATTTCTTATAGTAGTCTCGCTTCACGGCAGGGACCATGAGAACACCCCTGGAAACTTTGTCCTCTCTGACCCGGCCAGCTTTACCGAACATTTGGAGTACTTCGCTAATGGGATAATCGACATAGCGGTGTTCGCGGCCTTCGTAGAACTGTGTCCCCATCACTACGACGAGATGAGCGCTATTGTCGACTTCCCAACATGAGTCTCGTGAGACGATCATCACCTGGATGGCGCCACGTCTAAAGAGCTCTTGGACTATCCGCTTATCGAAAGGACTCAGGGCTTCATGAAAATAGCCGATGCCATGCGACAATGACTCTGCGAGCGCAGATTCGTTAACCCGACTCAATATGGGTTCCAGCTCTTCCAACGTCGCATGAAGAAATCTCTGCTCATCGTCGTCCGCAACAGCAGCGGCAAACAAATCCACCGCTGATGTCCGCGCCTGCTTTCGGCTGGGCACGAAGACCATGGCTGGTTTATCTGGAGAAAGCTGTGTGATGGCTTTGTACGTTGGTTTTGCCATCGCGAGCATCAACGACGGGAAATGGGGAATGGTGAATGATTGAATCTTCAACTCGAGAGGAACCGCACGGATGCCAGGGCTGAAGTTGAATATGGTGTGCTTGCTCGCACCGATCCATTCGCCAACATCTCGGGCGTTTGCAAGAGGTACACTCAGACCGACCAGGCGGAGAGATGATTCGATCTGAGCTGCCATGGCATGCATCCGGGACACCACGACTTCATAAATATGCCCGCCAGAGCCACCCAACATGTGGAGGTCATCGGCGATCAGCAGTGCGACGGTCTGCACGTTCTTTCGCCGCTGCCACTGCCTGGATAGGACGTCCCACTGTGTCGGCGTCGCGAGTATCAGATCCCCCCTTTCGAGCAAGCGCAGGTCTGCTGTCGTTTCTCCGGTAAGTTTAACTACATCCTTACCGCCACCAAGTTTGGATAAGCGAGCGGTCCAGTTCTTGTACTGGTTATCCACAAGCTCTTGGAACGGAGCGAGGTATACAATTCGCCCCTCCTTGTTGGAAGCCCAGTGTCGCAAAATGGCGAATTCGGCGCAGTAGGTCTTTCCCACGCCGGCGGATGCACCAATGAAGACGTTGTCGTCGGTGGTGTATAGGGAATTGAAAACCTGCGTCTGAACCTTGTTGAATCGACCTACGTCTGCATACAATTCCTGGTACTCGCGTCTCTTAAGCGCTGAAATAGGCAGAGGCTGTAGATCCAAGACGGGGGTATGCGGAGGAAACTTAGCCGGAAGAATGAGCTTCTGGAAGGAAAGGGCCAGCTTTGTCTCGGAACCCATCCACCGGTCGGAAAGGGCCGTGACGAAATAGTTAGGAGGCATGGGGTCATCGATAGGTACGGTGACCTCGAGGAGATGCTCATTCATTTCCCCAGTTGCATAATCACGACGGAGCACGAACTGATCGTGGAACAGAACCTGCTCGCCATCACAATCCTCGACCAGGATCCAGAAAGCTTCGGAGGCACCATGAAGCTGATCATCCCACTCAAAGTTGGGTCTGATAGTCAGCTCAATCCGCAACATGGACCGGGTAACAGGTCGAGGGGTCGCTTCGAGTTCCAACCGGGGAAATTTGTTGACGAGCTGGCAGACGACCTTGCCGGCTTTCGGTATACCAAGCAGCTCGCCCATCTGAGGCGGATCCAGACCGAAATAGTCGCTCCAAGGCACGTCGATGCGCTCAGCCTTCTGAACGATATCTCGTGGGCACGTTGGGAACTGCCTCAGAGGTGACATGGTTGGCCACATCCTCTTCTCGGCCATTTTGCATAGATCCAAAGCAAGTTTGGCTACTTGCGCCCATCCCTTCTTCAGACAAATCTCGAAAATAGCCCTCAGGATCCGCCCTGCCGATTGAGTGACATATACCAGATCCGCCATGAGAGCGAGACCTTCCAGTTTGAGCCGGGATATATACGCTTGAAGCAGAACATTGATCTTTGCTTGGGGCTCGTCCACCGTTTCCTTAACAGGAATTGGAACCTTCTGGAGGAGCTTAGCCAGCTCAAGCTTCTCGTCCTGTCTTACGGGAATGTACTTGAACTCTTCACTCAGGGCAAATATTCGGAAGAGCTCGATGGCACTGATACCAGGTTGGATATGCTGGTTGTAAGTGGACATTGAGTTGTGCGTGATGTAGTAGTGTGAAGCGATACGTCCCAGTTCAGTCGGCTGCATTTGCCCACTCTTCCTGTCGTACTTGATGAGATTGCATCGCTCAAGCACATGCGCGGCTGCATGGATGAGGTCGACTCGCTTCTGCTCCAGAGCTTCGTCATCCTCATAGTCCGCGCCAACACTGTATAGACCGGGAGAGCGAAGCATCCGAACGAACAGATAGGTATAGCCAAGCCAGTCAACGCCCTCGTCGCGCGTTCGTACATTGCCTAGTACAACCTCTGCATTGAGATTGTCCGCGAGGCGGCTCATGAATTGAGACTCGATAGGCAGCTGCTGGTTGAGCAACGACAGATAGTATTGCATCTCGGTTTGAGTGGTGATGATAATACCCTCACCATAAGTATCGTATTGAGGTCTGCCAGCACGACCCAGCATTTGCAGAACGTCCTGTGGACTCAACTCGACCCAGCTACCCTTCTCAGGTGAGTATACCTGGGTACCTTTGATGATGACAGTGTGCGCCGGAAGGTTGACACCCCAAGCAAGCGTAGCTGTGCAGACAAGAACTTGGATTGCGCCGTCAGCGAACAAATCCTCAACGGAGGTACGATCGGCCCGGGACATTCCTGCATGGTGTATGCCGAAACCGTAGGGCATGAGATCTTTCAGATCTGCGTTTTGGACGTTTTCGGATTCTTCTCTTAGGATCTCTCTGCTTGCTGCATCTGAACGGAGGAGCTGGCCGATTGTCTCCATTTCCATGGCCTTGTCGCGTATGTATTTTGCAGTCTTCGCAGTCTCTTTCCTCGAGTGGACGAAGATCAGCATCTGGTTGCGGTTCTGGCCTACCTGCTCTAGCACCTTGGTGTAGCATACGTCGTTCATGGTTTTAAGTTGCTTGATGGCCTTCTTATCCGTGACACCGATGAACTCTTGCTTCAACGGGCACGGCCTATAGGTAGCATCGAAGTGAAACAGGCCTTTCTCGGTGTCGACACGAAGGAAACTGGCGACATCGCGATAGTTGGGCAGTGTAGCGCTGAGGCCTACCAAACGAACGTGGTCACCGGTTTGCTCGCTTCGCCGAATTGTGCGACTGACAATGCTCTCGATGACAGGACCCCGATCATCGTGAAGCAGATGGATCTCGTCGATGCAGATAAGACGCACCAGGTTGATATAGCTTGTGTCGGTTGCTTTGCGAGTAATAACATCGTACTTCTCCGGAGTCGTCACTATAATCTGTGTTTCGGCAATTTGCTGCTTGGTGAGTTGACGATCACCAGTTAGCTCAGCGACTTTGATGCCATATGGTTGCAACCGCTTTCCGAAGTTCCCAACCTGCTCCTGGACCAGGGCTTTGAGCGGCGCAATAAAAATGATCTTGAAATCGTCCAGAGCAATCTCACCGGTCTGTGGATTCCTGTGCTTGCCTATCTCACGCAGCATGGCCAGCATTGCAACGTTGGTTTTCCCTGAACCAGTTGGCGCACAGATCAACATATTGCCGTCATCGTGGAATGCGGTCGGGAAGCATTTGGTCTGAATGCGATTGAGTTCTTTCGACTTGCCAAATCCCTCCCTGGCCCAGTCAGGTAATTCCGTGGTGGGCATGTTAGGAGGTTCGTTGGGGTCGCGTCTGGCTTTCGGTGCGGGTACATGAATCTCTTCATAACCTTTGAACTGGCGTCGAGTCGAGCCCTGAGGCAATTTGACGCTCGGGTTGGTCATCAAATGGTTGCCTTGTTCGAAGACGAGGTTCTCCAAGTTGATGATCCTGCCGGACGGCTGTAAACCTCCGATCAGCCCCTCACGCTTGGTACCCTCCGCCATAGCGATGTCTTTCGGCTCAGAGGGAAGGTCGATATCCATAAGGTCAATCTTCATCTTCCTAGGGCCGGCGGGTTCGGTAGCCTTGATTCCAGTTTCTCGTGCATGAAGCTCCTGCAGAATCTGCTGTTGCCCTGCAGCCTTCATTTCCCTCTCAACGGCTACCCGCTCGTCGTTATCATCTGCAGCGCGTCTCCATCTCGTGACCCAGACGACCCTTTCCCGGTTTAGCACGAGTTTAGCGACGAGTTCATGGTGCTCATAATCAAAGAGCTCCATAAGGTCATTCTCAATGTCGCGTAAGGGTTTCTCTTCACCATCCTCATCAACTCCTGACAGGATATTCAGAGCAGCTTGCGTCTTTTCCTGCTGTGTGTGCGCATCCTCGTATACCTGACCAACCTGCCGCTGTAACCAATAGGCGTCAATCTCGTGTACTGGAACGAGCTGATCGCCGCCTGCCCGCGGACCTCTAGTCACCGCCGAGTCTCCTTGAATGATTATTTCTTCCCCATCGGCGACCACGCCGTCCTCTTCTTTAGGTGCCTTGTCCGCTTCAGCTCCCTCGGCAGTCTCCTCTTCATCCTCCTCTTCATCCGTGGTATCTTCATCCCGCACTTCGAAGGTTTGACCAGCTTCCTCATCCTCGTCCTCATCATCGAAGACGACGGCCACGCCTTGGGTCTCATCAACTGCGGCCTCGGCGCCCTCCGCAGCTTCAGCCATCTCTTCATCCTCATCTTGCGCATCGTAGTCCGTGATTTTCTTTCCCAGGTTCACCAACTCGTTAAACTCTTTGGAGCCCATCGTCGTGCCCAGAATGTCGTCAATCTCCTTCTTCTTGTCCAAGTCCTTTAGCGTATCGTCTTTCAGATACTCAAGCACTGCGTCAGCAGCGCTTCTCGTCACGTGAGTAGGCACATCCCCAAGATGCCGGCCAACGATAGTCTGTATGAGGTCAAACGTGGCCTCTGTCGCTCTGGTCCGCGGCCTGTATCGAAGATCTTCCACGAGCAGATCTTGCTGAGCTATCCTGCTCGCTCCAGCGAGCCCAGCGCCGTCTCCTCGCTTCCTCTTGCGCTGTTCGCGCTCCAGCACCTCGCCACCTTCGTGTATGCTGCCTCGTTCGATGTCGAGAGGGCCCTTGGGCTTCCTCCTTTGTACCGGGGCTGTGTCCCGCGCGGTCCGCGATCCCATGTCTCGTATATTGATACGGCCTGCAAGCGACTCTGGATCACCTGTCTGTTCGTCTCCCCGGCGCGTGACGAAGCGTCTGTCGGCCTGGAGAACCAGGTTCGACATCGCTGCATATTTGAATTGCGCGAGCTTGTTCTCCTTGCCGTCCGCCATGATGAAAGCCGCGCGTAGCTCGTGAGGAAATTAATAAAACAATGGGTACCAGTGCCGAGGAGGGACGGAGGAGTGGTTGGGGCGGGCGTGGAGAAGGACGTTAAAGATGGGCTGCGCGTCGCGATGGCGACTGCTGGGAAAGGTTCAGACCTGATGCCAAAATCCGAAGCTTGGGCCACTTGATTCTTGGCAGGTTTGGAATTCCGTCTACTCAGTAAATGCGAGGAGGCAGGTTGATTGAGATTCTCTTGATTATCAAAGAATATACTGTGTAGACAGTACACAGGTTATGTAGTTTTGCAAAGGCCGAAGTGGCAACATCAATTGATCTACCTAGGTACCTAGGTACCGTCGAAGGCACCAACGTCACGTGAGAGCCACTCTCTCCCAGGCCACTACATGGTGGAAGGGCCTACATATGTATAGATGAAGGTATGGTATTTTTCACTATCAACGGGCGAGTAATCTCGCTCAATGTTTCTTCACCGCAATCCAATGACGTACTAATTCTTCCGCTTCCTTGTCCGCTTTTCCCTCTCATATGCATTAGCCTCTCGGCCCTCTTCTCCCTGAATCTCTGCCACCAGCTTCTTATACTTCTCCTCATACCTACGATCCCTCTCTTTCTTCTCCTTGAGCTTCTCCCTTGCAATAAAGTTGGCGTCCTTGCGTAGCTCGCGCAGCGCACCCTTCCTCTCTCTCTTGTACTCCTTTCGCAATCTGTTCGCCTCTGCTCGCTCCTTATCGGGATCATAGTGCTTGTTAGGATCGAAGCCTTCTTCGAACTTGGGTATCGATGTCTTGATAGGAAGCGGCCGGTGGTGGTGGAGCTCCTGCGGCCGTCTGTGGAGGCGGGCATTTTGGAGAAGGATCTGAAGGCGCTGCACGGCGAGTGTCTGCTTCAGAGCGGAGAGCGTCGGCACGACCGGGCTGAATATCTCGATGAATGCTGGCGTAGAAGACCAGAGATCAGCCAAAGCAAGCAAATTCTTCGTATGTGCGGAGATTAGGCTGGAGTTGATGTGGGGTGACTCCAGGCAGAGCACGGTGTACCGTATTAGTTCGGGGATGTATCTCTTCGACAGAGGAATGTAGCGTTCCGCACACAGTGCGCCCAGATATGCTCCAGTCGTAATGTCTTTAGCGCTAGAAGGTGAGTTAAGACCCAGGAAGCGTGCAATGATTGTCAGAGCCGGCGTTACAACAGGACTGAATTTGTCTGAAGTGGGAAAGATGGAGCTTATAGCAGTCAGAATTGTCAAATCGCCTGGACTTAGATCGTTTCGCTCTTGAATCTGCTTGAGATGAGCACGAAAGCGAGTAGCAATCTGTACCGGATAAGATCGAGATAGCGAGTGTATGTGTCGGATGAGTGTTTCCGTTACCGTTAGTGGTGTCTCGGGAGAATGGTTCGCAAGATACGAGATGTGGTCCACTAGAGCGCAACCAAAGTCGGCAAGTTTGTTCTTATTGTCTGTATGTAAGCCGGCGTGGTAGAGAGCTCGTATACGCTGAGTGACAACGGGAACATCTTTAGGTGCAACGTCTTTGTAGACCGAGAGGAGCTCAGTGTGGGAGCGGGGACACGGATATGTATAGGCCAGCTTCGATGAAGGTTCGGCAATGCTTAAAACACCATTGGCCGCCTTTTCAGTTTTGGGTTGCTCCAACACATCCTTCAGGAAATCCTCGTCTTCTTCAACCGCCATCGTATCATCCACCTCGGACTCGTCATCGGTTTCTTGCGACATATCCGCTTCGGAATCGCTGGCTATGATGTCTCCATCCATGAGAAAGTCATCCTCGTCCTCAACGCCTTCGGGCCGGCTCCCTTGGGTATGTCCACTTGGGAGTCCAAACTCAGCTGCGTCATCATGCACGCCATAGTCCTGGTCGTCGTCCCCTCCATCCTGGGCTTTATTATCCTCTTCATCGCTCTCCTCGCCTCTCATCCGGCGCATCCGCTGCTCCTCCAGCTCTTTGAGACGCTCCGCATTCTCCTTGGCCATCTCTTCCTCGGTCTTGGTCCGCTCAGTGGGCTTCGCCCGTTGATCGAAGAGCATCTGCCGTACTCTGGCGTCGTATTCCTTGTCTGCTGCGTCTCTTGATTTGCCGGCTATCAGAGCTGCTCTCTCAGGGTTGATGCCAAAGTCATCAGCAGGCCCACCGTTAGCCGGTTCTTTCGGTTGTTCCCGCTTGGTAGTGTGACCTCTCAAAGCCGCGAGTATATCCGGAAGATCCTTGTTCAGCTCTTCAATAAGCTCTTCGTCGTCTTCCTTTTGTTGCTGCCGTTCATATTTGTGTTGCTTTGACTTGGCGATGATTTCTTCCATGACTTCCTTCTTGCTCTTCTTCCGCTCGGGTTGCTCCTGTGCGGGCCCATCGGCAAGGTCCTCCGCAGCATCACTATCTCTCCTCCTCTTACGTCGCAAGAAGCCGTCCTCTTGGTCATCGTCGCTGCCGGCATCCACGCTTGCAGCATCATAATCCTCCTCACCATTGACGTCGAACCGCAGTGATTTCCCGCCATGGGTCAGTTCCACGTCATCCTCGGCCTCCTCCAGATCGAACACGTTGCCGCGCCTCTTCCTCTGCTGTTCCCTCTCGAACCTCGCCTGCATGCGAGCATCCAAACTCATGCTGGGATCATCCTCACCAATCCGGCGATCCAGGATCCCGCCAACCTTGTTACGTTTATTCATCTCCGGCAGCAATGTCTTTCTGCGCGTCTCCTCCCCCATACTCTTGCTCACGCCCGGCCTGCCGAGCGGCCTGTTCGCATCCTCAGGCCTGTTGGTGACATAGTCGAATTTCTTCGGCCGGGCAAGCGCTCTGAAGTCGAACGGGTTCGCAGCTTCGCGGATGCTGGCAAGTGCGGCAGCTTTCTGTGCGCGCTGGTCGGCGTTCGGTTTCTGGTTCTTCTTTTGTTTCTTTGACTTCTGTGGGCCTACGATGCCCTGCTCGCGGAGCGACGCCTTCAAACGTTTGAGCTGCGAAGGCGGCATCTTGCAGGTGGCTACGTAAGAGGCCTCCTCTGCCGTCGAGCTATCGGAATTGTAGATGTGTTGCCCGACGTCTGGAGGAACTTTGACATTTTGGGGGAAATTTCGCGTTGCCAAGATTTTGGTGGATCCGTGCACCCAACCTAAGTTTGACACGGTCCTCGGTTGCGTCAGTTCGCAGCTCCTCACTTCGCGACGAAGTCACCACCATGCACGTTTGACCTCCGGGGCGGCAACAGCAGCCGATTACCGCAATCATAACAACTCTGCCCTCGACAATGACCGGACACTACCGGTCTTTCATGCCACTTGCGCCGTGGCCACGCCTTCTTCGGCCATCATGAGTCCGACTATCAACGATCGCTGGCTGTGGCTAGGCTTAGGCAAGCTGCCGTCCACTCTTTCTGGCCTTCACCACTAATAGCCTCAGGTGCATTCGTCTTTGTCGCAATCCGGGGCGTCTCCTATGCTCTCCACAACACCGTCGAACTAAACCGAGTCAATGCATCACCGCCTCCACCCCAGCCCGTCGCAGGACCACGCCTTAAGAGTGCGGATACCATCAGCACCGCCTCTCTCGAGTTCCTAGCGTGCCACAGTACCAATTTCAAGATCCGCAAGGCAGCGACTGTCCTTCTCTGCCAACGATTTTGGGCAGACCGCCGTTTGCGAGAGGCGCTCAAACGTGACCGCACCAGCGATGATCCAGAGACTCGAAGGAGGGCGGTGTGGATGTCAGACTTGTTGGCTGCGTATGGTTTTGAAGATGGTGCTGGCGTGTCTGGTTCTTTGTGGGCCGATGAAACTTTACTGGACTCACGCAGAGCGGAATCAGACCAAGCAGGCAATGCCACAGAACGTGAGCGGCGTCGACGGAGAAGGGAGGCCATCGTCATCAACGAAGGCGATCATCCAGTTTCACAGGGAGACGTGTATATGCGGGATTCCGAGGGAAGATTGAGCAATGACGAATCCTAACACAATCGTCGTGGTTAGTATCATTTCTATTGATGAAGAGAACTAGGTGTCATGTGGTCCTTGTTGTTTCAGTTGCCCTTGCAATCATGAAATGATAGCTACATCGGGGTGCTGTCATTACTTCTTGGCCTTCTTCGGTTCTGATTTCTGAATGACATCCAGAAATCTTACACCACACGTTCTCATTCAAGATGCTATATGCCCATACGGCAATGAAGATAAACACTGTACATGGCCCCAAATTCTTGCTAACAAGGGTATCGCAGTCTACAGAAAAGATACTCGCTTACGCAACAAAGCCGAAGTCCTATGTCTATGTCGCCCCAAGGGCCCGTAAGGCGGTACGCAGCTCCTTAACCGCAGTATTGACGTCCTCGAAGTTGAGAGCTGAGATGGCCCATTTCGCATGTTTTTGGGCTTCGGCCAAGGAATCCTCATCCGTCCTGAATGAGCCTTGATATTCCGGTTGCAACGCACCGGCAGTAGCTGCCCCATAGAGCTGGGGTGAGGGCTGTGGCGCTGTTGTAAGAGCTGCTCGCGGAGAATGCAGATTTTGCTGAGTCTGTTGTGATGGGAAAGATGCGGGTACTAGTGGTTGCGATGGTTGTTGCAAGAAGGCCGGTGACTGGCGCGCTGCGTTGGGAGGAGCCTGATCCTCTGAGCTATCAGCTGGCGGAAGAGGGTGAGGGGGCGGTGCTGCTGGTGGAGCTCTCCCAAACTCGTAAGGATTGGTCATGTCAGCGTCCATCGATGCGCTAGGTACTGCTGGTGCAGCTTCGGCCGTAAAGGTGGGAACGTCGACACGTGGGAAATATCCTCCACCTACGGAAATCACTGATGCTGAACCCTCGCGAGAATGTGCGGGTTGTGATATGGGCGATACATCTTGCTGAGGTGAGAAAGTGGTAGAGGCATCATGCCCGGGCTGAGACGTCGTGGCAGGAGCAGCTGGCGGGGACGTAGGAAGTCCCGCTGCGGTGAAGGTTGGCGACGGATGCCCAGAAGTGTTCGGCGCTGTCTCCACATATGGTTGATATGCTGGATTCTCAGGCGGTTGTTGGGCACCACCATTGATCTGTTGAACCTCTGGGTCGTTCGGGTCCAGTGTAGCGGGTGAGGCAACAGGAGCTTGTTGCTTAGGATTGGACAGATTGGGGTCCTCCCCAGCCCGTATTGCTTTTGTAATGCGCACAGCATGGTATTTGGCATAGGTCATCTTAGATTTGATGTGGGGTTCTGGGGGATCCTTCCAGATGGAGAGAAGCTCCAGAAAGGTCGATGCGGCTAGCAGTGTATCGGCTGTCGCCGCGGTGACCTTGTCCGCTCGGATGTCATTGTCTCCTTTTGCGAAGGTCTGTAGGGCAAACTGCTCGCAGTATGCCTGAGCGGCCATGTCGTCGTGCAGGGCGTCCTCGGACGGATAGTCGGCCTTGGTCTGCTCCAGCTTCTCCATCAGTTGAGTGGCATATGTGGTGCACTCTGGGTCCGCGAGATGAAGATTCTTGGACAGTATCTTCTGGATCATGTAGAATCGCACTGATTCTTGTCAGAATATCCGCCGATAACAGGGCGAGGGTGGAACAGGTGCATACGCCAGTAGGCCATGATGGGCTTGAACTTTTCCAGCTGGGCCGCGCGACGTGCGAACTGGCTGATTTGGGCCTCGGCCAGTTTTGCGGGGATTGGGATGGCCATGGTGTCAGCTATTGCGCCAGTCTGTCCAGGGAAGTAGGGCGAGTGGAAAGAGGGAGAATGGTCATAGATGTAGGAATACGTTTAAGAGTGAGCGAGCTCCAGCTCTTGGTCGTCAAACTAGCGCGTCATCGGGCTGCTGGGACCCCTGGGAACCCCGCCATTGCCCTAGCCACATTCAGCCACAATGTGGCGTCGGCGCCGGGTGGCTTGCAGCTTCCCCATCGATCGGATCGGGAAGCTCAGAAGAGGACAACTTTCACAAAACCATGCCACTCTGCTTCCGCTGCCCACGTACACAGCTATAATACTCCGTACGCCTACTCTGGCCTCATCACCACTCCCATGCGTCTTTGATCATTGCACTCCTCCTCACCGCAGTCCATCATGGTCCGCACTTCAGCTTTGGTTACCGCCGCCGCCTCACTGGCACTAGGCGTCAAGGCCGAAAGCCTCTACTCGAAGAACTCTGCCGTACTCCAAATCACCGGAACCGACTATGACAGGGTAATCGCGAAGTCCAACTACACCTCTGTAAGTAACGCTTGCGCAACCGTTCTGCCATTGTGCTTATTGTTCTGTTAGATTGTCGAGTAAGCCCCCGGTGACCTTAACTCCCTTCGCCCTTTTCCTGACGCTTCTCAAGGTTCTACGCACCTTGGTGCGGCCATTGCCAGAATCTAAAGCCCGCATACGAGTCCGCAGCCAAGTCCCTCGCCGGTGTCGCAAAGGTGGCTGCTGTGAACTGCAACGATGAGCTGAACAAGCCATTTTGCGGCAAGATGGGAGTAAAGGGCTTTCCCACACTCAAGATCGTACGCCCGAGCGCCAAGCGTGGAAAGCCCACGGTGGAGGACTACCAGGGCCAGAGGACGGCCAAGGCCATTGTTGACGCGGTGAAGGACAAAATTCCGAACAACGTGAAGCGGGTGACGGACAAGAATCTGGACGAATGGCTACAAGACAAGAACGAGACGGCCAAGGCTATCTTGTTCACTGATAAGGGTGCCATTAGCGCCACCTTGCGTACGCTGGCCATTGACTTTGCGGGACTTGTGTCGATCGCACAGATCAGAAACCGGGAGGCTAAGGCGGTCGAGACCTTTGGTGTGGAAAGCTTTCCGACCTTGATCCTTCTGCCCGGTGGCACGAGCACTCCGATCAAGTACGATGGCGAATTGCAAAAGAGTGGCATGGTAGAATTTCTTTCTCAGGTGGCTCCACCACATGCAGACTGCCCTCCGCCAAACCCTAAGAAGGCAAAAGCGAAGGATGAGAAAAAGAACGACAAGAAGGCTTCCAAGTCTTCGTCAAAGTTTGCGAAAGCCTCTGCATCTCACAAGTCTGCTGATGCCTCTTCGGCTGCCGCCTCAGCCACTGCCGAGACCGTGGAGGAACCCGCTAAACCTTCAGAATCCCCGGATCCTAAGGTGAACGAAGAGGAGGATGCCAAACCCGTCGTGCTTCCCGAAGAGGAATTGAAGCCCACCATTCCAGTCCTCTCGCAGGCTTCCGACCTTCAGGCTACCTGTCTGAATGAGAAGAGTAAGACATGTGTTCTTGCCTTACTCCCGAAAGATGAGTCATCTGAAGCAGTGGTGTCGGTGCTGGACTCTCTTGCGTCTATCCACAAAAAGCATGACAAGAGTGGCAGCCATTTGTTCCCATTCGTTGCGGTGCCAGCTTCTAACTCACTGGCATCCTCACTTATCGCGGATTTGAAGATCGGGGATACTGAGCAAGTTCACCTTATTGCCACTAATGGAAAGCGAGGATGGTGGAAGAGATACTCCGGCAGCAGTTTTGGTGATGTTGAAGTGGAGCAGTGGATTGACGCCATTCGCATGGGAGAGGGCCAGAAGGAAAAACTGCCTGCCTCCATCTTGGCAGCAGGGAAGGCCGATACCAGGGAGCAGGAACCGGAGAAAGAGAAGACACAGGACCAACAGCCGATCAAAGCTCAAGAGGAGAAGATTGTTGAGGAGCAGCAAAAGCATGACGAGCTGTGATTCTGGTCAATGACGACCCGAGTTCTTTTGGGGATGCCTGAGCTGTAACTGTACAATAAAATATCTGTATACTTCTATCCAACGGCCCTCACAAAGTTTGCGAGATGATAATGTACGGAGTCTACTCATATATGCTGGCGACATCTATTTCAGGGGGTCTCGTCATTCGCTATACGTTCTTCAGCCGCCTTCCTCATGTCCTCATCTAACAAAGACATGAGAATTGGGTCGTTCCGCTCCTTCATCCAGGTGGCATCATGGGCCAGGGCGACATGGAATCCATACTCTTTTTCCAGAAGGCGTATTCTCGCAATCGTACCCCTCGCAGCAGCAATATCGGCATGCAGCGAAGTCTTCCCAATTCCTGGGACGCAGAATTCGGATATCTCATACTTGCCGTCGAGAAGCTCTCTGTATGTTGTCAGCAGCAACAGTGTGTAGCGGTGCAAGCGCCTTGCCTTGAGTGACAACAATCGCTCCCGAGAAGGACCCATTCACCACAACGCAGTCTTGCCGCAGCGCAGAGGTTGCCGGCCATATGGCCAGGCGCCTGCAGGATCCAGAAACTACCATCCCCGAAATAATCTAATGCTTTTTCAAACGGCCCAAATGGCACCCAAGAACCGTCCAGCTCCTCCCATTTCTCTGTGGCGTGGTCCGGGTCGAAATACCTCCCATCCCATTGTATTTCGGGATCTGCTAGATGACCGGGAGAGCATCCAGCTCTTGTACCAGGCCCAAAATAAGCGGTTGCATTGGGAAATTCGTCTCGTATTGGCCGACAGTGGTCCCAGTGCGCGTGACTGAGACTGACTTAGTGATTTACCGTGAAATAGGGACAACTGAGTTACCTGAACAAAACTGTGTCTATCTGTCCTGCTGCAATGCCTCTTTCTTTCAGCTGCTGGATTATCGACCTTCGAGGGCCGACGTGGTTTATCGCCTCCAGCATGTACTTATTCACCCATGGCGTATAACATGACCGATCCTGGCTAATTAGAATGCATATCGAATGGGAACTCCCGTCGCCCTAGATTTTGACATGCCACGCACCTCCTCGAGCCCCAGATCCCACAGTATATGTCGCCCATTATGAGCGATGTAGAACGCCCAGTTGTACATCCGAAAACTGGTCGGGGCGATACCTGCATGTATCCGCGATAAATCGCCGACGAAACTCCCTCCATCCAGGAGTGATAGTTCAACATATGCATCCGTCTCGCATATGGGAGCACAAGAGAGCGCTGTCACCGACATATTCGGTTGTATCACTTGCAATTGCGCAAAAAGGCTGACTGCAGGCGACTACATTCCTGACATACTCTTGTACTTGCCTCCCATGTGTTTTCCAGATCACTGTTGGTTGATAATTCACACGGTTATCCCCACATTATCTAGTCCTTCTAGGCCCCACCATTCTCATATACCGCAAACCGCAATCGCGGGGTCTGGATTTTCCCGAGGTTCCTTCAATGGAAATGCACGCAATCCCCTGATCAGCGACAGGGAAATGATATAGTTAGCCTAAAGGTTGTATTTTGCAGCATTCGCGGCGTTTCTGCTCCACCTATAACCAACCAGCACCGCTAAGATAATCACCGTTTCCCGGAGTCTAGCACGGATTGTTCCTAAATTTCGCTATGGCTACTACTTTGGAGCACCCGGAGCTCGGCCAGTTGAAAGGCATATCAGTTGCTGGGACGACTCAATTTCGAGGTCTGCAATACGCGTCGCTGAAGAATCGTTTCGCGCCACCGGAATTGGTTACCACTTATGGCGCAGGACCTACCGATGCTACAAAATACGGGTAAGGTCAAATATCCTCAGCCGTCGCTCTTGCAGAACGCTAACGAACGAAGTCCACCGCCTGTTTCACCCCCCACAGCCATCCAGAACGAGTTCGGTTTCCTTCAAAAATCCCTGCCACTGCCTGAGGTTCCGCCACACTCAGACCTCGATGGCCTGAACCTCAACATCACGGTACCCCAACAAAATGGTACTATTGATAAAACGTCCAAGCTACCTGTATACGTGTTCATCCATGGAGGCGGCTTTGCAGTCGGATCCAGCTGGTATCCGCACTACAACCCTGCGTCCCTGGTTAAGTTGTCGGTGGAAAAGGGCAAGCCAATAATTGGCGTTACCATAAAGTAAGAATTTCACATCGAGATGCCGTGTAAGTGCTGACAACGCCCAAGTTACCGTCTGGGAGCGGCTGGTTTCATGACATCCAAAGAGCTCCGTGATGCTGGATACAAAGCCAACAACGGTTTCCATGATCAGCGTACAGCCTTGAAATGGATTCGGAAATTCATAGGAGGATTTGGAGGTGACCCCGACGAAATCACCGTTGTTGGAGAGAGCGCTGGTGGCTGTCAGTTGCCTTGCTTGCCTAGCTTTTCTTCTGGGCCACACTGACATGCAACAGTATCTGTAACCATGCTTCTATGTTCCGAAGAGCCATACATGAAGCGCTGTTTGAGCACAGGGGGCGCGGTACTCCTGTTCAAACCTATACCGCCGGAGGTAGCTGAGTCCGCATATCAGAAGATCACTCAAGCCCTAGGCCTCGCGGACAAGTCTCCTGAGGAGCGCGTGAATGCATTGCTTAACCTACCCCAGGATGACCTGTGGCAGAAGATACCTCCAGGCGTACCCCTTACTGTGTCTATTGATGGCGAGACTGTACCCGGTGTACCAACATTCTCCAGTGTCTCATCTCAAAGCGACGACCCGAGCTTCCCCATGCCGGGCAGGAAATGGTGCTCTGCTTTGATGATTGGCGAGTCAAAACTGGATGTAAGTATTGGCTTCTCCAGTCCACCTCTCAAAGGATCAAAACATCGTAACTGACAAATACTCAGGCGAATATCCTCGCTTACATGGGCATGGACGCCCTTAAACCCGGTGTAGCTACCAAATTCATATCGTCAGTCCGCAAGACCCTTTCCAACTTCCCCGAGGCCGTCGACTATCTCCTGTCATCCTACAACATCACCCCGGAAACACCCGACGAAGAGGCCCTTCTCGCAGCGCTGCGCTTCGGCAGTGAGATCAGCTTCTACGTCCCTGCACGCGCCTTCGCGCAGGGTTGGCCTTGCACCGAGAAGAACAAGTTCTTCCTGTACCATCTAAACGAAGGAATCCCGTGGGAGGGCAGGTTCCAGGGAGAAGCAGGGCACATCTGGGATGTTGCATTGCTGTTCCAGAATTACGAGGCTGAGCTGAGTGAAGAGCAGAGGAAGGTGTCAAGGCAGATGGGAGAAGACTTCATTGAGTTTGTCAATGGGTCCGACCCGTGGCCGGCTGTGCAGAGGGGTCAGTTTGGTGCTAGGGTGTATGGGCCTAGCAAGGATGGTGTTATCGCGAAGTATGTGCCTTCTGGGGATCCGGAGGAGGTGGGGAGGAATAGTAGGGTTCTGAAGTTGGGGGAGATGGCTGGGTTTGATAATGTTTTGGAGGCTTTTCAGAACTTCTTCCAGGGTCGGTAAAGGAGGGGAGGGCCGGATGGAGCCCAGCGGTTGCTCTAGTTAGTTCATAGTGAGGAACCATTGAAGCTCTTCCTAGTATCGTTTAGGTGGACACATATGGTTGAGTACGGATCTACGCGGTTGACAGAATGAGTATGATTTCATAAGTCATAAATTCTTCGACAGTTTTGTGAGTGAAGCGGATACACATTGTACTACTCTTCACTTACTGTAGGGCAGGTAGATGAAGTAAACTGAACGGAATCTTCACCTGATTATGGATTTTACCTGGGAGCAATTGACTGGGACTTTACAGAATGCGGCGTCACTTTATTCTCATTTCTGTCACGCAGCTGGATCTCAGACATCATGGATCGTTCTCATCCACGAGCCCAGTTATATGTTCATTTACGTTCAAATTCTGACTCTGTCACTTACTAACATCATTCAACGTTAGATACGCCGGTGCCGGCTTATCTTCCGAAATATCCCCCCAAGCACTCCAATGCTTCCACACCAACTTCTGACTCTCCACTTCATCAGCAATAGCAATCGCCATATCCGCAACGCTAATACCAGTCAATCTGCCCTCGAAGATATTGTCTCCCTGCTGCTCTCCCACCAACACCATATCATCCACACTAATCTCATACTTCCCCGTTCTCCGACCAGGCCTATACAACGCCGACGGAGAGACAAAACTCCACCTGAAACTCGTATTTCCATCAAAGAACATGAACGCCGTGCGCCCGGCCTTGATGAAATCAGAAGCGCGATCTTTCGCGCGTATGCTCTTTTCATACTCGGCAATGACCTTCTTGTCATCTTCAGTGGCACTGTTGTTTGCCTCTGCGATACGAGCGGCTCGATAAGCACGCAGCGCGGTGCCCATGATACCTAATCGCTCCTCCATGTACGCAATGTGCGCTTCCGAAGTAGCGATTGCGCGACGATACGCCAGGAAGAAATCCGGATGATCGACGCAGCAGTCCTGTGTGCTGGGAACGTGGAGAGAGCCAGCACCGCCAACGAAGAGGAAGTACTTCACAGTGGACCGCTTTACGGCAAGGACTATCTTACGGACGATTTCCAGGAAGGGCACTGTTCCCGTAATCAGTATGATGGGGGCTTTTCTAGTTCGTGTGCACGAGAAGGTACTTGCTGTAAAGTAAAGCATCGGCACCGGCTGTATGTGGACCGTACTCTGAGACCAGGACATCGATATCGAAGAACTGTTGTGCGAGCTCCGAGATGGAGATTTGGTCCAAATCCACTGCCCTTGGAACGTAGCGTTCGTGTTTTCCCAACTTTTCCGGATGCCGTGCTATTCCAATGACGGTGTGGCCGCGATTTATGAGTTCGACGGTCAGGTAGGAGCCTCCAAAGCCTGTGGCGCCGATGACACCGACCCGCAGAGGTTTTGAGATAGACATGATGGTGTTGAAGACAGGTTTGCGAGCGAGATGTGTGCTGCAGACAATGTGCAAGAGCTCGAGACTGTCAAAGGAGAGGCAACAAATGTGGTTGTAGATACTAGATATATTGGATTACAGATGCAGTGAATGCAGCGACGTCGATTGCAACAGTACCGCATATCTGCCCCGCATTTCCCTCGATGGACCAAGTCATCGACCCTTTTTTGGCCGTGCCCATTGCTCAAGCGGGATGTGACTGAGCTATGTGATTGACTCGCTGCCTACACCCCACTCCTTGAGCGTCAAATGTAACTCCCTGGAGGTTCCGTCCAGCGCGTTGGTAGAGTGAGGGGAATGTGGGGCGCATCTACCCGAGCATCTATACCCTAATCTAGGTAGCAACACCACCACCAACAGTGACAGAACGTGAGCGCAAGGCAATACGTATATTCGCAAATTCTATCATTGAAAACGATACAAAAGAACTACCTTTCGTTCAAGGAATCAACATGGCGGAAAATTACGCCTTCATTGGTGAGTATGCGATGTTCACCGTTATTCCCCGTCCAATCACGCAACTCTAAACACTGAACAGGTATCGGAGCCATGGGCTACGGCATGGCCGCAAACATTAGGAAGAAGATGCCGTCAGAGTCGACATTGTACATAAACGACTTCAACATGTCGGCTTGCGAGCGCTTCAAGACAGAGTACAGCTCATACGGCCCCATATCCATCGTCAAGACTGCAAGAGAGGCAGCAGAGAACGCGAGGACAGTAGTATCAATTGTGCCCGGTGCAAAAGATGTCAAGAAAGTGTATTTGGATGAAATCGATGGGGTCATCGCAAGTAAACCAGACGAGATGCGCGTATTGTGCGAATGCAGTACGATTGATGTGAAGAGCACGAGGGAAGTGGGCAACAAACTGAAAGAGAAAGGGATAGGAACTTATGTTGACACGCCCGTTTCCGTAGGTCGCTTTACATTGATTTCTGTTGCACGTTTTAACGTGGGAATAGGGTGGAGTACCTGCCGCAGAGCGCGGAGACCTCAGCATGCTCATCGGGCATCCTCCTCCATCGCCCGCAGATGCAAAATCCGAGCGTCTGGATAAAGTCCTGCGGATGATGGGCTCGCCATCTAAGTTCTTCTACCTCAACACTCTGGGCGCCGGATTGACGGCTAAGATTTCCAACAATTACCTCAGCGGGACCATACTGCTCGCCACCGCCGAAGCCCTGGCCATTGGCGTTGCCCAAGGGCTCGATCCTAAGGATTTGTACAACGTCATCAAGGCTTCGACTGGCCAGAGTTGGATGTGCGACCACGTGATGCCGATTCCGAATGTGCAGACCGAATACTGGGTACCAAGTAACAGTGGGTATAAACCTGGGTTTAAGACGCAGATGATGCTGAAGGATCTGGGGCTGGGAATCGATTGTGCGAAGGAGGTGGGCGTGAAACCGAGTATGGCGGAAAAGGCACTGGAGGTGTGGGCGGAGGCCAGCAAGGACGACAGATGTCGAGATCGTGATGGGAGTTCGATATATTTGCATGTTGGTGGTGTGTTGCCCGCTGGACACGAAGATCGAGGGAAGCGAAACGAGGATGGGAGCTGGATCTTCGATCAATAATAATATCATGTATAATGAAGTTAATGATGATACTAGCATGCAATCTACACCCAGACTCCAGTATGCTACGCTGAAAGGATCTAATAACTCGTTTCTCTCAAATCTCCATCTCCTTCAAGTCTTCCGCAACCTTGAACGGGGCCTCCGTCTTTGACCTGACCTCGTCGACAGTGACACCCTTGGCAACCTCCCTGAGAGTAAGACCCGTAATGGGATCGACATCGAAGACTGCGAGATCCGTGATGATTGTGGAAACGCATTTCTGGCCTGTAAGCGGGAAGGTGCATTGGTTGAGAATCTTGGGGTTTCCTTTCTTGTCGACATGCTCCATTGTGACAACAACCTTCGTTTGGGAAGGATTTGCGACGAGGTCCATTGCGCCTCCAATACCTTTAACCTTTCCTGGGAGCATGAAATTTGCGAGATCTGATGTGAAATTAGGGAAGGGCCAACAATATACATATGTGAAGACCTACCGCCAAACTGGTTGACCTGCATCGCGCCGAGCATGGCAACATCGATTCGTCCAGATCTAATCATGCCAAAGCTCTCATGACTACCAAATGTCGCAGCACCCTTTATCAGGGTGACAGTCTCCTTCCCGGCGTTGATGAGGTCTGGGTCCTCCTCGCCGGGCCTCGGGTATCCACCCATACCGAGGATGCCATTTTCCGACTCAAGGATGATCTCAACACCCTCTGGGAGGAAAGCAGGTGCTGCGAGAGGCATGCCAATGCCAAGGTTGACGTACATCCCGTCCTTCAGTTCCTGTGCCGCGCGCTTGATGATACGTTCGCGCTTCTGCGAAGCTTCTGAGGACCCTGGATATCGATATCAGCCAACGTCCAGGGAGCACGATGTTTCACCAGCTTACCTCCTTCCAGTAGCGCCTTCTTCTGTTCTGCTGGGTCTTTATAGTAAACCAGCCTCTCAATCTTCTTGTCTTCCGTGCTCTTGATTACCCTCTTCACATAGATACCTTGAAGATGGATGTCCTCGGGAGCAATCACTCCATCTTCAACAATCTCGTCCGCCTCCACAATGGTCACCTTTGCATTCTTGCCCATCGCCTCATTGAAATTGTTCTGCGCTTTCCGGAATTGACAGTTACCGAGCCTATCGGCTTTGGCGACCTTAACGAAGGCGTAATCGCCGAAAATGGCTTCCTCCATGACGTATGCTTTGCCGTTGAATTCGCGGGTCTCCTTCGGCGGCGCCATTTTCGCAATTGTGCCGTCTTTGTTATATCGTACGGGCAGTTCGCCGGTTTGGACTTAGAACCGTCAGCCCTGGCTCACCATACGTACATCTGTTTCACCGCACTTACCTATGGTTCCATATGCTGCAGGCGTATAGAATGCCGGTACGCCTGCGGCACCAGCTGCACACTTCTCCGCGATGGTACCCTGGGGCGTCAACTCCAAGTCCAGCTCGCCACTCAAATACATTCTCTCAAACGTCTTGTTATCACCAATGTAGCTTGCAATCATCTTCCCAATCTGTTTGGTATCCAGCAGCTGTCCCAATCCGACGCCGGGCATTCCGGCGTTGTTGCTCACCACGGTGAAGTTTGTAAGGTCCGTCCGGTCACGCAGTGCGTTGATGAGCGTATTCGGAACGCCCGAGAAGCCGAATCCACCGACGAGGACTGTTGTACCGGATTTCATGTCCTTGATTGCTTCCTGTGCCGAGGGAAATATCTTATTGATCCGAGACCGGCAAGATGTGCTGGAGAAGAAACGGATTGCTGGCCCGCTGCGGCGTGCCGCAAAGAGTAATGTCCGTTGCATGGTGGGAAATCGTGTGTACTGGTAGATTTGCCTTCCAGCGGTTTTAAAGCTCCCAATTGAGACGAATGGCTCTTCAGTGTGTTATAGCAAGCCCTATCTTGAAGCTAGAAACGGATGATGCGCTGCGGTTCAGTCTACAGCTCTCTGCGGCTCCGCAACCATAAAAAAGTACAATGCTGCAGAGAAATCTGGAAACCTACTACTGTACACTTTTTTGGGTGCGGAGGTTAAATCTCCCCACACGTTCGTTTTGAGCCCCGAGGGAGCGCATACATGGATTGCGCTAAACCACATTTGACCCCCGAACCACTCTGCCGACCCGACCCTGGTGCAAGGTTCTTTGCCAAGCATCGACTCCACTCGAGCTCGAGCATTGTGGGTGAAAACTTATCCGGGTGGTGCTGCCGCGATGGTTCGGAAATACATTTTCAAGGGCCTGGAAAAGTGCATGGCGCCGGCAAACGTTGAGATATGTCACGTGATATATACATTCACTCTTGCATAACTTCCGGGAGAGAGATGTGAATGAACACCAAATCATCCATTCGGGTCTAGACGAGTCAAAATCATTATAGATTGCTATTTGATGTACATGTAACGTGCGACGACCACTCTTCAGTACAAATCATGGACAATGCGTTTCACTGTGTAGGGAATTAGTCTGCCATTCACTTGTTTGAGCTTGGTTTATGCTTACAGTTGTCAAAATCCTTATGCTCCCTGCTGTGTAAGGCGCGGGTGGCAATGGCTTCTTCTTCCGCATCGCCTGTCGGTACATTGTACTGATTCCACGTTAGCAATAGGTTAAAGGACAAAAAGGTGTTACTCACGGCAGTGAGCGTTGTCTTGTGCCCAAGCCGCTCCACCAGGTCCGAAATCGCATCCGCAACAATATGTGCATCCTTCTCGTCATCTCCGCTGCTCTGTTTCCCAATGTAAGGAATGATCCTAGCGATCTGCTTCGCTTCTTCTGGATTGCTGGCCTTGAAGTGGACTGTTGGTGCCAAGCTCAGGCAGCTGGTGATACCATGGGGAATAGAATAAGTAGCCCCAATGGCATGGCCGATGCTGTGGCTCAGACCGACGCCCCCTGTGTACAGGAACGGGAAGAGCGATGAGTAGCAGGCAAGAAAGAGCTTCGTCCGGATGTCGGCATCATCAGGCTTCTCTTTAGATAGGGGTAGATAAGTGAAGAGGTCCTTGATGGCTTCAAGGCTCATCCGCTTGGTTGGGATCTCGGATGCGAGCGGATGATACATCAGCTCAACGGCATGATCAAGCGAACGAATCTATGGAGCATAAGCCGAGGTCCTCTCCGCGTACTCATCAAACCTACCCCAGTGCTTGTCCACAAGTGCAGAGGAGTATGGAGGGCAATTTCTCCGTCATAGACGACAGCTGGAATCTGTCAGCCGAGAACGAAACGAAAGCCTGTGTCTTTACCCTTGGGGACGAGCTCTGGGTGGCTCACGGCAATCTTGTGAAGCTCTTCGGTTGTAAAGCCAGCGTTTTGAGTAGTTTCGGCGACGCTCAATGTGGTAGGGACAGCAATGCTTGGTATCCATTTGCCTGTCTGCTCGTGAATGTTATATGCAATGGCCTTTGCGGAGTCAATTGGCGAGCCACCTCCAACTGAGATGAGAACATTACAGCCGGACTCGGCCATCAACCTGGTGGCTTCTCGGATATCTTTTATCGGCCTACTCGGCTTAGGATTTTGCCCAAAATGTTAGGATCATATAGACTGACGCATGTTGCCCGATCTTGCTAAAGGTGCCACCATGAATTTCGCCCAAGCTCTTTTCGATTTCGTTGATCACGGGTGTCTTCTCATACAGCGACCGTCCGGTGATGATGAAGGCTTTGGTGCCACCGAGCTCCTTAACCACATCGGAGAGTTGCTTGCTCGTGCCTGTTATGATGTGAGTTTCTAGGCCAAGCAGGCAATGCTTTTTTACTTACCTCTTCCATATATCATGAGCTTCACTGGTGACGCTCGATACACGCCCTTCACCGACGAATCGATACTGCCGTTTTGGTATTTGCTCGGAAGAGTCATTTTGCACAATACTACAAAACAAACGTTATGGGCTTGGAAAAGGTGGAAGAAGCGTTTAAACAGTACGTGTACGCAAAAACAGACCTTCTTCCCACCGTGCCATGCGGTGATTCGTGATTCGTCATTCGTCATAGAGGGGTTCCGATGTTCGCCCCACATTGCAAGATCCCCGCCACCTATGTCCTGCATGCGTCCAAGGTTCCGAAACGGCAGTTGGTTTGATTGATATTCAGGTACGCAAGATCTCGAACGTTCGACTCCCTTGCTGGCTTTATGGTTGTGTTATTGCTCTTCGTCCGGAACTGACCATGGCAGCCTTCAACAGGGTCGCACGGAATGTGCTGCAGAAGAGCCCAAATGATGTTGTGTTGCTCTCAGCAGTCAGGACACCGATCAATCGAAGTTTCAAAGGAGGTTACAAAGATGCGCACCCAGAAGATATTCTGATTCCCGTGAGATTACCAAAACATCGGAGAGACTGAACGCATCTCTGATATGACATAGGCCTTGAAGGCTGCGGTGCAGCGTGCTGGTATCCAACCAGGGGACGTGAACGATGCGATGATTGGAAATGTTCTCGCAGAGCTCGGTTTTGCAAAGACTGGCCGTATGGCCCTCAACCATGCTGGATTCCCGAATTCGACAACCTTCCACACCGTGAACCGTCAATGCTCAAGCAGTCTTCAGGCAATCACCCATATTTCGCATTCGATCATGGTCGGTCAGGTTGACGTTGGCCTCGCTGGAGGAGTGGAAAGCATGTCCAGGAACTATGGCTCACGAGGCATCCCCACGGATGTCTCACCAACACTGCTAGGTTCGCCAGTCAAAGATGCAAGAGATTGCTTGATGCCCATGGGTATCACATCGGAAAATGTAGCAGAGAGATATGGGATCGGTCGAAAATCGCAGGACGAATACGCGGTGCGGAGCCACGCTCGAGCCAGCCGAGCCCAAACTGAAGGCTATTTTGATTGGGAAATCGTGAAAGTTACAGTTCCGCGCATCGACGAAAAGACGGGCCAGCCAACAGGATACGAGGTAGCCAAGGATGATGGAATCAGGCATGGATTGACCTATGAGAAGGTCTCCCAGCTTAAGCCAGTGTTCGGCGAGAACGGCAAGAGCACAGCTGGAAATTCGTAAGTACTCCGCGGGGCACAGTATATTACCGATGACTGAACTGCTTCATTTGCATTCTAGCTCTCAAATATCTGATGGCGCGTCAGCCACGATTCTAGCAAGACGGTCCTGGGCTGAAGAACGCGGTCTCAAACCTTTGGGCCGCTTTGTTGGAACACAAGTCAAAGGATGCGCGCCAGATGAGATGGGCATAGGGCCCATCTACGCAATACCTGCTTTATACAAGTTTACTGGCATCGAGCAGAAGGACGTCGACATATTCGAGTTGAACGAGGCCTTCGCAAGTCAGACCATAGCATGCATCCGGGAGCTCGGCTTGGATGAGGACAAGGTGAACCCCAACGGAGGTGCGATTGCGCTGGGCCATCCTACTGGAGCTACAGGTGCGCGGCAGACGGCAACACTCCTCGGTGAATTGAGGAGGCAGGACAAGGAGATTGGGATCGTGAGCATGTGTGCTAGCACAGGTCAGGGGGTAGCGTCCCTGTTCATCCGAGAATGAGATAGCGATGCCTGTTGAAGTCATGAACACGTCGTGTGCCCTCTTTGGTGCTCCGTGGTGCGTGCATGATGTGTACTTCCACTACTCTTGGTGATGGATACCTAGGGTACACAGCATGTCCAACAAGCTCCCGAAAACGCTGCCAGGGTTGAACCCCACGCGAGAACCACGCGCCAACCCCGCGCCAAGACAACGCTAAATCTCAACTTAATCGGACGTGCCAAATCCTCGGCTCTCTCTCACCCCTTCGCACAGACGCACACGTCCTCTCCCCACACGCAGCTGGAGCTGGAGCTGTTGGGAAGCTCCACATTGTTCCATTTGTTCAATCATGCCGCCCTGAGCTTTTTGATTTTTCGCTTTGTTCCTTTTCTGTTGTCTACTTCAATCATTTGGCGTTTGGTCGTTCATCTCGTCATGTCCATGTTCCGCTACAACCTTTTTCGTGGACTCCCGCGTTCGCTCCCACATCGGCTCGTGGTTCCAAATGTGCAGTTTCGCCGCTCCCTGGGCAGCGTAAGCGCCATCGACTCTGCTATTTTCCGGACGTTGTTCGGCACAGAGGAGATCCGCAAAGTGTTCGACGACAGAGCCTACCTCAACCGATGCGTGGACGCTGAAGCTGCTCTGGCACGAGCTCAGTCCCGCTGCAATGTCATCCCCGCTCATATTGGCGAAGTTGTCACCTCAAAAGCAGCCCAGGCCGAATTGGACTTCGACAGATTGCGACGGGAAACCGAAATCGTGGGCTATCCCATTCTCCCACTGGTACGGCAGCTTTCTGCCATGGTTGGCGAAGAGGCGGGCCGATATGTGCATTGGGGTGCTACAACGCAAGACATCATGGATCTGGCTAGCATGCTGCAGATGAAGGAGGGACTCGAGATTGTGGAACGGACTCTTCGCTCTGTCATCAAGAACCTTGAGCATCTCTCTAGGAAGCACCGAGATACACCAATGGCCGGCCGAACGCACTTGCAGCACGCATTGCCCATCACCTTCGGCCACAAGACCGCGGTGTGGCTTTCCGGCTTCCAGCGTCACCTTGAAAGGCTCGAGCAGTTGAAGAAGCGTGCGCTTATGGTGCAATTCGGCGGCGCAGCTGGTTCTTTGGCCTCGCTGGGGTCAGGCGACGACGGCATTCGGGTTCGCAAAGCAATGGCGGAGGACCTTGGACTGGCCAATCCTCCCATTACATGGCACGTGGCAAGGGATGGAGTGGCTGAAATCACCAATTTCCTTGCACTGGTTGGCGGCAGCCTTGGGAAATTGGCACTCGATATCATCATCATGTCGTCGAACGAGCTTTCAGAGGTATCAGAGCCTTTCGTGCCTCACCGCGGAGCATCATCCACAATGCCTCAGAAGCGAAACCCGATATCCAGCGAAGTAATCTTGGCCGCTTCGAAGATTCTTCGCTCAAACGCAGGCTTAGTACTCGATGGAATGGTGTCAGACTTTGAACGAGCTTCTGGTCCATGGCATTTAGAATGGGTTGCCGTTCCAGAGAGCTTCGTCATTGCGGTCGGCGCTCTCTATCAAGCAGACTTCGCCCTTTCTGGCCTAGTTGTAAACCCGAAACAGATGCTCGATAATTTGTATTCGACGAGGGGCCTTATCGTTGCGGAGGCGGTCATGATGGGGCTTGCTCCCCATGTAGGACGACAGAGAGCTCATGACATTGTGTATGAAGCATGCAAGGCCAGCATTGAGGGAAACACGAGCTTGTTGGAGGCATTGCAGCAACGGCCCGAGGTAACTGAGAAGATCTCCAGCCACGCTCTGAGTGAGTTGTGTGACGCGAAGAATTACTTGGGCTCATGTGGGTTGATGGTAGATGAAGTTCTCGCATCATCAAGATAGCCAGGCCCATCAATTAGTTGTATTCCTTCAAGCGCTTCGTGTATTCTCCTTTTTGTTCATTAGGTGCTAAGGGTTATGCCGTCCACAGGAGTTTTGAGACTGCTAGACTTCATCCAATACGGTGGACTATTACCAGATATCCTGCAAAAATTAAAATTTACTAAGGACATTTGAAGCCCCGCAACAGAGCTCTGCCTAACTCTCCCTGTACTGTTGTAGGTAGATACAGAGCTTAAACAAATTATATACTCATGCTTAGTTCTTTGCGTAGACTTGTTGTACAGCAGTTGCTAAGCGTAAGGCTCTGCGTTGCTTGCAAAACTTGTAGTAACTAAGATAGGCACTGCGCACTTATACTACGCACTTATACTGCGCACTTGTAAACAGGCAAGGAATTAGGACTACTTTTAGTAGCAGTACGTGTCGTACACTGCTAATTCTGCGAGGCTTGAAAGTTGCATCATAGGGCAGTTTGAATTTTGGTAGGATACTCGATAATAGTCCACCGTAACCCAAGCATATCAAGCACTGTTTGACGGGATAGATGAAAGATACTCCGCGAATCTGCTGTCGACGTCTCCCAACCTCCAGGTATCACAAATTGGGCAAGCTGCTCTGGCACGCCTAGCCCTGTGGTAGAAGCGTGACCATCTGATAACACCCCCGCCATATTCGATCAGAGAATCTGGGGCAAAAATCAACAAGGCGCCGCCCCACATCGTCCCCGGCCTGCACCACTTCCATCCTTGTGGGCACAGGGAGCACGGCAAGTCCAATGGCTGGGCATCCGGGGAAGTGGGTGCACCAATATAAACAGCTCGAACAAGGTGAGCTTCTCATCTTCAAATCACCTCTTGCATAGCCAGAATGCCGGAGTTCAAGGAACGCAAGCTTATCACTGACCCTCAGAAGGTCTTCCACTTCACCGATTTGCAAAGGCTGAAACCTACCCGCGAGAATGACCCTTACGAATATCAAGCCGGATGGGGCAACCGTCATCAATCAGAAGTAATTCCTGGAACCCTTCCGGTTGCGCAAAACAATCCTCAGGAAGTCCGTTTCGGCCTATACACGGAGGGCATCACGTACTCGGCATTTGCTGCACCGCGTCATTCGAACTTCAGCACTTATATGTACCGCGCACGTCCTGCTGCAGCTCATAGTGAGCCACAATGATACTAATGTTCTTTCGAGGAAGTGCTAATGTTAACAGAGGGATATGTGCCTATCCAGACCAAATCCAACATTGAGAATTGTTTCCTTTCGATAAATCCAAAGGTGGAGACTCTGCCGGAACAGGCCGAATGGCATCCATTCCCTCTACCCAAAGATGAAGACAAGATTGATTTCGTGGATGGCTTGCACACACTAGCGGGGAGTGGAGATCCGAACATTCGAGAGGGCATTGCTCTTTACGTCTACATGTTCAACTCGAGCATGGATCGAAGAGCATTTTGCAACACTGATGGAGATTTCCTCATCTGTGCCCAACTAGGCAATCTGGACATCAAAACGGAGATGGGCAAGATATTCTTACAACCCGGCGAGATCTGCGTCATCCAACGTGGAATCCGTTTCTGCTTGAACCTTGCCCCCGATACCAAGGTGGCACGAGGCTATATTACCGAGGTTTGGGGATCTATGTGGGAGCTCCCGGATTTGGGTCCTCTTGGGGGTCACGGGTTGGCAAACCCGCGAGACTTCCTCTACCCCGTTGCAGCTATCGACGACGAACTGCAGGTCGATTGGCAGATTGTCAACAAGATCAATGGCAAGCTTGTCGCCATTCAACAAGATCATAGTCCATTCGATCTCGTCGCATGGCACGGTAACGTCGTTCCGTACAAGTACGACCTCACCAAATTCTCGTCACAAAACAGCACCTCCATCGACCACACCGATCCCTCTATCTTCTGCGTCCTCACGGCCAAGTCTCGCGACCCCGCCACTCCTCTGGCGGACTTCCTCTGGTTCGGCCCGAGATGGGACGTTGCAACTAATACCTTCCGATTGCCTTACTTTCACCGCAACTCTGCTTCAGAGTTCCTAGCATGTATTTATGGTAAAGGTCTTGGACGAAGTGATGATTTCCAACCCGGGGGTGGTAGTTTCGAGGGATCCCATACTCCTCATGGCGGCTTCCACGAGGGCTATCAGCATGGAATGCGTATCCATGAGAGTCAACCCGAGAAGATCCTTACAGGTAAGTCGACGGTCGACTTAGAATGCCCTAGTCAAAATCATTTCTCACTACTTCACAGATCAATTGACAATCATGGTTGAATCGAGCCGGTTATTCCTCTGGACGGAATACGCCCGCGTCGGCTGCGGAACCATCCACACGCATGGAACTGACTACAAGGTTTGGGATGCGCTTCCGGTAAGTTTCTCTCTGATCCAGCGACGATTTGCAGCAAGATTGCTCACGCGTTGTAGGACCGTTTCTCCGCAAACAAAAAGGCGCAGGAGTTACTTGCTCGGGTAAAGGAGGATAAGATTGCCGAAAAGAAGAGGCTCGCCCCTTACTACATTGGTGGCTTTTCCCACGGCGCAAATGCGAGCGATACAGAGGGTGTGCACTCAAAAGAGCTGCAGCAATACTTGAACGGCACTGTCAACGCAGTTGACAGGGAGCCTACGAATGAACCGAATGGATCAACAACAGTGACGACGAATGGATCTAGCGACGGGACTACGGATGGAGTCGCCGATGGAGTCACAACAGATGGAGCCGTGAAAGCCATTGACGGCGCGCCGATAATCGATGATGGAGCCGTGAAGCCCATGGATAGAGCAATGGAAAGGGCGGATGAAGCAGCGGTTACGCTTGCAGTCACGGATGCAGTCACGGATGGAGCCGCGAATGGGGTATAGATATTTCCGCTCTCTCTAATCCAACTATCTTTAATTTCTGCAATTACCCGACATCACTGCATGCAGTTGCTCTCTTGTTGTTATAGCCCACAGTTAGCACCGTTAACAACGATGTAGAACGCGACCATCACTTCACACCGTCCCTGCAAAACGCTTGAAAACGTCTGTGCAATTAGTGACCCCACATTCGGCTTTCGGCTATTGTGGGGCGTGCATTTGCGTCCTTGTGAATCTCTCTGATAAAATATACCAACCGTCCAACACTGCTCCCTAGGTACTCTAGGGTATTGAGGAAACCATGTCTTCATGTACCAGACTCTTCCCAGGAGCTAGGATATCTCTCCCGGTGCCCTGGCGCCTGGGAACTCGGTTTCCCGTCGTTGCGAATGGACGCCTGGAGCGCGTAAGAGCGTTGAGTACGAACAAGGTCGACAAGAAACTAGTTGAAAAGCTGCCATTGGCTGGTATTCGGGTGTTGGATCTGACCAGGGTTTTGGCAGGGGTGGGTTACTTCCGCTTTTAGCAGGTATACCTGCCACAGTGAATGCGCGCTGATATTTGCTTTTGTAGCCATACTGTACACAGATACTGGGAGACTTGGGGTACGATTTTGTATCATTCGTAGGTTGTCGCTAACATTGGTTCAGGGCAGAGATAATAAAGGTCGAGCATCCAACAAGAGGTGATGATACACGTGCTTGGGGCCCACCTGATGCGCCTTACATTGATGGCGTCGAGCGTCAGTTCCCCGGCGAGAGCGCATATTATCTTTCCGTAGGTATTCCATTTCGGACTCACCTACGTTCTTCCTGACATTGCTCCAAAGGTCAACCGCAACAAGAAGTCCCTAGCGCTGTCTTTCAACAACCCTGCCGGTATCAACATCCTCCACGAATTGGTACGAAAATGCGACGTCCTCGTGGAGAACTATCTCCCAGGGAGCCTTGCCAAGTACAAGTTAGACTACGCTACTTTGTCCGAACTGAACCCCTCATTGATCTACGCCTCTGTGACTGGTTACGGCCAGACTGGACCGTACAGCGACAGGGCAGGCTACGATGTTATGGTCGAGGCTGAAATGGGACTGATGCATATTACGGGCGAAAGGGATGGGCCGCCCGTAAAGGTTGGTGTCGCAGTGACGGACTTGACGACAGGCATGTACACCGCGATTGGGGTTCTTTCGGCGTTGTACGCAAGGAAGGAGACAGGGCTAGGACAGTGGATCGATGCAAGCTTGAGCGATTGCCAGGTTGCGAGCCTGGCAAATATTGCCAGTTCGGCGCTGGTGAGCGGCAAGAAGGACAGCGGGAGGTGGGGAACAGCGCACGGTATGTTGGGAACCCAATTTCTACTATTGAAGTGCCCTTGAGCTTCAACTGATGTATTTTCCAGCATCGGTTGTGCCTTATAGAGCGTACAAGACGAAAGACACAAATATCGCAGTGGGTGGATGCAACGACAAGCTTTATGGCATTCTCTGCGACAAGATCGGCAAACCGGAATGGAAGACGGATGCCCGCTTCGTCACAAATGCTTTGCGTGTCCAACATCGCGATACGCTTGACGGGATGATCGAAGATGTTCTCAAAACGAAGACTACACAGGAGTGGTTGGAGATTTTCGAAGGGAGCGGTATGCCCTACGCAGCCGTGAATGATATTCAAGGGACCATCAATCATGAGCATGGTAAGTATTCCTTTAGCCTCTCCACCAGGTTGATGTCGGATGGAGGAATCCATAACTGACGCAACAACTTAGTCTTGGCGCGAAATATGATCGAGCGAGTGAACCATCCTGCCTGCGGCCCACTGAAACTCGTCAATCATCCCGTCAAGTACTCTCGCGCCGAGCCCAAGATTCGGAGCCCACCGCCACTGCTAGGACAGCACACAGATGAGGTGTTGAAGGAGTTGTTGGATTTCACCGATGAAGAGATCAGTGATTTGAAGCTGAAAAAGACAATTGCATAGACGCAGTCATAGATTTGGGACACTTCAGGACCACGCCAACTGACAAAAGGGACCACCCTACGAGCACACTCTGCCGCATACACAGCATACAATACAGCATATATAAAGACCTTAACCCTATCTTCTTACCTTAATCCTAACCCTATTACCCCTAATCCTAACTGCTATCTCTCTCTTTGGGCGAAGAAGCCCTTTCCTATAGAGAGAGGGGTAAAAAGAGGCAGAGGGGTCTTCTGTTTGTGAAAAATTATTTGCAGGGCTCTTATTAGAATTATTAGACGCGCAACCTTCGTAGGGTGCTCTTTATTCGTACATGGGGTGGTCCTGAACGTCTCCCATGGATTTTCGTCGTGCGAAATGAAAGATCGATATTTTTGCCTCCTGCATCTACAATTAGCTATATAAATCGTTTCTCACGAGTGACAAGTTGTAGATTCTGATTTGGACGATCAATACACAGTATATGCGCACAGTGTTGCAGACGGGGATCTGTGCAGGTGTTCTTTACGAACCAAACAGGCTCTATTGTCCAGAACGGCATGCTGATAATCCTGCAGCCAGCCATTTTTCTCACTTCCCTCAGCGCATCAGCATCACCGCCATCGGCGGATTACCTATAGGCTACCTAATAGAGTTTAGCCAGATCTTAATCCGAGGTCCCCTGGGAGCCATTTATCGATGGCGCTAGCCCCACCTCCTCGTCAGCAACAACCAATCACACGAGACCCACATTTCAATACACGTGGATGCCCTGCTTTGTTAGCTTAGCCCGAACTCTAAATGAACCGGTATGACAGGGGTTTAGGTCTGAGTGGTTTTCGGGGAGTGCCGGAAGCGTGAGGGCTGGTGGGGAGGTCGTTCTAAGAAGTAATCGCGTTTTCGGGAAGGGTACGGAGTAGATAATCTATATCGACGTCAAAAGTTTGAGACTTTGGCGAACCGGATAAGAATAAGAGCGAACACTAGGAAAATGTCTTCTACAACGAGGGGGGATGCGAAGACGCTGCCGTTCAGATATCAATTCGTTGCAGGTGCTGTGGCTGGGATATCAGAGGTTCGTCAAGCTTCCAAACTATCAGATATTTCAAGGAAATTATGGATAGTGATGCTGAGACGACTCCCACAGATTCTGGTAATGTGAGTTTATCATAAGACAGTGACTACTATAGTCCCCTTTCGTAAAAACGTACAACTAAGATTGTAGCAAGGTATCCCCTCGATGTAGTAAAGACTCGGATTCAGCTTCAACACGGGACTACTACCGGTGCCAACAGCGGGACGGGGAACTATACTGGTGTGATTGATTGTTTTAGAAAGATCATCAAGAGCGAGGGACTGTCGCGGTTGTATCGTGGGATTACGGCTCCGATTCTGATGGAAGTGCCAAAACGGTATGCCTTCCCTCAGGGTAAAACGGAAGATTGAAAACCAGCTAACAACGGAAAGTGCTATTAAGTTCTCGTCGAACGATACATTTGGAACAATATATCAGAAAGCGTTTCATGCCTCAACGCTCACACAACCTCTGGCAATACTGACAGGCGCGAGCGCAGGGGCTACGGAATCACTGGTGGTGGTTCCCTTCGAATTGCTAAAGATTCGCCTGCAAGATAAGAGCTCTGCGTCCCGGTACACTGGACTGCTAGACTGTTTAGCCAAGGTCGTACGACAAGAAGGTCCAATGGCACTGTACAACGGCTTCGAAGCTACACTGTGGCGTCATATTGTTTGGAACGCTGGCTATTTTGGATGCATCTTCCAAGTGCGAAGCCAGTTACCCAAGCCAGAGCAGAGCCACAATCCTAAAATGCAGAAGACGGTCAATGATTTGGCGGCAGGGTTCGTAGGGGGTGTAGTGGGTACAACGTTGAACACGCCTTTAGACGTGGTAAAGAGTCGGATTCAGAGTGTTGCAAAGGTTGAGGGCGTAAGGGCCAAATACGAATGGGCATGGCTGAGTTTGGGGATTGTGGCTAGGGAGGAGGGGTTCAGGGCGTTATACAAGGGGTATGTGGCGAAGATACTAAGATTTGGCCCAGGAGGAGGTGTGCTACTGGTCGTGTATTCGGCTGTTTCGGAGATGTTGGGGAAGGTGGTGTAGCAAACATGACCATGTTGGGGAATAATAAGCATATGCAAGGATGCAGGCTGATATGGAGATGGAAATTCTGGAAGCGGACAACCTCTGTCAGATGGTTTCTCGCCAGCCAATACTCTGGCCTGGTTGAGGCCTCAATCTTGGATTCGAATGCGAGATCAGCTGCAGATATCCGGATGATTGTTTCGAGATATTAACGGTTATCGGAGCAGAAGATCGTAGACCGAAGTATATCCTATACTCCGAGGTTATATAGCTGAATTCGAAGGGCGCCTACTGGGCACTATGCAGACATAAAAAGTACGAAGGCTTATTGATCGCCATGTCATATATCCAGATGTTAGAACATGACCTGCATGAAACACATGAATAAAGTCCAATTATCAAAATTCCGTCAATCAAGTCAAACATCATGAATGTTCCTCTCGTCCTAGAAGCTTTCCCAAGGCCATGACCAACAGTCAGCAAGACAGGGGATGCCCCACAGGCTCCACATGGAGGTTTGTAAGATGCCTGCGGAGAGGCGCGTTTACACGATTGACCCCCCAGGGCATGGGGAAAGCCAGCGGCGTCTAAAAGTGAGGGTAGGCTTGCGAGGGGAAATGGCCTGAGGGACCCCGGCGCCGTATTCTGGGGTTGGAGATCTGAGAAAAGGGCCGGAAATGTTGACGCTGGCGCAGTGCTGTCCGGATGGGAGGATATCGATCGACATCACGGGTGGTTGGGGATGAAAGTCGCCCGGCTCACCAAAGGGTCCGACAACTGCAGGCCCAATCACCAGCACGCGCCGCAATCTCGAGCACATGCAGCAGGAATGCAGGAATTCGAAAGGAAATTCTTGCAGATGAAGTTGCAATCAACAGGAAGCGCACATCCCGGGCTTATATGGGCGTTCGCCGAGCCCCTAGTTTGGATAGGGCGCTTTCCCCGCATTCCAAGGTTCACGTCCTGGCCGAGACCTCCGAGTTCTACACCGAGCTCTCTCCAAGGGTCGCACCCCTCTCGGCATTTCACACTTCCAGGACTCCAAATCTCCTCACAGACCCCTTACCATCGATTTTCAGGGAGATCGATCTGGGAGCATTCGGCCATAAGCTCACCCCGAAGACCTCGTCGACGCCTGCTCTCTCCTCATGGCCCTGAAACAATGCAGTCTGTGCGACCGCAAGTTCACCAAACTTGAGCATGTCAAGCGGCATGAGCGATCGCGTAGGAGCAATTCATCTGTCGAGTTTTGATCCCGGTCTAATCCCCCGTTCAGACACACGAGAGCGCCCTTATGAATGCCCAACGTGCAAGAAGCACTTTTCTAGAAGGTCAGTGACCCCTATCGCCAAACTGGCCCCTTGCCCTTCCCCTTCAGCCAACTCCGTATAGCGACGTTCTCTTCCGACACTGCAAAGGGCATGCTCAGAATGCTCTGAACCGCTTGAACAGCCAGCAGCAGCAGCAGCAGCAGAACCAACTCAACCAGCAGCAACAGTCTAGCCAGAGCCAGAGATCGCCGACCGACAAACCCACTCCTCGGCCTCCGCTGCAACCAGAGCCGGCACCGACCAGCGTCCAGCACGACGTTAGCCTCTCTCCCTTGTCGACTAGGAGAGACTCCCAACAGATTCCGCAGCCGCCCAACAACGAGAAGAATCCGAATTCCAATCCCTCCCCGCAGATACATGTTCGACAGGCTTCCTTGTCACAACAGACCGCATCCCCTGGCGACGGCCGACTGGAAGCACTCATCAATGCGGCGCAGCACCTTGAGCCCTCTGGAGACGTAACTTGGAGAACGCCGTCCCCGATCAATATCGCCCCCGAGCAGCATGACCGCTACTTGAATCGCGGTCACGACAATATGCCTCCACCTATTGACCCAGCCATCGACATGTTGTCCTTCTCGCCAGCGGGTCATGTCTCTAGTCTGGACCAATGGGCGTTCGAACTGGTACAGAGTAATCATCCGATGGCGAATCGCACACCGGCCGATGCTCTCCAGACCTGGCTCTTCGGTTTCGAGAACGAGCTCACCGGCGGCGCGCATCAAATCGGCATTGACAACCATTTTGAGCAGGACGCTTTCCGACAAGTGGGCGACAACCACGCTAGCCCGTCAGGCAGCAGCGCATCAATAGCAAGCAGAATACCCAAAGAACGGTTTGCAAGAGTAGAGAGTTGTTGGCCATCTAAAAACCGCCGGTCAGCACGGCTCATGCCCACTCTGTGGCAAAACTTGATATCCTGCGAATGCACCAATATCCTCTCCGAAATCCCACACGGTGTCATCGAGACGCCAGTGAGCGTAAGAGAAAGGCGAACGTCAAGGTGGGGTCTCGATGAAGAATGTCGGAATGTGCTACAGAGCGCAGTAAACAATGCACCTCAACCTGTACCGGCACTTCGCTCAGACTCATATCTAGACACTGCATCTTCCAGTGGAGAAGCAGGAGCAAGTCCAGGAGCTGAAGGAATTCAATTTCCGCCAGCAGAAATCCTGGATATCGCCCTTGAGATGTATCTGTACTACTTCCATCCCACGCTCCCGATCATTCATATCCCGACTTTCTCAGCCAAAAACGCTCCACGGCCCTTGCTCCTATGCATGTGTCTCATCGGACTGAGCATCTTAGGCACTGCGGGAGCATCAAAATTCGTCTCTAGGACATTTCCGGTACGTTTCAGAGAGATGATGCGCTAAGTTTCTGCTAAGTAAAGAACCAGACGGTCTTACAGATGGTGTCGTCTGAACTCAATTCACTTTCGACGAAGAACGACAGGCCGGAGCGGCAGATGTGCATAATTGCAACAAGTCTCCTCGCGCTCAACCTCGCTTCTATCACTGGTGTAAGTTATCTTGGGCCAGATTACCAGAACTCTGCTGACGGAACCAGAGAAAGAGCCGAATCGCACAGTCCGAAAAACTCTATAATGAGCTGATCTCTGTAAGTATCATATGCCGCTCAAACACCTGGGGCCACTTAGTTAATGATCTTAGATTACACAAAGTCATGGCCTATTCTCATGCAGCGAGGGTCCATCACCAGATTCGCTACTCGAAGAGATAATGGATCTAGAGTCTCGGTGGAAGGCCTGGAGCCGAATAGAATGCGCAAAACGGTTCGTACATGCCCCCAGCATCCTTGAACAATGGCTGATGATTATCAAGTATCATTTTTGGGTTGCTAGAAGTAGATTGCTGGTACGCCGCATATCTCTCTGCAGCACCAATGATCAGGCCTGAAACAGTGCAAATCCTCCCACCGGCCGAGTACAACCTCTATCACGCCAATTCCGCCACCAAGTGGTTCCACCTTGCTCAACGTGGCGTTCGCATATACACCAGTCGCATCACCCCTTCTTTCCTACCAACGCCTGGCCTGAAACTTGATAACACAAGTTTCCGGAGCCTCCTCACCCTGTTGCTTCTTCGGCTATATGAGTCGAATGACCGCCTTGCCAACGCTACTGGACCGCACAAACAGCTGGAACCATGGCGTATCTATGCCGAGGACCCACGAAGTCGGGAGCTCATACCGCTCCTGGTCAACTTGTCCTCCTCCTCGATTGACGCCCTTAGAACAGCAGATCTCAACTCTGCAGTACTCTGGCACGCGTCCTGCATGATGCTCGGAGCCAACATGCGGTACTTTGAGATGGCGGCAGGCCGCCAGGGCCCCGGACCCGCCGTTACTGCTCTGGAAGACATATCGGCCTGGTCGCAGACGCCAAGTGCACGACGGGCCGTCTTGCACGCAGCTCACATCTTCAAGCTGCTCTTTGACCGCAAAGTCTCGGACATTGTGAATCCGCACAGCGTTGTTGCGCTGTTCCAAGCTGCGCTGGTACTGGGTCTCTATATCTTCACACTTCCCGCTAACGCTCCTGTCTGTCGCTTGAACGACAACTGTGTCGAACTTCTCGAGCTCGTCGACTGGAGCTGTGTGGGGCACGTCGGCCTCATGGATACTCCTTCATCGCCTGGCGCGCAGCTCGGTTTCGGCGACGGCACCACCGTCAACTTCATCCGGAATGGCGGACCCTTCAGCATCACCGGTATCGCGCTCGAAGGCGGATACCTGGCAGCGCGAAGGACCTTGCTTCACTGTGCTGACTTGATGGAGGGTATGGGCCGGTGGAAGAGCCGGACCTTCTCCCAGATCTTGCACATCATGAGCGACGACTTGACGGACGTGGACATGGGGGATAGTGATGAGGCGTGACGGTTACCATCCCCTTCCTACTGGTCAATTGACGATCTGAAAAAGATTTGGGGAAGGGGATAACCTGATTTAACGTACTGTTTCGAACGCGTTCGTGAATCTCAACGCTTTCAAGCGACACGATATAAGGATGGATTGGATTTGCATGAGGATGGCGTTGGGCTATGCGACGCCATATCACGAATATATAGCATGATTTGGGTGGCTCTGGGTCTTGAAATCCTGGGGTATGGGGCTTTCATATAGGGTCGTGTAAGCTGCGGATCTGCAAACGTCTCCACAATGTAGCTTCGACACAACATGTTGACCTGTCGTATTCCTCCACTGTGCCACACTCCCACAAACGTGATTATGCATGCCTCCACCACTGTCTTCGGTATTACTAGATTTCGCCTTGTCAGCGTCCCAAGACGTATGTGGGGTGAACCGTTGGAGACCTTGCATTTCCTCGCGTGTGGAAGCTTGCCTTGCAGTTCCACACTATGCTCCGTTACCAATCCATCTAAACAAAATCACTGTTAGAAATTCTTCGCAGCCTCTAAAAGGATAGATTTGACTTCCCTACTCTGGGTTATCCTGCAACGAAATATCAGGTTGTCCTCGAACTGGGCCCCACATGTCTCTCTTACTCGCCCTCACTCTCCTCTCCGCCCTCTTCTACCTGCTCTTCATCAAACGCAGCACACGCCCGTCTGCAGGCCTCAGAAATGCCCCAGGACCAAGCGGCGCCCTCCCCATCGTCGGCAACGCCCACCAATTGACCAAGCTCCCGCACCGCCAGATCCAAAAATGGGCGCGCGAATATGGAGAAGTGTACAAGATCCGACTGGGCTGGTACGACTGGTACATGTTGTGTTCGTCCGAGGCAGTGAAGGAGGTACTGGATCGGCAGAGCGCGCATACGAGTTCCCGCGCGCCGGCGCCTGTTGCGAGCGATGCGTTGAGCGGGGGCATGCGGTTCCTGTTTATGGAGTATGGGAGTGAGTGGAGGAAGTTGAGGGCGCTGAGCCATAAGTTGTTGACGCCGAAGGGGAGTGAGATGTTTATGCCTAGTCAAGAGTGGGAGGCGAGGGTTTTGCTTGGGGAGGTGTTGAAGGGTGCTGCTGAGGCGGGTGAGGGAGGGGATGACTCTGGGTATAAGGCTGTGAGGAGGTATACAGTTAGTGTTATTATGACGAGTACGTATGGGAGGAGGATCCCTGTTTGGGTATGCGATTACTATCTTTTATTTCTCTCCACAGCTATGAGTAGGGCCATGGTTGCTAACTGAGGCATTCCAGGAGTGCGACGAAGTGCGGGAGATCTATGGCATCATGAATGACTTTTCCAATATAGCAGCTCCAGGTACATACCTTGCCGATACCATACCTCCTCTCGGCCGCCTTCTACCGCCGCGCCTCCAATGGTGGCGCAAGCCTCTCAAACCACTCTTTGAGCGCCAGGCAAACCTGTGGACCAGCCTTTGGAATTCATTGCAAGCGCAAATGAAAACAGGGCAAGCACCAGAGTGCTTTGTCAAGCAAGTTATCGAATCTGGCTACGAGAAACAAGGGATTAGCGAACTGCAAGCGGCGTTTTTAGCTGGAAGTTTGATTGAAGCCGGATCCGAAACAACGTCAGCAGCGATCAACACTGCGATCCTTTATATCTCTGCGTACTCAGACGTACGGGAGAAGGCGCACAAAGAGCTATCAAGTGTCGTCGGGACATCTCGCTCGCCAACCTTCGACGACGAAAGGGATCTGCCTTACATCCGCGCTATAGTGAAAGAAACCATGCGTATCAGACCCGTTACGAATATCGGAACGCCGCACTTTACAACCGCGCCCGTCACTTACAAAGGCATCTACATCCCCGCCAATAGCGTCGTCGCCGTTCAGCAATATGCAATCCACTACGATCCAGCTCTCTTCCCAGAGCCGGAGCGATTCCACCCTGAGCGCTTCCTCCCCTTTCCTGAGAAATCTGGTTTCTACGCTGCTGGCGGTGCGGACAGGAGGGATCACTGGAACTTTGGTGCTGGGAGGAGGATATGCTCGGGCATGCATTTGGCGGAGAATAGCATGTTCATTGTGCTGGCCAAGTTGCTCTGGGCGTTCGATATTTTGCCCCCTTTGGACCACGAAGGGAGGGAGGTGAAGGTGGATCTTAGTGATGAGGCGTTTGAGAGCGGTGGGAATACGGTGCCGAAGCCGTATAGAGTAAGGTGGAAGGTGAGAGGAGAGGAGATCCGCAGGACGATTGAGAGAGAGGTGAAGGAGGCTGAGCGGGATGGGTATGTCCTAAGGGGTGTTAGAGTGAGGAACGAAGGCGTAGAACTGTGAGCGAGTTGCCACTTGCTCTTAAATGTGTCCTGAATCCGAGTTAGTATCCTTCCACATAAGAACACCTCGGTGAATTGATGGTTCAAAGTTTCAAGGTATATCAACGCATGGCTCCAGCAGACAGTGTTGCTCGATCACCTTTTCCATGCAGATATTCTAGTTCGCTTGTTTGTTCCGCGCCTTCCATAGCATCAAGCAAATGTCGTTCTTCGCTGTTTCCCCATATGCAACCGCCCGTCTGGATGCCCACTGCCTCACCTCAGCGGCATACTCCGCCTCACTCACACACCACAATAATACTTTCATTTAAACTCCATCGACAGCACCACATGTTTAGACGTTTGCTAAAACGACCTAAAAAGTCGTCGCCGCCCAGACACCTCCAAGAGGCTCCGCCCAGCTCCGACTCTCAGGCTGTCGCTACTCCAAGTACTACAGACAACCCGACGGCTCCATCACACCCTCGTCCAATGGCAGCATCCGAGGGCTCCAGTCCAGAATCTTTGGAGACTTACCATCCCCCTACACCGCATCCCGATACTGGCGTTCAGGACCCAAGGACGCATTATTTTCGGAGGCGCCCGTCCTCGTGTGAGTTTACTGACGCTCGACATGGTGAAAACGAACAGATTGGCATGGATGATGCAGACATAACGCAATCCACTTTCATAGATCAACCGAAGGGAGGAGCCGAGGATCCAGATGATGCACGGGACGTCATGGACATGCCACCCATATACAAGGTCGTCACTCCCTCTTCTCCGCTCACGTCCCATGCAGTTCGGCGCGAGGAGACCACACAATCATCGTCCTCAAAGAAATCTGGCGAGGATAGCCCTAACCTCTCTCCAAGGGAACGCCGCAGGATTCTCGAAGCCAGAGTGGAGGCAGAACGTCTTGAGCAGGTCGAAGAATGGTTGAAGACGTTGAAAATGTTGAATGTTGGCGATCCGCTCCTAAGTGAAGCTGGCATTTCAAACGATGGCAGGTTTAACTTTCTAACCGGAGAAGGAGAAGAGGACGACAGCTCTCCCTTTGGAGAACCATCTATCACGTTTTTGTCGGCTGAAGGCAGCAATTCTCCTCAGTTGCGCCGGAGCGACCAGTTGACGTCCGATATCATAGATACGACGACCGAATATTGGCCACAGCAGCGCGCACCGCTTCCCTCTGGTCACTCTCGAGCTGTCTCTCCGGCCATAGGTTCCACTCGACACCGAGAGGTATCATTTACTGCACATCCAACCATCATTCCAGAACCCTCTGCACCTCAAGCAGGCTCCACAATGCTCGCTCCGGCAAGGGTTACCTATCTACAAGCCATCCAACGCCAGCCCCCAGCTACAAAGAAGCAGAAAAGTCCATACCGCCAGAAAAGCTCCTCGCCATACGAACCCCATAGTGGCCGCCGGCAGACGTCGTTGCCCGAAGACATATTCGATCTAAACCGGGAGGCGGAAAAGGATTTCCGTCTGACAAGAGGAGCGTATATCACGGCAAGCAATGTTCTCCGTGAGGACAAAGACGAGGATGAGGAAGACCTGGAACAGTACAGGGAGATGGATCTTGCGCCGCTCGATCCGGTTATGCACGTGGAGTCGGGCAATGCCGGGGATTTGATCGTGGCAGGTGTTGCTAGCCCGATGCGGAATGTTGGGATGAGCAGGAGTATGGATAACCGACGGCTGGATTTTGGAAGCACATTGGAAGAGGGGAGAGAAGAGAAGCTGAATAGGGGAGAGATGTCGGGCCAGCATCTGAAGAAGCGGTATGGAAGGAGTATACACCATGCAGTTGACGCCGGATATGAGGAGAGAGAGCTCAAAGAGGACCTGACTAAAGTTGAACCCGCGCGGGAAACGATGAGCGAACAGAGAATACCAAAGGATAGGGAAGGCAAAGGGATGTTGGTGGAGGACGATGGCGAGGCCAAAGATCCCATCGACGAGGGAACTTCGGCATCTGCATTAATGGAGAAGACATCATCGTCTGGCGATTGGGAGATGGTATCGAAAGCCAACGCTGGTCTGCTCGTGGAAGACGACCTCCCTGGAATGAGCGTAGCACAAAGAAGGGTACTGTCGATGAGGGAACAGCCCTCTTTCATCAACTGCGTGGCGTTGATTCCCATGGCCATGGTGGCGGCGCTCGTCTGGGTTCCTGCAGGGAGGGCGTATGGATATGTTCACGATGCTTTTTCCAGTTTGATGGTTGATGCGATGGAGGAAGCTGCGGAGGAGAGGGACTGAGGCGGTGTGTGCTACATGGATATTTTCTGCTGGATCATGCCACATTGAATAAAGTCGTCATTATGAACTTATCTATGGAAATGGCAAGCGCGTATTTCCCTCAGCTGTTTATAGACGGAGCACCTCTGTGCGACAACGAGCATTGCATTACCACATACGAGAGTGATTACCCGACTAACCTCATCAGATATAGTGACAAATCCAACACTCATTTCTGCATACACATACCTTCACAACCTCGCCGTGCTCTCTCTTTCTGGCCCCAGATCAACAAGAGGCCCACCATCATCACCTGGAATATCCGCCCTCACACCCTGCCACTCCTCGACAAGCCGCCACAACTTCTCGGGCCCAACCTCCAACAACACCTTCCCCCTCCCACCTCTCCACTTCTCATCATATTCCCTCTCAGACACCTTTTCGACCCCCTCGGCCGTAAACACAACCACCTCGTCCTCCCCAGCCGCCGCCGCCGCCGCGCCCTCCTCAGACGAACCCACAGCACCCCATCCCTCACCGTGCACAAAACGGATAAACACCTCGCCCATGGCGTCAGCGACTTTCTGCTGCGCGGCACCCCAGCCTACGGAGGCGCGGGCGTAGTTTTGCAGGAGGAAGGCGACGTCGAGTTCGTGGCTTGCTAGACCTTGATTTGGGCCGGGGAAGGGGTTGGGGGTGTGGAAGTGGTAGCGGCTGGGTTTTGGTGATTTGGGTGATTGAGGGTAGGGATCGGAGGGATCGGAGGGGTTCGAGTGGGAGAGGGAGAGGGAGCGGGAGAGCCAACCTTTGTGGGCGATGAGGGTGGGGAGGTGGAAGCGGAGGTCGGAGATTAGGGTGAGGAGGGTAGTGGGTAGGTCGGGGTTCTCTTTTAAGGAGGGGAGTGGGGATGAGGAGGAGGGAAGCGGGATGTTGTAGGCTGTGAGGAGGTGCTGGGTTTCGGCTGGAGTGAGGTACGTGGCGCAGAGGGAGTGGAGGCGGGCAAGGGGGTTCTGGTGCTGGAGGATGCGGGGACCGAGGATTGTGCCCTGGGAAGATGGTTAGTACCAGTGCTCGAATTCGACGAGGTACAGATGGGAGGTTTGGAAGAAAGAGGAGACTGACATCATCCCTCGTATCACCTACAACACACTCCTTACACCAAGGCCTCTTATGCACCTCACTCGCCCCATCCCACATGGTCTTGAACGTCACATCCTCCTTTAGTATTTCCCCATCAATCACGGCGCAGAAATGCTGCGCAAGAGGCAACCTCGCACACAGATCCTCTACATCCCATTCCCTAAGCCTCTTCGCCTTCTCTTGCACATCCAACGTCTCGCTCTCCAGGCCCAGGTATCTGAACTGCTCCCTACACATCTCCTCATGCCACGCCCACCCCCTCGGCTTCCTCAACGTAACATCCCCACTCATAACGACCACGCGGTCAAACAATCCCTCCTCCGCCCCCTCAACACAAAGCAGCGTACTCAAACTGATCCCCCCCGCACTCTCCCCCACGGCAGTCACATTCGCCGGATCCCCGCCAAAACCCCGGATATGCCGCTTCACCCACCTTAAGGCGGCCATCTGATCCCTGTACCCGAAATTCCCCTTTATCCCCATCTCTCTAGATGCGAGGAACCCCAGCACGCCGAGACGGTAGTTGATGCTGACGCCGATGACGGGCTTGCCGAGTTTTTGGGAATGATTGACGAGGCGCGTGAGGTGGTATTGGGGCCAGGAGGAGGCGCCTATGGAGAGGGCGCCGCCGTGGAGCCAGAGGAAGACTGGGAGGGGTTTTGGTGCTCCTGTGCTTTCCGGGATGTCGGGAACGATGACATTCAGATTCAGACACTCGAATTCATCCATGCGATCTACGTCTTCCATATCAATCTCTTCTCCTCCCTCCCCTTCAGAAGCACTTTTCCCCATACCCTCGGGGAATAACTTGGCCAGATCCCCGATAAGACTGGCATCGTACTCGCGTCCGCCTTTCTTCTGCGGACAGCTGGGTCCGTAGCGGGTTGCGTCGTAGATGCCATGCTCGTTCACGGGTAGGGAATCCAGAGGGATGCAGTCCTGGAAGCGGGCCGGGATGGAGGCGTATTTGAGGCCGAGGTATTGCGTTGTGTGGGAGATGCGTTTGCCTTGGATGCGGGCCGAGAGGGTTGGGTGGGTGAGGAGGGGGGGTTGGGAGGACATGGCGTTTTGTTGATGTTCTTTTCTTTTTTCTTTTTTCTCTTTTTCTCGGTAGGTTTCCGTTCTGGAGAAGTGGTAGGGTAGAAGAGAGGGGAGATGTGAGATATTTGAGGACAGGCGGATATGGAAGGTGAGTTGATCGCGTCAGAGACGTAGAGATGAAAGTAAATGGACGAGAGGAGAGAGGGAGAGAATCATATCATCATGCACGACACTTCAAGAGAAAGGAAATAGCAAAAACAAGAAAACGAACACGGATTACCTACAAGCCGAAAACATTGTACCTAGGTAACTCGGGACCCGCATCCAAAGTCCGAAAGGGCTAAATATTGTGGAGGTGGGGCGCGAGGGGTATTTAAGAATTGCCGAGCTTTTAGAGGCATGTACAGTAATAATAAGCTTGTACCTACTGCCTCAAATTCACGTCCGATTGAGCAGCAGGTACCGTTGTGACTGGCCTAACAGCGCCTCTGCCTACACAGTAGGTACTATAATCCGCCTTAAAACACCGTGCTCGAGTAGCGGTAATCAGGTTGTAGCCAATCGAACTACTTGAAACAGGTAATCTAACTAGTGAAAAGAAGCAGTGGTGGCAGTAGGTACAAGCTTAATTACCTATGTACTTGCCTCTCCCTACATCCGACCAAACACCCCCCTGCGCTTCCTCTGTACTGCTGTTTTCCACATCCAATTAAACAGCGAGCAGGCGCATCAATATAGGAGGTCCTGCAATTAGCTTCGTAGTGCGCCTCTACGTATAGTAAGTTCTAAAAGAAAATTCTACCCGTCGCATTATTAGGTCGTTGCCAATTGGCTTGTGTCAGGTAGGTAATCCCACCTACAGAGGAATTGCAGCCGTGTGTTTGGTCGGATGTGGAAGGCCGCAGTAGGTATGTAAGCAATACGGCGTTCAAATCATCTGTTGTACATGCTCCGGAGATCCAGAGAAGTCGAAAGACATGCCCCAAAAGTGAACTTTCAGTGCAGGGGACAGGCAGATTGGAAAGACCGTTACCGAGTCGAACTTGGAAACAGACGGAGGTGCATTCATGTCTTCGTTATCTTACCATTAAAACCATTCATCTCGACGCCGATGAGGGAAGTAGGGTATCCCAACGAGCTCCCAGATTCCTCTTATATGCGTGGCCCTTTTCAAAACCGACCGTTTCGTCGAAACCTCTTCACAACTATTCCCCCTCCCCCTCCTCCTCCTCATCATCCTCCTCCTCATCCTCACCCAACTCAACCCCAAACTCAGCACAAACATCCCACCGATCCCCCCTAGCCGCCTTACTCACATACTTGGTAAACCTCAAAACCCCGCGATCCCTCAACACAATGGCGAGATTATTCCACGCTGCAGGCTGCGAGAACAAAACACCGTCATCTTCATCGTCGCCCGCACTGCGATACACGGCGGGATCGGCTTTGGCTTTCCGCCTCTGCCCGGCTCCGGTGTGCGTCGAGGCGGCTTCGGGCGCGCCGGCATCGATCCCCTCGTCCTCGTCGCCCGCCATGTACATTTCGTAGCCGCCGACCTCGTCTTCGGGCTTGGGCGGCTCGACGGGCGCTTTGCCGTTGCTCTTGCTGGAAGCGCCATTCTCTTGTGCCTCAGGTTCATCCGGTTCCTCGTCTTCGTCGCCCCAGCCTTTGCTCGGTGTGATGCCCAGACAGACTTCCAGCTGGGGATCTTCTTCCTCAAAGGCCGAGGCGAGGGTATAGTCCATGCCGCGTCGGAAGCGCCGCGCAACGATGTTGCTTCGTGTCAGGGTGATGCCGGTCACGAGGGAGATCCATTTTGCGAACGCCGGGTGCGGGAAGAGGATGTCGACGAGGTCGTCGTAAGGGGTGATGGATTCCGCGTCCGGGTACGGCGTCGTGGGGATCGGTTGCACGGCTTGTCGATACAGATAGCGGTGCTTGTGCGGCGGCCTTGCAACGCCCACTTTGGATGCGTAGAAAGGGTTCGGCGGGATGTTGGGTTCCGGCTCGTGCTCCTTTGACTCCAGATATTCGCGGAGCCGGGCGGCGAACTTGACGGACAGGAATTCGGCGAGGCGCAGGGACGACTCGTCGGAGAACATCCCGGCCAGCTCCTCGACGGTATCTGGCGTCAGGTAGTTTGGGTTCATGTACTTGATGAGGAAGTCGATTTCGTCGGCGGTCAATTCGTCGCTGTCCCGGTTCCCGTCCTCGCCGTAGCGCGGGACCTCGACCCAGTGTGCTTGCGGCTCGTCGAATTCGTCTGCTTTGCCGCCCTGCAGCTGCATGAGCGAGCTGCGCTCGGCGAGCTTCTCTTCCAGTCCCTCTTCGTAGCCCTCCTCTCCCTCTTGCGGGATGTGGAACCAGCCGCTGATGGCCATGCGTATTCGGCCGCCATCGTCTTCGTTCTCCTCTCCTGCAGTCTTCCTGTATACTTCCTCCACATCGTGGAAACTCTCGCCTGGCTGCACGGTGAAGAACGAGAGCTGGTTCCAAGCTGGCGGGATGGAAACTGAAAAGTCCGGCTGCGGGACCTTGACCTCTTCTCCATTCGACGCCGTACGAATCTCTGTGGGATAGAGGCGGAGTGCGCCTCCCCACTCGGGCTTCCAGGGGATGTCGGGGTTGAGGAGGTACAAGATCCAGCTGACGCGGCGGCTTCCGATAACGTCGTCGTGGCATAGCAGGTGGCATCCCGGAGTGTAGACATTCTGGCAGCTAGATCAGCAATGGCCAAATCTCCCATGTATATCGCTGGCAACCTACCACAGCCATATCGGTCTTCACGCCGCTCAACGGCCCCGCCCCAGTTATCGACGACAGGTACTTGCGGAAGGCGGACGAGTAGAGGGAGTCGCGCAGAGTCAGAAGCGAAGGCAAGCGCTTCAATGCCGAATCCTCGAGCCCGTCCAGGTTGGCAAGGTCGCCCGACTGGTGGATCTTGTAGATGTCCGTCTCCTTGGGCGTGAAGGAGATGTGCTCGAGGATCTCGTCGCGCACGTTGCGCAGGAGCTGGTCGTCGACGAGGTTTTGGATGACGGCATGCTTGTATCTGCGCGATTCGGTCAGTCTGTATGCGCATATATTTCCAGCGTTGGGTTGGGAATCGTCACGTACGGCTGCGATGCGGCGTAGTCGCTGGTGTACTGTTGCAGGACCTCATCGTCGAAGAGCCCGTTGCGGAAGTTTTTCTGGGCTTCTTCGTCGGATATGGCGCGCTTCTTGGACCTGCCTTGGGCAGGGGACTCGTTCTTGCGCTTCATCTTTGCGAGAACGACTTGGCTAGTTGTAGTCGTGGTAGAAGTAGAGGAGGATCTTTAGATAAATTTTGGTTGCCGAGCTCTGGTGTCCCGAACTCACACCACCATTGCAGATGATCTGTAAATAACCCCACCTACATGCATAAATTCATGCGAGTATTCTTGGAAGTAAATACATACGGACGGCTGACTTTAGCATTGTGGCACAAAGGAGGGAGATGTAGCTATTAGTCCGGACTGTCTATGGATTGCTGAAGCTAGTCCGCAGCTGAAGTTCTATCCATTGGGAGTATCATTCCAGGCTACTGCTCAGCTTCACCTGTCAGCCCTGCAGCGAACGGCGGCACTGTATAACTTCAAAGATGCGGATTCGAGGCCTTGACATGTCGCGGTGCATAATTTCGAGGCCATCGACGGTGGGGATTCGAGTTTGAATCGAAAGTCAAACCTTGGAAGTAGGTGCGGTATTGTTTCTCGCGGACTCCACTGCACGACTCCGATTGGCCGCCTTGCCAGGACCCGACGTATTGTAGCCAACTTCTAAATATCAAGAAAATGTCCATAAGAAGCAATTTCATTGCAGAAACCTTAAATTCAGGAAAACAACCCTTGATGACCGGTCTACGCCCATGTAATGATGCATACAGATGGTACATTCAATAGTACATGCCGCACCCCTACTCCAGAATCTCCTCCATGGCCAACATGGCAGCCATGGCTCGCTCGTACACCCACATGGTGACGGCGCTCGCCGGCGCTGCCTTGAGCAGACTGACGGGCAAGCCGCGATACAACCCCCTCCGACCCTCGCGCTTCCAGATGCGCACCAGCGTGCTCAGCACTCCCTTGTAGATGGGGATATTCCGGTGGATATACCGTTGGCGCATCGGGCCTTGGACCTGCAGGCGCTTGCGCGTCGTATCGAGGGGATAGACTGCCGTCTTGGCCAGCACGCTCGCGATGACCCCGGCCACGGCGTCCGAGGTCCCGAATGGCATGGGGATGGAGGAGGTGGCGAGGACGGGCTTCAGGCCCTCGTAGCTGGTGAAGAAGAGGCCCATGTACGGCACGATGCCGGCCACTCCGGCTCCCAGGCCACGGAAAAAACCCGTAGGACCCTCTTCCTTTGCTATTTGCCGGATTGACGCCCGCAGGGAGCTGTAGACGGCCTCGGGTCCCTGGGCGGCGAAACGCGTGCGCAGGAGGTCGAGAGGGTAGGTCGCCGTCGTTGCACAGGCACCGCCTATGGCGCCGCTGATGAAGGAATTGGCAGCATCCGGGAACTGGTAGGGTTGCGTTATGCGGCTGAGGAACTGCGAGGCATGCTTGTATGCTGAGAACTGGACGCTCCCATAGGCAAGGTACATGGCCTCGGCAGGCACATTGCCCTTCCACAATGCTCTGATACCCTCATCTCGCACGATGTCCTTGAAGGTACCCAGAGTTCCTCGATAGATGGGGCCCTTGATGCCGTGCACGCTCAGGGGGTCGGAGAGGGAGTGGACTTGAAGCTGGAGGCGGATCTTGATGACGTCGAGCGGCGCGATCACGAAGCTGCAGGAAGTCAACAAACGATGTCAAAACAAAGAGGTGGAGATTGTATATATACCGCGACACGAGTCCAGCGATGGCGCCGGCGATGATGGTCTGCCGGTGCGAGCCCTGAGGAAGAAATGGTGGTTAGCCATCTTTTGCCCATCAATGCTTCAACGCCACAGTCCGCGAGAATAAATACCAACCTCATGCTTCAATTGTGTGACGCCGCCAGACATGCATCCGGCGCCGAGCTCGTCGGTCGACACGTGCTACCGCGTGTCCACACAGAATAACAGGGGGCCGGAGAAGGGTTGGTCACTGGTCAGCGGTGGGTGGGGAGAGACAATTTCTGGAGAAAGGCCGGCAGAGCGGGTTGTGGAGTCGCAGAGCTGGAGGTGTCTGGCAAACCTCGGAGCTTGCAAGGTGGGCGTGCCCCTTTGACTGCCCCTGCCCCTCCACCTTGGAATTCCCCTCTACAGGAGAATCACCGCCTGCCATGTCCCTGAAGCTCACCTCGTCGTGCGCCCAGCTGCCTTTGCAGTCGCTGTATCGCCATGCTGCTCGACGGGCTCCAAGACGTTGCGTGGGTGCGCCGAAGCCCTTTGCGCAACCTTCCCGGTCCTTCTTTTGGAACAGCAAAAAGGGCCCCGCCGCAGCCTCACCCACCTCAACCACCGCAACCGCAACCCCAACGACACCCACCTTCGAGAAGCAGCAGCAACAGCCTCAAGAGTTGCCGCAACATCAGGAACCCCTCGTACAAGATGCACCGAGCGTTGGACAGCTGGACGGGAAGCCGGCGAAGCACGTTGCGGTGAACATTGACGGCGCGTCCCGCGTCTTCGACACCGTCTTCCTCCGCGACAGTTGCGCCTGTCCTCGCTGCGTCGACCCCCACAGCAGACAGAAGCTGTTCCAGACATCCGACATCCCCGCCAACCTCGAGGCCTCGTGCCGGACCGTGGAAGATGCAGACAAGGGTGTCATGGTCGAGGTGGAGTGGCACAACGACGTGCCTGGCTATGGCCCTGAACACCGCACACGGCACTCGATCGACTGGCTGCGGCGGGCACTCAACACCGAGGTCGAACTCCGGAGCGGCGTAAGGCACGACGAGCGGGTGCTCTGGGACAGGCAGAGAATCACGAAGGACAACAAGTGGGTCGACTACAACGAGTACATGTCGCAGGACGAGGCCCTCTTCTCCGCCCTCCTCCACCTCCACCGGTACGGCCTCCTCTTCCTGCGCAACGTGCCCGAATCCGAAGAATCCGTCGTCCAAATCGCCAGCCGCATCGGCAACCTCAAGGATACCCTCTACGGCCGCACCTGGGACGTCAAGTCGAAACCCCACGCTGAGAACATCGCCTACACGCAGCAATTCCTGGGCCTACACATGGACCTCCTCTACACCTCCAACCCTCCCCACCTGCAACTCCTACACTCCCTCCGCGCCCGCGCCCCCCGCGGTGAATCCTTCTTCAGCGACTCCTTCCACGCCGCCCACCAGCTGCACGCCCGCTCGCCCTTCCACTTCCGCACCCTCTGCACCTTCCCCGTCACCTACCACTACCACCACCCGCCAAACCACCACTACCACTTCACCCGCCCCACCATCGAGCTGCACCCCTACCCAAAGTACAGCGAGCCATCCAACCTCGCCATCCGCAACGTCAACTGGTCCCCGCCCTTCCAGGCCCCCTTCGAGGCCCGCATCGGCGGCGAGAACCACGCCGCCCTGCGCAACTACCTCGCCGCCGCCCGCGCCTTCGAGAAGCTGCTGTCGGCAGAGGAGAATCTGTACGAGTACCGGCTCGAGGAGGGCGAGTGCGTCGTCTTTGATAATAGGCGGGTGCTGCATGCTAGAAGGGCGTTTGATGCGGCCAAGGGGGAGAGGTGGCTCAAGGGCGCGTATGTCGATGATGATGTCTTCTTCTCGCGCTTGAGGGTCTTGCAGGAGAGGTTCGAGGGGCGCTGGGAGGCCGAGGGGGTCGTGAGGGAGGTGGTGCGGTAGTGAAGCAGTGCTAGATAGAGAATGAATGATACCATGATTTGTGCAAGATGTTGCTGTACTAAATACCCTTGGTTCTTTGGTGATGGGAAAATATGATGCCTTCTCACGCCAAGATTGAGACCTTAATGCCTCCCAGGAAGGGAGAGCGTTGGCAAGAGACTCTCTGCGGAATCTATATTCTAAATCTACCCATCTACCCTAGACAAGGGACATCTTAAGCTGTCTTACTTGTCTTACTAGAAGGCATAAGGTTGTATACTCGTCATCGGACGTCCCCTCCCCCTCCACCCACCTGCTTCGCCCCCTTCTCACTCCACTCTCCCGCACTCGCATCAATCTCACGAGTAACCACCCCTCTCTTGTCCCTCCCATCCCTCCTCTGGTAAAAATCCGTAATCCCACCGCACCCCCTAGGAACCCTGCACACCCTCCTCGCCTCCTCCGGCGCAGTCCTCCAAATCACCTCGCGCACCTCCTTTCCCACCTTCTCAATGGCATCCATCGCCCATATGACGTCCAGGTGCTCATATCCCTCGATAATCTTGGAATGCACAACGTCGACAAACGGCTCGCGGTTCCGCTCGAAGCGTCGGAGCAGCCTACGGCCGTCCACGAGGTCGTCCGCGCCGCAGACCCAGAGGGCAAATGGGGGTGTGCGAGGGCCATACCATGCGTACCGCGCGCGATCCTCGTCGCGATTCCCTAGTCCTTCTTTGTTTGCGTCGAGGCCTGCTGTCCCGGGTTGTGCGTCTTCCTCGTCCGAATCCAGTGATGATGCTGATGATGATTCCCCACTAGATTGACTCCTCTCCATATCCTCCAGTGCATCTTCCCGGTCCTCGATGATCTTCTCTTCCCTTGTAGCAAGTATGCACTTGTGCTTTGCGAAGCATTCCCGCCCCAGCCACCACCGCATACTCTCCGCACTCACGTACACGGGAGCGAACTGGAACATGCGGTCTCGGAGATCGCGTTCCCAGCGCTCATCCGACCAGTTGAAGAGGAAAGAGAAGATGCGGTAGCCCATGACGCCGTACAGATGCGACGGGAGAAGCGAGTACATCACCATCATCAGGGGAATGAAGGCGTGGATCCCGAACACCACGCGAAACATGGCCGGGCTGATGAGCCGCATGAACTTGAAGTACATCTTCCCGATCAAGGGTCCTGCGTAGGCGGCAGGTGCCAGGGCGCAGAAGACGCTCACCTTGTCTCCAATCTCGGGGCGTTGCTCTTTGGCCAACGCGACAAACGTCTGCGTAGTACCCTGACTGTGAGCAATGAGACCCAGTTTCTCGAAGCCCGTTTCGGCCAGGACGCGCGAGATGAGAGCCGGCAGGTCCATGACTCCCATCTGGCGGATGTTCCATGACCACATGCGCGGATCCGAGTACTTGAGCTTCTGGTGGCGAGGATGGAAGCCGCAGCGGTTGTTCCCCAGCCAAACGTCGTAGCCGGATTTGGCGAGGAAGAAGGCGAGGCTGTCGTCGTCGTTTGTGCAGTACGCGCCGGCGGACTGCAGAAGACCATGGATCATGAGGACTGGATACCTTTTCTCGCCAGGCCGATATTGCGCCCCCGAGGCGCCTGCGGAGTCGGAGCCGTTGAAAAACACCTCGGGATCACCATGCGAGCGCTGGGCAGGATCCGTACGGCTATATTCGCGCGGATTGTAGAGATGCCACAGTTCGATGATGAAGCCATCCTCAGTCTGGACGTCGAATACCTCGCAGTCGAGGCCGACGCGTCGAGCATAGTACCGGATGTCACAGACGACGGGATCTGGGCCGCCCTCCAGAGGGACAAACTCCTCAGCTTTCTCCTTCGATCTTTGGTCCGCGTCCCCATCGCCCGTTCCATTTTCGGGCTTCCTCCATGCTCTGTCAATTACTCTTCTAGCTCTCCGACGTCGTTCTTCCTCTCGATAGAACGGCCGGTCCTTGTCCGGATCCTCGCCATTCCATCTCATCCATGCTCTTCTCGTAACGTCGGGTATGCTCGTGAAATGGGCGCCAAGTATGATTACCAGCAGGAAGCAGCAGGACAATATTGCTGAAGAGATTCGGAACAGGACTATCTGAAGGCTCTTCAACGGAGTCGGAGGTCCATACATGGGCAGGGGTGGGAAGAGAGGGTTGGTTCTTGTAGGGGGCTGACTTTCCATGAGAGGCGCATCTGTCTCGGATTTCCACGATTCCTGCTGTACCGGTCTTGCACCGTGGATGGTGCCGTCTTTGGACACTCTCGTCTCTCCAGGAATGGGCGCTCTCTCGGAAGGATCCCTTTCGTCAACGATATCTCTTAGCTTGTTGAGCCGCAGGGCTTCTTCGACAGGGACGCCAGGCAGTCGACTGCCATCCGCCGTCTCTATAACGGCATCCTGGGCTGTGATGAACTTGGCCTTGACAGCTTGGGTCGGCCCCGTTCCCTCATCCTCCTGGTGGGGAGCGTATTGGCCGAGGCGTTCGGCTTGGTGGGCGAATTCGATGGCTGCTTGGATTCTGGCCATTGGATCTTTTCGTACCGCATCACTACTGGCGGCGTTGAGGTCTCCCATTGCGGTTCCAGTGGAATGGCTTTGGATTAATGATGGTCACTTTGTCATTGGAGCGTCATAGACGCGAAGAAGGCCTCGAGCAGAGAGAAGTTGAAACCTTGGAAGCGACTGGAAGTAATGCAGGCGGTGAGAACAGTGAAGGACCTTTCGTATGAAGGGAGGAGAATAGTCAGAGAGAAGGTGAGGAAAATAGTAAAGACGGGAAAGGTCAGGGAAATACTGTTAGTGGCTGAGGATTGGCATATTGATATCTTGGTCGAGGGAAGAGCGATCCTCTGTATGATGTCAGTGCTGGCGCGTCCATGGCCAGCGCCATCTCGCGACTATTCCACGGCGTGTGTATCTACCGTGGAGGAGCTGTTCTCCTAAATCAGACAGGTTACGAGCAAGAGTACCAAGTATAATGGAGATGTGGACTGTCCCATAACACGACATGAACCCCATGCATCGGACATGGCCATGGTGTGGCGGGTCTGGGTCTTCCCCATCTGTTCTCCCCAATCCCTGCCGCAACCCCTCGGCAAAGACTGCCGAGGTCCCGCGACTTTCACATCTCTTGGCAAGACCCTTCCTCTCGAGATGCGACCGCATGTACTGGCAAGCGCCCTCAGTGCCGCTTCACGGCTTTCTGACTGTTTCTCTTGTCAATCGTTGCCATGGAGGCCGTAAATGGTGCTCGCAATCCGCGCAAGAGACGCCGGATGCGCCGCCGCCTCGACCGTCCGGCCATCTCTGCACACCTGCTTCTCGACGACCGCCTGCAGGGCGAGGTGGGCGTGCTCTCCGAGGACCTCTTTGCTGATCTCTTTCGGGGTTATGATATTGCTGGTATGTTTGTACGCCTGCTACCCCTTCAGAAAGCTAACAGTGCATCTTCACTACAGCAGCCGACGCCAACTCCAAGCCTGTATATCATGTAGCCATCACCCCATGGCTACCATCCTCTCTAGTAGCTCCCGCCAGCGTCCCTTGGACTATATTGCCTATCCGGGCTGCGGAGAAGATGGAGGGTACTACAGCAAAACCGCATTCGTCCCTCCACGTCCCCGCTTCGTCTCTGGCTCTGCAGCCATTCCTGCAAGCACTCCACGCCGCTTCGCCGAACCGGACCCTACGACGAGACACGCCTATCGAGATCCGCATATTCGACGTTGTACCGGTTGGATTAGACACTGTATACGTGACCCTAGACACCGAGGCGCTGCGGAAACTGGACGAAGTGCACGCAAAATTCGGTGGCGGCTTCGGCGTTGCGCGGTCCAACGGCGCTGCAAAGGGTCCCAAGGGTAGATATCTACAGGCCAATGGCCCTCACGCGAAGGCTGCATTACGGGAGCAAACTGCTTCACAGGAGAAGGCATGGAAGAACGCAGTCCGGGACGCTCTTCAATCCCCTACCATCGTTCACGCCGGAGACATACTGCCACTCCCCCTACCAGCCCACCCCATCACGCATGTTCCTCCACCTCCTGCGAAGATCACGGCATGTGAACCAGTAAATCAAGGACTCCTGCTGCCTACAACAAAAATCGTTATACTCCACTCTCACAAAAGTTCCAAATCTGCTCCGATCCTGCCTCCGAAAGCAGCACCCGTCACAAACGGTTATGGTGATGACGACGACGAGGATACCTCCAACGAGCAGTTCTACTCGGCTGCTGAAGAGCGCTCCTCTCAGGGTACCACACCTCCGGGCGACGAATCCACGGACAATCTGGACTCTGAGCTGTCGGGTAGTGACGCAGGCGACCTGTCTGACGACTCCGAAGACATCATCTCGTTGAATGCTCCCATGCTGCCAGCGCAACCGTCAGGGGTCCTTTCCGCGTTCAGCTCCGCCACCCCACGCCCTGGGAATACCTATACGAATGGAATAGCTACTCCAGGGTCCGTCTTCTCCAGCTTCACAGCCACCACGGCACGCGGAGGAGCCTCCAAAAGTAGGGTCTTCAAGGCGCAGGGCCTCCTGCAATCGATTCCCGACGAGCTTATGCATCCGAAACCAGGCGTTGACGACGATGAAGAAGCTCGGATATTCGTCGATACGAACACATTGGTCAAGGTTGGCTGCTTCTCCGGCGACTGGGTCAAGCTCGAGTCTACAGCAGAACCCTCCCAGCACCCACTTTGGGGTCTTGGCGCCTTCGGCGCTGGTGAAGAGGAGAAGTCTGAATGGCGACCTGCCCGTATATATGGTCTGCCTGAGACCATGACGAAGAAGATTGCGCGCTATCCCGTTCATAAGACCGAAAACCACGACCGCAGATCAAGTATATCTGCACTTCCCCAAGCCATAGCCTCCTCCACAGCATACCTCTCCCCTATCTTCCTAGCAAATCTGGGTAGCCCCTCACATCTCCGCATCACAGCGCTGGCGCCTCATCAACCCTCGCACGTGCCCCGGACTATGCAGAAGCCACGATTAACGAGTTCATCCTTGCCCCCCTCCGCAAAGGAGGTGACCCTTTTGAAGCTCTCCACGCCTCTCTCGTCCGACCGATTGCTTCAGCCTAGCTTGTTTGCAGCTCTGAAGGAATATTTCGAACAAAAGAGGCGCATTGTGAAGACAGGCGACTTGGTCGGTGTCGCGATCGACGAGTCCCTTGGCCGGGCTACATTCCACGCCGCTGAAGGCGATATCAGCAGCGAAGAGCTTCTAGCGAAATCCAAGGCGAGGCCTGGCGAAGACTCAACGACTCTCGGAAGCTCCGCTCCCAAGGCCGTAGCTTGGTTCAAGATCGGAAAGACGGTCTCGGCTTCTACCCAAGATTCGGAAGAACCTGATATCTGGGGTGGAGTTGTGGTCGTCGACGCAGCCAGTACCAAGATGGAGATGAATGGCAGTGAGCAAGGAAAGATTCCCCCAACTGTTAGCAGTGCTTGGCAATATTACCTCGGTGCAAAGCGTCCTCCAGCCACGGCGAGCTCGCGGACCATCGCCATCGAGGAATTACCGAAACCCTACATTTCCCCGCTCCGCCGGCGTCTGCGCGAGTTGATGTCTGTCGCTACCAGTCCTCGAGCGATTCATTTGGGTTTACCCCCGATTGCCATCCTACTCACCTCAACGCAACGTGGCATTGGCAAGGCAACTATTGCTACTAAAGCGTGCGAGGACCTTGGACTACATACATTCCCCATTGACGCCTTCGATATTGTTAGCGAGGGTGGTGCTGGTGACGTGAAGACGGAAGGATTCCTCAAAGCAAGAGCGGAACGTGCCTTGTCTTGTGGACCCGAATATACATCTCTGCTGATCAAGCACGTGGATGCTTTGAATGCCGACCGAATGATCACAGCCGTGAAGGAAGTTCTGGCGGAGTCTCGAGTTCTCATCGCCACCAGCACCGAGGTCGACAAGATCCCAGATGGGATCCGTGGACTTTTCACACACGAGATTGAGATGTCCGCTCCCGATGAGGGCGAGCGTGAAGGAATTCTTCGAAGCATCATCGATGATGCCGGAATACGCCTTGCTCCGGACGTTGATCTGGGAAACGTGGCCCTGAAAACTGCTGCTTTGGTCGCTGGTGATCTGCTCGACGTTGTGGATCGCGCACTGGTGGCCAAGCGGAGGAGGATCGAGGCTTTGGCCGCAGCTACGGCCAAGTCGAGCGCTTCCCTGACGAATGTCACGGCGCGAGACATTGAGCTTGCAGGAGGCCCTTTCAGCAATAGCTTGACGAAGGCGGATTTTGAGGCCGCAGTGGATGCCGCCCGCAAGAACTTTGCGGATTCCATTGGAGCACCAAAGATCCCAAATGTCACTTGGGACGACGTGGGCGGTCTGTCGCACGTCAAGGACGCCGTCATGGAGACTATCCAGCTTCCACTGTCGCGCCCCGAACTGTTTGCCAAGGGCATGAAGAAGCGCAGTGGTATCCTGTTTTACGGCCCTCCCGGAACAGGAAAGACATTGCTCGCAAAGGCCATTGCGACCGAGTTCTCGCTCAACTTCTTCAGTGTCAAGGGCCCCGAGTTGCTCAACATGTACATTGGTGAGTCGGAAGCCAACGTACGTCGCGTGTTCCAGCGCGCAAGAGACGCACGGCCTTGCGTCGTCTTCTTCGACGAGTTGGACTCGGTAGCGCCCAAGCGCGGCAACCAAGGCGACAGTGGTGGAGTCATGGACCGTATCGTCTCCCAATTGCTTGCCGAACTCGACGGCATGAGTGATGGCAAAGAAGGCGCAGGAGGCGTCTTCGTGATCGGTGCGACCAACCGACCTGATCTTCTGGACCAGGCGTTGCTGCGGCCTGGCCGTTTCGACAAGATGCTATACTTGGGTGTCTCGGATACGCATGCAAAACAACAGACGATTTTGAAGGCGTTGACGAGAAAGTACGTACACGTTGCCTTGTTTCGCCTTTCTTCCATTCTCCATATTCCCTCCATATGACCTGAGAACTAACGTCTGCTGCCCAGATTCACCCTGCATCCCAGCCTCTCGCTCCAACGGGTGGCCTCTCGCCTGCCATTCACGTACACGGGCGCTGACATGTACGCCTTGTGTTCCGATGCCATGCTCAAAGCCATCACGAGACAAGCACGTGCAGTCGACGAGAAGGTCAAGGCGTACAATGCCACCCACGCAAAGTCAATATCGGTAGCCTACTTCTTCGACCATCTCGCTACGGAGGAGGACACGGCAGTCATGGTTACGGAGGAGGACTTCATGGAGGCGAACCGCGAACTCGTGCCCAGCGTCAGCGCGGAAGAACTGAAGCATTATGAGCGCGTGAGGAAGGCGTTTGAGGGCGCGGGGAAGAAGGAGGACAAGGAGAAGGTGCAGGCACAGCTGGCGATTACGAATGGGGACACGCCGCATTTCGAGATCACTACTCAGGGTTCGCACGGCGGAGGGAAAGGAAAGGGGACTGGTTCTGCGGAGCACGTGAGCAACAGTCAGGCGGAGAGTAATCCGCAGCCGAAGTCTAAGCCGGAGGAGGATGACGATGACGATTACGTTATCCGCACTGAGCACCTCGATATCAACGGTGACGGTGCCCTGGCGGATGGGGCAAGCAGAAATGGAAAACGAAAAGCAGCAGAGGCAGGATCGGGCGGATCGGTGAAACATGGCAAGGGGAAGAGCAGTGTGGATATCGCCGAAGGAGGGTTTGGGGAGGCGGCTCGGGATGACGATCTGTATGATTGAGGGGTCGGGTCATGCCTTTGGGGTTGGGCTTGCTTCTGTTTGCCTGGATATATGCGGTTGTACATGTGTACTTGTATGAGGGTACGGATGGCAAACCTATGTGACGGTCTTGTTGTATCACAGGCGCTTGGGCTGCGTATAGATAGATCAAGGTTCCAGGTCGGACATTGGCTCCGATCCACCTCCTCGTTCCTACTGTCCAGCACATGATGAAGTCCGTTTCGCCTGACACGGCACCCAGGAGGACAAACAATCATTACAACTCATCGATGGGGTATTCCGTATCCTGGGTTCTGAAACTGCGATCTTCTAAGCCCGGACCTTCTAAGCCATATTCGGTTAGCGTCATCGTGGCTGGGGAGGCTTGGCAGGCTTACCCCAACCTCCTCCCATCCTCCCCGTTTCAACGGTGATCTGTTTCACCAAACGATTTTAACTGCTGATGAGTTACGCAGGGCACAGTGGCACCAAAACGCGCCTTGCAATCCTAGAGGACCGATTGGCCCTACCTATTTTTGTGTGGTTGCTATGGGTGTCGTGGCTGAGGGTTTTTGGGTTTGAAGATGAGGGGTATATATGGGGGTGGATGGGTGGTTGGTGTAAGACTCGGTTTGTGTGTTGTCTGAACCTGACTTATTTTCCCACGAGGCTTCTTCTCCGTCAAGGACTCTTTCTCTATTTCCCTCTCTTCTTCGCTCTTACAGTTTTTACGGAGTAGTTCTTCTTCGGCCCTAACTCGCGGCTTCCCTGCCTCCGTACCAAATCCCAGTTTCTGGAAGCTAGAGTGCACATCGGCTCCTTCGTATCATCATACCATAGGAATACAGAACTGAGGAAGACTACTGCGGACACAAATCCCGGCTGTCGACTAGGAGTTCACTCAGGTTGACAATATCTTACCCATCATCATCATGAGATCCTATACCGCTGCCGCGGCCCTCGCGGCCCTCGCATCAACGAGCCATGCCGCGACCGTGACGCTGCAGGAAACGCCCTGTCTGCAACCAACAGAGTTGAAGACGTATACGGTAGAAGTGGGCAAACTGGTCGTCGTTGGTATGTATCCATTCACTCCACACTCGCCCATATCCCCTCAAACCCTCAAACCCATACTAACGACCCCCTCAAGACATGCCCTCCATCTGCGGCCTCAAACTCGTATCCACCTCGGACCCCGCCTCCGCCCCCTTGGAAGCAATAACATGCCAACTCTTCAAAGACGCCGCCGGCCAAGTCCCCGGGTCTGCGAAATTCACCTTCGCATCCCCGGCGCTGATTGCCACGAATCCCGTCCAGGAGGGGAGTATTCGGTGTGATGTAGGCGCTGCTCCTGCTTCTTCTTCGACTGGAGAGACGCAGAGCGTGACGACGGTTGTGTCGCCTGTTACGGCTACGGGGACGGGCATGCCCGTTGGAGGGGGCTATGGGAATGGGAATGGGACGCTTGTTGTCCATCCGACGGCTACGCCTACGGGGAGTCAGACGCCGCCGGGCCCGGAGGGTGCGGCGAATGGGTTGGCAGTGGGAACTGGGGTCGGATTGACGGCTTTGATGCTGGTGATTGGGGCTTTGGTGCTTTAGATGAGAGGTGGTGGTAATGGGAGTAGTGATGGGTGGGCATTTGGTATGGAGTTTTGGGTTACGAATGGTGTGCTTTTTCTTTTTCTTTTCCTCAGCATGGCGATATTGCGCTTGGCGTGAATGCACTGGGATGGCGAGGGTTTCTGGGCGAGCTTCATTGCTACATAAACGGGAAGGGGTGGTTCGGTAGAGTAAACCATATAGTAACCTAATTAATGATAATGGGTCTGCAATAGTCCATTCCATCCCCATCATGCAGAATCATACTCCTCCTCGGTACTAGAATCCTCCTCCGACCTAGAATCCTCCTCTGACCTATACCCGGGCTGCTCTGCGTCCACACTAACTTTGACGGCAGCATTCGCCTTCGCCCTCGTGAACAACTCCTTATTCGAGTAATACTGCCCCTTGCCTAGATAAATGAGCCTACAATCCCATCGTGGTCAGTGTCAATCATATTCCATGACTCCGCAATATACCGCCGGGGAACAGGAACAGGAATAAAACATACACAACAGCTCCCTGCACAAGCATCGCCCACCTTGCAACCACAACCTCAGTGCTAAACGTATACGTGAGCGCGACGACGGAGAGCACGAGGCCGATTCCCTCGGCGCTGCTGATCACGCCCGAGATCGCGTTGACTGAGGGAATATGTGTGCGGCATAGGAGGATGATGGTGGTGGTTTCGAGGGCGATGCCGAGGGATGCCTGTATCGATGTTTAGAGACTGGTAGCAGTTACACTGACCGATTGATGATTCGGACTTGGACTTTTGGAAGGGTGGAGATGAGGAGGTTGAAGAGGAGGGAGACGTATCGCAGCCAACGCTAGATCTCGTGCATGCGCAGGGATACGCATTTCCGATCCCTTATCTGGAATCACGCCTCGCGCGAGAAGGATGGTGGTGATGTTTAGACCTGGGGCGAGGGCGCGGAGGGCGAGACTGCATTGATCGGGTCCGGGGGCGCCGCGGATGGCCCAGTGGGATCGTCTGGGTGCTGCTATGTCGGACATGGTTTGGTTTGTTCGTTTCGGGCAAGGGAAGCTTCTTGTACGATGATTTGTGATTGTGGGGGAGGAGGTGAGGAGGTTGGAATGGGGGTTTTTATGGCTCGGAGGGATGACTATTTTTTATGCAGTCAGTGGGCTGGAGTCACGGAGTTTCGCATTTCGGAAAGACAACTGTGTTGTGAGGGAAAACACCTTCTTCGTTTTTGACAGTACGGTCTTACGGAGGTTTATACCTTGTTGACATGCAAAACGTCGTTTTCACCGGCACGTTTTTGGAGTTGTCCTGCATTGCGTGGAGTTTCAGGGACTAGGTAGGAGACTTCGATGGACCTGACATCGCTTCCTACCTATGTACGTATTCTACATTAAATCAAAAACAACCCTACGGTGTTTACTTGGCCGTTTAAAGTGCAGGGACTTAGTGTTTGTAAGTAGATGTAATGCATTTTGTGAATCGCCGTAAGATAGCTATCCCCCTGAGCTATTATGTAAACAGGCTACGACCCAACCCGAACCACCAGACAGCCAGAGCGCGGTGGCTCCGCCTACGCCATGTCATCATAGCTCGCTTACACGACAACTCGTATGCCAGGTAAAACTCGGGGTGGAGAAGTAGCAAAAATGGGCGTGAATCGGATCTGGGAATCGGGGATAATGACGTCATAGTGTATAGACTCATCAACGATCACCACTTTGATATGCAGTGCACCAGGAAAAGGAAAACGAACATAAATCCACTCGCGCCACCGACTTGAAACCCCCCACTTTGAAGAGACTGATTCTCCCAATCCTCATTCCCTCCTGATTGACGAGCAGATGTTCACATCATCCTAGTCCCGCCATAAGCCATACCTATCTACACATCAATCACTCCACTTCGAAAACCCCACGATCATGTCCGGCGCACCCTCCCAACCCACCACTGCGGACGCCTACCAAACCCCCGCCAACCCAGCTACAAAGAACCCCTCTGAATCCCACGCCGCCGCAAACAGCACCAGCAACAATGCCGAAATCGTCGAACAGCGCATCCCACAGACGCAATCCTCACCCGGCGAAGCGCAAGAATGGGGTCTAGCCCGCGGCGTGCGCGGCGCGGGGCCTGGCGAGGAAGCCAAGGGCCTGACAGAAGAAGACGTCGGGCGCCACAGGGAGCTGGACGGCGAGCAGATGTACATGCCCGGGGAGGGGAAAGTGGCGGATGCGGTTGCCGGGAGGGGTGGAGCGGGTGGTCAGGTTGGGGGTGAGCAGGTGGATCTGGCGGCGGATTTGGACCGGTATGTGAGGGATACAAGTGCACCATCTATACGTTTGTGTTGTTTGCTAACCTTTGGATAACAGGAAGAAGGCTGAGCAGGCCGAAGCGAGAGAGGCGATTAAGAAGCAGAGGGCGGAGGAGGTGGAGGAGGGACGCTTGGGACAGCGAGGTGGTCCTGCTACCAATCCGAAGTGGTGGGCTGGGCCGGGCGGTCCGGCTACCACGGCGGATTCCTGGGCTGGACCTGGATAGATTGAAGTCGTTATGATGTTGATGATCCGGAAGGATAGCGGCGGGAGGAATCTTGCAGGCCGTGCTTTGGTGTAGACTGCTAAAGCTGCTGTATGATACGTAATTGCTGTATACGAATCATATAACCATCTTAGCCACACCATGGTATTTCCATGCTCGAGATATATGCCAAACGCAGTGCTCTTATCTTCTAGCTCCCATTGATAGTTGTAATACCTAAGATAGGGCCCTTCCCTTCCAAATTACTTCAATGCGGTACGCCAGCCCACAAAAAAGCCGTTTGGATATTCGACGTGATATAGTTCCGGAAATGCCGCAATTCTTTCGAATGTTTTTGCCTCCTTACCAGAAGCAAGATCCACAGAACGCCATCGCTATGCCCAATGGAAAAAAGAGAAACATAATTGCAAGCTCCTCACTGAGTATCCATAGCCAGGGTCTCAAGACTATCGGTCGGCTCTTCGACGTGATTCGTACGCTCCGCGACCTCCTTGATTAATTTCGCAGCTTGTTCTCGAGTTTTCCTACACCACTCCTGTATTGATTCGGCTGGCCCACCTTCAATTCTGATGGGTCGAGGATCACCTGGATTGCCCAGGACGGTCCCTTGGAACCTGGACTCGACGCCTGTTTTACTGTGCTTCTTCATGAGTGCTGCACGGCCGTTAGCCCTGTGACAGAATGCCCAACCCTGTCGCAAACATACTAGTCAGATAGTCCTCCATCTCTATGGCGTCCAATGCTTCCGTTGCAGAGAGCGCAGGTTTCAATGTCCCCGCTATTCTCCGTATCTCCTTGTGAACATCCCCTTTGACCCACTCAATGAATTTCCTCACATCTTCGGTGTCTTCATCAAGCCGTCGCTTCTCCTCCTTTGCTCTTGCCCCGCTATCTTCGTCGTACTCCTCCAAAGGTCTCCGGAGCATCTCCTTCCAAACTTCTTCGGCCCCGGTAAGAGTGGGCACTAGGAGCCCGCAGTCTTGCATCGCCATGCGCACATCTGTGAGGTCGGGCGTGAGATCATTATGGTTCGAATAGGCATTGTAGGCTGTCCGCGACGCGAGCAGTAGCATGTACCGTGCAGTCAGATCCACCAGCGTATCTACTACAGACGGTTTGGCGCTGTGGAAGCCTGCGGCGCGCAGAATGTAAAGGACGGCTGGACGCAGCAGCGTGTTGAAGAGCGCGGAGACTTCGCCAGTGGACATGCTGGCAGTCAGGCGTATAGTCTACGTGCAGAGGTCCGATCGGTTGGGTTGTCGTTATATCTGTGCCGAGTTTTGCATCATGGCCAGTTGAAAAGGCGTCGTTCAGAGAGTACTGGCGGCGTTGTAGGAGCTCGGTGTTCGGCGCTGAAGGTGACAAGGGAGTGCGGCCGCTAATTCACGGCTGCATGCCAAGACTGGGGCAAGAAGGCTTGGCGCGACTTCATTCACTTCCAAGAAGCAGACCTCGCCTTGTCCAGTCGCTCGCAACACACAGGCGACGCCCATGTCGCCCTGAAGGCCTCCCTCTGCCACTTCCACGACGGCTCCCCACATTCGTTCGAGCTCCCAGACAATGAAGCTCAAGCTCACGGCAAAACCGCCGGCCGCCCCGGATGGCGCGCCTATACGTTCACCTGCGAACGAAGCTCCCACGCCCGGCGGGTCAGCGCCGAAGATCAAGTTCAAGCTAGCTCCCTCCACTGTAGCGCCTGGCGACACAGCCGAAGCTCCGAAGCCGAAGCGGAAGTACACGAGGAAACCCAAGTTCGACGAGAACGGGAACCCAATATTGCCCGCTGTGAAGGCGGTGAACCTGAAGAAGAGGCCTCGAGAGGAGAATGGCGAGGATGCCAACCGCAGCACCAAGCGCAAGATAAAACCGACTTTCAAAACTCTCGAGAGGGTGACCTCGGACGATGAGATGGACGAGGAATTGCAACCCGCCCCGCCGCCTCGCCCTCCTGTCCGCCAGGGTTCCACGCTTAAGATCAGGATGAAGCCTGCGGCAGGCTCAACGCAGCCGAAGGGTGTGAGCATCGTCAAGATCAAAGGTGTCCTAGGCAAACCTCCAGTCAGACCGCCAGGTGTGGGATACGACAGTGAGGCCGAAGATGCGGAGGTGGATCCGGCTATCGAGTCGCAATTCATCCTTCGCATGCAGCCCGGACCAGACTGCGACCTCGTGAGAAAAGCGATCGATGAGAAGAAGATTGGCAAGCCTCAAGCAGAGGGTGGAACGAATGTCATCTTCAGGTTCTTCGACCGCGAGGGCCGTCGGGCCATGGTCAACGTTCAGGGTCGCCTGTATGCGGCTACCATGGTGGACCTACCGTGCGTCATTGAGTCCATGAAGAGCTGGAACAAGAGGGACTGGGTCAAGACTGCAGACGTGTGCCAGATGCTACTGGTCTTGGGCCCTGTACAGAGCGAAGAGGAAGCTAAGAGATTCCCTCTTCCGAAAGAGGTTGATCCACATAAATACCAGTATCCGCATGGATTGACGCCTCCAATGCATTGGGTGCGCAAACGTCGCTTCCGTCCGCGCCAGTCATACCACGAGATCGAGCAGAGAGAAGCACAAGTTCAAGCCTTGCTGGAGGCTGATGAGCTCGCAGAGCAAAATGGCGGCAAGGCAACGTGGGAGGTCATAGATGAGAGAGCAGAGACCACGGAAGAGGAAACGTCAGAGGAAGACGCCGAGGGTGAAGAAGACATCGCCGAAACCACAGAATACGTGCTTCAGAATGAGGCTGGTGAGGAGGTTGAGGTTGACAACGATGAGCTCGAGGCAGCACTTGCAGCCGGTTTGATGGAGGACGAGGAAGACGTCGATGGTCTATTTGGCGAGGGTGGAGCCGAGGTGGAGGTGGAGACACCGATCACAGCGCACGATGTCGCCGCCCATGCGCTTGGGGAGAACGGAGTCTCCGCTCCAGAATCCGCTGCCTCCACCCCCAATGCGCCCACTTCTCCGGACGACGACGAATCCGAGGACGATGACGCTGAAAGTCCTGGCGACCAGGAGGTGGATGCAGAAGCGGCTGCAGCTCAAGAGAGCCTTGAACAAGGCATGGCGGAGGTTCGCGAGCTGGAGCAGGAGATCGCAAAGGCTCAGGAGCAACTTGAGCTAACCGGTAACATTCTCTACAAGCAGCGATGCAAGAAGAAGATCGAGCAGCTCCAAACAGACCTCAGTCTCAAGAAGGCGGCCCTTGGGCTTGGTGATGATGGCGATTAATGGCGGGGACTCATTGGCCATTATCCTGATTCGATATGATCAATTCTTCTTACGGGTTGGCAAGGCGTATCGGTGGTCACTGTGTATCTGCATGGCAGCATTTGCAGGAGTTGGGGTAACCTGTGTACAGTACGCATTGGGCCTATCGAGAGCGCATCATTAAGGGGAACGATTCCGGCCATCAAACAAGGTACAAGGAAATGCCTAATCACAATGGATCTAAGAGCCTTTTGAGACAGAATTTTTCGCTTTTGGTCGTGCCTCCTAAAGCGGAGCAGCGCATGCAGCAATATTGTCTGTTCAGACACAACGGACTTATATTGATAGGGTCCCTTGCCGGCGCCCATGACAGCTTAAGCCTTCCCCACACCTACCTCAAGGTTTCCGTTTCCATGCGCCGTATTATAACCTAAAGCGCCATCAGTTTGAAATTCCATGCCGAATAACGAGAAGTAAAACATACCAGCAACCCAACCATCCTGCGGACGTGCACACTGCTCCGTAATCGACGCTACCGCCTTCGCAACATCACGGCTACCATGCGCGTAAAATCAGCCTCGACTTCTTTTCTCTCTCTTCCTCTCTCAAGGTCAAGGAAAATCCAACGTACCAATAACTCGCCTCCGCATTTCCCGTCAAACTGATCCCAGCAATGAGCGTGTCGCCATATTGGCAGAAAACGCCCACAAGGAGCTCATCGGGCTTGCGAGCGGGAACTCCACACATGCGCGTGCCGGCTGTGATGAGGTAGCCGTAGCAGGTGCGGATTTCTAGGGGAGAGGTGAAGCGTGCTGGGTGGGTTGCGCAATGGAGTGGGGACCTGGGGTTTGCGGAGAGGGATGGGGAGGGAGATGGGGATGCTGGAGGAAGGTGTAAGGGGTTAATGCTGGAAGAGATAGATTAAGGGTTTGCGTACGGAAGTCAGGGAGGTCCATTGCGAGGAGGTCGGCCATTGTCAGGTTGAGGGACTCGAGGGTGGGGAGTCCAGGGCCGGGGATGAGTTGAGGGAGGGCGGTAGCTTCATTGGCGACGGGGGAGGCTGTGGAAAAGCGTAGAGTGAGAATGAAAAGGGAGATAAGGGTACTGGGCGATGGCATCATCATGTCGTGGTCCGCGGCGGCACTTTCTGAAGTAGGGCCTCTCGTATGTATAAGCAATTCGAAAGCAGTGGAGCCACGAGGGATGCCTGTAGCGGTGAGGATATATACTATTCATTGATGTAACTGTGCCACAGGATGGGATTGTTTGATGTTTGATGATGCCTGCCTCCCCAAGTTTGCTGTTCACGACCGTCCTCAGCGAATCGATTGTAACTACCACTGTACCATTTCCACGGGTGGCACATCGAGGACGAATCACGATCATGATTCCCCCCTCTCCGAATATCCAGATGCTATTACCCGCCTGCTGATCACTTGCTTGGTGTTTAGCCATATCAGCTGAAGGTGCTTTCCCGTTCGCCAGCAGCTCCTAAACGCATCAGACTTGGATGGCACGTTGCGACATGTGCTGTCAAATTGATAGATGAAAGACCGCGGTGGAACAATCGCCTTGTTGCCTATGTACTTAAGAAAGGAAGCTCCTTGTACACGAAGTTAGCCAGTTTAGAGCTAAGAACGCCGGGGTATAAACTCATAAGCTGGATCTCTAGAAAGGACTACTTATATTCACAAGTAAAAACGTGGCCACATGCTGAAGAACTACTCCGCCTTGCTGGAAGAAAGCTGAGGTCTTAATTCCCTAATTCGAAAGAGCATGCAGATAGTAGCAGTACTTACTCAAGCGTATGTCTGTGGCATGGAGGCAGGAAAAGACTATAACTAGTCTACGGAGAGGGTTGCAGGCAAACGCGTTGCTTGGACTAAGGATAGCAATGTGTGTATGCAACAAGTAGTAATAAGATTCTTTATGTATTCTGTTCTAGCTATTGTGTTGTAAAGAGTTATAGAAACGTAGCCCGTAGACGTTTGATCTATTGCTCTGTTTTGCTGTAGGGGTTACCAGGTTTCTAAAATCAACAAGTTTGAACACCGACTCAACGGCTTCCGTTTTAGAGCTGTACCGCGGAGTAGGGTCGATGCGGTGAATGATACCTTGCATGGGCTTCACAACCTTCTCAAGAACCTCATTGGGGCTGTCAAGAATCTGTCAAGATGGTACTATAACCCCCAAGTTGAGATTCTTGAACAGGAATTCGATTCCATCATCACCGCTGTCCCCATCACTGTCTCCGAAAGCATCGCCGCTGTATTGCTCGAACCCTCGCCTCCGAACCCAGAACTCTTTCTCGACCTCCCGACGCCACAGGGTAAAATCTAGGGGATTTATGCTGTGCTGATGGTAAATGAGAGCCACCAATATTGCTTGTACATTGGCAGTGGGACGAATTTCACAGGAGGATTGGTAGCAAGGACCAATAATTACAAAGAGGAGGAGAATAGCAAGTGGCCTCGATTTGTCCGAAAGGCGTTTACGATGTAAAGAGGCGTTTGTCCAATGCCAACTTGGACTGGGAGACATTACAGATGCTGCAGTAGAATCGCTTACTCTCCTTGGCTCTAGCTCTAGTGGTTGCACTATACTGTTTGGACTTCTTAGGATTCTTCTCTTTCTAATTCATCTTCTTAGTTCTTTTGCGCAGCCGATGCCTTCCAAATGGGAGTGGGATGGGATTGACGGCTTTAGTGCTGATAGTTGGGGCTTTGATGCTTTAGATGAGGGGTTGTGGTAATAGGAGGAGTAAAGGACTGGCAATTGGTATAGAGTTCTGGGTTACGAATTGTGTATTTGTCTTCAGCAAACCTATCTGATTACATACATTGTGCAAATTCCTAATCCCGAAATGAAAAGTGAAAGGACATGCGAAGGCTGTCCACCATGCTTAAGACCCCTCAATCCTTCCCACCAACTTGAGGTGACGCTTCGTCTTGTTGTGAATGTTCAATTTACATTTCGATAGCGCACTGTAGTCGCAAACTGGGCAGTAGTACTTTTTGGATTCCTTTATCTTTGCCACATAATCCCGCTTGTGCAAAGTCTCCTTTGAGGGAGGAGCGGTAGTCCCACCAGCACGAAGTTCCTCCTGAGTGGCATGTGCCTGTGATGCCAGATGCTTGTTCAATGTCGGATTAGACTGAAGGGCGACGTCGCAGATGTCGCAGTAGAAGCGCTTACTCTCCTTAGCTCTAGCTCTAGTGGTTGCGCTATACTGTTTAGACTTCTTAGAATTCTTCGCTTTCTAATTTATCTTCTCAGTTCTTTTGCGCAGCCGATGTCCTTCCAAATCCACCGCCCTTTCCCTCTCATATGCCTGCTTGGATATCTCAACCATCCTCTCTGCAGCACGGAGTTTTCTCTGCTGTGCAACCTGTTCCAACTCTTCTTCAGTCTTGCAAAGCTCTTCACCAACACCCTCATTGAATGGCAGATGAGAATTCAGAGGCGAGTACTTGATTTGGGCCCGATCCCATGGGAGAAGCTCTGAAAATGATCCATCCATGACGGTCTCGAATGCTGTGTGGAAGATGCAAGTGAATAGGCCTTCGAGGCCGAGGAAATAAAGCCTTGCGCGCGGTACAATAGACGGTGGAGGAATAGGGGCAGAACAGGTCACACCAACGTGGGCAATGTCATATCCACGCTTTAGAGTTCGACAGCTTGATTCTACATACAGCAAAAGGACATAGTGTTACGAGGCTTCGTCGAGATAGGAAACTCCAAGTACTTTACATACACGAGTTCAAACAGTAGCCAACGGAATCTGCTCTACGAATAAGCGTATAGAAAGATTGTTATCCCTAGTCGAAATAACCCTTCTTCTCGCAGGAGCACAATAGAACCTAGAAAAGGGGTTCTGAATACCTACCTAACAGAACGCGCTAATGCTGTAAATTTTAGAAGCCTAATTCCCCCTATGAGGCAGAGCAAAAGCATAAAGCTCTACAGGCTACATTTCTAACACTCTTGACAAAACAATAGATATTACAGAATACAAAGAATTTCCCGCTACTACTTAATGCACATAAACATAGTTATCGTTAGTCTAAGCAATGCGCTTACGTCTCTATTCTCTTTACACGCCTCCGAAGGCCTTGGTATTTATGTCAGGGCTATCTACAGTGGCGGTTTCTCCAGGGCTTGTCTTACGAAGGTCAACGTCCTACGTCCTGCTACACCCCCTTACCTAGGTCTAGTTTTCTACTGTTCTACTGCTATTCTTCCTCCTTATAATCTTCCCTGCTACTAGTATGGTCTTTGCACCTGAGCTTTTTGAGTGAGCACTACTAGCATTGATAGGTTGTTGCTGGTCTCTAGCCCCAAATCACATCACGCAGCTGCAAATATGAACGAAAAAACAGCACATTTAGCTAGATACAGAGACAAAGGGAAGGATGTTGAGAACCATGCAGAGCAAGGCAAAATGCTGAGAATGCCGAGTAAACATTTCGCTCAACTCCACCGGTTAACCACCCATCATGCAGCGGGCACCACATTTCAAAAGACATCTTTTATCCATATTGAAACAGCTGATGGCGGGCGGACGCATCTTCTATTATACATCTATACCCCTCGAATCAGCACATGGTGAACCCACTAGAACGCGCCCAGGAATAGAAAACCCACTTCAAAAGACCTTAGCGTTTACAGGAAGGCCTTGGTGAAAGTCGTCGCAACCTCCTTCAGCCTCGACTCAGTGTCCTTGCTCAGTGCTCCTTCACGATCAATGGTAGCCAGCAAGTCGGACTCGTTAGCCTTGAGGTGGGCCAGGAAATCAGACTCCCACTGGAGAATCCTGTTGACGGGCACATTGTCGAGGATACCGTTGACACCCGCATAGATGAGCGGCACCATCTCATTTACACTATAATTTCATTAGCTAGGACACGATCAACTATCAATGCAAGAGCACTTACGCCATCGGCTTATACTGGGGCTGCTTCAGGAGCTCGGTGAGACGCTCACCACGGCTGAGGGTCTGCTTGGTAGCAGCATCCAAATCCGAACCGAACTGAGCGAAGGCAGCAACTTCACGATACTGGGCCAGGAAGAGCTTCAGAGAACCAGCGACCTGCTTCATGGCCTTGAGCTGGGCAGCGGAACCGACACGTGACACGGAAAGACCGACGTTGATGGCGGGGCGGATACCCTTGTAGAACAGCTCGGACTCCAAGAAGATCTGGCCGTCGGTGATGGAAATGACGTTTGTGGGAATGTACGCAGACACGTCACCACCCTGGGTCTCAATGACGGGAAGAGCAGTGAGAGAGCCGCCGCCGTGCTTGTCGTTCATCTTGGCGGCACGCTCCAGAAGCCGGGAGTGGAGGTAGAAGACGCTACGAAAATTAGCCTTCCAAAACGATGACGTAGTTTCGGGTTCACATACTCTCCAGGATAAGCCTCACGCCCAGGAGGACGACGGAGCAAAAGGGACATCTGACGATACGCGACAGCCTGCTTGGACAAATCGTCATAGATGATTAAAGCATGCTTTCCATTGTCTCTGAAGAATTCGCCCATGCTCGTTGCTTAGTAATCATATCAGTTAGTGTTCTGTTCATCATGTTTGTATCATCGCGTAGTGTTGAGGGCATGAAAGACGAAGTGAAGGGAAAGGCTTGGCATGGTGGACGAAAAGGTGCTAGCGCAACGCACAGACCCGTATCGAAAGGATAGAGGGAAGAAATGCGTAGAGGGAAGAAATGCGTAAGAAAGAGAGAATACGAACCAGTGAAGGGAGCAATGTACTGCAGAGGAGCTGCCTCGGAGGCGGTAGCGGCGACAACGATGGAGTACTTCATGGCATCGTTCTCCTCAAGGGTCTTGACAAGCTGGGCGACAGTGGAACGCTTCTGGCCAACAGCGACGTAGATGCAGTAGAGCTTCTTGGTCTCGTCGTTGCTGTTGTTCCAGCGCTTCTGGTTAAGGATGGTGTCGAGAGCGACGGCGGTCTTTCCGGTCTGACGATCACCAATGATCAACTCACGCTGGCCACGGCCAATGGGAACCATAGCGTCGACGGACTTGAGACCAGTCTGTACGGGCTGGTTGACGGAACGGCGGGGAAGGATACCAGGAGCCTTGAGCTGAGCGCGGCGCTTCTCGCTGGTCTTGATGGGGCCCTTGCCATCAATGGGGTTTCCGAGTGCATCGACAACACGTCCGAGAAGAGCCTCGCCGACGGGAACGTCGACCTAATCGTTATCAGCACGATGTTGTAGGTTCAAATGCCTTATTGACATACAATCTCGCCCGTCCGCTTGACGGTCTCGCCCTCCTTGACCAAACGATCGGAACCGAAGAGCACAACACCGACCTGGCCGGCTTCCAAGTTCATGCACATGCCCTTGACACCGGACGCGAACCTGTGATGGAATGTCAGCTCCATGACACAGCCGCGGCAACTTCTGTATGACGACATACTCGACCAGTTCCTCGGCCTGCACATTGGTCATGCCATGGACACGGGCAATACCATCACTGTCATCCAATTGTCAGCTCCCAATGATCCTTTCGATGAGTTCTATCCATGTTTTGGAGCATACCCGACGGAGAGGACGCGACCTGTCTCGGCAAGGCTCTGCTCCTCCTGGACACCGCGGATCTTCTGCTCAAGGATAGAGGAGACCTCGGTGGGAGATGCCTTCGCATCGGCGGCGTAGGTTCGCACCGCGTTGAACGGGGTGGTACGGGTCTGAAATTCTCGTCAGTGCTCGGCTCACCAAAACAGCTCCCTCCGGCCGGCGTAGCAATCTTTGCAGCGCACACGACGCCTCGCCGCAATGCCATTGATGTCGCAAACTTCGAATTGTCGCTGCAAATGATGGCGAGATGGGAGGCAGGCCCAATTGCGACGGATTTCGATGGACTTACCGACGCAATTCTGCCCGAGGCAGAGATTGCAGCGACCCGGCGGCTCGACTGGCGGAGGGCGCGTCCGAACATTTCGAGGAGCTCTAACGGCTACGGGGAGGGTTCTGCAATCAATTGAATTGATGCAGAGATGGAGGGAGGAGGTGCGATTCGGTGGAGGAAAAGAGACGCTGGGAAAGTGCAACGGATGGAGGACGGCAAACCTTGAGAAGTCCATCACTTGGCGCGCTAGCCGCAACGGGCACCTCCATCTTGGACGCGATCCAACTTGGGACTTCACAACCCCATAAATTATATCGCCCGGAAAACTTTCGCTACTGAATGATCTGAAGGGCAGTGCTCTAAGTTTACGGAGCCTCTTCTTAGAATATTGTTCTTGCGTTGGAAAGTGATGACCTACACTAAATGCCTCATACCAGTTGTGCAGTTTGGGCACATTATACACATCACCACCGTTTTGTTGGTAACAAACCTCTTCGGCTCTGTATTCCCGTACCATTTGTCCCGTAGGAAGTTATCATGATGCAGCGTTTTCACGAAGAATATTGAACAGGATATTGCAAGTGAGCTCATGTTTCCCTTCATCACTCTACCCTTGCTCAGCCTCGGCAGAGCTATAACTCCATTGAACAACGAATCCGGTTGTATCTGATCCCCCTTACCACAATGAATCTGCTCGCTCTTACGTGCCATAGCTCCATAAACTCATCGAAAGTCGGTATATAGGAACCAATCCAGAAGTACACGTTATGATCCGACTCTTGCAATTCGTTCTCCATCCGGATCAATCGGCAGCGGGAGCATCCTACGACGCTTTAGCCCCGCTTGCAGCCCCGCTACCAGGCTTCTTGCTCTTCTCTTCCTTGAATTTCTGGATCTGCTCTTCAACAGCCTTATCGACTCTGCGTTTGAGCTCCGGGCGATAGCCTAGTGAAAATAGTATCTCGAACCACACAAAAAACGGCGCCAGGAAAAGTGCCTGTACCAGGTTATCCAAAAGAGCCGGGGCCCTTCCTTCGAACTTCCCATGACCGATGAACTGCGCGATCCAGCATACAACGTGTAGTGCGGCCGCCCAAGTATTGGCCGAGGACCCATATGTCGAGGTAAGGTGATTACTGTACGCGGTTGCGGCAAGGAGAAGCGGAGCAAGCAGCCCTCCGGCCACTGGTTCCATCAAAACGTATAGCGTTGAGTATAGCAAGGCTCCAATGGTGCCAACATTGAGGGGAAGGTTCGGAACCGATAACCAGGCTGGCAAGGGAATTGCAGGTGTGTTCGTCAACTAGGTCCAGTTAGCAAAGGCCGACTTAACTCTGCGTCAAACCCTACTAGCAGTAACGCAGTCACAAGGATGACTGGCACACAGATGATGTGTATGGTGACATTCACCTAAACATTTTATGAGCGACACATTCGCGATGATAAACTTAAAGACCTCACAGGATTATGGTGGTATGCTCCATACTAGGAAGCGTTAGCCAGTGCACCCTCTTTGCGTCTGGGATACGTACGAAGCGTAGTTGCTTTTCCAAGTTGAGGGACATGGCGCCTGTGCAGTGATTCGAGGGAATTATCGAAGGATGGGAAAACTAGGCGAGCATCGCAGGCATATCTTTTAGAGGAGCTGAAACAGAAGATGCTGGATCCGGTGAACTACCGATCTGGAACTTCCAAGGTTCCAACGGCCAGCAGATTGGGACTTGTTGGTATGCACGAGGGAGAGGTGGGGAGGGGGCACCAGACCGAGCTTCACATGTTAGGTCGTCGGCCACCGGTGAAACATTCCTCCAGGATGAAGGAGTCCAGGCTTGGCGTCCGGCATCGTCACTTCAAGGCACTCATCACTGTGGTGGACGCCTTGCTTTTAGTTTCTACAAGCGGTGCACGGGGAGGCTTTCCTCTTCAGCGCAAACCACACTCCTTCAGAGATATTGCCTGCAGGTCTTGCCGTCTCCCGTAACAAGCGTCTCTTACCTCCCAACGATTTTCGCCACTTTGTTCAGACGGGCAGGAATCGTGATTTGGACAACTTCAAGACAGAAGCAGCTTCATTGATTCCTCTCTTCTTGAGTCGTTTTGATATCTATTATATAACGCTTCCGGCGCAACAAGCTCTAACATCGCGCCCCTCTCGCTCCTCCGGAAAACCTCCCCGAACAACTTGCGCCGTTCCCATACCCGTCGTTGTTCACTTGGACGAGGTCTGCGCGGAACAGGGCAGGCAATAAAGCTGCCGCTGGACTTGCCGACTTCCGTTGCAACACAGTCGTGCGCTGTCCTGTCACCTGGTGCCACCTCGTTAATTGACTTTGTGGAACCGCGCACACTACCCGCATAACGGACAGCCCGGAGTCGCAGTGAGACGCCATCATGTTTTTCCTCAAAGAACTCGAGAAGACGCTCCAGTTACATCCGTCGTACTTCGGCCCGCTGATTCGGCAACATATCCATCGAGAGCTGCTCACAAAGGAGGAGGGTTCAAGTACCGGAAAATACATCATCGTGTGCATACTCGACACGTTCGACATCTCCGATGGTGTTGTTGTCCCAGGGTCGGGCGCCGCTGAATACACCGTACATTACAAGGCCATTGTTTGGAGGCCGTACAAGAACGAAGTGGTATGAAGCGCTCGATACAACTTGAGTGTCTCAGCTCACTAGGTGTAGGTGGACGGCGTAGTTACCTCCGTCGTCCAAGGCGGCTTCTTTGTCGACTGTGGTTCCTTACAGGGCTTCGTATCAAAGAGTGTACGATTCGGATACTCATGATTCCCTTTACCATCCGTGACCTTCTAACACTTTACAGATGATACCCAACGAGATCCAGTTCGACGCAAACGCAACGCCACCTCAATGGACCGATAATGGTGAGCAAGTGATTGAGAAGGGGACCAGCGTTCGCGTCAAGATCAAAGGTTTGCGGTCCGAGGTGGACAGGATGTACGCAATTTGCACGATGAAAGAAGTAAGTTGATACGAGATGTGTCAGTACTCCTCACCATGGGCGCTAATCACCGTGCGCTAGGATTACCTTGGGCCGCTCCAGACATAGGGGGATGGAGAGAAACACTCAACACGTCCAGAGGAGAACAGGGCCGCCACTTCTTCAGAAAACAGGAGTTAGAGAAGATTATCATGCGCGATATTCGCTTTTGGCAAATCAGCATCGCCGGTTAACGAAGCAGAGAGCACCACGAAGGGGATGAAAGATGAGAAGACAGGTGCCAGCGTTTGTCCTCTGAAGCTCACATGCTATTGCCAGTTGGGCTGTACTTCTTACTTTTCGCGGGAACGTGATTGTATAAGTGGCTCACGCTTCATAGACTTTGTATACCCAGCCGAATACTTTAAGACCGAGATCATAATATAAGCTGTTCAATGCTTTGGACAAACTATAGTTTCGGGACCTTGCTCTGTTTAAGGAGATGCGGTAGGCGTTAACCCGATTATGGCTAGAACAAACGTATCTGCTGCAATGAGGCTGTCCCGAGTATTTCTGCTTCATCGTTGACATCATCAATAAGGCACCAATGGAATTGGTTGCAATTCGTTCTTTGTTATTGAACACAGCGCCAGAGGGAGCTGAATACCAGAATATTACCAAAAGGAGTTTAGCGCGCTCATATCACCGCGGTCCAACCCCAGACTTCCCCATATCTCCACGTATGGCCGTGCACCGTATTCATCCTCCATGCCGAACACTTGACACGCCACAGGGGCACAGATCTTACCCCCTCGCGTTTTCTACATTCCCTAGAAACATGATAGAACACTTGCACCTCCTTCAATAACATACTCACCACCATGGGGCCTCGCGAACGTGCCGTAAACGACGAGGAAACCGAGCCACTTACTCGCGAAGAAACGATTCCGCGCCGCTCAGAAGACGAGTTCTCCAATGCCTCCGTATCCTCCGCGTCGACCACCTCGCTCATTCTAGAACACATCAACAATACCGCGGCAAACCATGCCTCAAATCCGGAGTTGCAGGAGAAGTATAGGGACGAGGACAGCGAGCCCGATCGCCGGCGCGAGGACTTGGACATTGAAGATGGGCGATATCAGGGATCAACGCATGTGGATAAGAAGGCACGGCGACTGCTATGGATAGTTGGCGCGATCTGTGTTGCGGGCTGGGCGCTTGCTCTTGTCTCGTTCCTCGTCCGAGGGAGCTATAAGCCTGCGTCCACGCGCCCGCATGATCCTCTTGCCCCAGTGACCAAGGGGTCGGGAAAGAAGGTCACGCTGGATAGCGTCCTGGGAGGCCAATGGTATGCTACGAGGCAGAGCGTGGAATGGATTGCGGGCCCGGACGGGCAGGACGGGTTGCTCCTGGAAACAGGTGTCTCGGGCAAGGAGTACCTCGTTGTTGAAAATGTGCGCAACTTGGATAGCTCGGAAGCTTCCGTGAACAGGACCGTTCTGATGGAGCAGCGGTCCTTTGACGTTGGGGGCAAGTTCGTCACCCCGAGCAGGGTGTGGCCCAGCAACGACTTCCGGAAAGTGCTGGTCATGTCGGAAGAGACGAAGAACTGGCGGCATTCCTTCACTGGACTCTACTGGATCTTCGATGTGGAGACGCAGACTGCGCAACCTCTGGACCCAGAGAATCCCGAACGCAGAATACAGCTCGCATCCTGGTCACCGCAATCAGATGCCGTGGTTTTCACCCGGAACAACAACATGTTTTTACGGAAGTTGGACTCTGACCGCGTCGTCCAAATCACTTTGGATGGAGGATCTGAGCTATTCTACGGAGTTCCCGACTGGGTGTACGAGGAGGAGGTGTTCCAAGGAAACAGTGCTACATGGTGGTCCGAAGACGGCGAGTACATCGCCTTCCTCAGAACGGACGAGTCCAAGGTTCCCACCTATCCTGTACAGTACTTCATTGAGCGCCCCAGCGGAAAGAAGCCGAAACCTGGACAGGAATCATATCCGGAAGTACGAAACATTAAGTATCCCAAGGCCGGTGCGCCCAACCCTGTAGTCACGCTTCAGTTCTACGATGTCGCCAAGGGAGATGTCTTCTCTGTGCACATTGATGACGACTTCTCGGACAACGATCGCTTGATCACGGAGGTAGTTTGGGCTGGCCGTAGCAAGAAAGTCCTAGTGCGCGAGACGAATCGCGAGAGCGATATCCTTAAAGTCGTACTGATCGACGTCGAGCGACGTAATGGCAAGACGGTCAGGGAGGAAAACGTCTTGAAGCTCGACGGTGGATGGTTCGAAGTCTCCCAGCGAACAAAGTTTGTGCCTTCGGATCCCCGCAGAGGTCGAAACAGAGATGGCTACATCGACACCATCATTCATGAGGGATACGATCATATCGGATACTTTACACCCTTGGACAATCCCGAACCGATAGTACTTACGAAGGGACAATGGGAAGTCGTCGAAGCGCCTTCGGCCGTCGACCTGGAGAACAATCTAGTCTACTACATCTCCACCGAACGGTCCTCCATCGAAAGACACCCGTACGTCGTCAAGCTGGATGGAACTGGCAAGAAGGAAGTCGTGGAAGATAGTGCTGCAGGATATTACGACGCGCATTTCTCCACCGGCGGCGGCTACGCCCTCATCACCTACGACGGCCCCGGCATCCCCTGGCAAAAAATCATCAGCACCCCGTCCGCCAAAGACAAATACGAAAGGACACTCGAGAAGAACGAGCGACTCGAAAAACTCGTCAAGCAGCACGAACTCCCCATCCTCAACTACCAAGAAATCGAAGTCGACGGCTTCAAGCTCAACGTCCTCGAGCAACGTCCCCCGCACTTCAACCCCAAGCGGAAATACCCCGTCCTCTTCTACCAATACAGCGGGCCCGGCTCCCAGACCGTCGACAAGAAATTCAAGGTCAATTTCCAATCCTACATCGCCTCCAGCTTGGGCTACATTGTCGTCACCGTCGACGGCCGCGGCACAGGCTACCTCGGGCGCAAACTGCGCTGCATCACGCGCGGCAACATCGGCCACTGGGAGGCGCACGACCAGATCGCCGTGGCGAAGCTGTGGTCGCGGAAGAGCTACGTCGACGCCGAGCGCATGGCCATCTGGGGCTGGAGCTACGGCGGCTTCACGACGCTCAAGACGCTCGAGACGGACGCCGGCCAGACGTTCAAGTACGGCATGGCCGTCGCGCCCGTCACCGATTGGCGCTTCTACGACTCCGTCTACACGGAGCGATACATGCACACGCCGCAGAACAACCCCGAGGGCTATGCAAACTCGACCATCAGCGACGTGCAGTCGCTCTCGCAAAACGTCCGCTTCCTCGTCATGCACGGCGTCGCCGACGATAACGTGCATATGCAGAATACGCTCACCTTGCTAGATAAGTTGGATCTCGCGGGCATAGAGAATTACGACGTCCATGTCTTTCCGGACTCGGATCATAGCATTTATTTCCATAATGCGAATCGCATTGTTTATGATAGTGAGTTTATTCTTTCTTTTTCTGAATTGCGAGGATGTGTAAGGGACTGGGGCTAACGTACTGCTGCTAGAATTGAGTTCTTGGCTTGTCAATGCGTTCAATGGGGAGTGGCTCCGGATCGATAGCCCCGTGCCTAAAGCGCAGGGGGAGGGTAAAGCAAAGGAGAAAGAGTAGTTGTTTTGCATTTGACTTGTATTGGCGTTTTGGGTTGTGCTTGTGAAGCCTGTGGATGATACCCAGACTAAGATGAGGGGCGAGGGCGGCGTAGATATCGCTGATATTCATGTAGATACTGTACATACCAATCGAATCATCTGGACTCCATTCCGCTCCGCTACTTTCAGCTTGAAGAGCGAGGAAACGCTACTTATGTTACAAAGCAAGCAGTCATATGTTTCATGTCATCGTAATCTCTCATAGTCTATAGCTTGACGCTCGAATCGCCAGTGCCAGGCTCACCAATAGTGTTCAAGAAAGCCTGGTGGACATACTCCGTCAAATCGCCCGCCTGCAAGGCCCTGCCCTTCTCCTTGAACGCCAGCCGTGAGCACTCCCTCGTGATGGCCGACCCGCCGTACGCCGCGAGCGCCAGCGTCTCCGCAGGCTCCATATCCCCCTCATGATCCCAGATCCTATCATGATACGCCTGCCTATACGCCAACAGCGTGGCCAGACTTCCCGTCAGGGTGTCTCCCTGACCACCAGACCTCTTCAAGCCGCCCTCGCCGTCCGACACGAGCGTGTACTTGCCATTGGATATGTAATCTTTGGCTCCCTTCTGGATGATGGTGACGCCGCCGAAGGCCTTGGCCAGCTTGGAGCACACCTCGGACGGATCGCCGTCCTCGACATTCACGCCTTTGGCCTTTGCCAGGCGGCCGAATTCGACTACGTTGGGCGTCAATATGCACTCTGTGCATCCCTGCACGAGCTCCGGGCGTGTCTGCGCTAGGAACAATCCATCTGCGTCCAGCACGAAGGGGATATTTTGTTTCCTAGCTTCTTCGATGACCCGCGCGCATGTATCCTGCATCAGCTTGTCGCGGCCTAGACCGGGGCCGATGACGACGACGTGCAGACGGCTCAGCATGCCGATGACCTCTGCGGAGACGGTGTCGAGGGACTCCGACTGGGCGAGGTGCTTGGATTGCCGCATGTACGGGTGCACCATGAGGTTGGGGGAGTAGGTTTTGATGACGGCGCCGGCGCCGGGTTCGCAGATGACGTGGGACTGGATAGGGGTCGTCGTTAGCATATCTCAAATATCTCAATGCCACCGTTTTTGTTCTTCGCGATTGACTTACCATGTCGCATCCCAGTTTCGCGGACGCCATGGCGGAGAAGTACGGTGCACCGGTGTAGTCCTCGCTGCCTCCGATAACGCCTACTCGACCCAGCATACCTACCAGACACCATCAGTCTACTCGTTCGCCCTTGGAGAATCATTCTAGTCTACCTTTGTGAAAGCGCTCCAGCATAGGCGGGATCATCTTGTGGACCTTGCCCAAGAGCTCCTTTCTCGTCGCGCTGGCCATTTTTGGAAACTTGTTGAGTTTTGTGGAGAGTTTTGATAGAAGCGGAGGTGTGGTCTGGGAAAGTCAGGATTTTGTTGCGGTAGAACTTGGAGAATTTAAAAAAAGAGAAACTTGTGGTTTCAGATGGCCATGTTGACAGTCGACGTCATACCATGCTCATTGGACCGAGGAACGGTTGGCCGCCACAACCAGCCACAGGCCGCGCCACAGTTACCCAAGCTCAACGGAAATGGTGGTGTGAATGATCGTTCTTGTTTGAATTTCCTTGAGCTCGTTTGCATGCGTGACTTAGAGCATATAGAGAAACCCAGCAAAGTGGTCCCGGTACCAAAGACAGCCGACTTCGTCTTGTGAATTTGCTCCTCGACCATCATTCCACTTCAGACGAACAAAACACTCATGCCAAGCGAGCAAACTTTCATTCATAATGACACATGCATGCCAAAACCATGCCTCCCAAACACCACCATCATGATCTGAGTAAGGAAAAGAACCAAGCTACGCAAGAGGGCTAGATACAAATACAAGCATAAAGAGGACACACCCATACCTAATTTTCCACGTCTAGTACTCCAGCGTAATCTTCTGGCCCTTGAGCCTTCCAATGACCACCTCCGGCGCATACTTGGGAATCACCTCATCATCATGTAGCATCTCAAACTCCTCGCTGGCATCCTTGCCCATGTGCGAGTACAGGGCCTGAGGACCACCGGGGTGCTCATTGACCCAGTTCGTCAGATCCAGGACGACTCCCTTGACAGCGATCCACAGATCGTCCTTCTTGTTGTGCTTGGCCACCTCTTCAATCGAGAACTCCTTGTCGGGAACCTTAAAGTCCTTGACGGTGTTAGGTTTCGACACTTTTCCAGGATCAGCGGAGTCAGCTTTCTCACCCTTGAGCACGGGCGCGGCAGACTGTTGAGACTGCTGTGCGGTTTGACTTTGCTGACCCGTGGAGGCGGACGCGGCGTTCCACTCAACGGACACTTTCCCGGGCTGCGAGGGGTCGATGTGCAGCGAAATCTGAGCGAGACGGTTGACAGCGGAGCCGCCGGCGCTGTTGAGCGCCTGCTGGAAGAGATAGCGGGAAGCGGATTCGCCGGCGACACGGCCGTAGACGACACAGCCGAGCAACGAGGAGCCACCGAGACGGTTGGCACCGTGGACACCGCCAGCGAGCTCACCGCAGACATAGAGGCCGTCAAAAGGCTTGCCCTCGGAATTGAGCACCTGAGCCTGGTCGTTGATCTCGATACCGCCCATGGTGAAGTGGAGGACGGGCTCCATGACGGCGACGTGGAAGGTGTCGCTGATGTCGAAGGGCATGTTGTGGAAGTACTTCTTGCCCCAGATGTCCTTCTTGTCACCGCGGGCGATGGCGTTGTAGCTCTGGAACTCCTCTTGGAGCTCTTTCTCGCTAACGCCAATCTCCTTGGCGAGCTCCTTGCCGGTCATCTTCTTCATGAGACCGCGGCCAGAGTAGTGGCGGGTGTGGAAGTCAAGAACGTTGGAGGCCTTGGAGTTGAGGACGAGACGGATAGGCCAGAGACCCTTGTCGCGCTCCTCCCACATTTTACCGGAAACGTAGTCACGGTGGCCCAGGTCATCGCAGAAGCGCTTGCCCTTGGAGTTGAGGAGGATACCACCCTCACCACGGAGAGCTGCGTATTGTTAGCCGCATCCTTCATAAGACTACTTCAGGCGACATACCCTCAGCGGCCAAGAACTTGGTCTTAGCAGTGGGATCCTTGGGGTCAACCAGACCGGTAGGGTGGACTTGGACCTTGTCCATGTCGATGCCGTTGGCACCAATGGCCATGAGCATCTTGTGGCCGTCACCAGTGGCATGGGCGCCGTTGGTCGTGGAGAGACCGAAGGTGTCTGGCCTGTGCTTCTTCAACAAAGAGGTCTCTGTGAAGTCGGCAGCGTAGCCACCGGTAGCCAGCACAACGGGGCCCTCGACTGTGAACTCCTCGCCATTCAGCTCGTATGTGACTCCTATGGCGCGGTTGCCCTCCTTGTTGACCTTGGTGACCTTGGCCTTCTTGATGAGCTGAACGCGCTCGGGCTCTTGCTCAGCGAGCTCCTCGAACCGTTGCATGAGGGCGTAGGTGATGGCCATACCCGGGAACTTGGCATCGTGGCCACGGTGGGTACGGGGCTGGGAGTGGCCACTGGAGAACTTTCAGTACATGTTGGAAAAAGGGAAACGTGTAGACATACCCCAACCGTGAGACGAGGGTCAGATCCAGGTTGAAGACATCCTGCAGCCATTCGACGGCAGCGGCAGACTTGTAGGTCAGGACCTTGATGAGGTCCGGGCGAGCCTTGTCACGGGCCGACTTGAGGGTATCATCGTAGAACTGCTTGACGCTGTCGCGGATGTTGTGGTCTACTTGTGTGCGGGTAAGGGCGCCGTTGATACCGGAGGTCGCCTTGGTGGAGTTGCCTCCCATGAAGTCTTTGTTGAATGTGGGATGAGCTCAATCTCAAAAAATAGAAAGAAAGAGAAACTCACTGTTCTTGTCGAGCAGCAACACATTGCCGCCGGACAGGTAGATGGTGTGGGCGGCGCTCAAACCGGACACTGAGCATTGTCGTTAGCATTGATGACGGATGGCAAGACATGGGTGCTCACAGCCGGCGCCGACGACAATGACCCTCTGGACCATGGCTGCAGTGAATATCTGTAATGGAAAGGAGAAAGAGAGAAAATGACAGAGGCTCGCACGAGGGTATAATGGGAGGAGAAGTGGTTGACTGCGGATGGAGGAGTAACGGCTGGCGGGCAGTGTTAAGTAGGACGGAGTGGTGATGGAGCAATTGCCTCGGCGTTGAGGATGACGCTAAACCCCTTGCGGAGTGGCCTTCTGGTGGATCCCGCGAATGAGAGGCCGAGAGTTTGTACGACTTCACGCGGTTCTGAGCATGTGAAGGCTGCGGCAACCTCGCCGGCGGGTCAGGTGCCCGTCGATGGCGAGTCGCCTGAAACTTCTGGATAATCCTCCGAGAGAGATGCACCCCAGGAGCGTCTCGATTTGCACGTGAAGCCGTTTGGAGTTTGACTTACATACTTCCAAGTTTGAGGACATTGCCTCTAATCTGGGGTACCCCACATCTCAGCCGAGGTGGGGTTGGGCGTTGTTGCCCGGTTTGTCAGGAGAACGCGTCTCTTCTTGGAAGAGACGATTCGGAGATGGAGGCTGAGTTAAAATAATCAAGAGGAGCTCCGAATTGGCAATTGCCTTTGGAAAGGTAGACATGTCAAAAGGTCAATGGCTAAAAGAAATCGTATTTGGGTATCCATCGCTCCTTTCTTCATCTCGAAAGACCACGTCCAGATGATGTAGTAAAGCCTACTCCGTATATGGGCATCTCATCCCTCCTCCACGACCATTTCCCCTCAATGGCAAGCCACCGACTTGGTCGCCGACGACTCACTAAACATCATGTATCCCACGAACGCTCCAACCGCAACGGCCAGCATCACCCACCCATTGTATGTCATGAACAGCAGCCTTCCAATCATCAGTATCCTCTGCACAGTACAATATCCGAGTAGACGATGCACCGCCAGTCGCGACTTACATGATGAAGAACGAGTAAAACACCTGCACCGCATACAGCACCGCCTTGACGATGCGTGTCTGCTGCTCGCTGGGCCTCCCGCCGCTTCTCCCTGGGTTGAGTAATGAGCTCGATTCTTCGACCGTGTCTTAAACGTTGCGCCGACTCAGCGTGTGTTCTCGATCAAGGTGAAGAACAAATGCCATGTATTCTTCTTCGTACTGGTAAATGGGCACACTCACTGCTCAGATCGTCCCCTCCCCTCCTCCCTTCCCCCACATTCTTCGCATATATTTCATATCGTCTCGACACCTCGCGTACAGCTTCGTATCCGGCCGTGAGGAGCACGATGGCGAGGAGCGAGAAAAGTAGCGATGTTGTGCCCGTGACGTGCCAGCCTTTGAAGATGATACAGAGGTCTTTGGTCGACCAGGTGAACAGCATCTACATACGTTAGTTAGCTCTGTAACGGTAATGGATGGGGTGAAGGAGTGAGTGCATACGCTCATCTGGCACTTGTGACCGCCGCCCATGCCGGGCATGCCGTGGTCGCCGTGATCCATATGTGAGTGGTCCATGTTCGAGTGGTCCATTGCGAGGATATAGGGAGAAAGAAGCGAGAGAATCCTCTATGGACAACACGACGGTGGATCGGCTGGACCTGAAAGAAGGTAGATAGATCGTGCACGGGCCAGCTGTATCTGTCACATCGCGGGGTTTCGCGTGGGGAGATGCAGGTGAAGCTTCGTCTTCGAGCTTCGAGTAATCAAGACAGACGACAAGAGAATAGGGGCACCGCGGAACTCAGCGCCGTTCCATTAATCTACGCGAATCCACACTGTAATGCGGACAACGCCATGACCGGCACGATGCGCGCACTTCGTCCCTCCCTCCGCCTCCTACACCATTCGCGCCCACGAACAGCAGCTCTCGCACCACGGATACCAACCCGACCCTTTTCACACACAAGACCGGCTCCCCTCCTCGCAAACCCCCTCAACATCCCGCAATGGTGCTTCCATCTCCGAATCCCCCATGCAGAACATATGACTAATTCCGCAGGATCACAGAAAACGCCCACATGCTCCAACCCCCCATAAACAACTACTGCGTCTACCATGCCTCGGGCCTCACCGTCATGATCGTTGGCGGTCCCAACGCCCGAACAGACTACCACATCAACGAGACAGCGGAATGGTTCTACCAATACAAAGGCAGCATGCTGCTCAAGGTCGTCGACACGGACGGCTCCTTCCGCGACATCCATATCCACGAGGGGGATATGTTTCTCCTGCCTCCGAATACACCGCATAACCCTGTCAGGTTCGCGGATACGGTGGGGATCGTGATCGAGTTGCATAGGCCCGAGGGAAGTGTGGATAGGTTGAGGTGGTATTGTCAGGCCTGTGGGGAGGTGGTACATGAGGCGAGTTTTCATTGTACGGATCTGGGTACGCAGATCAAGGAGGCGGTGAATAAATTCAAAGCGGACAAGGAGGCAAGAACGTGTAAGAACTGTGGGACGGTGTGCGAAACGGCGCCGGGATCGAAGGAGTGAGGATTGAGTGGTGATGGACTTGGTGACGGATATCGAATTGCTCCTTGGAAATCTTGGAATCCACTTTACAAACCCTTCCACATGGTTTTGGCAATATGGTCCGTCTTCTTCCGGCTGGGCTTCACGAAGCCGAGATGCTTGAGTTCTGCGAGAGCTCGTTGGAAGAGTGCCCTGCACCCTATTGTCAGTTCTGCTCGTTATTCCGGGGTGGGATACGTACATCGCTCTCGGCTCACTATCCTCTTCGTCATCCCCAACCATGGCATGGAATGCCGACCACAGGTCACTGACATTGATCAGCGATCCTGACTCCAGGTAGAGCTGATACAGAATGGCGGTTGCAGGTAGGGTAGCAGATAGCGAAGCCCCTTCTCCTTCGCCTCGATCTGTTCCACAACAATCGCATCCCAGGTAGTCGTGTGGCGAGGAGAGTGCGCGCTCAATGGCGAAACGGGGCCGGGGTTGGAACACCTCTGTGTGTGGTGATTTTAGATCGTACATCAAGATCTCTGAGAGAAACAAGTCCTTGGGGTCGATGAAGGCATTCGCGAAATAGGCTCCCAGTTCTTCATGCAGCCGGCCGACAAGCTCCGAGTAGGCTTTGTCGTGTTCGGAAAGCGTGGCTTTGTGCTTACTGAGGAGCACTTTTTGAGCCACGACCGTGGTCCTTAGGCTTTCGTTACCGACATCGTGTTGGTTGCGGAAATGAATGGAGCCGTCGTTCGCCTCGATCAGGGCTTCAAGTTCAGATACGTACAGGCCTAGATCCAGCGTGAAGAAAGAGGAGTCAAGATCGTCCGAGCTCCAGGTCTCCAGCAGCTGCAGGAACCTCTCTGGAGACATTTTCTTGAGAGATAGCATGGTTTCGCGCAAAAATGGCGATCCGATCATGTCGGCAGAAGCCGCCCGGACCCAGATGGATGAGAGGCGAGCGGTAGGAGACATTTGCAGTGACCTACGCAGAGAATCGAGCACTCGAACTGCGCAGCTGAGACCGTTCAGTGCTGTTTGTCCAGACTTCAGGTGAGACACAATATAATCGAAGAGTGTGTCATCCGAATCGAGCAGTTTTCGGACAATTCGAGATTCACCAGCGTCCACCTTTGCTTCAATCCATCTTCCCTAGTCAGCACTGCCAACTTTGGGGAAGCAACAAGTCATACATACCTGCGAAACGAAGGCATATTGCGGACCGCCTCAAAAGCCTCGGTTGTGAGGTCGCCCTTCGATAGATCGCTCTTCAGAAAGATGGTCGGGTAGCTCGCGTAGAAATGTGACATGTAGGCATACTTGAGACCATCGGAGAAGTCCTGCGTATTCTGCACATGATCCTTCTGCCTGTCCAGGATCCGGCGCGCAACGGTTGGTCCTATCCGTAGCGGCACATTCGCGCTTGCGACTGTCACCCTAAACAGCCTCTCGATAATCTCATCGGATTGCGTGACGTCAAACTTTTGGCCTTCAAGATAGCGTAACGTCTTTCGAGACAGGCGATCCTCGAAACTCTCTGCAGATGTCGCAATGCCGAAGAGAAGGACAAATGGAATACGGTCTAACCAGGAGCTACGATTTGTCAGTCAGCTAGGCATGACGCAGTTGATTGTCTCACTCACTAGAATAGATCTATCATCTCAACGAGCACTCTCGCATCGAATGCTTCACTATCCTGGAAAGCTATAACAACACCATCGACTGGGTTTCTGACTCGCCATCCCTGGATATGACCCAGATCGAAGCCCAGAAGTTTTGATCCGTTTCTGGCGGACGACGTTGGACACCCCATGTCATCGTCATCATCATCGTCTTCGACACGAGACGTGGTTTTCTTGATGAGGTTCTTCAACAGTGTTTTCAGATTCGGGGCATCTGCTGATGTCAAAACGGTGTAAGCGCTATTCGTGTCTTTCTTGATTCTTTTTCCAAGACGATCAAAGAATGACCCGTGAGAAGCAATGCTCGGCCCTGCAACAATCAAGCCAGTGGGTATAACCTGGCGCTCACTGGGAGAAGCACTTGAGACGAAGTCAACAATCTTATCTTGCGTTGCCCTGTCCGCCTCCTCAAGCGTATTCTGGGCAAAAGTCAGTACAATAATTCCTCTAGTCATTGATCCAAAGCCTACTCTAATACGCTCCTCCTGTTCGGCCCAGATATGGCGGAAAGTTTGAAGACGCTCCGGAAGATGGATTTTAGGATCTCCTTTGCTGATGCGCCGTCGTTTAGGTGCACGCCCGTTCGTCTCTGGAGGGGTGTATATGTAGCATCTTTCGTGTTCCATCCTTTTTATATGAAATCTAGAGTTTTACAGACTGTTCTGCGAGTTGAAATGAGATGCGGTCTGATGTCCCCAACGCGCTAGTCCCTCGTGAGCCTAGACGCTAGACGCGACGGCACGGGACGACGCGATGTGGTCTGAGCGTTCACCTTCACCTTCACCACTTTGAATCTCAGCGTCACTTCAATTATAACATTTTTATGCCCACCTTCACCGTCAATCCCATCCCTTCTGGAACGTAACGGGTGCCAGACTTCATTTGGCTGACAACAGTACCAGCTCGCGAGGATATTCTTCCAGGTCTCAGGGCCCGGTTTCGCAAGCCGGTCTCTACCATTCTAGGGCGTCAATAATGCATCTCGATAGTCAGCGTCTCACTGTACTGTGTAAAAAGACGATGCTAATGATGTACATCGCCTTGAAGAGTCGACGCTGTGGGTTTTGATATGCGTGCTAACAGACTTGTAGACGACCCTGCTTCCTGGGTCAGCCCAATCAGCTACCTCTCTTAATGCCCGGAAAGCCTTCTATTTGGAACGATCGGACCGGTTTCCTTTTTCAAACCCCCTCTGCTGGGCTACTTCTCCTGAGCTTGGAACTCTTACCGGGATATCTCTCCGGTTCACGCGCCGAGCGCTGCTTGTAAAGCCCACCAGTAAACCTTCATGGTCGACCTTCACCACGCTTCGTCACGAAGTTGTATGACGATGTATTCTTTCCTCTTCGTACCTGGCTACGGATGATAAGAAGACGCCTCGACCCGGGGAAGAAGTATGCGTCAAATCCCGGGTTTGCTGGATTCTTGATATTAAAGACATGTGTGGAGTCCACAGTGCCTGGAGGTGAGAAAGCGCAGTCGCATAAACCACAAGCTCGGCCTTGTGCCATTGTCCTACTACGAGGAAACCATGACGAAGCCTAGATGAGTGCCATCTGCCTATTGGACTCCGATGCGTTGAGCCAATGCCTTCATCTGCCCTCGCCCGGTTGTCAATTTCAGAATGACTGATTGGCGGAATCACCCTGGCATAAGAGATCGAATTTCGGTCATGGAAATGTCCGGTTATAAGCTTTCTGGAGGGTTTTAAAATCAATCCGGAGTTTGTCGAAATCTACGGTGAGGTCAAAGGCGTTTCGTTTATTGCGCGATGTTTTAGATTGTCGAAGTGATTTAGCCGCAGTCCAGAACACTTTTCTATGGCCGTTCTGCAGTCGATCTCCCGCTAACAACCCTTGATTTGGCCACGACGGTTTGCACAAACAAGCTTTTCCCCGCATGCATCCATCTGCCGAACATGCACAGCTCATGCCAGGAGGTGATCGCGTCACCTTCCACTGAAAATGAGCCTCGTTCACGCATAGGAGTCGTGTGGAGGAATAGACCTACGTGTCTCATTAATAGGAGACAGAACTCCTCAGGCATAATACTCCAGGATCTGGCTACTAGCATTTATTCGTCAGACGGTGCGCTTACATCAAGGCGCCATGTGGCTACCTTTCCGCACTTAGATTGACTGTGGCACTGAACTGCTCGACGGGCGCCGGGTGTGACCAGAAATTTCAATACATTTTCTCTCATTTTCCTGGTTGGCTCGGCTACCTGAAGCAATTTTCATGGATATTTGTACAAGCAAGAAGCAGCTCCAAAGCTCTTACGCTTCGAGACGGCTAATCTCGTCGCATAGAGACTTTGTCCAGTACTATACGTAATCCAACACATTCGCCATCCATATATGTCAAAATGCTTTTGACAAAGATCTGCTGTCCTGTCAGAACTCCCCGCATGGCTCCTGCTCCCAGTTCGCACTTCCTTTCCTTTTTGTGCTTTGGGGTGTAGTCGTTCCAACTCCTCGCGCTCCTTTCGATCATCACGCCCATGGAACGGACGCTATCCAGCATGTTGGCGTGGCTATTATGGCTGGGCTTCGCAGTGCGTACTGCATTCGGACAGGCGAATTTCACGACCGGTCAAAAGTTTCAGATCATCCTACTAGGGACGCCGGACACAGCTAAAATGCCATTACCGCCAACAGATGCTCCAGTTTGGGACATTGACCTATTCGACAGCGACAAATCGACGATACAAACATTGAAAGCCGCTGGGAAGATTGTCATATGTTACTTCAGCGCAGGAACAGTGGAGGATTGGAGAGACGATGTTCGAGAGTTTCCAGCTGGAGATGTTGGCAAGGTCCTGCCGGAATGGCCGAATGAAAAGTGGATTCGTGTCGGAAGTCCCAAGATTAGGGAGATAATGGCGAAGCGCATTAAATTGGCTGCAGATAAAGGGTGCGATGCGATAGATCCGGACAACACAGGTACGACTCTGCACTGAAATATCCAATATTCAGGGCGACAGACTCGTCTCTATTCCATTGGCCTGGAAGCTGACATGTGCATTAGATGGCTATGTAAGCTTGCTAGCAACTTCATTACGCAGCATATAGATTTGTACGTCTTTCCACCGACCACTAACACCTTCATAGCAAAACGACAACGGCCTTAATCTCCGCAACACGGACGCTATCGATTACATGCGCTGGATGCAACAAACCGCTGCAAGCTACGGCATGAAAATCGGCCTGAAAAACAGCCTGGATATCCTCGGGCCTCTGTCCCCCATCATGGACTTCGCCGTCAACGAACAATGCGCCCAACTCAACGAATGCTCCGTGTATAACAATTTTCTCGCGTCCGGGAAACCGGTCTTCCATATCGAGTATCCCACTCCGTTGGATCAGAACCAAGCAGGCGCAGTGTATTGCACTGGGCCAGGAACGAATGGGATGAGCACCGTTTTGAAGGAGTTGGGACTGACGGGCTTGACAATATACTGCGATAGGAGCCAGGTTAACACACCCACAAAGTCCGGTTCTAACCCTGGCAGACCATCGTTTTCGAGGCCGCCCCGTCCTAGTAGAACGTCTCGCCCTCCGCCATCCACCTCGTCGCGCACGCCTATTACAACAAGCAGACCCAGCACGACAATTATACCCAGCACGACAACCATACCCAGCACAACAATCAGACCCAGCACGACAGTCAGACCTAGCACGACAAGCAGGCCTTCTCCGTCGTCGAGGACGTCATCAAGCCAGAGGCCGACATCTTCTCCTGGAGGAGGTTGCAGGTCAAAGCACTGGGATCAGTGTGGTGGGCAGAACTGGAATGGATGCACGGTTTGTGAGGTACGTCGATTTCTCCGCACGAAGCTGTGTCTCCTTTACCCCTACGCTTCCTGTTATAAGAGCTCTGCTGACGGCAATGATAGTCGCCGTATAGATGTCAAGCAGTCAGTCCGCCGTGGTATTACCAATGTTTATAATCATCAAATGGAAGGATTTTGGAGGTTCGCTTCGTGTAATTATTCCTTTATCGTATTTTTGAATGAGCATATCCTGAGCTAGACGCTGTCCTTTTCTGTCGATTCTTTTCTGAGAGGCTTGAAGCATGATTCTGCTGATGATACTCGCTCAACGTAAAGGCAGTACCTGGCCAGACTTACAGTACCGTTCTGAAAGCTCTTCCGTTACTAGAAAGGATGAATGGCGGAAACTTCTTAGTAGTCCTGTGGCCTTTTGCAGGGTATCAATGTTGCGGAAGACTACTTGCCATCCATCAGGGACCAAGAGCGTGGCAATTTTGGTAACGACTACGGAGCTTGTGAACAAGTTGATGAACAAAATAAAACAATGCATAACAAACCAATGCACGCTAATCTAGCCGGCATACCTCTGTTGATCTAAGGACCTGCTGGTCTGTGACTCCCTTGAAATAACTGGTCACGGAATTGAACTGTGTTCGCCGATTTGCGCTGTCACTGGGCTGCACCATGCTCAGTGTTCCCAAGAGTGCTTGGGCAACAGCTTCTCTACAGAGCGAGATCATTAACTAAAACTATTCCTTCGTGATGTCTTTTGACAGAACTGGCTTCGCCCCGAGCTGTAGAAACAAGCGTCAATACTAGTAAAAACTGCACCCAAAGCAGAAGTCTAGCTACAACTGACAAGTTACACAGGCATTATCCCAGCTTCAATCCGTCCCTTCGCATTCGATCCCTTTGGCGCAGGCCCAGACCCAATCTCCACCAGAGACGCTCCGTACAAAGTAACCTGCTCTCCCCCTAATTCCACAACTTGGGAGATCTTGAGTGTCGATGTGCGTCCTTCCCCTGATAACAGTATCTCGTCAGTGTCGGTTCTGCAAAGAGGGAAACCACTTTACATGATTGAGCACTTACCGAACGGAGCACCAATGCTCCACGTGAAATACGACGGACAGTCGCGGGTCGTAACACCCCGGATATCGGTCTCCCTACAGGTCGTTGTAATGCTGCTCTCCAGCGTCGGGTTGGAATATACAGCGACGAGTTGGACCCTGGAGCCAGTGGCGAAGCCTTCAGTGGTATATGTGGCGTCCCAGAAGCCGTAGTTGGTGTCTTCCTGGCGGGGTAGAAGGGTTGGGGCCGCCGAAGCTAAGCCGAGGAGAGCGAGGTGTGTGAGGAGCATGGTGCTGGATTGGGGGCCGGAATTTGGAAGTTGGAGGTATATCTGAGATAATGTAGTGAGGTGTTGATGGTCGCTAAGTGAGAAGATGAATAGAGAGTCGTAGTTATATGTCTAGCATGGAGGTTATTTTTGAAGGCTACACACCAGGCTACATTCCTGCCGTTACATTGGAATAGGAGCCCGAAGTAATCGTTTCCACAAGAAAGCAAAACTTCAATTGTTGTGAAAAGAGTAAAAATGCCAAAACAGGAAGGTCAATTGATCCTATTCGGTTACTGGCGAATGGGCCCTGATGGTGAAGATTATGTGAGCTGGTACGGCCTGGGTAGCGAGGCGGCGAAGTAAAGACCAACATCAGGCAGCAGCTTATTTTTAGACTCGTAACTTCGATTTAGGACGCATCAGTGGTCGAAAAGTTCTTTGACATGGAAAATTGGCGATGAGGAGAACAGATCCATTCATCAAATCTGGCTACTATAGTCTTGCCAAGGGCAGTATTTCCGTAGGCTGTGTACATTGAGATTTACTCCGATGAGGGTAGCAGGCGCAGCTGCTACTACGGGGGATGACTGCGACCCTTCTGATATCGTGGGACGCATCCCTCGCTGCCCTGTTCGGGTCCGGTCCTAGGCTTTACAGGCGATTCTTGCTACTGCCACGGACTGAGATCCCTCAAAGAGGGGACCGGTGCGTTGAGTGGTCCTCCAGTGAGGGCCATGTAATAGAGGCTATCGCGAGGGGTCTATTGGAGAGCATTAGTCTTTCAGTTACTCTCAGGGACGTAGACCCAGAGACATACATAACTCACGCTGATGGCGCTTAAACTCGGATCTCCACCTCCTAGATGCTCTACCCCCTCTCCAGGCATATGATGTAACTCACTACCCATCGCAGCCCAATCAATACTCTCCCAATCGGCAAGATTCGGCTCGGGGACCTGGGATTGCAGCGGGCCCACAATATCACTTAACGCAAGATCTGTAGATGTCTGTTGTCTACGTAGAGGCAGGAGCCCCTCAAGTATAAGCAAACGACCGGATTGTTAGGGATTCTCGGCCCTCTAACCTGAAATTGACAATCTTGTTCCACATGGCATGGACAGCACTATCGAGCTTGAAGCTGACCCAGCCACAGAGGTGGAGGCGGTGGAGCACGGCGTCTGCGGAGTGGAGATCATATTCGTCGCAAACGGCGGACATTTGCCGAATGAACCAGTTGTAGTCTTTTGAGCCTTCGGCGGATATCGTACCGATTGCCAGTATCCAAAGGAGCAAGTCTTGGCAGTAGGCCCATTCGAAGCAGCTGGTGGCATTGAGTGCCTTTTGCAATCTTATACTCGCGACATGATGGAGCGGATGAGGATGAGATCGGTGTTGAAGCGCCTCGGTGACGCGAACGGTGAAGATGAGCATCGCTACACAGAGCGCGTCCTGGAAAGGATTCGTGCAATCTTCATTCTCCCGAATCCAGTTCAGCAATAGGCATTCAAGTACGCAGGAGTAATTCTGGATATCGAGAGGGTCGAGCGGACTGTTCGCGTCGCCGAACCAGACATTTAAGTTAGCAATTAAGGTGAGAACCGATTCGACGAGTTCGATCAATGATTCCTTGACCCTGGCTTCGCGACAGTAATCCATCAAATGGCTAGATATTTTCGGACTATACCCGGGAGGATGACGGGGTAGGCATTTTCTACTAATGTGGTTGATAGTCGAGAGGTATGGGGCGTCGAACGACGCTATGGCGTGTGCTGTTGAATGCCTATTCCTGAGTAAGCAACCATTACAGGGACCACGGGAGCCAACAACCTGCTACCCACCAGAGAATAAAGGCCTGCAGTATTCGATTGCTACCAATCGAGTCTAGTCCTCCACGCAGCTGCACCATTCTGCGCAGCCCATTCAAGTGAATTTCGCGCTGGTTGAGCATTTCCTGTCCCGCCTCCTGTGCGAGGAAGGGCAACAGCAGGCTTTCTTCGACGCATAGAAGATTGAACACTGCTCCAATATTGGCATCTGAGATAGCCAGGTTAGGATCTGGGTCGGATATTGCAGAGTTTATGGCGGCTATTGCCTGTGTTTTGTGATAAGTGATGATATCCATGGAGCATCGACCAACAATATATAAGTGCAATGCGGCAGTACACAGCAGGCTATGCATGAATCCCGTGTTATGTAGTGCCGTGCCGAACCAGTCTCGAAGCATAAGCTTGGACTCTCGACGAATGTCAACTGCTATTGTGCTTGGCGCCATTTCTGTAACGACTAAAGATTGTGTTAGCTACTCCTTGAGCATATCCAAGTTGGCACATAAACAGAACATGTTCAACATAGGGAAGCGGATGTTTCTCGTGATGCTCCGTGGTAGGTCACCCCGCACGCCACGAGTCGGCTAGGCCCTATTCTGCACATTTCGACAACCAAAGTACGCCATTTTTTTTGAACATGCGAGATCAACTTACAGTGGTCCAGAAGCTCAGAAACCGTTGCATTCATTTGCACTGAAACTGTTCCAAATGGATCAAATAGGCGGTAATCGATATCCTCAAGCGGAGCCGGGGGTTGGAGTAGTAAGCATCCGTGGCAACGGCTGTGACCAGGCCAACAGACGAAGAGCTGGCATTCCGGACAAATCTCGCTCTTCACTTCGTATCGGTGGCTCTCGACGATGGGGAAATACTGTGTGGTTGGTTTGCATAGGGGTGGACTTGGCGTAGGCGTGATCGAAGCATGAGAGAGGTCAGGAGTCTCAACGGTTCCCGGACTTGTCGCTCCATTGGATTTCTTTTTCTTCGCAGCATGTTTGCTGGTGGACCATGGACGTTCCCTCCGAGCCTTTTGCATGACAAAAGAGCGAGCATTGCGGCGGCCTTGGCGGGAGCTCTTCGCGGACTTGGTAGTATCGACGAACAAAAAATCCTGCTTGACAGGGGCAGATGGGGAAATGGGCATTTGCCTCGAGCTAATCCCATTGCCCACACTCTCCATGTTTTCCCGTAGAGGATCGATGTGGGCGGCCGCTTGCTACCCTATCTGGAGAAAATAAAGTTCGCGGACGCAGGAACGTAGTAACCAGCCGGCAAGAAGTTGTGCGAACCGGCTAGTAAACGTTTCCTAGTGCATGCTTTTGATACTGATGGCTTCGACTTCCTCGTTGACGGAAGACTGATACCGCAGTATTGTTCAAGCGTGCTGGAACATGGACCTTGGAGGGGCTCGCCGTTGCCAAACTATCAAATACCCGATTCGTTCTAGGGTGAAGCGGATAAATGGCTGGGATTCTGCATCGACAGTCAGCCTCGCCTGCACGTGGAGAACAACCATACAGGTCGTCCACACAGTCTTTCAGCCTCACCACAGAGCAGAGGAATTCATCATGTTCATGCTCCCAGAACCACGACGGCTAATGACGACTTTGCAGAATATATGTACGCATTGTTATCGGCCAATTGCAACGCGCTGCACCACACGCAACATGATATGAGGACGGGAAGTCGATACCCCTGGACTGTAGATGGCGGATAGACTGCTCGCTAGCGCCATCTTCTTCGTAGTCCCTTAAGCAATGATTTTCGCTCTGATGCTGATTGCTGAGACGGGTCGGGGTGAAGGACCTCTCTGATTGAAGCAAGATGACGGGATTGCCGGCGAGCTGAGCATGGGCTATGTGGAAGATTGCTGATGTTACCGCCTGCGTGCGTTCGGATTCACCGAGCCGGAAGGACGTGATGCAGACATTTACACGCCATGCCCCCTCACATTCGCTGTACATACAGTAGATACTGTGAACACACATGCGCCGCAAAAGCTGCGCTAGGCTATCCCCTCTACCGCAGTCCATCACTGGCGGAAAGTCGTCAGATTAAACTATTGCCCTACCGAGCCTGGCGCCTTGGCATTCCGCAACCGTCCCCGAGGACCCTGCAGTCTTTCAAAGCTCTAGCTTGATGATATTCGCCCGCAATCTGTCGATTCCCGCATGTACTTGTACTATCCAAATGACACAGATGACTTGTCCAACGGAGATACTCAAGTGAGCCCATGGACTTGGCCCCTACGGCCGCTTTCCTATTCGCCTGTGTGGGACTCCATCCTTGTGCTCCGTTGAAGCTCTATTAAGCTCCCGCCATCTTCCCACACCCGCCCCATGGCCCAAGGAGAGGCCATTCCAGGTATGTCTCCTGATCGACGCGTCAATGCCCAGCAATTGTTGCTCAGCCCCACATGCGGACGCTACTGACGTAGCTGACCGTCCAGATGTCGCGTGGAGCCAGATTCCCTCAGACCTGCTCTACGATGAGCTTCGCAGAAGGCTTCAGGCCGGGGAGGATGCGAAGCCACCATGCGGAGGGACCAAGGCCAGCGCCGGCTATTACAACACGGAGATGCATGTCTTTGCCCTATTCCTCATTCTTGCAGTGAGCTTCGCTGGTACGTCTCGGCGATGCAGCGGTCTGACTTTGTGAGCACCCATAGCTGACCATGACAAGCATGCGCTTTCCCTGTCATCGTAAACCGCATCCCCAAACTCCCCGTGCCGCATAGATTCCTATTTTTCTCCCGTCATTTCGGAACCGGCGTGCTCATAGCCACGGCCTTTATACACTTGCTCCCGACCGCCTTCCAGTCGCTGACGGACCCATGCCTGCCCTCTTTTTGGACGACTAGCTACCCGGCCATGCCGGGCTTGATCGCCATGACATCAGTTTTTGTGGTAGTAGGGATCGAGATGTACTTCGCATCGAAGGGCGCAGGACATGTTCATACTGCCGATTTTGAGATGGATGAGGTTTCCAGGAGCATACACAGTGGACATAGGAGCAGCCGTAGCTTCTCGCTGTACAAGGCCAGTACAATGAGCGGCGATGCTGAAACATTGGTCCCAGATTATACGACGGAGGTAGACGGCAATCTGGTGGCCGGTCCCTCATTTTCGGATCCCGCCGCCTCAGATGCAGACGCTGCCCCTCTGCAGCCCAGGATGTCACAAGATGGCAATGATTCAGATCCGGATCGGCATTCTGACGAGGTACAGCTCCTTTCAAGGCCAATCTCACCTAGAGCTGGTGGACATAGGGGCAGTAACCCCAGCGGACGCAATCATAGTCGATCACCCAGCAGATATGGTCGACGATCCGATATCCAATGGAACGACGAGAAGCACGATGCGGCCGAAGAGGAAAGACGAAAAAGACAGTTACTCCAGTGCCTTCTCCTCGAAGCAGGCATTCTCTTCCACAGCGTCTTCATCGGCATGGCGGTTTCGGTAGCCACAGGCGCCTCGTTCGTCGTCTTGCTCGTTGCGATTTCCTTCCATCAAACATTTGAAGGCTTTGCGCTTGGGGCCCGCATCAGTGCCATCAAATTCCCTCCTCGCTCGCCGCAGCCCTGGCTGATGTGTCTTGCCTACGGGACGACCACGCCCATCGGACAAGCCATTGGCTTGGCCATTCACAACGCCTACGACCCTGAGAGTCAGACGGGCCTCCTCGCAGTGGGCCTCATGAATGCTATCAGTAGCGGACTCCTTCTATTCGCGGGGCTGGTGGAGCTCCTCGCTGAGGACTTTCTTAGCGAGGACAGCTATAGAGTGCTCACGGGCAAGAAGAGGATTCAAGCTTGTATTTGTGTCGTTGGGGGCGCAGCTCTGATGTCGCTCGTGGGTGCCTGGGCATAGATGGATGGGCTTCTTACTTTCAGTAAGAGGAAAATTGCTTCGCATCTTTGGGCGTTCTGGCAATGCTTTCGGTATACGGATTGTAAGATACCATTTTCTCTATATGTTTTGCAAGCGGGCGTTTGGATATGTCATGGAATTGCATGGACATGTTATACGCCCGCACCATATATGGAATCACACTCGTCAACCCAGCTTCTCCACCTCCTCCTGCTCCTCCACACTGCCCTTCCTATGCAATGGCACCCCAATCACCTCCACCTCCTCCCTCGCGCCCTCCTCCCTCTCAATCCTCCTACACTCCCTCACCAAATCCGCCACATGCTCATCCCCACTCTCGCCACTCAAACCCTTCAGCCCTTCCTCCAACATATACAAATACTCTCTATTCTCCCCGCTCGGACCCCGACTTTGCAGGATATGCCTCGCCAACTCGCGCGGATCCTGCGGCCCGACGAATTGCGGGTTCGACGGTAGGCCGATGTATACGAGACATCGTATCGGCGTCGTCGCTGGCTTCTCATCCCCTACTGAAGACGCAGGATGGAACGGCGTGAATTGTATACTGTACCCATTGATCTCCCTCAGATCCAGGTACTCGCGCACCTCGGCGACGTGGTGCGTGGGTATGTGATATGCGGCGCCCCAGACGCGTTCGCTGGCCGGGTGGGCGTCGCGGGCGCGCAGCGTGAGCCAGTGCGCGTGGTCGATGAGGGTGACGACGCGGCCTGGGGAGGAAGGGGTGCCGCGGTGGTCTTCGCTGGGGGAGGGAGGAGGGAGGTGTTAGATTGGTGTGCGGTTGGTGCGTGGAGGGGTGGGAGTGGACGTACCTAGCCTGTGGGATCTCTTATTTAGCTCGTGCAAAGGTGCGAGGGGATATGGGATGGGAGCTTGCTGAGGTAACTGCGTACCTGCCAGAAGCGCCGGACGTAGCCTTCTATGTACCCGGGGACTCTTTTGTCTGTGTGTATCCGGTTGTGTCAGTCGGGAGGGTGAGGAGGATGCCGAGGAGGATGGAGGACGGGATGGAGTGCGGTGGACAAAAGGGTATGAGGTGGTTTGATGTACCATAGTGCGGCGGGGGTTTCCAGATCAAACTCCTGTTGCACAGTCAATGGCTTGCTCTATGGGATCCTACCGATGCGGTCGCCGAAAGACGAAGGGCAAAGGTACACATACCCGTATCCAAATATCCAGAAGTCGTCATTCTTCCCAAACTCTGCAATCTCCTTCTCGTGCTCTGATATTGTCATCTCTGCGATCGCTGGCAAACTGAAATCATGTCTTTCAAGAAAAACCCGGAGTTTGATGTTTTCGTATTTATTCAAGCCTTGGAGGGGTAACATTTGGTCAACAAATAGTGGGGTCGGTTGCTCAGTAATGTCGCAAGGATTCTAAGAAGTGATATCATCAGGCCTTTTCCATTGTAGGTTCTAGCGCGGAGGCAGATATTACTGTCGCTCGAGGGCCTTCTTCCTCTACTATACAATATCTGATATAATACAACATGGTATCTACGAACCACCAGCCGCTCTGCCCATCAAAAACCCCTTCAGAGGACCCATGGCATCCACAGCGCGGAGACCCACACTCCTCAAGCCAACTACGGGCCAGGCCTCTGTGCTGTATAAACGATGCAGCTTATCGCAGACGCCCAACATGGTATTGTTCTCTGCATAGCGGTCGCTGTTGTAGCTCTCCAAAGCCAGCGTAGACCCAATATCCTGTCCCGACTTTACTGCCTCTGATATTGTTTGCGCCAGAGATGCTGCGTCTCCTTGACCTTGGTTGAGGCCCTGTCCTGCCAAAGGGTGGATGGTATGTGCTGCATCTCCAACCAGAGCAACGCGCTCGCCTGTATATGTGTCGGCATGCCTCATCCGCAAGGGAAACGAGGCAACTGTCCCCTGTTGAACGGATGCTACCCGCATGGGCACGCTCCGCTCATCAACACGAGTATGTTTCTCTCTCCATGCAATCTCCTCCTCTTGACCCGAGGGCAGCGTGTGCAGGTATTCGAGCTCCGTCGGCGAAAGTCTGAACCCAGCATTAACCATCGCAACAAAGTCGTTCGGAGCCAATGACTTGAGTGTCGCCGCACGTTCGGGTGTCGTACTCCACACGAGAGTGGCCATGTCTCCCGGTAGAGGAAGCATGGCGATGGGACCGGTCGGCAGGAAACGCTGATACGCAATTTTGTGATTGGGACCGCCCCAGCCAGGACCTTCTAGCTTCAGCGACGCAACTACACCGTGTCTGTTGTAGTCAAAGCCACGTGAGGCGATCCCCGCGAATGTCCGCACGGGGCTGTTGGCTCCGTCCGCACCCACGAGTAGCCGTGCTGCTAGCGTGCGTCCATTTGACAAAGTGACAATCGGCCACGATGACAAGTCCAGCTGTTCCGTGTCCGCTCCCAGCTCTATTGATTCCACCCTGGACGCCGAGAAGATGTCGACACCTCCCAGTTCGGAGAGGCGGGAGAGAAGTGCGGTAGTGGTATTGACATTTTCAATCATGTATGCAATCGTCGTAGGTTGTGTAGGTTTTCTAGGGGAGAGAAGCGGCCTCGCCGAGTCCCAGTCGAATGAGATACGTGCGTCAGATACGCCGTCCCATACCTGCATTTCCTGGTAGGCCTGGACTCGCGCATGATTAACATGGTTCCATGCACCGATTTCTAGACTTCCATTAGCCTCATGCCCCTCGTATACTTCCAAAAGCAGACATTGAACATGCCTTGGAGATTCCGAACGGAAGCCGGTGTCAAGGAGCTGCATCTATTCGAGAAGCTATCCAGCGGTGCATCGCTCCGTAGTCGACTCTTGTATAGATCCTGTCCCTCTACCAGCGCAACCTTGAGCGCGCTTGTTACCGGAGACGCGCGCAATGATGTGAGCAAGCTTAGTCCTGCCGGGCCTCCTCCGACACAGACGACATCGTAGACTTCCGGTGTTGTTGCGGAGCTCGAGGCGGAGCGTCGCTGGAGTTCAACAATGGTGAAGGACAATGGCCTCGATGACAGGAGGCGACGCGATGCCACCGGTATTCGAGGAGGCATTACAAGTTACCGCATTGAAGGTGACGGTCTTAGTTGACGTTCAAGATACAATGCGGGGATCTGCTCTGGTGGAGGAACGTTTTGACATGGATCTGCACTCTTTGACCAATTAGGTCTAGCTTCCGCACCTCCCCCTGCCTAGCAATCCTAAGCCGAGGCTGCGATCCAGCTATGGAATATCTGATGAGGCTTGGTGAATATCAAACAAACAGCCATACTTAGTAGACACTACAAGTCTCGACTTAGCTGCCTGCTAACAACTTCTAACCAATATTTTGAGCGGGGGTTTCCGCAACCAAATATAATTGATCCACAAAGAACATGCACTCTTCCTTCCCTATGCCACCATCTTGACTCGACATTGAAGCCAGACGCACTCCGTATACATGTACACTGCTCACTCCATCATTCGAGAGAACTCAACCCGCAACTGGATATCTTTTCGAAATTCATGTCACACCTCGAGAAAGCCACCACGTCGGAAGTGTAACACACAACACCACAAATCGCGCTCTCTAGCCTCATTCTACGGGGAGCAAACCATCTGGGTAAGCATGAGCACGGGAACGAGAACGACGCACAACCAGAATTCAAATGCAAGGCCCAAACGAAGCTGACGTGGACGGACACGGCACCTATCATCATCTGTTCATTTGTCCGTCGCATTACAGATGCATTAGGCAATAGAGCTACTAGCCATTGCAATTCTCCATCCATCCTCCATAACCCTTTTCCCAAGATTAGAAATGACTACGCGTAAAACAAGCCGGCAAAGAAAACCAAGAAAGAATACCGAAAACCGTGGTCATGCAACCACCCACGCTCTGCAACAACGACAGTGTATCTAATCTTCCTCCAAGACAGCAGATGACATGGATTTATCCGAAAACAGAGATGCGATGCGTGAGCGAAACTGTGGAAGCTGGCCGCTATGCATGTGCGATAAATGAGAAGACGGTGGTAGCGGAGACGGATCGGTGTTGGGTGAAAGTGGGGAGTGTAGAAGGTGGTGTGCTTGTATATCCTTGCCCCATGATCGATGAACGAGATCATGGCTGTCCCGCCGGTGTGGTATTGGTGGTTCTCCGTTTCACAGGAGGTAGCCGAACGCCGCCACGACGGATCCCACCACGATTGCCATGCCGTAGCCCTGTCCCAGGTTCAACATGACAGCAGCGCCCTTAGGCTGGTTCGAGTTGTCTGACTGGTCACCGCCGAAGCCATCAACAGGGATGTCACTCGTGCCCTTCGTCGTCGAGGGGGTAGGGGTTGTGGACGAAACCGTCGATGAGGCGGTTTTGTTCGGCTTCGGGGGCTCCTGGGCTCCGCAGGGATGGTCCTCACGGCAGGTACTGGCGCACTCGTTGTCGGGTCCACAGTTGGCTACGCACTGGGTGCCCCAGGCCAGGCAGATGTAATACGGAAGGGTCTGAGAGTACTGGGTGATGTTCTGGCGAGGGGTTAGTAGCGTCATGAAGACTTGGGTTTAGGGAAGACGTACAGGGGACTTGCCGTTCTCGCAGACGCAAGAGTACGTGAGAGCCTCCCAATCGCAGTCGTTCTCGATTGTCGTTGTGCTGGTAACGCCGGGCAGCTGGGTGCAGATGTTGGGACACTGGGCACGCTGGTTGTCACACCAGGTCCGCCTGTCAGACTCGGAGACGGACTCGGGGTCAATGGTGTAGGGGTAGTTGTTCTGGGGCTGTTTTTGGGCGGCAGCAAAGCCAGCGACTGCGGCAAGGCCGAGGGTAAAGATGGGAAGCATTGTGATGAGGTTGGAGTTGAGAGATGCTTTCGGGGAGTCAGTCAAAAGGTCTGTCTTAACGATGCGGACGATAGACTGCTGGGTGGGGAAGAGCGGTTGACTGGGAAATGGAGGAATGCGAACTCACGACCTGGGGAGGAGAGATTAAATAGTCGGATAAGATACGACGACAGCGACAGACGGAAGTAACGAAGGGGGGATAAATATGTCCAAAGAAGAAGCGAAGGCGCGACGACGAGCCCCAGAGCGAGAGCGAGCGTGGACTGTGAGAGGGAAGGAAGTGAGAGGAGGAGAGAGCGAGGTTGGAGAGTCGTCCTGATAAAGGGCGAAGGCGTGAAGCTAAACACGGCTAGAGCTGCGAACCCTTGCTGGTCGATGAAGCTTAGACGTGATTGCCCAGTGGCAGCGCTGCGTTTGACGGACTTATCCCTGCTAGGGCGTTGGAGGAATCAAGCTAGGCAGGTTCCGGTCCTAGCGGATTTTTCCAATGAACATGAACATATTGAAACCCGTCGAACCATCGGGGCGCTGGCGCTGGATCCAATATCAAAAGACGTTGCCATTTCACCCCTCACGTTGGCACTGCCTCCCTTTTTGGCCGCGGGCACTCAAACGTCGCCCACGTACTGCATGACCCCGCACTGCACGCACCCATATCATGCCGGATTGATTACACGGTTGAACCCCTCTTTTGCGTATTCGCTATCGTTTTCTGCAGTTGTCCCGAGTAGTCTGCTAGTCAATTCACTGGCTCCGCAACACCCCGCCTTTTCCGGCATCTGACGTTGCTAGATGCTGATGGATGGAGTCTACGGGTTCTGACACTGGCCAACACCTCTGCGCTCCCCCAGCCGGACCCGACGACGGCCGCGTTTCCTCGCAGTCGGTCCCATTGCGTCCAGAGCGCAACAGCATCGTCCCGCCGTTTTGGAAACGAGACGAGCAGACCGAGGACCTGAGCAGCAACCAGAGCCTCACGAACGGTGCGGGACCGGTCCATGACGTCGCCCATCCAGCGCCCATCCACCTCGAAGACCACACCGACGAAACCTCCGATCAGTGCAAAGCGCTCTGGGCCAGGTGTGTCACGATTGATGATTACGTGATTGTGGGTGGGACGGCGCCGGGCGCCGGGTCCTATGTCGTGTGGAACTGCACCGTTGAGACTTTGGACGTAAGTGCACATGTCCATGCGGCTCGTGTTACGTTTTTCAAAAATAGGGTAGCATTTCCCTAATGCTAACTGCTCGGCAGGGTGGCCCTATGAAGATTCGCAAGAGGTAGGCCGCGTTGCCCTGTCCTCGTGTACCCATCGTCTTTGGCTCACCTTACCTACCATAAGGTATTCCGAGTTCGATGAGTTGCGGCGGAAACTGGTTGAGACATTTCCTCACGCAAAAGGCGCCATCCCACCACTGCCGCCCAAGAGTGTGATCTGTACGTCACGGCCTTGTTCATTGCTTTCTGACCCCACTTGCCTTTCCTGGATCGACTCGATATTGACAATTCGATAGCCAAATTCCGGCCGCGCTTTCTAGAACGTCGACATGCCGGCCTGTCCTACTTTTTGAAGTTGGTCGTTCCCTACCCCGGCTTCCCCGCACCACCGAAACTGACTATGTATTTTTAGCTGCATCCTCTTGAACCCAGAATTCGCTGGCTCCCCCGTGGTCAAGGAGTTTCTCTTCGCCTGATGTCCATAGTTTGATTTCTCTGTTGATACTTGTCTCAGGTTTGTATGCTAATGACTTGTCGCTAAGCGTTTTGGAACAATTAAGAAGACGGCTGAAAAAAGCACAATTCATTTGTCTCTCTACGAAGGCAGATACCACATCAGCGTTTGTTCTGGCTTAATGAGTACTGTACACAGTAGAAACGGAAAGTGAGCATGCATTTGTTCTAAACCCAACGACAAAACGAATTTCCTACCGCATCTGTCTTACGCTCGTTGGCTTCAAGATGGAACTGATAGCATGCGAATCAATTCGCGTCGAACCGTTAAACTTGGCGCACCGCCACTGTGGCGCTCAACCCCAGCAACACCGGAAGCCCTCCGATTCATTTCGTTGCAATTTTCGTCATTGACAACAACACGAAGCGTAAGAAACGCGTCCGTTGGCATCCTCAAGCTTTCCGTGAGAAGTGAAACACTCTGTGACGTCGCGACGGCTCCATCGCGGCCGGGCAGCTCGCCAACCGACCCAAAGGGTCCGACGAGCCATCCATCCCTCACAGTTGCCATCATCCACCCCGACCAAACCTGGGCCTGCTTGAGAACCCTCTCAATGGCCGCTCGCTCGTGGTTTTCCTGAAGATGAGCCCGCACATACGGCGCATCCATGGCCACCTCCTCCAGGCCCGCTCCACGCGCCGCAACAGACCGCGCTCTGCGACACCACACCAACTCAAGATCGCCCGCAACTGCTCGTGACGACTACAAGAGTCGCGGCCCAGTCGCCGCAACGACGCGCCAATCATCACGTCGCTCCCTTCTCACCTCAGAACACCCTCCACAGTCCAGCTCACCATTGCCCCCAGCGCCAACCAGCTCCAGCAGCTCCAGAAAGCGCCTCGCCGCAGAAGCTCTAATCGCTGACAGCTCGGCCGACCCGAGACCACCAACCAAAGTCACCGTTACACAACCACATGGCCAGCTCCTCCGCATCACGAATGGGGTTCCGGCCTCTCTTTCCGTATGCGCTGACGAGGTCCTCTCAAGCTTAGGGAAACCAAAAATTGAGTCTCACAAACCACGTCTTGGGGCACCCACGGCTGCAGCACCGTCACAAGATAAGCGGAGCTTGAGGAGCCAGGATGGTGGCTCACGTCTCAAGAGCGACCTCGCGACATACTTCTCCAACTACGATGAGGTTATAGCCGGTGTTCCAGAGGAGTCGGGTACTGTGAATCACATGCAGTTTTCGGTTTTTGTGCTAAAAGATTGCAGATGCTCTCGACCTCCACACCTCCATATACATCGCAGACGAGCCTCTGAGACCAGCGAAACGCGCGCGCACCTCCACCCCGGAACCATCGCGTCTACCGCCCACACCTACCCGGTCGCTGAAGGCGATAACTCAATCACCCGCTCGAAAATCATCCACTGCCTCTTTGCCCTCAGCGCAATCCTCAACCGCATACCAGGTCCTCGACTATTCCTCCATAGCCTCACACGTACACGATGACGCCGATCCGCTTTCCGATTCCGTTTTCTTCGTGCCCCATCGCCGGGCAGAGCGGAAAGAGAAGCAGCTACGGAACATAGAAAAGGAGAGAGCAATGCACGAAAAGGTGCAGCTGGAGCGCCTGCTCGACGGACTCCTAGGCCCCGACTGGCTCAAGGTCATGGGCGTCACGGGCGTTACTGACGGCGAACGCAAGGACTGGGAACCCAAGCGCGATTACTTCGTCAAGGAGGTCGAGGCCCTTGTCGACAAGTTTCGGATCTGGAAGGAGGAAGAGAAGCGGCTCCGCGCGGAGAAGGAAGCTGCACACGCTGCACGTGAGGATGAAGAGAGCCCCGAATCGGAAGAATCGCATGCAGGTACCGAAGCTAACACGCCTCGAGAGTCTCAGGAGAAGAAAAGGGAGAAGGAGAAGGAGAAGGAGAAAGAACCCAAGCCTCCACAACCTAGACGCCCGCCTCGTCCGCATGGGTATCTGCTACCCGCGCATCCACCGGAGCCAACGACACCCTTTACGTCGTTCTACAGCAAGCCGCACCTGCGTGCAGCCGCCCTGGGCAAGCATCGACATGGTCGCAATGCCACGGCCTTTGGGCAGCAGATCCCTGAATTTCAAGAAGCCGAGTTTGAGATTCCAGACGAGTACATTACGCCGGAAGCGTTGCGCGACCATGCGCGCAAGCGTAGGAGGCAGAAGCGCGAGAGCGGGATGAAGCAGTAGGTGGAGAGTGCTGTATCGACAAAATGGGTGGAAGGTGGAGAATGAGCTGGTTTTACAGAGCTCGTGTCCTCGGCTAGGAACTTTTTGCCGTTGGCGTTATACCCCTTTTTTCTTCTGCTGCCTTCGAGGATGGAAGGATTTTAGGAGGTTTTTCTTAACAAGATCCAAATATCAATGGGGATTTCGGTCTCGAGCTGAGATGAACAAGTGGATATCTGGGGTTCCCTCGAGACAGCGAGAATACTCTGGCATATGGGAAGGGACTGGGGAAGATGTGTATACTACTATTATCACTATGAATCAACGATATCTGCGGATTTCCATCCGTGCTCGTCTGTTTGATGGTTGATTTGGGGTTCATGTTTCAAAATGTACACACCTCTCCGTTCATGTGATATCGCTACAGTAGGCACGTGTCCTCTCCCTGCACTGGGGACGCATATATAGAAACCCCCTTTGATCCTCAGGGAGAGCTTCTTGTTCTTTCTCTTCCTCACTTTGCTTCTCTGCTTCCTTTTCCTTTTCAACCCAAAAAAGAAAAAATGGTGGACGGGAGATAATGGAATGACTCAGAAAATCGAGCCCGGATTCCATGTGGATCCCTGTTTGCTTCTCCCGTTTTTGGAAATCAAATATCATGAGATGTGCTGCATGAGTGTGTCTCTCAGAAGATACTCCGACAATCGACGTGGTTCCCATTTATGTCTCCCGGTTCCAAATCCCGAGAGAGGGAGTACGTGGGTATGTCCCTCAAAGAGATATAGGGGCAATTCATGAGGATCCCATCTGCTTCCCCCGTTTTCCAAAATCCGATAGAGGGAGTGCATGGGTCTGTCCCCTCAGAAGATATTCGGAACGGGGAATGTTGGAGTCCACTGCTCCTCTCCTTATTCCTGAAAAGCGCTGCAAAGAAAAACCATGGCGAGGGGGGGCACTTCTGAATAAGACAGCAAACAGTATCACCATGTCGGAATCCGCTGCATCTCCCGTTTCCCATAAGAAATTCGGAAAACATTATGTCGGAGTCGCGTGCTCCTCTTCCTAGTTCCTAAAAAGCTCATCCAAATGAACTGTTGGCGAGCGGGCGCTCTTCTGAAGAAAAAAGCAAAAGATTTCATGTCGGGATCTGCTGCTTCTCCCGTTTATCACAAAGATTTGCAAATCAGTGATCATGCTGCGGTTGCTCTAACAGGAGCTGAAGGAATCCATGTTGGAATCCGCTCCCTTCTTCCGAGTATGAAGTCCCTCAGCGGCGTATGCATGGATTGAGTCGGAAATCGTCCAGCGGCCACCATGGACTGAGTCGAAATGCCATAGATTCCACATACACCAAGTCGGAATGCTGTCCGTCTCCTACGTTTCCGAGAAAGCGTCGGCTGACTTGCTTGATTCATCCGATGGACATGCTTTCAAGAAGGGGGAAATGGAACAGCCCAACGGCGTTGGAAATGAAACAGCGCGGCGGAACGACCCCGAAAACCCACATGATTTCCTACGGGTTTACTGAAAGAAGGCACAGGTGAAAGGCATGTTGGAGTTCGTCGCTTCTCCGTTCCAAAGATTTTTGCTGACCGCGTCGATGGTCTGATGTTCCGAAATACAACGCTGGGGTGTATACATGTCGGAATTTGGCCGATCTTTCTCGTTCCTAAAAAAGCTATCTACTGTTGTCTCATGTGGTGCGACTCTTAACGAAGGCCTGCGTAGGCTTTAGAGCAGCTTGATTATATGTTGAACCCCTGCTGCTTCTGCCCTTCTCAAAGAAGACTTTGAGATGGAAAGATATGTTGCGGTAGCCCTCCACAAGCCTCCGAAAGAGAGGTGATGTGGGAATACAACTGGACCTCTGCTTTTCCAAACGTTGGCACTCATCAAGTATGGTACGGTTGTTCTGAAAAGACCTCCTACGACTCCGATCTTGGGACCGCGCTTCTTACGTGTCCAGAAGGTGATCGAGAAAAGAGTATAATGTGGCTCCTTTGAGAGACAGTTACAATGATCGTTATGAAATCTGCTCTCTCTCCCAGTTTCAAAACATTCGACGTCATTTACATGGTGAAATTCTCAAAAATCAAGGAATCCTACCCATGTGGAGTCCACCGCTTCTCTCTAATCTCAAAAGCCAAACCCCAGAATGTATGTCGGTTGCGTCTCCCGGATTCTGGATCCGGTCCTTGAAGGACCAGATGGTGTGACAACGCTAGCAGTGCAGCGTGGTGGAATATGTTTTTTCTCCCGATTCCAAACAAGTCGGTCCAGATTTCATGGACGTGAAAAAACCGTCGTGTGGAGAGACTGATGACCGTGCGGCCCGTCTGTCTGAACACTTTGGAAGAAAGTGTTATAATGCACTGCTTTGAAAGGAAATACATACGATCTGGTTTCATGTGGAAATCTGCGACTTCTCGTTTTGCCTGAAATGAAGTTCCACTCAACACATGGTGCGGTCGTCTGACAGATCGATGTCCGGAATAGATGGTGGAATTCCCGCTTCTTCCGTTTCAACGGGGCAGAGACTCCCGTGCAGGCTTGGATCTGAAACATCACCGCAATGAAAGCATGTGGAATTTAGTCTTTTCCCTTCTCCTAAAACATAAGACCTCTGCAACTATGGTGTTGCCGCTCTGGAAGACTTCTTTGACGGTGTCCATGCCTGTGTGGGCATCTGCTGCTTCTCCCTGATGTTCGGGTTGCAAGTAGTTGTAACACGGTGTCACTGTCTAAACTGCGTTGAGTGGTGCGAAATGGGGATCTGGTACTCTTTGATTACAATAAGAGGATATGACATGGGCGCCTGATCTGAAAATATGTCCCGGACTAGATCTATGTGGAAGGAGATCCAGTGCTTCTCCGTCTTCCGGACTTGTAAAATCAATATGGCGAGGTGATGTGAATCTTAAAAAGATTAACCTAAGCATCGCATATGGGAATCCAGCACTTCCCCTATTTTCCAAAGCGCATTCCCTGGCATGGAATGGTGCTCCTGTTTTGGAAACTTCGCGCTGGACAAGTATGTTGGAATCTGCTCCTCCTCCTCCCTGGCTTAAGCAGTTCAGGGCTGCTGCGACGTGGCGCGACTATAAAAGAATGAGTCCAAAGTTTATGGGGATCTGCTACTTCTGCCGTTCTCGAAAAACTAGTGTGGGACACTCTATGGTGCAGCTCCTCTAAAAGCTTCCGAAGACTGGAACAATGTTGGGACTGCTGCTTCTACCCTGCCTCAAAACTCCGCAGCAGTTGCTGCATGGGACGAGTCGGGATATAGTCGGCTGGGGCCTCCATACTTAATCAACCACGAGATTATTACCTCATATTGTGTCTCTTGACTGATTCCTGCCGTGATCGTCCAATAAATGGTAGCTGAACACGGTTCATGTTGCTCCACCAACTTACGCCGAATGTCGCAACGATGACCGCCAAAAACCGATTGACTATCGCAGGATGAGAATCTGTGCTCTTCCTACTGTTGAAAAACAACGATAAACAAGAAACAGGATGCGCCTGTTCTGAGAAGATGAGCCGTTAGCGGGAAGGAGGGAGTCTCCAACTTTCGGTCTTCACGTTCATGAGAGCTTTGTAGATCGTCGGAGTCTAAAGCTTTTGTCTATCTGTTACATTCGCATCCGCGGTCTTGCCCTCTACGCCCCTGCGTTCGCCATATCGGCACTGTACTGGCTTTATGTGACCTTCTTCCATATACGAACCGGATAATGGGAGACATAATTAGTAGGTCTGAAAATCCCAACGCAATGCTGCCATGTGCTGGCCTTCAAAGATACTTCGTATTAGCGCGATAGAGGCGTCTGCCCTGCTCTCCCTCTGTCTAAAAATCGACATACGATGTCGTCATGTCTCAGGGCCTACTGTCTTCTGAAATACACCCACGCAAAAGCATGCAATGTCTCACAGAAAAATTCAAAGAGCGTTAGTAACAAGTCTCCCATCGTTCCTAAGCGGGTATGTAGTCGGCCGATGGATTGATTTGTTTGCCCTTCGTCCCTTTCCCGAAGCCTGCAGTATATCTTGAAATGTCCTGCAATTGCTTCATCGACGTTTTAAAACGAGATAAAAGCCGCCAATGCACTCTCTGTTAAGACAAAGCTTAGTTGTTATATGGGCGTTGTTTCTGAATTTCGCCAACTGGATGCATGGATTCGCCCTCCCCCGTTTCTTCTGTAAAGAGAATCCACCTTTATACCATGGGTTCTGCACCTTGCAACAACCAGCGGCATGAAAGTCCGAGGTGAATTTTCCGGCAAGAGAATTAGAAGGGCGGTGCCTGCTTTAGCGGTGTTACTGAAATTACACCTGAGCAAATCGCATGGACGCATCTGCCCTTCTTCTATCGCGCAAAATACATTCCACTCTCACTCTTCTATGTTTTGCAGAGTGCTGCTGCCTGTTTCCACTCTGAATCAGAAGGCATTGAGAACATGGCCCTTCCAGTAAAAGAACCTGAAGGATGCTGCGCCAAGGTGCTGTTTCTCGAGGAAACTGAAGTAATAGAGAAATGGTCGTGTTGGCCCTTCGTGCATTCCGTCAAAGTGTTCCTGAGCGAATATATGTGGTTTGGGCACCGGGCCCAGCGGCTTCTCGATCCCAGGAGAACCTACATCGCACTTCACACTTGCCGTCAAGAAGAAGCCTCTAGGGAACCTGCGGATAGTTCCTGTTTCTAAAAAGTCAGCAGACAAGTCCATGGAGTGGTTCTCCCACCGTCTCTTGTCCCTTGAAAATGGCAATCACACATTTACCATGTTCTCCGCACTGCTGTTGTAGATTTCAAAGTCTTAATTAACGGTCTAACGGCGATGCCTTCTGAGAAAGAAGAATCATCGAATGTCATGGTATCCGGGCTGTCTGCAAACGACCTTAAGATCTTCCGCTACTACAAATCATGGAGATAAGAGTCGCTCGTCCTCTGCTCTCCTTTTCCTAAAGAAGACAGTCCTCTAATCATGTTGTCCGGACTGTTGTTGCAGATCTCGAGG